TGTGATGTTGTGTCCAAGTGATGTGCAGTGTTATTTGCGATGTTGTAGCCAAAGTGTATGCGATGTTGTATGCGGTGATGTGTCCAAAGTTGATGTTGTATGCCATGCTGTATGCGATGTTGTATGCAAATGCAGTGGTATATGCAATGTTGTATGCGAATGCGAAGGTCCAAAGTCGGATGCTCCTGGAATGAAATGTGCGTGGAATCAGTAGTAATACCCTCACCCCACCACTGAAGCCGCTTTACCACGGAATGGTAGACTCGTCAATCAAAAAGATAGACAAGCACGGCTCCATATCAGAAATCTGATAGTGCGAACCATCGGCTCCGTCAAGGACTTGCTCGTAATCGGGAAAGTACCAGTCGGAGGGACAGTTCGTATGAATCGAGCTATCGCCCTCCCCCCTATATTCGATCTCATCGGGGATCGCAGGGGAGTAGTCCATCTCATAATCCACTTCATCGTCGTGGGCAACCTCCTCCGTGCCGTATTGAGAGAAGGGCTCGGGCTTCTCCAGGACTGTGTCAGGCGAAGGCACCGAAGAGGCTGGCGACGAGGCTGGGAGAGACGGGCTAGAGAAGGGCGATAGCTCCAAAGAAGAAGACTCAGTAGCCGGGCTACTGTCCTTCATACTCGACTATCACAGATATCAGTATCATTCAACGGAAAACAGCAGCAGGGGTTTATTCTCACGATAGCAAGCTCTGTAGTCAGCGTAAGTGAAGGTCGCGCATCGATATGGCTCGCACCACCGGTCGTGGGGGGTGCGGCCGCGGCGATAGACTTCTCTTGCTCTAGCTCTCTGTCGTGCGTTTCAGACTAATGTCATCTTGTTAGCTGAAATTCGTTTTTGAAAAGTAGGCTGGAGGACTTACCGTCTCGTCTGAAAAAATCTGTTTGTGCTCGCTCTGCACGGTCTGCAGACTCTGCTCTCTCTGCTGAGAATCATCATAAAAATAGGGAATAGAAGAAAAAAGGAAAAAAGAAACCATAATAACAAAAAACTGCCCAAACACACGCCAATTAGCCTGCAAAAGCGCCAAACGTTCAGAGAGCTGCCTATCTCCCATGTTGAACCGGTACTTTACAGTCAAATAATAAACCAACCAAATAAACCGCCAAAGAGAATAAAGGGAAGACCCGTTAGTGGTGACGAAGGTGCGTACCGCGGTAGTCGAAACGCGGACGAGCTGGAAGGATCTCTGGAGACCGCGTGCGAGTCCTGCCAGTAGAATAATGATCACCACAAGAACAGCTTTGAAGCTGAGATCCACAAAACCGGAAAGACTGGAAACCATAGAAATAGCGACGGCTTTGGAAACTCTTCCTCCACGTACACAAAGACTGCCCAGCGCAGTAACATACGGGATAACGATAGAGGAAAAGGAAGCGGGGGGAGGCCGGTAGATCACAAGGGATCTACAGTCAAGCGCGGCCTGTTTTTTCTGCTTACTTAACTCAAGCTGATAGCGAAACTCTCCTCGGAATGAGATAAATATCGCAAGAATAACCCCCCAAGCAGATGAGACCGTCTGCCCCGTGTATCGCAGAACGGTGGGCGCCAAGTGCGCCGAAAAAGCCAGGGCGGCAACGGAGTAAACAAATACAAAAGCGAGGATCTCGCAGCACGCATATCGCGCGTGCATAATAAGAGCGGATGCTCTTTTAGCGAACCGGGATCGCAAGGAGAGATGAACTGGTGCAGGCAGGGCGAGCAAGCCTTGCTTCATCGTCAGTGCTCGGTAGAGCACAAAACCGCGGTCTCTGACCGGCTCTGGAGAAGACGGGAGACCGGCTTCAAAGGTGCCCTGTCTGTAGAGCACAAGCTGACGGTCAGATACCGGTTCGTGTGCCGGAAGAAGCGCGGGCGGAGTCTGTGTTGACGAAGAGCGATAAAGCACGAGGGCAGACAACTCTGGCGGCGCCAGCAGACCAGGGGTACCTCTAAACAATAGGGCAAGCTCGCGGCTGATGAATGACCTGATCGGAGACTGGAGAACAAGGGGGACCCGACCAGGAAGCACCATTCTACGGAATACAGGCGCAGTGTTGTCCATGTGGTCTGGTACCACAACACGAGGCTGGATCTGCGGTGGAGGCGACTTGAGGGGGCGAGGATACAGCAAGTGGATCATGCAGACCTCATGTCGCAATACCAGCCGCATACCAGTCGAGACCGTCGCAGAGCCAGAAATGTTACCTTCCTGGATGGTTTCGGATGGTCCATCTACGACGGGTTCCTGTAAAATAATCAGTATCGCTTCTGATGTGGAAAAAAAGAGACTGAAGAAAGCTTACCGGCTCATCGGCCTTCTCGGACTCAATAGGCTCGCTAGCCGTTTGAGAATGGCCTTCCACCACGTTCCCCCGAGTGCCAGACCAAACCGATCTACTAGAGGCACGAGAACGGTAGAACTTGGAGTGGAGAAACTTAGGATCGGGGATCGTAGCTTGCTGTGCTTCGAACTTCTGGACGAGCGAGTGGACGTGATCGATCGGGAGATGAGAGCGCAGATCAAACTCTGGCTGAGCCGTAGAGTCTTCCTCCGTCGTAGTCGTGGCAACGCTTTGCTTGATCTCGCCATAGCTCTTCTTCTTGCGCTCAGAAGACTTGAGCGGGTAAAGGACTTGAATCTCAGGCGGCTGCGACTCTGCTGCGGCGGCGCGGTGAGTCTGAGCGCAGTGCGGCTTCTTGCACACAAAGTAGTCGAGAGGCTCGGTGCAGATGCCCGCAAAGCTCGAGAAGCGGTTGAAGCGGCGAACGGGAACGGACGGACGATTAGGAGCACTGACCGATCTGTGTTTCTGGATGAGTATCTCAGAAGATGAATCGTTCTCTTGCGTCAAAGCAGAGGAGCTGCCCGCTGGCTGCACAGACTCTGTTTTGGGGGCGCGAGCAAAAGACACGATGGCTGGATCCGAGGATACGCTGCTAACACGATTCTTGACGACGTCTAGAGTTCCATGATTGATACTCGATTTGGGCTTGATCAGGTCGAGGATGAGACGACCGGCGGTCTGTCCGGGGGTGAGTCTGGAAGGCTGAATCAGATCCAGGACGACACGACCGGCGGCTTGCCCGGGCGTGAGAGCTTGCGTGCCGTTTCCGAAGCTCGCATCGCGAGTCACTGAATAGTGACCGATCATTGCCAGGATGATCTCACGAGCTGTAAGAGTACGGCTGCCGTTCTCAGGGGACGGCTGTCTGACGGGAAAATCGGCGGAGGGCGGCGTGGCAGTAGCGAGCGTCGCGGGCTCAAGCTCTGCAGGGTCGTCGTTCTCGTTGGCAGACTGCTCCGATGGGGAGCCGAGATCGTCAGAGCCAGTCGCATTCTGAGGCTCGGCTTCGGCTTGAGTAATCGGCTGAGTAGAGTCGATCGTCTCAAGATTGTCGGAATGGCCGACGTAGGTGCTGCCGTAGCTAGCACGGTATTCGTTGCTGGTAGTGGACTCGGACGTGTCAGGCTGTCCAGTGGTTTCCTCGGAGATACTGTCGTCGGTAAGTACCTCATAAGATGACGGAGGAAAGTTGTGGTCGTCGTAGGTGGTGTCGTAGTAGTCCGAGTCGACTTCAGCGTTGGGGACTGTAGAGGAGGAAAAGGAGACGTTGCTGTCGTGCATGAACTGAAACTCCAGGCGTTGAGGAGTTTGCAGAACGTTGAAATGCACAGAGCCAGCGACGTCCTGGGGATCGGGGGAGAAGGAAAGGTTGAGGTTGGTGGGGGTAAGCTTGAATCTGAATCTCATGGTGTCCAGCTATTCAGAATATACTCGGATTCGAGATCCGCTCTTTCAATAATCTGGATAGGTAATACGAGGGGGGCAGCGATGAGAGGCAAAGGGGAGCTTGGAAGGTTGTTTGTAAGTTGGATTGCAGTAGAGCTAGACTTCACGGTTTGGAGCAAACGATGAAGGGGGGGCACTGTACGGCGGTGAGGAGAGGAGAGGAAGAGAGGCGGTAGGAGGACGGCGGCTTATAATGTGTCTCCCAGGCCGATTCGCAATGAGCGAATGCTGTTATTTATTCAATGATCTCTGAGCCCACACTTACACTTATAGCTTTTGTTTAGGCTTGCTGTGTAGCTCTTCTCTACAGCAGTCTTTTAATCTACTTTTATCATCTCCAGAAGTCCAGGGAGGCAGAAGAATGCAGTAGTTCTATTTCATCGCCATCTAGCGTCCCCGAGGACTCTCAGAAGCGAGTGTGCGGCTCAGTTGTATGTTCTTCGATCTCTGAACCGCTTTTGATTTTGATTGCTAGTGTTTTCCCTTGAAACCCGCACAGGCGCGTCTGCCCTACTCCTCTACTCCCCACACCCTACTACTACTACTACACCTGTGCTGGCTACTCACTCTCTCACTCACCTCAGTCTTCTCCTAAACCCTACTACCACTACTACTACTACCACTACTACTACTACTACTACTACTACTACTACTACTACCTATTACCTCTACTACTACTACTCTACTCTCTACTCTACTACTACTACTACTACTACTACTACTACTACTACTACTACCTACTCTACTCTCTACCTACCCTCTACCTATACTCCTCTAAACTGTCCAACGCTTGTGTGCTCTAACCTACTACCTACCACTACTACTACTACTCTACTACTACCTACCTCACTCCTCCTCCTCCTCCTCCTCAACCTCCTCATACATATAATAATATATCTCCTCGTACCGTCGTAGGAGTGAACTAGAGGGGCGAGTGAACCCATGCCTTACTTACTTATATTGTTAAACAAATCGATCAACTTCACTAAAATACTCTGGTGCTAGGGGAGCGTTGTGGGAGGGGTTCTAAAGAAGCGGGTAATATAAGACCAGCCTTATTCTTAAGACTGTCAAGAGACTTCAAGATTCCACTACGTCTATCGAGCTTCAGTCACCTAGATATTATCATGACTACGAATTATTATAGTAGTAATACTTGATATTTGATAGGACTATAGAGGAAGTAGCAAGCCGTCGCTATTGAGTGAGGATTAAGTGAAACCCTACTACTAAAGTCGGGTTCGATATATAATTTAAAGGAACGAGCGACAGGAGTAATACGAAAATAGGCAGTAACAATCATAGCAGTAGGCAGTTACAGTCATGACCAAGAAGAAAAAAAGAAAAAAGAAAATTAGAAGGAAAAAAATGACGATCAGCAGAGAAGATCGAGCGAGAGCAGTAGTTCGGTTTCAGCAGAGTATTTGTGATTTCCCGAATGAAGAGAAGTGTTTTGGGAAATCATCAACAGCTAAAACAGCAGGACAGGTATACAGTAGACATAGATCGATTCTGCCCTTAGATGTTGGGGTATCAGCCTGAGCAGTCGTCGAACTATACGACCCTTATGGTTCGTTCCAGGATAAAATACTGCGGGGAGGACAGCTATGCGAACAAGGTAACGTCAGTAAAAGCTTGAGAGAAGGAACAGGGGATCAGTGGAGCATGAAACATACGCTGGCTAGTATATCTAATCTCTCAAGAAATCCTATATCGATTTAGCGGAAGATGGCGATACTGAAGCGCTAAGCGCCATGGCGCTGATTTCTCGCAGCGGTTGATGAGGTAATGGCTCTCCTTCACTGTCTTGACGAAGTCCCCATACGCTGACTAGTTTGATAACCAGCGGTAAAGAATCTTCTTGAGCAAAGCACGATCATGGGCAATTGAAAACATAAACCTGGACTTGATCCTGGCGGCTAATAATTCGTCGCCTAGATGGTCCTTATGGTCCGCTTTTGCCGATAAGAGAGGCGAAACAGTCGTATGCGGCGTGGTGTTTGAGTGCATCATATTCATAAGCGACGGGAAGGCGGGAGAAAGGAATGACCCTGACATTATACAATTCGTTGGTGCGCCCTTTCCGTTGTGATTCCCGTATTTCAATGTCGTAGTGTTCGTCACGGTTGCGATGCGGGTGACGCCGGTTGCCACTCTCGGCTATCGGGTGGTTGCTTGCTAGGAGTATTGCGAGTGAGTGTGCGTCGGATTCGGTCGGCTATCGTGCTTGATGCTCATAACAGCATGTTGCGATGCACAAGAAGAACGAGCTTTCTTGTCGACAACTATTGCGGTGGGGGCACGGGAAAGGTTGGCGCTGAGATGAAAAAGTAAATAGAGGCGAGGAGAGATGAGAAAAGAGAGAGGGACCGAGAGAGGCCATTGAATGTTTGCTATTCGTGCCTTGTTCGAACAAGAGCGGCCTTGTATCTGAACTGAGCTTCGAAGGAACGCGTGAAGTCAGTTAAATCACTTGAACAGGCGGAGGGAACACAAAACCCTGAATGAATTGATGCAGGCACGATTGACCGCCTAGGGTTTGAGCGACATGATTCGTTAGGAAGATTATCCAGCTGTCGGAAAAGCGCTGACTAACGGAAAGGACTACTACTTGAATTACCTCCCCTCATTTAGTTACGGCTGGTTTGAACACGTAATGTATAGAGAGTGCTCCTATGTCGAGTATTATTACTATTATATATATCATGCATTAACTCCCCTGAAGTATCGCGATGGTAACAGTCATGGGCCCATCGCTCTGAGGGTTTGTTTCGCTTACGAACAGTCAAGATATCCCCACTAGATTAAAGTAATACCAGTCATCTTCTGAGAGGGAGTCTTCTATTCGTAAGTGACGATCTTGTGACTGAGTGGTGTTAAACACTTGATGCGCGGACTGTCTCTCGTGATCTTGTAAATAATAAATGACTAAAAAGGCGGGGTTTGTGAGCTCCCGCGGGAGCCTCACCATAAAATTGAGCTCGTGTTTACCCACCCATTGTCTGTTCTCTCCTGGTCCAAGACTCGTTCAGTTGCCTGCTCTCAGCGCTTGCACGTCTACTCAGTGATCACTTCTACACAACTCCACTGATCGTTTGCCTTCTACTATCTCCAACAATCATTTTGGGCACGATTCAATCAGCTGGAGGAGCTCATCGAATTTGGAACTCGGTAATATGAGTTTGACGGAACAGTGTTGCGTTTCAGAACGGTATCTTGGTCTATAGCATCTATTCATACGTCATGGAGGGAAATATTTCCGCCCATTCATATCTGGCAAAACCAGTCATATTGGCAAATGAGAGTGCAATCCGGTCGACAGATACGAAAGTGGAGTTGAAGATGTCGATGCAGCACGATGCGACCATCAGTACTAGGTCAGTTCACCACTTGATCGAGTCGCCCGGGGATCATCAAAATATTCTCTCATCACCGAATAGCAATAATATGAGCAATGGTACCGGTTTTAATGGTCCTCAGAAGAGAAAGAAAAAGAGCAAGTCACGAAAGGGGCTGGCCAAGGCATTCGCATGCTCTGAGCCTGGATGCGACAAGAGTTTCACCCGATTAGAGCACTTGGGAAGGCACCAATTGAACCGTGAGTGCAGTATAATTGTGAAACTGATTTGATAATTTCGTGCTAACACCTGTTGTTTGACTCCACAGATGCGCCGAAGCAGATTTTTGCTTGTACTTGGCCAGGCTGCACCAAGGTCTTTGTGCGCAAGGACCTACGGACACGTCATCTCGACCGACACAGTCGGAAGAATGGAAAAGAAGTCAATCAAAACAATCTTCCTTCTTTGGAAATCTCGCTCAATGGCGAAGGAAAGGTGTCGTCAGGTTACGAAGCGAGACAGAACAACGATTCTCCAGTCTCTGACTCGTCAACTGCTCCGATGGATGATGCGGCAATCATGCAAATGAGAATGGGCAAAGAACCTGCGTTGCAATTGCCAGTCTCGGAGTTTGAAACAGAAAAGTTCTCTTCCAACCCAAGTGCAGGTGCCCTGAGTCTTACCTCTCAAACGGTTGAGCCGGATTTTCAGCCGTTCCCTGCAGAATTTGGTACACGTTCAGAATCGCAAACACCTCTCGCTCTGGATAAGTTCATGGAGAGCTCATTCCCTGACAATCAAGGATCCGTGAATCTGATGGGAACCAGTATGGACGAGTCTTCATCCACTGATCTGATTGATTGGCTCTTTTCCGACGCAATGCTTGCCGGGAACCGAGATTTCTATGCACCCAACGATTTCAGCTCATTCCTTGTGTCCCCGATGATTGATATCTCTCAGCTATCTAGCCCTCCCCAGTTCTCCCAATCAAAGATCATGTCAGACTCTAAAAGGGACGAACTGATCAGTCTTGTTCCGGGTCTGGAAAGCGAGCCCGATTTCTCGCTCGATACGATTCGAATATGCATGGAACTGTACTGGGAAAAGTTTCATTTTCAGTTTCCGATTCTCCACCGCAGATCTTTCGAAGTTGATAGGACTCCGGCACCATTGATCCTCTGTATGATATTAATCGGCGGCTCATACGATGCTGGCGCAAGAAAAATTACCGACCGTATAGCTGAGCCCTTGCGATGGGTCATTTTTGGCTCTCCTGATTTCCACCCGGTTACAAAGGCGTGGATACTTCAGAGCCTGCTCTTACTTGAGATTTATGAGAAGATGCTGTCTACTCGCAAACTGCACGAGCGGGCACATATTCACCACGGCGCAACATTACAGCTGATCAGACGTGGTTCAACATTGCATGATAGTTCAGCAACCACGATACCAGGTGATGGTGACGATAGCACATGGAAACGCTGGGTAGAGGCTGAATCTATCAAGCGTGCGATCTTTGTTGCTTTTATTTTGGACGTCACTCACTCGGTGATTTTCGGTCATAGCATTCTAATGTATGCGCACGAGATGCGGTTGTCGCTGCCATGCGACGATACGATCTGGGAAGCAACAGATAACCAAAGGAAGCCTCTTATGAGCAAACCTCCTTTACCCTTTCTTGTTGCACTGAAACGCATTCTAAATCAGCAGACGGTCGAAGTGGATAATTTGGGCCGGCATGTGCTAATGTGCGGGGTCATGTCCCTTGCTATTCAGATGTCGCATCAGGCTCTGCAAGTGTCTTCGATAGGCTGGGGATCGTTTCGGGATACGTGGAAGTCAACACTTGCACGAGCGTATGATTTTTGGTTGGCTGATTACGAGCCGCAGAGACGGCAGAAGCTATTATCAACAGTCATATCGGATACTGTCAGTGTTGCGTCGAGCTCCAATGCTGAGAATGATATGGGACCGATGTTTGTGCTCTTATACCATATGAGCCAGCTGTCGATGCATGTTGCCCGGTATGACTTGCGTGTTTTCTGTGGCGATAAAAGGGTGCTCGGTCGCTCGACTGTCGAGCGAGATTTCGAGGCGTCGAAGCGGCACATGTACGAGTGGGCACATTCACAGAGTGGCAGCATTGCTGCATTTCACTCTATTAAAGCACTGTATAAGATAATGGTGCTGGGGGATGAGTCCACGAGGATTTTCCAGATCAATCCTCCCATTGAAGCTACTTCGTCTTGTGGGTACCATGTGGCAAAGGATATATATGTGCATCGGGCATCTATGCTTGTACATTGTATGCTTGTTTACTGGGCGTATGCTTACTGTCGTTGTGGGCCAGAGTCGGAGATTATAGCGGGCGGCTTACCGTCTGCAAACGTCCTGACGAGCGACGAGGATTTAATTGCTGCGGCAGAAAGCGGACGTATATTTCTGGAGCGCTTACATCTTAGGACGTCGAAACCATCGGATTTGGATAGTCTAGAACGCAAGCATTTGACGGTGGACCTCTTGCGATGGATTATATGGTCGCTTCGTGGATGTGAATGGGAGCTTTTGGGTGAGATGATTGTGATATTGGAGCGTTGCGTCCAGCGGAGTTTGGGAAAAGAATTTGATGGGAATTGCTCTGAATAGTGAAGCTTGGGTTTTGGGGATTGTACAATATAATACAAATATGAATAACGACGTTTTGGTAGGACTATGAGAGGTATTAAAGGCGATCAAGATTGAAGATTCAGTCTGTAGTTCTGGTCCAAACACGGTGGTCTGGATAACGCACGGTAGTTAAGCGCGGCTCAGGGGGAGGTTCATCCGGTAAGCGCCGGAGAAACAATTTGAATGCTTGCTGTGGGTGGAGTTCGATCAATGGCCTGCGCTGGCGCTTCCCATGACTATAGCTAGGGGAGGCATAGGCAAGCGCTGGGTGTTGGACACTATATTTACGAAAATGAACGTTCAGAATCAAGCATCTAACGGTAGTAAATAGACCATATAAACCAAACGCTAACTGTACGGTGAGACCGTAGATGTCGTGGGTGCTGGGCGACTGCTATTCAGCCGTATAGCCGGAGTTGTGGGGTGGGGGCGGGGAATGGCGGCTTAAGCGACTGGATATGTGGATTTTATGGGGGGAAAGCAGGGTAAGTTGAACTTGTCTGGCCATAGCCGAGCTCAGCGTGTTTCAGATTACTTCTGGGCTGGAGCAGCTCAACTCTAGCGGTTATGGTCTTTACGGTCAGCTAGCAAAGAACATTCAAAAAATGATATACAGCAGCTCTCTGAATATCGTGCCAGCGCGGGTAGCCGCTTGTTTTGCAAGTCGCGGTGGAAGACAAAGAGTCTGGAGCGCGAGAGCCGCAGGGATCGCGGCTGTGCAGTCTTCCGGAGACGCTGGAAACGGACTGGTGCCCGCGTTTTTAAGGCTAAATAAATCGATCAAACCCTTATCGTCTGGGCTTCTGTTGGTAGGGTCCGAATATATATCTGCAGCCGTTCGGCGCGGGGCAGGATGCTCTATAACCTACGGCAAGTCGATCGATTACGTCTGCATTTATTCCTCAATTGAACAGCTGGAACGACAATCATGGAGTCCGCTCAAACCTTTATCGAATCCTCGGCCAACTTGATCAAGCTTGATCCCTCGCGCGTGCTCGGCGCTGTCGACGACAAGGTCTACTCTGGCTTTCTCGAGCACATGGGCCGGTGTATCTACGGCGGCATTGTCGACTTTGATTCGACTGTCCCCGGTCTGACCAACGAAAAAGGCTACAGACTCGATGTTGCCGACGCTCTGAAGGAACTCAACATGCCGGTTGTGCGCTACCCCGGTGGAAACTTTGTGAGCTCCTACCACTGGCTGGATGGCGTGGGACCCAAAGATCAGAGACCGCGCAGACCGGAGCTTGCTTGGCTTGGAGAGGAACCCAATCATTTTGGAACCGACGAGTTTATGGAGTGGTGCGAGTACATGAACACCGAGCCGTACCTCTGTTTGAACATGGGCACTGGCACGTTGGACGAAGCGCTCGCGTGGGTGGAGTACTGCAACTCGGACAAAAACACCTACTATGCCAACTTGCGTCGAAAGAATGGACACGAGAAGCCGTATAATGTCAAATACTGGAGTCTTGGAAACGAGGTCTGGGGCCCATGGCAGGTTGGTCAGATGCCTGCTGCAGACTATGGCAAGAAGGCCTTTCAGTGGGCGAAGGCGCTCAAGCTGCTTGATCCCAACATCAAGCTTGTTGCCTGCGGCTGCACCGGTTTCGAGGAGTGGGATTACATCGTCACTCAGGCGCTCATCAGCCAGGTCGACTTGTACTCGATTCACTTGTATACCTCAAGCGACGACCACTACAAGAACGTCACGGGTACCGCCGGCGCCGAGCGAGGTATCCAGATCTGCTCCAAGCTTCTTGACCTTGCAAAGATTCAGCAAAAGGCGTACAATGCGGATGTGAAGATCTGCTTTGATGAGTGGAATGTCTGGGATGGCGAGCGCGCCCCTGGATACTTGGGTGCTGAGGAGCAGTACACGCTTTCGGATGCACTTGCTGTTGCCTCCTGGTGCAATGTCTTTATTCGCCAGGCCTCGCTTATCGGTATGGCGAACATCGCACAGCTTGTCAACGTTATTGCTCCGATCATGACCTCGAAGACGGACCTGTTTTTGCAGACGATTTATCACCCGTTTTTGCTGTTCTGTAAGTACATGCGGGGCGAGAGCTTGAACTTACACGTTGAGAGTCCGACGTACAAGGGTGACACTGGCTGCAGCTTCACTGAGTCGAGCGTCGGTGGTGAGCTGCTCTGGGTCAAGGGAGTCGAGCCGGCGATCCCGATGCTCGATGTTTCGGCGACGAAGAAGGACGGTATCATCACGATTGCTGTCGTCAATCGCTCGCTTGAGGATGATCTGACGACGAAGATTGTGCTTGAGGGAGATTATAAGGAGACGGTGACTGTCTACACCGTTCACCACGATGATATTGCGGCGACCAACACGTTCGAGAACAAGGAGGTTGTGAAGGTTGAGGAGAGTACGTGCAAGTTGGGAGACCTCGAGTCATATACTTTCAGAAAGCATTCTTTTGTTATGTTGCGCATCAGTTCGTGAATTTGTTATAGAGAACCTCTGTGAATGAAATCTTTGTCTTACATCTTGATCTTTGTGATCTGTAAATCTGTGTTTTATTTCTAACTATCCGTTGTTCTCTACTAATTTACAATGTGGATGCGGATACTTGGAGTGCTCCTCTCAAGAACTCCAGGACCCACCACTGGTATCATCATCCTCTCCACCGTCTACATGGACCTGCTCCCCAACGTTCCCTATTCGAAGAAAGCCCCGATACTAGAAGCTTGGAGCTGCCTCCATTTTAGGAAAACGCTCTGCACCACGTATACCACGTTTCAAGCCCCATAAATAGCATAGACGAAGCGGGCATAGTTTAAAAAAAATTAATTAAGTCGTCCCAGGATGACACCAACAATAAAATAAAGTTCCCAGCAAAAGGAGTTATGCGGGGACCGCACTGTGCTCGTCAAAGTTTGCACTGATTTGTGTTGTGGGCGAATTCTGGGCACACGCCTGGATCTGATTTCTCTGGACTTGTGTTCTATGATAACAATATGGATGATAGTATAGATGATAATATTCACAGCTCGTTTCTAATACGGTGAAGACAGGAAGCAAATGACTAGACAATATACGTAATGTAACAAATGTGATGAAAAATAAACAAACGCGACGCCAGATCCAAAAATACCCAGTACAAATTCGCAGTTTTTTTTATCTCGTAAAGAGAAATACATGGTGAAAGACGACAATCATGATTTGCAACAGAAAAGAAAACCAAGTTCTCTTAAGAACAAGTAGAAAGCAGGGCTCTACTTCTCAGCAGTGGCAGAAGACTCCGAGCCGTGCTCGACAGCAGCCTTCTCAACCTGACCAGCAGTAGCAGAGTTGATCTTCTCGAGCTGGTAAGCCATAGGCTTGTCGTTATCGACATCGCGCATCTGCATAGCTGCCTCAAGATCATGAAGCTCACGTCCACCATGATACCGCTCGGCAAAGTACAAGTCGAGCTCCTCGAGGGTCTTACCCTTGGTCTCAGTGAAGAAGTATAGGGAAGGAACGAAGCAGGCGTTGAAGACACCGAGGATCACGTAGTACTTCCACGAGATGCGCTCGAGAGCGGTGGGCGAAATCATGACGATCAAAAAGTTGAACATCCAGTAGAAGATACCAGCGAGACCCATGCCGTGAGTACGGCCCTGGACAGGCAGAATCTCGGCCGAGTACATCCACGAGGGACCGAGCCAGCAAGTGGAGAAGGAGGCAAAGAAGACAAAGATGAAGGCCACGATGGCGATACCATATGACTTTGCGGCATCGGTGCCCTCTTCAGGAAGGTTGGCGTAGAGACCGGCGACAACGAAGAAACTGACAGCCTGGATACCAGCGCCGGTGGCCAAGAACGGCAGACGACCCCAACGATCGATAAGGAAGATGGGCTATAGTAAAGATTAGCAAACTGTTTCATCGTGAAGTAGTTTCGAAGAATATTATGAGACTTACCACAATGGCAAAGGCAAGGGAGACAACACTGGTAAGACCACCGATCCAAAGCGAGTCTGATCGAGAGACACCGATGAAGGTAATGAGCAGGGTGGGGACGTAGTATGTGACGGAGTTGACACCGGAGAGCTGCTGGAACATGTTGATAGCGCAAGACATGGCAACACGGCGACCGTTCTGGGTAGGGCCACCCTTGAACAAGGTCTTGAACCAAATCCAGCCAGACATGTCCTCGAGAAGAGCAATCTCCTCCATCTCGCGGAGGGTCTTGGCAATCTCGGGGTCTTCCTTCGTAGCATCAGGGTTTGAGCTGAGCCAGACAAGAATGTCAGCAGCCTTGTCCATCTTGCCTCTGCCCACGAGCCAGCGCGGGGATTCAGGAAGCATAGGAACAAGGCACATGGTGCCAGCAAGGAAGACAAGCTGGAAGAGAATGGGGAACTGATAGGCAACAGCACCGCCGTTTGTGCCAAAGCCGTAGTTGATCCACTGGGCGAGAAGGAGACCGATGGCGCAGAGCACGAGCTCGATCGACATGAGGGCACCTCTGTTGTGGGCCTCTGAGGTCTCAGCCTGCCAGATACCGATGGTGGAGGTCAACTGGCCGACGCCGAATCCGCCAACGATACGACCGACGATGAGCTGGGCGACGGTTTTGGCGGAGCCCTGGAGAGCGGCACCGACAGAGCAGATGAGACAGCCGAGCATGATGATGCGCTTGCGACCAAGGTTGTTGCCAAAGATCATGCAGGAGATGGCACCAAAGGCGGCGCCGATATCATAAATGGCGGAGATGGTGCCGAGGAGGTCAGAGTCAGGGTTGTTGAAGGTCTCGACAAAGTATGGCGAGACATTGACGCCGGAGAAGACACCCTGATCGTAACCAAAGAGCAGGAAGCCAGAGGAGCAGGCGAGGGTGATGAGAACCTGCAGCTTCATGCCCCGCATGTTGCGGACGGGGTTCCAAGTTGTGATGGACATGTTCTATGAGATAGGATGGGAGGAAGTGGTGTGAGGAAGGGGAAGTGGTGTGAGGAAAAAAGATCAGGAGAGCAGAGCAGGGAGGTCAAATATAAGTTATAGCAGACCGGGCCCCGGGGAAGCAGACGCAGCAGGGCTCGGCGGGGGAGGGGAACGAGAGCGCAGAGAGGGCGTAGGGTTGGGCACGGGGCTTCTGGGGAACGTTGGCTAGTCTCAAAGCAGAGCGCCCCACATAAGTTTCTGGGGTCAGTTGGTGCCTCCAACGCTGACGTCGATCCCCCACAAAAAGCGCTGCCTGGAGGCGCGAGCGCGAAGGCGAAGGGTTTGCGGCGAAGGGAGACTGGGCCATAGACGCACAGGAGATTAGCAAAGCATGGTGTTTTCTGTACTTCTCTTGTCTGCGTAACTACATAGAAGACAATACAAAGAAACTGAGCGAACCGCTTTAAGCTCAGCTCAGGGACGGTGATAACCTCAGAAAGCTAGTGTTCGTAATAATAACTGAGAGATAAAACAGGCTTCAGGCGAGCAGCATCTCCACCGGATTCGCCCAATCCTCCAGGCCGGTGGAAGCTGTGCTACACCACCGCCCCCCAGCATCGGCGCTGCCAGCGCAAAGCCTGCGCGTCCCCGCCTTTCTTCCCCGCACAGGCTCAGCCAAGCCAGCCTGGTTATGTGGGGATAGAACTCTAATCCCCTGGTCTGTGCTCGTCACGTGCGTCCCCGCATATTCAGGCATATTTTGCGTGCCTGCTAGAATTCAGCGGCGCTGATTCGGTGGACGGGGCGCTTAAGTAAGCATCTTCGCTTGGCTGCCGTCCTCTTCTGATACAACTCCTCGGCGAACTGCTATCGTCCCTCGTCAGACGAGCGAGGATGACATCACCTGCTCCTCCTTCGTCATGCGTCTTCTGCCAGATCGTGCACTCGGTCGGCGCGAGAACATCGTCGTTGGCGCTGACGTCGCTCGAGCCTGACGTCTACGTCTTCCTCGCGACGAGATCACACATCGCCATCCTCGACCACCAGCCTCTGGTCTCGTCGCTCTCCCACATCCTGCTCATACCCCGGACTCATGCAGTGCGCCTCTCTGATGTCCCTGACTACGAACTGCCTGATCTCGGCCCAATCTTAAAGTTACTGGGTAGAGCTATCTGCGACTGCTTCGCCGTTGATGACTACAACGTCGTCCAAAACAACGGTTAGTTTTCGACTCTTCTGTCTTTTCACCAGCAACACCGTTCGCATTCTGTTGTTCATCTGATTCTCCTCCGCGTCTTTTGGATTCTTTTCTTATTTGCTCTTGTCTAGGCCCCGCCGCAGGACAGCTGGTTCCACATGTCCATTTCCATATCGTCGCGCGGCCGTCCACCTACTTGGCTGCTGCTGCCGCACCAGCTCCTTCCGGAAGCGTGACTGCCGCTGCTGCCGCGCCCGCCACACTTCGAGACCGGACCAGGTACTCCAGCACTATCTTTGCTCGCGGCGAGCGCACGGATCTCGACCCTAGCTGCGCGGAGCAGAGTTCGAAAATCTTGAGGCAGTATCTCGACGAGCATTTGCCGCTTTGGCTAAGGCCGAAACTATAGCGCGCGCGCTCCTCATCCTGTCGCTTTTCTGTTTGCTCATGATTATACGAGATAGCTTATCGACCTGTCGTCGTGTCCCTTTTCTTCGTCTAATTATATTATATATTGTGTCACTGTATAGCGAACTGACAGCTTTACCCATTCCTCCATCCTTGCTTTTGTTTACTCTCACCATCACCACCTCTATTCTTCCCTCTGACTTAAGACTTAATTATTTGTATTGTTCCTCTCGCATATTCTTCATTGTCTCTCGTTGAGACTTATTTTTTTGGTGTCCCATTCTTCATCAGCTCCAATTGTCTGTTCTTCGCATGAATCCCTCATTTCTTCCCCGGCCCCTCCTCTATTTGCGTACCGTACCATACCGCTCTCCTCCTCTCTTTCCCTCACAAACTCGTCCTGTGACTTTGAAACAGACCCCCACTTCTTTGCTAGCCTCGACCCCAGATGTCCAATTACATTCGAACCCTACCCACTCCCCACCCCACCTTTTGATCCTCCTTCTCTACTATTCACATATCCATCTTCATTCTCCATCTACTTTTTTTTCTGTCGCTCTATCCCCTTTATAATACGCAGTCGTTATCAACAATTACTATGATCAATAATACTCATTATTTCGTACTGTAACTAACAAAGAACAACCCATAACAAAAACAATATAAAAACAATATAACAACAAACAAGCACACAAGCACACAATCATGATCCCCGTCCACAACCACGGCAAACCAAACACAACTCTCGACATCTCAATAACTACTGTTTATCAAGCACATCTCTACCCTTCCTCTTATAGTAGGAGGCAAAGGTAATAATCAGCAAATCTTCCTGTACGTCGCGCCAGATTCCAGTGAACGAAAGACAAAACCAGACAAACTCAAGGCTTGAAAACAAACCCATCTCTCGGCCTATAGCCCAATAATTATGCGTCCATGAGCAAAAAGCTCATACGCGTAATGCAGATAACTAGAAAGATAAAGAAAAAAGAAACAAAACACAAAAATGTGACATCGAAAAAGAACAAAAAGAGCGAGAATAGTATAGTCTTCCAGTCAATCAACTCCGTCTTATCCGTGTCGGACTTCATAATTAAAATGAAAACTGTAAATATCACTTCAGCACTGTCTGCTGCCCGACCCGACCCTCGCTATCTCTCGTTGGCAGATGACAGGGAAATAGTGGCCGGTAGCAAAAAACGGTAACCACGCCTACTCCACTTGCAAACTGTAAATAACTCGAAATAAGAAAAATGAACTACTTTTCAGTCGTCGTCCCCTCTTCTTCTGCCCCGTCTTCCTCTTTATTGCCATTCTCCGCTTCTCCTTCATTGGCAGTAGACGACAGCCACGTATCCGATGGCAACTGATTCGTTTCAACAAATCTCTTGGCCCACTGACGTGCAAGTATCGATGCTAGAAATTATCGTTAACATCCGTCATTACTCCCAACACCACACATATCCACTCACCCTTAAGAAATCGTTTGCCGGCATATTTCTTGAAAAATGCATCATGTCTAACCGGCTTGGAAAGATAGTCAATCATCAAATGGCACACGGGCAGGATCTTCTCCTCAGTGTATCCACCAGAGTAATGAACCAGATTACGATCCTGCATTCATAGTATTCGTTAGTATACTCAACATCACCAACTCAATTTATTCAACAACAGCATACCCAAGGAGGACGATCAAGCATCATTCGCGCCAGATACATAGCCGTCGCCGCCGTGTGCGAAGGCAAGAACTTCAAGAACCGATGATCCAGCAATCCAATCTCCATCAAGTACTTTGCCACCGTCCGCGTCTGCATGTCATAGTTGTCGGCCTTCGAATTACGACGCAGAAAGTTCATCGGGTTCGGATACGACAGGTCATAGTTCAGAACCTGCAGAATAAACGTCTCCGCACGTAATATCTCTTCCTCGGTGTAGCCGCTGTCGGCAACGTACACAAAGTTACTGATGGACGGCGAAAACACCTCCTCGTATTTAGCAGCAATAAACATGCCAGTGATACCAACAAGCTGAAGCTTGTCGAGCGAGACTATCCGCAACGACAGAAATCTGTCAACAATGTTTACCGCCAAAAACAGGGTCTCGGGCAGAAGGCGAAACTTGACGTGAACCTCCACCAGCCAGTCTATCAGGATGTCTCGCATCTTCCATTGCAGATCTGTCTGCTCATCCATATAGTGTGCATTAGGCATCGTTCGCACCTCGAGCTCAGACATGTAGTCAAAGATCTCATTCACGTACTCGGCAACCATCGTAGGGTCATCCATCTCCTCCGCATCGAGATCGTCCCAATCACACTCGACAACCTCGGTAGGTGCCAGCGCCTCCCGTGCCTCGACAAACTCCTGCTCATCAGTTGTTGATGACGCGATCGTTGTTTTCTGTGCCGACGAGTTCGGACTCCCGTTTTCCTTTTCGGCCTCCGAGTCCAGTTCTTCCGGCTCAGCAGCCTCATCGATCACCGATGTCGCGTGAGGTCTAGCGCGTGCGCGCTGCTCAACTTGAGAAGCGGAGAGTGACTTCAGAGGAGCTCGTCTTCTGCGAGACGCTGCAGTGGTTGTTGTAGTGGTGATAGTGTTGGTAGTCGCCCTCTTTGACTGTAGGCCGGTTGTGGGCTCATCGCGCGTCCTGGACTTGACGTGCGTGGCAAGGGCAGTCTTTGCGACTTTGACGCCAGCTTTTCCTTTGGCGTCGTCGCCGTTGCTTGCTTCCTTGTGTACGTTACTCACGTCGCCCAGAGCCGAACGCTTTCGCGTGTTTACTGGCGCGAGTTTTGACGCGAGTGCGGTCGAGGTCTGTTGTTTACCTGGCTCGAGCGCGGCAGCCTTTGCACGAGTAACACGCGTCGTCGTGCCAACTTGATTCTCATCATAGCCAGTAGTGGCTGAAGTTCTCGTTGATCGTCTCTGTAGTGATGATGGTTGAGGTTAGTCGTGTTTTGTCTTGAATAGTGGGAAAAAACAGATGCCGCAGATTGAGATCAAAGTTAAATTTGACGGGTAAACAACTTGATCTCAGATACATCACGAAAACAAAAATCAATAAACAAGGAAATAGACAGAACGTACTGTGTTTGCCATTTGTGTGTTTTATAGGGATGTGAATTAAAGATCGCCAAGTAGATGCCCAGAGGTGGTGGGATAGTCGGCGTCGTCCCTGTGCTAGGTGGAAGCGCGAAAATGTGAAGTGATGTGTTTGGCGATGCCAGGAGTGTTTGGCTCTGTTAAGAACTGTATAATAAAGAAAAGACTGTTAACACGATTCTGCTGAGTAGATACGCGACGGATGTCATGAAGACAGAGGTGGTTGTGTAGTGAAGGAGGCATACCAAAAGACGCGGCAGTACACAAATTAAACTCGCCTCAATAAGATTCCATGCGCGAGCAGCGAGCGAGTGAAGAAGTAATAAACAAGCGTTTTACAGGTCAACGCGGTGAAGAGGCTCTCGAGATACACGGCACAGCAGACAGGTGAATCGCTGGTGTTTTTTGGCGGTGAAGGCGTTGGCTGGAAAAGATGAAATGAACAAAAGAGATTCGAGCGTTTGGGCTCGGAATGTTTGGACTCGGTCACCATGCCAATCGCAATATTGTTTACTGTTGTCCCGTTCGGGTTTAGCCTGTTATTGTGGCGCACTCACAACAGGTGGCTGAGATCTCGTGGCGCATGCTATTCTTGCAGACGGGTTTAGGGCTTCCCAAAACGTTAATTGAAGCTTTGGGAGTCCTCGAGGAAAAAAATTGGATATCCAGTTTGTTACTAGAGAACGTCAAGAATGCCCGAATATCTTGTGCTTCTGGCGCAGACGCATGAGTCATTTAGGAAGGCGGAGTTGGAGGCTCTTGCTGTTCTTGAGAATATCAGTGTCGATCTGAGTTCTCACGACGAGAAGGTAATGATACTGTTGCTGTCGATGAAAGGAATGCTCTGCTAACTGTCTTACCTAGAGCCCATTCCTATACGTCACATTACAGGACGACGATGAAGCAAAGCGTCTGATCCAGAGATCCATTTTGGCGCGTGCAGTCTACGAGCTGTGGGGCAAAGCTGACTCTGAGAATGCTCTACACGAAGATGTCCGTCACAGATCATCTTCGAGATTTGAAAGTGCGTCGTAATAACTAAGTCCTACGCGTTGAATTGCACACTTACTGACTTTACTCTCCAGAGTACAAAACCCCATCGTTCAAATTCGACTTTATCAGTCATCGAGGTTCTCGTACAAAATCACAACAAAGAGATATGTTTGAAAGCTTCGACTACCTAGGATTCGACGGACCGATCAAGATGCGTGATCCTGACGAGATCTTTACCATCATCGAAGAATACGAGCCAGCCTATCACAGCAACACTGATCCACCTCGTCTGAGCCATATATTTTTTGGAAGATTTATTGGAGAAAGCCAGCGCGATGTTGTCGACAAGTACGATCTCAAGAAGCGACGCTATATCGGGACCACATCGTTTGATGCAGAGCTGGCATTAATCTCATGTAATATTGCTCTTGCCGGACCTCAAAAAATTGTGTATGATCCATTTGCGGGAACTGGCAGTTTTCTGGTTGCTGCTAGTCATTTCGGCGCCATGGCTCTAGGATCTGATATTGACGGCCGTCAGATTCGGGGGAAGAAAGCGCGCAATATCACTACAAATTACGATCAATACAAGCTCCAATCGTTCTTTCTCGATACCTTCGTCGGAGACTTTACTCATAATCCGATCCGTGCATCTTTCAAGCTCGATGCGATTGTATGCGATCCTCCGTACGGTGTTCGCGAAGGACTAAAAGTACTTGGCTCTCGAGACACGGAACGCTATGCGGACAAGAAGCCTACGGTTTTGGAAAACGGAGATCTGTCGCATCTGCGTCCCGACTACATTCCCCCGAAAAAGCCTTATCACTTCGATGCCTTACTCGACGATCTTCTCGAGTTTGCAGCGCGCAATCTAGTGGACGAAGGCCGGCTCTGCTGCTGGATGCCTACCGCCAACGAGGACTATGGCGAACGAACTATCCCGAAGCATCCGGAGTTGGAGCTGATTTCAAATTGTGTGCAGGAGTTCAATCGCTGGTCGCGCAGGCTGCTGACCTATGTACGAAAAGTTAGAGAAGGAGACGACGCCGGTCTGGTGTCTAGTCATCGGGAGAAGAAGGTCTATTCGCAAGTGCAGTTCCGCGATAAATACTTTAGCGGGTTTTCTGCGACAGCGAATAGTGTAGTTTAGTTTATTTCTATCAGGAGTTTTCGGTATTAATGTAAATAGTCTGCTGTAACAAGATCTCAAATAGAAAAAGGGCCAGGAACCTTCAGCAGCGTGCGGCTCAAGAATGAAAACAAAGACACCGATAAGCCGGGCAGAGACCAATGAACGCGTATTGAGCTCAGGCTGTCGCGACGAGTATCGAGAGATTTAGAGGATCGTTGAGATTCAGAGGCTCTTGTTATTGTTTGCTGTTGTCACAGGAAGTCGACCGAGAGGAAGTTCTCCAGTGCGGGAATCCTGCCGAGATCGTTTAACGAAAGCAGCCATCTCATCTCTATCGGCGATATCTCCGTTTCCCTCTTCCTCCCATCCACCCCCCGCAATTGCACCCTGCGCGCTGTCCTTCCCCGCATTTCTCATTGCTATAAGCTGAACTGAGGCTCTTCTACATCTCTAACCTACACAACGACTTCTAATGAGCAAGATTCCAGAATCATTCAAAGATCTGCCGTCGTATGCGGACTTGCCGAATAAGCGGCGATACTGGCCATATGAGCCCGGGTCTGCGCGCGAAGGCCAAGGAATGACCGGTCTACTTACTCCAACACACATCGCAGAGTGCGCAGCAAGCGAGATCCGCACCGGAGAACGAGCGTGTATCACGCTTCCAATCCAAGGCGTCACGTATCCGCTGTTTGGCCGGCCAGCTTCAAAAGTCGACATCCATTATATCGGCTATCCGAGTGTGTTTGATGACGAGGTTACTTATAATCCCCAGTCATCGTCTCAGTGGGATGGGTTTAGACATCACTCGCAGCCTGTTGGTTATGGGTTTACGCCGGGGCTTACCGACGAAGACGTCGCAAAGATGGACGAGACTGAGCAGTATCTGTGGTACGGCGGGACGACGGCAGCTGAGATTCAAGCACCAGGGAGTACACGGATAGGACTCCACCACTTACGCAGAGGTATAGTAGGTCGGGGAGTACTACTAGACTATGCGGAGTGGGCGGCAAAGAAAGGGATCAAATACTCCTGCTACGGCGAGCGGCACGCTATTCCTCTCAAGGATCTTAAGCAGATTGTGGCGGACTACAACATCACCCTAAAGCCAGGAGACATTTTGTGTGTTCGCATAGGTGCTACGCAAGAGTATAGTGCAATGTGCGATGAGGAGAGGAAGGCACTATCTGAGGTACGACCAGTAGTCGGCACCGGCATCGAAGTCACGGAAGAGACGCTCGAATGGATATGGAACAATCACTTTACAGCTCTTGTAGGCGACGCAATCGCGTTTGAAGCCTACCCACATCTGGATCAGCGATTGTCGGTCCACAACGTCTGTCTGGCGGGATGGGGAATCCCGCTCGGAGAGATCTTTGATCTTGACGAGCTGTCGGAATTGTGTAAGAAGCACCAGCGGTGGTCTTTTTTCTTCAATTCTGTGCCTACCTTTGTCACCGGCGGTGTCTCATCCGCCCCCAACGCTGTAGCCATATTTTGATATCTTTCAATCTATTCTTCTTTCCTTGGTTTATTATAATTAATTAATCGAAACAGTAGAGAAAACACCGTAAACTCCGAAAATAAACCACTTTTGTATGAGCACGTCTAGAAATTTGCTTTTAAATTCTCGTAGACCAAGAATATGATTGCGCTGCTGGGAGCAGCCCGCGCAACCGTCATACCGCAACCACGGTAGAGAACCTTGATGCCACCACTTTTGTACATATTTTTAGCCACCGTCCAGAAGCCTTGTTGAGAGTCTCCAGTACCGAGTACGGAATCTGTCTGCATCCTGCTCTTGACGCTGTCGGCAGGGAATAGCGAGATGTTGTATGCGATTCCAGCGCAAGCGCCGGAGACCATGGCGATGAATTGCGAGTTGGATTGACTGTCTGCAGGTCTGCTTGCTCTTAAAAGTGAAGACATAAACTCGTATGCACCAAACCACGCAGCAGAGCCTCCGGTTTCTCGAAAGAGAGTGCCGAGTTGGCCGCGCCAGAAACCGCTGATACCGTTCTCGCGGTAGACTTGCAAGACCAGATCCATCGCGCCGGGAAGACGGTGGGCCGAGGTTGCGATGTTCCGACGCAAAAGCACTGATTGCGTTCGTTGGGCGGGGTAGGCAGCTTTAGAGGAAGAGGATGGTGGTTTGGTGTGCGAGTCGTATAGCGAGAGGTTCTGAACTTGCATTTTGCACTTGATGAGTTCTATTGGGGTAAGGATAAAAGAAGTGAATGCACCACTTGTGGCACCGCAAACAAGAAGAGCTTGCATCGGTAGTCGGTCCGAGTTTGATAATGTCGGGTAGAACAGAGATCTGAGTGCGCTTTTAGAGGCCTCGTAGCTGACAAATAGAGATGCGTTCTCAGCAGCAGCCCCGATCAACGGAGATGCGATGCCCTGGCGTTGTCATTAGTCGGCTATTTCTCAAAAGAAGAAAAAGATGGCGATGATGACATACTCGGTAGAATCCATTGATACCCTCGTTTCGCCATGTTTGCTGGAAACAATCGACCGGACCAGAGAACTGAAGCGGTTTGCCATCGGGCTGGGACTGTAGTCGCACCTTGACTGTATCGAACGGATACTCAAACAATTTTCCCGCAATTCCCGAGATCTAGAAAAAGACAGTATTCACATCAGTAAAGGCTATTGGCGCCGGGGGGCAAAATCTTGAGATCAGAGAGCGTGTGTTCTTACCGAGCCGAATGCGATTTCCTTCGCCGAGGTGAGCATTTGTTGCTGTTCCGACATTGTTCTTTTCTCTTTTTTCTAGTTGAATTCAGACATGTGGAAGAGAAGAAGGGGGTTCAGGTCGACATGGCAGGGAATAGGAGATAATCTGGATGCGAGCTGAGAAATTGGTGGATTAAATTGGTTTTTCTCGCTTTTTTTATTTTTTTTTTATTTTAATCTGCGCTTGGCTTTGGCCGGTGCGGTGCGTCTACGTGCTCTGCTGTGAAGATTGCGATAACAAATCTCTGCCAAAATAGACAGATACTGCTGTATATTTTCTTAAAAAGACATATATCGACCTTATATAAGACTCTTGATACGAACTGACTTAATTGACTGTTTCTGCCTAAACTGCTGACTGCGGACTTCTCTCCGGTCTTGCGCGATTATTAGCGTAATCCCCGATATCTCCAGCTCTTATAAGCACGACCCCTCCTCCCCCACATCCATGCCTCCCTCTCTCCTCAGCAACAATCAGCCATGTCCTTCCCCGAGTCGAATCTCACTTACAAGATCCTGAAAGCCGCTACCGAGGGCAACTACGCTGTTCCCGCGTTCAATGTCTACAACACCGACGCCCTGCTCGGCGCGATCCGTGCCGCAGAGGAACTGAATGCGCCGTGCATGGTCGAGGTCTTTCCATGGTCGCTGCATTTCCAAGGCGGAGAATTCATCAGGTTTGCTGCTGAGGCTTGTCACAACGCCAAGGTACCGATCGCGTTGCATCTCGACCATTGCTTGGAGGAAGAGGACATCAACACCGCGCTCGAGTTGCCGTTCGACTCCATCATGGTCGACGCGGGGACCTCAGATCCAGACACGAATATCGCATTTGTGGCGTCGGTTGTCGGGCGCGCTGCGGCAAAGGGCATCACGATCGAGGCGGAGATGGGCAGGATCAATGGTAGCGAAGACGGGTTGCCGCCTGTGAATATGGAGGAGCTTTACACCGACCCTGAGTACGCTGCCGAGTTCATGACGAGAACTGGTGCGCATTTCCTGGCTCCTAGTTTTGGAAACGTTCATGGTCCTTATCCCGAGGGCGGACCGCTCAAGTACTGGCAGCTCGATAGGTGAGTGCGTTTATTCTACTCTTTATAACTGCGACGATGCTGAGACAAGATGATACTAGAATCGCCAAAATCAAAGAACTCTGCCCGTCCGAGATCCCGCTGGTAATCCACGGAACGAACCCGATCGTGCAGCAACTGATCGACAAGATGATCAACCTCGGCGCTCGAAAGATCAATATGAACAGAAACTTGTATGTTTATTACCGCAAGTTCCTGGCTGAGAACTCGGAAACTCTTGAGATGACAAAGTTGCAGGAGGGCGCGGTTGAGGCGTTTAAGAAGGGGGCGATGGAGGGGTTGAGAATTACGCACTGCGATGGAAAGTACATCAAATAGTTGTATTAATCGAGTCTGTTTGCATTCCGTGGTGTAGCCAAAAAACCAAATCGAATCCTAAACAGCTGACTTACAAAATCAATCAAGTATTAGGAAGGAAAAAACACAAAACATTTTGTATACAAAAAGATAAAAAAGACAACTCCATGCAACGTACAACCTCAAAATGAATAAACAACAACTAAATGCATAAAATTACACCCACCTCGCTGTCATAACCTAGTTGTTGCAATAGACTAGACTATAATAAAAATATTTATCATCATCATCAAACCGCCAATCCATTCCCGCCTCTACACCATCTGTACAAATTAAGCAACCCCCTTCGTCGACGCTTACTATCCTCCATCTCACTCAGAACAACCTCTTCAGGCGGCGACCCGCCGTAAATGTGGTTATGCGGCACCTGCACCCGTCGTCTGCGTTCTTCCAGCGCGTCAATCATCTGCAGTGCTCCGCGCATGATTTGCCGAAAGTTGCGCTGGTACTCTGTGTTTAACGTCACGATGCAGACCTCGTGGGCGCGCACGATGGTTTCGCATGCCACGCGGACTTCCTTATCGCCTAACACATCGACGATATAGAGAAGCGTGAACGAGCCCTGGAGCATGTGAATTCCAAAGAAGAACGGGATCGTGCGCAGGTCTTGATCGACTTCGAGAATGCGCTTGATGCACTTTGCAAAATCGAGAGAGTGCTCAATCACGCTCACAAAGTCCGGGTCGAGTACCATAGTCGGCGGCAAGCTGAGCATCTCGATCGGATCCCAGTATCCAGACACAAGGATATGCAGCACATGTGCCAGACAGCGACAGTACTCCTTCCACACCGTCCGCTGCGTGAGACGGCGCATGTGCATCTGTTGCTGCTGCTGCTGCTGCTGCTGCTGGAGATTAGCCGCCGACGTCACGCTCTCTGGGCTCTTGTTGTTCATCTCGTCATCGGTCGCGCCGTCTGTCGAAAGCGTGGCTGTGCTGCCTGGAGTCGTAGCCGCGTCGTACTCGTCAATGCTTTTCACAAACTCGTCGAGCCTCGCACGCAGACACGCGCGCAGCGGCTCTGTAACCTCGCGCGTTGCCGCAAGAGTATTGTTCATCTCGAGCTGGTGCAGATCCACAACCCCTCCGAGAAGGGTCATAATAGGAAGGAAGTACCCCCACACATCTTTTCCCGTCACTTTGTGGCTCAATCCCTTTTCACGACTCGGGTCTAGAGAGGCCGGAATCAGCTCCATGTCAGAGTGCCACACTTCGTCGCGACAGGGCCGATATAACGTGCTGGACTCGTGGTCGAGCACCGATATTGGTCGGTTGTAGCACAGGCCCAGGTGTCGATCGACAAGGAACAGGAGCCACCACACCCGTCTGCGCTCTTCGCGCGCTTCTTCAGACATTGAGGATAAGGAGGACGCCGCGAGCAACTTGCTCGACAGCGAGGCGCCGTTTGATGCCGAGTTGGAGGAGGAGGAGGATGGCGATGATGATGATGGAACCTCGACGTTGAGCTTGAGCACTCGCGCCAGACCCCAGGCTGCATGCCACCAACGCAGTGATGCTCCTTTAAACTCAGAAGCAGAAGAGATGATGCCGAGGTTGATGTACGTCATGACATCATCGATCGAGCCGCTTTTGTCAGCGTGCACAAGAGGCTGAAGGTTGCCGATTGTCAGGTCGAGGAGGTGGTTGATGATATCAGTGCGGGAGGTTGGCGTCGCGGTCATGTGCGGGTGATCAGAGACGTGAGCGGCGACGTAGAGAAAGGAGTAGAGTAGCGCGCGTGAGCACTGTCTTGGTGGGCGATCGACAGCAAGAATGGAAGACTTGCGCACGAAATGACCAATACCGTAGATTGTGTTGGAGAAGTAGACCTCGAGTAAATCCGCTGCAAGGGAAGGGGTGAGAAAGTCGAGCGATCCCAAGATCGGCACGAGTACAGGGTAGACGTATCCATGATTGACCTCATCCTGGTGAGTGCGCGGTGTTCCGGGAGCAGGAGTTGCAAAGAACGCGGAGAGAGAGGCAGGGAAGGGGCTCTTGATGTTTAGCCAGCGCGGGGTCGTGCTGCCGGGAGTCTGGACGAATATCGTCGCAGTCTGGGCGGGATTACTGTCAGATATAGAAGACTGGCGTGAGCGACGGATGACGGAGTGGCCGTTTGCGGAAAAGATCTGATTGACGTCGGAGACCATGAGCTCTTCGATACCGTCGAGCATTGAAGGGGAAGCTTGCAGCTCGTTCGGGACCTGCATGCGGCGAAGGATGTACTCTGAGCCGTCACCGTTGTTACTGTTTGTGCCGCTGAACTGGGTGGTTTGTGCGTTTGAAATGATTGCAGAGTTTGGTGGGACGGAGGTGATTGTTGTTGATGCCGCGGTGGCGGAGGGCTCGCGATCGTTTCTGGAGTCTATGCTGCTGGCGGCGGAGGAGGATAGAGGCGAGACATGGGAGATGGGCTGGTAGTGATTTTGCTGATGCTGTTGCTGGTGTTGGTGTTGGTGTTGGTGTTGGTGTTGGTGTTGGTGTTGCTGCTGTTGTTGTAATTGTTGTCGCTGCTGTAGATGTAGGTGGTGATGGGAGTCAACGGGAGGAGGAAGGGAGGAGTGGGTTAGGCTCGGGGAGACGGAGAAGGAGAGTTTCCGAGTGGACGAAGCAGGAGATGCGAGTGAGACGGGAGGCTGCATAGGCGACGGAGGATGTTTTGCAAAGCCGAGCTGGGATGATGAAGCGGAGGGGGAAGTGATTGTGGTGGATGTCGAGGCCGTCGGCTTCTGAGCACCTGCCGCGGCGGCCTGCTGTTGCTGTCTCCGACCTGTGATGGTCGCGTACTTGTGGGAGCCCTTTCCTCGCTTCTTGACCTGGCGCTCGTATTCGCATGGAATGGATTGATCTAGAGGATATTAGAGCAGAGCGCAGAGAGATAAGTGAAGTGGGACATACATGAGCAGCGCTTGCACGGCTGTTTGCCGTCGCATCGAGTTCGGAGCTGGTTGCATTGGTCGCACGCCCTGGCGATGCGCTTCCGCTGGCCGGTCTGTTTCTGGTTTGACTCTGAAGAGGACAGCTGTTGTTGTTGTTGATGCTGCTGCTGCTGCTGCTGCTGCAAGTGCTGGTGAAGAGAGTCAGGGCCGGTCGCGATCGAGGCCGACGAAGGGTCGTCGGTGTTGTCGGAGGGCATGCGGGGGACGTGGTGGACGAGGGAGTCGACCGAGAAGGTCGACGGCGAGAGCTTTACCGGGTACTGAATCGTGACTGCTTGGCCCCGGAGCCCTGGAAGAGGAGGAAGAGGAGGAGGAGGAGGAGGAGAGGTTCTTCGGTCGCTGGTTGTGTCTGCGCCGGGCAGGAACCAGGAAAAACTGTGGGGAGGCCTGGAATTCACGTGACCAGCCTGGGGTTGGCTGTTGATTATGTAATTAGAGTTACGGTTGAATAGGATGAATTGCCGAATTAGGTTAGAGTTTGACGTGTCCGGGGTCGCGCTTAGAGATGATGATGGTTATGATGATGATTAAATGTAGAATAATGGACAATAAACAGAAAGAAAGCAATAAAAACATAAAAAGCGCATCTATAAACTACTGTTGCTGCTGTACAAATACAGACAGAACTACTCCTCGTCAAAGATCATGACCTTGACGCTGCCGCTCTTGGGGTTGGCGCTGGTCTCGAACGCACTGACGGCGTCCTCGAGGGCAAAGCGGTGGGTGATCATCTTCTCGATTCCCGGGAGCAGGCCGGCGTTGACGATTCTGATGGCTTTAGGCCACTGGTTCATGTAGCGGTACTGGAACTTGATCTCGATCTCGTTCACGGACAGGATCATGAACGGGATGGACTGTGTGGAGGCGCCGACGCCGATGCAGTGGCACACACCGCGGAACTGGAGCGAGTAGATGCCGGCGTGCAGAGAGGACTGGACACCGGTGCACTCGAGACAGATTCTTGGTCGGAGGCCGCCGGCGGCTTCGATGATGTGCTCTGCGGTCTCCTCGGCGGTCTCGCCCCGGCCGACGAGAACGGTTCGGAGGGAGGGAACGAGCGATTTGGCAAAGTCGAGTCGGCTCTGCTCGATGTCGGTGATGACGATGGGCTCCGCGCCGGCGGCTCTGGCGCACAGCGCAGAGACGATTCCAATAGGGCCCGCACCGCAGATGACGACGGGGTCGCCGAGCTTGAGGCCGGCGGTCTCGACGCCGAAAAGGGCGACGGAGAGGGGCTCGAGCAGGGCACCGAGCTCGTAGGGCATGTCGTTGATCTTGTGGCACCAGCGGGCGGGGTGGTTGACGTATCTGCGCAGGAAGCCGGGGACAGGCGGAGTGGACTTGAACTGCACGTCCGGGCAGCCGTTGTAGTGGCCGGAGAGGCAGACGTCGCACTTGTAGCAAGGCACACCGGGCTCGAGGGCGACGCGGTCACCGACGACGAGGTCCTTGACGTCCGAGCCGACGGAGATGACGACGCCGGCGGACTCGTGGCCGAGGATGTGCTCGTCGCGGACGACCATGGTGGGCCCAATCTGGCCGTGCTTCTGGAAGTGGATGTCCGACCCACAGATGCCGGTCGCGACTACATGGACGATGACCTCCTCGGGTGCGGGGGTGAGGGCGTCGGCCGCGGGCTCAGCGGGGGCGACGTAGAGCGCGTGGGCGGGGTTGGTATAAACACCAATGTTTGGCTTCTGAGAGATGGTCATTATGGCAGTAATAGTGAGGAAGAAGAGGAGGAGGAGGAGGAGCAGGAAGAGACGAAGAAAAGGCGAAGTGGAGGCGGGGAGCTTTAAGAAGGCAATACTGCCGGAATCAATAGGGTTTGATAATAAACTCTAATCCGAACTTAACCGCAGGCGACAACGCGTGCGCTTAGAACTGTTTGTTGTTGTTGTTGTTTGAATAATAGCAGTTGATTAATGTATTTGTATGCTATATTGTTATTACTGATATCTGCTGTTCTTATTACTTATTCTACACACTCCTCTTCTCATTCAGCCGTTTATCCGCAGAGCAGACTGCGCTCAGACTGCGCAGACTCAGCTGAGGCTAATTCGGCAGATTCAAACTCCCAACTGCACTCGGCTTAGGGCTTTCCCAAAGTAAAACCATCCCCGACGCCCTCCTCCGTCTGCTCTTCTTCTCACCACCTTGCTCAATTACTCTCGCATTCTCGCAATGACAGAAATATTCTCGCTCAAAGGCAAGACTGCTCTCATCACCGGCGCCTCTCAAGGCATCGGCCTCGCCATTGCCACCTCCTTCGCCAAAGCAGGCGCAAACATCGTCCTCGGATACAACTCCACCCCCGCGACCAAGACCGCCGAGGATCTCGCGAACGAGACCGGCGTCAAGGTCGTGCCCGCAAAGATCCCCGTCACCGACATCGAAGCCGTCGACGCAGCTTTCAAACTCGCCCTCGACACCTTCTCCACCGTCGACATCGTCGTCTCCAACGCCGGCATCACCTGGACCGCCGGCGAACTCATCGACCCCCCCACCGACAAGGAATGGCGCGAGATCATGTCCGTCAACGTCGACGGAAACTACAACGTCGCTAAGGCTGCTGGAAAGATCTTTAAGGCTCAGGGAAAAGGCAGTCTGATCTTCACTTCCTCCATCTCGGCCCTCATCGTCAACGTGCCCCAGCGCCAGGCCGCCTACAACATCTCCAAGGCCGCCGTCACCGCGCTCGCAAAGAACCTGGCCGTCGAATGGGCCTCGTTTGCCCGCGTCAACTCCGTCTCGCCCGGATACACAATCACCGAAATCACAAAGTTCGCCGACGCTGAAATGCGCAAGGAATGGGCCGCGCGCACTCCTCTCGGCCGCGAAGCCCTCCCGTCTGAACTCGTGGGGGCCTATCTCTACCTCGCCTCCGACGCCTCGACCTACACCACCGGCTCTGACATTGTTGTCGATGGTGGATATACTCTGGTCTAAACCTCTTATTGAGCTCATCTGCATATGCATAGTTGATAGTAATTAAAAGCAATTGTATATTATTACATAATCCATTAGTCATATAATTAAAGTTAGACCAGCCGAGCCGCACCTTCGCGTGAAGCACAATGAAAACAATCGCCACTTCCACGTTCACCTGTTCTTCTGTTCTCACCACTCTTCCTCTTCTTACTCAGTACTCCACAATGACAAGCAGTCCGAGGGTGTCGATTCTAGCACCCGTTGCTCTGCCGGCATCTGTCCTCTCCTACGCTCTCTCCATGGTCAACCGGTCCGGCAAATCCGCATCCTCCCCTTCATCAGCAACAGCAACACCATCTCCCTCGGTCTCCTCGCCCATCTCCAACGACACCCTCGCTCTCGTCGAACTCCCCTTTGCCGCCGACAGCAAGGCGCGCTACGCAAAGAACGGCCATAACCTCCTCTCGCTCGCTCTCTCCGAAGCCGATCCCGAACTCAGCCGGCAGCTCTACATCCACGCCCTCACATACCTCCTCCGCGCACTTCCCGACGACCTCGCCCGTGTCGAGGCTCTCGAACTCAGCCTCTCCCTCCCCGACTCCCTATCCGACTCCTCGACAACAGTTCTCCCGCCATCTGCAGACTGTCAAACCTCAAACTCAACCGACGAATCCTCCACAAAAGTCGAGGAAGCCATCGTGCATATCGTCCGCGCTCTCACCTCCTGTCTCTGCCTCTCTCTCCCGATCGTCGTCGAACTGCTCAGACGAATGGCCGATAAAGAGCGTGAGTACAAGTTTACTGAAAAGTGCTTCGCCGTCGGATCTTCGGCTATTGATAGGCTCTCCTCGAGTCCGCTCGGTGTCCGGGTTCTAAACCTCGGCATCGGCGTCATCGGCGCCGCAGGACGCGGTGTGGTTGAAGGACTTACCGTCGTGAAAGCAAAGAATCGATTCTACTAATTTTTTTATAACGTGGCATGATAATAACTTATAATAACGGGCTATTTGGGAGTGTTTTGGGTTTGTCTGGGTTTGTCTTGGGTGTCTTTTTGATATATAGATAGATTTGCTGTGATTGTTAATGTAATTGAATGTTATGAACTACACTCTGACTGTATCAACACACTAATTACCCGCCAATCTCTTCTCCGTCGCCTCCTTCAAATTGCCCTTCAACGCCTTGACCTCATCCTGCGTCGCGTTGTGCGCAACAGTGACCTGGTTGAACGGGTTCAGCTCGCTCTTGTCGAACTCCTTCTTGATCAAGTCCTTCATCTGGTTCTGCCGCAATCCCTTAAACTCCTCCTTGACCTCCGGCAGTCTTCGTTCCTCGTACGCCAACAACGCAGCCTTGTACCGTCTCTCCGGATGGCGCTCGACTCCGCCGTTCGGTCCCTTGGCAGCAACAGGTCCCGAGCCGGTACTGATCGAGAGCGCATCCAGCGCGTCGTCGATGTTACTCGCGTTCAACGTGACCGAGTCCTTCTTACTCATAAAGTCCTGATTCTTGCTGCTCTTCTTATTTGCAAGCTTCTCAGCGCCTCGACTAACCTTTGGTTTCGAAGGCAAGCTCTCCATCTCCTCCTTCAGCAGCGCTTCTCGCTCGGCTTTCTTGCGTGCGGCCTCGGCCTTCTTTGCCTCGTCCGCCTCCTTCTTTGCGTTTCCCTTCTTTGCTCCTTTGTCCCACTCTGATGCTTCGGCGGCGGCTGCTTTCGCGTCCGCGGCCGCGGCCTTTGCGTTGGCTGCATCGGCTTTGCGGGCTTGTCCAGCTGCCTAGATTGATTCGTCAGTCACCTGTGCTTCTAGATCACTTGACTGTAGAAGCTCACCTTCTTTGAGTTTTCTGTTTTCTTTCCGGCCATGATCTCGTTACAAAATATACAAAAGATATACAAAATGTAGATGATCTAGACTTGATCTTTGAGAAAAAGTCTAGAAGGGAGAAGATCGTGTGAGTTGCGTATATTCTGGGTTTCATCTCACGTGCCTATCCACTATATAACTCTGTACGTTAGCACCCACAACAAGAACAGGACTCGAACGACGTCATCCAAGCCGTCACTGATCATATTCACCATCTCCACCCCAGAATCCCCAGCGATGACCGCGATGGAATCCTCTCCCACGCGCAAGTACGTCTTGTTGATTCCTGTGCTTGAGTATTTGAGAGCAACTGCTAACACGGTTATAGAGTGGCGCTGAAGCGCATCCTCAGCCGTCCGGGTCCGTTTGTGGATGAGCTCAACCCGGAGGCATACGAGTTCCTGTCCAACATGAAGATCCTGTGGGTGTCTCTTGATGTTGTCTAATCTGAACAATGCTGATAATAGAGTGACAGGGTGATTGGCGCCGGTGGGCTTGGCTGTGAAATCCTGAAAAACCTCGCGCTATCAGGATTCACCGACATCCACGTAATCGACATGGACACAATCGACATCTCCAACCTGAACCGGCAATTCCTCTTCCGTCCGTCTGACGTCGGCAAACCAAAGGCTCTGGTCGCTGCCGAGTTTGTCATGAAGCGCGTCAAGGGCGTCACCATCACGCCTTACTACGGCAAGATCCAGGATAAGGACGAGAGTTACTACTCGCAGTTCGGGATCGTCGTCTGCGGACTTGACTCTGTCGAAGCCCGGCGGTGGATCAATGCCACGCTTGTTGACATGGTCGACGCCGAGAACCCTGAGAGTCTGAAACCGCTGATTGATGGCGGCACGGAGGGGTTCAAGGGCCAGGCGAGAGTGATCCTCCCGACTCTTACGAGCTGCTACGAGTGCTCGCTCGACATGCTCGGCACGCAACAGACTTTTCCTATCTGCACCATCGCCAACACTCCGCGACTACCAGAACATTGCATCGAGTGGGCTCTCGCGCTAGAATGGCCGAAGCGGTTCCCGGACAAGAAGATAGACAACGACAACCCCGACCACATCCAATGGCTCTTCGAGACCGCTATCGCCCGCGCCTCGGAGTTTAGCATCGACGGCGTGACGTACTCGTTAACCCAGGGCGTCGCAAAGAACATCATCCCCGCGATTGCGTCGACGAACGCGATTGTCGCGGCTAGCTGCTGCTCTGAGGCGCTCAAGATTGCTACTAGCTGCAATCCGTACCTGAATAACTACATGATGTACTCTGGAAATGACTCGGTTTACACGTATACTTTCGAGCATCAGAAGAAAGAGGACTGTCCTGTTTGCGGGGTTGTTGCTTCTGATTTCTGGATCGAGCAGGATTGGACTTTGGGGCTATTGATGGAGAAATTGACCACCACCCAGGCCGTGTAAGTCCCCTATTTTCTTTACTTCTAAGTATTCATCAGCTAACGATCCCAGACGCATCAAATCACCCTCACTGAGAACAGCGGAAAAGAACCTCTACCTGCAATCCCCACCCCAGCTCGAAGAAGCCACGCGGCCGAATCTCTCAAAACTCGTCACAGACCTCGTGAAAACTGGCGAGGAAGTCAGCGTCACTGACCCGGCGCTGCCGTTCAGTATCAAGCTCAGGATCCGGTACTGAGCCTTTGCTTAGTTGTTGCTGTTGAGAGTTGCTTTTGTGGTGGAGTAACGGGATTAAATGATTAGATTTATTTAGAAATACTAGAAATATGAGGCCGTACAAAAAAAAACAGTGCTCTACTCTGCGCTTACAGACACCCCGCTCGGAGTAATATCCATAGCGGTCTTCATTATATCCCGTCCATCAATAATTCCCGTCGTCAGAATCAGAATCTTCCTCCGCTCGCTCTCTTGTCTTGCGATAAACCGCAGCGCCGCAATCTCTGTAAACGTGATCCCGCCCAGGAAAAACACCGCGACAGTACGCTTGACCTCCTTGCGCGCGGCCTGCAGGACTTTAGTCTTGATTGATTTCTCGTCGGGTTTTTGGACTTGGTCAAATACGTCTCCTGGGATACCGCGGAGAATGTCCTCGGCCCCGCGCCAGCCTGAGCCGCCGAGGGTTGAGATCTTTGTTCCGAGCGCGCGCTTTTGAATGACGTACTGGACCAATCTGATACTCAATGGAGCGTAGCCAGAGTACACGTACGCAACGTCATCCGGAGCCTGCTCGTTCACGTCGTCGACTATGAGGCGCATGTTTTTCCTCAAACTCGAGAACTGCAGAGTCGTTGCGTTCGCGCTCGTCTTGCTTCCGCGCTGGAAGATCAGGTCTAGCTTTGTAAGCGCGTTGAGAGTGAGGATGTGCTCGTATCCGTATTGCAGGAAAATCAACCGTTTGAAATTCGCGAGTTCTTTCTCCTTCATGCCCCCGCTCGTTAAGCATTCGATTGCGAGCAGGCGAAGCACAATGTCGAGCGACACGCCGCGCACGATCAGTTCTTCGATCGTTTGGTTCAGGGTGGAGGTGTCGAGCCCTGAGGCGACCATGTTTTGCTGGACTTCGAGCGCGCGGTTGAAGAACTCGGTCTGCGTCCGGTTCATGATTTCTTCCGCGAGGTTTGTGTGTAGCCGCAGGCTTTGGTGTTCGGCTTGCAGTCCGCCGAGCTTGGAGACAAAGTCTTTGATTTGCGAAACCGTCTTGGCCTGATGACGCTCTTCGTAGTCTTCGTTCAGTTTGCGGGCAAACTTGTTCAGCGTCGTGCCTACGACTGCAAAGTTTAGATCTCGCAGCGAGGCGTAGAGTGTATCGTGTCCGTCGAGTACGACCTTGCGAGTCTTTCTCTGTTCGTTTATCGGCGTCGTCGAAACTATCGAAGGCGCGCCTCCGTTCGCTGGTAGTTTGGGATTCGACGCCGTGAACAAGGTCGACGGGACTTCAGCCTGGGAGTTTTTGATGCCAAACACTTCGTCAATCAGGCCTTCGTACGTAAGCTGTGTCATCAGCGGCGTGACCATATCCGTCTGCCGCTCGATAACAACGAGCTGGTCAAACGCCGAGGTCTCGCCCTTTGCCCACTCTGTCGCTGCCGAGTCTGCGGATGACGAGGATTGTGCTTCGGCGCGCATGCGGATCAGCTGGTCGCAGAGTTTCTTGGCTTGCGCGCCTTTGCCGATTATTCGCGGATAGATGCCGTATTGTTTCTGAAGGGCGTTGAGGGCGATTGCTGAGAAGTTTACTGTTGTTGGCAGACCGTGCTATGGGTTTGACGTCAGATACAGAACTGTCAGGGAAGAAAACAGAATATGATGCTCATACCAGGTACATGCCTTTATATCCAGCTTCGGGCAACTCGATACTTAAAAGATCCTCCTCGAGGGGAATAAACCCCAGATTCCATTCGCTGATCGTGACATCTCCCAAGACGCCTTCTTCCTCAAATACTTTTTCAATTGAAAGCATTTTCCGCGGGTACAAAAAGACGTTAAAATCAAACTCGACCTCTGATGTCTGCAGCAGTTTCTTAATCTGCGCGCTCGCTGCCTGGGCGTTTTTGATGTCGCCTCTGATCAGGTAGATTATATTGCGTTGAGCGGTATCGCGCTGCGGGCCATCGTCTAGCCAGAATATGTTGTCCACCCCGTGTTCCTATAAGTTCATTGATGTTAGATTTAGTAGACCCTTGAAGTATTAGGTAGAGTGTACCTGAAGAACCGAGAAGCGCGCGATATGGCTCAGAGGCGCAGATAATGTTCGATCGAGAATCAGCGACTTCTTCCCTCGCACCTGCAGAACATAAATGTTAAAAGCCGCACTTGTTATTAGTTCGCAGAAAGATCTGTAAGAATTCTGAACGCACCGACTCGAGCAAGGTAAGGAACGATGCGAGGGCATCGGCCTTCAGCGACTTTGGGTTGATTGTGGTCGGCAGGATTCCCGACATCTTTCGATATATATACAGACTATCTTGCTGTACAAACAAATGTCACTCTACAGCAACCACTGTATATTTCCTCTTTTCTATCGAACAGCTCGATTGGTCGAGATACTGGGATATCGATAGCTGCTGCTCATCGCGATATCAGCTGGATCCGCTGACCGGATTCATCTCTGCTTACAATCAACGGGTCTCGTGTGCTGACACAAACGCCTTACATCGTGCGGCTCGATGTTGTTAAGGTTTGCAGCTCTGTGTTTACCCTGCGCCGTTGTCCCAGCAACAACGCGCGAGCAGCAAAACACACACAGAACGCTCTCCTCGCCCGCTGCTGTCTCCACGTCTCCTTTCTCGCTGTCGAGCCCACTCCGTCTCTTCTGATTAGCAACTGCCGCCTGAAGGTGACGGTCAGAGCAACTGAACATGTCTATCGAGGGTACCGAGTCTCTTGCTTCGAAACTTGCGGATCTCAAACAGCATCCTGCATTCCAACGCGAGGGCACTCCGCTCAAATCACCAGCGCGAAGTGCACTTCGACGCACCGCCAACAGCAGCAGCAACAGCAACAAATCCAACAGTCGACGAGCACAATTCGGAGACATCACAAACACCATGAGCGCGACTGCAGCCACGCCCAACAACCACGTCAGCACGCATGCGATGCGCGAGTTCACGCCGCTGCTCAAGAGCGCAGTGCGTTCTTCTGCGCTTCGAAAGAGTGGCTCGTCAACAACCGACGGTGCGATTCCTCCGATGCCGGACTTTCACCAGCGATCGCCGGGGCTTCCTGAATCGGACTACGACGGACCTGAGTTCTCGGCGACGATGGATGAGGAGGCGTCGAGAACTAGTATTCGTGGACCGGAGCCGATTGAGGATAGTCGGTCTGATACGCCTGCGATGAGGAGGAATCATGTTACTGGTGATAATGTTATGACATTGCGCGAGCAAGAAGCTGTAGGTTTTCTTTGTTCTGTTCTATGATTTATAGTTCTTGCTGATAGAGTATCTCTAGGCCATCGACGAGATGCAGAAAGAGAACTTTGGGCTGAAGCTCAAGATTTTTTTTCTCAGCAAACAGCTCAAAGATACAACACCAGAGGGAATCCACCAGACGATTGAAGAAGTACGTTGTTTGAGCTTTATTATGAGTAGGCTGTTTACTAACAGTGTGCAGAACGCGGAGATAAAAACCGAGCAAGTGAAACTTCGGAATGAGATGGCAAAGCTGCAGAAGCAACTTGAAGAGTCACAGAGTAAAATCAAGGAGCTGACAAGCAACGTCATTGCCGATCTTTCATCACAAGAAAATCTCACAGCCGAAGAACGCGCGCGTATTGCGCAACTCGAGGAGGAAAACGAGCAGATGAATGCAAACCTGATTGACGCTCAAGATGCGTTGGATAAGCTTCAGAAAGAGATGGAGGATTTCCGACGAAACTTGGACGAGTCAGATAGCGAGCAGCGTGATTTCAAAGAGTTGAATAATATGGTGGAGCAATTAGAGGATGAAGTTGAGAGATTGAAGGAGGAGAATCGGACTTTGCAAGAGGAGGTCGATGCCAAAGACTCTGAGTTGGAGAAGAAGGATGTTGAGCTGAAAGAGGCTAATCAGCAAATTGAGCAGCTCGAGGACACTATTGAAGCCATGAAGTCAGACGGAGAGGGACTGGGATCTGATGACGACATGAAAGCCGAGATTGCCCGACTTCGTTCGCAGCTTCAAGATTCGGAAGAAAAGGTCTCAGAATATAAGCAAAAGGCTGAGAAATCGGCAAAGGACCTTCAAGAGTTACTGAGTGGTGGGGCTGAGGAGTCAGTCTCGCCCCAGAAGACTCAGAAGCTGGAGGATGAGATTCGCGAGCTGAAGACTAAAAACTCACGGCTTGAGTCTGAACTTGCTCGTGCCAAATCTGATCAGACTATCGGCAATGTGGAGAAAAAAGTCAGAGAGCTGGAGAAGAAGTCACAGAAGTCAAGCTCGGCTGAGCGGCGGATGAACGAGAGTTATGTTGATCAGGAGACGATTGCAGAGTTTCAGCAGCAGTTGAATGAAGAGGCGGAGTTGAAGGAGACTGCCAGACACCGAGCGGATGAACTTGCCAAGCAGAATAGGACGCTGACAAAGGAGATCAACGAGTTGAAGAAAGAGATCCGGCAAAAGAACTCGGAGATGAAGAAGATGACGGCTGAAGTTAGTTCAAAGTCTGCTTCAAAGAACGCTGCTGATGAAGCACAGGCTCGGCTTTCTGCAGCGCATGCCGAGCTGGAGGCGATTCAGAGCCGGCAAGACGAACTGCAGAGTGCGTATGACAAACTTGCTGAAGAGCGCGATACAGTTTTAGAAGCTCTGCAAAAGACTAAGCAAGAGTTTGTCAATTCGAAGAGTGTGTTCAAAAGAAAGATGGCCGCGGCGGCCGAGAAGCTTGCAGAGAGCAAGAAGCAGCCTGTGGAGTCGACGAGTAGCCGACAAGAGCTCGAGAGTATTCTTAAGGAGCTGCAGAGTCAACATCGGGCGGAACTGAACGCGCTGGCGCTGCAGATCCGGTATCTGAGAGCCAAAGCGGAGCGGGATCAGTGGTTCCGGAATGACTGTGCGTTTATGAAGAAGTTTTTCTTGATGCAGATTGGCAGCTTTGAGGCTTGGTATGACTACTTTTTCTTCTATTTTTTTTCTGCCTGAGATCAGATTGCTAACATTCGACTTGTGCAGTAACCAAGCTAATCTGTTTCTGCTGGAGGAGATGGGAATATATCCGGAAAAGGAATTTCGAAATAAGCGACCAACACTTAAAGCAGTTGGGACGATGTTGATTGCATCGATTCGAATGCGGAATCTTCAGAAAGAGCGATCGAACCAGCACCGGACGAAACTGATTCTCTCGCGGTCTCTGGATATGGTGCGGCAAAGGAGGGAGGAATAGGAGGAGAAGAGGAATTAGTTTGGACTTGGCTGAGGGGGTGGTAATATCTGTATTTGTATATATTTGTGAATGAGGATGGAATGTTTTGTTTTTGTTTCTGTTTTTTGCTGTTCAGTTTTATGTATTTTTATAGGCACATTGTTGTGAAGGATGTGTACGTTAGTGAGTTGAAGTAATGACCGGGTTTGATCCAAGCTATTTATTCATCATAATATACAAAACTCAAGTAGTAGTTGTGTCGTCGTTTTCCTTTTCGGTAGGTTCATCTTTGCTATTCTCAGACTCGAGGGACTTTGACTCAAAGATTTGCTGGAGATTGTACCGTTTTAACTTTTCAAAGTCACCGTCGACGACGCTTATGCCGATTATATTCTAAGACATGTTAGAAGCCAGTGGAGAAAAAGAAAGAGGAAGGAGGAAGGAACCTTGAATGCCTCGACAAGGATGAGTTTGTCGTAGTTTGTCAGGTCGACTTTATGTTGATTGCCTACAGCAGAGGCTACTATCTTGATAATCTGATCGCGGTCCAGAGTTGTGTGATTCCTAGACGTCGGACGGATTGCAAACTACGAGACAGGTTAGCAGATGAGTATCAAAACTGACGATGATTGTGGATACTTTAAGAGGTTTCTGATCCTTGGCGTGGAAATGAGGTTCGAGGACTTTCAACGCCAGCTTCTTGAGCTCGTCTTCGTTCGCAGAGGCGGTGAGGGAGACGGGGGAGAGACGGAGTGTGTAGCGGGTTGATTTGGTGCCGGAGGTAAGTGCTTCGGAGCAGATTTTGTGGACGAAGGAGACGGGGTCGACGGGTTTTTTAGTCCGAAAGAAAATGACTTGTTGTCTGAGTTAGCGAGGGAGTAGGGGAGGAGAGAAGAAGATGCAGAGGAGATGGGTACCGCATTCGCAGCCGAGATCAAGAGGCGTGAAGAGTTTGACCTTGTCTGCTTTCTTGGCTTTGAAGGAGTCGAGTTCTTTAGCTAACGAAGCTTCGATATCGTCATTGTCTTCATCGGCGTCGTCGTCGCTTGCTTCCCCCTCGGTGGTGTTGTACTGCTTCTCTGCTTCCTGTGGTATCTCAAAATCAGCTTTCTTCTTTCGCTAGAAGTTCATCGCGAATACACGACAACTCCGCGAATACAATACAACTCACGTCGTTGAAAAGCTCAATCAACTCCTGCGTACATTGCCGTTCTTTGTGACGGTTACAAGTCGCGAAGATTCCGCTCGTGCCGGGGTGGATTGTCGACGAAGCGGTTTTGTAGTACTGGTGAGTAGTGTTAGTAGGACGTCAGAACGGACTTGATGAAGAGAACGCGGAGGAAGAGCACCATTGCTTTCTTGGACTTGGAGTTGCCTCCGTCGCGGGCGTCTTTTCGTTTCTGGCCTGCCATGGTCTCAGCTGTCAGCTGTTGCTCAACTGTTGCTAACTGTTGCAGCTGCTGAGTGAATGTGGGTGAATATTTCTGATGAAAATAAAATCTGGAGGACGATGCGGCGCGGTGGAGGAGTCTTTAAACCTTCGAGTGCCCGACTTCACGAACTTGTTACCACGCAGCCAACAACCAACACAGCCCGGTGCAATGCTCGTAACCCAGCTCGGCTCATACATTGCCTGGCTGACTCTGCCACGGGTGGTTTCCTCGACTTTGCAGTCATATTACTACAAAACAGTCTACAGCAGCAATCCGGCCGATGTGCCGCGCCCCGGAACCCCAAAACATCGCAGAGATCAACGGATCTCGTACGCGCTCGTGATTGCAGCGTACTTTGCCTACTCGACGTACAAGATAATAGCAGAGGTGCTTGAGCAAGGGAATTCCTACACGGTGCTGGGGGTCCCGCTCGATGCGGACGCGAAGGCGATTACGCGCGCGTTTCGCGAGCTCAGTAGACGGGTGTATCCCGACAAGGTCGGGCCAGGAGACGATGGACGTCCGTGGATGCTGATCAATAGCGCAAAGGAAACACTGCTGGATCCGGTGAAGAGGTTTGCGTACGATCGGTTTGGAAGCGAGTCGCTGGGGTGGATGGGGGTCAAGACTCCCGGAGATTACATCTGGCAGGGACTGAGGGCGTCGATGCCGCAGTATGCGATCAGTTTGCTGGCGTTAGTGGTGTTGTCGTGGATTGGAATTCGCGAGGGGGGTTATGTATGTTCTTCTAGTTCAATTGGCTCTGCTACAGTCTAACGTTGTGTCTAGTGGAGATTCTATGCTCTGGCGGTGGAGTGCGTGATCGAGCTCTGGCTGTTAACCCACAGCGGAGCACAGGAGCGAATCTCCGCATTCTTTTCATATCCAATCACGATCCACGAGCTCTCGTCGATAACCCGCAGATTACTGATCCAAATAACAATCGCCGGCTCGCAACTCGGCCCGGTTCTGTTCCCAAGATATCCCGACCTGGCGACGCAGCTCCAGCAAGACCACGAGCTGATGACAGTCATGCTCAACAGACTCTCGACTACGGCCGCCGTGGTCGAGAAGGAGGCGACGGCTATGTTTTCGGCGCAGACGCAGCCGTTTTTGGTGCCGTCGCCGAGAGGGAGCGCGAATGCGGCAGACGAGCTGTATTTCAAAAGACAGTTGCATCAGCAGCTTGTGGAGCAGAAACTGCGAAGTCATCCTCGCGTGAGAGAAGCGGTTGGGAAAGCAGTCGAGTCTCGGACGGCGGCTATCAACCTTTCCAGATCTGCATCGTCTCAATGATCTGGGTTGCTAATCTTGCTTTGTTTATTATCATTTTGTTGCTCGATATAGCGAATATATACGGATCTCGGGGACTGCATCGTAAAAGAACCATTTAGGATGGGGGTTGGCGGGGATGACGGTAAAGGCAAAGTTCTTCTCGGCCAGATAGGTTTCGAATGCAGCGATTGTCTCCTCGTTTCGGATCGTGGCTGAAATCAAGATCTGCACGGATGGGTTCTGACGCTCGAGTTGGTCGAAAGAGGATACGAGTAGGTTGCATCCTTCGGCATCGAATGTCTACATGTAGTCAGTATTTCTGTAGAGCTCATTTGAACAAAAGAAAGACGTACGATATCGGCTCCCAAGATCAAATCCACAGGCTCGTTGTAGACATATTCCTCCTCTCTGCTTTCCTTTTCAAGAACACTTCCAGTCTCGATCCCGCTCGAATTACCCCATTTATAAACCCGCGTCTCAACGAGCTCTTCGACCTGATTACTCTCCAGAATCCCGCGCATGCGTAGAACGACCTCCTCAAAGCCGTCGGTAGCGACGGCAAGTCTGCTGCCTAGTTTTGCGCAGAGGATGCTTGCGAATCCCGTGCCCGCGCCGAGCTCGAGCACGCGTTTTGACGAGAGGTCGAGTGCGCGGTCTGGGGATGTGGAAGGTAGCAGGTGTTGGCTGATGATGTACTCTCCGAGCGCGAGGGAGGCTTCCCATGTTCTGAAGCCGGTGGTGCCGTAGCCGGAGATGAGGTTGCGGGTCTCGGTGATTGTGATTGAGGTGTCGAGGAACTTGTAGGTCACCGGGCCGGGAGGAGGGACGGGCGGTGTAGGGTGGCGGAGGAGGTTGATCATGAGCATGAAGACGTCGCCGTCGACTTCTTCCTGTGTCGCGGGCGTCAGCATCTAGTTAGTTGTGGTTGATTGCGAAGTTGTGGTGGATATCTACCCCGGCGTTCTCAATGACAGCAACCATCGCCTTGACGATCGCGACGATATACGCAGGCGCAATTCCTCTCCCCTCAGCCGGTTCCAGAACCTAACACCGTCAGCACTGTTTACCTCGTCTCATCAAAACAACAGAAAAGCACATACTCTGGAGTAAACCTCCTGCTGAACCTCGAGATCGCAAACCGCATCGTACTTGATCTCTGCTGAGGTAGCGCTACTCGGCAGCGCGAACTGGAAGCGCGAGGCAGGCACGAGTTGTAGGAACTGGCGTTCTATCAGCGAGATCGTGGCTGCATGTGTGTCGTTCATTAGAAGATGTGAAATGCAGCTGTAGAGGGGATGGTGGTGGATATGGCAGGAAATTTTGAGTTGCTAAAGTCAATTGGAGTTTTGTAGGGTTTTGGCTGCGATGTCTATTCTATTTCATGTCCTATTTCATGTCTATATCAAATTACTTTATCCAAACCAACCAAAACTAACAGAAGCATAGAAGCAATCTACAAAGGCTCTACGCTGAGCTGATTATCGTCGTTATACGCAGGCGGCACCGCATAGTTCCGCACAATCGGATGCGTAACATCATAATCCCGCCAATTATCGATCGTCAACCGTCTCACCATATCCTTTCTCGCGCTCGTCCTCAGATTCATACTTCTGCCACCAAGATTTCCCGTTCCGGAGATTGTCAGCTCCGGGTCCTGCCGCGCGTTGTTGTCGGAGTCCTTCTTGCCGTCGACGCGCCAGGAGTTGAAAGGCGGGGGGGAGAGGTCGTAGGCGTGGATCTTGCCGTTTCCCGCGTGGTCGCTGATTTCAAGGTCGACGGGCCCGTGGAGACCAGCGTAAGAGCTGTGGAGAAGGAGGCGTTGTGCGCCGCGGCGGGTGAGTGCGTAGGCCATTGTGCAGATGGGGTGGAAGGACGGGGAGATGAGTCTCTTTGACTCCATTTCGTCGCGGGTGACTTTGAAGAACTCGAGGAATTGCTTGATGCTGTTTGAGAGAGAGTCGATCGGAGGCGCGGTCGGGTCGGGGTAGGTTATGAATAGGTCGGGACGGTCCGGGTTCGCGTGGTTGTAGCATTGGCCCATGTTGATGAGGTCCCAGTCGAGGCCGTAGGGAGCAGAGTCGCGTTCGTGCGGGGTGATGACGTGGGTTCGTAACGAGTTGTTTTGCATCTGGAACGAGAAGCGTTCCATTATGTCGTGGATGTTTACGTCCCAGTCGATCTATCAGAGTTAGTCTGGAGTTGTCATTCAGTTGAGCACGGTGGAATATACGCACATCATCTTCTAACACCAGCATGGTCTCAACTTTCGAGTCCAGCATCTCGCGCCACGCGTTCGCATGGGCTCTCCAGCATCCAAGTACACTGGTCGTCATATCCTCAGGCGTAAAGTCCGGCTTTGCTTTCTCGTCAATCTTGCTGCCGTCCACGCCAGGCAGATGCCTGAGCCGGATACCGGTCCACGACGCGAGCAGATTCATTGCGTCCTGTCTGTCTGTGCGGTGGGGCATGCTGATATAGACGATCTCTCCAAACCCAAGCGTCTCGTTCTGCGCTGCTCTCGCGATCCTGGCCTTGCGCAGATACTCCTGGTAGCTGCTGTCGGTGAGCACATGGGTCAAGGTGAGGATGGACAGGCAGAGCAGAGCCGCGGCGACGCAGACGGTCTGCAGGTTGAACGCCTTGAACTTGCGGCCCACGAGCCGAGCCAGCATTGTTTTCTGCGCTCTTGTTTGCTCTACAGCAGTCTATTTTTGTCTTGGTAGAAGCGGATATCTGGAAACATGGACGAGCAGGGCGATGTGCGATAATTTTGAGTTGCCACATGCGCGTTGCGGTGAACCTCGTGCGGCCACTCAGGGCTGCTAACCTGACTGCGGTGTTTAAGACTGTTTTTACAGTTGGTTTACTATTTACTTATTGATATTGATTCTCTGTATTTGCAATCATCTGCTGTCTGATACAGGATGTGCAGTGCTGAGATCATGCCAATTATCAAACCTCGCCATCTCCAAAGCAATCTCCCGTCGGACGCTCGTTCCTATATTCAAGCTATACCCGCCCAAATTCCCCTTCCCGTGCAGCGACTGCGCCCGTCTGCTATTCAACGCATTATTGTCCGAGTCCTTCTGCCCGTCCGTACGCCAGGCATTAAACGGAGGAGGCGTCAAGTCATAACCCTTGATCTTGCCAGACTGCGCGTGCGAGATGATTTCGAGGTCGACCGGTTCGTGCAGGCCTGCGTAGGAGCTGTGGAACAGCATGCGCTGCGCACCGGAGCGGGTGAGTGCGTAGGCCATCGTGCAGGTGGGTTGCCATGAGGGACTGACAACCCTGTTTGTCTGCATATCTTCAGGCGAGAGCTTGAACTGCTGCATCATCATGCGCATGTCAACGAAAACGCTGTCCAGTGAGGATGGTAGGTACGGGTCTTTGTAGGTCGCAAAGAGGTCGAGACGGTCTGCATTGGGCTGGTTGTAGCATTGCCCGAGGTTTAGAATGTCCCAGTCCAGGCCGTATGGAGCAGACTCGGTCTCGTGATGGGGGGGAGGGGTGGTGCGGAGGGTGTTGGACTGCATGTATAGCGAGAAGAGCTCGAAGATCTCGTGGATGTTGACGTCCCAGTCGAGCTAGAAGTAGAAATATGTAAGCAGGAGGCGAGAAGTAAAGGAAACAACAGAGGGGAGAAGTACATCATCCTCGAGTACGAGTACTGTCTCGAGGTTCGTACTCAGAAAATGCCGCCAGACATTCGCATGTGCTCTCCAGCACCCCAATGCGCTGAGCGGCATGTCGTCCGGTGTATGATCCGGTCTTGCTTTCCTCTCGATCGAGGCGCCGTCCACGCCCGGGAAATGGTGTAGTATCAAGCCGGACCAGGACGCAAGTAAGGTCATTGCATCTTGGCGGTCGGTGCGAGACGGCATGCTGATGTAGATTATATCGCCAAAGCCGAGGGTTTCGTTGAAAGCTGCCTTTGCGAGGCGAGAGCGCGTGCGGGCGGAGGAGGAGAAGTAGGAGGAGAAGAAGAAGGTGGAGAAGAAGGTGAATGTTACAAGGAACGCGAGAAGAGAGAGGATGGGCTTTGCAGGGCGCCGGGGTCTACGGCGTCTGTATCTGTCTGCCGTCATAGTATTTGGTTGATCTGAGGACAGAACAGAAGAGGACGACGAGGAGGATCATGATTGCTGCCTCCTCTGAGCAGCGACTGCTTACTACACGATTATTGGCAGAGAAAAGAAATCAATACGCGATTCAGTTCTTTTACGGGAAATCCAAATCCAGATACGCCAAGGAGCGTTGGGGTCGATTGAGATGCGGAGACCCACAAGCTGTTGATGCCAGAAGATGCGACCATGAGCTGAATGCATTTGTATTGATGCATTTGTATCCATACTGCTTTATCCAAGAACACAGTACATATACCAAAATAACAGCAACAACGAATACAATGAAGAGACACAACGAGCGCAGATCTGATAAAGGAATGAAACACGAGGCGGAAGCGGTGTTCCAACAGCCTGGTCTGTTGTGTACGGCTGTTACGAGAGTCTTTCTGCTGCCTGCCTGTTATGGTCGGTATACAGCTAGTATTGTCAGAAATACACCTGCTATTCAGCAGAATACCACCCTCCATATCATAAGTAATAAACAACAGCAAAAGACGCAAAGACAAGACGCAGTTCCGAGCATCAAATCCGAGCTGGAGAACAATGAAAGGTTAAATTATCATTACTAATCAATGACTAATATGAACCGAAAGCGGGCAACTGGCTGCTCTGCTCGGCTCTGGGACGGAAGGTCGACCGATCTGTTCATCTTCCTCTTTCTAGTTTCTTGACTACTACTGAACAACAGGATACTCACAGCAGCAAATTATGAGGATCAGAAAGAGCTTTTTGGCGGGTACGTTTTTTGTGTCGATTTGCCGATTGAGGGCGAACGGAGTGGGGTGGAGTAGGGGGGGAGTAGATTCACGATGATCCATGATCTGTCGACAGATATATGCTAACTACTTCGATTCTTCGTCTATGTGTTGTTACAGTGTTCATTGTGCTTGCATTGATCACTCTGTATCTCGGATTTGCGCCGATCCAGTTCGAGCACGACAAAGTCCTGCATTTCACCTTCTTCTTTCTCCTCACCGTACGTTCACATGCCGAACTACCCCCGGGACACCAACCGACTGACACTGCGTACTGCAAACCAACAGACATCGTTTTATTGGGTTGTCGACACAACACGGCGAAGGCTCGTCAACGCCACTTTTCTCGTCTGCGTCGTCCTCGGTGGTGTGGGATCCGAGCTCGTTCAGGCTGCTATCGTCAAGGTCTCCTCATCTCGCATTTGTGCTGTGTTTTGTGAGCTGTGCTGACTTTAGTTTAGTATCGGGTATTTGACTGGTATGATATTTTGGTATGTACTTGTCGCAGTGATCTCCTCAATGGCATAATGTGTACAAAGTGCATTACTGACAGCATCCAGGCCAACGTCCTCGGTTCATCGCTCGCCCTTCTAATCTCCACATTCTACCACAAACGTAACTCCTTCTTCCATTCGCACTTTCTTAACTGCAAAGCTAACACTTCCTAGGCCTCCTGGAACGAAAGCGGGCTCAGAAATACGCGCAGCTGCACTCAACCGATCCGGCTGATCTCGAAGCCGGCGTCACAGACTCGATCGCCATGGAGAACCTGATGCCAGAGATGCCGGCCGAGGGTGCTGTCGATGCAGAGGTTGAGGGTCATACCGCGGCTGGTGGAAAGCCTTAGTTTGTGTGAGAAAATGTGAATAAGTATAGTGATATAAGTTTGTTTTTGTGTGTATGATTTAATAGCGGGACAGTGTAGGGATACGAGAAATAAACAAGACTGGTTTGGTTTATTATAACAAAATTCAATAGGAACTACTTTGGTTTATTATAACTATATTGTCATTACTATAGTAAACTAAAAAGCTGCGATACGAAAGCGGGCCGGCCTCTTTTTAACCACAAACACAAACACAACAACGTCCTTTTTCATAATTACTCTGGACTAAATCATATGATCGTTTCATGATGCTGCCAAATCCCAATCCCAATAATAGGAACAAGTCGAAACTAAAAAGAGAAAAAGAGAAAAAAGTGAGAGAACCTTGTGGGGATGTATTGTATATCTACCCACAAGGTCGATTCGCCGTACTCATCAGCGCCCATTCGCCACCACACCGCCAAGCAGAGCTATTTGCGACTAATGACGGCTCTTGTGCCTGCTCAGATCAGGTTGCTGGAAAACAGGCCGCTGCATCGACGGGTCCGCAGACGGGATCGGGGCGAGCGACCGGCGGCGTTCGCGGGGTACGTTTGAGACCGACGAGGTGGTCGACATCCGTCGCTTGTCTGAGAATGAGGGCGACCCTGTCGAGCGCGAAGAGGAGGTTGAAAGGCAGTTTCCCATGGCTGTTGCTAACTGTAGATAGTAGATACTGAGGAAGTACTCGAGATAAGATAGAGGCCAGGTCTTTATAGGCAGATCATCTCGCTGACGTCACTGTCAGCTGAGGCTGTGCATAACCTCAGCTCGCTTATTTTCACATCACGTGATTCGCTGAGCCCCACACTCGCCCTCGCCTGATCTCTCGAGAACTACCAGAAAGAGAAACATTACCGCAGCTTGACGTCGATTGTGACCTCGTCCTCGAGCTCGGTGTCTTTCACGAGCTCGGCGGGGTCGAGGTCGTCGTCGTCGAGCGAGAGCACGACGGTCTTGCCTGCCGCGAGCTCGGGGCGGCGGGATCTGTAGTATTTCACAATGTCGGCCACCGACGACTCGCCCCGGACTCGGACGACAATGCGCTCACCTTTGCCGTCTTGTAGAAAGATCTTGAACTTACCCTCGTCTTCCGTCTCCGCCTCCGTCTCTGGCCTGGCGTCTGTCTCGCTGGCTGCGACGCTTGTCTGGCGTTGTTTTGCTGAGAGGACAGGGACAGCATCATCATCCTCGTCATCGGCCAATAGCTCCTGCTCGAGTTGCATCTGGTGCTGCACCTGCAGATTCTTAATCTCCTCCTCAAGCGCAATCGCAAGTCCCAGCTGTGGATCATCCTCCGTCACCCCCAAATCCTCCGCCGTAGATGAGTCATACACAACCATGAACGTCGCCCTATTCAGCATCCGCACCCGATTCTCATCCACCCCGCATCTCCTCGCCCACGCTATCCGTGCCCGTCGCAGCGGCACCCCCGATTTCAGCGTAAAGTTCAGCGACATCGCGCCTACGACGTCTCCGGTGCTGGTGTAGGCCTCAAACGCCCGCCGCGTGTTGTCGGTCGTCGCGACGCTGATTAGCACGTTGAACCCGCTGTGTTTGTTGCGCTGCGTTCCTGCTTCTGACGCTTTCGCGGCCGCGATCTGACGCGCTCGTTCGCGTGCTCGCGCGGCAATCTCTGGGAGCAGGTCCTTGACCGTTCCGTCGGGGTTGTTGGTCGTGGTGTTGCCGCCATCCTCCTCGTCGGATGAGAAGACGACCGGATTCGGACTTAGCACTCGCGGTACTGTGGTAGTTTCTGTAGTTGTTGTTGTTGATCTTGTATGGTGAGCCGGGAGAGATACATAGTCGTCGACCTCGTAGCCCATCGCATGCCTCATCGTCTCGATCTGACCCCGCGTGAGTCCCGGCGGCGGCGACAGCTTCGGTCCTTCCTTCTTCCTCCGTAGTTTCGCTGCTGCCTTCTTCGCAGGCGACACCGGCTGCGGAGTAGAAATCTCCTCGAGCACAAGCACGTCCGACGAGTCTGAAACCTCGCCGGCCGCACTATGATACTCTGACCTCGGCGTCGACGATCTCCTCTGCTTGATCCCGCCTATATCATCGCCTGTCAAACTACTCTTTTTCCCCATCTTCTCCTCCTTCTTCCTCTTCTTCTCCTGCAGATGAAGCTTCTTGCGCCGTTTCTCCCGCTTCTCTTCCTCCCGCTTCTGCTTCAGAAGTAACATCCGCTGCTTTGTGTCATTGCTGCGATTAAAAAACGTGTCTGGATCTAAATCAATCTCCTTCCGCACCCGCTTCACTCTTGTTTTCGCTGTGGTCGTAGATGATGATGATGTACTCAGATGCTGTTCGCTGTGGGCTTCTTTGATTGATGATGTCTCCCCGTCCACACTCCTTCCTCCCTCATAGCTGATTCCGTCGTTGTCCATCATCGTAGAATATCCTGGCCCTGCATATTCTTCATATCCTCATATCTCAAATCTTCATATCCTTCGCGCGTCGTCAATTCCATCAAACACCCAAACGCACGATCTCGAGCTTCTTTGTTTGTTCCGATAGCAGACAAGCTACAACTGTGGCGCTGATTACATAACAATAGTGGCGGTGTATCATCAGCCACTGACCTCGATCTTCAATCAATCGTGAACTTCTCGGATTGAAATCTATCGCTATCAACACAAGTAAAACTAAATACAAACACAAACCCACATTTCTCACTCAACCAACTCAGCTACACTACACTACACTACACTACACCAACCCGGTCGATATCCGCTCAAACGCAGCCTGCAGCAGATGCAGCACGTCGCTATCCGCCTTGCTCGCCACAATACTCTTCGACAGCAACGGCAGCAGCCGCATCAGCGGTCTATAATTCGCATCCTTTCCTTCCCCCTCTTCTTCCTTCTCTTTCGTATCCTCCTCCGTCATGGTTGTGTCGTCACCGCGCCGCGTGGTCAGCTCGAGCAGACGCGAGAGAATGTAGACTAATTCCTTCTGCTGTAACCGCGGCGCAGGTATCGTTCCCCGCAGCGGTTGATCTGCCGCGAATCTGTGCAGCACGAGCGCGCACCGCAGCAGCAAGTACGGAATCGCCGCCTCGGCAAGTCTCCTGCGCTCAGGCGAGTCCGTGGTCTCCACCCGCGACAGCGTAAACAAGCTCTCGAAGCACACATAGCTCATGCTCTGCCGGCCCAGCACTTCCAACGCCTCTGTACTTCCCAGCAACGGCTCCTTCAACACGTCCGCAAGCCGCTCGTTGACGTTCTTCCCGCGCTCGTCGTGCATCCCGTACAACATGTACAAAAACGAGCAGTCGTAAAGCGTGCCGATGTACTCCGTCACCAACTCATCCGGCACCTGCTTATCCCCGAGCGCCGGCACAATCACCTTCTCGAGCTGCTTAAACGCAGAAATATCAAACTGCTCGTCCTCCTTCACCGACGCGCCCATGATCGGCCCGTTCGACTTGACGATCCCGCCTGCGCCGCTCACAATCTGGCGCCAGATCTCGACTTTTTGAGATTCCTCCACCACGTCGGCTGCACCGCCTTCGATTATCGATACAGTGCGCTCGGCAATCGAGATGAATGTGCGCGTCGAGAGCATCCAGAGTGTCAAGTGGTGGTCTCCTTCTTCCGGACCTGCGTATGCGGGGCAATTGTATTTCTCGTGAATCGGAATACTCAGCGTCTTCACCACATGTTAGCCATTCTTTTTCCAAATAGTAGTCAATAAAGAAACAGGAACTCACCTTCAATGCAAACGCCACAGATCCGTCCCGAAACACCTGCAAGTCATCCACATTCCTATTAAACACGTCGAGCACGTACTCAAAGCACTTGACCGCCACAGCGATAAACGCCGGCTTCTTGGCGCTCTTACTCCTGCCTTCCGGAATCGCTTTCAAAACATCCCTCCGGAACGCAAGACTAGAGAACTCGGCGTATGTTTTCAGAACAAGCGATGCCGTGCCGGCAACACCTGCTGAAGCAGCGCCCGCATCAACCGCGCCCGCGCCGCCGTTGCTAACCGCGGCTTTACCATCGTCAATCAACTTGACGACATCGATAATCGCCATCTGCAACGGCGTCAGATACTCCACGTCCGAGAAATACGGCGGCAGTTCCGGAAACAGCAAGCAGCTGCGCATGATCCGCAGCGTCGTCGTGATCTTTGCCAGATCCATACTCGCGAGCGCAAACAGCGGCCGATACGAGCCCACGTAGGCCGCAATCGACTCCTGCGTCATCACGCCCGAGTTTTTACTCTCGGCCTCGGCTATCACCGCTTCGCGACCGGCCCAGAACGACCAGGTTTCTTCCACAGATTTGTCCGAGAGCTCGAATTTGTTTTCCTCGATCGTCGTCAGAATCTCGCTCAGAGTCTTGAACACAGACACCGTCACCTCCGGACGGCGCAGAGCGACTAAGCCCTGGAAATACTTGAGCAGCGAGCGCCAGAGGGCTTCGAAATCAGGTTGTCGCAGGAACGCATAGAGGAAAGTCGAGTATAGCCGGCTCATACCGGACAAAATTAGCGACAACGTTTCCGACCATTGCTTCTGCTCGACCTCGTGCGCTCGCATCACCGCCTTGTCGGCCGTGTACGCGGGAGAAATCACCGGCGGCGGACGCACCTCCATAACTGTATAAATCACGATCCACAGGCACGCGCTCCACGAGTTCACGCCGAGAAGATGCCCGTAGCTATCAAAGATGCGGAACAAGATCTGGATCGCGCCGTTGCGTACCTCCGATCGAGGGTCCGAGCAGATGACGGTAAGCCGCAGTAGCAAAATCAGCCACAGCGAACTCGTCGAGTCCTGCAGGTTCCCGCTCTTTGCCATCCTCAGCAGATCTTCGCGCGACTTCAAGGGCTCGCTCAAATCAGAGTTTAGGCCGCTGTCGGTCAGCTTCGTGCGCAGGAAATCAGAAACGGTCCAGAAGAAGGTGATTGTCGTGAACGAGATATTCAAGTCTTCTGGTTGATGGCAAAAGTAGTATAGCAAATCAATCAGCTCGATAAAACACTCCTGCGGCACGGACGCCAGGAAGTCGTTGCAAATTAACTGCAGCGAACCAAACGCCGCTTTCACCAGCTTTGTGATCTTTTCACTCTCAGCTTTGGTGTAACTCGACGCCGTAGTCGTTGCCGTCGTCGACGTCTGCGAGCCATGCCGCTCGGCAGCAGGGATCTCAACCCCCTCGCGCACGCGCGTGGTCGGGAGAAGCTTGCCCTGGTGGTGCATGACGAAAAAGCTCGTGATTACGCTAAACACAATCTGCCAGCCATTCGAAAGCGAGCTACCAGTCCGGTCGAGGATATCATGCAGCGTATTCAACGTCGTGCACTGGATCTCCGCCTCCGCCATCTTCGTCGTCAGCTCCATGTCGCTCGCCGGCCGGCCTTGGCGGATGCAGGAGTACATTTGCTCTTCGAGCGCGACCAGGCATCGGTTCTGAACTAGACTTAGGCCTCCTTCGTCTTCCTGGCTGTTGTCTCCGCTGGCTTCCACAATCGCAGAGAAAATCGTCGTGTTGAGAACCTCGGCGGCGCGCATGCGGATCGAGGGCGCTAGATTGCGACACGAGAGGACTTCAATGAAGTACTCCACGTAGGCGTCCCAGCCACTCGCCTCGGGGGGCGAAAAAACAAGGCGGTTGATGTTCATCTCTGCAATCTCGCCGAGCTTGATCAGCGCAAACAGCGGGTCGCCGTACGTCGGCTTGATATAAGGCAGGCCGCTCGGTGCACGCTTCGGCGTCGATGGGGTAGAAGCTGACGTACTATCAGACGACTCCTGTGACTGCTGCTGTGATGGATGGCGTGGGAGATTAATTGTGCTCGCAGAGACCTTGCAGAGCGCATTGATGAGATCGACGAACGCGTCGTCGGGGAAATCGCGAGTACAGTCGAGCAACTTGCGAATCGCGTTATCCACCGCGCCGGTTTCGTTCGCCAGACCGGCCGGTGGTGGGGAGTCGTTTGCGTGTCCGCCAGCTGCAGCACCACCAGCTGCGGTAGCAGGCGACGACCCGCCGTTTGAAGACGCCAGAGAGAGGTCTCGGGTCGATGAGCGCGGCGGCTGCGAGTATCGGTACCCGGCAGAGTACAGAATCATGTCTGCCTGCTGGAGAGTCTCGATGATGATTGTCCAGCTAGACTTTAGCGTCGGTCCCAGAGCGATTGCAAGATTGAGCAGGGCACGTAGGCAGAGCAGATTTCGCACGTGCAGAGTACCGTAGAGAGTCTCTGCGCTCGCAGTCTCTGCGTTTCCGCCAATACCCGCGCCACTGCCGCCAACACCACCACTTCCCGCGCCGCCAGCACCACTGCTACCGCTGCCTGCACCACCTAGCGCCTCCATGCTAAGGCCGTTGAAGAGACCGCCGCTATTATGTCGCTCGGCGGACGGCGACGAGACAGCAGATTGGTTGCCGGTGAAGATATGCGACGGCACAGCGACCTTTCCCAGCGTGGTCAGGAACGCGTCGCGTGGGGTGACGAGCTGGAGTAAGCCTGCGCTCTGCGTGAACTTCTGGAACGAGCGCACGAGGTTATGGTAGAGATCCGAGTCGAGCTTGGCGTAGAGGAAGGTAGAGTAAGCGGCCAGCAAAGGCGGCCAGCAGTCTTTGACGATCTTTGAGGTGACGACGATTTCGGGGTAGAGGTTGTGGTCTTCGAGCGTGAGCGGGTTGATTGGTGCGCCGCGGTATCTGATTGCCCGCTTTTTCTTCTGCGTCTCGTCTTGCGCGGGAGCGGGTGCTCCTCCTGCTGGTGCTGCAACTCCGGAACCGGATGTCACGCGCTGGGACTTTTTCTTGGTCATCGAGTTTGCGTCGGACAACGAGAGCGGGAGCAGGAAGCGCGTCATGCCTTCGGCGAAGGAGTTTACGCAGTTGAGCGCGAGGAAATAGAGGTAGGTGTCGGGTAAGGTTGGCGGGTCGTTCTTGTCGAGCTGGTCGATGCAGAGCACGCGCACGGACGAAGTCTGCGTGCTGAGACCGACGACTTCGGTGGAGCCGGAGACGCCAAAGAGGCCCGCGACAGACGACTCGCTGGGCGCACCGACGTAGGAGTCCTTGCCGGGCTGGAGGAACGAAGACGAAAGACGACGCAGGCCGATAGCGGCGGGCTTTTCACACGAGAGCTTGTTGATTGCGGTGACGAGGCGGTGAAGTACGGGCTGGCGACCTTCCTGGGAGTCGTACTCGGAGTAGAATCTGCGAACGAGGGCGTATTCGGCAAAGACGCCTTGGAAGACCTCCATGACGAGCACGCGTTTCCAGTACGACCCGATATCGGGATCGAGGGTGTGGATGAGAAGCGTGAGAGCGACCTCGCATTCGACGGGCACGATGGGCAGATGACGACGGAGGATGAGGTACAAGACGCGGATGACGCGGACGATGATGGGGAACTCGCGGCGCTCGGAGAGAGATCTGAGGATGTATGGGAAGACGTAGGTGCGGAGGATGTAGGTTTGCTCTGGATGATTGTTGAAGATTGTGGCGTGGTTTGAGATTATACTCTCGATGAGCTCGAGGCCAAAGGTCTCTGATATCTGGTGCGCTTTGACGAATTTGGGCTTGTTGCCTTCGGTGAGAAAGCAGATGTCTTGAAACACTCTGAATGCATCGTACGCGGCAGGTCGGATCTTGACTATTGACTTTCCGTCATCGATCGGGACTTCGAATTCGGGTTCGATGTCGGCGGCGCGGGCTGAGATGTTAGCGTATGAAGAGTTAAGAGAGGTGTGGTCTGATACATACAGTCCTCGGTGATGATTTCGTCAAATACGGCAACACACATCTGCTGAAGGGCTATAAGTAATTTGTTAGCCATGCGTTAGATCCACAACTGAATAAGAGGAAGCGACATACTGGCAGCAGCGGTGTTGACGACGACCTGGATTTTACTATTCTGCATCGTGGAGCACAGCTCGATTGCGCGCGCAAGTAGATCACCTCTGATAAACACGCCATATTTTTCAATCAAAGGCGGTAGGGTCTGCAGGATCTTGAGCTGGACTTCGACGCCGAGATGTTGCGCGTCTTGGAAAGCAGCGAGGATGGCGCCGAGGTTGTCCTAGGAGGTGATGTTAGAGGGGATGATTCAGATGGGGTGGGCAGGAGAGGGGGGAGGAGATACTTTGTTGAGACTGCTGGTCGCGATGAGACGCTGGATGCTCTGGATTGCGATTGAGGAGTATTTCACGTTTTTGGCAGCGCATGCGAGCAGGAACGGGCTGACGAAGGAGGGCGAGCTGGCGAGGTCTGAGGATAGTTAGTAGGAGTTTGAGAGGCAGGGTATGTAGTTGAGCAGAAAGAGAAGACGCACGATCAAGGATCTCAGCCTCGTGTTTGCCTGAAGACGAAAGCCCTTTGATTTCAGAGATTGAAGCCTCGCATGCCTGTTTGGAGCGATAAGGGTCAGCGATTAGCAGAGGTTGATAGCAGAAGACAAGGAAGAAGCGGACGCACCTGACGCAGCTCAGTCTGTCTGCGCTTTGTCTCTGAGAGCAGACTGGTGAGATCCGAGGTCAGCAAGGCGATGGAGCCCATTGCTTGTTAATGTAGTCGGAGGTGGTGAGGATCTCGAGATATTGACTTGGTTAAGAGCAGCGAGGGGTCTGATTCTACCGCGACGACGACTATTAAACAGCAGCGGTCAATCAGACAGACATAATTGCTGCCAAACAGCCAAAATAACAATAAATTCTCTTGTTTCTGGTTCTTCCCGCTGATCTGCTCGAGTCCGCTGGTTTCCTGATATCCGCGACCGCAGCTGGTTGCGGCTTCCTGGCCGGCCCCGGGTCGCGGTCACATGTTTGCGCAGTTGCAGCCGCAACCCTGAAAGTCATGTGACTCATTCGACTCCCATTCGGCTCTACACGCTTCCTCGTCTCCCGCGGTGTGCACAGCGTGAAAGCAGCAGCAAACGATGGCAAAGATGTGAGTGTTTACTGTGTGTGTGTGTGTGGGAGTGGCTGCTGACAAACTGACGGTGCTGTAGACCGCGCAACTTCCGTCTTCTGGAGGAGCTCGAGAAGGGCGAAAAGGGCCTCAGTGCCGAGGCCTGCTCTTACGGCCTCTTGGATGGCGAGGACATCACAATGTCGGACTGGACCGGCACCATTATCGGACCTCCTCATGTGTGTATTTGATTTGTTTGTGCTGTGTGTTGCCTCTGTTTCTGACTGCGTTGATCTAGACCGTGCATGCGAACCGCATCTACTCGTTAAAACTAAACTGCGGCCCCAACTACCCCGATATCCCGCCCACCGTCCAGTTCATCACAAAGATCAATCTGCCCTGTGTCAGTTCGGCGGATGGCAAGGTGAGTCAACTTCTTTGTTTATAGATTATGTGTAGATCCGACGAAAGACTGACTTTAGCTTACCTCCCCAGGTCGACAAATCAAAGCTCGCGTGCCTAGACAAGTGGAAGCGCGATTACAATATGGAGACCGTTCTTCTCGAGCTGCGAAGGTATCCCTCCTCTTTTCTACTTCTACTCTTTGCTTTATTCATAAGATGCTAACAACAACCTAGGGAAATGGCATCGGGCGCAAACCGCAAACTACCCCAGCCCCCGGAAAACACAACCTATGAATAATTGCGCATTCTTATATCATTGATCTGCCCTCCTAATTTCTTCTTTTACTCTATCTGCAGTATAGATCTTAATGACATGAATTGATCTCTTTTTCCAAACTATCGTCCGTATACATAACGCCCATAAATCTCAAATAATCAAAATGACTTCAAATCACCTCTTTCCCTTCTTTTTACGACTCTTCCCCTCCGCAACACTAACTGTACCCTGCTGCACCTCCTCCCCCATCTCCTGCAGCTTTGTCTGTGCATCAAGATACAGCATCACATCTCTAAGCTGCTCCCTCAGCTCCGCAATCTCCTTCTCCTTCTCCTCGCGCTCGCGCGTCAGAAACTCAAGCTTCTTCACCATACTCTCGTTCATACTCTTCTCCTCCTTCCACTCCTTCTCGAGCTTCTTCGACACCGCTTGCAGCGCCTCCGCTTTCCGCTTCATCTTTTCGTACTCCTGCTCCGCGGTTTTCAAATTCTCGTTCTCATGACTGGCTTCCACCAGTCGTGCATGCGCCTCGGCGGCTTCGCGCTCGGCCGCTTCGGCTTTGGCCAGCGCTGCAGACGCTTTGTCGGCTGCAGCAGCAATCTTCTCTTCGAAATACGTCCGCTGAGATTCGAGTTGTGAAGTGAGCAGATACGTGTACTCCATGCCTATACTATCCAGCTTCTCGCGCGGCACGTACTCGTCATCCAACATCGATCCTCGCCTGCCGCCTTGACTGCTGCTGTTGTTGCTGTTGTATTCCTGTGAAGATCCAGACGGCAGCTCTACCAGCTTTCCATCCGCCTGATTTTGCACCAACCTATGCACATACTGATCGGCTGCGTAGTCCCACACGCGCTGACTCTCGATATCCATAGCATAGACATGCCCGCTCTCCATGTAATGCTGGAACGCATGCGCCTCGTCGTACCGTCCGCAGCCGATACTCCCGCAGATCAGACAGATCCAGAGATTTTCCGACGCACCGCAACTCCGGCACTTGTTTGTCGTGCTCACGCTTAACTGCTGACTGTCCTTTTTCTGCGAGTACCGACACACGGGACAGCTGTTGTCGCCCCACTTCGACAGGCATTGGCAGTGGAACGTGTGCTGGCAGATGATTGTCAGTAGGCCTGTCACCGACGAGTCCATGCGTTCCAGACACACGGGGCAGGTCGGGAGTTCGCGCAGACTGCGCGTGGGCGGCGGCGTAGGTTTCGTCATCACCATCGACGCCGTGCGTTTCTTCTTGTCCGGAGCAGGAGCTGAGGAGGATGAAGTCGAGGTTGAGGATAGATCGGCGAGAGGTGTAAAGTCATCGTCGAGGAGGTAGGGGAATTCGGGGAACGTGCTGCGATGGAAGCGGATCGAGTGGATGTAGACGACATGGCAGGTCTCTGGTTCCATCACATTGAACGGCTTGCGATTATAGCCCGTGTAGAACGCATCAGCAGAGGCCTGTTCTCTGAACTTCATGAGCACAAGATATCTGTTTGGCGCCGCCGAGCGCACCATGCGAAAGTGCGACACAGCCTCGCGGGCTTCTTTGCCCACGAACCCCAGCAGATCGGAGGCGGTCATGTATCCCGGCACGGCAAGGATCGCAAGCACTTTACTGCCTGACTCGGATGACTCGCCCGTAGTCACCGAGGTTGACGCAGTAGCAGAGGAAGAGGAAGCAGGTGAGGACGAAGACGGGTCGGCGACAGAGTTGGTGGCAGCAGAGTCGAGGTCCTCGCCTTCGCGGTAGAGATGGATCACGCCGGACCCCAGGATTCGAGCGTGCGGGGCCTGCATTTTCGAGTTTGGATCGTAGTCGATTGGCGTGATGTGGATATCGTCCAGACGTTTGTCTACTGTTTCAATGAACTCCTCTTTTAGTTGCTGTGTCTTGTCGTCGGCGGGCGGTGGTGAAGATGAAGAAGACGAAGGTGAGGAAGAGGCGAAGATGTCGTTGGCTGCGATGACGCTGCTGATCCACTCGTCCTGCGCGGTGCCGTCGCCTGGGCTCTGTAGAAGATCAAAGATGAGGTGGAATCTGAACCTCATAAAAGCTGCTGCTGTCTGTTGATAGTAGCATTAAACAACAAAGATACAAATACAATAAGAAGCACTGTTCTCTCTATGACTTCACTGCACAAACGCGAAACCGCGCGCGCATAAACTTCGCTCCTCCACCGCCTTCCCATCTTCACGCGTCCCTCCTTGCTCTTTGATAGCCCAACAACCAAATGTACTCCTCCACGCTAAATCACCAATCAATCAGCAGTAAACTCGCAAGTCGGCGACGGAACCTGTCGCCTGGACCCGCTGCTGCTGCTGGTGCTGCTAATGCTGCTGCTGCGAACGCTGCTGCTGCTGGTAATCCAGGCGCGCCGGCTGCGGGTGGTTTGAATGCGACTGGTGCGCGCGCGGGTGCTCAGGCGAGAAGAAGGGAGTTGACTGAGGAGCAGCGACATGAGATTGAAGAGGCGGTATGTCTTGTTTTTTTTTTCTGTCTATTATGTTTTCTGTATTCTGTATTCTAACTGATCTCGCAGTTCCGGATATTCGACATGGACGGTGACGGCAAGATTGATTATCACGAATTAAAGGTATCTCTATTCTTCAACAAACTACTATATGTCTATATATCTTTCTATAATTACTAATCAGTTTTTAGGTCGCGATGAGAGCCCTCGGCTTTGAAGCAAAGAAATCAGAAGTCGCAGACATCCTCCGCGACAACGAACGTGGCTCCCCAGGCTTCATAACCTTCGACTCCTTCTTCCGCGTCAGTACGTCTTCCTCCCCTTCTTCTACCTTCTTTCTCATCTCACAACTAAACAATACAAGTGTCGGAAAAAATCTCCCTCCGCGACCCCCTCGACGAAATCCGCCGCGCATTCGCACTCTTCGACGAAGACCAAACCGGCAAAATCTCCCTCCGCAACCTGCGCAAGATCGCAAAGGAGCTCAACGAGAATTTAGAAGAGGAAGAGCTCGAGGCTATGATTAATGAGTTTGATCTCGATGGTGATGGCGAGATAAGTTTGGATGAGTTTATCGCTATTTGTTCTGATAAGTAATTGCTTCTTCTCATTGATTTTCAGCAGTTGGTGTATATTAGTATTAGTTGTCTTTGTCTTGTTGATTTACGGTCCGGTGTATCTTATTGTTATCTTCTAATTCACTTCTACTCTCTATCATCTCTCTATTTGGTTTTCATCAACTTTTCATTATCACCAATCCATAATAAAAATCAGTCATATGATAAAGAACTTCTAGTTTCTCCCTTTATTGTAATAATTTCAATACATAAAGAACAAAACTATAACCCCTCTACACCTTGTATAAATATCCTCAAACAAATCTTATTCATCTTCTCAAAAGCACATAATGCATTTACTGGGCAGGCTCCTCAAGGACAGCCTTGAACGAGAACGGAGTGAACGCAATACCGTCACCAATGAAATGCTTCGACATAGCCTCGACCCAGTGGAGACGGAGCGAGTGAAGCATAGCAGAGGTACCCTCCATAACAACAAGCACAGCAATCGTCAACGCGAACCAAGCCGCAAACAAGATGAACGACATAATAACTCCAAGGCCACCCTCCATCTTGAACGCGCGCTCAAGAGTCATCGACCACAACACAGTCGAAAGCTGGGCGTGCGCAAGCGACAAAGCCCACAGACGCAGGTAAGAAGCAGTGTGCGAAACGCAGTTAAGGCAGAACTCAATGGTGTGGATAACCTGGTGGATCATCACATCGCCAAACTCAAACTCGTGCTCCTCGTGCATCTCCTCCATAACAACAGGGGTCGACGACTCAGCCTCCTCGTCAAACGAAAGGCGGGTGACCTCCTGCTGCGAAAGGTTCTCGTATCCAGAACGCGTCTTGCGGTTGTTGTCCCAGCGGAGGTACAACGGCTTAAGCAAAAGCATCCAGGGAACGCAGAAAACAGCAAGCAAAACGAGAGCGACCTGAACAGTCGGCTGGCCGTCGTACAACAAGTCGGTGACGTTACCGGGCGACAAGAACATGTCAATCAAAGTGTTGAGCAGACCAGGAGCAACCTTCTCGTTGCCGATCCAGTCGTAAGCCCACTTGAACACAATGATGAACGACAAGTATCCGAAAATCGAAACCAAGAAAAGGAATCCGGGAATGAAGTTTCCGATAATGTCAATCTTCGAGTTGTAGAATCTCGCGTTGACGAGCGAGAAGAACAGAGAGTAAAGCATGTGGACGAATCCCATGACAATCGACAACTTCATCTTGTACGAGTTGTTGAAGATCAAGTTGTTGTCGGCTCCGTGCCAGGTAGGGTCAATACCGAAAGCATAAGTGCCAGTCGAGTTGGCAGTGATGAGGTCGCCCTCGTTCCAGGTGTAGGGCCACTCCCATCCGACAGGGAAGATGGTCATCGACTTGGAGAAGATATCGTTGTAGATCAAACCAGTGTACATCGAGAAGGCACCCATGAGCAAAATGATGTAACGTCCAGTGAAGGCCATGTCGAAGATCTCGTCACGGTTGATCTGGAGAAGCTTCTTCTCGTAGATAACCATAGCGAGACCAGCGAGGAACATGATAGCACCGTGTCCGAGATCACCAAACATGATGGCGAACATGAACGGGAAAGTGATGATGGCCGGGAGACCGGGGTTGACTTCGCGGTACTGCGAAACACCGTAAGCATCGATAATGTTCTGGAACGACTCGGTGAACTTGTTGACGCGGTAGTAGGTGGGAGGAGTCTTGGTCGTCGAAAGCTCGTTGACGATCGAAGGAACCTGCAGACCGGCACGCTCGGTGACATCGGCAAGGGTGGTCTTGATAACCGGGATGTCATCAGTGGGAACCCATCCCTCAGCAATGAGCGACTTGCGCGACTGATCGTAGTTGAACAAGTTAAGAGCGGCGTAGACGGCCTTCTCCTTCTTGACGACAACCATCCACGAAGCAATCTGCTCAGCAATGGCCTCGAGCTCGGTCATGAGAGTGGTCTCGGTGGTGCTAACGACCTCCTCGACATCGGCAATCGACGAGTTGACCTCACGGACCTGGTCACGACGGATGTTGGCATCCTCGTCGACGGCGTAAAGGTCGGCATCGAGCGACTCGGCGATCTTGCGGATCTTGGAGAGAATGCCAGCACCGTGGGCGAAGACAACAAAGACGTTCTTCTCAACAGCCTCGTTGGTCTTGGAGTCCTTGATGGGGTCGGCAATCTCGGTGGTGTTGAGGAACAAGTTACCACGGAGCGAACGCCAGAGGATACGCTCGAAGGTCTGCATCTTCTCGCGAGGGATGACACCGGCAACGAAGCCGATGTTCATGACCGAGAAAGAAGTGGCAGCGGACATGTCACCCTGCTCGACGTCGTTGTTGAGCAGCGGCGCATCGTCGTTGTCGAGCGAGGCACGGAGCTCCTCGGGGACGTTGTGGGCACGGTCGAAGAAAGCGCCAGCCTCGATGAGAACGTGGCGAAGCTCGGTGAGCTCGACCTGCTTCTTGGTGAGGCGCTCGTGGGACTCCATGAGCTGGTTGACACGCTCCTCGAGCTCGTCGGTGCGGAGAGCAAGCTGGTCAATCTCGTTGGAGTGAGGAGCAGCAGTCACATCGGCGTAGCCGGGGACGGCCTTGACCTTGATGCTGGCCTTCTCGATCTGTGCGTTGAAGAAACGGAGCTGACGCTCGACGTTGTCAAGACGACGGATCTCCTTGACGAAGGTACGCTGGAAGGAGTTGACATCGGCGTTGAGCTATAGTCTTGTTAGTATTGTCTTTATCTGATCGCAGATAACCGCTTTTGCTATAAGTTGAAGAACAAACTACTTACATCGCGGAACTGAAGCGAACCAAGCTCACCAAGGGCAGCAACAACCTCGCGACCGACTTCGGTAGCGATGTAGAGCTGCACAAGGGACATCTCCGCGGAGCCTGTGAAGAAGCAAAACAGTCAGCAAAACACGCCCCGACGGACCACTGAAGTCCAAAGAAGAGCAATCAAAACGTACGGAAAAAAGCCTCTTTGCCCATCTTTTTTTCTATAATCTAAAAGGACGGAGAGAGAAAGGAGGAGGGTTGGGTGGGTGTGAAGAGAGGAAGGAAGGAGGAGAGGAGATAGACAGAAGAGGTGCGAGACCTGTGGCGCGGCCGCCGTCTGCTCGACTGATTGGCCGGCCGCTGCTGCAGATAAGCCGGGCTGAAGTCTACGCCGCAGTCTCATTTCTCGCAGTAACTTTGAGCACTAACAACTGCTGAGTAAGGTTTTACTCAAAACTCTATTCACTCTCTTCTCGGCGCACCACGAAAATTGTTATTCGGCACCGTCGTCTCAGCGAGCAATCCTCACTTTGGCCTCTACACAGCATCCACAGCAATGAGTCTAAACCGTCTGGCTCGGAGGCAATTAGCCGGCGCCGTTCTGTCTCTCAGACGGACAGCGGTCGCGGTGAACTGGAGCAGTCGGCGGCCTCTGTCTTTGTCGGCGTCGCAAATGCGGAAGAGCTCCGGGGGAGGCATCAGCGTCGCTGATCTTTTGAATGCTATGCCCGAGATGTCCAACTTGCGCGAAAAGGAGCCTGTAAGGGGAAGTACACTCGATGAGGAACTTCTGGAGGAAGATGAAGAGGAAGAGGAACTAGAAGAGCAAGAGTATGACTACGAGGATAGGCCTTACAGGCAGTACAGCGAGTACAGCGAGGAGGATGAAGAGGGTTTCATCGTGGAAGACTTTGCGCTGGAGGACTATTACGAAGAATATGACATCGAGCCCCCAAAGACAGAAGCCGAGGCTCTTGAGAAATACATGGAGGTCATCGACAACGCGCCCTCGTTTTTAGAAAAGGAAGCATCCATCGAAAGCCTGCCTCCCGGTTTCACGGCGCCAAACACAATCATGTCCGAGGCCGAGCTCGCGGGAATGCTCGAGGGCAATCAGTTCGAGGTCAAAGAGACCCGTTATGATTACTACCTCGATCCCCATGAGGAGCGCGGTGACTACTCGCGCTGGGTGAACTCGGCTGGAAACGACAACTTCATGCAATCGCTCGCGTTAAGCAGCAACAAGACTATCCCCCCGGTGCTCAAGGAACAAATGACAGCCATTATCGAAAATGTTTTGAAGCCGAAGAAATAGTCAGCTGAGTCCGTTTAGTCTTGTGTTTGTTCGTGTACATAGGTTTCTGTAAATATCAGATTAGGAATACGTTTTTTGTTTCTTTACAATTAAAAGTTACTATATAATAATCACGTTATAGACTCCCCTATACTACACTCTAACCATCCTGTCTTTCTTCCCTTCCGCCATTATGAGAAATCGCCTGTATATAACCCTATGCAACTCTACACTCTGCAACATTATCGAGAGCATACCTGCATGCACTCAACAACATCTCTCATCCGCACATGCATAATCGCGCTGTCAAAGTCGCGAATTCCTATATTGATCAACAGCATGTCGTCGATCCACCCGTGGTGGTACTCGCTAATCAGCGGGTTCTTGCTCTTCTTGGCAATGTGCTCTGGCTCTGGCGGGGCGGGAGGTTCATCGATCGTCTCGTGGTTGGCTTCGTCCGCGAGTGTGATCTCCTTGCCCTGTCTCGTCAGATCTGGTCCAGTGCCCGCTGCAATCGCCGCAATGTCGGGTGCTGCTCCGGCGGGAACTGCTGCTGGAGCGACAGGTGCTGGAGCGACAGGTGCTGGAGCGACAGGTGCTGCTGCTACGGGTGCTTGAGCGACAGGTGCTGGCGCATCAAACCCTGCCGCTGGAGCCTGTCGCTTTCTCAGTCTGAAATTAGACGGCGCCTTCGCAGCCTCAGCGGGCATCCCCTGCGCCATAGGCATAAACCCTCCATCCGTCACCGGCGCAACCGGTGCAGCAGCCGGAACAACAGCCGGCACTATCGGTGCGTTGGGATCGGCCAACCCAGCCGCAGCAAGAGCCTCAGGCGAGACCTGCATCTGGCTATAAGTAGCCGCGGTCAGCGACGCCGACCACGGTACGTATCCTGCCGGCAGATCGCTCGCGTCTTCCCACTCCCGTCGTTTCTGGAAATGCTTGTCCCATGCCATCGAGACCGTGAAGAGCATGTCGCGCTCGTCAGATCCAGCGTACATCAAACTGCTTGACACGCCCACGATCTCGTACGGCGACGTCAGGTTCATGAATACCATATATCTCTTGTAGTACGGCACCATGTCGAACGAGTACTTGACATGGATAATTGCCGCCTCGACCGTATTGTGAATCGTGGGCACGCACGGGAACTCGCACAGCGTAACCCGCAGCGCGTTCGACGACTGGTGCAGTAATGTCTTGAACCGCTTGTCGCTGAACTTCTTGAGCAAGTTGGTGATGCATGCCGGCGGCGTCTGCTTGTCGATCCGGAGAAGGTTGCGGCCAGTGAACTCGCTATCGAGCGTCGTCATCGACCGGGGCTTAAACTCGTGGTGCACCAGCGGTTTGTTTTCTGCGTCGTAAAAGATAAAATAGTTTTTCTCGATCGGATGCAGGTCGTTTCTAGGTAGCTCTGTGAGCTCCGTGTATCTAAATAACTTGTTAACATTACTGTAGTCAGACAATCACTGATAATAAAAAAACATACTTAATAGGCAGATGCTCGAGCTTCATCTTTTCATTTAAATCAGGAATGACAGCTCTCAGATCGATGATGAACTGCGACAAGCAGTTTGACTTTCCGTTCGTGCCGACAATCATCAGCGGCTCGCCGCTCGGCGAGAAGAACAGTCGCGGATCAAGCTGGCCCTGTGCGATCTCGAGGAAATCCGGGTTGCAAGATCCCTTCTTGGAGTCCCACTGTGGAAGCTTGAGTTGCACAGCGTTGCCCTTGCCGACGCACTTGAGGATCTTGCGGTTCGTCACCTTGATGTGACCCCACTCCATCTCGCAAAAGACTAGTTCGTGGTGAAGAAACAGAGGGCCCTTCTTGGTCTGTCGCGCAAGACCAAAGTACTGGTGCTTGTATCCGGCCGGGAACGGCAAGACGTTGGGATTATATCTGTCAAACTTTTTATTGGACTCAAAGCCAAAGTCCATTCGCAGCATCGTCTGCTCTGGCCCACTGCGGGAGACAAGCATGTTCGACTGGCCCTCATAGCGCTCCTCTTCATTATCGCAGTGACGCAGAAGCTCAAGCGGCCGCGGGTGCGCCTGCAGCTCCTCGTCAGTTGGAACCCGGGTTGCCAGATCTTGCTGGTCCAGCTGCTCCTCGAGCTCTTTGCCGCCGCTGACGGCAGCATTTTTCAAACGGGAGAATTGGCTGATGCTCTCGCGCTTGTCGATTGTGAACGCCGAGCGGGTGAAGATGAGCAGCACGAGCAGGACGTTGACAGCGACGAGGAGAATCGTGCGCTGCTTGCTGAGCCGCCAGGAGATGCGGCCGGCGGGAGACCAGAGCACCATGATCTTTGCTTAGTGAAGTAGGAAAAAAGCCAGAAAAAGGAAGATCTATACGAGGCGAACCAAGACCAAAGAAGAAAAAAACAAGAAACAGAAGAACGCAAACGATCGAGGACGCTCAATCTCAACGCGCGTAGTGGCAATGGGACGAAATATGGCACGAGCTGCGCGCGGCGCGGCGTTTGGTGCTGCAGCAGCCGAGAAAGAAGTTTATTTTTATATCAGAAAACGGGAAATCCCAGCAGACCGACAAGTTGACATGGAGATGCTGTAGGGAAGAGAGACAAGAAGAGAAGAAAGAGAGAGGAAGAAGAGAGGAAGGAAGAGAAATTGGTGATCTTCCCCGCGACTTGTTGCTGTTTGACGCTTATTTCTGCTCTCGTTGGTACTAAAACCAATAAAAATATTACCGAGTACTCGTCCCGTCTCGAATAGATTAATGTCTACAATTGTATACAAATTGTGTACGGAAGCAGAGCCCCTGATCAGAATTGCGGAATAAATACTTATCCTCTTTCATCTAATATCAGGTCCTATCTGATTTATTTGATTTAAGGGCGGTTTGGAAATTTATACACTTCGAGACGATTTCCGTGCGTCCGTGCAAAGGGTCCTCTTTTCTAATTTCCATTTACTCGCGTTTAGCCGTTCCAGAACTTCTCGCTCTGCTGCACTATCACCTCTGCTTTCACACCTTTCACACTCTACAAAACAACAATATAACAATAAAAAGGAACTTTAAATTAGGGAATAACAAATAAAACAAACATATACACTATTAACACTGTCTCTCTGTCTGTCTTCTCTCTGTACTGCTAAATACACTCAACCCACCTCTTACACATATCATTACACTCCTCATCGAATATTCTCCTTGCGCGCATACCGCGTCGGCTCCTCCTGCTCGCCAAGATATAACCGGTGCCGCACTCGGACTGTGTCCTTCGCCGGAACGCTCACTACGTCGAGTGCGTTACCAAACTCATCAAGTCTTCCTGGTGCCTGCTGCGAATTATCAAAAAAATCGTTAGTTGCCAAAACTCATCCAAACAATCAACAGCGAAGAAACTCACCTTCATAATACCCTTCTTTGGCTTCTTCTCATCCTTCCTCGTCGCTGTTCCACTCTTCTTCCCCCTCCCATTCCCAGCAACAACAACCCTCTCCGCAAACGAAATCGCCCGCTCCCGGCCCAGCGGACTCTCAAACAGCCTCTTCCGTCGCTTATCCAGCGGCGGCGAGTCCGGTCTCGGCGCTTCTATCCTCTGGTACTGCGGAATAACGTTATTCTCATACCCGTTGTTCAGCCGCGAATTCGTCGCCGTGATCCGCACCAGCGGTGCGTTGCCAGCGCCGCCTCCCAGACCACCAGACCGCACCATCGGCTTTGGCGTATCCGGTGCCCGCGCTGCCCCGCCGCGCGTACCAGCTCGCGACCTCGTCGCTCGCGCTGGCGTTGCCGTAGCTGCTGTTGCGGTACTAGTCTCGCTTGCGCGTGAACTAACTACCGGAATAGAACTCGCAGTCGACAGCGAGCTTTGCTCTGCCGCCCCACGGCCACGTCTGCTCGCGCGTGCAGCTGTCGCAGGCTGCTTTTTTCGCGGTAGTGGTATCTGTGCGCGCTGGGGTTGTTTTGCGGGTTCTTCGTTTCTACTGTTGACAGAGCGGCTGCTAGACCGGACTTTCTTCCGCGGCCGCTGCGACTCCTCGTCCTCTACCGCATTCTCTGGTTTCTTCTCGGTAGACGTAGCCTCGATCTCAGCCTCAGCCGCTGCATCGCCCTGTGTAGAAGCCACCGGCGCTGGTTCCTCGACCACTGCTCGCTTGCGCTTGTTTGACTCGGCCCATTTGTCTAGACTGATGTGCCAAGGAAGCACAGACGTGTAGTCCACTTCTCCAGACGAAACGTCGCTCTTATCAGATGTCTGTGTAATCGCAGTCGTGTCCTCTGCAGACTCATGTTCAGCCTGCTCAAGCTCACTCTTCTCCGTAGACTCATTCTCAAGCGCGGCAGTATCACTGCCTTCAGTAGTCTCAACCTCAGCCTCAGCCTCAACCTCGGCCTGCGCCTCAGTCTCGGGAGTAGCCATCTCGCTAGTATCTGGATAAATCTCCGGCGCAACAGAGCACTCGTGGAATTCCTCCCCGCGCGTACTATCCTCTGCTGAAACGTTCGCGGCGGTATCTTCCTCGCCCGTCACTGCTTCAACAAAATCGACCTCAACACTGACTTCGGCTTCAGATTGAGGTTCTCTGACTTCTTCAGTGGTTTGCACTTCCGCAGTTTCCGAGACAGTGACTGTTGCGGCATCGACATTTTCAGCAGCGTCCTCGGCAGCATCCTCAGCAGCAGCCTCACTTTCCGCATCATCAGCAGACATCTCGGCTTGTGCCTCAATCTCTCCTGAGCAATTGTTGTCGACATCCATCTCGACCTCTTCATCGCCTTCTTCGATCTCCACCGAAGCAGGGATATCAACGTTCTCGCTCACGGACTCGTCAGCAATAATCTGCTGCTCCTCTTCCTGTTCCTCTTCCACCACTGCAGGCGCATCTGTCACTGCAGGCTCATCTGCCACTGCAGGCGCAACTGTTTCATTACTGTCACTCGCCGCATCGGCATCGGAGGAACTGAAGGAGCTGGCACTCGACGATTCTTCCTCTTTATCCTCGTCTTCGTTATTAATCGATAGCTCATTTTTGGCAGTGACTACCGACTCCTCGTCTGTGAATGAAGCTTCAGTATGTGACATACTTGTCTCGGCTTGTTTCTCAATCGATACTGCCTCCGTGTCTGCTTTCTCTGACAGCACTGAGGTCTCAGCTTCAGCTTCAATATCGACATCAGGAAGCTCGATATCTTCATCCACGACGGAGTCAGCTTTGGAGCACTCAACAGCCTCCTCGTCAACCTCAGCAGCCTCTTCGACGATTTTCTCAGATGCCACCTTCAAAGGCGAAGAGAAAACCACCTTCGCCTCCTCCGCCTCAACAGTCGTACTAATCTTAAGCGGCGAATGTACTCTAACCGGCGCAGGCGACGCCCGACGAATCGGGGAAATCAAACTCAACGCAAACCGCAGCGCAGACGATCCAGGACCAGCCTGCTGCTGCTGCTGCATAGGTGTCCCTGCCGGCGTGTTGATCGCCGACTGCGACCAGAAACCCTCGCGTCTGCGGACTTGGCGTTCCCAGCGATTGATCGTGCTCAGATTCGAGACGTCCAATGAGGTTTCGTCGGCGGCGGCGGTAGAAGTCGCTGACTCTGCTGACTCGGATTGTGCATGGGCGAGAGGGGAGAGGGCTTCGACGAATACCTCAGGCTCGGTGTCTGAGTCTGTTGTCGTCGACACGTCTGCCATCGAGCTCACATCCTCTGCTGACCTAGATTCAGCATCCACATTTTCTTGAGCCTCTGTCTGAGTGGAGATAGTCTCTTCCACAACAGCGTTCTCTTCTGGCTGGATGGGAGCTGACGGAGCAACCGGTGCAATATCGATGGACTCCACCGTATCCATAAATTCATCACTATCCGAGTCTGACTCTGCTGAAAGCGTGCGAGTAAACACAACCTCCTGTTTTGACGGTGGCCTAGCAACGACCGGAGACGATGGAGCCACAGCCGCCGACGCAGCTGTAGCGGCCAAAGGAGACGACGGAGCGCAGTCAGATGTAACCTCGGTCGAGGTGTCGTAACTTGTACGCGACACGGCAAGTCTAGACGGCGTGTTGGGAATATGTGGGATCTTGAACTCGCGCTTGAGGCGGTCGTAGTAGGCAGAGCGGTGCGCCGCTATCTCTTCTTCGCGTTTTCGGGCAATCATCTTCCGTCTTGCCATGTCGTCATCCGCTAGTTTTTATTAGCTTTTTTGAAGACGTAGTATGGGCGTGGAGTACATACCTGGCGTCGAAGACGGCTTTGGAGAAAACACTTGCGTGAGATCTGTAGTAGACACTTCTTCGGCCGAGGGCACTGCAATAACGGCTTCCGGCGAGACAACCGTAGAGAGAGGCATGCACTCTTCGATGACAGCTATAAAATAAATCAGCACCAAACACGTAAAATCAGTAAGAATAGACTAACAGTTATCTGCTCTCTCCCAAGGTAATGAAGTCGGCGTGCTAAGAAGAGAAGGCGATGGAGGAGCCTCATACGACACCGCGTCTGCAAACCCAGTTAGCAAGTCCTCGCACCAAACAAATACATAAAGCACATACAGCTGTTGGGCGCCACCGGAGGCGACGATAGCAGGGCGGGATCAATCATCGAAGTCGTGATAGCAATAGGGGAAGACGCGGAAAACAGCTGCTCGGTATAGGTGACTGACTGCTCCGAACCGTCCTGGGAAGGCGGTTTCGAAGAGTTGGCGATCTGGACCGGACTGTTGAATGTGGAGCTGTTGGAGTGAGGCACTAGGGCGGGATCAAGATATGCGCCTGGGACTTCGACGATCATGCTGTCGTTGGGATCAAGTTGCTGGTGGACTTCCTCTGTGTTTGCAGGTGGAAGTTGGGTATCTGTTGGTTCCACTTCTGCAGCCTGTTCCGTTTCGGCAGGCATAGTGACGGCTTCCGAATCTGCTGAGCTTTCATCGTCTGTCTGTTTGACAGGAGACGATGCAACTGTAGGGCTCTGACTGGACACCTCGTTTGACTGATCTAAATCCTTAGTTGGAGATCCAACCTCGGACTTTTTCTCTGCGTATTCCAAATTAACGCTCGCCTTCTTGCGAGGAGACGATCTGAGTCTAACCGGTGACCTGTTATTGATATTCTCGGCATTAAGAGCTCTCAAAGGACTGTTCGCGCTATCCTCTTCTTTCTTCGGAGAACTTTCGATATTGTCGGACTGCTCCGGGTTCTCCGATCTATAAACAATACTCGCACGCTTTCCAGAACTAGCTCGACCTTTCCGAGTCCTTGGCGCCGCTGAAGGTGTAATCGGCTGTTCACTTCTCGACATTTCTTCAGCGTCAGCTTTGATGGGCGAGGATTCCTTGATCGGACTGGTATCATGCGGCAGCTTGTTCAGGTTAAACTCAGCAGCAGAGCTCCTTCGAGTCCTGCCACGCGCCGCTAACGTTCTCGACGCCGACGGCCGTTTCGACGGCGATTGCTGCTCTGCTTCGGCATCAGGCGCGCTCCCATTCTTGGTGTGAGAGCGGAGGACTCTGCGGCCGGTGGCGGTTAAAGGGTCGGTTGTTGACGAAGAGAGTCTGGTCTCGCGGATTGGAGTTATGGCGCGAGTCGAGTTGCGAGTTCCGCGAACCATTTTTTTCTAGATCTAGAGAGTGTAAGTTGTTAATTCATTAGTTCATAAACAGCTACAGCCAATGCAGTAGTATTATCTGTGAATAGAAAACAAATACTCACTCTACTGAAAGTGTACAGAGCAATACTGCAACCTTCAAACGCACTCCAAATGAAACCTCAACAGTTTCAATCTTCAAAATCCACAAACAAGAAAAAACTCCTCGCAAAGAATTCTAGACTGCTTGAAAAGCTCTTGCGCAAGTAAAACGCTGCGTTGCTGCTGCTGTAAGTCTATATGGCAAGCGGTGCGCAAGTATGGAGGTGGTGGTGAGCAAAACAATGTTTACGGCAGGCGCGAACGCTTTCGCTGTCGTTGCGGCTTTTTTGTTGACGTTTAGTGCGGCGGGGTTGTTATGGCAACATTCAGAATTTGTCATCAGGCACAGTAAATTGAGGTAAGCACGATGTTTTTTATGAGCGTTTATTCATCGTCAATGCATATTCTCAAAAAAACATAATCTGTACTACAATGTTCTGCTTTTAAAAAATAATAATCAGATGACAAAGCTCAAAAAAGAGCAAAAATATAAAGTCAGCCAGCAGTTTATATACGCCCAGGAGAGGGTAGAAAGACAACTACTCCAAGGGGTTATTGGTATAGGGGTAGCATACCTGCTTCGGGTTTTCAAGCCCGGCTTCACAGCTGAATTTGCAGGAGACCCCGGTTCGAATCCGGGATGACCCCACTTTTTTGAAAAGTTTTTGCTTCACCTATTTTTTTTTAGTAGTCTGATATATCACAGCATTGATTTTATTTTTATTGTTTTGTTATTTGTAATATTTGGCAATCTGATCTTCAAAAAGGAGACCAAAGATGTTGCAGCTTATCTGTGGGAAAGTACGCATTGCACTTTAGAGACATCTGCGTGATTGAATACACCGGAGATCACCGTCCTCCATCCTATCTCAAGCTAACTAAAAATAATCGGACTAATAAAGATGATATATCAAAGAACAGATCGCCAACAAAGAACAGCGGTGCACCGAATAAATGCGAAGATACGAAAACCCTTTGTTAAGAAGGATGGTGAGTAGCCAAGTTAATAGCCGAGCTTCTGCGCTACACTGTAAACTTTATTTGTGGGTACAAAGAGATTGTGTGGAGTTGGGACGGACCGGGGTGAGACAATGGCCAGCACTAATGATTCCTATATGGGAGGAATTTTACCTTGAAATCATCGAGGGGATAGTGAAGGAGATATTGGGATTCTACAGGTCTTTTGCTTTATTCGCTTTATTTATTATTACATAGGACTCACTTTTTCGGCCGCCGAAAGCGCCATTTCTACATCGAAAATGTAATAGCGCGGACAATTGCCCAGACTCACTCCCCGTCCATAGAGCGAAGAAACCAGAGCATCGAGATCAAACGGCCCACGCTTGTCGACTTCTTCTGCAAGCTTGACTTTGCGCGCGATGGCGGTGGTGGAGATGTAGCGCGGGTAGGTCCGGTTGTCGTCTGATGTGAAGTACCACTTTGAGGGGTCGATTCTGTCTGTGCGCTTCAGCGCTGCGGAGATCACCCTGTAGGTTCTGTCGGGGTTGTCGAGGCCTTCCGGGAATATGCGCGCGATGATGGTTGGATTCTTGGTCGCGAGAGTGTTCTTGGCTATGAGGAAACATGAGCGGAAGAGAGCCTCCTGCAGTTTTTCGTAGCGGTCTGTGCCGTTTCTGTCGAGCACGCGCGTGGATAGAGCAACAGAGCTCGATGTGATTTGTGGAATCGGGAACTTCTCGAATACGGGTGTGGTGTCGAATAGGCGGCTGTCTGGGCCAGAGTAAGTCGGCCGATGAGCAATGTAGTTTACTTCGGGGACTGTAGGCGTGGCGTCGCTCTCGCTAGTCGAATTGTCGAGCGCTGCTTGGGTGAGGTCAAGGACGCGCGAGGCAGAGAATGCGAGGTCGCGGATGTAGTCGTTTCCTAGCTTGTACTCGATAGCGTGTTCGAGACTGCTGTCGTAGACGTCGAGGAAGACGCTCTGGATGGACTCGACCACGGACTCGAGACTTCGCACGCGTCTCTGCAGGTGTTGGATCGTGAGGTCCTTTTTCTGGCGGTAAGTGCGCTGGGCATCGCGCACTTGAGCCCGACGACGCTAAGATGATGAGTTAGTGCGGTTCGAGGGATATAGTAGGAAGGGACGTACCTCAGAGTGCTCTTGTTCCGCAAACACGCGTGGCCGACCTCGTTTGCGTTTCTGGATGGCGACGGTGGTGGTGACAGAGGTTTGAGGCTTTGCGGATTTTGAGGTTTCATCTGCAGCAAGCGACGAGGAGGACGAGAGTTCGGTCGCGGAGGAAGAGGCCGATGGAGAAGACGCAGAGGGGGAGAGACCGACGCTGAGCAGTGCGGGGTCACAGGCGACAACGTCCGGCGATTGTAGGAGATTGAAGGATTGGGGGTCGATGGTGGTCAACAAGGGGTTGATGCGTTCGCAGGAGTCGAGGATGGAGTCGAGATCCTCGGACAGCTGCAATTGCTGCTGTTCGACGGCGGAGGAAGGCTGTTCGCTTAGCCCGAGCCAGGCCGGGAAGAGGCCCGCGAGCTGTAGATCTGGAGAGGCCGCTGTATCCATTGTGCCGATATAATCAATTCGCGTCAACAATCAAGAAGATGAGAATTGAGAAGTAGTTGAAAGGAGGGGAATAGCAGATAAAGTAGGAGCAGAAGACGGAGCAGAGAGAGCAGTTCTTCTGATTCGCATTATTCGCTTTGGCGTATGTGACGCGGTCCGCTCAGCCGTGCGCTCTCTTAAACTGCATCGCTGCCCGCTGACGTCACGGCTTTTCCACTTCGAGCTGCTATCACGACCACGAGTAGGCCTTCTGGAGTGGGACCTGATCGGAGGTGTGGAGCGCACGCCACTGCTCGTCTGCTGGATCATTGTTCTGTAGAGGAGTTGGCGTGTGGGGCGTGAAGTGCAGTCTTCTCCGCGTTAATAGTTCGACTCCGAAGCGGCGGCCAGTTTTTTACTGTTTGATATCAAAACACAATCCCTGTTTGTGTTCTTAGCTACTATCTTATAGTCTCATAGTCGTGTATTAGATCTTCTTCTGAGTAGCATCGTGTCCATTGTTATATATCCAGCTCGGAATACAATCGGAATACAATTCCGACTATCTCCGAGCTCAATTGTCAGACTGCATTCATCCGACTTCTGTTCTTGTAGAAAGAAAAAACAGCGAAGAAACAGTCAACGGCTTCTTTGTTTCTATCTGCTCTTGTTCTCTACTCCGACACCAATCAACCAGCCGGAACTGCCGCTCGGCTGACTCTGACTTCGACTTCTGATTGTAGCGTCCACCCATCCTCGACGGTCCTCCTGCCCCACCAAAACCCAGACGACATCTATAAAATCCCTGTTTACAGCCAAACTATGGCACGTCGCTTACAGTAAAGCCAAGCCTGCTGAACCCGCTTAAATCAGATTAAGCTATAACAGCCGCTGCTGCTGCCGTATTGTTGGACCTCCGTCGAGCCGTACTCCATCTTCACTAACTCACGACAATACCACCACAGAGGAGTAATCATCTGTGATTATCTCACCCTACCAGATTCAATATATATTACTTATCGTCTGACTCTCCAGTCCTCTTGCTGATAATAGCTGCCAGAACCTTCATTGTTTTCAAGAGCTGATAGTCTCACGCATCTGCAGCTCCGTCGCAAGACTAGTTGCTTTCGTCTTTAGCCAAATGCCAAACTCCGGTCAGCAACAGCAGCTGCTCCTGCCCTCCTCTCCACCGCCAATCAACTATTGTCCTCGATTCTATACATGCTCACATAAACGCGTGCAGAAGGCCGTCTGCAACAAACTCCTCGCAGATAGCGCAGATATTCCGGGGACGCGGACTTAAGACTAAACATTCCCCACTCTTGCGTCATATCTGTATTACGCCATCGAGGCCTTTGTGCCAGCAGTGGTGATCATTTAACGCTCAGTGCCGCACGCACGCGATAAATATTCAGACCCTCCCCTGTTGACTCTCCAGCACCCTCTGCATTCTACGCAAGAGACCGCCGAATACCTGACAATGGCTCTCTGTGCGGATCCTGAGGGGTGGGGTGTCATTTCGCCAGTTTACTACAACTTCACAGTATGCTTCTCGGACACGGTCTTCCCTCTCGTCCTCGGGCTGGGACTTATCTCCCTTGCGCCGTTTGATCTCCGCGCCATCGAGAGGTCTCCAGAGGTGCACATTCGAAAGAGTGTGCGCTTCTACGGCGTTGCTGTCTTGCTAGCGATTATCGCATTCATGCAGCTCATCTATGTCTTTGCTCTAAGAACACTCGCCGGCAGCTGGATCGACATCCGGATCTGGTCGGCGTCTATCTATCTTGCCTCTGTCGTTCTCGCAGGGTACATCCAGTACAGAGAATACTATCGGGCTAGGATCTCAAGCGGCACTGTGCTTTTCTTTTGGCTTTTTAGTGCGCTCACGGAGTTTGCGCGGTTGTATGGCATGGTCCAGCGACGCGTGTGGGTCAGAAACGAGACTATCTTTGTCTCGCTGCTGCTCTCCTTCATCTCTGCCGTCGCCCTGCTTTTAGGTGCGTTTTCCCACATTATATCTGATTGTACTCTACTGACTCTTTAATAGTGGTCACGCTCGTGCCGAAACCTATGTCGCAGTACGAAACTCTCGCAGACGAAACCGACAACTCGCCAGTCGGCAAGGCTGACATTTTCTCTCGCCTCACGTTCTCCTACCTTACCGAACTAATATACCGCGGCTATAACGACTATCTCACCGAGGACGACCTCCCGGACCTGCCAAAAGCGAACCGCACCGATCAGTCCCGCATCGACTTTGAAAAGTCGTGGAAGGAGGAGAAGAAAGCGCCGCAGCCGTCGCTGGCTCGAACTCTGGTGGAATGCTTTGGGCTGCAGTATCTCGTTGGCGTATCCTTCAAACTTACGGCAGACGTGCTGTCGATCATGCAGCCGACCTTGCTTCGTCGACTGATCCTCTTCGTCAACTCGTACAACGACGACGAGCCCGTGCCGCTCTCGGGAGGAATCTTGATTGCGATCGGGATGTTCACGTGCTCGTTCGGACAGGTGCTGTTTCAGCAGCAGTATCTCTTGAACGCGTTCAATACGTCTATGAATATCAAGTCGGCGCTGCTGGCGCTGATTTACCGAAAAGCAATGTATTTGTCAAACGACGGGCGGCAGGCAAAGTCGACTGGCGATATTGTGAATCTCATGAGCGTCGATGTAGCGCGCTTGCAAGATATCGCGCAGTCGTTCCACGCGCTCTGGTCTGGACCGTTTCAGATCATTCTCTGCCTTTACAATCTGCACTCACTGGTCGGGAACAGTATGTGGGCCGGCGTTGCGGTCACGCTTGTGACAATGTCGCTCAACGCATTCATTGCCAGAAGACTCCGGGCACTGCAGAAGCGTCAGATGAAGGTCAAAGACAAACGCGCTCGTCTCACGGGTGAGATTCTGGTCTCAATCAAGTCCATTAAACTTTATGCCTGGGAAGAGTCCTTCATCGAGCGACTCAGTGAGATCCGAAACAACCAGGAGCTCATGAATCTCCGCACGCGAGGAATGTACAACGCCGTCTCGAACTTCATCGGCTCGTGCGCCCCGTTCATCGTGTCGTGCTCGACCTTTGCGGTGTTTGTTTGGACCTCGGGAAAGCCGCTGTCGACCGACCTTGTCTTTCCGTCGCTGACACTCTTCATCATGCTTTCGAATCCATTGACGCTGATCCCGCAGGTTCTCACGCAGCTTATCGAGGCTATGGTGTCTAACGGCCGCCTGCGTGAGTTTCTGTTGACGTCTGAGCTCCAGCAAGATGCAGTTAAGCATCTTGACGCCGCGACCTCGCCAGGACAGACCGCTGCCGAGATCAAGAACGGCACGTTTCAATGGGACGAGGCGGGGAGACACCCGCTCGCGCTCGAAAACGTATCGTTCCAGGTTTCGGCCGGTCAACTTGCGTGTGTCGTCGGACGCGTGGGCGATGGCAAGTCAGCGCTGCTGCAAGCTCTCCTCGGCGATCTGTACAAGAAAGCAGGCTCGGTGACTGTGCGCGGACACGTCGCGTACTGCTCGCAGGTGCCGTGGATCATGAACGCGACGGTGAAAGACAATATTCTGTTCGGCAAGAAGTTCGAGGCCGATTTCTACGAAAAGACAGTGCGTGCCTGTGCGCTTGTCGAGGATCTGACTACGCTGCCTGATGGCGACGAGACTATTGTCGGCGAAAAGGGAATCAGTCTTTCCGGAGGCCAGAAAGCGCGGTTGGCGCTCGCGCGGGCTGTCTACGCTCGAGCGGATGTTTACATTCTGGACGATCCGCTGAGTGCGGTGGATCAGCACGTCGGTCGGCATCTGATTGATAACGTGCTCGGACCGACGGGCTTGCTTGCGTCGCGGACTAAGATCTTGGCTACGAACGCGATCGCGGTGTTGACGCAGGCGGACAGTATCACGATGCTGCGAAAGGGTCGCGTTATCGAGACGGGGCTGTATCGGGATGTGATGGGGACCGATAGCGAGATTAAAAAGCTGATTGATGAGTTTGGTCTGGAGCGAACTGAGGAGCTGCCGGAGGAGACTGCGAGTAAGCAGCAGATTGAAAAGTCAGATCCACTGGCAAGCGATAGCGAGGTTGAAGAAGAAGAGATTGAGGAGTTTTACGCCGGTGGCGGGCCGTTGGTGGTTGGTATGCCGCTGCGGAGAGCGAGTACCGCGAGTTTCAGGAAGCCAGATTTAATGGACGAGCTTCCGAACCGGCGATCAAGACAAGAGGCCGAGCATGCTGAGAAAGGACAGGTCAAGTTTGGGGTGTACAAGGAGTACATCAAGGCCGCGAACTTGAGGGCGGTGATTGTGTATCTGCTCTTGCTGGTTGCATCGAACTGCTTGTCTGTCGGAGGAAACGTATGGCTCAAGCACTGGTCGGAGGTGAATACCCGGTTTGGCGGTAATCCGCAGACGACAAAGTATTTGAGCGTGTACCTGTTCTTTGGCGTCACGGCCGCGTTGCTGACGCTGATCTACACGCTCGTGCTGTGGATCTTTTGCACGATCCGCGCCGCGCGCACGTTGCACGACCGCATGCTTCTCCGCGTGATCCGCTCGCCAATGTCGTTTTTCGACACGACCCCCGTCGGCCGCGTGATCAACCGGTTCACGGCCGACATCAGTCGCATAGACGAGGTGCTCGCGCGGGTGTTTTCGAATTTCTTTACAAACAGCTTGAAAGTGTTTTTCGCGCTCTTTGTCGTCTCGTCTGCGAACCCGTCGTTTATAGTGTTTATGATCCCGATCGCTTGTTTGTATGTCTATTACCAGAAACTGTACATGCGCACGTCGCGCGAACTCAAGCGGTTTGAGTCGATCTCGCGGTCGCCGATCTATGCGCACTTCCAAGAAAGTCTGAACGGCGTGAGCACGATCCGCGCGTTCGAGGAAGTCAGACGGTTCAACCGCACGAACGAGTACCACATCGACTTCAACAACAAAGCCTACCACCCGTCGATGATTGCGCGGCGCTGGCTCGCGATCCGGATCGAGTTGCTCGGAAGCACAATCATCTTCCTCGCCTCGTTTCTGTCGATCATGGCGGTCGCGTACGGGCATCTTTCGTCGGGACTGGTGGGGCTGACGATGTCGTATGCGCTGCAGACGACGCAGTCGATGAGCACGATCGTGCGGATGACGGTCGAGGTCGAGATCTCGACGGTGTCGGTCGAGCGGATCTTGGAGTACTGCGAGTTGCCGACCGAGGCGCCGGCCGTGATTCCGAATAGTAGACCGCCGGCGAGATGGCCTAGTGACGGCGTCGTTGCGTTCCATGACTATTCGACGCGGTATCGACCGGGTATGTTTGCCTTTCCTCTTTTTTTTTTCTGTCAAGATTTACTAACGTTTTTAGGACTTGATCTGGTGTTGAGAAACATCAACATGAGCGTGAACGCCAAAGAAAAGATCGGGATAGTAGGCCGCACAGGCGCGGGCAAATCGTCGCTCACGCTCGCGCTCTTCCGCATGATCGAACCAGTCGGCGGCTTCGTGTCGATCGACAAAGTGAACACGAGCAAAATCGGCCTGAAAGACCTACGCGAGGGTCTCGCGATCATTCCGCAGGACTCGCAGGCGTTCGAGGGTACGGTGCGGGATAACATCGATCCCGGCCGTCGGTTCTCAGACGCGGAGCTGTGGAACGCGCTCGAGCTTAGTCATTTGAAAGAGCATGTGAGGGGTATGGAAGGCGGGTTGCACGCGATGGTGCTCGAAGCCGGATCGAATCTGTCGGTCGGGCAGCGGCAGCTGATGTCGCTTGCGCGCGCGCTGCTGACGCCGAGTAAGATTCTTGTGCTGGACGAGGCGACGGCGGCGGTGGACGTGGAGACGGATCAGATCGTGCAGGCGACGATCCGGAAGGAGTTTGCGGACCGGACGATTTTGACGATCGCGCATCGGCTTAATACCGTGATTGATTCGGATCGGATCGTGGTGCTGGCGCAGGGGAAGGTGGTGGAGTTTGATACGCCGGAGAGGTTGTTGAGGGATAAGAATGGGATGTTTTATTCGTTGTGTAAGCAGGGCGGGTTGGTTGAGTAGGGTGAGCATCTGCATGTGTGTAGTAGTGAGAAATCAGATTTATGTACTTAAGCATATTCTATAGTAAATAGAATCAAGGAAGAAAAACAAAACTACTCCTTCTTATGAGCTACGATAGTATCCTCCACCTCGTGCTCCACAGGATCCACACCGGTAAGCACGATCGGCCCCTTCTCAAACTCCTGACGATCCGGCAAACTCGCCTCCTTACTGCTCAGGTTATCATCATCATCAAGCGTGCCGACGAGCACCGCGTCCTCGACGTCGACAGCAAGACCGTACTTGTTAATCACGCGGCCGCGCTTGCGGGCCTCGCGCTTGGTCATGTAGAGCATGAAGAGAACGCCGAGGAACTCGACAAAGATCAGGCCGGTGGTCACTTGGTATCCGTACGAGTCCTTGTACTGCGGCGCGTCGGTGTAGGGGAAGATGATGTTTGGCAGCCATGCGTTGACGGCGTAGGAGATGGTTGAGCCGACGGCGGGGAGCATGCCGCGCATTTCCGCGTCGTCCTGGAATGCTTCCGCGGACCAGGCGAGCATCATGCCCCAGAGCGCGTAGCCGATGTCGGGGCAGAAAAAAGCAAACATCTTGAGGCCGTCGGGGATGTTCCAGATCGCGAGCAGGAGGTTGCCGAAAAATACCCAGAAGATGGCGTTGACGATGAAGGGCCAGCGCAGGCCGATGCGGTCCGAGATGTTGGCGGACAGGTAGCCGGTCACGAGCGAGATCGCGTAGCCGCCGGTCGGGATCAGGTTGACTTGCTGGGTCGAGTACTTTGACGATCCGTCGGGGTTCGTGAGCCAGTCGAGCCAGAGGTTGAAGTAGCTGGTCGTGTCGCAGATGTTGAACAGACACCAGGGCCAGAGGAAGCCGTAGGGACGCCAGGTGGTGAACATCTTGAAGAAGCGTTTGAAGGTCAACCTCTGCGGTGCTTTGCGGCCAATCAGTTCCATGCGCACGTAGCTGTACTCTTTCTGCGTGTCGTTCATCCACCGCACGTGCGAGTTGATGGGGAAATCGGGAATGCAGTAGTATCCCAGGAGTGCGATCGGGATGCCGATGATGCCGTCGATGACAAACAGCCACTGCCAGCCCGCGTAGCCGGCCAGGCCGTTCATGGACGTGTACACGCCGGCTTGGATGTAGCCGGAGAACATGGAGGCGATGGCCCATGCGGCGTCGTAGGTCTGCATCCGCTTCGCGAGCTCGGAGGGGCGGTACCAGGAGCCGAGGACCATCGCCAGGCCGGGGTATGCGACGGATTCGAAGAAGCCAATCATGAAGCGGATGCCGTAGATCTATAACGTTAGTTAGCGGTGGAGACTATAGAAGATAGAAGGTGATGCTCACCGGTTCGGGGGTCTTGCAACCAGAGATGGCCATGACTAGGCCGGACCAGATGAATTCGCAGGTGGGAATCCAGATCGAAGGACGGACGCGGTTGAGGATGACCTGCGCGGGGATCGAGCCGACGATGTACCCGCAGTTGAAGAAAGTGGTAAATAAATTCCGCTCGTTACCATACAGATTAAGATCCTCGCGCATGCCAGAGACGAACGCGTTGGAGATATTCGAGTTATCGAGCGTCTTGATGAAGAACGAGAGCAGCGCGTAAAGCAGGATATTCGCGTCCAGCTTCTGCATGTAATTGCGCTGCTTGGGTGGCAGGCGGAAGGTATCCCAAGCCTGGCCGAGCGTGTTTTGCAGCTTGTTGGGCTTGTACCCGGGGTCGTCGATGAACATGTGGAATTTGGCGTCGATCTCGTCGCGTTTCCAGAGAGACTTGTCGATTGAGCGGTAGTCGTCCGGACCGGTGGTCTGGGGGAGGGGTTGGACGTACGTCCAGAATCTGCCTGCGATGCCCATGATGAGAGTAGGTGCTACAGAAAGACAGAGGATGGAGTAGGAGAAGACAGGGCTTTATAGAGAAGGGAGGCGGGCACGCGCTGCTGCGGTCGATATCTCGATACTACGACATGATCCGACACGGCCGCAGCCCAAGAAATCTCATATCCAAAAGAGGGCATCAGAAAGACAGGCCAAGCAGCGGAGAGTGTCAAAGAGGACGATAAGTGGCCTTGGAGAGCGGAAAGATGGGCGGTGAGCTAGGTCGCCAAGAGGGCCAAGATCCTCGACTTTTGGGACGCGTTTGAGCCGCGTAGAGAGACTCAGTCAGGCTGCGATGGCGGGACGAGAGAGTATGACTCTTGTCTTGGGTGTTTTATGCGTATGAGCTGTGGATCGTAGAGTGAAGTGTAGAGCGGGTGTAGAGCTGTTGTGGGTGTTGTGTTTGTAGTGCAGGTGGAGGACAATGGTGGTTGCTGTGGGGTTGGGTTGGTTGGGCCCAAGCTTGAGAGTGAGTACTGTGCTTAGCTCAGCAGTAGACAAGCAAGAAGATATGATAGCAAAGAGCTGTAGGAGATGACTATATAAATACAGCAGAGAACAGGAAGAGGTTGCAAGAACAGCAAGAGATGACTTTTGTGAGAAGAAGTAGCTTGCTGTAGAAAGCTGGGTAATTCGGCTAGATGCAGGAAACTACTTTCTGGTGGAGATACGTATGAGCACTGATAGTCGAAGAGCGATAACAACATCAATATAATATCTGATTTAAACGATAATGCGCAGATGGTGCCATCGATAAATGGTGAAGTAATCGCGGGGAGCCACGGCAGCGATATGGATAACGACGGAGGGCTTATCTCGCGATCAAAGCACCGTCATTGCCTACTCTACTCTACTCTCTAACTCTCTGTCCACTCTCGCTATCGGAATATGAGATATGTAATGACTACGAGACGGGCTGCTTATTTATTATGCTTCTGTTTATATTATAGTATGACTTGCAGACTAACGCGAGTCAGCAAACATTTCCCTGGGGTTTAATTCGTAGGATTGACTTCCGGATTGATTGGGTTGTTGCCGAGCAGAGCATCTTAGCTGAATAAGTTGATTAAGGCCCGGTGAGTCCGATATGACAATAAGAGTAGAGTATCGTAAGTAGTATGCGTATTCACTGCTCAGACAGCGGCTGTTGAGCCAGCAGAAGTCCCGGCAGCGAGCAGGAGGAGAGAGCGATAGGCGCAGAGGGAAAACACTTCCCGATTGATAAAAGCCACACCACCTCTCCGCCGCTGGCTCAGTCATCACGGCCCTATATCCCCCACCCGCCAAGCAGATTCATTACTCCTGCGGTTTTTTATCTCTCTCTTGCCTCGCAGCACCTGGTTTGTTTGCACTGTTTGCCGACCAGTAGCAGCACGGATGATGGTGCTGATCGTATCGGACGTGGTCTTTCCTCTTGGCTAACCGGGCGGGCCCCGGGCCAGGTGTTTATCGGCCACGGGCCGCGCGCACTGAAGTCTGATAAGAGAGCCGGTCTTGGCAGCGTAGGGTCTTTGTGTGTTGGTGGTGGAGATAGGAGTAGAGTAGAGTAGAGTAGAAGAAGAAGAGAAGCAGATGATGACGACTACAAGAACTACATCTATCACTACACAGAAAGAGAAGAGATAGAGATACAGACAGAGACAGAGACAGAGCTCACTGAGATAGAGAGCAGAGAGCAGAGAGCAGAGACAGAGAGCAGAGCAGATAGGAGCCTAAACCCAGAGGCCCGAAACAAACCGGCGCTGTGTCGAGTTTCTTGGCAAAGTCGACTCGTACCATTCACAGCTGTCGGGTCTTATCTTGCCTGCTTTGGTTTCTACTCGCTATTCCTGCTCTTTTGCTTGTTCAACTGCTTTTGTTGTTCATGCAGTGAATATCTATATATCTTATACATCCTGTATGCTCTTTGAAATATAAATACTCAGTAGAGAACAACGGTATAGTCCACAACCGGTACTATCGGCTACCTGGCCCGCCATATCATCGTCTGCTTCGGCCACTTCACAGGCCACCAGCATCGTCCTTCCTTCCTCCTCTGCAATAATATTTGATAGCAATAATACTTATCGTATGACTGCTTACGACGCATTTATCTCACAGTCATTTTATTAGAATTTTACTTGCAGAATTTCTCACGTCCGAGCTTCTGGTCCCGCCTTTTATCAATGCACTTTTGGTCTTGCCCTGCGCGCTGCGCACTGTGCACTTGTCCCTTGAACCGGCTTGCTCTTTCTATATCCTCTCTGACTATTATCTCTGAAGTACTACTGCCTTGACAGGTATTTCCTCCAAGAGCATTAAAACCATCACCGATATCTCGAGAGTAAGTAGAGCACCAAAAACAATGGGTCGTGCTCAGACTAACCTATCCATGTATCTAATTGTCAAAAATCCACAGACCAACCGACCCACATCCCCACCGCTCAACCAGCTCTGTGCTTTTTTCGTGCTTTTTCACCGGATGTCTAAGCGTCGTCGTCGTCTGTGTCTGTGTAAAACCAACGAGCACAGGCAGAATGAAAATCCTGTTTAGATAAGCTGGGAATAAGTGCTTGTTTAGGCGGTTCTGTTCTGCGGGTTGCGGTTTGTTCTGCTGAAGCTGAAGGTGAGGTTGATGCTCTTGAGATTGAAATGAAGGAGTTGTGTGGCATTAATGTTGGCTATTTCCGCTTTCGCATATATTTCCGATGTCTCGTCTATCTCTCCAGTTTTCTCTCTCTCCTGCATACTGATGACCATGAAGTATAGCCTAATCTTCTCTGTCTACTTTCAAGTTCTGAAATTTCTGTATAATTATTCAGAGTGCACAGTAGTGATTTCAATCTGCTTTATTCTCTTTTCTAATTTATCAGATGTAACCCAGCAAGACAAAAAAAGACACTTACAAAAATACGAGACAAGATCATATTTTCTCATCGATAAGCTATCTATTTCTTTTACGATAACCATTAAAAATTGATAAATAAATAAATAATAAATAAATAAAAAAAACTGATAAGAACAAACTTTCAGGGTTCCGCTATCAAAGTCAAAAGGTAGATTTACTCTTCCTCGGCCGAGGGTTCTTGCCGGTCAACCCGATCAGATGAAGTTATAACACCGTTTTATAATGCTGCTTATCTGCAAGTTGTCCTGTTTATTTGAGTGGATGGGTGTAGATAGCGTTGGCTACATTGTAGATAAGAAGTGCAAAAAAGGCGATGATAAGGCTTCACTTAGAAGGGGACGAGAGATCGCACCATCGAGTCGTTTACCATACCATCGTTTATTTAGTGGGATAAGGATAACGTGCTTCAAGCAAAAGCGGCGCCATTATTAAGATATATGTCGTAGAATGGTGCAAGCATCTAAAGCCTCAGTGCAGATGATCACGATTGCGGGCTGTTGACGAGCAGTCGTCGCATTTGAAGTTAGCACTGATTTAAAACTAAAGCTCAGACAACTCTTATCTGAAATGATAATCCCGATGAACAAATCCGAGCAAACAGCGGAGCATCTTTTAAACACCAAACAGCTCTGAGCCAGCGCTAGTTGATAGCGGTGCAAACGTTGGTACGCGGCTGCCGACAACCGCTAACGAGGGCAGCAGCGACGTGGGGGACGGAGAAGGCAATGCGGCACGGGCATCTCGCGCGGACCAGCTCTTTGACCATTTCTTGTTTACCGGACCATCGCCGACTCTTTCATTTCTTATGATCTTATACAATTGCATCCAACATATCTTATCGCGGCGAGGACAAATGCTGGCTCTTGGAAGCAGCCCAAGCAATCGCGTACAGAGACTCGAGAGGCAAGCCCGCGGTGCGGTCGACTGCTAGTTTCTTGGCACCCGACCGCCTACTTCCTCAACAGGACCTGCCTGACTCAATAATCCATGGCATCCTCAGTGCCTGTCACCCTCACCGTACTTTTCTTTTTCCTCATCTGCTGCGTCGCGTCGTGTCTGCCGCTGTGGATCTTTGCCTGTTTTACTGCGCGAGTCAACCGTCCATGTCGACCGGCTTCTGTCGTCTTGTTATCGCGTACCCCATCTTGACTCTCTGCCCTGGTTCGATAGCGTGCTGTCTTATCTCTTCGCATACCCGTTCTCGACTGTTATATTAAACCCGTCTATCCCCCTCTGCGCCTGTCACCTACTCTCTACGCTGCAACCCTGGAGACAATGGAGCACATGGAGAAGCGCTCGACGCGCTACGCAAAGACGTTCAAGAAAATCGTCAGCTACGACCGCGCAGACGAGGCGGTGCGCTACGATATTCTCTGCTCGCTCACGCGCGAGGAGAAGAAGGAGAGATTTGAGTCTCTTGTCGACGACGGCGAGCATGTGTACACGCCGTCTAGGTTCATGAGGTTTTGCGGCCAGTTCTGGGATACCTTCTTGAAGCAGCCAAAGGAGCGGACGTATGTCCAGAAGCTGGACTTGAATATCCTGTATGTTTTCTTCTCCATGATTTAATGAGTGAATGAGTTGTGTTAATCTGGGTAGGATCTACTGTCTACTGTCGTTCTTCATCAAGACGCTCGACAACTCAAACATCTCGAACGCGTACGTCTCCGGCATGAAAGAAGACCTCAACCTCTACGGCCAAGAGCGAAACCTCTTCACCACCACCTTCAACATCGGCTCGATCGTCGGCCAAGTTCCGTCGCAGTTTGTGCTCAACCACGTCCGGCCCTCGATCTACATCCCCACCTGCGAATTCGTCTGGTCCGGCCTCGTGATGGTCATGGCCGCCGCCAAGGGTCCTGGGTTGATCTACGGCATCAGATTCGTGCTCGGTCTGCTCGAGTCCTGCGCGTACCCTGGCTTCGCGCTCGTCCTGGGCTCGTGGTACAGACCCGACGAACTCGCGAAGCGCATGACGCTCTACGATGCCGCGTGGGCGATCGCGTCTATGTTTTCCGGATACATCCAGGCAGGCGTGTACTCGTCCATGAACGGACTCGCGGGCCTCGCGGGCTGGCGATGGCTATTTATCATCGACGGTTTGATCGGGTTCCCGATCGCACTCCTGGGATACTGGTCTGTCGCCGACTTCCCGATCAACAGCCGCGCGCGCTGGCTCTCGCAGCTCGAGAAGGACTACAGCGTGGTGCGGATGGAAGAAGTCGGCCGCAAGCCGCCAAAGAAACTTACCTGGCGCCGGTTCAAAAACATCATGTCTTCCTGGCGTCCGTACGGGTTCGTGTGGCCCTGGATCCTGTTCTCGGTCTGCGACACCACGTCCTACTTCAACCTGTGGCTGTCCGACGTCGGCATCTACTCCGTCGAGCAAGTCAACCTGATCCCGACCGGCGGCTACGCACTCGGCCTCGTCAGCGGCTACACCTACGCCAACCTCTCCGACCGCGCCGGCACGCGCTGGCCGTTCCTCATGTTCGCCGTCTTCTGCTGCTTCCTCGGTAACCTCATCCTCGCGATCTGGTACGTGCCCACCGGCCTCAAGTTCTTCGCCTTCCTCTGCCCAAACATCGGCTACCCGCTCTGGGGCCTCATGCTCTCCTGGGGCGCCGAGGCCTTCCAGGACGACACCGAGATCCGCGGCCTCGCGCCCGCAATGGGGTCTACCCTCGCGTCCGCGATCCAGGCGTGGCTGCCGCTGCTGCTGTTCCCGACCCCGAAAGCGCCGCATTATCCGGTGGGATATAAGGTCACCACCGGTTTGGTCGGCGTCGAGGCCGTCGGCGTGCTGCATTTCCTGTGGCAGACCAAGCGCGAGGCGCGTCGCAAGGGCAAGGTGATCAACAAGTTTGGCCTCGCGGTCGCGGCGGAGGATTATAAGGGGCTCACGAGGGATTCGGCGGAGGAGCTGGATCTCGGATCGGTGGAGAAGATCGGGATTGTGGACGAGACGGAGCAGCAGCGGAAGAGGAGTTATGAGGTTGGCGCGGAATTGAAGAAGGAGATGGCGATTGTTAATGAGAAGGAGGTTGATCCTGATGAGAAGTGATTTTGCTTGTGATCTTTTAATAGTTTTGAAGTAATTTGAGATAGGAATGGGAATGCTCAGCGACATAACTAATACTGTTACGTAGAAAGTAAGTGAGCGAGGGATTATCATCGTTGCAGTTCGGTTTCAGTTGATTCTGCGACGGGCACGGGGCGGATCCGCAGACAAAGCAGCAGGTAGATGAAGGGGGCGACGGAGTATTCTCCTACGTTCTCGAGAATAAAGCAAGGATTAATTAAGCACCGGAATTTGGCGGGACACGGACCATGAAGAACCCTGTAGAGGATGAATGATGGGCAGAGAGGAGGAAGGTTATGAATGAATGAGGTATATTCAATTCACGCAGACAATCACGATGAAGTAGAGAATAGAGTAGAGAATAGTGAAGTAGAGCAGAGAAGAGGCAAGGGGTAGAGGACGGCAGGGAGACGCGTCATTATTACATTTCTCCGGAAGAACGCGCTCGAGGAGGGTTTTGGGTGGTGACGTTGGTGGTGAGAAGTATAATTGACAGGCGAGGCGTGCTCGTCCAGCGCTGATCAGCAGCAGCACAGTAATACAGTGACGCAAATAGTTGTTTCAATATCACACTGAAGTACTTATTAGTCGAATAAAACAGCAACCTGTTTGATATGCAAATTCCACGGCTCACAACAAGATGCAAAACAGGATGTCGAAGATACTGATACCATCCCAACTAACCGAGCAAAGCCGCAGCATCTGCGACGCGTCTGGAATGCTTGGGACCCAGCGCCTGACGCCAGCCAGGGGCCTCCTGAAATACCCGCGTCAGGTTTTTTTCTTTGAGATTCCGCGTTGCTGGGTTAATTGGATTAACGCGGATCAGGAAGGGTTATTAGGTGGTGAGGGTGGTGGATTGCTGTGGTGAGGAGGAGGTTGTGGATGGATCAATTGAGAGCTGATACTGCTGTAGTCGGGATAATAGAACAAGTAACAATGTCCAACCACAACAACAGCAACAACAACAGCAGCAACAACAGCAACACGAAACAAATGCTCAACACAACCTCATCAAACAATGCGCTATTTCACGTCCGAGACGCGATCCTCAACACGCGACGCGTCGCGAAACGTCGCCTCGGAAAGATAAAATTTAGTGCGGCTCACATACCTCAGCCCAGCTTCGCGCCCCTTCGCGAAGCCCCCTCGAGGGCACTGGTTTATATCTGGCTGGTCCCGGCCTCCTTTTTCTCTTTCTTGTTTGATTCTTGTTTTGGTTTTGTTGATTCTTTGTCGTGCAATTCATTGTCTATACGTTCGTTGTGGCTTTCGGTGCCGTCCTTTCCTTATCGAATCAAGACCTGTCTTTGATTCCTCGTCGCTCCCTATCAGTCTTCTTTTGGTCCTTCTTTTGATCTCAATTACACAATGTCGCCCACAAACGACAAGTCCAGCGTATGTGTCCTCCCCCTTCTTCTCTACCGCCCAATCTAACATCCCCAGCTCGAGCAACCCATCCCCTCCGCCCCGACCTCCCACATCTCGGTCCGTCGTCTATGGAGCTACCTCACCATCTTCTCCATCATCTCCTTTTTCTTCGGCGGCATCTTCGGCGCCTCCGTAGGCGTCCACGTCGCCAAGCAAGCGCTCTCCACAAAACGCCTCCCCGTCGCCGCGGCCTCGCCCGCGCCCACCGCCGCCGCGGTCGAGTACAGCACCGGCTTTGATGGCGAGTACGGCAACATCGGCGGCTCGCGACATGCGCGCATGCACCGTCGCTCGGCTGCGGTTTGCGATCCCACGTCGACCGTGTACTCGACCGTCACTGTGTACTCTACCACCGTCACCGTGTACTCCACCGAGACCTCGACCTCTACCTCGACCGCGACTGCTACCGCTGTGACTACCGCGACCGCGACCGCCGCGATCAAGGAAGTCGCGACCGGCGAACTCACGACGACGCTGACCGTCACCGAGGCCTCGACCTTGTCCGCGGGCACCACCGTCGTCGACGGCACCACCTCGACCATCTACAGCACAATCTACCTCACGCAGACGTCGACGCGGGTGTCTACCCAGTACTCGACCCAGTACGAGACAACATACTCGACCTCCACCGTGCGCTCGAACTGGACCGGCATCAGCAACTCTTCGCGATCTGCGGGTTCGTCGTCGTGGACGCTCCCGTCGAGCACGGTGGCTGCTAGCTCTGCTGCGTCGTCGTCGTCCGCTGCACAGGCGATGTACGTCGTTGCTGGCTCGTCGACGTCGTCGTCGATTTCGGTGCCGTTGACGACTGGAACTTCGTCGAACTCTTCGATTCCTATCGTTTCGTCGTCGGCTGATGCTATTACATCGTCGTCGTCGTCGTCATCGTCATCCTCCTCCTCCTCCTCGTCATCCTCCTCGTCGGTGGCTGCTATCTCATCGGTCGCGTCTATGGCCAGCGCAGATGAAGCCCTGTACGTGAGCATGACCTCCTCCTCCTCCTCCTCCTCCGCCGCACCCACGACATCCGTCCTCGCGGCCGCCGCATCTGCAGCATCCTCGACCTCTTCCAGCGCGACCTCCAGCTCCGCCTCCGCGTCCGCCTCAACGACGCTAACCGCAGACGAGCAAGACGCTCTCGACGTCCAAAACGCAGCGCGCGAGGCCGTCGGCGTGCCGGACCTGACCTGGTCCGCCGACCTGACCGCGGAGGCGCAGTCGTACGCCGACTACCTTTCCGCGAACGACCTATTCGTGCACTCCGGCGTCGCGGGCGAAGGCGAGAACCTGTACTGGTCCTCGAGCACAGCGTCCGGCCAGCTCGCTGACGCGGCGGAGTCGTTTGTGAGCGAGAAGACCGCGTACGATGAAGCGGGCGATCCGGTGATTGGGGACGACTACGCGACGTACGGTCATTACACGCAAATCATCTGGAAGACGACGACGGAGGTCGGATGCGCGGAGAGCGAGGGATATGTTGTGTGCAGATATTATCCGCAGGGGAATTACGTGGGGGAGTCGCCTCTTGATCCCGCTAATTAGAGATAACATAAAAAGAGTTAGAAGAGAATAGTGTTTTGATTTTATTGTTGAAGACGAGGGTTAACGGCGCGATATTGGCTTATAATACTTTTGTTTTTGTTTATATGTTTGGGAATACAAGATACTTCTTACAATAACTACTGAATAGAACAACTATCAGAAGTAGACTCGTCGGCAAATACGCCACAAGCCCCTCCCGCGGTGGCAGCACGCCCGATGACTCGCGGCGGCGCCGAGAGCGGAAGCCCAGGCCGGAAGCCGAGCCCGGAAGAGCAGGAGATGTGCTTGGCTTTCCGCCTCTGCCGCCGCTGCCGCTGCCGAGACCTGTCGCGATGCTTGGTAGGGAGAGTGTGTAGAGTAGAATGAATAGAGGATAATGAATAGAGGACTGTAGAATATAGAGAGAGGGAAGAGTAGAGAACAGTGCGGTTCTCCACTCTTAGGATTAGGGAGTTGAGACAAGACTACAGCTTCGCTGATAAGAGCAGACAGCGGTTGAAACAAAGCGACAGCGGGTTCAGGTTGCAGATCCGGGAATGAAGCAATCTGGACAGAGAGGCTAGAAACGGGAACTCCAAACAACTCCTAGCTCACGTCCACCCGGACGGAGAACAAACAGGAAGAAGCTCAGAGCTGGCCCCCGAGATCGACATAGCGTTCGACAATCATCCGAGCGTTGAAAGTATCGCGGTGGTTGCTGCTGCTCGCCCCGCTGCTCTGCTCGATCTGAGCGCGTACCCGGGCCATGTTCTTGTTATCTTTGTAAGGGCACCGGCCACTGGGACCGCGAATACGAAGCTGCTGCTGCTTGTGCTTATGCGGGCTCTTCTAGTTCTATCCTTTAGTTCTGGTAGGTCGTGTAGATGTATTACCAGTCGGCGCAAACGAAGGCACCGAGATGGCACTTAAATGAAAAGAAAAACGCCGCCGAAGCGAGTCATCGCGCCTCTGGCTCGCCACCGTCTGCTGCCTCTCTTCTCTCTGCCGCCGCCTTCAACCACCCGCGATCTCTTGACGCGGAAGAGAGGCGCCCAGGGGGAGTGAGCAGAGTTCAGAGCTACGCCAGACTCAGAAAGTTGACTCGCCACTTGTCTTGTGTAGGAAGTTTCGGCCTGGCCGTCTGTGCTCGAGCCCTTCACCAGAGTCGACACATGTGGTTTAGGTGCACTGACTCTGCGTTTGTATAATTTTTCGCTCTGCCGATAGTCACTATCTATTAACTATCTGCTAGTCTCAGTCGTCGAGTACCTCCTCCGCGCTCTACTTATCGCGGCTACGGTGGCTCGTGCTGGCCGCCGTAGCCAGCCAAGCTATCAATTATCAGCTCGGATGGTTTGCTCGGTTCCTCCGCGATACTGACCTGACGCGAGAGATAGAGACCGCCCGTCTGTCAGTATAAATACCTGGCTGTCTGCCCTGTCGCTGTCTGTCTTCATACCCCATCCCTCCACCTCTTTCTCTCTTACTTTGCACAGAAACACAAGGCAAGATGGGTTTCAAGGACCGCTTCAACAGATTTATGTACTGGGTCCAGCCCAACGTCACCGTTACCGGCCCCGACGATTTCCGCGGCCGTGACCCCGCGACGTGGGACATGGAGGAAATCAAGGTGCGCTTCGCTGACCTCATCGACGACGACGAGCACACCTACCAGCCCAACATGGTCCAGCGCACGCTCGGCCAAGCATGGGATACCTTCCGTCTGCCGCCCAAGCAGCGGCGGTACATGCAGAAGCTGGACGCAAACATCTTGCTCTACGCCCTGCTCTCGTTCTTCATCAAGACGCTCGACAACTCAAACATCTCGAACGCGTACGTGTCCGGTATGAAGGAGGACCTTCACCTTTACGGAAACGAGCGAAATCTGTTTAGTACTATGTTCAACTGTGGATATCTTATTGGTGCGATCCCGTCGCAGTTCATGCTCAACCGTGTTCGTCCGTCTGTGTGGATTCCTACTTGCGAGTTTATCTGGTCCGGTCTTGTTATGTCTATCGCTGGTTGCAACTCCGCCCGTCCTGTATGTCTCACTCTCCTTTTGAATAATCCGAACAAAGAGCTAACAGTTTATAGATCTATGGTATTCGTTTTATGATTGGTTTCTTCGAGTCGGTGGCCTACCCCGGTCTTGCGCTCGTCCTTGGTTCGTGGTACAGACCTTCAGAGCTGGCTAAGCGAATGGAGCTCTACGATGCCGCGTGGGCTATCGCGTCCATGTTCTCGGGCTACATCCAGGCTGGTGTGTACTCTTCCATGAACGGTCTCGCGGGCTTCAAGGGATGGCAATGGCTGTTTGTTATCGACGGAATCATCTCGTTCCCGATCGCCTGGCTCGGATACTACTCGATCCCCGATTTCCCCAAGAACAACCACTCGCTCTATCTCTCTGAGCTCGAGCGCGAGTACTCGTACGTGCGAATGGAGCTCGTGGGCCGGAAAGCGCCCAAGAAGCTGACGATGGGCCGGTTGGTCGGCATGTTCAAGACCTGGCGTCCGTACGCGTTCTTGCTGCCCTGGTGCTTGTTCAACGTCAACGACACGACCGGATACTTCAACCTGTGGCTCGACTCGCTCACCAAGGCCGACGGATCGTCACTCTACTCGACCCAGCAGATCAACCTGATTCCCACCGGCGGCTACGCGATCTCGCTCGTGATTGGATACCTGTCTGCCAACATCTCGGACCGCGTCGGACACCGATGGGCGTTCATCCTGCACGCGGCGTCGTGGTGTTTCTTGGGTAACTTGTTGCTCGCGATCTGGGATATCCCGTTCGGACTCAAGTACTTTGCCTTCTTCTGCCCCGATATCGGATACTCGTCCTGGGGTATGATGCTCGCCTGGTCGGCCGAGGTGTTCCAGGACGACGCCGAGTTGCGCGGTATGCTCCCCGCGACTGGTTCGACGATCTCCTACGCGATCAACGCGTGGCTGCCCAACGTCATTTTCCCGACCGAGCACGCGCCGCAGTACAAGACGGGCAAGGGATACCAGATCATCTCTGGTCTGCTCGTGCTCGAGATGATTGGCGTGCTGTTCATGCTGTTTATGTGGAAGCGCGAGGTGCGCATGAAGGGCCGTGTTATTAACAAGTACGGTCTTGCTGTTGATGCCGAGGAGGCGGTTCAGCTCCAGACTGTCGGCGAGAAGGAGTTGCAGCAGACCGAGAAGGGGTTGTATAACGTCAACACCCAGGAGGTCGGCGGCGAGAAGGTCAAGGTGATTGAGGGCGTCGAGCCGGTGTCGATGAAGGGAAGCGACTCGGACTCGGATGCGGACGTCATCAAGGAGAAGGAGGCGTATTAATGTACATAAGCCCTGTTTTGTTGCTGTTTTGTTATAAGTTGTCTTTAATCAACAATGTCTTTCAATGTTAAGATCATATAATCACTTAGTAATCAATGCACAAAGTTCATGGCACTTACGTAGCCGCCAAAATGTGCGCTGCTCTCAGCATCGCGAGGCTTTTTTCGCCACCACACCCCACACGCTTTGTTTACGCTGTTCTTGGTTCGGCAGCGCGAACAGCTCGCCTGCGTCTCTGATCCGCTGTTTGCTGTTTGTTCTGGTTTATTGAGTTGAGTTGGGTTTTGGCTGAGTGTTTGGTTAAGAGTGAAGTGAGAGTGAGATTGAGATTGAGATTGTGAATAGTAGTTTGTGTGTTGTGAAGGATCACGATGGAGGGTCCGCTTGGTAGTCCGCTGGTGGTTGGAATAGCTCAGAACCAGCAGCAGCTTCCTCTACCACCACCTCCACAGCAGCAGCAGCAACCACCACCACCACAACAACAACAACAGCAGCAGCAGCAGCAGCAGCTCCCCCCGCGGATGCTCCCCACGAACCAGCTCCCGCCGACCAACACCACGCTCGATGATCTCCGGAACACGCTCGAGCGCATCGGCGCGCAACTGCTCCCGATCTACGACGAGACCACGACCGGCGGCGAAGAAGACGTGGTGCTGTTTCGGCCGACGGAGGAGGCGTTTTATATGTGGCTTAAAGAGCAGAAGATGTACATGAAGTGGAATACGCATAAGCGGGCGGATTATCGCAAGGAGAACGTATGTATCTAGCAGGGCTAAGGTGAGTAGCAGCATTGGCTAACAGTGAGCAGAAACGGATACAAGCAGGTGCGCTGGACTTCAAATACGTCTACCTGTGCAATCACGCAAAGACGTACAACTCGCAGCACAACCCAAAGATCCCGCCCGAGAAGCGACGGAAAGGAAAAGAGACAATCAAGGTTGGCTGCCAGGCCAAGATCGTCGCGAGACAGTACACGGACGCGAACCAGATCGAGATCAGGTACCGCTGGCGACATAACGGGCATGTGCCGGCGTCGCCGCTCGAATGCCTGCTCAAGCGCGACGACGCCGGACGACGCGAGTGGCTGCAGTTGCGGGTCGGACAGCTATATACGACCGAGCCGTTCATGGAGCTGTCGCGGTTTATGCCGAGCGAGTTTGCGATGCTTGAGCAGGACGCGGTGAATATGAACTCGCTGCCGGAGATATTTAGGTTGCTGAGGATTAAACCGTCGAGCATTGCCGAGCTCATGCGGGACCACGTCCGGCACTCTGGGGACTGGCCGGACAGCTCGACGCGGCGGGTGCAGATGTGGCAGGAGCTATTTACGGAGTGCAACGCGACGGTGAACATGCTCTATCAGAAGAACGGGTTTTTGGACGATGTGTCGCTGCCGGAGCTGTGGGAGCAGCTGGGGGCGGTGAAGGCATATAATCGCCGGCTGAGGGATATCCTGTTTCCGCAGGGGCGCATCCCTTCGCAGCAGCAGATGTTGCAGCAGCAGCACATGCAGCAGTTGAAGCACGACGGCACAGCAGCGATGCCGATGATTCCTATTCCGAGGATGCCACCGCCTGATGCTCAACAACAACAGCAGCAGCAGCAGCAGCAGCAGCAGCAGCAGCAGCAACTACAACCACACCACCAAGTTCTCTACCAACACGGCTTCGGACCAACCCAGGTCCTGGCAACCCCCCAGCGTCCGAGCTGACGACCCGGCTGATCTGATATAGAGCCACGCTGCCAGACGTCAGCCATCCCTTGATTCCCTGTCAAAGCCTTCATTCTACGGTTATTTATAGCCAAAACACCGCGATTCTCTCTTTCGCTGTCTTGCGAACAAGTCAGGAGCCGGACGCGCGGCGCAGAACGGCAGCCCTTCCATAATTACCCTGACTCTGTTTCATTAGAAATACGCGCTAGTCCTGATCGGGAATAGTCCAGTCAGCGACGCGCGGCCTGCGCCAAGCCATATTACTTCGCCGCCTTCCACGCATCAGCAAGTTTTCAGTTGTTGTTGTTGTTGTCTATCACCGGCATCTCCACAGCAGTTGCAGTACAATCACCAGCATCATGAACGACTACCGGTCTGACGAGTTCCTCATGGCCGCGGAGGCCTCTGGTATGGACCAGCTCTTCCCGCAGCAGCAGCAGCAGCAGCAGCAAAGGCAAGGCCAGGCACAGGCTTATGCCCCCCTCGATATCCTCACCGTCCCCTCCCAACACCAGCACCAGCACCCGCAGCTCCAGCAAGGACTCCGACCGAATCTCTTTGTCAACGGCACCTCGGTCGCCGACTCCGAGTCCGACAACGAAGACGAATTCAAGTCGAAGAAGCAGCAGCAGCGCGGTGGCAACAACTCTGGCGCCGTCGGCAGACTGCCGGTCTCGATCAAGGACATCGCCTCGGACGAAGACGAGCGTCTGCTGGCTTCAGAAGAAGGAAAGAAACTCTCGTCCAAAGAGCGACGACAGCTGCGGAACAAGGTCAGCGCGCGGCATTTCCGTCTGCGGCGGAAGGAGTACATCACACAGCTCGAGCAGTTGATTGAGCAGAAGGTGACGGAGGCAAACACGCTCAAGGCCGAGAACGAGCGACTTGCGCTCGAGAACAAGAAGCTGGCGGATGCGCTGCAGGGACTCTCGCTCTCGCCTGCGTCGTATCTCTCGCCTAGCCCGAGCGAGGAGGTGTACACTCCGTCTATGCCCCGACAGCCTGCTGCGACGGCTACGGCGAGCGCGCCTGTAGTCTCGCAGCAGACGCCTTTGGTGCCTGAGTTTCAGGATTACGATGTTTTGAACATGCCTCTTACGCAGTTTGACTCGCCTGCGTCGTATCTTTCTATGAACTTGTTTGCGGGTGCTGTTGAGCAGGAGCAGGAGCAGCAGCCCCAGCAGCAGCAACAACAACAACAGCAGCAGCAAAGAATCACGCCGCGGATTGCAAACCTTCTGCCAACGTTCAACGCCCGGAAGGACGCCAACCCGAACAGCTTTGACTGGCCTCTGGCGTACTCTCTACCAGGATCGCTTGAGACGGACAGCCTCGGCCAGAGCTCAGCGAGCACGGGCAACAGCGATGTGCTGTTGAGCAACGTGCAGGTGTTCAACACTATTGTGCCAGAGTCGCTTGCGGAGCTGGAGAAGGAGGCGTTGCGGGCGCAGCAGGAGCGGGAGAACATGGAGCGAGCTGAGCGGGAGCACGAGGCGCGACGGTCGACGATCACGGTCGAGCTTCTGCGTCCTAAGCCTGATCGCGAGGAGGAAGGCCGGACGGAGGAGACCGAGGACGACAGACGGTCGCGGGAGGGAATCTGGGAGGATGCGTGCAAGGCGGCCGAGGAGGTGTACCAGCGGTTGGGCTTGCAGCTCGCGGGCTTGTCGCTGACGAACGAGGAGGAGGAGAGCAATGACGCTTAGTTGCTATGTTGATTTATGCTATTGTCTGCTATGTTTTGATTTTGATGGAGTGATTGGAGAGTACTGTTTAAGGCGTTTGTTGGAGTATAAAGTGAATGAATACTGTTATATAAGCAATAGAGCAACTATTATGTAATGAGATTGATAAGATATTACATAATGAAGTTACCCGCCCCAAGTGGGTTTGTGTCATCCACACGGATCAGACATCACCTTCTCTGATCATCTTTGGGTTGATAGCATCGCAGCATCGCATCAGACAGAGCATCGTCAGATTATTACAATCAGAAGTTAAGAGCTGTATAATATCAGCAGCAAGTACAGACAACAACAGCACACATGTACGCAGAACACTTCAGCGAGCCCGCGACAAGCCACGTCGCGAGCGCGCCCATCGAGCACCAATTCTACCCGTATGCATCGAACGGCGGAACTATTCTCGCAATCGCAGGCGCAGACTACGCATTGCTTGCGGGCGACACGCGGCACATCACCGGCTACTCTATCAACACGCGATTCCGGCCGAGCATCCACACGCTCGAGAACCTGGGTGGTCCGGAGCGAGCGATCGTTGTTGCCGCGAACGGGTTCAGCGCGGACGGGGATGCGCTTGTGAGAAGGCTTGCGCAGCGGGCGGAGTGGTATACGTATAACCACAATAAACCGCTGAGCGTGAGTGCGTGCGCGAGGTTGGTGCAGACGATGTTGTACGGCAAGCGGACGTTCCCGTATTACGTGCACACGATCGTCGCGGGTCTGGACGAGAGCGGGCGCGGGGAGGTGTATTCGTTTGACCCGGTGGGGTCGTATGAGCGGGAGCAGTGCCGGGCGGGCGGGAGCGCGGCGAGTCTGCTGATGCCGTTTTTGGATAACCAGGTGAATAAGAAGAATCAGTATGATGCGGCGACAGGGTTGCCGCAGGTTGCGACGGACTTGCCGTTGGAGGAGACGCTCAAGTTGGTGAAGGATGCGTTTTCGAGCGTGACGGAGAGACATATTCATGTGGGTGATTATCTGGAGATTAAGATTGTGACAAAGGAGGGTGTCAAGGTGGAGTATTTCCCGTTGAAGAGAGATTAGTTTTATGTCAAGAGAGAGTATTCTTAAGAATTGAATGTTCATTGCTACATTCTATCCAATTCACAAACTATATACATAAACAACTAGAATTAAACAGCACAAGTCGAAGCACTACGCATACGGCATCAACTTGCGAATCCGCTTCACATGGTTTCCCTCGCCGTTCCCATGCGCATAGTCTTGTGTATGGTTCCGCGACCGAATGCTGCGCGACCAATTCGAGTTTCCGTGGTTTTTTCCAATCGAGGCCTGTGTGAGTTTATAATAGTCAGTAGATGTAGAGAGTGGAGAGAGGGAGAGGGTGGAGATGTAGTAGTAGTAGTAGTAGTAGAGAGAGACATACGTGTTTGTACTTGCCGGACTTGGTCTTCCGCCACCGCGCAGCTGCGCCGGTATGTGTCTTTATCTTATATCCCTTAACCTTCGTCTTAACTCCTCTTATCTGCTGCTGCTGCTGCTGCTGCTGCATCGACTGCTGCTGGGTGAACATCATCGGGAACGACCGGGCAGCAGACATATATGACGACGGCGCGAGCAGAGTCCGCGATGGCGCATGGTGCGCAGCGGCGTAGAGCGACGTGGTGAATATCCGTGACCGTAAGGAGGATAGGAAGGACATCTCTTTCTTTCTTCTTCTTCTGTTGCTGTTGTGGTGATGTGGTGAAGACTCGGAAGTTGAGAAAAAGTTCGGAGGTGGAGTGAACCCTAATCCACCGGGGTCTTGTAGTTGTAACTACTTGTATGGTATTCATTGCAGTTATTGTATGTATGTATTGTATGTATATATTGTGTGTATATATTGTGTGTATATATTGTGTGTATATATTGTATGTATTGCTAGTTATTGCATTGAAAGATGCTGAGTTCTTGTCTGGTATGTACAGTAACAGTAGATCTATAGACACATTTACTTCTGACCCAACTTCAACTGCTCCTCAAACTGGATCTTGATCCACTTGGAGTTATACTCCGACGCAATCTTCGTCAACTCGGGATCCTGCCCGACCTTCTTAATTCCATACCCCTCCAACCCCTTCTTCACCCCCTCGAGACCCGAAACCATATCCTGCCACTCATTCAGCAGCGGATAATCCTCCGACGCGATCCCGGCAAAGTTATCCGCGAGCACCCAGCCCAGGCACGCGAGGTCCGCGACGGACAGGTGGTCGCCGACCAGGAACGGGGATGATTTGGTGGATTTCTGGAGCGCGAGTCGGGATTCGAGGACCGTGAACAGGCGGCGGGTTTCGTTTTGGTAGCGGGCGACGCCGTAGGAGCGGACTTCGGGGGATTTGGAGACGCAGTAGTGCAGGAAGTGGAGGGTTTGGCCCTGTGTAGTTGTTAGTTACTGCACTTCAAAGAGCAACTGCAATTGACAGAGCAACGCAATTGATAGAGTATCAAGAGCAAAGACTCACCTGCATAGGCCCAAGCCCACCAACCTGCCAAAACAACCACTCCAGAACCTCATAATACTCATCCGACCCCGCCGGATAACTGAGCTTATACTCTGGATCGTACTTGTCAGCCAGGTAGAGCAAGATCGCGCCGGACTCCATCAGTTTCTTTTGCTTGCCGCCGGTGTTGTCGACCAGCGCGGGGATCCGGCCGTTCGGGTTGATTTCGAGGAACCAGGGTTCTTTCTGCTCGAGCTTGGAGATGCTGACGGTTACGGTTTTGTATGGGAGCTGTGTTGTTGTCAGTTAGTCTGGGAAGGAGGAGAGGAGGGGAGGAGGGAGGTGTGGGCTTACTCCGAGGTATTCGAGAGCCATGGTGATCTTGACGCCATTAGGCGCAGTGTCGGTGTAGAGCGTAAGGTCGGGAGAAGACATTGTGATGGTAGTTATTGTATCTTAATATCCCTTTATAATTGCAGAGAAGAAGAAGAAGAAGAGGAAGACGGAGACTTATAAACACCTCAGATGCTCTGAGCTTTCGTGGATTATCTGATTTTAGTAAGCCGGGGACGACGACGACGACCCCACGTCGAGCCGCACGGTTCCGATATCGCTGGTTGATAAGAGATCAGGTTGTGTTCTATTCTATCATTGTATCATTGCATTATTGTATTTACTGTATTGTATTGAACTCTTGTGTTGTATCTATTGTATTGTATTACTGTATTGTATTATTGCATTCTCTGCTGTCTCAGAGTAATGTGAGCAATGTCTGCAATCTCTCGTCTCCCACCTGAGCTCCTCCTCGACATCGCCGCCTACCTCTCCTCCACCGACCTCCTCGCATTCAGAGTCGCCGTGCCTTCCGCCGCCCCCGTTCTTCTCAACCGTCCCGACTACTGGAAAACCCGAATCGAGCACGACTTCGGCCGCGAAGGCCTCGACTACGCTCTCTTCGCCTCCTCCACCTTCTCCCAGCACGACCACCAGCAACAGCCCTGGGATATAATCTACCGCGCCCTCTCCTCCCAATGGACATTCAGCTTCTCCGCTCTCCACCAATGGCGCGTAATCTCCCTCGGCAAACCCATCGGCTGCAAACCGGACGACGACTCCCTCCACGGCTCCGCGCTCGTCATCGCGCCTGAGGACCCGTTGATCTGGTACCATGTCTTTCGCAACGTGCTCGTCGCGCCGGGGAAGTATCTCCTGCGCTGGCGGTTGCGGTTCGGGTTTGATCCGATGGGACTGTGGTATCGGTATGAGCGGAATGCGTATGTGTTTAATGTCTATCTCTACGACGACGATGACGAAGACGCGCGCGCGAGCTCGAGTGCCGCGCTCTTCAATGGTAGCAGCAGCGAGCAATCCTCGCGCGCGGCGGACACGATGACGCGCGCGACGCGGAAGTTACTGGTATCTGTACCCATGAGCGCTGCAAGCTCGGCGATCGAAAACACAGGCATGTTTCAGAATATCGAACTGGCGGAGTTTTCGGTGCCGGCGAAGAAGCACAGCGGGGAGAAGAGCGGGGAGAAGGGGTTGGAGTGGCGGATGATTGCGGTTGAAGTGCGCGAGACGGAGACGATGCGGCATAAATTTGATTTCGTGAGTCTTTCTGTTTGTGTTGCAGTGCAGAAGAGGGAGACTGACGATGATCACAGAGTCTAGACCAAGTCCAACTCCACCTCCTCGAACCAAGCGACCCCTCCACATTCACCCACATCCGCGCGGTATCAGACGACAAAGACGACGTGATCCACACGCACGACGTGTATGCTGAAAGCCAGGCGCTGGCGGTTAAGTTGCGGCAGCATGTGAATGGGTTTGACGAGAGCTCGATGCTGCCGTTTGTGTCGAGTCAGTCGGATTATATTCGGTTGATGTTGGGGCATAATATTGATTGACTATGAGATGACGATGCTATACACAGCTAGTTGCCGTACTCGGTGATCTGACTGCTCTCCGGAAAACTATCACCAACCTGCAACGCGTCTGTGAGGTTATATCTATCACTATGAGATGATGATGCTATACACATGCTGTTGCCGTACTCGGCAATCTGACTACTCTCCGGAAAGCTATCACCAACCTGCAACGCGTCCGTGAGTTTATATCACGTTTATGAGATGACGATGCTATATACATGCTAGTTGCTATACGCGGCAATCTGACTACTCTCCGGAAAGCTATCACCAACTTGCAACGCGTCCATGAGGTTTAACGCATCCATGAGGTTATATCTATGACTATGACTATGACGATGCTATACAAATGCTAGTTGCTATACTCAGTGATATAACTGCTCTTCTCAAGAGTTGTTGAAGAACACGCGCAACGGGGACGCGGGCATGATGCGATTGACAATGACTATGTTGACGCTATTTACATGCTAATTGCCGTACTCGGCAATCTGACTGCCCTACAAGTGCTAGTTGCCGTACTCCTCAATCTGACTACTCTCCGCAAAGCTATTCACCAACTTCCTCAACGCGTCCGCAACCTCGTTAACCTGCTTCTCATACTCAACCAACGCACCCTGCTTGTGAACAAGCGTGCTGATCCACCCCGGCGGGGACTTCCACGACTTGCTCGCGCTTCTCGATCTACCCTGCGCGGGTCCCTCGTCCACTGGAGTTGGGAGGGATGCAGTCTGCTGGGTTTCAGGGATGCGCTTCAGGGTTAATTGATCCAGTGCCTACACCTCGTTAGCTCCCTCACATAATATCAACCAAAGAAAAAAGAACATACAAACTCGGTCTTTGGAAACAGGAAATCCGTCTCGCGAACTTCGACAAGCAGCATTCTCCACTCGCGACCACGGACGCCGGACGACGGTACATCGAACTCCGCAAACGCAACGGTGTGGAAACCCGGTTTGTCGTCGAGCACGCCGTCGAGGTCGGGAAGGTTTATTGACGAGAGCAGGGTTTTTGGCGTCGAGGTCGGGTTCCAGCTTTGTTGCTGCTCCTGCTCTTGTGGTGGTGATGGGCAGTCGTAGATGTATGTGTTGAATGAGAAATTCTGGTCGATCCGTGGCCCTTTATCCTTTGTCTCGCAGTCGTATTTAAACCGCCATTGTAGCTGATATCTTCCCGGCGCGACGCGGATGTTTCGAAATACATGGTACCAGCAGATATCCTGGTCGACGATCTCGAGCGCGACACCGCAGACTGACTCGGGGTTCGGCCGCGGCTCGAGGTATTTGCCGCGCCAGGCTACGCCCCAGGAATCCAGCGAGAGGAAGTTGAATTTCCACTGCGTGCTGAAGCCTTGGTGGATTGCTTCCCAGCGGCGCAGGCAGGCGTCGGTGGAAGAAGAGGCAGGGGAGGAGTTGATTGAGAGATCGGTGCGTTCGAGGAGGGAGGTGAGGTACTCGTGAGCTTCGAAGCCAAACTCTTCAATGATCTTGGCTTCCCATTCGAGGTTGAGGGTTGCGGTCTTGGTCTCGTCGTCTGCTGCGGATTTGGTCGAGGAGGTCGAGATCGAGCGGTGGCGGCGGATGCTGATTGAAGGGAGTTTGAAGTCCGGAAGGCGCAGGTGGTGGTGGTGGCTATGCGTTGGAGAGGGTGTAGATTCATGCATGTCTTCTTCTTTGTCTATATTGCTGTCTTGCGCTTCGCTAGAATCCTCAGCAACCTCAGTCTCTGTAGATGAAATGTCTGGTTTACTCTCAGCGCTCTGCTCAGCACTCTGCTCAGCGCTCTGCTCAGCACTCTGACTCTCAGCAGCAGCAGGAGTAGTCGCCATATGCGCGAGCTCATTGGTAGACACCAGCTGCGCGTCGTCCTCGAGATACGCAGACGGCGTGAGCGTATCCGTCGACACCAGGCTCAGTTCCGAATCATTTTCCATGGTCACCGCGGAAGTCATCAAGCTATCCTTGTACAGCAACAGCAGCAGTAGTGGTCTCTGGTGAGGATAAACCGCAGCCGGAGAGGCGGGACGGACGGATGCTGCGGGTTGAGCCGCAGCTAGTGGGGTTGGTGGGTGGGAGTGGCGGAGTCTTCTGCTGGGCTAAGCTGGGGTTGGTTTGTGGGTGTACGTTGAGATCAAAGACAGAGTGTTTAGAAGTGGAAGAGGAGATGCGTTTGTTTATTGGGAAGGGGAGGTGGTGGTGGTGGAGGAGGAGTGTAGTTCTGCGGTCGGTCCAAGTAGACTGCTGTTCGTCAGTTGACGCTGTTTGTCTCTCATGGTCTCGATGATTGATGATGAATAGTGTATTACATATACTGGATCAATGCTCATGTAGCAAACGGCGGACTCCACGTTGAACTGTCTTGCAGTCGTCAGGATTTCAGCGGCATCAGAGTCGTCGCCGAAAGTAGGTAGACACAATCGATGTTGACTGTCCCCCACAGTAACTTGAACCGGCACGCGTGCTACTGAGCTGTTATATCTAGCTCTGGCCAAATATCTCAAATATTCGTATGACGCTCGATCCTTCCATAGAGGAATCGCTTCAGAGTCAGGGTCAAAGGTGCGATAGATCCAAGCTTGGGCGGTGTAAACGGCGTTATTGATGACCACTTGACCTTAAGCTGAGGAAACGTAGTCTATCATGAGTAATGCTGCGGCGACAGTCGAAGGGATTAGTGCAGAACTACTGCAAAGCACATAGATGAAAGGCTGCAGATCAGATTGTTCTGTCGATGTCATTGTAGAATAAAGCTGCTGCGCTGCTTTTGAGTAAACTAATCCTCGAGAGGATCAAGGCATCTCTTTGACGAGTTCCGTAGAGTAGCCAAGCAGATAAGTCTGACCGGGATAACCTCGACAGAGAACATAAGAGATTCGCTTGGGCAGATCAATGTCGATATCGATAAAGCTGCGAGACTCGATTACACGTTGCAATCCCGAAGTCTTTCTGGGTATGAGACTCTGTCCTTTTGCCATAGTTGCGGCTAAAGAACAATGGCTGTGTTGGTTACTCTTTGTGGAGAGATCAAAACGAGAAATGAAGCGACAGTGGAAGTCTCACAAAACCCTTTTCTCTTACGTTTGCAAAGCTTCAAATAGGAAATGATACTTTTACTTATCCATTACTTATGTCTTAAGCATCACCATCTTCGTTAACAATAAGTGAGTACACAGTTCATGATACACAATACAGACAAGCCCTACACAATACACATCTCACACGTGACCGATAATAGAGCAGTCTCTTCACCCCACCAAAACCGAACTTCTCTTTTCTTCATACAATACAAATCCATGAATGGCTTATTTCCCTCTCAGACCCTAAACAGATACCTAAACAAGATGCAGGAGAAAACCAGAAACCAGAAGACTCCAGCTTAAATAGATACTTCCAAAAAAGGAAACAAATTGGGAAGCGGGTGACGCGTTAACTGTATTTACTGTCGGCCAGATCAAGAAACCCCAATACACCAACACGCGCACTGAAGTCCGCCCGCTTCGCGCGCCCGCCTCTTCTTCCCTTCTTCTCCCCACCCCCGACGCTCGTTTTTAGATAGCTCCCCCCCTTGCTTTCTGATACCCCTTTATCCTCCAGTCCGAGAGATAGATCGACTTAGGTACCTGCCTGATGGGCACTCTTGCTTTTTTTTGTTTCTTGTGCACTTACTCCCAAGCGATCCGCCCATACGACTCTCAGGGCGGATCGCTTGGATCCGTAGAACAGGTCCCTCTGGACCCGCGGGACGACTGGCGGATGCTCCACCCCTCATCTCTGCGACGCGGGCTTAGTGGCCGATCAGAATAGTATCCACTGGCTCAGCTTGAGATCTCTCTATACCACGGCAACAATACAGTGAGTCCAGACTTTGTCCGTACAGAGCTTTGAACTAACAGAAATTGTACAGGCGCATGGGTCCTCTACCGCGCACACTGCTGCAAACCCGTCTTTGGTAACCGGTGACCAAGGACGGTGAGCAACCTAACGACCGCGGATGTCGTTGGGTGAAGAAGTCAGTCGACTCTAGGGGCCGCCACATTTCTTGAGCTATGTGCGAGAGCCACACAGCTCTTGAGCTGACGTGGGAGGACACGTCGTGGCGGCACCGCAGCATCTCTAGAGCCTGACACCTTCCGCAACAGCGCAAGTACCGAGTGAGCATGCTCATGCTCAGGGAGACACTGTGTCTCCTTTGCCGGCTCGGTACTCTGCGTGGCCGCCCCTTCAGCGCCGAGATCAAGTTAGTCTGGCGCGGTTGGTCAGGGCGGTCAATCCGATAAGGTTCTTCTAGCCAGGTTACTCATCCGGATTCAAAACGTCTACGTTGTTCGCGTCTCGACACATATGCGGCTGGTATGCTGCGCCGTCGCATGGAGTTAGGCGACGGTCGTGGAGAGAGTCCGCGCGACCAACCGTCTTTGTCTCGACAAGACGAGCGGATCATGCGACAACATTGACAAAACCATCAATACGGGGGCAGGTCATGAACTGCTCTGGGTTGAAGTCGGGTCTTAGTGGGTATGGCGACATCGAGAGAGTCGCAGAGTCCCACATAACTCTTGATCACTCGTGGTCAAGAGTATGCGTAACGCATTCTTCCCGGTCCTGGCACCCGCCGCTTCGCGCGCGCTCGTTCTGTTCTGTCTTTCCTGTCTGTGCTGTGGATGTGTCTGTGGACTGTTCCTGGCAGTAGGCGGGGTTACTGTTTTCTGTAATGGTAACTGACAGAAGAGAAGGGCGCGCGTGGAGCGGATCCGTATTGTAAAAAACCCCAAAGAAAAAAAAATAAACGTAGACTTCTCAACTGTATCTAAATAGTAGACAGGAGTATTTGACCGCTAGTAGAATCCCATTCGGGGTCGAGGGTCGCGATCATTGACTAGTTTTGCTGGACTCAATAGAGTGAGCTGGGATTTGTTTGTGAGAATACGTCGGCTTTCAAAGGAGGGTTTAGAGGTGTTTTCAGAAGAGGGAGGAGGAGGTGGTGGTGGTGGAGTCTAGTTCTGCATTCTGTATGAGTAGACTGCTGTTCAACAGCTGACGCTATTTGTTTCCTATAGTCGCGATAATTGATAATGAATGATGTAACGAAGAACTGGAGCTCCTTGAATCAGCACAAAATAGCAAACAAATGACTGCAGCAACAAACAATAGAGACTCTTGCAGGACAAGCAAACCCACTTCACAAATTCTTCAAGCCTGACTTGAATAGGGCGAATTCCTGGTTTGGTCGACCTAAATAACCGTGGAGACGACTGTCGCCATCGGTCTTGAAATTAAGACACGGAGTGAACAAGAAACCAAGCAGTGCACCCTCGTCATTCTCATCTAGAGAGAAGTTCTTGGTAATCGCACCGTCATCCTTTGGGGCTCGGGCTATAGTCTGAGCGGGTGTACCAGAATTTGTTGCGACGAAGCGCTCGCAGTTGACATGTCTTGAGAACATGAACTGATACTTTTTCCACCAGTTTTGGATAGATTCATTATACTCAGCAATCGTGTCCTCTGAATCTTTGATTTGAATGAATCCAAACTCTTCAAGAATGCTGTCTGGCAACTGAAACTCCGCAGATGCAAAGGTGTCATAATCGATCGCGAGAATGCTCATGTAGCGAATAGCAGACTCCACGTTGAGCTGTTTTGCGGTTGCCAGGATTTCAGAAGCGTCAGAGTCGTTATCGAAAGTAGGTAGACGCAATCGATGTTGACTGTCCCCCACAGTAACTTGAACTGGCTCGCGAGTTACTGAGCTATTGTATTTTTCTTTGACCAAATACCTCATATCGTCGAAAGAATCCTGATCTTTCCATAACGGAACGGCTGTAGAGTCGGGGTGAGAGGTGCGATAGACCCAAGTCTGGACGGTGTGGGTGGCGTTATTGATGACCACACGACCTTGATCAGTAGAGTAGTCGCCTATGATGTGTAAGACAGCGGCGACGGAGGGAGGGATATCCATAGGATGGCGAAGTACTGCTCAGAAGGCACCAAGACCATATTTCCCTGACGTCGCACACAAGAGCTGCCCTGCGCAGTTACTTCTCGTATTCTAACTTACTATTAAAAGCACTATTTTTATTGACAATACAGAACATAACACAGAAGATCCAGTGAACAGATACACAGAATAGCACAGAGTTGGTGAGATTACCGACGACTTGATTGCCGAGTCGGAGGAGCTGCGGCTTATGTTGATATGAATAACGGTCTGGAGGAGGTTAAGGAGAGTCGAAGATGAGTTTGATTGAGGATGAGTTGAGGAGAGATGATGAGGAGGACGAGTTGAGAATAAGATTGAGAACTGTTGTTGTATTGTTGTTGTTGTTGTTGTGTTGATACTTGAAGAGTGAGAATATTGTCGAGGTGGATATCTGTTCTCCGCCTCTTCTCTTTCTCTGCTCTCTTCTCTTCTCCTCTTCTTCTCCTCTTCACCGTCCTCTTCTCCTCCTCGTCTTTTTCTTCGTTTTCGTCTTCTATTCTTTTCTTCCTCTTCTCCGCTCCTCTCATCTAATGCAGCTCCCCGGTCAACTGACACCGGATAAATCCTGCCTGCAAATAAATTAAGTCTCCTCCACTTTAGCCGGAATCCTCCCCGGCATCGCGCCCCGTCTCCCCGCCATTTCCCCATATTTAACGTCTACGCATCCTCCTTCTGTCATTCTGTTCTTCTGCTCTGTATCCTGTGCTCTGACTCCACCGCAATTGCAATGATCTCCTCCTCCGACAACAAACTTATCTACCGCCACGACGCTGAGCATCTCTCCATCGAGCCATGGGGTGCAAACGCCCTCCGCATCCGCTCCTCAAAGACTCAGGCTCAGACTGAACCCTCCAATGACTGGGCTCTTCTTCCTCCCTCTTCTACCTCTGCCACCGCTGAGGTCTCTTCATCCGGCGGAACTGTCACCAACGGCAAAATCTCTGCTACTATCTCCCCGCGCGGAAAACTCATGGTCTACAACTCCGCCGGCAAAATCCTACTCGAAGAGTACGCCCGCAACCGCAACGACGTGCAGGATCCAAAGTGTTCGGCGCTTTGCGTTGACGCTCGCGAGTTCAGACCGATCCCGGGTACCGAAAACTACCATCTCACCCTGCGCTTCGAGTCTCTCGATCCCCACGAGAAAATCTACGGTATGGGCCAGTACCAGCAGCCGTACCTTGATCTCAAGGGTCTCGATATCGAGCTCGCGCACCGAAACTCGCAGGCGTCCGTTCCCTTTGCGCTCTCGTCCCGCGGCTACGGGTTCTTATGGAACAACCCCGGCGTGGGCCGCGCCGTGTTTGGCAAAAACATAATGTCGTTCGAAGCCTACTCGACCACCACTCTCGACTACTGGGTCGTCGCCGGGGACTCTCCCGCCGAGATCGAAGAGGCATACGCAAAAGCCACCGGCACCGTGCCAATGATGCCCGAGTACGGACTCGGGTTTTGGCAGTGCAAGCTCAGGTACCAGACCCAGGACGAGCTGCTGACGGTCGCGCGCGAGTACAAGAAGCGTAACCTGCCTATCGACCTTATCGTCATTGATTTCTTTCACTGGCCGAAGCAGGGAGAGTGGAAGTTTGATCCTACGTACTGGCCTGATCCAGGTAAGCTATTCATTATCACACTCTTCTGTTCTATTCAGACTAACATCCGTATAGACGCCATGGTTGACGAACTGAAAAGCCTAAACATCGAGCTCATGGTCTCCATCTGGCCCACCGTCGACTACCGATCCGAGAACTTTGACGAAATGCTCGAGAACGGCTACCTCATCCGCACCGATCGCGGCTTCCGCATCGGCATGGATTTTCAGGGCAACACTGTCCATTTCGACGCGACCAACCCCGGCGCCCGCAAGTACGTCTGGGACAAGGCAAAAAAGAATTACTTTGCAAAGGGGATCAAGACCTTTTGGCTTGATGAAGCCGAGCCGGAGTATAGCGTCTACGATTTTGATAATTATAGATACTTCCTGGGGAGTAACCTGTCCGTGGGTAACATCTACCCCCGCGACTATGCTCGGGCATTTTACGAAGGTCAGGAAAGCGAGGGACAAACGAATATCGTCAATCTCCTCCGCTGCGCATGGGCAGGCAGCCAGCGCTACGGTGCGCTCGTCTGGTCCGGCGACATTGCATCCTCATGGTCTTCCCTGCGCGATCAGTTCGCCGCCGGACTCAACATGGGCATCGCCGGGATCCCGTGGTGGACGACCGACATCGGCGGGTTCCACGGCGGCGACCCCACCGACGACAAATTCAAGGAACTATTTGTGCGCTGGTTCCAATGGGGCGCGTTCTGCCCCGTCATGCGTCTTCACGGCGACCGCTTCCCGCAGCAGCCGCAGCTCGGCACCACCGGCGGCGCGACCTGTCTCTCGGGCGCCGACAACGAAGTGTGGAGTTATGGCGAGCAGGTGTACGAGATTTGCAAGAAGTACATGTTTATCCGCGAAAAGCTGCGGGATTATACGCGCGAGCTGATGGCGGCGGCGCATGAAAAGGGCACGCCAGTCATGAGAACTTTGTTTTACGAGTTTCCGGACGATAAGCAGGCGTGGGAGATCGAGGACGAGTATATGTACGGATACAAGTACCTTGTCAGTCCTGTGCTGTTTCCGGGGGTCAAAACTAGAAAGGTGTATTTGCCGGTGGGGAGTAAGTGGAAGGAGTTTGAGGGGGAGAAGGAGTTTGAAGGCGGCCAGACCATCGAGGTTGATCTTCAGATCGAGTCCATGCCTGTTTTTGAAAAGATCTAAGTCCCGCTAGTTATATATAAATACTATCAATATGCTATTAAGTGGATAAAAATCATGCAATAAAAATACATCAAGTCACAATCGTCCTCATCAAACTATCCAACATCCGTAACCCATAAAACTCCGCCACCTTCCGATACACATTCAACCGCTTCCTAATCTCCTCCGGCGACATACTAAGCTCCCACTCTCCCGAACACACGCAGTACTCTGACAAGTTATCCTCTTTGATCTGCTTGCATTTCGAGCACCGCAGGTCCTGCGTCTGATAACTCGTCACGACCGACATCACGTCGCTGATCATGCGCTCTTCGATCGCGAGCCGGTTGAAGTCGCGAGCGCAGTGTTTGCATCTCCAAGAGATATTGCGCTGCTGCTGCTGCTCGGTGCCAGAAGAAGAGTCGAGATCGAGAGGCATTAATTTCTCGTCGCGGCAGAAATCAAGCTCGGATTCAAGCGAGCACGAGGTGCAGATCTGGCTGAGTTTTAACGACGTGCTCGGGTTCTTGAACACGCCCGCGTCGCTAAACTCTTTGACTTCGAATAACGCCAGCAAATCTCTTCGCACGACGCGCACCTCGAGGTTTAGCTCCCGCACCAGACTGAACACCGCGCACAAGCTCTTGACGAGTTCGAGTGTGGGGTTTGTTAGTTTGAGGTGTGAGCCTGGAAGCGTGGGGAACTTGTAAATCGCGCTCGCCACCTCGTCTTCCGAGGCCGTGGCGTCGATCTGGCGACGTAAGAGGTGCGTCATCCGTTTTTTCAGCTGCTTCTGAAGCGATAGCATCGTGCCCTTTGCGAAAAACTCGTCGTCGCCGCGACCGATCCCGCGCAGCTGCGTCGCCCGCGGAGTTCCGCTCGAGACCGAGGGGTTGAACTCGTTTGTCTTTGCGGTGTGCATGAGCTCGAGAAAGTCCTCGACCCAGACAGAGAACTCGTTCTGCAGCATCTCTGGCAGGAAACTCTTGATGTGCCAGTTCATCACCAAACTGTACGTCTGCAGCGCGGACTCGTTCGCAATCTCCGTGCACGCAAATCCACCGTAGTTGACGTCGTCCATCCACAGCAGGTAGTCCCAGTACTGCGTAATCTTGAGCTCGAGGAAATTGAACAACGGTTTCGCGCAAATCGATTTCACGACATACTGCGCGTAAGAGTACGCGTTGCCCACCACCGCCTTGCTCGTCTTGATCACCAGCTTATCCTGCTGCGCGTGCACAACCTGCGACCCCACCCTTCTGAACTCCGCCAGCAGCTGCAAAAACGCCTTGCGCGACAGATTCCGCACGTGGTACTGCAGCACGGGGTCAAACAGGTGCGACTCGGCGCTCGACACCCAGAGCACAAAGTTATTTACCATCTCGTCCGCGTGCTTGTCCTGCGCCAACGCTTCTTCCCACCACTGCTTGACGAGGTCGCGCAGGACAGCGATCGCGGGCGCGGACGACGCGTTCTCCATAAACGAGAGACTCGCGCCGTCGCCTGCGGCGCCGGTACTGCTGTTGTCAGTCCCTTCCATCTCGTTGATCAGCGCCGACGTCAGAACGGTGTTGATGACGAGATTCTGCACCGAGATGTCGATACACACGTCCTCGTACGAGCTCGCGTTGTTGATCACCGGCATCTCGAGGTTCTCCGTGATCAGCAGCGACTGGTCTTTTTCGCGCCCGCCAAGGTCTGGAAACGGCGTAGGCGACCACCACAGAATCACGCCTGCTTCCTGCAACTTGCGCGCGTACTGCACGTCAATCACCAGCCGCGTATCATCCGGCTTGAGGTTTCCGAGCGGGATATTAGCGTACCGCGCCATCTCCGTCATCTTTGCGATCCGCCCACCCAGACCAAGGAAGTGCAGCACGATCCGGCGCGCAAGCGGAAGCTGCCATCCCAGAGGCGGCAACGAGAGATCGGCCTGCGAGGGCGCGAACCGAAGCACTGGCATCTCGCGCACGACCGCAAAATCCCGCTCGATAGCCCGCGCGTGCGGACTCATGAGCGCGAGAACCGCCTGGTTGCTGCTGTCGGAGTAGAGCTTGAGCAGCCGCGCAGAGACGGCGCGTTTGGTCCGCTTGAGGCTCGAATGCTGGTCGACGTTGAACTTTAGCGTCTCTGGCGGTTTAAAGGCAGCAGACTGGGTTTGTAGTCGGGATGCCATTTCGTCAAATTGGGTCTTGTAGACGGTCTCGAGATTGGGGAAAGGTTGCTGCTGGCGCGAGCTGGACTCGTAGACAAAGATGTCCGCTTGCTCGTCAAAGGACGAGAAGATGGCAAAGATCTGACGGTCGCCGGAGACCACATGATACAAAAACACGACGCGGAGCGCGACCGAGTTCAGGTACTCTTGGTTCGCGGGACATTTGACCAGCGACGAGACCTCAAACCCAAACTCGAGACCCTTACCGAGCACGCCTTTTTTCTCCATGTTGATCTGGCATGAGTTTCCAAAATCGAGCACGAACCGGGTGGCGTTGTCGATGTGGCCTTCGTAAACGCCCGCGACGGATTGGTGCGTGAATATGCTGGTCACTTTTTGGCACTCGGCCGCGTAGAACTCGTCTTTCATCGTCAGCCTGAACAGGCGCGGAGAACTGCTTCCGTTCGGAAGCGTGCGGTTGACTTTCTCGACCGTCATGTCGGTCACCTTGAGATCTGGGAAATCGTCGTCTTTGAAATCGACGTAGACCTTGCGATCGACTTTGATCGTCACGCTCTGGATCCGTCCAGTGATCATCACCCAGCACTTGAGCACACCAGGCGTTTCAGACTCGGTTATTTGCAAGATCTGCCATTCCTTGCCATACCGCTTCTCAGCCTGGTTCTTCAAAAAGCTCGTGACCTCGCCCGCATTCGCACGGTGCGACACCGTGCTGTCGCCAAACAGATGCTTCCGCCGCTCACGCGCTTGCCGCTGGATCTTCCACTTTTTCTTCATATAGCCCAGCCAGCCCACGTAGTCGGTGTTAATATCTGGCTGCACGAGCGGAAGCGAGGCGAACAGCGCTTCGGTGTCGTCCTCGTTCTTTGCGTTGACTTGGTTCTGCTTGCGCTTGGAAACGACTTTTGCTACCGAGCCGCGGGCTTTTGTCGCTGCCGAGACGGCGGCGGCGGAGGTTGCTGTCACGAGCGTAAGATCTTCGAGGTCGCAAATTGGTTGTAAAGGCGCTTTGTTTGTCACGTCCTCGAGCGGCTTGGTCTTGAAGACGTCAAGGGAGGTCTGCTTGCCGCTCTGTAAGCGCTGGATGCGCTTGTGCAGCCAGTCTGGGTGTTCGACGCGCGGAACCGGATTGGGGACTTTCTGCAACGCGGCCGGGATCGTGATGATCTTCTGAATCACAGACGCAAGTCGCTCGCGGTAATATCCCCAGTCGATCAAATCACGAGGGTCGAACTCGGTCAGCGACGGATCCTTGAGCCAGCGCCGCAGGAAATGACTCTTGATCGACTCCTCGGCTGAAAAGATTGCGACCGGGATAGCGCGCTCGGTCACGGGCGCGGATTTCGGTTTCTCGGAAATGATGTACTTGCAGTTCAGACCTTTGTCTTTAACCATTTGTTCGCCCAGAAACTCGGCCAGCCGTTTTGCGGTCGAGATCGAGGTTGATTTCTGACTGCCGTAGTCTTCGAGTGCGCGCGACATACTTCTGTTTTCGCAAATGAGGTCGATAAGTTCGTCGTCCGCGAGAGTGACGCCCTTTGAATCCAGCACGTCGAGCCAGCGATCAGACACCTTTGCGACGCTCGCATAGCATTCCTCGAGCGATGAGCCGTCGAGGAAAACCTTGAAGATCTGCGACTGGAAGATTTTGATTAGCCGAAGTTCTCCTCGGCGTTTGACTTCGAAACCCTTGAGTTCGGCCAGCGAGCCGTCGTCGTTGAAGACTGCGTAGCGCTTTTTGAGGTTTTTGTCTTCTTCCTTGGAGGTCGGGAGGATCATTGCTCGGTAAGGTCCGTCGACTTCAAAGAAAATACTGTTCTCGCTCTTGACTTCGTACTTGAACTTTTCCGGATCCACGAGCGTCTGATACTGGTTGTTGGTAAACTTGTCGTGCACGAGATGATTGAGCATCGCGCACGGATAAGACATAAAAACCTTTCCACCGTCTTTCAGCTTGAACAGAAAGTTCTCGGGGAACGACTTTGGCAGAATACACCAGATACCATCAGTATCAAGCTCGAGCGGCCGTCCGATCTTCTCCACAAGCGCGCGAGCCATCTGAATGATCGTAGCGCCAGTAAGACAGGTAACACCCGCCATCTCCATCGAGTACCAGCGCGAGCCCTTGCGCATGACGTAGCCGTAGAAAGAGTTGAGAATGACCTTGTGAGCGAGCTGCAGCGAGTCGTAAAGAATGACCATCTTCTTTGCCTCTTCGCGCGCAAACGCGTCGCCCCTGTCGACTTTCTCAAGATTACGCTTCCACAGCTTTTGCTGGTTCTTGTACTCATACCGACGGTCGCGGAAATCGCGCACGGTGTCGGCGTAAAACGGGTTCTCGCGCTGACAGATGATTGCCTCTTTCTCAATCGTCTTTGTCTCTTTGATTTTGTGGTACACCTTGCGCGAGTAATCAGACAGCCGCTTTTTGACCAGCGCGTTTTGCTCCGACATTGGCAGATCGGCAAACGCTCGCGGCGGTTGATTGGGATATCTTCCCGGGAACTTCTCGCCCTGCAAAGTCCGGCGGATCATGTTGTACTCGTCCTTCTTTGCGGGGAAGAATTCGCCTCGCCAGGACCAGGGCAGTCTGCGGTCGCAGTTCTTGCCGGGCCGGTTGAAGTCGCAGGTCGCGCAGTCGGCTTCGGTTACCATCGAGTCAGGCTGGAGTCGGTTTGTGATCATGATGTTGGGGTACATTGAGGAGACGTCAAGATGGTAGATCAAAGGGCACTCTTTGCGTTTGTGGGTTTCTTTCAGCTCTTGTAGTTTGGAGGCAATTTGCTCGCGGATCTAGAAAGTGTGTGAGTCGGTGCATCGGGAGAGTTAACGAAGTCATACATACCTCATCATAGTTGGTCACATCCTCTAGCTTTTTCTTTGATTCGACCTCAATGGTGAACTTCAGTGCATCATCCAACTCATCCAGCAGCTACACAATACATGTTAGGATACGCCTTAGATCTTAATCCATGGCACACTCACCCTATCGATAGTCTTTGGATCAACATCAAAATTCGTTGGGATGTCACTCCTGAAGACACCGGCCTCCAAACTCTCAACATGTCCTCCGACATAAGTCTCACTCTCGAGCAAATGGCCCTCATAAAATCTCTCATCGGCTTCTTTGTGCTTGTTTGGTAGCACAATGTTGCCTTGGTACGCCTGGACCATCAGCAGCATCTCGCAAAGTGTTCCTGTGCCCTTCCGCAGAACCTCGTCTGGGTTGAGTGGGATAATATTGCACAGCGAGAAAATGAAGGGGTGGACGTATTTCATATACAGATAGTAAGTTGCGACGGCATCGGAAACAGAGTATTCTGACAGAATTTGGGGATGCTCGGACGCGTATCTGTACAGGATTGTTAGTTCTACTCTTAAGAAATAGTGCGCAGTTGGTGCGTACCTTGTCATCAACTCTGGATCTAGCTCTTTGGGGTCATAACCCATCTTCGCCGTCGTGACAGCCTTCAGGCCCTGACTACCCTGCGGCAGATATGAATCTCGCTTCACCCATCTAAACGCGTCCATATGGCAGCAGTACGAGGACTTGTACTCATCCTCGCTATCCTTTTGGAATCCGATCTCTCGGTACATATCAATCCCGTGAACCTTTGCACGTCCCTCGACAAACGGCCAGTCAAAGAAATCTCCGTTGTAGGTCACGATGACGGTTGGTCTGGCATCTTGGATATGGGAGAAGAACCGCTCGAGAAGAGCCTTTTCGTCTTTTTCGTTGAAGATTGTGAAAATGCCCTCGTACTCTGGTTTTGGTGTATATTCGAAATCGTCAATGTCTTCAGATACAATCTCTCGATTTGTGATTAGAAATCCCTAAAAAATAAATCAATCGTCAGATTGTGCTTTCAAATCTCAGAAGGTCAAAAATGCGCATCGCACCATTCCGTCGATCATGTAAGAAATCATCATGATCTTGTCAATCTGAACATCAGGGAATTTAAGTGGCAGTTTGGTTGTTTCGATATCAAACGCCAGCACGATCGGATCCGGACGCGTCAGACGCTCAGGCATCTCTGTGATTTTGATCTCGCCGTGAACCGCTTCGACGGTGTACCATTTTCCAATTCGGATGTCTACCTTAGTGTTAGTATGTGTTTGACTTTTGCCATTTCAAGTCACTCATACCTTCGTCAATAGCGGTTCGCACATGATAAGGAACGTCGTATTCCCTGACTTCGGTGATGAAATCGGTGACATCGACTTCCTTCGAGGGCTTTGTCTGCGTGGAGAGTTCAGTGAACTCGTTGTCGAGTTCCATACCGCCGCTTTTAACGTTGTCAGCGTCATATATATTGCCGTAAAGTTTCTGAACAGCTGGAGCACTCACGTCATTGTATCCGCATATACGTCCATTGCGTCAAGCATCTTCCGATTCTTTTCCGCTAGCGGGAGCAGCTCGCGGCGAACGTTCAGAAGATTCTTGACATTTGCAAATACGATTTTGACAAACGTTCTTTTGTAACCGGCAATGTGGTTGGGCTGTCGATTCATTAATGGTTAGTGTTCATTGTAATATTTCGGAGAGAGATGCTACATACCATGCTCAGATCTTCTTTCACGACGCGCTGCGTGGTCTTCACTAAGCCCTCGTACTTTCGTCGAACGTATTCCTCGACGTCGGTCTCACGACCGCCCTATTCATACTGTCAGATAAGATTCCATGTCAGATCTATAGAGCTCACTCTTACCTTGCAGCCGATCAAAAAGTAAGGATCGAATCTCAAAACAGCTTTGAAATTCTCGCCGTCTTCACCGAGAAAGTAGTAGTTGACGGCCGCGGCGCCCTCTGTATCTTCACCTTCTTGGACAGATGTCTAAAAGCACAAGTTAGATGTATGGAAACAGTATAAACTACCGGAGAGCATACGCTGTGCATGTTGATCAGCCATCCCACTTTGGGTGGACCCATGTCATATAGATCAAACCCCATTTTCCGATCAATCTCAGCCTCCAGCTTCAACGCATCGAACGACTCCATAGTAGACGTCGCGTCTGTAGGCAGCGCCGACTGTCCAAAATACATTTGACTCGACTGGCTGCTGAATCCGCCGTTGTTTCCTTTGCCTCCAACTCTAGTATTGCTCGAAAAACGCGAGCCTCCGCGGCCAGAACTCGACGCGTAGCGCGTGTTGGACGGCCGGGAGTCGGGTCTTCTTTTAGCAAACGACATCTCGTCTCTTGCTTGCTGTTAGCCCAGATTATGTCTGTAGACGCGAAAAGAGAATGACGGTCGCGAGGGAGGTATTGTGGTCTGGGGGTGAAGCAGAGGACAGGAGGCAGAGGCGGATTCAATTAAGCTCGAGCACTTTGACGCGTCTGAACACCAACAATAAAGTTTAAGCACGTGCTAACTGTAAAATACAAGCAGCGAATATGCACGCACAAACGCGACAGTGGTTTCACATTTAAGTCAGGGCAAGGGTTTGGGACCTCGAAGGCGTCGCGTAACTTTTTCGAGTTTTTTTGATCTCAACCGCAATCCTCTGCTATCGGTCAATCTCTGTAGTCCTCTCTAAAGACATCGGACCTTCTGCATCAGCTGGAAAGAATCTGCTGCGGAGGGCCATAGACTAGAACAGCAATGTTTGGTCAGTCAAGCGGAACTGGATCCGCTTTTGGCGGCTTCAACAACAACAATAACAACACAAATCAACAGGCTCCCCTCTTCGGGAGCAACACGGCCTCTACGAATCCCGCATTTGGATCGACTACGTCAACCACTGGAGGTAGGTGATCCTTTTATGTATTTCTTGTTGTGCACTGTATTGACGTGGCTCTCTTGCAAGCCTTCGGCCAAACCAGTGCGTTCGGATCCAACACCGCTCCTGCAAGCGGTGGGCTGTTTGGTCAGAACAACAACACCAACAATCAATCGTCTGGATTCTGTAAGTCGTTCGGGTCGCGTTTGTACAATTGATCCGAAAACTGACTGGTTTCTTGTAGCTGGATTTGGCAATGCAGCCCGTCCAACCTTTGGTGCTGCATCGACTGGATTTGGTGGAAACGCGACGAATACCGGTGGTGGACTGTTTGGATCGACTCAGACCAACACGGCGAGCACCACCTCTCCCTTTGGCGGCAATAGTGCTTTTGGATCGACGAATAACACCACCAGTCCCTTTGGCCAAACCAACACTACGCCATCTAGCGGTGGCTTGTTCGGATCAGCAGCAGCGAAGCCTAGCTCTGCGTTTGGCGGGTTCGGCTCCACGTCCACGAATACCTCCCCTGCCGCTGGATTTGGTGGAAGCTTTGGGTCCGCTAATGGTGCTACGAATCAAGGAACTGCCTTGACTCCTTTCCAACCCCTGAAAGAGAAGGAGCCCACTTCGAATGTGACGAGTGTGTATCAGAGCATCTCTTGCATGCCCGCCTATCAAAAGTATTCGTTTGAGGAGCTTCGCGAGCAAGATTATGCTCAGGGCCGACGCTATGGAAACAGCACCGGTGCTGGTGCGTTTGGAAAACCTACTGGATTCGGATCCGGTACGTTCGGTCAAACTAATACTGGTTTCGGGCAAACAAACAACACTCCTGGTGGAAACGGTCTGTTTGGAAATGCCAACAATAACTCCCCTAGCACTACCGGTGGTTTTGGATCAACAGCATTCGGAGCTAACAACACCAATAACACCAACAACACTTCAGGTGGACTCTTTGGTCAGAAACCTGCAACCGGTGGGTTGTTTGGTAGCACGAATACAGGCAGCACTTCAGGTGGAATGTTTGGCAGCAACAATACCAGCAATGCTTTTGGCGCTACCAACAACACTACCTCGGCTCCGGCATTTGGACAAACCAACACCACTGGATCTGCTTTCGGAGGCGGATTTGGTGCGAACAATAACAACCAGCCCAAGCCTGCGTTCGGTGCCACAGGAACTACTGGAGGATTCGGAGGATTTGGGGCAAACAACACAGCTTCGGCTGCGCCCGCTTTCGGTGGTTCTACAGCTACTACGTTTGGTGCTCCTGCCGCTGGAGCTGCCGCTGGTACTGGTACTGGCTTATTTGGCAACACCAATACCAACACTGGATTCGGTCAGACCAACACGAGTACTACTCCAGCTTTCGGAGGATTTGGTGCTGCCAACAACAATGCCGCTGCCACCAGTCAGCCGTCGACGTTTGGAGGATTCGGAGCTACTGCAAACAATAACAATGCGGCTCAGACAAAGCCTGCATTTGGAGGCTTTGGAGCAGGAGGTTTCGGCTCAACGACCACCAATACCACATCGACTCCAATGTTTGGACAGTCCCAGAACAACCAGCAGAAGCCCGCCTTTGGTTTTGGCCAGACGCAACCCAATCAGCAACAGCCTGCTGCCGGTGGACTATTTGGTTCCAACAACACCACTCAACCTAGCACTGGAGGTCTGTTTGGAAGCGCCAATAACACCAACAATACGTCTGGTGGTTTGTTTGGTGCAAACAATAATACTCAGAGCTCTGGTGGACTCTTTGGCGCCAAGCCCCAAACAGGTGGTTTATTTTCGGCTGCTCAACCCCAGCAGAATAACGGCCTCTTTGGCGGAGGAGGATTGAATGCAGCTGGTGGTTTCGGCACCCAAAACAATTCCTCGATGTTTGGAAATTCTCAGCAGCAGGGCAATTCCATGTTTGGTGGATCGCAATTCGGAGGAGTCGGCGGACAGCAGCAGAACCCACTTCAGGCGTCCATTGACCAAAACCCGTTCGGAGCTAATCCGCTCTTCTCCTCTACCTCTGGACCAAACCAAAGCTCTCCTGGCCCGATTGCGACGCCCATCTCCAATGCCGCGCAAAAGAAGAAGCCTGCTTTACTGCCTACTTACAAGCTCTCGCCTCGTCCGGCATCAAGCCCGCGTCCAAAGTCGGCAAATGGTCGGTCGGCTTCCGGTAGTCTTTCGTCAGGCAGCGGCTCAAACGGTTCAGTTATGTCAAAGAGTCTGCTCTTTGATGGATTGGCAGACAAGGCAATTCTTTCTTCGGATGCTTTTAGCCCGCGTAATGATATCAGAAAGCTTGTGATTGATAAGCGGGTGACCGAGTCCGAGCTGCTTACGGGAGGCGGAGACCTCGGAAAGTTCAGTGCGACACCGTCTAAGGAACCAAAGGAAGTGCCGAAGCCGCGCGCGGTGCCAGAAATGAAGGAAACTACCACTAATGCACCTTCACTTTTTGCCAAGGCAGTTTCGGCTCCTGTCGAAAAGAAGGAGGAGCCTGCTACGCCTAACGTGACTGCGTCCACCGAGACGCCCGCCAGTTCATTGGCTAAACCTGCCGCCACCTTTGATAGCCCATCGTTTGACAACGATGGCTATTGGAGTTATCCCAGCCGGTTGGCACTGCGCAAGATGAGTCTCAAGGAGCTGTCCGAGGTTGCAGATTTTCAGGTGGGAAGAAAGGGCTATGGCGAGGTCAGCTTCAGCCGTCCTGTTGATCTCTCGACTTTTGCTCACCCGGAGCAGATTCCTGGACAGTACGTGATCTTTGGTAACAAGACTTGTGCGGTCTACCCTGATGATATCAACAAGCCCGAAGTCGGCAAGGGTCTTAATATCCCTGCGACGATCACTCTTGAGAACTGCTGGCCTATCAAGAAGGATACCAAAGAGCCCATTCTTGATCCTGACCATCCTGCTATTCCTCGTCATCTGCAGCGCCTAAAGTCCTATGCCGGTACGAAGTTTGTTACTTATATGGCTGATAAAGGAACTTGGGTGTTCACTGTTGAGCATTTCAGTGTTTGGGGTCTGGTTGACGACAGCGGTGATGAATATGACGAGACGGATGAGCCTGCTGAAGTCAAAATTCCCGAGTCCAACGTCCAGCCTATGTTACAGTTCCCAAAAGCTCCGCAGGAGACAGCTTTGTATGGATACTCGCCTATGAAGACCGACACTGCGCCGCTCGCAACGCCTCTGAGAAATATCTCTGAGGCAATGTCTTCGCCTGCTGAACTTGATGATTCACCAAGTGTGGCTAGGTTGCCTGGAGGATGGAACGCAAATTCTGGCATGTTCTCTGCTCAGCAGCCTTTTTTAGCCCGAGGGGACACCTTCAAGAATAGCCAACCTAACATCATGGCCGATGTTCGTTCTACTTACCACGATGAGGAAGAAGAGCAGACCTCGGACGAGGATAAGGAGGAAGTTCATGAGGAGGAAGAGGAAGGTGTCCCCGATGAAACTGGATCTGTAATTGGACCTGAGGATGAAGACTATGACGATTATGAAGGTGACGAAGAGTTGGTCGAGCCTGTGCATGTTGAGGTTGGCCAAGATTGGATCGAGCAGCTGAAGTTTGCAGAGAGACCGACGAGTCTGTGGAATGAAGCAGAGGCTACGAGAAATGCCTGGCTTGAGGATACAAAGTCCTCAAATCGACTGGGAGACGACAAGTTCACTTTCGCTGATCTTGATTCCGTCATCTTTGGAGGCGATCGATTTGTAAGTTTAATCCAAACAGAGTTTCAAGGTATCGAGTGCTAACAGGATTTATGATGCAGTTTGATGAAACAGAAGAAGCAGAGAGGCGTGCCAAGGAGGAGGAGGCGGAGGCTGCAGAGAAGAATGCTAGCAAGATTCTGTTTGCTCTTTCTGGAAAAGAGATTGTTCCTCGTTCGCCAGTTGAGGTTGCTATCCCATCCTCGGGTTTCGACTTTTTGCGCATACACTTGAACAACTCGGTGATCCGTTTCCGAGAAGCCGGTCTGCCTTTGTTCCAACCGAAGCCAGAGCTTACGTTTGTGGATGTCTACGAGTTCTACAATCGTTCGCTTGGAAGTGCTGAGGGTGTGAAGAATATCTGGAAGCTTGCGAGTATCCTGTTTGATGACGTTCGTATGGATGCTCAGCTGGTGAGCCCTTCTGCGGATCATCAGATTGCTGCGGAGTTGATTCGGAAGTCGATGCTATCTGAGTTCGTGGAGAGGCTTGCGGAGAAAAAAGTTTCCGACGACTTGCAAAGGCTGCCGCACGAGGAAGCAGTGTTTGTGCTGCTCTCCGGGCATCAGATCGAGCAGGCCTGTATTGAGCTGGTGAAGGACCGCAATCTTCACCTGGCGACTCTTGTTCCGCTGATTGGCGGCGACGCGGATTTTCGACGGGATATCAAGAATCAGATCAACGACTGGACGATGCGGCAGGTGCTGGCGCACGTGCCGCCTGCGATTCGTAAGATTTATGAGTTGATGTCTGGTAATACGTCGATTGCTAGCGGAAGTCAGGGATCGACGTTCGCGGAGGACAAAGTGCCGGAGATGTGTATTTCCAAGGGTCTGGACTGGATTCGCGCGTTTGGCTTACGCTTGTGGTACGAGATTTTCGAAGAAGATAGTATCGACAAAGCGGTGATTGCGTACGAGTCTGCGCTCAAGGTCAGTCCCGAGATCGCGTCTCCTTTGTCGGGATCGTCAAAGACAGATACGATGTATGAGTTACTCAAGCTCTACGCTGACAAGTCATACGCTATTGAGTCTGCCGTGATTCCAGCACGGCCGGATGGCGAAGCGCTGGATTTGTCAGTGACATGGCAGTTATTCAACATCTTGTTCCGAGTGAAATCGATCCGTTCTGTGAACGAGCAGACCGTGACGAGCGGAGACGGGCTTTGCGTTGACTTTGCGTATCAGCTTGAGAGTGCGGGAGAATGGACGTTTGCGATTTTTGTTCTCCTGCATATCGCAGACGTGAAGATATGCAAGACTGCTGTGCAGGATCTGTTGAATCGGCATGTTGAGGATATGGACGGCGCTGCGGAGAGTTTCCTTGTGGATACCTTGCGCGTGCCGAAGAAGATGATTTTGACTGCAAAGGTGAGTGTGGTTGTGTTTACAAGTTGGAAGAGTCTTCTTTGTGCTAACTTTTGTTTTTTCTAGGCGCTCTATGCTCATCGTGCCGATGAACCTGTTCAGGAAGCTCGCTATCTTCTTGACGCGGCGGAGTGGACGCAGGCACATGCCGTGATCATCCGAACCGTCGGTCCCAGGGCGATTATTTCAGAGGACTATGACTCTTTATTGTCGCTCCTCAGCCGATTTGAAGACGTCACTGAGATCCCAGGCTGGAACATTGGCGGGCAGATCTACCTCGACTATATCGCGGTGATGAAGTCGCAGCAGGTAGATATCTACGACGACGACGAAGACGACGAGAACGCGTCTGAGAATATCGAGGCGTGGTGGCCGAGACAGGTGCGAGGTATCCCGGTACAAGACGTGAGCCTGGAAGACTCTGTTGACCGGCTGCGGTCCAGTCTGCCGATGGCTGATACGGAAAGTCTGGGGTTCCATGCTATGGTTGCCGTGCAGGAGATGGCGAAGATTGTGGGAGTCGATGTGTAGAGGAGGAAGATGAGGGTGTATTGATATGAGAGCGAAAAGATGGATGTGGTTGAGTTGCATGAATGTTTATCTCTGCTGCTGTATTACTTTTGATTACATATATTACTAAATTGTTCAGAGTCATTAAATCATAATTTTTCCAAATCAGTTAAGAAGAGTTGTAGATTAGTTTGATATATTACAGTATAGATAGTATTTACAAAAGAAGAAAGATTTGAGAGGCAATCACTTCTTTTCAGGCTTGTTGAACTCCTCATTCAGTTCTTCCTGCGTCCGGCCACCGACTTCGAACGGGGCATCTTCGCGGGCCTTGTCGAGCATGTTTTTGATTCCCCGCGCGGTCAGAGCTGTCTGTGTTAATGAAAAGGCGGAGTCAGTAAAGATGAGACTTTGATTTGTTGGAATTCTGATTGTGGGGGAGGAGGGTGACGTACACCGAGGCAGGCTTTGTAGTCTTCGTAAAGTTCTTCGCATGGGTTGATAGCCTGGTTGCAGAAGAGTTAGTGTGCATGTCCGTGCCCTGGATCCGGGATACTTCAAGGAAGAAAATGAATTGTAACATACTCCTTTCCCCTTCAAGAACTCTGCAACAAACGAAGATATGTCAGAAGAGATCGAAAGAACAGTAGAGGACGATAATGACAATACTCACTTTCACTATACCACTCGTTAAAGCAGTTGTCGTACTTCGTCTTGACTTCGTTACACTCGGGGGCAAAGCTTGCAGACATCAGGTTTCCCATGTAATCAGAAGATCTGTAGATGATTTGTAGAAAGTGGTAGGTTGGCTGGTATATTTAATAGAGCAGAAAGTGGACGACGAACCGGTGCTGATCGGAAGAGGTTGGCGATGCGCGAATCTGCGTCGGAGGGCGGGTTTAAGGTTTAGACAATTGGGACTTTTTTTTCTCGGTTTGGTAGATTCGAGTTTTGAGCAGGCAAAACTAGCAACTAGTTATTGTTGCTGCTGCACTATTCCGTCTGTCTGGAGATAGTAGGAAGCAGAACGAGATAAGACTTAAAGAAAGGGAAATGACAGAATCACAGTCATTCGAGTTGCAGAACCAGGCGATCCTCACCGCCGTCCTGAAAACCACGCAGGCGGCATCGAAGCTTGCCGCGCAGGATCTGGGATACTACAAAACGCTGGGATCAGATGGACAGCCGGAGTTGAACAAGAAGCTGGATGGTTGCTCGAAAAGACTTGTGGGGATCGCGAACGCGTTGCTGGAAGCTTCTGGGGTGGGTGGGGTGAAGGTTGAGGGGGTTAAGGAGTTGACGACGCGGTGGAAGGAGATTGGGGATGTAAATGATACATTGTTTGAGAAGACGGTATGTGTTTGTGTAGTTCAAAAATGCTTCTCACAGGCTATATCTAACTGTTTCTTAGGACACATATCTGGATTCGCTCACAAACGACCGAAGAAAACCTCTTCCGATCCCAGCAACTCAGCACCAACAACCACTGACAAACAAGCGGAAGCGTGGAATGCTCGACCCGTCAGTTCTGAACGCCGACATTGAAAAACCACAATTGAAGTTCAAAAACATTCCCGACAACTTCTCGACCGCGCCGTTCAAACCCCTGCTGACGTCGAAACCCAACGCGAAGGTCTCGCTCGAGGAGTCGCTGCAGCTTACGTATCCCAGCGATGGCGCGATGCCGGAGTACAAGAACCCGTACTTGCCTGAGATTACGAGCGCAAAATTCCCGAAGCGGCTGCTGAAGATCACAAAGGCGATCGAGCCGATGCCGCTTGAGACTACAGAACCGATCTGGGTGGATGACATGAAGGGCTTGAAGGAGATGTTGAGGGAGCTCCAGCACGAAGACGCGATCGCGGTAGATCTTGAGCATCACGACGCGCGATCATATATCGGAATCGTCTGTCTTATGCAGATCAGCACGCGGTCAAACGATTTCCTGATCGATACCCTGAAGCTTCGATCTGAGTTGCAGATCCTGAACAAGGTGTTTACAGATCCCAAGATCGTCAAGGTCTTCCACGGCTCGTCGATGGATGTGATCTGGCTGCAACGTGACCTGGGACTCTACCTAGTCTGCCTGTTCGACACATACTACGCCGCCCGCGCTCTGCAACTCCAGGGCAAATCGCTGGCGTTCCTGCTGGACATGTTTTGCGGGTTCACCGCCTCGAAGGAGTACCAGCTCGCCGACTGGCGCATCCGTCCGCTGACGAAGGAGATGGCCGCGTACGCGCGCTGCGACACGCATTTCCTGCTAAACATATTCGACAAGCTGCGCAACAAGCTCGTGGCCGAAAACAAGCTCGAGGTTGTGCTGGCGAACTCGCGCGAGGAATGCACGCGCACGTACAAGACGCGCGTGTACGACGACGAGAACGGGACCGGCATGGGCGGATGGCTTGCGCTGCGGGAGAAGTTCAATATTCTTAGACCGGAGGATCAGCCGCTGCTGCGGGCACTTACGAAGTGGCGCGATACGGTGGCGCGCGAGCAGGATGATGGGGTTAATTATGTGTTGTCGAATCGGTCGATTTTCAATATTATCCGATCGAGACCTGTTGATCCGGCGGGGGTGTATCGCGCGGTGGGCAAGAGCGTGAATGAGACTATTCAGAGACGGGTGGATGAAATCATTCAGATTGTGAAGGATACCGATCCTGCGAATGAGAAGAACCAGACTGAAGCAGCAGCAGAAGCAGCGCAGACAAAAGAAAAGGAAACAGAGAAAGAGGAGAAGAAGGAAGTTGGAAAGTCTGGCGCGAGTGAGATTCAGGCGGAAGACGAGACCGAGCACGCAGAGTATGAGGCGCGGAGGCTTGCGCTTGCAAAGCAGTTGTTTGAGAACAGGGATCTGGGGACTCACGTTAAGCAGAGCCAGAGTTCGCAGTTGTGGGGAAGCGTGTTTTAGAGGAGATGTACGTTAACTTTGTGATTAGCTGTGTGATTATATGTAACCAGATCTGAAATATCTCAGGAAATAGCAGAAATAGTAGGTAAAATGTAAACGTCCCAACGCCATTAGCAAACCCAGAACAGCAATAATTTACAGAAACCGCTACGGTACTCTTACGAACCGCCGGATTAGATCGAGAAGCAAGATAGATCTGTCGCTGTCGTCGGCGACAGAAAGTGTAAAGTCAGGCGCGAGCAGCTCTTCTCGCTCGATAAGATATACTTTGCGACCTGTCGCTTCAAAAGAGGCGAGGTCTGGGGTCTCGTCGGGAGGAGGCTGGGGGTTGCTGCGCTTGGCAGGCAGGAGGATGAAATTTATAAGCAGGCATAGGGAGTCAAAGAGGGCCTTGGCGGAGGCGAGATGCGCGTCTTTTGAGGCGAGGTGAGCGCCGATGAGGTTGACAAAGACAATGTCACGGGCAGAGAAGATGGGATCGGCGGCGAGAGCGGCGCGGAGGGAAGGGATGGAAGGGATGGAGAGGCAGGGTGGGCGGCGCAGACGGGCGAGGGCGCGCGGAGATAGACCTCGGAAGGAGAACGGCTGAGGCAGAGTTGGGGAGTCATTGTCGTTGTCGTCGTCGGCTGTGCGGAGGCCGACGAGGACGAAGAGAGGGCAGTCTTCTGGGTTTGATGGAGACCCTGGAAGAGAAGATGCAGGGATGAGGCGAGCCAGCGACGCGAGCAGCGACTCCCGCTCAAAGTCGGAAGCTGTTGAGCGGACGGTGACGAGATGCATTAATAATTATTCATAATCGCAATGCTCATTGCCGGCCGCGAAGGGCGGGATCAGAGCGTGAAGAAGGAAGAAACTGGAGTCGGGAAAGTGTTCGAGGTGGTTCGGGCCTGGCCAGGGCTTTGGCAGACAAGAACGCCGCTGCCGGTGCGTTGAGAGACAGGAACCCTAACTGGTATCCGAAGCGCGAACAATGGCCGACCGCAGCAGAGCAGACTGAGCGGAGAGGAAGAAATGGTTGAGTCGAGTAGTTATTCTGCTTATATACAGACTATTCACATCTTGTAGATATATATTCTTATAGCAACAACTACAATACCCACTGCTCAATCACCGGCACCTCGTCGGAAGCTCGGAGAACAGTTCCACCGGAAGCCAGCCACGCTAAACCCCTTTCGGCATCCCGAGTGCATTGTGGCCTCGCGACCTTCGCCTCTCGGCGGCCTTTTGTTCGGGGGACGTCGGCAATAAATTTATCCTGAAGAACTTTTGAAAGGCAGCGAAGGGCCAGGCCGCTGCTCTGCCCGGAGTTGTATTAAACCGCAGCACGCGGCTGCTCGTAGGAGATGGTCTCTCAAAAGGAAGGCACGATCCGGCAGGCTTTTTTTCTCTCTCTTGGCTGATACGTAAGAAGATATACGTAAAGAATGGAAAAGACAGCAAGTCACACACACAGTGCAGACGCCAGTCCGCAAGGCCACGAGTATGTAGATAGTCCGTCTGCGGCGGACTCGAGCCGGTCCTCGTGGGACTTGGAGAAGCATATGAACTCCGACGCGGCAAAGCTCGACGCGTGGAGCCCTGAGCAGGCCGGCGAGGGTGACGGAGAGTCGAGCGATGGCGAGAGTACGGAGAAGTTCGAGGTCGGCTGGGACGGTGCTGATGATCCGCAAAATCCATATAACTGGGGTGCTGCTCGGAGATGGTTTATAACTATCGGAACATGTCTATGTGCAACCAACATGTACGTCAATTTTCTTCAGATCTCTGAGCTCCAACTAACGTCCTCTCTAGTGCCTGGTCGAGCTCAGTATTCACAGCTACGTACGACGGTATGGAGGCAGAATTCGGCAACGCGCGTGAGATCTCGATCTTGACGCTCACGCTCTACGTATTCGGCATGGCCACCGGCCCTATGGTCTACAGTCCTCTGTCGGAGTTCTACGGCCGCCGCAACATCTACATCATCTCCTTCACCTTCTTTGTCTGCATGGACCTCATCGTCGCGTTCGGCAAGAACATTGGTGCGATTCTCGCGGGCAGATTCTTGAGTGGTCTCGCCGGGAGCGCATTTATTGCGCTCGCGGGCGGCACGGTCAGTGATTTGTTTCCAAAGAAGAGCTTGGGGTTGCCGATGTCGTTTTACACCATGGCGCCGTTGATGGGACCGAGTCTGGGTCCTATTACTGGAAATTTCATTTCCGCAAACGCGTACTGGTATGTACTTTTTCTGTTCTGATGATTCTCATTGTTGCTCGTGCTAACCCAACTATAACAGGCGATGGGTTCCGCGAGTCATGCTCTGCTTCACTGGTGGATGCTTGATCTTCATCATTCTGTTTGTTCCCGAGACATTCGGCCCAGTCCTTCTCCGACGAAAAGCGCAAAAGCTGAGAAAGCAGATCGGCGACGAGCGATATAAAGCGCCGATCGAGCACCTGAGCAAGTCCGTGACCAAGACCGTCCTGCTGAGCTTGAAGCGACCGTTCCAGATCATGCTCGGCGACTCGATGGTGTTCTTCCTTTGTCTGTACACCTCGATCGGTCTGGGAATCAACTATCTTTTCTTTGACGCGTTCCCGCTCGTGTTTGAGAATAACAAGGGTATCAAGTCTGAGTTTATCGGACTGACGTTCTTGGGCGTCTTGGTCGGTGTTATCATCGGAGTGATTGCGCAGCAGTATTGGACAAAGCTGTACGACCAACTGACTGCCAAGAACGGGGGTGTCCCGAAGCCGGAGTTCAGACTTCCTCAGCTGTATGTTGGTTTTATTCGAGATGTGCTAGTTGCAAGCTGATACTAATGTTGTTGGATGTAGGATTGTCAGTTCGTTTGCTGTACCGATCGGTCTGTTTGGCTTCGCATTCACTACTTATAAATCAGTGCACTGGATCGTTCCCATCATCCTCAGTTCGTTCTTTGGATTTGGTCTGCATTCTTTGCTTGCCGCTGTGTTTACCTACTTGGTCGAGTAAGTTGGCTGTAGATGTGATAAAGGAAGTGAGAAGAGCGTGGATCTAACAGAATTTTTAAATGTGCAGAGGATATCGTTTATACGCGGCTTCAGTTCTTGCGGGAAATAACTTCATGAGAGGATCATTCGCAGCTGGATTCCCGCTGTTTGGAAACCAAAGTAAGTCGTGATGGTGCTGCTATAATCAGATCTGTACTGACATTGCTTCATAGTGTTTGAACGTCTGGGGTATCAGTGGGCAGCAGCGCTCCTTGGGTTTATCACCTTGGCATGCATTCCATTCCCGTAAGTCATAATCATTGAGTGTTGAGAAGATGTTAAAAAATACTGCGATACTAACGAAATTGTAGGATCCTGTTTTACAAGCACGGCGAGATTCTGAGAGCAAAGAGCAAGTACGGATATCTTGGAGGCGATTCTCCGTAGAGTTCTGATTTGATTTGATGTTGTTTTTGATATTCAAGACTGTTTTTGCATTCACGCGCTTTATGACTGGTTTCTTTGATGATTTGCATATGGATATTGTTTTTGATAGTTTAATGGATGGTGTCATAGAGAAGACCCTTATGCAGTAACAGCAGTAACAACAGTAACAACAGTAACAACAGTAGTAACAGCCCTGATAAACAACAGTCAGTAACATACAATCAAACACTCAATCAATGGTTGACTCAACAATATGACAAATGACCAATCCACAGTCATCTGTTGTTAGTAATGCGGCGAATGGCAGCCCAGCTATTTGAGGTAATCTTATCTGATGCGCACACAACTCGCACCGCTTTATGCCGCAACTGCGCAAAATCACGTGCATCCGCAGCTTGCTTACATTACCTCGACTCCCATTGGCCGAGACCCCAAACCCTCTGCCCTATTAGTCCAGCGGCCAGGCTTCCTTTAATATGCGCGGCCTCTCCGCTTCCTCCGCCTTCTCGTCTGCTTCCCAACAGCAACACTCAGACTCTTCTGTTTTCCTTTCTTCTTTGATATTCAATTGATATCAGCGCATTCATCGCATTACTCCCTACATCCACACAATGTCTCTTCTTCAAACATCCTCCCTGCGGCAGCTGGCCCTTCCGCTCGGCCGAACTGCTTTCCGACGCTACCTCCAAACCCAGCCCGCCGTCACCGCCCATCCATTTGATCCCGCGCTCTCAAAGGGATCCAACAAGGCCGACGCGCAGACCGTCCCCGTCTGGAGACGGCACACGCTTAACTCGCAGCTGCCGGACTCGGAGTTCCTCAACTCGATCTTTGATTCCGAGGTCGCGCCATCAAAAGACGTTCTCGCAAAGGCTCTCGACTCGGCAAAGAAGCAGCCTCAGCGAGTACAATCTGAGCAGACAGATGCGAGGGCGCCTGCAAAGGCCGCTGCGTCGCCTACTCCTGCTCCTGCCACCGCTACCCCTGCCACTGCAACTGCCACTGCAACCTCCACTGCCACCTCATCCGCCAAGCCTGCGGCACCCGCGCCAAAGACCTACCGCAAGTTCAAGCCCAGAAAGGCCGCCATGACGATGACCCCGAACGCCGTTCAGCACATCAAGGCTCTGCTAGATCAGCCCGAGCCCAAGCTTCTCCGAGTAGGCGTCCGCAACCGCGGATGCTCGGGTCTGCAGTACCATCTCGAGTACGTTGACAAGCCGAGCAAGTTTGACGAGGAGGTCGTCCAGGACGGCGTCAAGGTTCTGATCGATTCAAAGGCGCTCTTCAGCATCATTGGATCAGAGATGGACTGGGTCGACGACAAGTTGAGCAACAGATTCGTGTTCCACAATCCCAACATCAAGGGAGAGTGCGGATGTGGCGAGTCTTTCATGGTCTAAACCAGCGCATCTTTTTCATTCCTTTTTTTATCCTTTTTGGTTGTTTGCAGTCATTGGTGTATCTCATTGCATGCTTTTTGGGTAGGACTTTCGGTTGTCGTTAGACAGTCATGAAACGGCGTTTTGGGAATTGTATTTTTATTATTGCAGTTATGCATTGGTCATTGCATTTGATTCTCAGATTAATTAAATTGCTACAATACATTATATATCATGATCTATAAACTCGATATAAAACCTCAGCCAAGTAATCTCATTGTCAACTCAACACTCATAAACGTTCCCGCGCTGCACGGGGTTGCTCTCAGAAGAGTAGGCACCAGGCCTCTCCAGAAGCCCGCGAGGCCGCCAGCAGCATACGTCTTTCTCGCGGCATCAAGCGCGCCTTTGAAAACCCTGTCCTTCCCGAATCCGTCGGACTGGACTTTACTCTTAATCACATCGAGCGGATAAGAGCCCAGCCAGAGGACCTCGCCCGCGAGCGCACCGCAGCCCGCGACCTGCCAGGCCGGGATATCGTCGCGCTTGACGCCGCGGGACTGGAGTTTCTGCATGAGGTACTCGAACGTGAGGAACCAGAGACCATAAGCCTGAGCTTCGCGAAGGAGAGTGACGTATTGGCCGCGGAAGATACCGCGGAGGCCCTCGGCGGCGTAGATTTTGCGGACGGCGTCGGTGGGACCGGAGTAGAGCTTGTTATCGTGGCGCTGGGTCTGGAGAAGAATACGGAGCTGTTCGACGGGGCCGGCCACGGGACTGTTTGCGATACCGGCGACCGCGCCGGCGAGGTAAAATTGCGGGAGCGAGAGCTGGGATGAGGAAGAGGAGGCGAGGATCGCGCGGCGGGCTTCGTGGAAGGCGTAGAATTGGACAGAGACGCAGACGCCGACGCCAAAGAGGGGCGAGGCGGTGCCTTTGTAGAATGCGAGCGGGCCCTCGGCCGCGAGGGTTTTGCGGAAGGCTTCGAGCGGGGAGGAGAACTGGCCGGTTTGGAGACGGACTTTGACGAGATCGAAGGGTTGGCCTGCGGACGTTAGCATTTTCTGCAGGAGGTGTGCTGGGGTATGGCTCGGGGAAGACTCACCAATCAAAACCTGGACTGCGCCGCCGACGAATCCGGCGGTCTGTGGAGGAAGAGAAAAGTGTCAGTATCGAGACCCGCTTCACGATGTATCTGATAAGAACAAACAGGGCAAACCAACCGTGTCCTTCACCTTTCTCGACAACGAAGCGTCAGTCGAGTCAGCCATTGTCTCTGCTTTGTTCTTATTCCTCTTTCCTTTATCCTCTTGTAACAGCTCTCTGGCTTTGTCTATCGCGAGGTCGAGGCGTGCACGAGGACAGTTCTTCGAGCAGACAGAAATTTGGAGGTGGATGAAATGACGCCATTGGATGACTAAACTTTAAATACGGGCTTATTTTGACTGGCGGAAGAGTGGATTTGGTTTGATTGTTTGGTGAGTCGTTACTGCTGTTTAAAAGGACTATTTTACACGCATATTTACATTTGCAGTTGCTTAACAGGTTGATGAACAGCAGAACAGTTGCTGTATCGACGCTGGTGGGTTGATAATCACCACAACCCCCTCACCTCAATGTCAGCGTCGGCATATCCCGCATCAGATCACCATCTACTTGCCAGCAGCTTCCTCACTCAGAGCTGATTGTCCGAGCAGATAAAGAAGAGCAGCAAGACCGACGATGGCGACGACAGCTCACTGCGCGTACTGCTTTGAAGTGCTCCTGGCGAGCTTCGAAGGCGGCTCTGCTCTGCCGCTGTCTGCCTTCAGCAAGGCGATCGAAGCCGAATCGTCTTCGTCGTCGCTCGAATCATCCGCGTCCCCGACCTCCAGCTCTGGCACATACCGCACTGCCGCGTCCGCGACCGACGGGCAGATGTATCCGATGTTTGTGACTTGGAACACTGTCACCAGTCGAGGCGGTGTGCGGCTACGCGGGTGTATTGGCACGTTTGAAGCGCAGCCTTTGGAGAAAGGGCTTGCGAGTTATGCAAAGATTGCGTATGCTGCCATTGCTGTTTTTAATTACTTATGGCTGTAATTTGTCTGATTGTCTGTGTGGGTTTGCTGACTGCGGATTGTCTGTATAGAGCCTTTGAGGATACGCGGTTCAACCCGATCTCGGCAAAAGAGCTGCCGACTTTGGAATGCGGGTATTCTCCTCTGATGATCTGCATTGATCTGCTTTTCTTTCCTGTCGCTGACGATGGTTTATTTCATAAATCTAGTGTCTCTTTGCTTACGGACTTTGAGGACGCAGCAGATCCCCTCGACTGGACCTTCGGCACCCACGGCCTGCGCATCTCCTTCGTCATCAACGGGCGCAGATACTCAGCGACCTACCTCCCCGACGTACCTCCCGAGCACTTTGATTCGAAAGAAGAAACGCTCGGCAGTCTCGTTTTGAAATCCGGCTACTCGGGCGCGAAGAAATGGGACCAGTTGGGGATCAAGCTGGTGAGATATCAGAGCTCAAAGGCGAAGCTTGGGTATCCGGAGTTCGCGGCGCTGAAGAAGCGGTTGGGGGTTGTGTGAGGCGGGTAGCTGCTAGTGCGCGTGGTTGGGTGTTGTATATCTTTTATAGATATAGAGATCAGTGGTGATTGGTATTGGCGTTTTTTAAACTTGTGGGTTTTATTTCGTTATATATGGTATGCGTATTCATTTCACGTCATACGTTTAAACATATGGTCTGGGCATACGGTGGTGAATTTTAGGTAATCGAATATGGAGTATGAGTATCTGTTTCAACTTATTGATTGAATTGCTTTGAGTATGGTAATACTCATGTGGTAGTTTTGATCGAGGGTGGTATCTTAGCCCGGCGCGCACCCTCCCCCGTAAACCACCACATAACCCACTACCTTCTATAAACAAAAACACACAATAACATTAAATCGACCCGCACAGCATTGTCTATGCATCTGAGTGAAATAAGTTGCCAATCAAAGGTATTTCCGGAACCAAACTTAAGGTTTAGACGTTTCCTGTAATTTCGTTTTGACTTCGTCCCAAATCCTGGTTTACAGTCAACAAACAGCAGCAGCGCTCTGTCTTTTCAGCAACAACCTGCGCCAATCTACACAGCAATTGATCGTCTGGGTGTGCTGAGAAAGGATATAACTGCGGCCTGAGTTAACTGACATTTATTCGTGCGATAAATCATGAAGTTATAGTCTCGACGCTATCAATTGACGACTACTATCGCAACTCCTCAGCTTGAATTCAACTACACCGCAGCAGCGTCTCCAGCTTCTCAGTCTCATCTTGCACAAGAAAAAGAGCAAGTATATTGATGCGAATCATCCTCTACGTCATTGCATCGCTCGCACTGTTCATCACTGGCTTTGTCTCGCATAAGTTCCGGGTGTTTCCTCTCACGGTCTCGGTCTCGGTATATATCTATCAACAAGGAATTCTGGTACGCTCACAACTAGTTCCAGCAATACTATTGGTTATTTCTTGTGTTTATGTCTTGCTAATCTGGTGTGGTGTAGTTTCGATTGGCAAAAGCGTTTGGTGCGTTGACGATATTATTCCTGGTGCTCTTTGTGCCGGTTGGCATAATTGCCTTTCGTGAATCCGAAAGGGTACCTCTTCCTTTCAGTGTCTTCCTCTCTCTAATTCGCATGATTTTCTGATTTTTTTTATTATTGTTTAGAATTACTCGGAAGGTATCCGACGAACTTCTGCTCGTGACCAACTTCGTCGGCGAGGCAGTTTTTAATACAGCATTTAATTATTCGGCAACACAGACGAGATATGACTGTATCTGCGAGTCTAAACGGCGATTCGTCGTCCACAAAGTCGACCCTGACAATCTCGACATCTACCAAACATCAACAACCACATACACCAAGACCAGAATCATCAAAGCCCAAGAAAAACGGCAACAGAGACCTGCATCTCTTCCTGCCGCCATCGCAAGCAATGATCCGGCACGGCGGCACGACAATCTCTGGTGCTCGCTCGGTCCCTGTTTCGTCATCAAACTCACCGACTGAGGAAACCGCGCCGAATTACCATCCTCATGGGCGGAATATCTCGATTCTCGATGCGACTGGGAGTTCGCGACGGGAAGGAACGAGGGCGGCGAGTACAGGGCATAGAGTGGCCTCTGGGTCGCAACGACCAGTACCAGGGACGAGTGAGAAAGCTTCACGGAAAGACCATCGGAAAGTGCCGATCGAGAATATCTACAGAGTGGGAAACAGGCGAGAGTGCATCATATACGACTATGACGCCATCTTTTCGTATCGCGAAAACGTGAAAGCCGCGACGCGCGCGCACAAGGACAAGCCTTGTTTGACTCGGGTGTTTTGGCCAACGGACTGTCGCTGCGAGAAGGGTGTGCTTGTTGGGTTCCAAAACTCAATGTCGGATTTCGTTGTGATTGCAATGTACTCTGAGATTGATGTTTCCACTATGCGACGAATTTTTAGCTCGAGCGAAACTGTGCTTGGAGGGGATCGCAAGGAGGAAAAAATGTTTGGGTATCTGTTTGATACGTCAAAGTTGGGTATCGTTGGTACTTTGAACCTTCCTGTTGAAGAAGGCGACGATCTCCCTCTGCGGGTTACGATGAGGCCAGGCAGCAAGCCGCGGTTTTCTCACTCGACCGCCGGCGGTGTCTCAACCGGGTTTCAGGTTGTATTCTACGAACGGCCTTTGTCGCGCCGACTACAGTATTTCTCATTTATCCCCATCACGCTCGAGCTTGCGGATCGGAGCTCGGCGAACAGTGCAGAGGACGAGGATGACAAGGTGTTGAAGAAGAGGCAGGATCTGATTTCCCGGATTCAGAAACACACAAAGTTCGGGTTCCCGCAGACCGATGAGGAGAATAATAGTATCCAGGTTTGGATCAACGAAATCAACTTTGCGCAAGAGCTGGATGCTCTACTGCGTGACGCAGTCGCACAGGTGCTTGAGAAGGACGAAGCGTGCGAGAACACGTGGGAGTCGCTGAAGAAGTATGGGCACGCTGCGGGACTCAAAGTCGCGCAGGGCCTTTCGTTTTTGTGGACTGCGACGCTGATGATGCTCATGTGGGTGCTGATTGCGGGGATTATGGTGTACCGCGTGTGTTCGGAGGCGGTGTTGTTGGTGATTGAGTGGTGTCCTAAGGGGACGCTTCCGGCGTTGAAGGATGTGTCTGCTACGAGTGAGATTTCTCTTTTGTTGTATGATATAAGACATGAGCTAACGGTGGGTTTTAGTACAACAACTCGATCTGAGATTGCAGCAGGCATGTTACTGGCCGATTCAGTACATTACACTTCGAAACCAAAAGCGGAATCTTATGATTCGGACTACGTTCCAACCCGAGTACATTCGTTTCTACAACAGTCTGTGGCTGGTAGCGAACGACATCATCATCGGAGCAGCAGTTGGCGCGTACATGATTGACAACCGCGACAAGATCGTATCGTTTGTGGATTACTGTATCGACGAGTTCCTGACCACCGGCCTGCGCCAGACGATCGAGTGGCTGATGGACTGGCCCGGTGGTCTGAAGCTCAACAACGAGCTCGTTGCGTTCTTTGGCGAGCTGTTTTTGTGGGTCATTGAGTTCTGGAGTAGTACGCTCAGACTGCTGCGGCCGTGTCTTCCCGACTTGATTTATTTCTTTGGTTTGTCGGGCTTTGTAGGGGCTACGTTTCCGATCGCGCTGATTGCGGACTTGATCTCGTTTCTGACGATTCAGATTTATTCGTGCTATCTTGCGTCGGCGCGGATATATAACTGGCAACTGACGTCGCTGGAGTCGCTCTTCCATTTATTTCGCGGCAAGAGACGGAATGTGCTCCGAAACCGAATTGACTCGGTAGACTACGATCTCGACCAACTCCTTCTCGGCACGCTGCTATTCACCTTGTTGACGTTCCTGCTGCCGACCGTGCTTGTCTTTTATCTGACCTTTGCGGGGTCGCGGCTGGGTATCATCATCGTGAATGCGATCCTGGAGAGTTCGCTCGCGCTGCTGAATCATTTCCCGCTGTTTGCAATCATGCTGAGATTGAAGGACTCGAAACGGCTTCCGGGAGGAATTGAGTTTGATTTGTCGGTTGGCGCGGGGGATGCAGGTGATGTGGAGGAGGAGGAGGAGGAGGAGGAGGAGAAAAGCGCGGATGGAGATGAAGAAAGTACGGCTGCGCAGGTGGTCTATGTGAATCTGAAGCCGGTCGCGTTGCCGATTGTTTCGATGTTTCAGCAATACTTCCTGCTCAGCAAGCGAATCCAGCGGCACTACTTATCCCTTCGCGTGGTGTCGTTGTTGCTGACGGGCCAGTTTGTGCCGATCCAGAGAAGCAGGCTGTACAGTCTGCAGTACTCGATGCTGCCGGAGCAGCGGTTCGGAATCAAGGAGCTGTGGAGCAAGTTGCGGGAGTTTAGTAGGGTTGTCGGCAGTGAGTTTTGGGAGAAGTTGGGAGCGGTGACGGGGGCGAGTTAGTCACGTTTAAGGTACAGTGGTAGAGATGAGACGAATGAATTGGCGAGTACGTGGCAGGTGCTGAGGTGTATGATAACTAGGTGTTGTGCTTTCTTGTATCTATTTCTTCTCTCTTCTAGTAGTATTGAAGATGCTCATTCCAGGCACAGACGACGGTACGCGTCATTAACGCAGCCGGGCCAGGAGATCCACGAGGACGGAGCTTTGGCTTTGGCTTTGGCTCTGGGTCGGTCGGTCGGCTGCCTGTAAACAATTCCTCCGCAGCCCTTCTTCAGCGGTGTCTATCCTCCTGCCTTGTTTCAATTGCTTGTTCTTGTCTGATACTCTCATAAACCCCGCCATTGCCTCTTCCCAGCTCTTCTGAGGCCGCTCGACCGTTCCGCTGGGCTTCGGAAGCCGAACCTGCGCTGCTCCGGGTGCTTCAAACTTTATCCGTTTTAGTGTTCGAAACAACCCGCGCAACTCTTCGTCAACGCCCTTCTTTCTCTCTATTCCTTCTTCCAACTCTACTCCCCCGCTCGTCTTCCGCGTCTCCACAACAACGCCATGAACTGTCCGACGCGCGACCCCGAGCCAAAGGCAGACGAGCGCTATAACCAGAACCCGAGCGCGCTCGACGCCGATTTCTCCACAAACGCTTCCTCAAACACGTTCGCTAACCGCGCGACTCGAATTAACGCAGACTTGGATCTACTCTCTGGCGATTCAGATAATCTCTCGTCCGCCCAGCCGCCTGGGATATCGACTTCCTTTGCCGGCGGCGGTGGTGGTGGGGGAGGAGGAGGTGGAGGAGGAGGTGGTGGTGGTGTAGGCGCGCAGGCCAGCTCCGGTGGCCGCGCCAGACGCGGCAGCGCGGCCGCTGCGTCGAGAAAAAACTGGACGTCGAGCTCGGCGGCGGTGGCCGCGCGCAAGTCGGTCGATACGATTGCGTCCGTGGACGAGTACGAGTTGGACTCGCTCGAGCCGTTCAATGGTGGCAGATTACACGACCGGCGGCCGGCGGACAGCCTTGATGCCGACGACGAGGATCGGTTTGTTGACCTAGATGCGCTTGCGCCGCCGCCGCTGTATCATCGACGAAACAAGTTCCGCGCGTTCACGTTCCGTGCGAAGGAGATTTTCAAGAAGTACCTGAGGTTTGTCGGGCCCGGGTTCATGATCGCGGTCGCGTACATCGACCCCGGAAACTACGCGACCGACGTGGCCGCGGGCGCGATCTTCCGGTTCCAGCTGCTATTCGTCGTGCTCGTGTCGAACGTGTTTTCGATCTTTTTGCAAGCGCTCTGCGCCAAGCTCGGCTCCGTCACCGGCCTCGATCTCGCGCAAAACTGCCGCGCGCATTTCCCGCGCTGGCTCTGCATCCTGCTCTACACCCTCGCCGAGGCAGCCATCATCGCGACCGATCTCGCAGAGGTCATCGGCACCGCTATCTCGCTCAACATTCTGTTCCACATCCCGCTTGTCTTTGGCGTCGCGATCACGATCGTGGATGTGCTCATCGTGCTGGTTGCGTATAAGCCGAATGGGTCGCTGAAGGCCGTGCGGTGGTTCGAGTACGCTGTCGCGCTGCTTGTCTTCGCGGTCGTCATTTGCTTTGGTATCGAGCTCAGCAAGATCCAGAACACGAGCGTCGGCGAGATCATGGCGGGTTTTTTGCCTTCGAGAACTGTTGTCGTCGACCGCGGACTATACTACTCTTGCGGTATCATGGGCGCCACAGTCATGCCCCACTCTCTCTATCTCGGCTCTGGACTCGTGCAGCCGCGCCTGCGCGAGTTCGACGAGAAGGAAGGAAACTTCACATCCAACCCCGCTGACTCGCTAGAAGACATCAAGTACCGACCCTCACTAGCCGCGATCCAATACACTCTGCGCTACTCGATTATTGAGCTGGCGGTCTCGTTGGTAACTTTTGCCCTGTTTGTCAACTGCGCGATTCTCATTGTCTCCGGCGCCGCGCTGGCTGGATCACCCGGCGCCGTCGACTCTGACCTGTTTTCAATCTACGATATGCTCAGCAGCAGCCTTTCCCCCGCCGCCGGCACGATCTTTGCTCTCGCGCTCCTGTTCTCGGGTCAATCTGCTGGTATCGTATGTACGCTCGCCGGACAGATGGTTTCCGAGGGTTTCCTGCACTGGACAATGACTCCCTGGCTGCGTCGACTCATCACCCGCTCGCTCGCCATCGTTCCCTGCGTCGCCGTCGCGGGCACAATCGGCCGCGAGGGCCTCGGCGACGTGCTCAATCTCTCGCAAGTCGTGCTCTCGCTCATGCTGCCCTTTGTCTCTGCTCCCCTCGTCTACTTCACGTGCCGGAAACAGTACATGCGTGTGCCGGTCGTGGTCGCGTCCGCGGCAGGAGGATTGCAGGATGAGGAGGACGACGATAGCTTTGAGTTGGAGCGCAGCGGGGTCGAGTATGTTGATATGTCGAATGGGAAGTGGGCTACGATCGGTAGCGTTGCTATCTGGCTCTTCATCAGCTTTTTAAATATGTGAGTGGCACTTTTATTCTCTTCGATTTGTGATCGGTTGCTAATGCGTGTGTAGTTACCTCATCATCCTTCTCATGACTGGAAACGCCAACCCAGATTAAACCAATATTTTATCTCTTCACTTTTTTTATTTGCATGTGTGTCTATGGAATCAGCCTTCACCATCTTTCCTCCCTTTATTTAGCATCGAGCAGCGTGATTGCCTAAAAAGATGAAAAGCGATAGCCCACGAAACTATCTTTTTGCCCTGCTCTTTATCGAGAATAAGACATGTGCTAAGGTCACTTCAAACATCTGACTTTTGATTTCTCCTTTCTCTTCCTCTGTTTATTTGTGTTTTTTTTTCGGAGTTTGTATATAACCAAGTAGTCTCTTTGGACTCACGATCTTGTTTCCTCACATGTCATCCCTTGTTTGCTCTTTTTTGGTTTTTTAGTCATGTTCGTTTCCCGTTCTGTGTTGTCATGGGATATAAGTAGTAGACCTACAAATATATATAAACATCGTACATAGAATCACCATTCAGTAGACTGCGACGAAGTCGCGTCGCCGCGGGACAGGTTGTCTCAGAGGACATAGTGAGGGATGAGCGAGCAGTAAGGTTGGAAGTGGAGGTGGAGGTGGAAGTGTTGGATTGTGATATAGACATTGTTCTAATAGAGATTCACCTCCGCCTCTTCCGCTTAGGGCGCTTCGAGTCATCCTTTCTCCAACAGTCCTTTTCTGCATGAGTTGAAGGCCTAGCAAAGTTATGCCTTATGCAGTACCTGCAAGCTTTCCGAGTCGTTGGTTCGGGTCTACTATTGCTGCTGCCAGCGGTAGTGGTTCTCTGTGCACGGGAAGGCTGTTGAGTAGGCTGCTCGCGCGCCTTGCGTTTGAGAGATGTCGGTTCTTCTTCTTCCTCCTCCTCCTCATCCTCCTCCTCCTCCTCCTCTTCCTCTTCCACCTCCCCCTCCTCCTCTTCTTCTTCATCTTCAGGCGTTCCAGATCTGGAAAGATCAGGGCAGGGAATCACGTAACTACGGGCTCCGTCGGGGTTGTTGATCAGAGAGTTGTCGAATTGACGGCCGGTGCCTAAGTACTTTGGCTTCGTTAGATTAGCACAGACATCCTTCAGAGCATCGACGTCAGTCCCTCTCGACACCTCCTCGAGCTTATTGTATAAATCCTGACTCGTGCAACGGATGCGGGCGTGTAAAACAATGTCAAACTCGTAGCCTTTGCGGATCGGCGCATAGTCTGCGAGTCTTTCCAGCCGAATAACCCAGTCATACGGAGATTCGCCCTCGGCCTGAAAGGCATTAGTTGCAAGAAGAGACATGTCGTAGTCGCCACGGTCAGGACAATTCAGGGCCAAAAACCGGTAGATGTCAAGGAGGGTTGTGGACGGGTGCTTTCTCCAGGGGCTATAGCGGAAGAGCCAAAACTGGGCGTCACCAGAGAGACGCCATCGCAACGCCTCCTTGAGATCAGAGTTCTTATATTGAACAGATAGGTTATCCGCCATATCCAGAAACTCACGGAAAAACGTATACAATCGTAAACGAGGCGGTTTTCCGTCCTTGGGGAGTTTTCCAGAGTACCGAATATGTTCGGGGATGAGGTGCTCGTGTCCGGCTTGGAAGGCAATGGTGTTGACAACCAGGTCGTCTCTGAGAGGATTCAGCTTTTCATAAGCGCGGATGATTCCGCGCGGCACCCTTTCAAGCGGGATCATAAGTGGTACTTCAACGTCTGTCTGGGCAAGGTTACGGAAGTGATCTGCTTGATCTTTGAAGTAATCATCTAGGGTAGACTGTGCAGGATCAGCTGAGGTGATCTGCGAATAAGTTAGCTACATAAGTGACGGGATTGTCTGATTGACGGGACCAAACATCGGAGGAAGACTTACCGCCTCTGGAGCGGGAGCGGAAACCGGATCAGAGATAGAAGTCGCGTCGTCGCGTGCTGTCGTGTCGCTGTTGGAAGACATAGCGAGGGATGATGAATAACAGGAGTGGGGTGGAAGCGCAAGTGATAAGGACGATAGTGATGAAGGATGGCTATCAGGAAGACAGGTTGTTACAAGCTACTCTACAGGCTGCCTTAGAAAAGAACGGACAACCAGCAGAGTAACGTAAACAAAGACAGTTCACCTGTTTGCTGGAATAACGTGAACAGATGCGGTCTGCTCGATAACAACGACGAGGGTTTAGAGAACGCGGGGCAGCCTCATCAGCTCTCGTCTTGCACGTGAAAACAGGTAATATTATTAGTAATCTATTAAGTAATCAAATTAGTTTTGAAGTTCTTAGCCGAGGAGGAAAAGCTGGAGCGATTGCCGATTTGATAAGTGACAGATTTGGAAGGAGTTCACTGCGAGCGAGCTGGGTCAGTTGCTTCAACAAGAGAAGATACGTCTTTGATGGCTGGAATATTTGGATTTCTGTTTGGAAAAAAGAAACGCGAGGCGATAGAAGACTATGAAAGCGAGGATGGCAGTCTGGACGAATACGAGGGTGAGCAGCGGCGCAACAGCAAGAGACAGCGGCGGACGGAGCCGTTGGTCCTGCGGTTGATTCTCAAGTACGCTAGTTCTTCTGCTGAGGAAGAACAAGAGGGAGAAGAACCAGACAGCGAATGCCGGGTGATTTTCTCGCTGAACGAGGAGGATTTGGAGTATAGGGCTAGTATTCGTGAGTTTGCGCAGAACGTGGGGCAGGAGTTTGCTGGTGTTTTTGGGCGGTTGCGAGAGGAGCGAGAGGGGCATCATCATCATCATCATCATGGAGACGAGGAGGAGGAGCAGGATGAGGAGATGGGTGCGTGGAGGAGGTATCGGTGCTCGGATGAGTTTGGGTTTTTGTATACGCCCGAGAGTGTGGTGAATGATGTCTTTCGGGATGGACAGGTCGTGATGTAAGTCTCAATCTCCAGTTTCTTGATATCACGACGGTGATGCTGACCACGGTGTGATCTAGAGTCGAGCAGTTGAGCGGTGAAGATCAATCACCAGGATCATTCGCAACTTCCCTTGTTAGCACTGAACCCGTGCCGCAAATCGCAGATGCGCAGAGTACACCCGAATCAGACGATGACGCGCCTGTCCTCTCGGAGCAGCAGCTAGCCGCGATGGCAAAGTACGCAGTCCCTTTTTTTCTTTCTTTCCATTTCATCCTTGCTCTTCTCAAGGAACAAGAGAAGGAGACCGGCTAACGTGGGTTTCAATGCAGGATCGACGCGATGTTTGACACTTATGAGGGTGAAAAGGAGAACTTGCCCATTCAAAAGAAAGGGAAACCGTTCGAAGGCACGCAGGCGACAAAGGCGCGGAATTTGCGGCGTAAGCGGGCAAAGCAACTTCGTAAGCAGAAGCAGGAGCAGCAGCAGCGAGAAGAAGAAGAGGACGGGCAAAAGCCTACGGATGAAGAAACTGAGCTGCTGGAACGGAAACGAAAAGAGCTGTTATCGCGACTTGATGCGATGCAGGTTATTGGGAGTGAAGGAGAAGGTTCGGACGGATCGGAGGATGAAACTGACGGTATGGGGGATGCTAGGCAAAGTGCGAACAGTACCCAGGAAAGCGAAAGTGACAGTCAAGAGGGATCTTCGTCATCGTCAGTTTCGTCATCGCCGCCACTGCCACGGACAGAAGAAGAGTTTTTGCGGCTTGATGTGTCGCAGGCTTTCGGGAGCGATGACGGCGATGCCCGCGAATTGTTTGCAAGTCTAGGATGGGAGAATGTAGCTGATGATGCTGAGATGAGTGGGAGTTATATCGGGGAAGGCGCGAGTGAAGATGAAGAAGAATCCTGGTCATCGTCATCGTCATCGTCATCGTCTTCAGAATCAGAGTCAGAGTCAGAGTCAGAGTCAGAGTCTTCTGACGACGGAGAAGAGGCTCCTCAAGAAGCTGATGAATCTAGAAATTCCCCCGCCTCATCATCGTCATCGTCATCATCCTCGAGCGCCAGCCCAACACTCCAACCACACATGACCGTCCTCGCCGAATCAATCGAAGTCAAAGGCCCCACCGCGCACGAGCTCGATATCCCACCCTTCCCGTTCGAGCAGGTCAACTCTGAGAACTGGAAGCCAAAGTATCCCGTCCTCAAGCAGAACGGCGACGGCGAGGAGGCAGAGAAGGAGTGGGTTACTAGGCGTCCTGCGAGGAAGAGGAAGAGACGGTGAGTGAGAAGATTTATGTGTGATGTATTTTAGGTGTATACAAAATGAAAGCAAATATGCCAATAAAACATGCAAGAACTCCGGCCAGGAACCAGATTCAACGCCATAAAACAAAGTAGCAGATACAAGACTGTCTATGTGACAGAGGCTTCTCCGGTTCCGAGCATGACTATTAAGTAACTAAGAGATATCAAAGTAGTTAGTATGTCATAGATGAAAAGGCAGTGAAGAAGTAAGACGTACATATTAAGACCCGTGATGAACAGCCAGATCGCGACCGCCAACACAGAAAAAATGATCCCGTTCGACATATCAACAGTAACCTGCGCTAGATCTTCACCATTCGTCGTCGTCTGCGTCTGCGTCTGCGTCTCTGGAAGATTCGAACTGCTACCGTTCAAGTCGACGATCTCGATCGACTCCTGCAGACTATCAGCCACAGGCATGACCGGCACCTGCATAAACTGTTTCCGGCAGGTAAAGTAAATCAGCGGCGCGGTGACGAACGGGAGCAGGATCGAGAGCATCACCTGCGACAGATTGAGAACTTCGCCCAGACCATCGCGACCCACGGCCGCGGCGACGACGATACATGGCACGATCGCGATGCCGCGCGTGATCAGCCTGCGCAGCCAGGGTCGGAGGGTCCATCTTAGAAACCCTTCGGAGACCATTTGGCCCGCGAGGGTGCATACCATTCCGGCAGATTGACCGGAGAATAGGAGGGCGAGGGCAAAGACGGTGCCCGCAGCTTTGTTGAGGTTCGTGGTTAGCATGTCGTAGATTGAGAAAAGATCGGCGTCGGAGGCGCCGGGGGTGTCTGATAATGTCGCGCCGGCGAGGATCAAGATCGACGAGTTGACAAAGAGAGCGAATGTGAAGAGCGCGACCGCTTGCTCGACAAGCGAGTATTTCAGCGCATGCTTCATGGCGGCTAACGAAGGGCGGTATTTCGGCAGATCGTTTATATCATCTGGGATTTCGGCGTAGTTCCCGTTGCCGTTCGTGGCGTCGTAGTCCCGCAGTCGGGGTTGGATCAGACCTGAGCCTAGGTAGAGACTATGGGGCATGACGGTTGCGCCGAGAATACCGCAGGCGGCGTATAGTCCTTCGCTCGACACGACCGTCTTCGAGGGCAGGTATCCTTTGAAAACTTCGCCGACTGAGGCATCGATGTGGCTCAGCTCAACACAGAAACAGATGACGACGGCCAACACCAGCAGCGCGACAGCCTGTTCAAACCATCGTAATCCCTTGAGCGATCCGTTAGGCTTGTACGCCATCAGCACAATCAGAACGTCGGTGATTGTGATTGCGACGCCGGCGACGAGGGGGATGTGGAACAGGATATTGAGAGCGATCGCGGTACCGATTACCTCTGCGATGTCGGTCGCGATGATGGCTGCTTCGGCAAGTAGGTATAAGATGACGCAGAGCCAGCGCGGAAGATGTGCGCGGCAGTTCTGCGCAAGGTCGAGGCCTGTGACGCAGCCTAGTTTGGTACAAAGAGATTGGAGGAAGATGGCAAACACGTTCGCGAGCAGGACCACGAATAGGAGCTTGAAGCGGAATTGCGCACCGGCAGAGACGTCGGTGGAGTAGTTTCCGGGATCGATGTAGGCGACGGCGACCATGAAGCCGGGACCGATGAAGCGCATGTACGTCTTGAGCACGTCCTTGATCTTGAGGAGATACCCCATGAACCTTGACGGCGGTTGCTGGGGATCAGTAGGAGCGGTTCCATTCGACGAGGACTGGCTTGTAAAGAAAGGCAAGTTCGCAGGAGCAAACGAGCGCAGCTTCGACGGCTTGGGCGTTGTCTTTGTGTCCAAGACGTCCATCTCATACTCCACAGGCAAGGACCATATCCTCGAGCTTTGGGATTGTGAGGCAACCGAGACCGACGACGACATCGATCCCGGACGGCCGAGATCGCCGCTGGCGCCGGCTTTTCGCGGCATCTGCGGCAGAAAGCAGACAGGTCTCTTGTTGTCTGGACAACAGCTGTAGCAGCAGACCAAGCGAGATCTTTGGAGACTACAGATAGAATACGAGCAGAACGAGCAAAATACAATGGGAACGGACCAGGGGAGGATAAGGCGATGCGGTGAACTTTAAGGTTGCGCCGCTCGAACTCCGAACGCGGACATGCTGCGTTTTCTGCTTCCAGATGTCTTTAACAGAAGTGACTAGATATATGATTGCTTTCGAGATAATGATTACTTTTATTGTTTTTCAAATTACCTCTCTACATAACTCTCGTGTCTGTTCAGAAGGCCTCGAGACGGAAAGGGAATAATTAAGGGAACCAAGGTTTGTAGGATTGTAAGCACCGAGGGATTCGTTCTTTAGTACTCTGACTCCGTCCAGAGTGGGAAACAGTAAATACTGCAACTGCACGTCTCCGAGAACAGAGTACACGGATGTCGGCCGAACTGCTCACCTCTGCCGTGTCCTGGTACATGGACGCTGTTCCCGACATCTCAATTGAGCTGATTGACCGCCGTCTATCCGTCCAAGTCGGCTGGAACGACGATTCCTGGCGATGGCTGGCCGTCACTGTCGTCGCGGTCGTGCTTCCGCTTCTTCTCAAAAAACTCAAGCGGTCGTCGGGCACGCAGCTGTTTTCGTACACGTTTGGGTATAAGTTTCCAGCCGAGTCTTTGCCGGATTGGAAGCCCCCGACGAGCGTGCCGATCGGTGTTTCTCCGATCCCGCTGCTCCGCACAAAGAACGAGCCCGAGATGATTCAATGCTATTGCCCTGCCACGGGCGCGTATCTCGGGCGCATCCGCGCGGCGACAAAGGCCGATATCGATTCGGCGGTGAGTAAATGCAAGACTGTGCAGGAGGCAAAGTGGAAGAATACGACGTTTGAGGAGCGGAAACATGTTTTGAGAACTCTGCTTGGGTTTTTGAAGAAGAATCAGGAAAAGATGGCTAGAGTTGCGTGCAGGGATAGTGGGAAGACGATGGTTGACGCGGCTCTTGGTGAGGTAAGTACCTCTTTTCTATACTGATATGCCTAACAATCGCCTAACTCGTGCATGCAGATCCTAGTCACTCTTGAGAAGCTATCATGGACAATCAAGTACGGCGAAGACGCGTTAAAACCTTCGAAGCGAGTTGGTCCTGCGAATCTTCTGATCCGATATAAGGATGCGGAAGTTATATACGAACCGTTAGGAGTAGTCTTGGCGCTTGTATCGTGGAATTATCCGGTACGTATCGCTGCAGTATATTTCTGGAACGAGACAGGTCTGACAGTTCACAGCTCCACAATCTTCTAAATCCTATAATATCGGCGCTTTTCAGCGGTAACGGCATCGTTGTAAAGTGCTCAGAACAAGTTGTCTGGTCATCCACGCATTTCATCGCAATCGTGCGTAGCTGCCTGGTCGCCTGCGGCCATTCACCTGATATCGTCCAGCTAGTCTGTCCCTGGCCGGAGGACACAGACTATCTGACTGCGCACCCGTCGATCTCGCAAGTGACGTTTATCGGCTCGAAGCCTGTCGCGCATAAAGTTCTCAACGCGGCGGCGAAGTCGCTGACTCCGGTCACGGTCGAGTTGGGAGGCAAGGACGCGGCGATCGTGCTGGACGAGTATCAAAAGTCGTGGAAGAGCTGCGATGCTTTGGCGTCGGTGCTGATGCGCGGGTCGTTCCAGTCCGCGGGGCAGAATTGCATTGGCATCGAGAGGATCGTGGCCGAGCCGAAGGCGTACGAGGCACTTGTGTCGACGTTCAAGAAGAGGGTTCCGATCTTACGGATCGGGTCGGTGCTTGATGAGAAACAGCCAGTCGACATGGGCGCGATGATTAGCGACGCGAGGTTTTCAACCCTCAAGTTTCTGATCGACGACGCGGTGCATCATGGAGCGAAACTGTTGTGTGGAGGACAGCGGTACAAGCATCTACAGTACAAATACGGATCATATTTCGAGCCGACGCTGCTCATAGATGTGACGCCGGAGATGCTGATTGCTCGGACAGAGCTGTTTGCACCAATTATGGTCATGATGAAAGCCACCTCTGTCGACGACGCGATCCGGATAGCGAATGCCCCGGATTTCGGGCTCGGCGGATCAGTATTCGGCAAGCGCGGAAGCAAAGCGACCGAGCGCGTCGTGCGCGAGATGAAGACGGGCAACGTGGCCGTCAACGACTTTGCGACGTTCTACGTCTGCCAGCTGCCGTTCGGAGGAGTCAAGGGCTCCGGCTACGGCAAATTCGGGGGAGAAGAAGGGCTGCGCGCGCTTTGTCTGGCAAAGAGCGTGTGCAGAGACAAGTACCCGTTAATCAGCACGAGCATTCCTGGGATTGTGGATTATCCGCTTATGCAGATGGACAGTGCGTGGGCGTTCGTGCGGGCTATGAATGTAGCTTCGTATGCGAGCGGGGTGTGGGAGTTTGTGTGGAATTTGATTCTGCTGGTGTGGAATCTGAAGTGATAGAGTGAAGTTGTTGGTTTTCCCAAAACAATGCAAATATGTACAAACTATATACAATAGACCTTTAATCCTAACCATAAACAAAAAGAAATGTACTCCTGAGCAATGAAATAATTCTGCACCGACGAAATCAATTTCTCTTCTCTTCAGAAGATGGCTTCGGGGTACGATCAACCGGTTGAACGGCCTCATACTCCTTCTGCAAAGCCTGCTGCATTTTCAATTCCGCCATACGCTCTTCTTTGATGCGTCGGCGCTCTTGATCGTAAACCACACCTTGGTACATAGTCTTTTTGAACTGTTAGCTCTGATGGTCTGATCGGAGACGAGTAGCGATGGGAGGTTTGACATACGTATTCTTCTGCCTTCTGAATGTAGTGCACGCCGTAGATGATGCCGGCGGTCAGTACAGACACAGTTCCGAGTGTGATTTTCGAAGCGGTGGACATCTTGTCTTTGTTGTGTGGATTAAAGCAATACCAGATTGCCTCCAATGACTGTAAAGTAGTCGAGAAGAGTGAACTCACAAACTCACAATCTGACTCACAATGTGACTCAAACTTCCTAAAGTGGACGTTATCGGTCGTCGAGGCGCGCACCAAAGCGTATCTCGAAATTCAGCCTTTTCTGCGCTTCTCTTCCTCTCTTCCCTTCCTGTATCCCATCTCATTCTGCCGCCTTCGTTTTTCTCGCATTTATATATAACTCTACACTAGTTTAGAAATGGTGAGATTGCTGAAATTGTTAGAAGTTTCTGCGATTGGATTTGCTAACGGTTTGTTTTCGTGCTGGTAGTCTGCTCAGAGCTCCACCGGAATTCAGACCCTTCTCGAGGTAGGTTAATCTAGTTCATCGTCGTCACGAGCATCCTCAATCGGATAAGTTCGACGAGTGATTGCTTTCTCTTCTTATCTACCGACAACTGACTCTATCTTTTCAATTGATCAAAGGCCGAGAAGGAGGCTCAGGCTATTGTCGCCAAGGCCCGTGCTTGTACGTTCTCCCTCTTTCTTATATCTCGTGGATGTCGATTGCGTATGGATTGAATGCTAACTTGCGATATGTTTATAGACCGTACCCAGAAGCTGAAGGATGCCCGTACCGAGGCTACCAAGGAGATTGAGGCCTACAAGGCGTCCAAGGAGGCCGAGTTCAAGGCCTTCGAGGCTGAGGTATGTCTCCCCATTTGCAGACTATCAATGCAGACAATCAATCGTTGCTCCCGCAGGTTTACTGACGTATGACTATGAATAGCACTCGAGCTCGAACACCAAGGCCGAGGAGGAGGCCAACGCCGGCGTCCAGCAGGAGCTTATCGACATCAAGGAGTTGGCCGCGAAGACCAAGGACAAGGTCATTGCCGACTTGATCGACGCTGTCACCAAGCCTAGCCCGTCGCTCCACATCAACGCTCAGTAAATAGTCTTGTGGTTTTGTTGTGTTGGTTCATTGTATTTAATTAATCTATTTTCTTTAACTTGTTTTGTGCTCTGCTTCCTTGCCCTGCTGTTGCAGTATCTTAAGGAGGTTGGACTGCTTCAGGTTGACAGTGTGTATGGTCTTGACTGTAAAACTTGCGTCTGACAGTTCAATGTTTTGCACAAACTTGTCAAAGCTGGACCATGACATAAAGTAGTAAGGGATAGACAGTAAAGGGATATAAGATATTCCTTCACAATCTTAGCCAGCCCTCCCCAACCATCAGCTCACACCAGAACATACCACAAAACACAAACCGCCCAAATACAGCCTACTCCACACCTTCTTTTAATCGAAATCGAGTCAGGAGCTATATTCTACCGATTGCTTCCAACCTCCTATCGTCGAACCCGTAGCGATTACCAACTCCGGCCAATTGACGCGGCTGACTAAACATCCCGCTGACGAGGACTATGGTGTTTGTACTTATTTCTCATAGGCAGCTGAGATGATGGTTGGAGATTGTGTTTGGATGGGTCGAGTTGGCGGACTGGATGAGAAGACGGTGGATATTGTGTTTGATGGCAAGTGAGATGCTGTGAGAAGATGTGTTGAAATAGTTCCAACACGGACAGATGCGTTAGTCCTCTCCTCTGATCTGTCAGTCATTTTTTCAGCAGCAGATGATTCGTACCTAAACCGAGAACTATGGGTTTTTGTGCTACCAGCCAGAGTTGTTTCGAGTATGTTTGACAGTGCAGGATGTAGAGTCGATACTGTTACAGGAGCTTTGAAGATGGAAGTTACGTGATGAATTGTGGGCTCTACGCAACAGTAGTAGACAGGTCTTTTGAGAGAAGGCAGGTTAGCTTTGGTATACCTGTTCTGTTTTAGTTTCTTTGCCTTGTCTGTCCGAGCCTTTCTTTATACTCACAAAGGCAGGTATGACTCGAGGTAGAGCTTTGCTGACAAATTCTCTGAAATCCTCTGCTGCACAGAATTGTTGGCAGTCTCGAGAGTCAACGTTGCTTAGGTCGGCATTGAAGGTCCAGTGTACCGCTCTGGGGTTGCTTTTCTCTTTGATACTCAGGCTATCTACGAGTTGAGAAGAAGGAGATCTTGCTGTACGCTGTAGGATCAGTCCAACAATCCACGCTGCCAACAATGCCGGGCCAGCGCGTACTCGTGTGGGGCGAAAGCCATCTGCGGGTGGGCGGACTACTGTTTATTTTTCTGAGTAACATGAATGGCTTCGAGCTAAGCAGAAACTCTGTTTTGTAAAGCTAGTAGTCGACAAAAGATATGTGATGGGGGTATTAATAGAACTTCACCAGAATGAGAGCCGGTCTGAGTCAGGGTAGATAGTTAGCTGGACTAAAAGATGCAGTCAGCAAGAAAAAGAAAGGATCAAAGAAAGGGTTTAGCAGCAAAACACGAAAGATACGAACGATATAGTTACGGGAAGGGAGTCGACAGGTAGACAGAATGAGGCGGCATGTCGAGCTGCTAGACCGGGTTTGCGGGCCTTATCAGTGGGTGAGGAAGAGATGCGATAAGGAACTGCATCCTCGACCCTTTACTTTTCGATTTCCAACTATCTGCTTGCTTGTTCATATCGATATACTAATTCTTAATAACAAGAACAAATATGAATTCAACTGATTCATTAATAGTCAGATATGATGGCAACAGAAGAGAGCCAAGTGCGCTTGGCAATGCTTAACCGTTTTTAGCTCTAAACCCATTCTGTCAACCCACCCCGGTTGACGCTGATCACCTCCTGATAAGAGATATGACTACCCGAACATCCCGCTGCAGGATCATATTATTTTTGTAGTAAACTGCTTCTTTGCAGTGCGCTGCTGAACAACAATAAAGCGCAAATATGAACAACGAGAACAGCAGCGTCTGAGCACAAGTCAGACAATGCAGCCCTGGTCCGAGTTGTTGTCCGTGCTGCTGCTTATTATCTGCCCACATTTTTCTCTATGATCAACAACGCTCAGACTGGCGCTCAGACTTGGCTTTCCCACATATCCGCGCTACGGTGCGGGTGACTAAAGCAAATCCTGGTCCGATTTGAATTAGCCGATAGCTCGGGTCCTGCTGCCCGAATGTTCGTAGGGTTTTTGCTCGCGTTTATCTCTTATCTCCAAGACATCTGTTCGGGGCACGTTTGCTTCTGCTGTGCTGCCCACTAAGCAATCTGTCTGTTTGCTGACATTGTACTGATCTCATGTGTAAAAAGCATGAGAATAAATGCAGAAAGGGTGACTATCGGACAACAGCAGCAGCAGCAGCAGCAGTAGTCACGCTGCACATACTACGGCCTGTCACCCCGTTTGACAGATCCGCATCGCGCGTTTACAGTTCACTCTTACCTTATCCTCCTCTTCCTATCTGCGACACACCCGCTCTCGCCCCGCGGCCTGCCTTATCCTGTGTCGCTCCGTACCGCGCTATCCTCTCTCTGCACTCTTGCTATCATCCCACCTCACCTCTTTCTGCCTGTTTTCTGTAGCTGCTCGTCGTTTCTATCGTTATCTTTGATACTATTCTGTGGGCTATGGGATACTTAGTTTATCCTGATAATCATCTGCAGGGATGAACACAGCGACGCACGGTACCTCCCCATTAGAGGTGGGTCCGTCCGTCTCCAGCCTGCCGGTCCATCAGACTGAAAGCTTGATAAGAGCATTGACTGCGGATACAACCCTCGTCCTCCTGATGTCCTCCTGATACCATGCACTACTGACTCTCGACTGACAGCTGCCTTTCATATAAAGCTCCTGTCTCTCCCTCCTCCACAAGTCACCACCACCCGCCTCCACTTTCTCCATAGATACCAAAAATGGCAAACACAAAGTGGCCTTTCAACCGCAATGAGGTGACCATGGAGATGATCAAGGAGGATCCCACCTGCGATCCTTACTACGATCCTCCTGACTGGGTCTGCCCGAAATGGCGATTGGTGCTCTCCTTCTTCTGGGAAGTCATCCGGAAGCCGCCTGGTGAGCGGAAATACGTCAACAAGCTAGATCGTGGTATCTTGTTCTACTTGATGTTGTCGTACATGACCAAGAGCTTGGACCAGAAGAACATCTCCAACGCTTATGTCTCTGGAATGAAGGAAGATGTAAGTGTCCACGCTCCTTTATCGAAATAATCTCCCTCTAACACCTCGCAGCTCAACCTCAACGGTGACCAATACAATCTGTTCACCACCATCTTCAACATCGGTTACCTCTGCGGCTCTATCCCGTCTCAGATCGTTTTGACCTGGCTGCGTCCGTCGTACTCGATGCCCATTTGCGAGTGCTTTTGGACCGTCTGCGTCATGTGCATGTCGCGCGCCACCAGTGCCCGGTATATCTACGGCTTCCGCTTCCTCCAGGGCTGGGCCGAGAGTATCTGCTACCCTACCATGATGATGATCCTCGGCTCGTGGTACAGACCCGATGAAATCGCCAAGCGCGTCGTCATCTGGGATATGACCTGGTCCATGGCTGCTATGTTCTCCGGATACCTGCAGGCTGCGGTGTACACGAACTTGAACGGCGTCGGTGGATATGCTGGTTGGCAGTGGCTTTTCATCGTCGACGGATGCATCTCGCTCCCCATCGGTCTCATTGGCTTCCTTTGCATCCCTGATTTCCCAGACAACACGCGTGCAATCTACTTCACCGAGCGCGATATCCAGTACAGTTTGCGGCGAATGGCAGAAGTGGGTAAAAAGGGCTCGAAGAAGATGACCATCAAGCGATTCATTGGCTTCTTCACCACCTGGCGCTTCTGGGCGTTCATCACGCCGTACTCGGTCTACATCGTCGGTGCTGGTGATTACTTCAATCTGTGGCTCAAGGGTATGGACTACAGTGTCAAGATGATCAACTACCTGCCCACAATCGGAAACGCCGTCGCGCTCGTCTCGGGTTATTTGTTTGCTATCTTTTCCGATCTTACCCGCTGGAGATGGCAGCTTGCTATGGTCGCTCTGGTTCCGTACCTTTTTGGCAACCTCGTTCTCGGAATCTGGGATGGCGTGCCGTTCGGTCTCAAGTTTGCGGCAAACATTGTGCCCAACGTCGGCGCCTCCTTCTTCTCCATCTTCATGGCTTACATCTCCGAAGTCTTCCAGGACGACACCGAAATGCGTGGTTACCTGCCCGCCATCGGTAACGTCATCTGGTACGCCATGTACGCCTGGTTCCCGATCGTCTTCTTCGACGCCGCAGACTCGCCCAAGTTCAAGAAGCGCCAGGGATACCTCGTCGCGTTCGCGCTCGCCGTCGTCAACTTCGTCTCCATCTACATCTGCCACTGGGCGCATATGCGGGAAGTCAAGCTCAAGGGCCTGGTCAAGAACAAGTACGGTCTTTGGGTCGCGCGCGAGATGTTGATCGACTACGACGGTGCGTCGCAGACCGGTTCGGATGCCGCCTATGAAGAGGCTACGTATGAGATCGGCGAGAAGATGAAGGCCGATCCGGCTATTTATGAGATTGATCCCAACCAGGACATCGAGCGGGACTCGGATCTGATCCGTGTCAAGTCGAACAAGATCTGATCGCCTTCTTTTTCATTTCCTTGTGCGTTGTTAGTTGTGTTTTAGGACTTTTTCTTGTGGCTGATGAATTGAAAGTATATGTTTGATTATGTTCTTTATTAAACGTTTTCCCAAAAAAGCAATCTCTATTTTTCTTTTCCTTACACCGTATAGCGCTTTTAATCCTCAGGGTCCTGCGGGTTTCCCTGCTTATTCTGCTTCCGCTGCCGATACTCATCGCCCGGCAACGGCCTCAGCAATCTTTCCCCCAGATCCCGTTCCATAGCACAATGATCCAGCATGATATCGCTGATCGAATCCGGATTAAACTTATCCAGCCCCGTCGCAAACTGCATCAACATCCCCGCCGCCAAATGCCACGCAATATGGCAGTGGAAAGCCCATATTCCCGGGTTATCCGCCACGAAGCGAATGACTACATGGCCGCGGCGCGGAATCGTGACAGTGTCGCGCAGGATCGGGTTCTCGGTATTGTATTTCTCAGCATACTCCTCGCGCCACCGTCCTTCGCCTGCCACGCGTTCGCCGTACGATCTCAAGACCCAGAAGTCATGCCCGTGAAGATGGAACGGGTGCGCGTTGTCGTCGCTGTTGTTGATCACCATCTCGACCACCGCGCCGTGCGGAATCTGCGTAACGAGCTGCGCACCGCCCCATACGGGGTCGTTATCTCGGCCGGTCACAGTCGGGACCGTGACGGTGTCTAGGATGTTGGCTTTTCCAAACGCAACCTGGATATTAGGCGCGCCGATCGCGGGCTGGAACGTAGTGCGGTTGATGAACCCGAACGGAGCCTGCTGCACGCGCTCGAGATTCAGAGTCTTGGGCGAGATCTTGTAGCGGACGGTAAAGTCCGGCACCGACGCCGACTTGATCGGCACGAGCTTTGTCTCGTCGATATCGATGCATTCAGCTTCCGGAAGCGCGTCCTCCCAGCTGATCGAGTCGACCTCCGCCGGATCGTACGAGTCTCCTTCGATCTCGACATCCGCCTGGTCTCGCTTCAGCAGCTTCTTAACAAACCGCGAGACGGACGACGTCTCCGGCGTCACGTATTTGATCACGGTATCGAAATCCTTGTCGAGCGCAGGCGGACGGTACTGGAAGCAACTAGTCTGGATCTGCAACCGCATCATCACCGCCTCCAGCACCGAGTCCGCGAGGACGATGGTCGAGTATCGCTGGCCGGGCGCGATCGTGAGCATGTGAACGGAGTAGCGTTCGACCTCGGTCGAGTCCACTTCGATGATATCCATCTCGTGGTCGTCGATCGACATTGTGATTTCAGCAAACGCAGAGGCGTTGAGGATCCGTAGACGGTAGCGTTTGCCGCGCTCGAATTGGAACATCGGGCGTTTTCGAGGAGGAGAGTCGCATGAGTGCTTCCTGCGGACGCGGTCGCAGTCGACGTGTCCGGCACCGTTCACAAGGCCGCTGTCAGGGACAGGTTCGAAGCCGCTGCTCTGCTCGCCGAGATACCAATCAAACAACTCTTTTCCTTCCGCATGGTAGTGATCGTGCAAGACAATGTAAATCTCCTCGTCGTAGTCGCGCTCGATCTGGTACGACTCGTCATTATCATAGACCACCAACCCACCAAACGCGCCATCGACGCGCTGCAGGCGCGAATGCGAATGATACCAGAACGAGCCGGACTGCGCGAGATCAAACTCATACACAAACTCGCTTGACTCGGGCGGAATACCGCACTGCGTCACGCCGGGGACGCCGTCCATCACGTTCGTGCCGCGCTGGTGCAGGCCGTGGAAATGCAGACTTGTGCTCTCGTCGAAGTTGTCGAGGTCGTTCGTCACGCGGATGCGGAGACGGTCGCCCTTCCGCGCGCGGATGATGGGGCCGGGGAAGAGGCCGTTGATGAGGGTCATTTTCTTAATGACTCCGTCAGGGGCCATTTCGTGGTGCGAGATGGTCAGTTCGAGGTTGTGTGTTACCGGTGCGGGAGCCGCGAGGATCGACTTGATTGTGCTGGAAGATACCTGTAGGTTTTGCAGGTTGTTGTTGACGACAGGTTTGTTTGACGCTGCATCTGGAAGTGAAGCAGAAGCTACTTCACCGGAGCTTGAGACTGGAGCTTGAGAGGTCTCTGTGATGCTCGTTATAGCGGAGGTCTTGACGGTGCGGACTACATCTTGGTTCCATATCAGGAAGATGGCTATCCAAATGAAGCCCACCAGGACGAACACTATACGCGCAAAACAGTCAGCTCGGTCAAAAGACTCATACAACGCAAGAACACTAACCATTCCGAATGCGAAAGGGATTTCGGGCGGCCATGGTCTCTCTCTAGGATAGAGAAGCAGAACTGTCGAAGGAAAACCAACGGATAGTGACCGTCGGAGCGATTGAGTGCATTATACCTCACGTAGGCTGCTCACAGCATACTTTGGCGCGTCAGCCAGTAGCAACTAAAGACATGAGCAGACGACCCTCACATCGAAGAACGAGGGTTCATCGTAGGTAGCGAGCACAGCTGAACCTGTTGTGAACTGCATCTAGCTGGGTACGTGAACTGAGCGCGGAGCGCGGAGATGGCTGGGTTTAGGATTCCCAGACAATCTCGCCGGTACCTGGCGGAAATCCGCAGGTCAATGCATTTTTCAGAAATATGACGTAGGAAAGCGAAGCGGCATGGGCACAAGCACCGGCTGTTATTGGTGCACGCAGATCTGGCGCAGGCGCGAGGACAATCCACGGGACTGGCGAAGCCAGATTGATTGGCCTTCGCGGGATAACTCTATTTCATATTAGCTCAGCGCTATCATCAAACTCTAAGCTAAAGCCGCACGGCTCAGGGGCTCCCCTGGCCTTTTTTGCCCTTTGCAAATCGCATAACCTGCTCGGCGTCGGTTAAGCCTTTCCTGGTCTGCAGGGGCGGAGGCGAACCCTGGGAAGCTTGTTTTTGATCCAGTCCTGCGTCTTCAGTTCTTTTACTGATCAAAGTATGTGCAACGCGAATTTTATGGGGGCATAAGGGGCTTAGGGAGCTTTGTAGAGGTGATGAAAGTATGAAAGTAGTCGAGAGACCGACGTTTGCAGAAAGTAGTAATTCGGTTTCTCTGCGATGGCGGGTGCCGTTGGGAATGGATAGCCGATTATGAATTACCAAGACAAATCGCGTACCTATTGATTGGCCGCAAAAGTTCACCGGAAATGATTTTATTTAGGAACTCCCGACTCGGAATCTCTACCCAATAACTGTAATTCTGCAAAACCAAGAAACGGCAAGATTCTGGGGGAGGGGGTTCATCAAGCAGTAGCGGGAGGCTCAAGGCAATTTTTTTCATCAAAAAAGCAAAGGTAAGGATCCACGGGACTACTGGCTGTGGCACTCATTGGTCTCGTTTAACTGTGTAGAGAGCAGTCGGTCGATGTTGAAGAATTTCTCAATGGTCCCAGCTTTGAAGAGAAAAGAAGCTGAACAAGAGCTGTATGAGATAGCTCTTCTCGTTAGTGTCCGTCGTCGATACCTTTGAGCCCCAAAAATGAAACTGCCGGTAAATCCTCTTTTGACAGCTTTCACATGTTTTCCGTCCTAGCATCTAATTTGCCAGACGACGACAATGGAAATTTAATCGGCATTTATCATGCTCGGGTGACCTCATTCTCTTTCTCTTAAATAGCGCAATATTTGCTTACCGTTCCTGGAGACGCATGCTTCTCTCTGGCGCGCTTAGCAGATTACATCACTGATGAGTGGTAAACGGCCATGCAAGGGCCAGTGGTAGCCGCGCCAGTATATCGCTTGCGCTCATATAATCCATAATATCTCACATATCAACTCTATCAATGATTAACTGCTTTGCATCTCTTGTGGAAGCTTTTGTATGTCTAGACTCTTTGTGCAGGCTTAAGCATAGAGGGACTACATATCACGCCAGAAATGCTCAGTATCGATGCAGCTGTCACGTCAAGAGCTCCCGCTTGCCTGCCTGTCGCGAACAGCGGAAGAGCCTAACGATGAAGCCCTGATAATTAGAGTTGTGATTCCCTCTACTTCCAGTTCTCCCTGTACTCTTTTTTAAATTACAATCTGCTCTGCTCCGACGCGCCAGAACCTCGTCCTGCTGATTCCGGCGACCAGATGTTGGAAAATGCCAATTGCATTCCCGAGAGCCGCGAACTAGCGACGAAAAGAAACTAGTCCGTCTAAGGCTAACTCTTCATTCTGACCACTAAGGGCTCTGTTTAATAGCTTTGTACCACTAAATCCCACAAAATCATGCCCGTGGACTTGAATGATCGCGATGGTCTCTCCGACACCGCTATTTACGATTTCTGCATTGGGATTAGTCCGAACGAGTGGTATTTCTCTTTTCCGTACAGAATAGAGCAGCCGCGCCCCCTAAACCGATGTAAGCAAAATGCTGTGGAAAGAAAGGGTAGGATGGAAAGGGGTTAACCCTCCAAAACTGTAATCCTGCGCGGTCAACACGCCCGCCGGACTTCAACCAAACTCACTCGGAGAAGTTTGCAGGCGGACGAGAATGAACGTCAGTCCACGTGCTGGACATATCTGAGCTGTACAGACTGTATCTATCTGAAACTGAAACCTACTGAAGATTGAACTAAAATCTATCTGATGCCAATCGGCATCTTGCTCTGCTGCCAATCATCTGTCAGTTCCGCGATTGCGCTGTACGCTGCCAGGCCCTCTCCCGGCCCTCTATCCTCTCCGCATATGAATCGTGTTTTATCTGTTCTGTCTACTGCTATTATATTACATGCACATGAGTTATTAGACTGCTTTCATTGAACGAGGGTCCAGCATAGATTACGCCGGTTCCGTACATTGCCTGCTCTCGGATGTCTCTTCGATGTCATCTACGGCATCGCAACAGGTCGTCTGCCAGACAATGACAGGAAAAACGAACGCGATAGACGGAAAGTGGTCTCTGCGTTTTTCATGAACCGGATCACATTTTTCATTTTCACCGGCCGACTTAGCGACCAAGTTTATCTCCGCTGAAATGTAATCCAGAATATGACCTGTCTGATTGAACGCACCCACACACACACCACCACTTCTACCTTCTGTCGGCAAGTCAAAGGACACACGTGCAAGGGTCCTCTATTTCCAAATCGTCCGTATACCTGGCCGAAGCTTTTGAGTACGACGCGGATTCACAGACGAGTGACTTTCCGAGTACAGGAAAATTGACTTGAATATTGCCTCGCAAAAGTTCCGAAACGGGAAGCTGGCATGTCATCCTAAATACGCGGCCTTTTTATTGGCCTTGAGTTTTTCATTCATCTCGAGTACTTAAGAGAGGTTTGACACCCATCAAAAGCTGTTGTTCCTTTCTTCTTTGTCTTCTCCAACCCGCTCTGAAGTTCAATAGGTTGTAAAATCCAAAGGAATTGAGTTCTTCAGTCATGGTGTTTATCAAGCAGTCTCTCGGTGCTGCCGCTGCCGCTGCCGCTGCGTTGGCTATCGCCTCGCTCCCTTCCTCTGTCGTCGCTGACACGACCGGAACTATCGCTGATGTCAAGCACATCGTCATGTTCATGCAGGAGAACCGTGCTTTCGACCATTACTTTGGCTCGATGGCCGGTGTTCGTGGATTCAAGGATCCCAACGTCAAGATCGGAAGCAATGGTCTTCCTATCTGGTACCAGTAAGTGTCAATACAAATCTCCCAATTGAGTATTTCTTGCTACGAATAAGTTTTGTGCTGATAATGTTCTTTGAACAGGCCCACCGATTCGGATGAGGCCGAGTACCTTCTTCCTTACTACCTGGCTGCCAACTCTTCCTACAAGGAGGGTATCCAGTGCACCAACGCCGGTTCCAATGACTGGATTGAAAACCACGGTGCCTGGAACAACGGTGAAATCAATGGTGAGCAAGAGTCGCTGCTTTATTATGGTGTGGTGGAGTACTAAATTGTGGTTTATATAGGCTGGGTTACCAACAACTCCGAGAGAGCCTGGGGTTACTTGCGCCGCGACGATGTCCCGACTCATTTCGAGGTTGCTGAGGCCTGGACTGTCGGTGACATGTACTCTGAGTTCTTGATCGGTAAGATTCTTCATTAGAATGCTTCATATTGTGATTGATATTGACTAGAATAAAGGTCCTACCGGTCCTAACCGTGCGTCCTGGATTTCCGGATCTCTCAACATCGGAGGTACCGTGGGTGACCGTGAGACCGTCGGTGGTCCCTTCATCGAGAACTGGTTCAACGATGAGTGCGAGGAGAACAACGGAGTCTTGTACGACTGCTACCCTCTTGCCTGGGACACTATGCCCGAGCGCCTCGAGGATAACGATATCTCGTGGTTCGTTTACCGTGACGAGGACTCGTCCAACGACGACCCGATGTGGTACTTTGAGAACTTCAAGAACGCCAACTCGACCGATCCGCTTGCCGCCAAGGGTCTTACCTATGCTGGGTTCCCCCTTTTCTTGGAGCAGGCCGCCAACGGAACCCTGCCCGAGGTTTCGTGGATCATTGGCTCGTTCCCTCTTTCTGAGCACACCCCTAACTTGCCCAGATCCGGTGCCTGGATCATTGAGAAGACCATCGAGGCTGTCATGAACGGTCCTCTCTACAACGAGACCGTCATCTTGATCTCCTACGACGAGACTGGTGGATGGGGTGACCACGTTCCTCCCTTCGTTTCTCCCAACGGCACCGCCGGTGAGTGGGATGTCGACTACCGCGACACCACCCAGTACGTTCCCGCCGGCCCCGGTTTCCGTCTTCCCTTCTTTGCCATCTCTCCCTGGTCGCGTGGAGGCCACGTCTTCACCGAGCCCTCGGACCACACCTCGCAGCTCATGTTCATCGAGGCCTGGGCCGCGGCCAACGGCAAGAACGTCACCCTCAGCACCATCAACGGATGGCGTCGCGAGCACATGTCTGATCTTACCGGCATGTTTGACTTTGAGAACCCGAGCTACGATCTCCCCACCCTCACCAACGTCTCGTGGCCCCGTTACTCCGATGGCGCTTACGTCGCTACCGATGACTGCCAGGAGGCTAACGACGGATACACTCAGCCTCCTATCCCCTACGGCGAGCAGAACATCACCGAGTCGCTCTGGACCGAGAGCGGCTACAAGCCTATCCGCGGTGCTCTTACCGAGGGCCGCTACCTCGTCTTTGCCCAGGAGGTCTCGGGCAAGAACATCTCGCTCGTGAGCTTCAAGGGCTCCAAGCACTTGCGCAGCGAGGAGCTTCCTTCCATGGACTCGGAGAAGAACCGCTTCGTTGTCTACCAGCAGGACGACGCGTTCTCGCACGACTTCAAGATCAAGTCCTACGCTCACGACGTTTACCTCAACAAGTACGGCTACTGGGTCGACTCCGAGGACGACGCTGGCATCTACACCATCGACTTTTACCCGTCGGAGGGTTACACCATCAAGGTCAAGGATACCTTCAAGTACTTGGCCAACGACGGTACCAACGCTAGCATCTTCACCAAGACTGCTACCTACTTTACCATTTACTCTGTCACTTATGACAATTAAGCCAAGGTTTGCGTCGGTGTGTGTGTATGCTGTTACTAGCTTGTGTCTAAAAAAGGCGAAGGAGAATCAGAAAATCTAGAAAATTGATATTGCAGATAGAAATTATAAATTGAATGCTTTTTGCCACTAAACAGCTACGTTAATTGCTTCAGCTCCGTCATGGTCGTATACGAAACCCTACAGATATGATCCCTGATTCCTGTAAAATTAGCGCTGCATATTTCGCATTGCTCACTTCTATTCCAGTAGATTCAATTAGACTTTTAGCTGACTAAAAACGCACGAGAGAAATACAACGTCTGGTAAATATTGTCTTCAGATTACTGGTCGTAAATCCTCATGATCGCGGTCAGTACGTATGTACGCAGGCTCTAGAGCGTCGACGATCCAACCGCTAACTACACCCAGCCATCACGACACTACCCTTTCTATAATTTCAAACACAAAAACTTAAAAGTAGCTTTCCAGATCCCTCAGCACCCCAACCCCCAGCAAAAATACGCAAAACTGCTTGAAATATAGTCGCGATACAACCCGACGCCCTAAAACTCTAATGTAGGATATAATGGGCCAGAATTAGATTTTGGTATAAAAAAAAGTCCCAGTGGCCGAGTGGTTAAGGCGACGCCCTGCTATTCTCAAGTAGCTGTAAGGCGTTGGGTTCTGCCCGCGCAAGTTCGAATCTTGTCTGTGACGAAATTTTTTTTGCTTTCTTTTTTTTATTCTGCTTTATTCTTGATAATAATCTGTTAGTTCTCGGTCTCTGGTGAATTGTTACGATTTTGATTTTTTTACTGCTTACATGGGTTTGATCGAGCGTGGGTTGTATAGTTCGACTAGCAAATCTCACAATTGAAGCAATAATTAATACAGTCTACTCCTCGACCATAATTGAAGTAATAATTAATACAGTGTACTCCTCGACCATCTCATACTCAGACTCAGACTTCTTTTCTGTTTCCTGGAGAACCTCTTCTGTTTTCTGAGGGACCTCTTCTGCTTTATGAAGGTACTTCTTGATACCCCTTACTACTAGATCATGATTTTCGGCATCCCCAAGACCGCTGACGCAAACCGCGCCGACTAGGTGACCGTCATTGTCCAAGAGTGGGAAGTCACCTCCGCAGTCGATGTTCTTGTCGTCAGGGATCTTGTTCGCAGCTTGGAAAGCCCTTTCCGCCGACCGATAGTATTCGTCGTTGGTAGGAAAAAAACTCCTCTTCCAATGAACCTCGGAGTCCATGGTCGTGATATTCATTAGAAAAGAAGAGTGACCGAATTTGCGGACTATGTATGCCATATCCTGAATATTTTTGAAGTGATCATGATGCCTCCCTCCATACGTTTCTTCGTATCCCTGGGCGGAGTAGAAAAAAAGATTCTCGTCATGGTATATGGCAACCACAACTGAATCTGCCCGGTTATCACTTGGATTCAAGGCCTTAGGTGAGAGGGAGAGAATAGTGCGACCTAGAGATGCGGGACTCAGCCATGAATCCCGTAGAGATGATTCCTGCTCCTGGATCATGGAGACGACGTCTGTTACACGACGCCGGACATTTAACAGCAAATCAGATCCAGGGAGCATATCAGACCTATGGTAAATCTCAGGTCGGAAATATTCCAAGGAGTCCATATAATCACGGTAGTCACTACAAAGTGCATTGTAGGCTTCAAGGAATGTAGACATTTTTGCTGTTAAAGAAGGTGTTACCGATATTCTTAGAAGGCAGTGCGGAGTTAAGAGTCTTACCTGATCGTCTGACAATGTTAAGCAGTAGCAAGTTTTATATCAATCAATGCAGGCCCTTTAGAGATCAAATCGCTGGTAATGAGCGAGAGAGAAGGGGGCGAGTGTACGTTTTTATAACTTATAACCGCGAGCGTGGCATCCAGCCAGCACACTTTTGGCAGCGTTGTAAAGATCAAGCATCGTCTGAATTGCGGAAGCGGGGCTGATCATTGATTCCGACTGCACTGGCAGTCCGGTAGATTGAGAAATGCATCAGTGCAAGTATGGGATAGCATTCTGGTCAAGAAGAAGTTTGGACTGATTGCAATGGCAGTCAGAGGTCAGTGATATGTGTAGAGCCAGACGACGGTTCTTCAGAATCTGGGGTTCTGATGTTTGATTCTTCTTCGATAACTTGAGTCCTCATTGATCATCTGATGAGAGCATTGATAATATTGTTATTACTTTACAGTTATATGTTATGGTTTACGTTTTGTTTTTGATACAATCGTTGGATCGGGGGTAGGTTGTATAGTTATAGTTCGCCTAGCAAATTCATTGAAGCTATAATCATACGGTCTCCTTCTTGACCATTTCGCTCTCAGACTCAGAATCTTTCCTGTCTCCCGAAGGACCCCCTCTGTTTCCTGAGTGGCCTCTTTTTCTTTTTGAAGAGCCTTTTCTATCGATTTTCCGGAGGTACTTCTTGATACCCCTTACTACTAGATCATGGTTTTGGGAATCTTCGAGACCGCTGACGCAGATCGCACCGCACGGGTGATCAGAGCCTTCGAGGAAAAGTGGGAAGCCTCTGCCGCGGTATTCTTCGCCGTTGTACTCAGCTATGAAAGCCTCTCTGGTCGATTCAAAGGTCGGTTCATATGGTTCAACGTCAGGAAAGTCGCTCCTTCGCCACGGAAGTCCACGGTCCATGTCCAAAATATTCATCAGTAATGAAGAGTGACGCGCTTTTTTAACTGCGCCTGCCATTTCTTGGATTAACTCAAGTTGACTGATATCCTCTGGATAGGTCTCGTCCCTCAGAAAGGTGTCGCAGCCGTCCTGGGCGATGTACAACAGAAGATTTCCGTCGACGTAGATGGCGACCGCAACGGGGCATGCTTTGGGATCATCAGGTTTCAGGGCCTTAGGAGAGAGAGAAAGAATAGTGCGAGCTAATTTCATGGCAGCTTTAGAATCCAGATCTGGGACCCGTATTGAGGATTCCTGTTCCCTAACTATGTTGAAGATTTCATCTACACGACGCCAAGCACTGAACAGCACTTCATAATCAGAGGGGTGCCTGTATCTCAGAAAATAAAGATAGCCAAGGCAATCAATGAAGTCATTCAAAAGTGCATCGAAGTCTTTGACAAATGTAGACATTGCTGCTGTCGATGAACGTGTTACCGATATTACTAAAAAGCAGTACAGAGTCAAGAATCTTACCGGATTGTCTGACAAGGCTAAGCAGTAGCGAAACTAAGCAGTAGAGAAGTATGTACCAATCAATGTAGGCTCTCTGGAGATTAAATCGCTGATAAGGCGCGAGAGTGGAGGGCGCGAGCGTGCGGTTTTATGATCGCGAGCGCGGCCTCAAGCCAGCGGACTTCTGGCAGCGTTGTACAAAACAAGGCGTTGCACAAAACACGCATGTTCTCCGAATTGCGGAAGCGAGGTTGATGGTCAGTTCCCACCGCACCAAAAGTCTGGTAGATTGATAAACGTAACAATGTAAGTATGGGATGGCAGTCAAGTCCAGAGGAGGATTGAACTGGTTGCTATAGCAGTTGGAGGTCAGTGATCTAGGTAGAGACAGATGCGGTTCTTCAGGTTCTGATTATCGATGTTATGAATCTTGATTGATGTTTTGAGTCTTCATTGATTATTTAACAAAAATGTTTAGTACAATCGGCTAGTAACAATGACAAAAGTGTGGACTATATAGCTATCAAATAGATTATGGAAGGTACTTTTGATACCCTTGACCAGCACATCGCGATCGTCCATGTGAGGCAGACCGCTGACACCGACCATCCCAACTTGGTACTTGACACACTTGATTTCTGATAATTGATATTGCTTTTAAGCAATTTTTTACGGTTTTCGTTTTGTTCTTGCTTATATTGGTTTGATCAAGCGTGGGTTGTATGATTCGACTAGCAATTTCATTGAAGGTATGATCATACGGTCTCCTCCTCAATCATTTCAAACTCAGACTCAGACTTCTTTTCTGCTTCCTGAAGAACCTCTTCTGTTTTCTGAGAGACCTCTTCTGTTTTCTGAGAGACATCTTCTGGTTTATGAAGGTACTTCCTGATACCCCTTACTATTAGATCGTGATTTTTGGCATCCCCAAGACCGCTGACGCAAATCACGCCGACTAGGCGACCGCCTCCGTCAAAGAGCGGGAAGCCACCTCCGGCGTCGATATTCTTGTTGTCAGGGACCTTGTGCGCAGCTTTGAAAGCCTGTTCCGTTGACTGATGGAAATGGGCGTCGGTAGTAAAGAAGTTCCTCCTCCAATTAACCTGAGAGTCCATGGTCGTGATACCGATGAGCAAAGAAGAGTGACCGAATTTGCGGACTGTGTATGCCATATCCTGAATATTTTCAAATTGATTCTTATATCGGATCTCCTTAAATAGAGTTTCGTATCCCTGGGCGGAGTAGAAAATAAGATTGTCGTCAATGTATATGGCAACCACAACTGGATCTGCCCGGCTATCACTTGGATTCAAGGCCTTAGGTGAGAGGGAGAGAATAGTGCGACCTAATCTATCGATAGTTTCGGGATGCAGCCATGAGACCCGTAGAGAGAATTCTTGCTCCCGGATCATAGAGACGACGTCTGATATACGACGCCGGACATTCATCAACGGAAGAGATCCTTGCACCAAGGCAGGTCCAGGGTAAATCGAATGTCGGACAAAGGAATCCATATATTCACGGTAGTCATTACAGAGTGCATCGTAGGCTTCGAGGAATGTAGTCGTTGCTGCTGTTGAAGAAGGAGTTACCAATATTCTTAGAAGGCAGTGCAAGTTATGAATCTTGCCTGATCGTCTGGCAATGTTAAGCAGTAGCGATATATATGATCCGGGGTATACCGTTCAAAGATCGAATCACCGATAAGAAGCGCAAGAGCAGAGGGCGCGAGCGTGCGGCTTTTATTATAACCGCGAGCGCGGCCTTAAGCCAGTTGACTTTTGCCAGCGTTGTACAACCTTATTCTCTGAATTGTGGTAACGAGATTGATGGTTGGTTCCGAATGCACTGAAGGGCTGGTGGATTCAGATGTTTGTCGACGTAAGTGTTGGAACAGCAAGTATTGGAACGGCAGTCTGGTCAAGAGGAAGGTTGAACTGATTGCGATGTTAGTTGAGGTCAGTGAACTGGGTATAGACAGACGACGGTAATTCAGGTTCTGGATTTTCGATGTTTTAAGTTTTCTTTGATATTTTGAGTCTTCATTGATTATCTAACAAAAGTGTTTAGTATATTTGACTAGTAACATCGACAAAAAGTTATGCTCCTTTTAAGCAGATTATAACTCTGAAAGGTACTTTTGGATACCCTTGACCAGCACATCATGATCCTCCATGTGAGGCAGACCGCTGACACCGACCATTCCAACGGGGTACTTGACGCCCTTGATAAAAATTGGGAATCCACCTCCAGCGCCGGTACCCTCAGTGACGGGGATCGCGAATCGATCGTTGTAGGAGAAGCCGGCGGCCTCGGCCTTGATGCCCATGTACAAAGAAGCGTGGCCGAATCGTCTGACGGTGAAGGCCTTGCGCTGAATCCACATGAAGTTATCGGTCGCGGTGCCGTCCTGGGCGGAGTAGAAGAGGAGGTTGGTGCCGATGTAGACGGCGACGACGACGGGTCTTGAGGAGGGGGAGTCTGGGGCGAGAGCCACGGGAGTGACGGAGAGGATGGCGAGTCCGAGCTTCATGGCGGCAGCGGAATCCATCTCGGAAAAGACAAGGGAGGACTCCTGCTTCTCGATGATTGAGGTGATCTCGGCCACAGCGGTAGGGTCGGTGGGGGCCTTGCTGAAGGCATCGTAGGCGGTGAGGAAATCAGACATTGCTGCGCCGATAACGTGTTAGCGATCTGTTTGATGGGAGACGATGAAGAACGGCAGAGCGGGATTAAGAGGCATTACTTGATCAATTGACAGTACTAGGCTGTTTTGGTGTATATGAAGACGATACAAGCTACTCAGAGGTCAAGTGCAGCGAAGAGGTCGAGGCAGAGGGGCGGGGAGGTTTGCTCTTATCGTTCGAACGCAGCCTCGAAGCCGCAGCGCACGATGTTGCCGAAGCGCGTAGCCGGCGCTTCTCCGCTAAGAAAGCCGCGTAGGGTTTATGCTCTGGTTACTAATCGCTGATGTCATGAATATTAGTTACAGATTACCTCAGCAGACACTTGTCCCGCCCCAAACAGTCTCAGATGTCTGTAACTTACGGTCTCGGGAAGTGCTCGGACCTTAAACCCTGAGGTGGCCGTTGGACGACGATCGGCGAAATAAATTCCGCTCAGTTATGTCCGCGTGGCGAAGTGCGCGCATTTGAGCAGGCAGCAGGAGGATGAGTCCTGAACTGCGTAGGAGAGCAGAGCGGCCAGGAAGCCATGTGAAAGAGCAGCGAAGGAGCATTCAGACGTCATCGGCCCCATCCTGACGTTCTGCGGCTTGCTGGCCGGCCTGTTCCTGCGTAATTTCTGGCTTTTAGTGGTTTCAGCTCGGTCGCATCCGACAACTGCACCGCCGCCGCCTGCGATCTGCGTTCGCCTCCACCGCGCCGCTCGAACATTACTCAACGGTTTGTTGTTTTGTAGTTGTTTGTCGCGCTGTTGTCGAGCTGTTCTGGGCGGTGGGCGGCCGTACAGACTGCCTAATTGGTAGTTTACTCTCAGCTCAATTGTGGGGATAAAGACACGGAACGTTTACATTGGCTACCTCCGTAGTACGCGCCCCAACATAACTCTTGATCTCGTTCGCCCGCTCAAGCCTCCGTATGTCTCCGTCTATCACGACGTTCGGTCCCCACCTGTCAAGCTCACCCGCGCTCCATCTTAGCCTTCCTCCCTCGCCCCCACCACAACCCTTCACCGTCCTGCCCTTTTCCCGCCTCCTCCCCCCCTTCCTCTTCTTCATCTCCCTTCTATCTACCCAACCCTGCTTTCTGAGTGCACCTATCTTTCAAGGTCCTCACAAAAATGGGCTCCTGCGATGACGTCACTTGCCAGGCAGTCGTCTCTGTCCTGCACAATCTCGCCGCCGCGGACTCGCTCCTCATCACCTCCACAAAGCCGATCGTACTGCCCGGCGCGCCATGCGACATCAAGGACCAGCTCGAAAAGGAGCTCGCCGCCGTGCTCTACCGAGTGCGCGACCTTCTCTACGCGCAGCCACAGCAGCAGCAGATGCAGCAGATGCAGCTGCAGCCTTCAATCCCTTCGCTTTCAACTCAGAACTCCTCCGCATCAACCATATCCTCTGCCGGATTCTCCGCCGTCTCGTCTTTGTCCACTGTAACTACTCCTGGCGTTGAAGATGTCGACGGGCTCGCCTGCTCGCCGGACTCCAGCTGCAAGCTGGAAGCGAAATACGATCTACAGCTTGTCGAGCTTACCAAGCTCAACGCCAAAGTCAAAGCACAGGAGCGCGATCTTCTCGAGCGCAAGGCCACCGTCCGGGCGCTTGAACTTGACCTTGCGCAGGCACGCGAGATGATTCGCGACTTCACCGAGTCCTTTGAACCCCACGAGCGGCGAATTGTCGATACCAACATTCTTGATCGCGAGCTGCGCAAGTCGCAGAACGCAAACAGGGCTTTCCAGCGCGCGCTGCTTGAGATTGGCGAGGTTGTTATCGCTGTCGCACAGGGAGATTTGTCGAAAAAAGTTATCGTTCATCAGGAGGAACTTGATCCAGAAATTGTAAAGTTTAAGGAGACTATCAACCGCATGATGGACCAGCTCCAGCGCTTTGCCTCTGAAGTCACCCGTGTCGCGACCGAAGTCGCCGGTGGCACGCTCGGTGGTCAGGCTGAGGGCGAAGGCACTGAAGGTGTCTGGCACGAGCTCACCGACAACGTCAACATCATGGCCTCCAATCTCACCAACCAGGTGCGTGAAATTGCTGACGTGACGCGTGCGGTAGCGCAGGGTGACTTGTCGCGAAAGATCAATGTGCATGCGCAGGGAGAGATTCTCGAGCTACAAGAAACAATTAATTCTATGGTGGACCAGCTGCGTACGTTTGCATTCGAAGTCACTCGCGTTGCGCGTGAAACCGGTGTCGAAGGAAGACTGGGCGGACAGGCGCAGATCGAGGGCGTCGAAGGAATCTGGCGAGAGCTGACTGACAATGTGAACGCTATGGCCTCCAATTTGACCGACCAAGTACGAAATATCGCAAAGGTCACGACCGCTGTCGCGCGTGGCGACTTGTCGCAAAAGGTGTCCGCAAACTGTCGCGGTGAGATGCTGGACCTGAAGTCCACAATAAACAAGATGGTTGATCGGTTGCAGAACTTTGCGCTCGAAGTCACAAAGGTCGCACGTGCTGTAGGAACAGAGGGTATCTTGGGTGGTCAAGCAAAGGTCGAAGATGTCGAAGGTGCATGGAAGGAGATTACCGAAAATGTCAACGTCATGGCATCCAATTTGACAACTCAGGTGTGTATTACTCGACTTGTACATTTTCAGAATTCATTCTAACCGGTCGTTTAGGTGCGATCTATTGCCGACGTTACAACGGCAGTCGCAGAAGGTGATCTATCACGCAAGATTGCCGTGCATGCGCAGGGTGAGATGTTGGCGCTGAAGTCAACGATCAACAAGATGGTTGACCGACTACAAGTTTTCGCCTCTGAGGTGACAAGAGTCGCCAAAGATGTCGGTATCGATGGTAAACTTGGTGTGCAAGCCCAGGTGTCTGACGTTGATGGATTATGGAAGGAGATCACGACGAATGTCAATATCATGGCCGCGAACCTTACTACCCAAGTGCGAGCATTTGCACAAATTACGGCTGCTGCTACAGACGGTGATTTTACACGATTCATCACTGTCGAAGCTTCCGGAGAGATGGACGCGCTCAAGACAAAGATCAACCAGATGGTGCTCAACCTTCGCGAGTCTATTCAGCGCAACACGGCAGCTCGAGAAGCCGCCGAGTTGGCTAACCGCACAAAGTCAGAGTTCTTGGCAAACATGTCTCATGAGATTCGAACGCCAATGAATGGAATTATCGGAATGACGCAGCTGTCGCTTGATACCGAGCTCACGCAGTACCAGCGCGAGATGCTGTCGATTGTTCACAATCTCGCCAATTCACTGCTGACTATTATCGACGACATTCTCGATATCTCAAAGATTGAAGCGAACCGGATGACTATCGAGAGAATTGCATTCTCACTTCGAGGAACCGTCTTTGGCGCGCTCAAGACGTTGGCTGTGAAGGCGAACGAGAAGCATTTGGATTTGATGTACAAGATCGACAACACGTTCCCCGACAATTTGATTGGCGACTCGTTCAGATTGAGACAGGTTATTCTCAACTTGGTCGGTAACGCAATCAAGTTCACAGAGAGTGGAGAGGTAGCGCTGAGTGTCCGTCGCGCAAGTTCACGAGCGATTGAGGGCACTGAAGTGCGCGATAGCGCTGCGGACGAGATGCTGATTGAGTTTTGCGTGTCTGACACCGGAATCGGTATCCAGAACGACAAGCTCGATGTCATTTTCGATACTTTCTGCCAGGCGGACGGATCGACGACGAGGAAGTTCGGTGGAACGGGTCTTGGACTTTCGATCTCGCGGCAGCTGATTAACCTTATGGGCGGTGACGTGTGGGTCAAGTCAGAGTATGGCAAGGGGTCGCAGTTCTATTTCACCCTGCGCGTGAGACAGGCCGAAGGCGGACTGAACACGTTGCTCGAGAACTTGGCGCCGTTCAAGAATCACTATGTATTGTTCATCGACACGATCCACGAGCGGTCTGTCACGCTCGACCTGGTCGAATCCATCCGGCAGCTGAAGCTGAAGCCGTGGGTTGTCAACTCGCTCGAAGACGCGCCGTTGCCGGTCGACCAGTCCGGACCAAAGTTCGACACGATCATCGTCGACTCGCTCGAGGTTGCTGCGAAGCTGCGGACGTTGAATCATCTCAAGTATATCCCGCTTGTGCTGCTGAACCCGTGCATTCCGCAGGTGAATCTCAAGCTTTGTCTCGATCTTGGAATTACGTCGTACGGCAACACGCCTTGCTCTGTGCAGGACATGGGTAACGCACTCCGCCCCGCGCTAGAATCGCGCGCCGCGCCGCTCAACTCTGACGGCGCCAAGACGTACGAGATTCTGCTAGCGGAAGACAACATCGTGAACCAGAAGCTCGCGGTGCGCATTCTCGAGAAATACAAGCACTCGGTCGAGGTTGTCGAGAACGGTCTGGAAGCGTTCGAGGCCGTCAAGAAGAAACGGTACGATGTCGTGCTGATGGACGTGCAGATGCCGGTCATGGGTGGATTCGAAGCGACGGCGCGGATCAGAGAGTGGGAGAAGCAGTATATCGGAGTGCGTGCGCGGACGCCGATTGTCGCGTTGACGGCGCATGCGATGTTGGGCGATCGCGAGAGATGCATGCAGGCGCAGATGGACGAGTATTTGTCCAAACCGCTCAAGCCGGCGTTGCTTGTGCAGACTATAAACAAGGTTAGCATTCATGTTTTCGAGGAGAAAAGTAGAGGGAGAAGCTAATTATTTATCGCAGTGCGTCCATCAGCTTCGAAAACAGCAGGCGTTGCCGGCAGGCACGTCAGCCACTGCTTCGGCCTCCACATCGGCGGCCGCGTTGCAAGCTAATATATCGAATGTACGTCTATAAGTTCCCCCAAGCCAGGATCCGAATCTATCCAAAGAAGCATGCCATATTTCTCTTTTCGTCATATTCTACGATTTTACAGATCATTTGATGCTTCGAGTACGCGCGCGAGGTGTAAGATAGTTGTTTATTTCAAAGTTGAGAGCGCATATTATCTCCTCTTTGTTTTTGTTTTTGTTTTTGTTTTTTTGTTATAGTTGTTGTTCCCTGCTCTCGTTGTTGTTTTCGTTCTAACTCCTTTATGGTGTCTGTTTTCGTTCCTTCATCCTTCTGTATCTTCTTCCATCTTTCTTTTTCCTCGTTTGTACACGATATTATTCTAATCGTGCCCAGTCATCTTTCTTATTTATCTTTTGGTTTCTTTAGTTTTGTCGAATCTCTCTTTTGTCTTCGTTGTATTTCTCTTCAGTTTTATAAATACATTTTTGAAGATTTATGTTTATATTATTCATTACTATTACTATTATACAGAAGGTGGGCGATTAGTTATGTGTATAAATCCTCCTCCTCGTCGTCTTCGTAATCATTGGCGTCGTCTACCAGACCGTTTGCTACATCTGCGCCGTGTTGCGCTGCATCATCTTCATCAGCAGCAGCAGCAGCAACATCAGCGGAAGGAACACTCCTCGTCTGCTGCCGAATATACAACTGCGCCAAAAACTCAGGCGTACTAGCTTCCTCTAGGCTCTTATCATCTCTACCCTCTCACACCGTTAGCTTCCGTGACGTTTGGTCATAGTCATAATATGGTGTTGTAGAAGATTGCAGGGGGGAACGTACCGGATGCGGATGAAGCGGGGAAAACGGATGCTTAGGCCGCGGTCTGTGTCGAGTAGGAGACCTTGGGATGCGGTGTAGACTGGGCTTGCTGTTATGTCTGCGAATTTGATTTCCCATACCTCTGTAACCTCTGTTAGCACACTCCATTCTGAATAGTGAGTTGGATAAAGAGACGGGGATACCTTGAGGAACGAACCACACGTCCGGAACCAAAGGACTCTCAACATCCCACCCCGTCGGCACCGTTCTTCCCTCCCCTCCAGACCGGTACCCAGACAACGTATTCGGCCCGTCCTCTGCGTACTTGTCCTTCATCTCCTTATACCTCGCGTCCGTGAACCCGCTCATGCATTTACACACCGCCGTGAGCGTTCCCGAGTCGGCGTCCCGCACCGCGAGCAGGATCGGCGACCAGAATCTCGCTTTGCGGCCTTGGCCGTGCCAGCCGCCAATCGGGATTAGGTCGAGGCTGTCGGCTGCGGTTGAGGTCGTGGTGCTGGTGGAGTAGTCTTTTTTCACTTTGAGCCAGGATTCGTGGCGGATGTCGGGGGTGTATGTTGATTGTAGGATTTTCCTTCTAGAAGAGGTGGTCAATTGCTGTTCTGTTGACTCGATGGTGACGTCCTCGTTCACGTCCGCTGCGTCTTCCTCGTCATCATCGGGTTGGGACCCCTCGATCTTCGCAGAATCAAGAAGCTTGACCATGATCCCCTCACACTTCGACCCCACCGCTCTCTTAAAAAACTCCGACACCGCACCCCCCTCGACATCATCTATCCCCGCATCCAAATGCTCCGCAAACGCCAGCCTCCCCTCACTCTCCCCCACCCTCAGCGCAGAATACAGAATCCCCCGCCGCTCGCGAAACGGCCGCTCGAGCAAGGACGCGTGGTTGAAGTACATAACGTCAAACGCAAACAAGCAGACCTTGATCGAGATCTCGGAAAGCGAGACCGCTTTGCGCGTGCGGTTCGACAGGGTTTGGAAAGATTGGATTGCGTGCGTCACGCTGTCGATCGCGACGATTTCGCCTTCGATGATGAAGGATGTCGTGGTGGGGGGTAGGACTGTAGATGCTGATGTGAAGAGCGCGACGATGTCGGGGTATTTCTCGGTCATGTTCTGGCGGTGTTAGTACTATTATCTAGCAGTTTTGTCCAAAAAGCAGGGAAAGCAGGAAAAGCAAATTACCTCCAAATTCCGACTGAAAATCGAGACCTTGCCTGTCTGCTTATCGAAATGCACCTGGGCCCGCTGCCCGTCATATTTGAACTCACACGTAAACTCCACGCCGCGCTTCTTGTCGTCTGTCGAGGCAGATGTAGTGGGCGCAGAAGAAGTGTTCAAGCTCAGTTTGCTGTACAAGTCCGCCATGTCGCGCGTGATACTACCCAGCATCGGCAAAACAGGTACGTGAAGCTGCATAGGGCACAGAGCAGGCAACTCCTCGATCCCCAAGTCATCTGTCGACGAGCAGCGGAGGAGGGAAGAGACTATGTCGTTGTAATTCGGATGCCGGACGTAGACTTGTCGCAGAATCTTTTCGGAGCGGGCGAGTTTGGCTTTTAGTTGGTCTGCGGGGAGGCAGGCGGGGGTAGATGAGTATGTGAATGCGCGGGCGAGGGAGACTAGCATTGTTGTTTTGACGGCGCCGACTCGTAACTAGATGTACATCGCAATTAATAAACAGAATCCTGAGAGTGCTTATTGCATAAGTAGAGGAGACAGACGTTCTGGACAAAAGTGCGAGTGAGATACCGCACCTCTTCACCTCGCGCCGAAATCAGCAGCCGCTCGACAAGTTTCCTCTTTATTTCCTGGCTCTTTGCGCCCTTGGCGTCGCAGATCTGGAGTAACGTCCGATATACTCCTGCAATAGTAAGCCTAGGCGGCGCCGCGATCGTGCGCACCGAGATCTTTGCCTCGAACGCAACGTCGCCGAGATCGCCGTGCTTATCGTACAAGGACTTTAGCGACGCGGGCGATATGCCCGAGACGTTTCTGAGGCATTTTGTGACGAGCGACCAGCCTATTCCCAGATCGGGAGAGTCGTACTGCGGACCGAGGGAGTTTGTGCAGAGCCAGATCGAGGGGAGTAAAGAGTCCTTGTCGAGAGCGAGAAGGAGACGGAGGTAGTTTGTGAGGATGTTTAGGATCTTGAGACGGGAGCGGGTGGATGTTAGTTGGACAAAGAGGCGGCTGAGGAGCGCGTAGGGCGAGGATTTTGAGTGATGGCTGGAAAGGAAGGATTTGTGGGTGTCGAGGGGGAAGACGGGAGATTCGGTGGAGAAATCAAGAGAGTCGATGTAGTCGTAGAACTCATGATCCGTCGGAGCAGCAGCAGCCGGTTCCTCTGCAGTCCCATTTGAGTCTATAATTTCGGCAGATGGCAAAGACAGATCAAGATCCGCCCCGGCATCTTGCGTAACCTCGTTCTCATCCGCTGCTGCGTCGGTCTGCATTTCCGCATCGAATTCCTGCTGAAGCCGTCTTGCCAACGCCTCATCGCTCTCGACGTCTTCCTCCGCCTTTAGCAGCTGCACCTCTGTCTCTTTTATCTGCACATTCTTCCAGTGGTCATTGTCACCACTGGCATCTTTTGGCTTTTTCAAGAAAAAGTCGAGTGTGTTTCTAGTCTTGGAAGGCGAGGCCGATGATCTAGTCTCCGAGATCTTCTGCTTCTTTGCTCGGGGAGTCATGGTTTGTTCGGACTTTAATTTGCAGAAAGTGTTCAGTCAAACGCAATTGTTAGAACATAGAGACTCTTCATGATGAGATGAGAATCGTACGGGCTGCATGTACAGTGGTTGAGTACGGCTTCTGATTAGATATCGGTCGATGGAGTTGATCAACGATGACGATCCAGGGGACAGTTAGAGTTTGAAAGGTCAATGGGCCTCGGTCGGTTGTGCTTTTGACAATGTCAAGACTCTCAAAGTATTTGTACGCAGTTTCAATTGAAGTGATAATTTATTGGAAATTGGAAGAAGAAAGAGCTTTTTCGACGAGTGTTGTAGTGAGAATTGGGTGAATGAATAGCGACAAGACTGTTTAGGTATTTGTGGAGACCAGCAGCTGAAGTGAAAAGACAAATATTGCAAAAGAAAAATGGACAATTCGTTCTCTGTATTTTGGACAATGCAGTAACACCCTTTTATAACACAAACGGCGTAAAAGGGTAGAATGAGAGCGCGGTCGCGGACATTGCACAGCGGAGCGGATGGGTCGATAAAAGTTTGAATAAGAGCATCATGATTACATTACAAGAGATGAAATACTAACATTTAGGCAAGGCAAACCCAAAACTAAAAGAAGAGAGAAAGAGGAAAGGGAGAGACGAAATGATGAGGGCTTACAGAGCCTGTTTTAACCGCTCTGTGAGCTTTGCTCGGGCGAGCTGGTACGCGTTCATGAGCTAGGAGAGAGTTAGTGTGTGCTGTAATAGAGCTATATAATGAGAGTAGGAGCAACTTACACCCTGTTCGCTGAGATCGAGGTTGATGGTGGCATCGTTTGTAGGGGGTCTGGAGACTCTGGTGGAGATGACGATGGGATCGGTTTCGAGGATGATCCCGTCGTCGACGGTTTCGTCCACGGCAAGCGAGACGAGGTCGTAGTTGTCGATGATTGTGCGCTTGTCCATGGAGTGCTTGAGCAAGATCTCGAGCGAGTCGCGCAGGGCGAGGACGACCTGGTAGAGCATTGTCTCGTTTTCGTTGAGGCCGCCGACGACGTAGATGATTACGTCGACGATCTCCTTGTAGACGACGACGTGGTTGTCGAAGAGGATGATGTCTGTGCCTTGCTTGTGGGTTTTCTCAAAGAGGCCCTTTTCGAAAGCACGCTGCTCCTTGATTGTCGGGTAGGCGTTTGCGTACTGGTTGTGCGGGTAGGGGTGAGGTGGTTGGTAGTACTTGGTGAGGATGCGGTGGGAGTCGTTGTCGAGGATGAGGATGGCGTTGATGGAGAAGAGGGAGACGTTGGATGTCATTCTGGAAGAGAAAGACTGCGGTCTGGAGGACGACGAGGATGTGTTTCTAAATAATTTGAGAGGTGCCGGCAAGTGAATGTCTCTGTCTCGTTCTCTCGAGGGGCATCTGGCGAAGTGAACAAGTGTGAGAGTGGTCGGCGTGCAGCCAGGAGGTTAAGTTGGGGTGCAGAGTACGGAGGTATTCTAAGCCCTTGGATTTATGTCAGCGGGCATAAGTGCGCAGATGCTGTGGCTGTGTGTATTTTTAGAGTTTGAAGACGGTGGCTGGGTAGGGAGGCTTGCTGCGGCGGTGGCTGGCGCATGTAAACAAAAGCGGTGTCGCAGATCTGAGATCTGGTTTGTTCTTTATATGTTGTATTTATTATATTTACTAGATAAGTTATATAGAATAGAATAGGGATACTATTACCATTATATCTTTCATTACTTCTAATATCTACACTGCACTGATCTGCACTGCTACTTTGACACCGCATAAGTCTCGGCTGCGGCTTGCGTTCCAATCTCAGATTTCGATCCAAACGCGTTTTTGCATTCTTCGCCTCCTCTGCGCTTCTTCTTCTCTTCCTCTTCCTCTCCTCCTCCTCCTCTTCCCCATCGTCAACAATGCCTCTCCATTCGCTCGCCATCGCCGTCATCGCCCTCCTTGCTCTCGCCTCCGTCCTCGCGACCACCCTCTTCCTCGCCGCCCGTGCCCGCCGCAGAACACGTCTCGCGTCCTCCTCGCGGGCCCACAACCGCTCCTCCAGCGTCCTTCTCTCCGTCTCTCCCGAGGTTGCCGCCGAAAAGCTCTCCTCTGAGTCCACCTCTGCATCCTCCCTCGCCTCTCCCGACTCCACCCCGCGCGCCGCCCGCACAAGCGTCACCCTCGCGCGCTCGTTCTCAAACGCGAGCACCCTCGTCGGCTCCGTTGACTCCACCACGCCCAAGAAACTCGCAGTCTCGCCGCCGTCGGTCCTGACCACGCTCGCCCGCACCTTCTCGCTCTCTCCGAAACCGAAACCCGCCGTGCCCGAGATCCGCATCACGTTCCCCGAAGAATACGATTCCGAATCCGACGACGACTCGAATTACTCGTCCGACAGCAACAGCTCGTTCGAAACTGACTCGCTCCCGGAGAGCGACCACCACCAGCAGCCCTCTGTCTCGCGCCGCGCAAAGCGACCTCCTCGCTGCGTCGTCGTCGAGATCTCTGAATCTGGCCCGGCTTTTGTTCGCGAGCTCGTCGAGTCTGATGACTCCTCTGATCTCCTACCGCAGATCAGCTGCAAGAAGCAGCGCAACGACAAGACCTTCTCCCGCCACCACCACGACGCGGCCGCAGAGTCTATGCTTCATGATATCGATCTGAACGCACCTATCGCTGTTCGATCATAACTTCTCCTCTCTACTTTTGTTTCATAGTCTCTGCTTTGTTTTTGCTTTGTTTGGTTTCGGGTTTGCATGTGTATAAACGGCGGTCATAAAACAGTGTATTTATAGGTGGCATTTCTGGTTTTTTTTGTTTTCCATTATATATGTTCTACTTTTCTCTACTTTTCTGCTTATAACAGAACTTACATCTTCTATCATCATAATCACTTTGCAAAGTAAAACTTTTCCATTGAAAAATCTAACTTAAACAAAAAAAACACAAAAATTACATGCTCCCTCTGTTGAAAGAAAGTCATGATCACAATAAACAAATGGCCGTCCCTTTTTACACTCCATACTACCTTTACCGGAATCCCTAATAAATAAAAAAATGAACTATGAGAGAAAACAAAACAAAACAAAAAGACAAGTACTGGCAGAGAAAATATAGCTTTTTCTCCCTTGCTTTGTAAAGGAGTTCATCAGAAAGGAGGTTGACTCCTGAATAATGAACTCTTCATAAAAGCAAGCGAAATCAATAATTAGCGTTAATCGTACATCCTCCCCCCTTTTTTTGCGTGTGAATCATCGTGTGAGGACATGAACCTCACAATATTTACAAACCATGAAAAATCACTGAGAAACGATATGAGAAAAAACAGAACCCCTATGAAATGCTTTTGTTGAAAAAGACATAACTCTTTCTGCCAAGGCCGAGATGGTCTCGCCTGGCAGTCATCGTTCGCCTAAAAGAAACGGCCAATCCTCAAATATAAAGAATACAAAAAAGTAAAACACACAATAGCTTCAAAGCGACTTGATCACTTTCTGACAAGCTCAAGCTTGTCGAGAATGACCCTAGTCGACTTCTCCACGTTCATCGTGTAAAAGTGCAAGTGGTAGATATGCCCCTTCTCCATGATAGTCCTGCAGAGGTCGCTCATGAGCTCAGCGCCAACCTCGCGAACGGCGGCCTCGTCGTCCTTCACGTACTCGAGCGCGCTCATAAACTCGGGCGGAACATTGATCTCGCACCACTTCACGCGACGGATGAAGCTCGCGTAGTTGGTGATTGGCATGATTCCAGGAATAATCGGCTGCGTGATTCCCTTTTCGCGGCACTTGTCGACCCACTGCAAGAAATTATCGACGTCGTAAAACATCTGCGTAATCACAAACGAAGCACCGGCGTCGAGCTTCTCCTTCAAGTGCTCGATAAGAACATCCTGGTCGTGCTGCTCAGGATGGCCTTCGGGGTATCCCGCAACTCCAATCTCGAAATGGTCGCCGTACTTCTGACGAATGTACTTCACCAAATCGCGAGCGTACATGAACCCATTCGAAGTAGCCTCCCACTTCTCGTTCTCGACCGGAGCATCGCCGCGCAGCGCAAGAATGCATCGGCAGCCGCCGTTGAACGCCTTTGAAAGAGCAGCATCAACGTCTTCCTGCGACATTCCGGTACAAGTCAGATGCATGCACGTCTCGAGACCGAAACCCTTGGAAGCCTTGGTGATCATATCCGTCGTGCTCGTCACCATCTGCCGAGATGCACCGCCGGCGTTCCAGGTGACGTCGACGAAGAGCGGCTGCCATTCCTTCATACGGTCCATACGATCGTACAGATTCTGGACGCCCTGCATATCAATCCAACGTCAGCAATTAGTCTCACAGTCAATAATCATAGCTCTCCGCGCTGCTATTACTCACCTGCTGGGTCTTCGGAACAAAGTACTCAAACGAAAACGAAGCCACCTCGTTCTGCCAATTCTCTTGCAAGACCTGAGAAACCTTCATATTTACTCAAAACGAAAGCAAGATAAAGCAAATAAAAAATGAAAAATATGTATCAAAAAGAACGACAAACAACAAAGATAAGGTCCGCTGGAAGATATAGCAAGATCCTTCACAGAATATATATGTATATATACCAGGTATTTAGTGCGATAGTAAGCTCACTCGCACAATTGTTATTACAGAGGCAGGGGATAAACCTGTAAACCCAACTCCTCGTTAAGAAATGTCTGAGAGAGCAAAAAAGGTGGATGCTGTTAAAAGCCGGTGTTTTGACGAAAAGAAGATGAAAAAAAGGATTTTGCCTGCAGTGGCGGGGTCCTCCAAGCCAAGATCACGTGCACAGTCACGTGAATAAACCACCTCTTGAGCTTCATATCTTCCTCGACCCCAGCGGGCTCTCGATTTCTCTTCTCTTTCTCTCTTCTCTTCTTCTTTCCTTTCCTCTCCTTTTTGTTTCTCTTCAGATACAGACTCGATATCTACTCGGAGAAAACAAAAAGGAGCAGGCTATATTGTTTTGCAGCACTAGTATTAGCTCAGTAGATCTCCTAGACCCCCCGAATAAAATTTTCTTATCATACTCAAAAATGAAAGACCACCAGGCCCGCCTCATCGAGCTCTCTTACGCCAACAACATCTTGACGTTCGGCGATTACACCCTCAAGTCCGGCCGCAAGTCGCCCTACTTCTTCAACTCGGGCCTGTTCAAGTCCGGCAGCACGCTCGCGGCTGTCGCGTACTCGTTCGCGCAGACCATTATCGACTCGCCCGAGCTCGAGTTTGATATCATCCTCGGACCGGCGTACAAGGGCATCTCGCTCGCGGCTATTACGCTCGTCAAGCTTGCGGAGCTCAAGCCGGAGAAGTATGGTGATATGGAGTACGCCTACAACAGAAAGGTACTGCGATCTACAGCTCGTTTGTATTGACAGTTCAGCATACTGACGTATATCTTTATCACTGTAGGAGAAGAAAGACCACGGCGAGGGCGGCAACACCGTCGGCGGTTCCCTCAAGGGCAAGCGTGTTTTGATCCTCGACGATGTCATCACCGCCGGCACCGCGATTCGCGAGTCCCTTTCCATCATCGAGGTCGAGCAGGGTATCCTTGCCGGCGTCGTCATCATTCTCGACCGCCAGGAGCGCATGGTCGATTTCGAGCACTCGATGATCGACCAGGTCAAGAAGGACTTTGGCGTGCCGATTATCAGTCTGTTTACGCTCAATGATATCGTGCAGTACTTTACCGGAAAGCTGCCTGATGAGGACATTAAGAAGATTCAGGATTATATTGCTTTGTATAAGGCTAAGCCTATTGCTCAGTAATTGTGCTGTCTGTATTTAATGATGTTTTGATGTCCATAATAGTAGATAATTTACCAAGATATATAGTACTGATTCTAAAAGACCTGCTCTAATAATCAATTGTTTAAATATAAACACAAAGACAATAGAGATATTCGATGACGTGCACCGACGCGCACTACACAAGCCGCACTCGTTCAACTCAGCATCCTCGATAACAGCACTCCTTCTTCACCGGCCCACGTTCACATTACTGTTATCTCCTGCGAGCAAAAGAGTGGATCGATCATGGGCGCAGTCACAGAATACATTAACGAGTATCTTCCGACTTTTGACGCGCTCGGCGACTTGGATAATATCGTGTCCTCGCTTGAAGATCAGCGAAGTTCGTTGGCTACTCAGGTATTTTCGAGTAGTCCATTTCTGTCTTTCTTTTACGTTCAGCTGCTTATGAACTTGCTGAGTATAGATCCAAGAACTACAATCCCAAATCAACACCGAATGCGACAGACTACTCTCGAAATCAGACGCCATCCTCAACCAAGTCCAAGACTTTAGAACAAACTACTCACAGCTGAAATCGCGCCTGGCAGTGCCCTCGAATGGACTCGGACGGCTTAATTCGCCGTCGGCGGCGGCTGCAGCTGGAGTGGTTATTGAGCGGCCGCAGTTTTTGGATCAGCTTCAGAGACTGATGGATAAACTGCAGAGATTTGAGATTGCGAAACGGTATTTCGTGACGCTGGAGGAGGTGTTGGTGATCAGGTATGCATCATTATCACTTATAGATTCACTCTTCTTCGTCTAACTCAACTTGATACAGCGAACAAGCGAAAAAATCAATAGTCAAAGACACCAGATCATCGCTAGACAAATTCAATCAACTCTCCGAGCTCGCAAAGTCCGTCAATCTTCAAAGCCACGAAGCCGAAGACTCGGCGGGATATCTGGTTCAGTACTTGGAAGAATCGCGAGACGAGCTGTGGAAGGATTTGCGCGAGTCGCTTGCATCGTATGTTCAAATCTTCGTTTGTTTGCATGGGTGGATCTGGGTGCTGATGTGGTTTTTAGGGAATTTCGGCCAAGTCTTGATACAATTGGGTGGCCGCGTCAAGTATCTATGGATGCCGACTTTGTGGGATTCATTGAGGGTTTCAACAAACTCCTCGAGTTTCAATTTCTGTCAGTGCCTTCTTTGAGCTTACAATTAAATGCCCAGGACTAATATTTTTTAACTACACAGATACCACGACGAGGATTCCGAAAGACAAAAGGCGCCTAATCCGATAATTGCGTTATCGGTCATGGTAGAGCCTTTGGATATTCGGTTCAGATATCATTTTGAAGGCACCCGTGAGACTAACAATATATCAAGAGTAAGCAAAACTCTCATTCACTACTTGCAAACGTGGATGTTAACAGATAAACGTCTAGCCCGAATGGTTCTTTCAGCACTTCCAGTCCACGATTGAAGAACACGAGCAATTAATGCAGACGGTTGTCCAGGGTATTCTAGAGCAGTCTGAATACGTGAGCAACCGAGAAGCCATGCACGAGTTTATATACGCATACCTTCCCTGCGTCCGGCGAAAATTAGAGGCGATTATTCCCCGGCTGATGAGCGAGCACCAACTTTTGAGTCATCTGATGCTCGAGACTATGAAGTTTGACGATTTCCTTCGAGACGTGTACTTGTTTCGACCGTATGGATTGCCGGATGACCAAGAATGGCAGGGTGTTACCGGGGACATCATGTCTCGGAGCGAATGGTTCCAGTCATGGCTTTCGATCGAGAAAGATTTCGCGTTGGCGCGGTATCAGGAAATCATCGACGCGCCAGATGCCTGGGTGGTTGATTTCGACGCCGTGGGCGACAACGAGCCCAAACCGACGAAATCGTCGCTGCGCCTCAAGGATCTACTAGAGACCATCAGCGACCGGTACCGTCCTCTGCGGTCGTTTGTCCATCGCGTGAGGTTTTTGCTGGATATCCAGATCGCGATCTTGGACGGGTATCATAAGCGGATATCGGCATCGCTGGACGCGTTCGAGTCGCTTACGTCTACGTTGGGGAAAGCAATGTCGGGTGTGCATGACGAGGACCGGAAGAAGATGGTTGATGGGCTCGCGGGGATTGAGCGGCTTTGCCGGGCGTATGGTAGTGCGTACACGATTCGTGATGCTTTGAAGGATTGGGGCGAGGATATTGTAAGTCTCTCTTTTATTTCTTTTCGTTTTGTGATTTACTAACACAGTGTTCAGTTCTTTCTGGAATTATACCAAGAACTTGACACCCGGGCCGCCCAGTTCCGACGGCAAGGCGCACCCAAAGCCCCGCAGTCGTCGTCATCAGACACGACCGAGCTACAAAAAATCTCTCAACAGCTTCCAGACACTTTGGACGACGACGGCACAATCTTTGACGAAGTAATCAAAGCCTACGACGCCGTGCAGTCGCGCGCGGAGGGACTCATCATCAAGCATTTGCAGCGGGAAGTGCAGAAAGTGTACAAGACGGATAAAGTGTTTCGGCAGTCGGTCAAATCAAAAGAGGCGGACGCGGAGGAGATTTATAATTCGCAGGCACAGGTGTCGGAGATGCTGGCTTATCTGTCAAGAGCGTTGTCGGAGACGTCGTTTGCGCGGATTTCAAGGACTTTGTATCAGTCTTTTAACTTCTGAGAGACAGTGTGGATTAAAATTAATTGGAGATCTATAGTTAAACAAACAACGCCATGTATATGAACAAACTCATGCAACCCGTAGCTCCGTAGAGACTCTTTTGAGACTACCGTTTCGGCGGCGTCTTCCCTCGCAACGCCTCTTTTGCTTCCTCCAAAACGATCTTTCCAAACGTCAATGCTTTATCCAGTTTTGCATTGTCACCAGCGGTGTTTCCTACACACAAACAAAACATTAGTCTAGTTTCCTCGATTGAACTATATCAAGAAGAATGACGGGACGACATACGTAGCTCATTGGTAACCTGCGACGGGTTATTTATCGTTCGGTGAATAGATCTGACTGCCTTATGAAACGTCTCGCTCTCCATAAGCTATATTGTTTTCAACAAATATCGTTAGCTGTCTAGACGCTATATCCTGTGAACAGCAATTAAGTAAGAGATACCTTCTTGTGCAGAACTTGCTGGAGTAGAATCCGCCACGGCATGGTTATTTGTACTCTCTAGATCCACAAGTACTTCTCTTTGTCCTTTCTTCAGTCGCAGGAATAGTCAAAGACTTGTATCCAAGCAATACCGCGTACACCCGTCAGCAGCGATAGTCATCAAACCATCGATGGAATTCCCAAGCATCTCATCTTCATCGCCGCCGTTACATAAAGTATGACATAATCATAAACCCTACAACCACAGAAATCAGGGTAACGCCCGCTTTAAAAGACGCGCTCGCGGGGCTTTTTTTCTTTCTTCCTGATTTCTGTCTGCAAAAATTGCGGTTTCCGGGGTTTTTCGCTGGAAAACGAGGAGCTGTTGTCTCTGATGCTGCGGGAACGAAGGATGTCTGTTTGAGAATAGAATACTGTTCTGGTAGCTGGTAAGTTTGCTCATTTCTTTTATATACAAGTCACCACCAGTCCTTGCTTCTCTTTTTCATCATCTTTCTTTTTCATGATGTAAACTGTTTACAATGAATTTCTTCACCTGAATTCCAACGTGTGGAAATATAAACAACCGAGCTTTTTAACCCTGATTCGAAAAGAAAATGATGAAAATTGAAGAGAGGCTGTGAGACCTTAATGCTCATTTTGGATGTGTGCTAATTGTCTTTTATAGTTGTTTTGGAATATCTGAGATGTGTGAGAGGAGTTGGGTGCTATTAGATGATAATACGACTTGCAATGCTACACTATTACTACAATGACTTCTAAAAGCTCATACTGTATTCAACCACACCATGCTAACTCTTCCATTTGTAAATCTCATATCAAACCATAATCACAAAAATACGCCTCTACTCTGCACCATCATCATCATCGCTATCCTCATGGCTAAACAACCCATTCTCATACGCTATCCGATTGCCCAGCGCCTCTCTCTCGCGCCTCGCCCTCGTGCTCAGCAAGTCCGCGCCCATCAGCCGGATATCGCCAAACATGCCGTCGTGGTGCATGACCCACACCGAGCATACAAACAGCATGATGTTGAACACCGCCATGAGGATGAACGGCGCGCCGCGGAGACGGTCGGAGGTCCATCCGCCGAGCTTGGTGAGGATTAAAATGCCCGCGGCGCCGGTGACGGAGTACACTCCTGCGATCGAGCCGCTGTACTCTGTCCTCCGCTCCGTGCACAGCGACAGCGAGCAGACGATAGCCCCGATCTGACTTATCCCAATCAACACTGCCCAGAAGAAAGTCACGCCTTGCTGCGGATTGCCCACGAACGCAAAGCCAAAGAAGCCAACCGTGCCGATGACGGAGGATATCGCGAGCGACTTTGTCTTGCCGATGCGGTCGCAGAGGATACCCCAGACCGGTGCAGAGACAAGGGCACATGTCTCGGAAACACCGGTGAGCATGGCCGAGAGGATGTATGCATCCCGACAGCTGTGTTTGACGTCGGCTGTGATGTCGCAGATTCCTTCGGCGTAGAACCATTGGTTGATAAACAGCGGAATGAACTGTAGAAATATGTCAGCAATGTTCCAGGTGTTTTCATGATGGAACAGTACATACCAAGGAAACAGCGACGCTGGCTGCACGGGCAATCAAACCACCCACATACGCCAAGAAGATATCCGGCTCAGAAGCAGCCGTAAATCCCTTCATCAGCAGTCTAAAGTAGCTACTCTTCTCCTCCAGATACAAACTATCAAACTCATTTCCTTCCTCCGCGAGCGACTCATATCGCTGCTGAAACCCAGCATCGCTAGAACTGTTATCGGTGTTGCTGTAGTTGCTGTCTCTGGCTGTCTCGGCTGCTTGATCGCGCAGGATATCCCGTCGTCTGCGATGGTATTTCATACTCCGGATCCACTTCGTCCAGCTCCGCGACTGATCATGTCGCAACCCGACATACAACACACCACCCACCAAGATCGCCAACACGCCAACGAGATAAAACGCGCCTCGCAACGACGCCTCTGGCGACATGCCATACTTATTCTCCAGATGCGTGGGGATAGGCAGAAAAACAGTGACCGCCATAACCGCGCCCAATCCTGTACACAGCCCGACCAAGCCCGACAACGTACCGTTGCGAACCGCAGGTTTCCGTCTGAGTTCGCGGCGCCGCTGCTGCTCGTACCATTCCGTAGACCCGGGATCCGCGTTCAAAAGCTCGACGTCGTCGGCGGGCACCGAGGCGAACGAGTATCGCGGCTTGAATTGGAAAGTAGAGACCTCGGATAGCAGCGCGGTCACCATCGCCGCGGTGCCTGACCCGCCGACTGCGAAAAACATGCGCAGGAGCAACAGACCCGGGTAGACCGATTTCGCCTGGACGAACGAGATAAGCCCGACGCCGACCAGCATGTAAGCAGTCGAGACCACGGTCCGCGTGCCGATTTTGTCAGACAATGTTCCCCAGAGCGGACACATCACGACCGAGACGAGTTCGTCAACAAAGCCGAGCGTGCCGACATAGTCTCCGATGTTATCCTTCAACCGCAGCACGACCGTGATGACAAACGACTGCGTCGCGTTGAGAAAGACGAGGAACGCAATCGAGCAGAAACACGAGAGCAAGTAGGCCAGGATGTTGAGTTTAGTGACTGGCAAAGGTGTCGGGACTGCGGCTGTCCTCGCGGACGACGACGCAGCTCGATCAGGCATTCTTTTCTGTTTCTTCTGAATAAATGTGCTTTCAATTGTTTACACAATCATCGAAAACAAAACAGAGCAAGAAGAGTTGCGCCATTTACTATCAGAGGCCGCGCACTCGTCTGATGAACACATATCGGGTTTGGGCTTCGGGTTGCTTCGAGACCGCGATTAGGCCTCCGGCGTTTTTGATTAATCAACAAAGTAAACAAAGTCGCTTCTAATTCAGCTCTTATTGCGCTACAAACATTTTAATATACATAAACATCAACTATACAACCCTACGACGTGTAGTACGTCGGCTCTTCGCTCAATCCCTTCCGTCTACGGGTCTTCAGCACGAAATCGCGCGCCAGAGCCTGTCCGGTCGCAGACTGCAGCGGCGGCACAGTCATCTCCTTGTCAAGCGGATTTCCGGGCACGACAAGCCATTTCTCAAACACAAGCGAGCAAAGCGCTTGTCCCTGGCTCGCGACCCTCACGTCCGTCTCGAACCCGAACGAGTCAATCACCGGGATCGAGCCCATGATCAGCTGTAAAGTAGTCCCCGCTATCGGCTCGTCCTTCAGCACATATCCTCTCCGCCGCTCCAGAATCCGGAAAATCGCCTCCTGACACTCGGCCGGGCCCGTGATGTGGAACGCGTATAGAGGCTCCATCAGGCGCGGCGACGCAGTCATCACGGATGAGTAGCACACCCGTCGAGCGGTAGGAATAATCTGTCCTCCGCCGCGGTAAATTGGCTCTTGCGCAAGCGAGACATCCATAATCCTAAACTTTGTGTTGCGAATCGGCTCTTCACACAGAGGACCCTCGCGCACCGCCCACTGAAATCCCTGCTTGACAGATTCGCGAATCGAGTTTAGCAGTTTCTTATCCACCTCGGTTGGCAACGTATCGTCCAGTAGAATATTAGGCCCGGTCTCCTCAGGTCCAAACGCCCAGATCGACCGCGAAGCAAGCGCGTCCCAGTCATACTTGTCCTGGAAAAACTTGGCCACCCGCTTGACCGGCCACTCGAGCACAACATTGCCGGTCTCGATATCCTCCGCGATTCCGTCGTCCAGGGGCTCGGCGATGATTGAAATTCGGTTCTTTTTGTTGGGTGTCTCTGCGTATGGCTTGATCGACGACTGATCGACGACCGTCTCGCAGAATCGAGTCACCGGATCTGAGACCTTGATCTCGATCTCGGAATAAAGTCTTCGCAAGTCATGCAGCACGCAGTCCATGTACAATTCGCCCGTTCCCAAAATCACATGCTCTCCCGACTCTTCGACCTTGGTCTGCAGCAGCGGGTAGCTCTTGTTCACCCGTCGAAGTCCGTCCAGCATCTTTGGCAGTTCCGAAGGATTCACGGGCTCCACCGCTACTTTGAAAACCGACTGTGTCATATGGCTGATAGGCTTGAAGATATAGCTGTCGTCAGACATGTTCTTGGGCACGATCGTCGCCGTCTTCACAATCGACATGTCGATCCCAGCAATCAAAACCCAGTTACCGGCCGGAACTCCAGAGACTGGGACTTTATACCGCGCTTCGGGAATCCACATCTCGGAAATGGTAGCGTGCACCATGTCTTCTTCATCATCTAGCGAGTATCCCTCGCCGAGAATCCGCACCTGCTGACCAGCTCGGATCGTGCCGCTAAACACTCGGCCAAAGCTGTAGAACTCAGACGCGTCGCTGCTGCTGAAAAGTTTTGTAATGTTGATCACAAGCGGACCTTCTTGATCGCAAGTCATCAAAGCTTTGCTCAGATCCGTGTCGAGCGGGCCTGTGTAGCAGGTCTCGATTTTGGACTTTGCGCTCTCGACTGGTGACTGGATGAACTCGAGCATCATATCAACAAGCCCTGTTGAGCTGCCGAAAAATTCCTGGCAAACAAGCTTCAGTAATGGTCTGGGGTCGAGCTTAAACTGCGCAGGCTTCAGATGGATCCCTAGCTTTCCTAGTACCCGCTTCAAAGTGTCTGTGTCTTCGCCGAGGGTCTATTCAGTTGTCCGTTAGTACATGGCAGATGATCTGTTGGAGAAAAGGATGACTTACAGTGCCAAAAAGCTTATATAGAGGCTCCAGGATAAATGCCACAAACGACCGCTTGGTCGAGCTAGACAATCCCCGTCGAACAAATTTCCGAGTCTCATGATCAAAGTAAATATCTCCCCATAGTCGTTTGCTGAAATCATCCGCGTTCACACCTCCGTAAACGCCATTGTACATATCAGCAAACGACTTCAAGCTAAAACACCAGCCCAGGTCGAAGGACGCAAAACAGACGTTTCCTTTCTCGGGCGAGAGTCTGATGGATGATCCGGGAGCGAGCTCCTGGATAGTCTTGTTGACTTGCTCGACGCAGTAGTATAGCTTATAGTATGCATCTGCGGGAGGCAAGCGAAGCTCGAGGATGAGTCGGTCGAGCTTGTTGATGACGAGAGTGATGGGGAGGTTTTCAGAGATTGCGTGTTGTAGGATTTGTCGAGTGTTGATCATGACACCCTCGACAACGTCAACGACCAGCACAACACCGTCAGCAAGACGCATTCCGGACGCGACCTCGTCGACGAAATTCACATGACCGGGGGTGTCTAGAAGGTTAAAAAGATTGGTCTTTCCTTTCGAGTTCGGCAGGAGCAGGGTCATGGGCGAGCATTTAAGACTTAGCCCGCGTTCGCGTTCCAAGATGTGGGTGTCTGTGTATCTGATCTGTTCGCCGAGTCGTTTTCGCGTGTAATCCTTCAACTCGTGTGTCTCCTGCACGAGCATATCCATCAACGCCGTTTTCCCATGGTGTAAATGCCCCACGATCGCAACGTTGCGGATCTGATCGGGGAAATTCATAATGTCCATCATGTACTCGCGAGAGAAGGTTGCTTCGGGAAGATCTGTGGTCTCGACTGTGAATTTCTTCACTTTAATCGGTGCGATGATGGGCTCGGAGAGAGGCTGCGTGTCTTCCTCTTGAACTAGTGCTTCGACATCAGGGCCGTATACTTCCTCGGCTGAGGGATAGTACTGCTTGTCTTCGTGTAGTATAACCGCGTTCACGGGCGTATCTGATGCGAATTAGCACCACCGAATCAAATCCATCACCACCAAGAAAGAAGTACTCACTATCGACCTCCATAAGTTCCTGACCTGTAGTCTCGGCATGCGACGCTTCAGACATTGCATCATTGTCTAGATACGCGTCCTCATTGTACTCATTCTGCTCCCCGGACTGCGTCTGCGACTCGGCATCCGAATCATCAGCATCGCCAATAAAATTTCCAAACCTGCAAAGAACTGATTAGCCCGAGCCCCTCCATATATCCACTCTTCTTTCTCCGTCCTCAGCGTGATTCAAGAGATGCACTCACTCGTCGTATAAGCTGTCGTCCATGGCGGATATCAGTAGCAGATCCTATGCGTGTATGACCTCTTTACTTCTTCTAACAGATAATTGCTTTCTATCTGCAAAATCCACACAACAAGGAGCCGAGACGCGGTATTCCAGACACTCTGCTGCTGCTGCTGAGTATCTCGGATCTGAATTTGCTTGTTTTTGTCGACCTGAATTTTCAGGTTCTGCGAAGAGCTGTGGCGGTGTGGCTGGTGTGGCGGTGGTAGTATGTAAGAGATTATGTAAGATAATTATTTACTGAAGAAAAGGAGATTAGTTAGAGCAACGATGTATTGTCAAATATCTAGAATATACTATGTTATTGTAGAGTTGCGAGTAGTATTTTATAATATGTACAGATGGTTTTGGTGCAGAAAAGTCCACGTCTTCAATCATCAGCCAACTGAGCCCACCAGCACCTGAACAAAATTATAAAAACAAAAAATTTAATACAAACACACAAACCAACCTCGAACGCAAACCCACGGCCACCACCTTCTTCTCCCTGCAATTGTGCTCTACCGACATCAATTGAACTACTGAAAAACATGCCATACTCTCTGCTTTGTCTTGGAAATCCCTTGTTGGGTGTGTCTTTTTGTATTTTGTGTTTTGCCCGTGTGTCTTTTGCTAATCTTTACTTTTGCATGTTTAGACATTCAGGCTACCTGGTCAGTTTCCTCGGAAGCTTAGCTTCACGCTCACACTTCGCAGTCATTCATTGATGCTAACTGAGATATGTGATATAACTAGCCCTCCCGAGTTCCTCGAGAAGTACGGTCTGAAGGCCAACGACGCTATCCTCGCCGAGGAGAAGCACATGCCTGTCTTTGACGAGATTCTGCAGTATGATGCCAAATACCTCGCCGGCGGTGCTGCCCAGAACACCGCCCGTGGTGCCCAGGTATGAGCCAACACGCACAGATAATGCCGATTCTTTCTACTAACTGATATCAAGTACGTCCTCCCTGCTGACTCCGTCGTCTACTGCGGCTGCGTCGGCGAGGACAAGTTCGCCGACATGCTCCGCGAGGCCAACAAGAAGGAAGGTCTCTTCAACGCCTACCGCGTCGAGAAGGACATCCCCACCGGCAAGTGCGCCGTCATCGTGACCCAGAACGGCGCCGCGCGCTCGCTCGTCACCGACCTCTCGGCCGCGAACCACTACAAGGTCGAGCACCTCAAGTCGCCCGAGGTGTGGAAGTACGTCGAGGAGGCGTCGACTTTCTACGTCGGTGGATTCCACTTGACTGTCTGCGTGCCTGCCATCCTCGCCCTCGGCGAGCACGCGGCTGCCACTAACAAGCTCTTCACTATGAACATGTCGGCGCCGTTCTTGTGCCAGTTCTTCAAGGACCAGATGGACTCCGTCGCGCCCTACTGGGACATCGTCATCGGCAACGAGAGCGAGGCCGCCGCCTACGCCGAGGCCCATAACCTAGGCGTGCGTCTCACCCCCTTCCCCATATCCCGAATCTCTCTCTGGACCCTTTCACTAACATTTCAAGCATTTAGACTACTGATGTCACCGAAATCGCCAAGGCCATCGCCGTCCTTCCTAAGGCCAACGCCAAGCGTCCCCGCCACGTCGTCATCACCCAGGGCGCCGACTCCACCGTCGTCGTCACCGCGGACTCTACCGGCGTCACCAGCTCAAAGGTCTACGCCATCAACCCCATCGCCGCCTCCGAGATCGTCGACACCAACGGTGCTGGGTAAGCCTCCTTTTCACCGTCATCATCGTCATTGTTATCCCATCACTGTTTCACTAACCGCTCTTTCTGTCCAGTGACTCCTTCGCCGGTGGATTCGTCGGCTCTTTGGTCGGCGGCAAGTCCTTCGACGAAGCCGTCGACGTCGGCCACTGGCTCGCAAGCTGGACCGTCCGCCTCAACGGCCCTGCGTACGTCTCCCCCCTCTTCTTCTGCCTCATAACCTCCTGCAGCAAAACTAACAGTTTTATAGGTATCCCTACCCCAAGATCTCTTACTCCGCTTAAACACTGCGCGTGTGTGGGTAAGCGCGTGCTGTTCAGGTTTATTTCGTGTTTGGTATATATAAAAGGGACCTGCGTAGAATTAAAACTGTAATATTATTCCCGTAACTGTATCGTAGAGACCGCTTCTCATTCCTCTCAGTTTATGAATCCGAACCGATATGGAATGAGGAGATACAACCAAGCTACACAATGAAGCGCGGAAAGCACCTCGCAGACTTGAGATTTGATTTCATTTCATTCGCAAAAGCTGCTCGCTAAAACAACTGTCCGACTCCCCCTCCAGTTTTCCCATTCGACCCACCTCCCATCACGCGATCTTTCTTCGCCGGTGACGATCTTCCTATAGGCGAGATCGTCCCTCCTCCTCCATTGTTTCTCTGGTTGGCGTTGCTAATATTACTACCAACTGCAGAGCTTCCGCTTCCAGTGGAAGAAGAGGTAGGACCAGCGGCGGGAGACGAGAGCGGCGTGGGTTTTCCTGTCGACGATCGGAATTTCTGTCGCGCAACCTGCGGAGGGAAGAACTGCAGCGGGGGGTTATACTGCGACGCCGCAGGTTTCCCGGATAAACTGCTGCCACCTACCGCTGAAGACGACGCATGGTTTGACGGGGAGCCAGTAGCGGGTTGCGCGAGGTCCCATCTGTTGTTTGCCTCGGGACGAAGTTCGCTTTGTCGCTGTTGCTGTGAAAACGGAGAGAAACCTGTCATAAACGGATCGAAAGAGGTCTGTGAGGGTTGGGGATTACCCCCATATAACTGATGCTGCGCTGCAGATTGTGCCGGGCCAGCGGTGGTTGACGACGCAGGGAATCCGTAGTACCCATTATTAGGAGCGAATGGCTGGTGTAAGTAGTCCGAAGTCCCAGCGACGGAATTGAACGCCCCGCCAGACGTCAACGGGCTGTAGAACTGCTGCATCAGATTTTGATTGGCGGAGAAAGTTGACGGACCGGCAGGCGACGCGGGAGTAGTTGTAGCGGGCATGGATGGAAGCATGCTGGTTGTAGGCCAGGGCGAGGAAAATGATCCAAACGTCGGTCCCGCCTGCGCGCCGTTCTTTTCTATATTTTCCTGCTCGCTATTTCTCTTCAACTCATCATCTTTCCTCTGCTGCCCGGGATTCCCGAATTCGTCTTCAAGAAGCGAATCCACCATCGCACTCATCATCCGCGAGTCGAGCGGGTCCGCCGCCGCTGCAGTATTCCCCCTCTTATCCGCGAACGACGCAATAGCCGGATCCACAAACGCTGCTTGAGGTTGGTTTTGACTCAATGACGGATGGGGGTACAAAGGCTGCGAGTTAAAGTCCGGAGGTGGAGCAGCCGCAGCGCCGTCAGCTGGGGTCGAAGTCGCAGGCGGAGGGAAATACACGTATTTTTCGTCCTCGTATACGATTGGTACTTCCTCCTTATTCGCAAGCACGTCGGCGTCCGCAAGGATGTCGGAGATCCGCCAAAATGCTTCCTCGGTGGGATGCGCGCGACTTGTACACGCCTCCAGCTCTGAGATGTTCTTATACAGAGCTTCTGCTCTGATACCAGTCAGGCCAGACTGTAAGGGTTTGAATCCGATTAGCTCGAGATCCTCTTTAAGCAACGTGTCGTTTTTCTCAAAGGATAGGCTGCCGAATACGATCGAGGCCGACGACATGGCATCACAGTACTCGTTCCAGAACGCAGCAAGGTCGCCGATGACTGCGTCCTTGAAACTAGTCAAGTTTCCGGGTACACTTTTTTGTTGTATCGTCGCGACAGTAATCCTGATCCATAGCGAGTATATCCGTACCGCGGGAAGCAGACGCCTAGCAACAGCAGAAACACCTCGGTCGCGAACCTCGTCAACGGCCTGTCTCGTACGCACGACATCCATCTCCGAGAGCATTGTTGCAAGCAGACTTTGGAAGAACTTCAAATTGAACGCCAGAAACTGATTTGTTGCTTGCGTATTATTGCTCATGCTCCCATCGAGCGTGGAGACGTAATACGCCGCCACGTTGATAATCACCATCCGCTGCAGGATATCGGTCGTCAGTCGCCGTCCTTTCAAGTCTGCCTCCAACTGCGCAATGATCTCCGCAGTCAGATTATCGATATCCACGAAATTATCTCTCTCGGCGTCTTTCAGCTTCGGAGAGGACTGTAAGGTAACCTGCGCGTGCCAATGCAGAAACTTTTCCAACAAGGCTGCGACTACCAACTCATCCCGTCGTCTCGAATCACCCCCGTTCTCATTTCTCGGAACCAGGTTCCCGCTGGACCCTTTCAGTGTTTTCCGCAGGCTTAAAACGAGATTGCCAGAGGCGGTGGGGAACGGCTCTTCGACGCACATCGAGCGGTAGAAATGATACGTCGAACCTAGCACGCTTCCTTCAAGCGATGAGATGACGGCGAATTGGTTGTACGGCGAGCCGTCTTGGGGTACTAGTTCTTTTGCAAGGGTGTAGTAGTTGATCGCAGGCCGGTAGTCTTTATCAGATGAAGAGCCGCTGAAGTCAAGTGAGTGGATCTCTCGGTAGCGGGATAGATCACCAAGACTGAGCAAGCTCCTGTGGCATGACCGAACCACCAGGGTTTGTATCGTCTCATTCGGGCGTTCTTTTTGTGTACCTCGACCGACTAGTACATATGTCAGTTTATATTAATCGATTTTGGGAATTGCAAATATGCTTACCTTGCATGCGAATCCGAGTCACGACAGGAACGATCTCTTGAACACCAAACTTGTTTTCCAAAGCCTGGATGTAGCTGCGATAAAAATACATTGCCGACTTTATAAATTTAACGTAAAACTCCTGTAGTTTCCGCGCTTCGGTCGGCTTTGTCTTCATCTGCGGTCCGATCTGTCGATGTCATTGTTAACACCGTGCTTGTTTATGAAGGATAGGGGAAAAGAGGAATTACCTTGGATAGCAATTTCGCGTACGCCTCGTTCATTGGATGGTGGACTTTAATCCACAGATCATTATCGAGATTGGCTTTACTCGCACCTTCAATATCAGCAAGCGCAGACTGCATAGCAGCCTCGCGAATTCTAGCCACGACAACTGTTAGTACTCTTTCTTCTTACTTTCAAAGCGCACAGAGAAAGCGGTTGACGTACTGGATAACAAGCTCCTCGACCTCTTTGTGATACGGAGGTCGGACTTTTATCAATGCTCGCAGGTCCCGCAGTTTCTGCTCGATAGGACCGCCGGCCTTGACGGATCGGGGCATTTCAGTATCTCTTCTGTATAAAGCAAGGCCGTTAGTTAGATCGGATCCTCGCCCAGTTTGATATAGCGATTCACTTACGGCGCCATTGGATTCACCCGCATTCAATTCAAAGGTTGAAAAAACTGAGAGTAGAGTAATTGCCACTTCAAGAAAAGGCTCGAGCAATTCTGACTATCGTCTTCGTGGTTGTCGATGTCCAAGTTTTCTGATACCTGGCCGACTATATCCTCATACCACAACGCAACAGGTCGATACCCCCACACGCACGCTTCTTTCTCTCTTTAAAGAATTTAAAACTCAGAGGTTAGAAAACTAGCAGATCAAGACAAGACATGTGTCCCAGTCAAGATGATCTAGATCTCGAGGACTCGGAAGGCGCGCGGATAGAAGCAAGGACTGAAACCTGTTCTCCCACAGCAGCTGCTAATTGATTGATTCGTAAACAATCACACCCGGTAAACTAGTACTTGTCAACCTGCTGCGACAGGATAGAAATCATCGTGAGGAGTGGTGCTGCGGTCTGTGGCTCGACAAGGAGCGATGGTGGTCTTTGGTCTCAGTTCAGCGCCCGTTGTCTGTGGTTTGTGTCTTTCCGTCGCTGAGGTTGGTTACGTAATTGTTTACTTCAGCGCAAAGGAGACCGCCGCGGTTGATGCGGCGATTCTCATTGTCTGTCCTGATCTTTGTATGCTCGGTGTTTTATTGTATTTGCCAAACTATTTTAGAATACTCAGTTGTGCCAGCTGGGGAGTGGTGTGGACTCAGTCAATGCGGAAGGGGTGAGCCTCTAGTGAAGAAAATGTTAGCAATGAAGACAGAACAACAACAGCAACAAGAACGTACCAGTACTAAACACCCATTTATCAAGCGGCATTCTCTCCGGATCATCAAAGATCATAAACAGATACTTCAACGTCTCCGCCAAAAAGAAGCTTTCGGATGAATCCACAACCGTCCCTCCCCCATCCGGCAACGTCACGTCCTGCACCTCGCCGTATCCAAACTTCGCCTTGCAGAACCGCTTGAGACCAGTGTACGCCGCCCATGCCCACTCCCGGTACTTCTCGTCGCCGGTGATGCGGAAGGCGTAGTAATACGACTCGATGACCTCGGGCCGGAGAAAGTATCGCGCGTCCGAGACCCAGAAGCCAAGTTTGCGGACTTGCTCGAGCTCGTGTGGACCCGGTTTTTCGATCGCCCAGCGCACGGTCTCCATGCCGCCGTCGAGCTCTTCGCTCTCTTTACTGTACGCTTCCCAGACGAAGGACTCGGGGCCTAGGTTTGTGGGCATGACGTATGTAGCATGGCAGGTGTCGAGCACGTCGAGGCCAAAGTCGATCAAGTCCGGTCGGCTGAGGAACTTGCCGCCGAGAAGAAGATTGCCAGGAAGGAAGCAGGTTAGATGGCCCATCTCGTTGTAGTACAGATCCGATTCCACGTGGGCGATGAACAGGTACCCGTTCTCAGGACGATGGCCGTCGGAGGTGTATGACTGAGGCGCGGAGCCGCGGTGCGCGAGATGTAGTCTTGTAGACTGCATGGCCTGTTCCCAGCGGTGAGAGTACATGGACGCGTGCTTATCGGACGGCGCGAGGATCGCGGCCTTGATGAGATACTCGTAGTACGAGTCATGTCCCGCACCCAACGACACGGATTTCCCGACGGCGTAGCCCGTGAACGCGTCGATAGGCGAGCTGATCAACCCGTCAAAGAGCTCGTCGTTGGAATTCCACACCAGCGACGACCACGACCGCGTCGCGTTCGTGACGTACTCCTTATTTCCCACGAGTTTCGAAAGCCGGTAGTTTTCAAGCCAGTTCGAGCCGATCCGCGCCGGACCGAGCGTGGGCGACACCTCGCGGCTCATGGAGGCGTACTCGGGATCGCTGTCCTCGTGCACGCCGATTTTGCGCGACAGATCGACGCGAGGCCAGGGAATGCCTGTCGGGGTGTCGTATGCGGGCGCGATGATGTGAGCGAGGTCAATTGCTTTTTCGAGGCACGCGGTGCGGTACTTTTCTTGATTGGGAATCGGCCCAAAGATGTCGGTCGAGGCCAGGATATCAGCTGCCGAGACAAGCGAGCCCAGGTATCGGATCGTCGTCTCGAACGGGTCCATGAGGTAGTCTTTTTCGTCGTGTTTTGAGAAATCGAGTTTGTTGAGCACGTAGTCGAGCGTGAGCGTGGCTTCCTGCGTCAGGTTCATGACGAGCGCGGTGGTGAGCGAGTCGACGAGCGTGGCCGCGAAGCCGTTGCGCGTGGTCTTGAAGCCGCCCGAGACCGGGAGGACTTCGTCTTTGCCCCACGCGACGGCTCGGTAGCGGTCAAAGGCCCATTTGAACTCCTTTTTTATTTCGTCGGCGCGCGCTTGGCTGCGCAGGGTGGCGGAGTGCGGGAGAGGGTGTTCTTTGAAGTTGAATTGGACTGTAGGGTGGGTGGTGTGGAAGGAGAGATATAGATAGCGGATGATGACGAGGAGCGCAAGAGCGTAGCTGTATGAATGTTAGAAGACCACTCGATATCAAAAAGCTCAAGATCATTCAGATTAGAGCAACAGAAGACGAGGAGACGAACAGGATGAAGCGACGGTATGGAGTATAGTACATGCGGAGGATCCGCAGTGTGCGGCCTCGTCGTTTCGGAGCAGTCCAGACCATATCCGCACGACTCTGCTAGAAGAGATGAAGAGCAGGTATTCTCAAGAGCAGCAGCTAACAACTACAGCAACAACAACAACCACAACAACACAACTTCAAAGCAAATCAAGAAGAACAAAAGGCTGCTGCAAGACCGGGCTCAGTGTGACGGCGAACGAGGATGTTTTGGATGTGCGGCTTGCGGCGCGTCTCTGCGCTTTCGTCCATTCTTTCGGATTTGGAATAAAATTGATTCTACCAAAGCCGTGGATCTCGTCACTTTCAGAGCATCGTCGGTGGAGTGTAGATAGTTGTCGACGGAGTTGTGCGGGTGGCCGGGAGCAGGGAAGGTGGACGGGGTGCTCAGATCAAGGTCGGTCGGTGCACTGATCTCTTTGATATCGTAGATTCCAACTTAGATTCCAACCTCCTCTGTTCTTCTTCACGAGTAATTCCTCTTCTTTATAAACAGTATGAATCCAGGACTGTAAACACACAGCAAATGGATAGACGGGCTCAACTTCAAGCGCAGATCAGTCTCCTGCAACGCGAACTAGACTCCTTGTCCGTCTCTTCCTCACCTCCATCCTCCTCCTCATCCTCAGATCCCTCCTCCTCCATCCTCTCCCTCGACGAATACACCCGCTATGGCAGACAAATGCTCGTCCCCGAACTCGGCAAACCCGGCCAACTCTCCCTCCGCGCCTCCTCCGTCCTCGTCGTCGGCGCAGGCGGCCTCGGTTCTCCCGCCCTTCTCTACCTTGCCGGCGCAGGCGTAGGCAGAATCGGCATCGTCGACCACGACACCGTCTCGCTCTCGAACCTGCCCCGACAAACTCTCTACACCGTCGCCGACGTCGGTCTCCTCAAGGTCGACGCGGCAGTTTCACACCTTCGCCAGCGCAACCCATCGCTCGCGTACACCGCCTACCCGCACGCCCTCACGGCCGACATCGCGCTCGAGATCGTCGCAGGGTATGATGTCGTGCTCGACTGCACCGACTCGCCAATGTCGCGATACCTCCTCGGCGACGCCACCAGCATCCTCGACATCCCGCTCGTGTCTGCCTCTGCGCTGCGCACAGAAGCACAGCTCCTCGTCCTCAACCGCACACACTACGCATCACCCGACCGCGCCGACGCGCCATGCTACAGATGTATCTTCCCCTCGCCGCCCTCCTACGTCGACGCTTGCTCCGACGCCGGCATTGTCGGTCCTGTAGTCGGCACCGCGGGCGTGCTGCAAGCTTTGGAAGCCATCAAACTCCTGGCGGCGCGAGCACATCCTGAGCTCTACGGCGAAATCCCAGGCATGCTTCTCTTCAACACCATGAGCGCGCGACCGTTCCGCACGATCCGCATGCGCAGGCGGCAGCAGAGCTGTAAAGTCTGTGGCGCGCAGCCTGAAATTACCAAACAAACAGTTGCAAAGTTCGACTACGCCGAGTTCTGCCATACGGCACAGTCGTACCCCGATATGGCGCAGTACTCGATCCCCGTCGCCGACCTCGCGCGGGTCCTCAACAAGCAGGAACAGGTTCATCTGATTGATGTGCGCGACAAGACGCAGTTTGAAATCTGCGCGTTGCCGGGGTCGATACATATCCCTCTATCCCATTTCCTCTCCGGCAAGCTCAGTTCAGAACAGATCGCGATGCTGGAGGATCAACGCACAAACTACATCGTCTGTCGGTACGGCAATGACTCACGCACGGCAGTTAAATGGATCCGCGAGAATTTAAACGCGGAAAAGACGTTCAACGTCGCGGGGGATTGTCTGCCTGGTCTAAACTTGTTGATCCTACGTTTCCAGAGTACTAGATGTGATGATGATGAATATATGTCAAAGTCCGTGAGTACTATTGATGTGTTGAGTGGTAAAATTGATTGACTAGGTATGGGCACAAGAATAGGATTGAAAGAATGAATTTAATTTGTACAAAGCCATGTCCGTATTCTCCGTGTATATGAAATACAAAAAACAAAAGACCCAAAAACTAGTTAAAAGCAAAAGACATTAAAGTATATAGATGTATGTAGTTATTCGTGCTTGGTAATTCACAAAAGTCCTCTCCAGTGCAACTCAACCTCGACCGAGAGATCAAGCTCGGCAGGGCCATTGCCAGCCCAGAGACCCTCCTTGAGCCATCCCTTGGCGGGCTGGATCGCGCCCCAGGACGACTTGCCGTCGTAGACGAGCTCGCCGTTGTCGCCGACCTCGAACGAAGTCGCGTTGGTGATGCTGTAGTCGCACACGAGACGGCCCTGGAGGTTGACAGCGCAAGGGCCGCGCGAGGAAGCGAGCTCGACGCCGCCGAGGGTGGAAGGGGTGCCGTGGAAAGTGGCGCAGGTGCCGGCGGAGTACCACTGGCCGCTGGTGATCAGGCATCCCTCGGATCCGTCGTCGACGATGACGTATCCCTTGCCCTCGAAAGGCTTGCTGTCCGGGTTGGGAGTCGGGTGAGGGCGCTCAGGGCGGGGAGGACGGACGATCTTGGGGAGGTACTTGATGCCGGTCTCGGGGCACGAGTCCTTGGTTCCGTCGGGGTCGGCGAAGAGGTACTCGCCGTCCTGGGCGCGGCCCATGACGTTGAAGTGGTACCAGACCTCGGTGAGGACGCCGGACTTGGTGCAGCCGAGGGTGACGTTGTGGTTGTCGGAGATGGAGGAAGAGATGGCGGAGAGGATGTCAGACTTGTTGAAGGTGGCGTCGAAAGCAGGGACGATGCCGGCATCAGAGAGAGCACCGAAGGTATCAAGAGTAGAGTGGAGATCGACCGCGCGCGAGAAGTACTCGACCATCGGGGTAGCGGTGGTGTTGTCCTCGGGGCCGTAGCACTGGGGCGCGAGGGTGGAGATGCAAGTGCCATGCTTGTTCCACTCGTGGGTCCAGAGTCTGTCGTCGGCGCCCTGGTAGGCCTTCCAGGACTCGCGCATGGTCGAGAGAAGCTCGGTGGCGCCGGCGGCGGTGAAGATGGTCTCGACCGAGTTGACGACACGCGTGGCGTCGCAGAACTGGTCGAACGAGCCGTCGCAGTTATCGGGCCAGAGACCGTGGAGGGTCCACTTGTCGGCGGGGCCGACGGCGGGCGCAAAGTCCCAGAACTGGGCGAGCAGGAGCTGGCCGCCGGGGGCGTTGACGCAGCAGGTGTCGACGTCGTCGGGGATGGGCGTCGCGAGGTGGCAAGAGAACTCCTTCTGGGCGGGACAGGAGTGGGCGGTGGAGACGCGCGAGCCGAACTTGCGGTGGACGGTCGGCTGCGAGCGGTGGGGGACGGCGGAGTTGAAGAGCTTGCCGACGAGGGGGCCGACCTTGGAGTGGATGTAGGCCGGGGCCTTGTCGGAGACGTCGCTGATGGCGCCGGAGAAGGTCGCGTAGACGGCGCCGGCGAGGAGGGCGGCGACGACGAAGGTCATGAAGGTGCGGCCGCGGCGGGAGCGGCGGGGCGCAGGCTCGGAGAAGGCGAGCTCCTCCTGCTCGAGGGAGCGGTACTGGGCCTTTTCGTCGTCGCGGTAGGGGGCGTATGTGTAGGAAGGCATGTGTGATGAGAGAAGATGGGATGAGGTGGTGAGGATGAGGATGAAAAGAAGCGACTACGACGGCAGCCCGAGATCTTTATATATTCAAGAACACCTCAGAACAGAACCAGGATCTCTTTCAAAGCTTTTCTTGCGTAAATACCGGAGGAAGGCGATGTCAACAATGACGACAACTGCGCTCGGTGAAGCCCGGCCAAGACCAGCAAACTCCCAATTAACGCGTGTTCGCCATCACTGCACTCGACCGCAGTGACTCTGAAGACGTCTCCCGGGGTACTCCGATGTTTACCCATTTCCGCTTCCTCCACTTCCCCGTCCGCGCCCGGCCTTTTTCTCACGTTTCTCGGGCCGCGCTGCTGTTCGCGGTTCGCCTGTTTGTCGGAGTAAACAGAGCGGATCTGGGATCGAAGAGGCCCCGGCGGCGAGCGTCGGGCCTTCGCTTCCCCAGAGGCGCTTTTAGCTGTCGTCCTGTGCGCCGCCACCGGTGTTGCCTGCGTTTTATGGAGAGCCACCGGGAGGTAGTCTGATGTGGTTTAGTGGCTGTTGTGCTGGAGTCTATTGTGTACTGGAGTCTATTGTGTACTGGAGTCTATTGTATACTGCCGAGAGAAAGTAGGTGGAAGCTGTGTATATAGACATGGCAAGTGTAGACAATATGCAGCGAGATGCAGCAGATGCAGCAGGAGAGTCCCAAACAATCAAACAAAGTATTAAACAACTGGAATAAATGTACAGCGAAGGCAAGGAGGAAGAGGCAAATGAGGAAGAGGCAAATGAGGAAGAAGAAGGCAGACGGCAGTGCAGCAGCCAGCGAATATAGAGAGCAGAAGAGCACGCTGGCTATCAACTGCACTGAACTGCAACGCGTCAACATGCGAATTAAACATCAAACTACAAAACAACAACACAAATGCAGCAATTGCACTCCTCAGACCTTCACCAGATACGAAACAAACAAAACCGTCACAATAGCCGATAAACTAAAGTAATACTCGAGCTCGACACACAACCACACCAGCAGCGTGCCCACCGGCGGCGCCCGACTGATGATTTGCAGATAACTCGCCTCGTTGACGACCGTCAGCAAATACGCGCCGAGCACGACAAACGCCAGCATCAGCAGCATCTGGAACCCGATCTTGGTGTGGCTCGGGTGGATGACCGAGTGCAGCACAAACAGGACGCCGAACGTGATCAGGCTCCGTTTCGGTAGTGTCTCCAGCAGGAGTTCTTCTTGGTACTGCTTGCGCACGAGAATGTCAAAGATTGCGTAGGCGGTCGTCAATGGGATGAGCGCCATGAGGTAGTCGAGCATGAGAACTGCGTACTCGTTCGGTTCGCTGCTGCTGCTGCTGCTGCGCCTTATCTTCGCGTTGCCGTTCCGAGTAGGCGTGTCTTCTGACGGCGGCTTCGTGTCTTCGTGGAAGCTGACTGTTTTCTTTTTCAACGACGGCGGCGGAGTAGACGGGTTCGAGCCCATTGCAGCCTTGACGTCGTCGGGGAGGATTTTTGTGATGGGAACTTCGTTGCCGGCGGCGTCGGTGAAGGACACCGGGGCGCCGTTTGCCGAGGTTACTTTGAGTGCCGGTTTAGCTGATGACATGGTGCTGTAGAGTGAATATATGTATGTATCTCTATATAGAAGAGTAGTAGGAGCAGCTGCAATAAACCACGCTGACGCTGATGCTGATAGCTGATAGCGACTGCGATAGAAACCGGCGCGGCGCGATGGACGAGCAAAGGCCGGCTGCTCGCTCAACTCCGAGCGAACGTCATCGTCGGTTTTTTTTTTCATTCTGGCCTCCATTTCAGCAGCAAACATAAATATCGACCTGTTTCCTCGTTCGGTTTGATGCTGTATCGCTACAATCGACTCAAAATGCGTGCTCGCACTCTTCTTTTGCTTGTTGTCCTCGCCATCGCCCTGTGGTAAGCCTCGTTATCTGCTTCTACTCCTTCTACTATCATCACCACCACTAACACAACACTCAGGGTCATCACCCGCAAGGTCTTCAAACCCACCAATGCCCGCATGCTCACCTCGCACTTTGCCCACAAGCGCATCGCGCTCATCATCGCCCACCCCGACGACGAGGCCATGTTCTTCGGCCCGACCCTGAACGCCCTCCGCCAGCTCGCGCTCGACACCAACGGCGGCGCGTCCGGCCTGCCCGACATCAACCTCCGCCTCATCTGCCTCTCGACCGGCAACGCCGACAACCTGGGCGACACCCGCACCGGCGAGCTGCGCGCCTCCGCCGCAAAGTTCGGCGTCCCGCCCTCGAACGTCGTCATCTTTGACGACCCGCGCGTGCAGGACCAGATGGGCGTCACCTGGCCTGCCGAGGCCATCGCCGAGCTCGCAGCGCCCTACCTCGCCGACGTCGACGTCGTCCTCACGTTCGACCCGACCGGGGTCTCGGGACACGGCAACCACGTCTCGCTCAACAAGTACGTGCAGGAGTACCTCGTCGACGGCGAGGCCGACGCCCGCCGCGAGGTGTGGACGCTGCGCACCGTCAACGTGCTGCGCAAGTACATTGCCTTCTTCGACATCCTCGTCACGTACACCTACAACCAGTTCTTCACCGACAACGCGCGCTCGCTCGTGCTCGTCAGCGACGTGCACCAGTACGCTGTCACCCGACAGGCCATGACCGACGCGCACAAGAGCCAGATGCGGTGGTTTAGATGGGGTTGGATCTCGCTGAGCCGGTATATGGTCGTCAACGACCTCCAGCTGTCGGTCAAGCAGGAGGAGTAAATAGAATAAAAGTTTGAAAGTTAGTGTAATGAGATCTTGTATGGGTGACTGTGCATTGGATGAATCGGTGTTGTATTGGTTTTCTCGTGTTTTGGAGTCATAATGATCTTGTAAATTTCAGTTCGTATCGTTGTATGTTTAGTTATTTAATGGGATGACATAGTATATACATTTTGATACATCTGTTTCCAAACTACAGCCTTCGTAATTACTCCTTATTTCCTCCATTATTACTTGCACCTTTTTTAACTCATGAACATTTCTTACTCATGTACTAAGAGCTCTGCTGCTTGATGTACTCGACCAACGCATCGATCGTGATGACGTCCAGATCGTGCTGCTTTCCAAACGCAAGACAGTCGTCCCGACGCGCCATCGATCCGTCCTCATCCTTTACGATCTCGCCGATCACGCCCACCGGGGGGAGACCGGTTAGCTTGCAGAGGTCTGTGGTGGGTTAGCTTTTGCTATAGAGTGATCTCAGCCCTAGTGAAAGAGGAAGACTTACCGACAGCAGACTCGGTATGTCCTCTTCGTGCCAGCACGCCGCCGTCGACCGCCCTCAGCGGAACCACATGTCCCGGCTTCATGAAATCGCCCGCGACAACAGCATCATCCGCCAGCTTACGACAAGTAAGCCCCCGGTCGTGCGCCGAGATTCCGGTCGTCGTTCCCTCGCGGAAATCGACGGTGATGGTGTATGCGGTGCCGTGGCGGTCGCTGTTGCGCGCGACCATGAGCGGCAGCTCGAGCTTGTCTGCCCGCTCGTTTGTCATCGGCGCGCACACGTACCCGGACGAGTGGCGGACGAGGAAGGCCATGTTTTCGGTCGTGGCGTGCACGCCTGCGCAGATGAGGTCGCCTTCGTTCTCGCGGGACTCGTCGTCGAGGACTATCAAGAACTTGCCGTTTTCTGCGGGGGTTAGTCAATGCTAGTCAGCAGTAGTGCAGAGGAGTAGACGTACTGAACGACTCGAGAGCCTTCTCTATCGGTGTGAACATTGTTGTTGATGAAGTAGTGGCTATTGCGAAGAGATGTGAGCTTACAGAGCAAGGCGATAGCGAAGAGCCGTCTGCACGCACAGACACAGACACAGACACAGACACAGACTCTCCAAACACACTCACCTCAGCCTTCACGATCAACACAGAGCAGAACTGCTGATATTTGGTCGCGATATCAAAAAGAACAGAAGCAGGTTTCTGTATTTTCTGGTTTTTGCAGGTTCGGTTTGCGGGTGACGTCTGTGAGGGAACTTTATTCGGCTTCTGGAGACGAGGGTCGCGGTTCGCCGTGGTTTCCGCTCCTCCGCTGCTGCTCTTTTGTAGTGTAAAAAGCAGTAACAAATACAATAAAAACTACTTCCTTTCTACTTCTGACTATTCTTCTCTTCTTATTACAACATCTGCGCAGACAATCGGCATCCCACCCCCACCGGTTCACTTTCGCGGCTCACGTCATAGTAAACAACCGCAACCCGAACCAACCCGCCAAACCACCGAACCGACTCCCGAACCCGGTGGCCCACGCCGGAGCTGACCGACCCAAAGCCATCAATGTCCTCCACGTCTTCTTCTCCTCCTCCTCTCTTCTTCTCTTCTTTCTGCAAGACAGCAGACAACAGCAGACACAATGAATCGCCTCTGGGGAAGCAAAGACAAAACACCAAAGCCAACGCTCGACGATGCCATGTCCGGCGTACGTAGTGATCCTCCCTCTACTTATCTGATAAGCAACTAACCTGATCTCTCCCCCTCCCCAGCTCGACACCCGGATATCCTCGCTCGACGTCAAGCTCTCGAAACTGAACTCCGAGCTCTCGGTCTACCAGCAAAAGCTGGCGCGCATGAACGACGGCCCGGGCAAGAACGCGCTGAAGCAGAAAGCGCTCAAGATCCTGAAGCAGCGCAAGATGTTTGAGGCCCAGAAGGACTCGCTGCAGCAGCAGAGCTGGAACATGGAGCAGGCCTCGATGACGACCAATAACCTCCGCAACGTGATGACGACCGTCGACGCCATGAAGGGCGCAAACAAAGAGCTCAGGAAACAGTACGGCAAGATCAATATCGACAAGATCGAGTCGATACAGGACGAGATGGAGGACCTGCTCGATATGTCGAACGAGTTGCAGGAGACCATGTCGCGCTCGTACGCGATCGACGACGAGATCTCGGATACTGAGCTCGACGCGGAGCTCGAGGCGCTCGGGGATGATATGCAGTTCGAGACCGGCGAGGCGGAGATGCCGAGTTATCTCATGGAAGGCGGCGGCGGTGGTTTGCCTGAATTTGTCGACGAGCCGGTCAAGGAGGATAAAGAGGAGGTCGCTGCGTGATTCTAATTGTCATAATATATTACTACAGCAGTCTATGTACATCGCTCAACTCAGTCTTCTCGCAGCAAGAAAGTAATTCCCCAAATCCCGTGGCCCGCAAAACTCCCAGCCCACAAACGGGATATAGATACACCCTTTACTCGTCACGACGTCCCAGTGCTCGCCCGTGCCCGGCACGCTCGTCTTGTGCTCGATAAACCACTCCCGTAGCTCCTTCTCGTTGATGTACTTTGACCAGCTATGCGTGCCTTTCGGTACCATCCGCAACAAGTCCTCGCCCACAAAGATCGTCGTCAGGTACGCTGCCGCAGTGCGGTTCACCGTCGACGCAAAGATCCATCCGCCAGGACGGACGAGCTTCGTCGCGGTCTCCAGCAGCGCAGACGGATCAGGCACATGCTCAAGCACCTCAAACATCGTCACCACATCATACCTCTGCTCGTCCTTCCCTTCCGCCGCTGCCTCTGGCACCGGCAGATCAAACAGCGAGCACAGCTTATAATCCAGCTTCTGCTCCATCACCAGCTTCGGATCCTGCCGCTTGTGTTTCTTTGCAATCTCGAGCACTTGCTCAGACATATCAAGCCCCGTCACCGACTCCACCCTCGGATTCCGTGCCAACGCCTCGGTCAGGATCCCGCCCCCGCACCCGACGTCGAGCATCTTGAGCCCCGAAAGCCGCGTCTTGCTCGGCAGCGCGTAGGCGTCGATCGTATCAAAGATAAACGACGTCCGGAGCGGGTTCATCTTGTGCAGCAGCCGCGAGGGACCGTTGGCGTCCCACCATGACGAGGCGAGCGCGTTGAAGTGCGCGAGCTCGTCGGGCGAGAACGCGGATGAGGAGGCGGTCGAGTGGGAGCGGGATGTGAGCCGGAGTGTGGTCTGGCACAGACGAGATGAGGAGTGTTTGATTGTGCCCAGCATTGCGGTGGTGATCTGCGGAGGAGAAGCTCTGGTGGAATTGAATTGAATTGAATTGAATTGAATTCATCGAATTTTTTGAATTATTGTAGGGCAGCTGCGATCTTTAAACTTTGATTTTATCTGCTAAAACCAGCAATATTCCATTCTTTCTACTCGACAACTGCAATGAACGATGCTATATTACATTTTATACTACATTTTATACAAAAAACACAACGGTAAAATAAACTGCCCAAACACCCATCTATAGCTATCGTACATCACCTAAACTGCGCCCACTCCGCAATATCATTATAATCCATCGGCTCCCACTCCAGCTGATCCTCCGCCACATTCCCCCTCGCCTTCACCCACATAATCTCGTTCTCAAAATAACACATAAACCCACCTCGCCCGCTCGCGGCCGCGGTGATCCGGTACAGCGGATGACCCAGCAAATCGTGCGCTTTGCGAAGCGGGATGAAGAGTAAATTGTTTTCCAGACAAAAATCCTCGACCACGTCCTTGAACGTGCTCTCCAGATGCGCGGAAGATGTCGCGTCTGGCTGTGCCGGTGCGGAGGGTTGCTCGCGCGCGAATTTCCGATCAGCTGGCTTGGAATTGTGGTGGTGGTGATGTGAAGATTTCTCTTTACTGCTGCCGGAAGGCGACGCAGCGCGACGGGTATTAGTGATCGGCTGCAACTCATCCGCGGCACGAGCACCCAGCGCAGCAGCTTCATTAATCAGCGCCAGCCCACGACTGAACGCGCTCTCAATCTCCGGGTACCGCAACAGTTCCTTTGGAAACTGTTTTTTCCAAAACTGGTACCACTGCTCGACCTCGTCAAAGTCCGGCGTCGAGGTAAGCCAGAGAAAAAGCACGCCGTTCCATTTCGGGAAAAACTCGTCGAGTAAAAGGGTGCTGAACGTGCGCGTTCGAAACAGACGTCGCCATTTGAAAACGGTCAGTAATGGACCCATCTCTTGATCGGCAGGGTTGACTTCAAACTCAGACACGAGCAACCCCGCCAGCTTTGGATATATATGCCGTACCAAAAGCGCGTCAAGGTCCTTCCCAATAACCTCCTTCCACGCCGACAGACCCTCAACAACACCCTTCGAGACATCCCAGCCGCGCAGCACCGAGCCCAGCTTAACTCTCACGTCGGCAACCAGCCCGTCGAGGTTCTGCTTCAGAAACGGCATCCACGGGAATATCCACACATGCGGCAGCGGCTCCGTCTGGTTTATCCGCTTCGGATTCCACGCCTCGACCGCGGCGCGCAGCCGCGGCAGGACGATCTGCTCAATCAGTTGGATTTCAATAAACCCCGGAAGGACTTTATGCCATTCTTCGAGAAGCAGGACGATCGGCGCCGGGTCGTGCACGTTCCATTCGTTGAGCAGGGCTTGTCGCACGCGTGGCAGCCAGATCGAGGCCATCATGCTTTCGTAGAGCGTAGCGCGGTTCTTGGACGCCAGATGGCGCTTGTGGTGGAGGTAGATGTCGTCGACCGCCACGTCTTCGCCGTCTTCTTTCCGATCGGTTGCGTTCACACGGAGCAGAATCTGCCACCGCAGGATGTAATCTTTAAGAAACGTAGGATTCGCAATCGGATCCCAGTCCACCATCAGCTTTTGCAGAACCGGATGCAGCGCGGCAATCGCTACATCATCCAACCTGAACCTCTCGGCTTCCAACGCAAACTCAAACTGCAGCGAATCGAGCTTTCCCGCGATCGAGCTCAAGACCGCTTGCGGGTTGCTGGCCATCAGATCACCCGAGAGCTTTGTCTGTTCTCGAAGCTCGATAGCAAGCTCCATCACCCGGCCCAGCCGGTCGATGCTCTCGGTTTCCTCGTCGGTTTCTTTGGTGATCCGCTCCGTCTCTGCTGCGACCCATTTCGCGCGTGTCTGCAGGGACTCCCACTCGTCGGCGTACTGCTCCAGTTTCATCCGCGCCAGCTCTGCCTTCTGTATCCGCTCCGCGTCCTCTGTATTCGTCTCGTCAACGGTCTTGAACCCAGACATATCCTCGATGATTTTCGATTTCGCGCCCGTCATATCAATCACGTTCTTCCACACCGACGGCACAGCAAGACCCGATGCCTCGATCTCCTCCACCGTCCGATACGACACCCTCGGCCGCGCCTGAAACTCCTCCCGTTTCCGCTTCTTAGCTTTCTTCGCCTTCCCTCCCTCCGCGCTCTCGTCTTCACTTTCCTCGACCTTCTCGCCCCGACGCTTCGCCTCCTCGATATCCTGCTTCGTCTTCTCCTTCATGCCTCCGAGTCCAAGCCGTCCCGCCCGCATCTTCTGCTCGATCGGGTTCAAGATCCCGCTGCCGTCGGAACCGAGGCCGCGGCCTTCGACGTAGCCCATCCTTGCGAATATCGCCGCGCCTTTGCCGTACGAGGACGCGAGTGCCGCGCCGGGCTTGGCTGCTTGTTGGCGCGCTGCGAGGAACGATGGACGGCCATTGTTGGTGGACGGAGTATCCGTAGTTGGTGTAGACTGGCGCGATTCCGACGGTTGCGAGCCCTCGCGCTGCTGCTGCTGCTGCTGAGCAGGTTGCGACGTAGCAGCTGTTGCAGTCGTGCGATTCAAGTTCGCGAGAGGATTCGAGGGTGTGCTTGCGCTGGGAGCAAAGCTGACGCCACGGTACCGCATGGGCTTTGTCGAGACACTGGACTGCTGCTCGTCTTCCTCATCGTCGTCGTCGCCGCTGCGTTTTGCTCGAGCTGGTCGACGGAAGCCGAGGAAGGTACTGATCTCGGCGTCAGAGTCCACGTCTGACGAGTCTGACGAGGACATGCTGCAGCTGTGCCTTTCGGTTTATGCTGTTGGTCTTCAGTGTAGGTATGATTATGAATGCAGGAATAGATGCAGATGCAGTCGAGATGATTAAGTCGAGAAGTTGGAGATGCTTCAGGATCTTTTCTGGATGTGTGGCGCACACAAAGTTGCCGCACCGCCACAGACGCGTTCAGCTGAGCTCTCGTCGAACGCGACTTGTTTCTGTAAACACACCGTCGTCTGCTTGTTTGTTGTTTGTCGCAGAACAGTACACGATGCCTTCTCGATACTATGATATAGACGATTTTATTGCCGACGGACAGGTGCGTTGTTGATTATCATTTTGGAAAGTGTGCGCTAGCTGACTGTGGAGTAGAAAATCCCGTGTATTTTCCAGACTGCGGTGCCTGAGATGGGATATCTCGAACACGGACGGAGTGAGAGCACAGATGTAGGATACCGCAGACTTTGCTTTGGTAGCTGTATCAAGTGCTATGCTAATATACAAGTAGATCAGACACGGTGCGCGACTAGAACTGCCGCTATGGCTGGCCGAACCGCTAGCAATGGGGTCAGTCTGCCCTCCCTGCTCTTCATTCTCTCCCACTAACCATCAAACAGTGTCTCTGACGAATTCCCCAACGGCCTAGTAATGGTCTCCACCCCCGCCCCCTTCACCTCCAAAATCATCAACGCGCTGAAAGCCAACGCGGTGAACGTCGACCTGCGCTCGCTCACCATGTATTTCTTCAGACTGGCCCAGCGCTGGCTCGAGCTCACCGGCGACCACACCCTGCTCGCGCAGATCTCGGCCGCATTCAAAGAGCGCGCGGTGGTGGTTAACGATTACGCTTACAACACACGGAGTACGAGTCTGATGACGGATAGCTCGGAGTTTATGGGCAAGCTTGATGATACCGAGGTTAAATGTGAGCTGCTCTTGTGCTGGTTTTTTTTGAAGAAGTTACTGACATCTTGTGTAGTGTATAAAGCGGCACATGTGGCATCCCGACAGTTCAAAAAGTGGGTTAGCATCAAGAAATGAGCTTTGGGAAGGGGACACGGCGTTACTGATTTCAATTTCTATTTGTGATGTACACTCCATTGCCTATAATAAACAAACTGTACAAACCCAACATTAATGCTTAACATTATACTTCTTTTGCTTCTCGATATTCGCCTTGAGCGACTTTTGCTTATCGCGCAGACTCTTTCTGTTCTTGCCCTGGATATCGCGCGTATGGATCATCATAATGAAATTCTTCTTCCTAGCCTTCTCCTTATTTGTCGTACTATGCGGTTTCGAATCCAGCTTCTTGCCTTTCTTCGATCCAAACTCGCGGTCCTTGCGACCCTCCATCACCGTGTCCATGCGCTCATCCTTATCCGCCCTCGTCGAGCGTGTTCCAATCAGGCTGTTTGCGTCAACCGTGTCCTGGTGGCGCGTCATGGTGGAGGATTTCGAGCCGTGCAGAATCTTGTCGATACCCGCTTTCTGGCGGAGTTCCTCGAGTTTCTGGAAATCGGCGGGCGTGAGAATGCGCGTCGCCATAAGGCTTTGCATCGGGTCGAGCTTCGCGCGCTTGGCTTCGGGCTCCTCGGTTGCCCGTTCTTTAACTTGCGCGTTTTCTTCAACGTCGCTGTCGACGTCGTCGTCATCATCATCCTGAGCTTCGTCGTCAGAGTCCTTGTCGTCGTCTCCTTCGGCATCAGAGACTTCGTACTCTTTATCGCTCTCGACATTAATCCACCCTTCCTCCTCGTCGTCTGCGTCCTTGACGTTCCACGCAGCATCATCCCCGTCATCTTTCGACACAATCTTGCCGTCCTCGCCCGGCTCAGCAACATCAAGACCCTGCTCCTTGCGCCACTGCTCGAGCAGCTCGAGACCAGGAATGCCCTCGACCACGTTCTCGACACCGTACTGCAGCTTCTTATTTTCGATACCCGCGCGCGCGTTCGCGCTCATCTCCATCGCAGAGATCTTATCGAGATCCTTGCGCGCCAGCATCTCCGGCGCGACGTCGCGGTACAGTCTGATAAGCGACCGCGCGGCCATCATCACGCTCTTGGCCTTGGACTTGTGGTACTGCGTCAGGTCCTGGAGCAGGTCCTGGTCGATCGCGAGCGGGTTTCGCGTCAGGATCTCGCGGATCGTGTTGATGCCCGCCGCGGCGACTTCGGGCGCTACACCATCCGAGACGAATTCGTCGGCGATCTTGCGGATCACGGGTGAGAGTGCGTCGGGCGGGACGAGGTCGTGCGAGGCCTGGGCAGCGCAGGCCATGAATTGCGTGACGTCGCGCTGCTTGGGCGTCAGGTACTTTAGAAGGTAGGAGTATACGCCCAAGACCGAGAGCTTGTGGACACCGATCAGACGCGAGACCAGGTTGAGGATCTGGATGCGCTGCTCGAGCGTGTACTTGTTGCCGCTGCTCCTGCTCAGCGTTTGCGAGAAGAGACGCTCGGCAAAACCCTGGGGATCGTGCAGGAGATGGATTGCCGAGAAATTGAGATGCGCCTCGAGTCCCTTGGTCTCCTCTTTCTTCTTGAGCACCTTGACTGCGTTTTCGAGCTTGCGCGCGCGCTTGCCGGTTTTCTTGTTCACGCCGACCTTGTGCTTAATCTCGCCCACGTTCGGCACCGCGCCGTCTTCGTCGTCGCTGCTCATGCCGTCACTGCTGTCGTCGCTATCCAGCCCGCGCTTCTTGCGCAGCGCTTTCTCGCGATCGCGGTCTTCGCCGAGGAAGAAGTTGACCCCCGCGATCGAGACCTTAGTGTTTCCGTGCAGAGCAGCTATCTTCATGATCTCGACCGAGCGGGCGTCGTCCCAGATCGAGCGGCGCCAGAGCTCGCGGGTGAGTTTTGCGGCCCAGAGGCCGTCCGGTGCCGCGGCGGGGCCGTCGGACGACTCGAGGAGAGTGAAGAGCAGCGTCTGCACGCTCTTATTCAGCTTCGGCGCCCGTGTGTTTTTATTCGCGTTCTTGAGCAACCGCACGAGCGTCGTGTAGATATCCTTGCGGAACACCTTTGAGTTTGTGGTTGGCAGCAGCGGGAACAAGATCTGGATCAACCGTTCTTCGGTGATGACCTGTCGATTCGTGAGCTGCACCAGACTCTGCACCATCTTCTCTCGCAGCTCGACCGCGATAGCAGTGTGGTGGTTCACGAGCATCTCGCCGAGGTCGTCGGCGAAGTCCTTGGTTTCGGAGGGGTAGACGACGCAGACGTGCGCGATTAGATTTATCTGCTTCATGAACTGCTCGGTCTCGCCGAACCCGCTCGGGTTGAGATTCAGAATCTCTTTAAGAGACTGGTAGTGCTGATATTGTCCGAGAAACTCATCTTTGTGTGATCTATGGAGGATGTCAACACATTGTTCTTGTTATCCACAAATCCGAGATACATACTCTGGCTGTCTGCGGATTCGATCCTGCAGAACCTGCAAGTCGATAATCTGCGACTCGCCAACAGTCCCTCTGCCTCTTTTCACCATTGTAAAGTACTTTAGAATACTTCTTCCAACGTCAGAGAGAAAGTAAAGAAGCTGTCTTATTTCACTCGCGCTGGTGGTTGGTTTCCAGCTTTTTTCAAAAATATTTTTTTGCTTTGGGAGCAGATGCGGTTGGGAGTTTGGAAGTGGCTGGGAAGTGGCTGGTAATAAGTGGCGCATGGCTTAGTAATAATTCACTCAGCAAGCTAAAGTTAGAAACGAGAGCTGCTCTCCGCGCACATCGCTGAGCGAGACCGCGTCACCAGATAACTCAACAGTTCGGCAGCGATTTCTATCGGTCTTTTTTATTAAACTCCGCAACAGCAAAAGAAGCATGGCTGAGCCGGTTAAAAAAGCCTCTGTCGGACGCGTGCGGTCGCGGTGGGGGCCTGCGCCTGTTTATAACTACGACGATGACTCGGACTGGTGAGAACGTGTTTGAGGTTCGTTTATTGTGTTTGATGTGCTAAGACGCGATCTTGATAGGGACGGCGAGGATGAAGAGGACCAGGAGGACGACGAGTATGCGTCTCCGCGGCGACAGGCACGAAGGAGCGTGTCGAACGAGATCGGAAGCTCGCCCCATATCCCCGGCGGATGGGATACACCACCGGTGCCAGAGACCTATGCGCCCGAAGCAGGATCTGACGACGACGACGACGATGTGTATTCACCGCCTCTACTCAAGACTGGGTCAGAGTCGGCGGCGGGATATCGCAAGTCGCTGAGCATAGACACTAATACCGAGCACTTCAATCCCGCACCGGCGCAGTCGCAAGAAGACAGTCTGGACTCTTCGATTCCGTCGTCGGTCGCAGGGTTTGAGTACAAGGGACTTAACCGTCTGAGTATGGTTCCGGATGTGCGACTGGAGCCGCCGCAGTCGGCCGGCGCCGCGGACGAGCCGGCGATGAACGAGGCAGACTCGCAGGATGAGTACAAGCGATCGTCATTCGAGTCCGAACCTTACGAGCAGCGGTACAGCGATTACTACGGCAACAGCACCAGCAACAACTACTCCTCCGAGCTGTCGCATACCGAGGACAACGAGGGAACCACCGACACCGAGTCGCGCGCAGAGAGCTCGACGATGTACAATTACGACACCTACGAGCGCGCGCTCGCGACTGACATCGACGTGCCGATCCAGCACAACCTCGAAAACCTGAGTCTCAGCCGACCGCTCGACTCGTCCGTCAGCTCGTCCGAAGCATCGAGCTTTGTCGAGCGCCCAGAGACCAGAGCCTCCGAGCATCACGACAAGCGCGCCTCGTACGCCTTATCACGTGCGCCGTACGAGCAAACGACGTCGAGTAGTGCGGGCGAAGGGGCAGGACTGGTTCATTCGGGCGGACTGCTGTCGATTCACGAGCGGAATATATCGGTGAACTCTGTGAAATCCGAGTCTGAGTTGCTGACCGAGCATCTGCTAGAGACGCTGAATGCGAATCTCGAGCTGAAGTCGCGTGCGGAGGATGGTGGGGTTGATCCTGTGGCCGCGTCGTCGATGGGGCTTGGGGGATATGAGGACGATCATAGTTCTTCGACAAGGACTGCGATGCCGGGACGGCCGGATACTGAGCCTCTGACGGATGATGATGATACAGAGGACGCGCCGTCGAGCGTCGCGCATCTGTCGCCGAGGGTCACGGAAACCAGTGCTAATCCATACGATCTGTCGCGGCGGCTGCAGGAATCTGCAGATACTGAAAGTGACGGATATGAGAATCCTTACGCGAATCCGTATGAGAGCCGATTCGAGCGGCCGACGCCGTATGAAGAGACCACGAACCCGTACGAGACTGTGAGTCTTCGTGAGGGACTGAAGGGATACGAGAGCACGAGCTCGTATGATCCTGCGACGAGGCCGCCAATTCCCGAGACGCATCCGGTTGAGATCGACGAGGGAGAAGGAGCGAGCTCGGTACCAGAGCTGGCGGGTAGCGTGGACGGCGACGAGGAAGCCGAGATGAGATCGATTGACGAGCCAGAGGAAGGCGAGGCGGAGGAATACGAAGGGAGCACGATGCAGAGCGATTCCAACTCGATTGCGTATTCGGACGCGCACAGTTATCCGCAGCAGTCGAACGACGAGCGGTCGCAGTCGTTTGATTACGAGATCATCTCTGCGGCGGCGACGATGCCGTTGTATAACTTCAAGGAGTGCATGAAGGAGAAGAATATATCGAAGCGGCGGGATATGTTTGAGGCGGCGCGGACGAGGGAGCGCGAGTTTGACTCTGGGATCCAGCAGTGGCTGATGTATATGAAGGAGCAGCGTCAGGATGGTGAGTCTTCATTGTTTGTTACACGACTGCGACAGATTACTGATTTTTATGATATTTATAGTTGAGCCATTTGCCGGCTTGAAGGTGCTAGGAGATAACCGGACGTCGAGCGGGCTGCATCGCAAGACGAGCGCGTTCCAGCACTCTGTGTCTACGTTCACGAACCGGCATGTGCTGAACAGCAAGGCGGGCGAGAAGTCGGTTGAGATGATGGAGAAGATCGGGGAGAAGAGCAAGGGGATGCTGTTCAAGAAGCGGCTGTTTGGCAAGAAGGACAAGTGAATGTAATCAGACAGTGAGCGAGGAGTGTATATATACCTGGTATTTCTTCTTTAGTTGTTGTAAGATAGTGTTAATTGAGTGAATTCCGGCCGGGTAAATCTTCCGCACGTGTCGGATCCGAACTCGATCTGCTCCCAGCGCGCTCAGCGATCCAGCGGCCCGTCTTCTTCTTCCTCTCCGTGACTTCCTCCTTCTTCTTCTTCTTCTTCTTTAAAACACCCGACAGTGCTCTGTTTTTGTTCTACAACACACTACAGCCACTTCTTCTTCTACTTCACCTTTCAAGTTCGCGTCCGCGTCCTCGCGGCTATCGTCCGGCTATTACAAGTAAGTCCGCCCGTCTGTCCGCCGTCTCCAGCACCAACACTCAATGCACGACCACCTCGTCCCTGCTTCTCTCTGGTGTCCTTTGTGACTCTCTTGATTTGCTTCTACGATCAGAGTCAAGAGCTCTGCAACACACACGCGTGTGCTCTACTAACATCCTCTCAGACAGACAGCTGAGCTGCTCTCTACGGACGCGCCCTCTCGCCTTTGCGCATTCACCACCTCAACAGCTCTCTCCAGAGACACTCCAAGCGCGACTTCTTGAGGCCAGCAGCACCGCATCTCATCTCTTGCGTGCTCGATATCCACCAGCTCCGAACAACCGGCCATCCCTACGACTCAATCCCTGTTCGCTGGAATTCCCTCGCCCACCCCCCACTCGCGCCTACTGTCCTTGCAGTTCACCACTCCCCCCAAGCAACTGCAAAGACTCCTTCTCTCCACGAGATCTCGCGAGTGCACCTCCGATCCCGCCTAGGTTCTGTCTAGCGCAAGGCTCGAGAAGAAAGCCTGATTTGAGCGCTTAACACTAAATCAGAGTTCTCTCACTAATTTACGCGTCGGCGACACTTCTTCCCCTCGGATTCTCTAGCTCACGGCTCCTGTCTGGCTCGGTCACTCCACCTGTTGATGCGACGATTCCTTTTCCAGACCGACTAGTGGACATCCGAACTATATCAGACAAACAACAACAAATTACTATCAAAAGTCGCGTCTTTTTTCGTCGTTGGCTCGGAGATACATATTTCGGCACCTCCCAGGCCGAATCGGAATTCCCATCCTCCCATCCAAAAACCGACAGACCACCACCCGGATTTCCTGCCTCTTCCCGCCCGCTCTTTCCTGATCTGGGCACTAGGTTTTCCTCTCTGTCGTTTGTTCTTTTTCAATTTTTGATTTTATTTGGTTTGCGCGAAACTTTTATTCCGAATGGCGACTACGACCCACAGCACTAGATCGACAACCGACTCGCATACGCCACACGCGGCCTCATCTCACCCCCCATCGCAAGTCTCGAGCTCGACTACGCCCACGACCACGCCAGATACCCTCTTCTTTGGCTGCGACCAGCAGCAGCAGCAGCAGAAGCAGCAGCAGCAGCAGCAGCCTCACCCTCGCACTCTGCCTTCCTCCAGATCCGCCTCGGCCTCGTTCGACAGCGGCACCAGATCAGCGCCGACCACCCCGAGTCTCCAGCACTTCCCGCACACGCCGCTGTCCGCCGGCGCCGCGTACTTCAGAGGTTACTCTCTGTCCCCGTCGTCTGCTCACAGCGCGTACATCTACGAACAGCCACCCCGCTCCGCTCCCGCCGCCGCAGGCTCTTCCTTTGCGGCGGCGGCGGCGAGCAGTAGTACCTCCCCGGTCTCACCCACCGGCGACGCGCCGCCAAATCACCGCGCAGCCTCACGAAGCGTGTCGCCGTCGGCTCCGTCGCGCGCAAAGTCAGTATCCTCGCCCACGTCGTCGCCGTCGCCGATACCGCTCCACACGTCGCCGCCTGCCAAAGCCGCATCGTACAGCGCGGCGGGCTGTCCGTACGAGACCGCGCTGATGAACTCGCGCCGACGCGTGCCTTATTCGCTTGGCGCGAGTCCGCTGGGGAGTCCGCTTTCGCGGATACTAGAGCGGCTTCCGAGCGCGGAGGAGGCACATTTGACGGCGAGTATCGAGAAGCTGTACGACGAGTTGCTGCCGTCGGAGGAGAGCAGTGTTAATCGACGGAAACTGATCAATAAGCTCGAGAAGCTGTTGAACGAAGAGTGGCCGGGCAAGAGTATTCGCGTCTTGCCGTTTGGAAGTACGGAGAATATGCTGTGCTCGAATAGCTCGGATGTGGATGTGTGCATTGTCACTGATTACAAGAAATTGGAGGATACGTGCATGCTTTCCCGGTTCTGGGCCAATCGTGAGTTTACTTCTTCTTCACTCCAGCTAAAGTATTGATACTAACGAGAAATAGACAACATGGAGCGCGTAGTCTGCGTTCCCGGAGCCAAAGTCCCGATCGTAAAGATCTGGGACCCGGAATTCGAATTCTCATGCGACATGAACCTCAACAACCCGATCGCGCTCGAAAACACAAAGATGGTGAAGACCTACGTGCAGATCGATGCGCGCGTGCGCCCGCTCGCGATGATCATCAAGCACTGGGCCAAGCAGCGCGCGCTGAACGACGCGGCCGGCGGCGGCACGCTGTCGTCGTACTCGTGGATTTGTCTGATTATCAATTTCCTGCAGCTGCGGACGCCGCCGATCTTGCCGTCGCTGCACAAGATCGGGAATGACCTGCGGCAGGAGAAGATCGTGAACGGCGTCGACATTTCGTTCTGCGACGACCTGACGCTGTGTAATGGGTTTGGAAACAAGAATAAGGAGACGCTGGGCGGATTGCTGTTTGCGTTTTTCAAGTGGTACGCGATCGAGTTTGACTATGACCGCGACGTGGTCTCGGTCCGGCAGGGACGGCTGTTGACGAAAGCGGAGAAGCACTGGGATACCTTGCAAAACAACCGGTTCTGCATCGAGGAGCCGCTGAGCACGCTGCGGAATCTGGGAAACACTGTCGACGACATCTCCGCAAAGGGCATCCTTCTCGAGTTTCGGCGCGCGTACGATATCCTCGTCAACGAAGGCAGTCTGTCAAAATGCTGCGAGAAATTTGAGTTTCCAAACGAAGAACATCATTTTTTGGCAAGCAACAGCTATTCATCTTCTGCGCCCGCCGCCGCGGCAGAAATGGGCCTCGGTCTCTCGTTCGGCAGCATCCCCCCCGGCCGCCTCTCCCGACGAGCCTCGCAGTCGTCATACCCCGCAAGACCGTTCCCCCGCGGCGGCTCTTTCCGCGCCCAATCCTACCGCAAGGGCGGGAGCGGTAGCAGCAGCAGTATAAGCAGCACCGGCAGCAGCGCGAACGGCAGCGGCATCAGCAATTACACGACGGCGAAAAACGGCGGTCTGCCACCGGGAGGGATGTTTCCGCCGATGTACGGCATGTCGCCGTCTGAGTATATGATGCCGGTGTTTATGCCGCCGGCGCCAGTGCCACAGGCTGCTCCTCCTGGTGCTGGTGCTGGTGCTGGTCCGATTGGCGGCGCGGCTTCGTTGACGGCGTCGTTGTCGTCGTCGCCTACGCCGTCGCACGCCAGCACGAGCGAAGCCAGCGACATGAGCAACGCGCCGCCGCCGCAGGCTTATTATATGTACTACCCGCCGAGCATGATGCCGATGTTTTACCAACCGCCAGCAGTTCAAGTGGATGAGTCGTCCGCGATTCTGCCTGCGGCGCCGCCTGCAGCACCTGCAGCAGTAACGGTGGACAACGCAGGAGCGACTGTGAAGAGCCGTGCGAGATCGCTGTCGCCTTCGCATCATAGTAATCGCAAGCATAGTAGTTTCTCGGCCGCGAGCGGCGGCGGGGACGGGTATGTTCATGCTGGGTATTTTGCAGGGCAGGGACAGCAGGCGCGGTCAGGACGGATGTTGCAGAGACCGGCGCCGAAGCAGCAGCAGCAGCAGCAGACGACTTCTCATCAGAGCCATCAAGGGCATCAGACTCATCAGCAGCAGCAACACGCTCGGTACCAAGAATCTACGCGGCGGAACGGGAAAGGGTATAAAGGCCGGCATCAGAGTTCCGAAGACAGCAGTTCAGACCTGAGCGATATCTCGCCGGAGACGCACCCGAACGCCGGAGGCTGTCCGCCTGCGACGCCGCCGGATTGTCGGTTGGACGGGTTTATGAAAGGACGGGGAAAGTACGGCGAGAGCGAGTATGATGAGGAAGAAGATGGAGAGAATACGATGACAATGTCAGGCGGCGAGAGCGATGGCGCGGCGGCGGATACGTTACGGCGGATGCAGCAGGTTTCGAAGCAGGTGAAGGAGCGGGTGAAAGGCGGACAGGCGCGGCCGTTGAAGGCGAGTGAGGGGCGAGCGAATGACGGAAGGAAATGGGTGCGCGGTGGTGCTGCTGGTGTTGATGATGGACAGAACGGGAGTCGTCGGACAGGGTCGCTGGATGAGAGCGGCAAGCTCAAGTCGTACGCGGACGCGGTGATGGATCAGAACCGGTCCGCAGCGACGAGCGGACAGATATCTGCAGCCGCGCGCGTGACTCGAGGTGGACGACCGGCGGTTGCGACAGCGGACGCGGAGGACGACGGCGACTTCTGGGCGGTTGGAGGGAGTAGCGCGTCGTCTGTTGTGAAGACCGCGCCTGTGTCGACGAACGCGGGGACGAAGATTGTGGTTTCTGCGAGCGAGGGCGCGCGAGGAGAGGAAGGGAGCGTGGCTGTGCCGAATCAGTGGACTACGTCGACGTCGAAGCGGAGGAATAAGAAGAGAGGCGGGGTGCGGCAGGAGGAGGTTGAGGTTATGAAAGGTGGCTAGGTGAGTTGCTTTCTTCTTTATAGAGTGACAGTGATTGAGAACGGAAGCTAACGAAGATGCAGAGCAAAGAGCGTGTGTGTATCAGTACCTGTATATATATACATATATATACTCTGGATTTGCATTTATTGGTCTTTTCTTTTTTTCTTTTTGTTATCATCATGGTCTAGGTCTTCGTTTATCGTTAGTGGTATGAGCTGAGATGAGATGTGAATTGTCTCTTGACTATTCACTTCTTTTTTGTTGTCGTCGTTGTTAGTATTACCACAAGTTACTGTATTACGTTTTATAAATTGATATTGGGCTTTGTTTACAACACCACTTTCCTTTCTGTTTTTTTTTTCTTTTCTTTGTTTGTTGCATTGTTACCGTGCGCCAGGGTGGTATCAGCCTGTACTTTGATTTTGTTTGCGGTGTACGAAAAAAAAGATGTTTGTTTTGTTTTGTTTGTATTGGAAGGCGGGAGGTATGAGAATAGAGAAAATGAAAATATATAAAGGTGACTGTAGACTTAATCCTGCAACGAAGACACGGTCTTTTGATGTGCACGCGTGAGTTTAGAGTCAATCTGAAGAAGCCGGTCCTCGGCCTCGACCCAGGCGAGATGCATGCCGACGACGGAGCGGGCGAGGATGCGGTCGAGAAGGGCGAGCGTGCGGGAGAGTTGGGTTGAGATTTCGGCGTGGAGGGAGTGCAGTTGTGAGGAGAGCTGGGGGATGTGCGGGGAGAGTGCACAGAGGGGGAGGAGTGAGGAAGAGGAGGAGGGGGAGGAGGGGGGAGGGAGGGATGATTGGAGGGAGGTGAGAGATGCGAGGGCGGCGGAGAGGGCGGAGATATCTGAGGCGTGGGCGAGGACTATATCAGCTTTCGGCGCGATTTCAGAGGTTTGCTGCAGACTCTGCGTGGCTGTCAATCTGCTTGCAGTCCGCTCTAGATCATCGATGTAAGTATGTAAAGCAGAAGGAAAGAGGAGAGGAAGAGAGACGCGTCGTACCTAGATCAAGAACGCGTTGAAGGTCAGGATGACGGGATTGCAGGCCCGCGACGGCGGACTGCAGCTGCGCGAGGCGATCTAGTACAGACAGGTCTTGATCTGCAGTATCTGACGGGCCAGCGAGCGCAAGCAGCTGCTCCAGACGCTGCACGCGCGCCTCTACCGCGTCCATTGGGTGTAGTTGCAGTCTATGATGTAGGAGGTGAGGGAGTGGATATTACATAACGGGCAGATAAGCACACGTGATGGTCAGACGAGGGTGTGGTGGAGCGCCGAAGATTAGTCAGAGCGGAGTCCGATGGCTGACGGAGCAGAGCAGAAGCAGAAGCAGAAGAAGAAGCAGATCGGATTCGGTGTTTGAGGTTTAGGCGCAGGTTTAGGTGTCACATTTGATCTGTTTATCGCGAGGAGAGAGTAGAGTAGAGCGAACTGGGGGTAGATGGTGATGTAGATATGATAGACGTAGATGGATAGATATAGATAGAATAGAATATACACTAGATATACTAACTACATCTAACTACACAATTACATATAACTACATACACTGCACACACACAATAGCAGCAACATCTAGACTGCGGGCGTGATAAGCAGATCGGCTGATATCGGCTGGACCGGTACAGCGCACGTGATGTTTGCGCACTTGTGCAGATGACGCACGTTATCTACTCATCCGCGCAAACACCTTCCCGCTTATGCCCTCACCGCCCGATAGCCGCTTCCTTCTTCTCCGCTCCTCCTCCTCTCCTCCTCTCCTCTCCTCTCCTCTCTCCTCCACACCACTCTCCCTGCTGCCCCCCGCTCTTCCTGAACGTGCCAGCATCAATGAAGCTCTTCATCACCGCCCCCCTCGCCCTCGCGGCCATCGCCTCCGCCCTCGTCATCCCCGACTCCGTCAAGGACATCATCAAGGACGAGCTCGCCCCCCTCCTCACCACCTCCACCGCCGCCGAGCACATCATCCCGGACTCCTACATCATCGTCTTCAAGGACCACGTCGATGAGTCCGTTGCCTCCACCCACCACAGCTGGGTCCGCTCCGTGCACGACGTCGCCATGAAGAAGCGTGGCGTTGAGAACCCGTTCCTCGCTTCTGGCCTCGAGCACGGCCTCAAGCACATCTACTCCCTCACCAACTCCTTCAAGGGCTACTCTGGCCGTTTCGAGGCCTCCACCATCGAGCAGATCCGCAGCCACCCTGACGTGAGTACTTCTTTCTTTTTGTCCAACTACTAGTGTTCGCCACCATGTCTCTGTACTGAGTGGCAGGGTGCGTGACCCGCGGCCTATCCCTATTCCTATTGCGCCGCGGAAGCCCTTATCACGTCAGCGCCGCACTAGTCATCCCTCCACCTCATCATCACTAACACCTCCCAGGTCCTCTACGTCGAGCGCGACTCCATGGTCTTTGCCTCTGAGTTCGCCACCGAGAAGAACGCCCCCTGGGGTCTTGCCCGTATCTCCCACCGCCCTGCCTTGAACTTTGGCACCTTCAACAAGTACCTCTTCGACAGCGAGGGTGGTGCCGGTGTCACTGCCTATGTCATCGACACCGGTATCAACACCGACCACGTCGACTTTGAGGGCCGTGCCTTCTGGGGCAAGACCATCCCCTCTGGCGACGTTGACCAGGACGGAAACGGACACGGCACTCACTGCTCTGGAACCGTTGCCGGTGCCAAGTACGGTGTCGCGAAGAAGGCCAACGTTGTTGCCGTCAAGGTTCTCAAGTCGAACGGCTCCGGCACTATGTCTGATGTCGTCAAGGGTGTTGAGTACGCTGCCAACTCGCACGCCAAGGAGGCCAAGGCCAACAAGAAGGGATTCAAGGGCTCTGTCGCCAACATGTCGCTCGGTGGCGGCAAGTCGCCTGCTCTTGACATGGCTGTCAACGCTGCCGTCGACATGGGAATGCACTTTGCTGTTGCCGCCGGTAACGACAATGCTGATGCCTGCTCGTACTCGCCTGCCGCTGCCGAGAAGGCCGTGACTGTCGGTGCCTCCACTCTTGGTGACGAGCGTGCGTACTTCTCCAACTACGGCAAGTGCGTCGACATCTTTGGACCTGGCCTCAACATCCAGTCGACCTGGATTGGCTCGCCCTACGCGCTCAACACCATCTCCGGTACCTCGATGGCCTCCCCTCACATTTGCGGCTTGATGGCGTACTACGTCTCGCTGCAGCCCGAGGCCGGCTCTGAGTTTGCCTCTGCTCCTTTGTCGCCCGCCAAGTTGAAGGCCAACTTGATCTCGTACGCGACTGCCGATGTGTTGACCGGAATCCCCGAGGACACCGTCAACCTCTTGGCTTTCAACGGAGCCGGTGGCGACATCACTGACTTCTGGAAGAACTAAGAGTGCAGAGTGTCTATAATTCATCGACGAGTCTCTTGAGTATGGTTCATGGGTAAGGGAGGTGCATCGCATATATCGTATTTACTGAATGATATAGAGAGGGATGAATTAGTTCTGCACTGCGGCACTTTTCTTTTTTTGTCTGAGGTTATTTTCTTATTTGATTTGATTTTACTATTTGATGTTTTTTTATATAATTATATATCGGTTACTTCATGGTTGGTTGTTGGTTTGGGGATTGCTTTAGTCAATAAATTTACGAAATACATTTGGTTGTAGCTGTTGTAGTAGTAGTTACTAAAGAGTAGATGGTGTCCGGTCTTCTATTACTGAGAGCAGCGTCGGTATTCAATGTACGGAAGAGGCGTCGGTGGCGCTCGCTTGAGCGGGATGACGTCAGACCAACCGCAGAAAAGCAGACGGAGACCAGATATGCATCCCGATACGGCCTGTTCGCAGAATAAGCAGTGGCATAAGAGCAGCTGCTGTTCATATTGCGTTGAATAGAGTCTGAGTAGAGAATCCGAGCACAGGCAGCCAGAGAAAGAAGAGGGAAAGAGAGAGAGAGAACTTCCCGAAAGAGTAATAAAGTCCAGGAAGCGAGCGGCGAGGAAGGGTCTGAGCGGAGGAAGGAAGAAAGAAGGAAAACGGCCCGGAGGAGGATGAGCATAAAACCTCCTTCTCTTCTTCTTCTTCTTCATTATTCACTATATTCATTGATACTACTGCTACTTCTATCATGTCCGACAACTCCACAGCAACTGTCCTCGGCACCATCGGCACCGTGCTCTGGTGCATCCAACTCCTTCCCCAAATCTACCAAAACTACCGTCGCAAGTCCACCGACGGCCTGCCAACTTCCATGATGCTGCTCTGGGCCGCAGCAGGCGTCTTCTTCGGCATGTACTTCATCGCGCAGTCCTCCAACACCGCGCTCCAGGTCCAGCCCCAGATCTTCACCGCGCTCTGCTTGTTCACCTGGTGCCAGTGTCTCTACTACGCGCACCGCTTCCCCGTCTGGAAAGCCGCGGTCGCGTACCTCGCCGCCGCCGCCGTCTGCGCCGGTCTGCAAGTCGCGGCCGCGGTCCCGATCCGCGACTCGGACCTCTACAAATCCAACCCATCCCCCTACTGCTGGCCGATCCTCATGATCGGCGTCTTCGCCGCGCTCTGTCTCATCGGCGGGCTTATCCCTCCCTACTTTGAGCTCGCAAAGCAGCACGGCCGCGTCGTCGGCCTGTCGCTCATCTTTCTCTGCATCGACTCCTCCGGCGCGATCTTCTCGTTCGCGTCGCTGTGGTTTCCGCAGACAAAGGCGGACGGCGAGGAGGAGGATCGGGATTATCTCGGCATGGTACTTTATCTCATCGTGCCGGCTATGGAATTCGGCATCGTGCTCTCGCATTTTACCTGGTGGTTCAGATACGGACGGCATGGGCTCTACAATGACGACCAGGAGTCTGTCGAAGAGAAGGAGAAGGAGCTAGAACTGAGCTCGCAGTCGTCGTTGTCGCGGATCGAGTCGCGGACTACCGCTCGTTCTTCTACTGATGCTGCTGATTCTGTCTAAAGATTTGTATATATAAAGGCGTTGGGGTAAATACTGATGAGGCGTTGGTCATTCAAAAGTTTTTGTTTCTTTATTTTGCATATTGTATATTACTCAAGCATCATTATTACATATTACATTACCACAACTCATAAACATCTCACAGGCGATCGCCATGCCGTCCAAACTCCTGTTCCCACTTGAGCAACTTCCGCGTCAACCCATCCATCATCTCCAAACTCACCTTCTGCGTCCCAAACACCCCGTCCACCTCCTCCTGCCCAACCTCCACCTCCACCACCGCGGCCGCCGTCGTCCTCCCGTCAATAGGCTTCCGGCTTAACTCGTACAGCCGTTTCCGCTCGTCTTGCTCGGTCGCCATGTCGATCTGCGTGCGGCCTATGAACTCCAGGATCGCAGCTACCCGCTTGCGCATCTCGGCTAGACTCGTCTTGCTTTGTGGGATGCGTGGTTTTGACGGTTTGTCGCCGTTGCTGCTGCTGCTGCTGTTGCTGGTGTTGTGGTTGTTGGCGGTGGTAGAGGTGTCGGTGTCGTAGTTGTCCGCCGCGGGTTGCCGTTTCCGCGGTCGTCGCGAACGAGGCTGCGCGGATTGCGACCTTCGCTGCTGCTGCTGTTGTTGTTGCTGCTGCTGCTGCTGCTGCTGTACTTGTTGCTGATCCTGCTGCTCCGGCTGCTCGTCCTGCGGCTGCTCACCACCTGCCGCGTCCGGATCTATCTTCAACACATCCGCGCCCTCGCCGCTCTTCTCCACCACACCCTCACCGCTCTTCACCTCCCCTCTACTCTCCTCCTCCATCTGCTCCCCCGCAGCGCTCTCCTCGTCGTCATCTTCCAACTGCCGCCGCCCGCTCTTCTTCCTACTATTCCTCGACCGCCGCGACCCCGGCGCCTCCTCCTCCGCCGTCTCAGGCGGCGACGGCGTGCTCTTCTGACGACTGCTCGAGCTCGCGGATTTCTTCTTGCCCGCGCTGCTGCTCTGCTTGTTTTTCCGTCGCGACCGCTCGTTCTCCGACCGCTCGTCTTCATCCTCGTCCTCGTCTATTTCCTCGCGCTCTTTCTTGGTCTTGGTATCGTTCCCGCTGCTTTCGTCGTCGTCGATCTCTTGCAAAGGTTTCACCTCGTCATCAGCAGACGACTCCTTATTCCCATTCGACGCCGCCGTCGTCGTCCGTCTCCGCCGATGCGGCCGTCCGTCGTCCCTCGTACTTTCCTCCTCATCCTCCTCATTCTCCTCATCTTCCTCCTCATCCTCATCCTCAAACGCCGCCTGCGCCGCCCTCTTCTTCCCCCGCCGCGCCCTCTTCCCCTCCCCCTCATCCCCGCTCGCTGACCCCCGTCGCCGCTCTCCACCCGCTCCGCCAGACTCATTCGCACTTGCCTCAAGCACGCTCCGCAACACCTCTTCGAACGCCGAGTCCCGCGAATTCAGCGTCGACCGCCGCTTATGCGCTTCGGCTGCTGCCGCGGCGGCGGCGGCGGCGGCGGCGGTCTGTCGGCGCGAGGAGGTCGTGCCGGTGCTTGTGCTGCCGCCCGTGGTTGAGGTTGAGGATTCGGCGCGCGCGGAACGTTCTCGTGTCGGGCGTTCGCGTTCTTTGCGGGGCGGGGGAGGGTTGTTTTCGAGGAGGGGGATGTATTTCGAAGTGCGCCTACCCTCGTTAGCCTCTCCTCCATCACAACACAAAATCAAGAAAGCAGAGATAATAACATACCCAGACGGTCTCACGACAATAAGATGCAACTCAGGCCTACACTTTTCACAAGCGTAGTCGTCAGGTAACGAGTCGTCCGAGCCGATGCCGACGCAGTAGCCGTGCTGCCACACCTGGCACTTGTCGCACTGGATGAACAGGCCCGAGTCGATGTCCGGATCGTCGGTCTGCAGCTCGTCGTGGCCGCATATGCAGCGTGTGATCTCCGCCGGTGCGTCCATGTTTATATATATAGAGTATTGTAGAGAGAAGAGAGCAGAGGGAGGGCAGATAGGTAGAGCGGGAGTGGAGCACAAGGAGAGCACAAGAAAGTTACCCGGCCGACCGAGCAACAGCGAATTCATTCTCGGCTGCGCTGCTCAAAGAACCTCTCGTCCTCAACCTCATTCTTCCTGCTCCTCTTTCTACTTACTACGTGCTGAATTAAACACTTCTTACTACGTTCTGCACCTCGCAATGGCTCGTCCGATCCTGCCGCTGCCTCGGACCCGCCGCAACCGCCTCGCGCTCGCAGCTGCTCCGCTGCCTCCTCCCCCGCCGCCGCCGCCGCTGCTGTCTAAGCATTCCTCTCTCTCCTTGTCCTCTTCCTCTGCGCCGTCCTCCTCTGCGCGTCTACCGCTGTTTAAGCTCCCGCTGCTGCTTCCGGTGGATAGCGACGAGACTGAGTATGGTGAGGGAGACGAGGGAGACGAGGCAGACGAGGCAGACGAGGCCGGCGGAGAGTGCGAATGCGACGTCGGGACAAAGAAGAGAAAGATCCCAAGCTCGCTTCGGCCTTCGTCGTCGTTCTCTTCTTCTGCTGTTGCTTCTGCTGCTAAAGCAGTTGCTGCTTCCTCCTCTTTGTCTTCAAATGCGTCGTCTGTTTCGTCTCCGTCTACGGCTACTACCACCACCGCAGCTGCTCCTGTGGCGCATTCCGCTGCTCAAGCGTCGCCCTCAGATTCACCTGCTCCAGCGCAACCCCCAATCTCCCCCTCGGCCCTCTACCTCGCCGTCCGCCGCCGGCGCGCGCGCAGACGACTCCGTCCGCATTTCCCGCACAGCCCGCGGTCGCTAAGCAAAGCGTTCCTCGCCGCCTCGCCGTCCCTGTCCTCCTCGCTCTCTGCATCTTCCTCGCCTTCCTTGTCGTCGCAGGCTTCTCCCTCTTCGCCTTCGTCGTGCTGCTCGCCGCCGTCGATTCCTAATTTCACGTTCTCGTTCAGGGCGGTGCCGCTTCCTGACCCGAGCGTGTTGCATCAGTATCTCGATTACGGCCGGGATCTCTATCAGGCACAATACCAGGACCATCACAACCCGCAGCAGCAGCAGCAGCAGCAACAACAACCCCTCTCTCCCCCCGCCAGCGCTACAAAGCCGCCTTCTACTGTCCCCTCCGACCAACTTCCAGCCCACCCCCCCACAACCGCCCCACCACCCCGCCTCCCGCGCCGCCGCGCCGCCGTCTCGCGTCAGCACGTCCCGCAGCCCTCGCAGCCGCGGGACCCGAACGCGCCGATCTGGATCTGCCAGTTTTGCGAGTTCACAGACATCTTTGGCGTGCCGCCCGTGTATCTCATGCGGCTCTACGACGAGAACGAGAGGCGCGAGCGGCGGATTAGGGCTGAGCGGAGGCGGTTGCTGGAGAAGGCGAAGATGAAGGGGAAGAAGAAATCCGCGGCGACGGCGGCGGCGCACCATGGACAGCAGAATTTGAATCCCCAGCAGCAGCAGCAGCAGCAGCAGCAGCAGCAGCAGAGACAGCAGCAACTACCAACGCCATCACCGGAACCGGACGTCGTCGGCGTCGTGGAAAGCGCGGTAGGCGGCGAAGTCACAGGTGAGGTGGTCTCGAGTTATAACGGGCCCGACCCTGCTCTATCTTCACACGCACCACCGCCGCCGCCGCCACCGCCGCTGTCTTCTTCTACTGCTTATTCTTCTTCTTCGTCGTCGTCGTCGTCGACGTTTGAGACGATGGCTGCGCCGCCGGCGCCGCCGCCAAAGTCGAAGAAAGCAATGGCGCAGCGGTTGAAGCGGCAGCAGCGGACTGCAGCGATGGCTCATGTTGTGTGAGCTGCTTTTACTTCTTTGTTCTATCTGTTTGCTGTTTGCTTTATTTGTTATTCGTTTTTCTAGTTTGAGATGTTTATTTCATTTACGCGGTTCGAGTTTTCTTTCGTTTTCAGTTTTGACGTTGCATATGCTATAGTTTTTGTTTCTCGCTTTCTTGTTTTCGTTTTTAGTTATTCATATTGTCTGCTTTTACTGCTCCTGCATCTGGTTTGTTCTCTACATGGTTGGAATATCATCTTGCAAACTCTCTCTCTCCTTCTTCAGTTCATCAACGACGATTCATGATTCTATATCTCTTTCTTTTGTTTGAAGTCTCTCTCTTTCTCGTTTGCAGAAAGGGTTGCATTTTGTATATATCGCACTTATTCCATTCACATTGTAAAAATAAAGATTGGGTTTCGCATGATTTAAGCATCCGATATATAACAACACATTCGATATTTAACAACAGTAGACAAAGGAAAAGAAATGAGGATAATGTGAGCGGGGATGGTTTTTTCGTTTCTTGGTTGTATTTGATTTCAAGTATATTACACGCGCTGCTGATGAGAAAGCGATTCTCTTACAACGACGCACCGGGAGCGATAATCTATAAAACCAGCGTTAGCGTATGTCCTTTCTTCTGAAAGAGCTCACAGTCAACACTCACCTCGCTTGACTCCTGCGCCTGCACCGACAAGTCCTGTCTCGAACCCGCGGCGTTGCCGGCAAGCATGATTGCGAGCGGCGATCCCAAAAACAGCACGCCCGTGGTGACGCTCCACCCCGCGCTGAGCGTCCAGTCGACCCATCCGACGGTAGACTGCACGAACGACGTGATGTACGGACGGTACTGCGGCGCGATGATCTCTTTCAGCGCAACGATGCGGTCCGCGAGGGTTTCGTCCGCGAGATAATCGTCGTCGTCGTCGTCCGAGTCCGCGCCGGAGAGAGAGGCGACGGACTCGTTGTCTGAGATGTCGGAGTAGTCCTCGTCGCGGTCTTCGTACGGCGCACCGGCTTTCTCATCCGTCACGCTGACTGGGGTGATTTGGACCATTGTGTGTGTGTGTGTGTGTGTCTGAATGTGTGACTGTGGGTGAGGAGGGTGGTGGTGAGGGCCGGGATTCTGTGCAAAGGGCGGTGGTGAGAATTGCGAAAAATTCGTCCCAAGTTGAATATTTCTAAGATCTGACGTCATCCACTTCGAGCCATTTCCAGTAATTCAACATGTTGTTTACTATTAGATTGTTTATTTGTTTACATGTTCTTTATATTCTATAATACAGTAATTATTACTAACAGCTACTCCGGCCACTGACTCTCGGCAAACGTAATCAGTCGCTTCACAGAAGTCAACCACTTCCTCGTCCGCTCATCGCTCATGACATGCGCAACCTGCAGACTCTTATTCAACCCCTTCCGACTATCCCCGTCTCCCGTAATCCGCTCGCGCGCACTACGCGCATGGATACCCACCGCCGTCACACCGATCGGCCACGCGGCGTTGCCGATGCTCAGCTTCAGGTAGCAGTCGTTGGCGTCGCGGTAGCGCTTGCGCTGCATGAACATCAGCAGCGTCGCTAGGCGGGGGAGGATCTCGCTGCTCAGGGTTTTTTCTTCGAGTTGGAGGAGGAGAGGGTGTAGGTAGTTTTTGGTTTGGTCTAGTGTCTCAAAGGCCTTTTCTGGGGTGTCTGTAGATGGTGGATGTGGTTAGTAGCTGTAGATAATAGAAGTAGACGGTAGAAGTAGGAATAACATACCCTCTCGACGAACAAGAACGGTCTCCCATTCCTTGACAAGATACCGGATATACTTCTCGCACTGCATCGAGATCTTATCCATATCCTCGAGATCCTCGTCCTCGATCTCGATCGCAACATCAGCCAACCTGTACTCCGGCGACGCCTTCTGCTGCTTCTCAATCGCGCGTTCTCGTCTTATCAGTCTCTTTGCTCTCGCCTCCTCAGACTCGTCAAACAACCGCGCCGGCTCGCCAATCTTTCGTAACCGCTCGACTATCGCGTCCTCTCCGCACTTGAGCAGTTCCTCAACAGACGACTTACTCTCTCCACCGCCTCCACTCTCCGCCTTATTCTCACCCTCCCCTTTCTTCCCACTCTTCGCCCTCTTCTTCCTCTCCCGCTCCTCCTCCTCCTCGCGCTCGCGCTCGCGCTTTCGCGCAAAATACTTCTCCTCCGCCTCTGCGCGCTTGCGCTCCCGTCGCTCTTCCTCCTCCTCCCGCTCTTTTCGCCGCTGCTCATGCTCCTTCCTCCGCGCTTCTTCGCGCTTCTTTTGCTCTTCGCGGTACTGCTTCGCTCGCAGCGCTTCGAGGTCTGCGCGGCGGAGGTACTTCGGCGGCGCAGCTGCTGATGTTGATGCTGTAGTTGATGCTGTGGTGGATGAAGAGGAAGATGAAGATGGAGCAGATCCGGCAGCTACGGCCGCCGCTGCTGCTTTCTTTTTCGCAATCTCCTGTGCTAATATCGCTGAGAAGTCCATGTTGTTGGTCAGTCGTCCAGTCTCCTAACTCGACCTTCTCTCGAGCTGGGAGAATATCTGGGAGAAGCCCAAGTCACTGCTTACCTAACACTGCTTACACAATACAGTAGTCATTAGGGTTATTAGGGTTATGACTAATGCATCACATAACACATAAAGCAGTCACGCGTAAGGGCTCCGAGCGAGCCTCACCGCCGAGCTTAGTGAAGTCCAACTCGCGGCCTTTCTCTTTGATCTCCCAGCCTTGGTTCAACAGACAACAAAAGTGAGTGCTTCTTCCTCTTTCCCGCCTGCAATTCGCGATTATATCCATCGGAATAGCCTGGTATTAACACATCATCCCCAGACATGCCGCCAAAAACCCCAACCAAGTCGAAGGCCGCTACCGCCGCCGCTGCCACCAGCAAGAAGACCAAGAAGAAATGGTCCAAGGGAAAGGTCAAGGACAAGGCCCAGCACGCCGTCACTCTTGACCAGGCCGCCTACGACAAGCTCATCAAGGACGTCGCCAGCTACAAGGTTGTCTCGGTCTCGATCCTCGTCGACCGCATGAAGGTCGGTGGCTCCGTCGCCCGCGCTGCCCTCCGCGATCTTCAGGAGAAGGGAGTTATCAAGCCCGTTGTCAGCCACAGCAAGCAGCTCACCTACAGTACGTTTTTCTTATTCTTTGATGTGTGTTGTGTGTCGGTGGTTGTTTTGGTTTCTCCATGAACAGCGCCGAGACAGCACAGATTACTTGACAGTCTAAAATTATTCAAAATACTAACCTCTCTCTCATCGCAGCCCGGACTGTCTCCATTGCCGACGAATAAGCATCTCTGACAAAAAATCATTGTTTTGTGTTGTATTAAAAATGTATTTATCTTGAATTCACACAGTATACATCATTATCCTGCCTAGTAGTACGTTATGCGAGCGAAAACGCAAAAACAAAGACGATTGGATGTGTGTTTGTTGCTCATAAGACGATTGTTGCTGGGGAGATTGATTAGAGCAGTCGTCGTGTAATAGATGTAAATAAGATCTGAATATGCTTATTGGCATTGTGTAGTGTTGAGCGTAAATGCAACTCCCATCACAAGTATTTATCCTTACTTTCGGCCAGCACAGTAGCCAACCCAACCACCCACACACAATGGCCGCGCGACGCGTCCTCCATCTCGCAGACATCTCGACCGTCTCCGCGAGCCCATCCCTGCTCAGCAGCAAAATCTCGTTCCTGACCACCGACATCACGCTTCTCGCGCTCGACGCCATCGTCAACGCCGCAAACTCGACGCTCCTCGGCGGCGGCGGCGTCGACGGCGCGATCCACAGACAAGCCGGGCCGCGTCTGCTGGAAGAGTGTCGGACTCTCGGCGGGTGTCGGACCGGCGACGCAAAGATCACGGGGGGGTATAACTGCCCCGCGAAGCACATCATCCACACCGTCGGCCCGGTGTACTTCCAGTACAGAAGCAAGGAGCACGCCGAGGACGATCTCAGGAAGTGCTACATGCGGTCGCTCGAGGTCGCGGTCGCGAACGGCGTGCGGACGATTGCGTTTCCGTCGATTAGCACCGGCGTATGATACCTCTTACGAGAGACAGGATTGCGTTCTTGATTGATTCTGACGGTGTGTCGATCTGTAGGCTTACGGATATCCCATCGCAGAAGCAGCACGCGTAGCACTACGCACCGTCCGCGGGTTTCTCGAACAAGACCGGGGGCGGAATATCGACCGCGTGGTGTTTGCGTTGTTTAGTAGTTCTGACGAGGAGGTAGGTTCTGTTGTTTAAATCTTGTTCTTCTCTTTTCTTAATCTTGCTTGGGATTATAGGTTTACCGACGACTTCTGCCGACGTATTTCCCGGCTGAGTAGGGGACAGAATCCGGCGGGTCTACCTAGCTGGATGGCTATGCACTCGAGTGCTCTAAACAGGTTAAAGGGATGGTAGGTCGCGTTAGATGCACCTTTGATCCAGCATGGACACAGTGGCCAAGTACAGAGGCAGACGAGAGCGAACGTCGCTATATTTTTGCGAGTGCAGTTTTCAGCTCTAGATCGCATCTAGATCGCAGCGGGAATCCTGATCCCTGCAATGCTTATCCAGACTTGATAACAACAACAAATAATACCAGTTTAGTAGCTCTGGCGTCGAAATAAAAATGACAGTTGAGACTATTTTTCATTGCTCTCGATTCCCCCACCTCTGCTTGTAGAGTCTTCGTAGTTGTAGAACCCTGTCATCCCTCACTATCAGCTCATATTCCTTCAGCACAGATTCAATCCGCGCATCGCAGCAAACGCAGCTGAGCTCGTGAATCTGAACATCGCCGGCGACGCGTGCTGGCCGCCCTCGACCCTAATCCACGTGTTTACATTTTCTACCTTCGTCGAATTCCCACTCTCTCACGCTCCTCCACGCGTCTTTCACCCGCGCCCATCGACGATAATATGTCTGCTCAGAGACTCTAGAAGCTGGTTTTTTGTTTAACAATTGCTGGTGTTAATTCTAGAGCTGTCTGTGATGGAGAATCAGAGCGTTGCGAGAGCGCGGTGCGCTTCGAATGATGAAAACGCGTACCCTTCTTCTCCGCCTCTTAGTGCCTCCAAGCGCGAAACCGGCTATGATATCACTACCGCATCGACGGCGCGCGCGCTGCTTAACGTGACGAACCTGTTGCCAAAGAGACATACTCTGAGCAACGGTGCTACTACCACATCCACCGCATCGCCGCGCCACTACCGCTCCGCGACCGCCTCCTCTCCCGGCGACAATATAACCTGGTCGGTCCTGCCAAAGACCACCCTTCTCTCATCTGAATCCGACATCCAGTCCGTGACCAACGCCGAAGCGTCGTCGCCCATCGCAGAAAGCACCGCGCAACCGGCTGCACCGCTGCCGTGTTACACCTCCGCTGGCGATCCGGCGACGGAGCTGCTGAAGCGGTATCATGCGCATCTGGATGATTCGGTGTATTCTGAAGCGGCGGGGACGCCGAGTAGTAAGGTTGGTGTGCGGAGGTCGATTAGTTGTGAACCGGAGTGGCCGCGGTCGGCGCTGAGAAAGAGGCGGAAGCAGAAAGCGGTTGAGGTGCAGCAGGAGGAGGAGGCGGCGGTGCCTGTGGATGCTGCAGCCGCCGATCCAGCTTCTGCTGCGTCTGCTGTGTCTGCTGAATTAGCAAATACCGCAAACGACGCGGATGCGAATAAAAAAGAGGCGAAGGAGGAAGAAGAGGAAGATTATTTCGGCAGCGAGGATGATTTCGATCTTGCTGATCTAGATCAGATGGAGGCGCGGTTGGATGCTAAGTCCAACGGCGACAAACAGCAACCCATCTCCACAATTTCTGCCAAACCCGACGTTGCTTCTGCGACTAGCTTTGGAGAGTTTGAAAATGTCTTTTCTGACGATATAAACACGAGCCAGCTGAAACAAGGTCCACCGCCGGGAGTCAAAGCCGAGAATACAAAAGGGTTTGGAGATTCATTTGATGATCTAGACGATGAGATGGACGACAATAATTTGGATCCATACGAGGTAGATCGGCTTCTTACGCAGTTCGAGCAGGCCGTTCCGGAAAAGAAAGTCCAGGTGAGTCAGTTGCATAGGTTCTCTAATGTGATCTTACTAACTCAAGAGAAGTAGAAATTGACGAGCGCTGATTATGCATTACTACAACGTAGTAGTCAAAAGGGCTATCACCGGCTTAAAGTTGAAGAAATATTCGACGGCCGGTATCTTAGCAACCAGCAGCGAGTCAAGCCCGAGCTACGAATAACAGCCACAGATGAGAAAGACCCTGGCTCGACCCTTCGTCTGCTCGTCCTTCTTCGCGACGACTGGATCGAGACGATTCTTGAGAAAGGCGATGTCGTGAACGTGATTGGGGAGTTTGATGCCTCTGGCCAATGCGTGATCGACAAGAGCGAAGGACTGCTGATTTCCAACCCGGACTATTTAATCCCCATCACGACCGTTTCGCAATCGTACGAATGCAGCCGTCGCGCGGTTCTAGGCCAGCGAGTGAAGAGCGCGATGGAATCGAACGTGGCGACCGCGTACGGCACGATCGTGCATGAGCTCTTCCAGACGTGCATGCTCGAGCGGGACTTTTCGACCGAGTTTATGGATCAGCAGTTGAAAGGGATAATCTCGAGGAATATCGAGATGCTGTTTTTCGTGATGGAGCCGTTGGATCGGGTGCGGAAACATGTAAGGGAGCGGTATCCGCTGATTCAGAACTGGGCGTCGAAGCACGTTGCTGCTCTACAGAAGGTGTTTTCTCCTTTTGATATCTCTCTGATTATGTATGCTCATACTGACGGTTTATAGAACCCCGGCAGAAAGTCTAACAACGACATCTCGATCGTGGAGATCCTGGAAACCGAGGAACGCATCTGGTCACCGATGTACGGACTAAAAGGAAGTCTCGACATGACAATCCGAGCAGCAGGAGGATCCCAGGGCGGCGTGCGCACGATGCCGTTTGAAATCAAGACCGGCCGCAAGACAGCGATCGCGAACCACCGCGCGCAGACGATTCTGTACACGCTCATGTTATCTGATCGGTACGATATGCCGGTGATCCAAGGGATTTTGTACTATCTCGATTTCTCAGAGGCGATCTCGGTGCCGGCTACGCAGCTCGAGATCGGCGCGCTGATCCGGGGCCGGAATTTCGTTGCGCACAGCGGGCAGAAGGCGACGGTGTCGGCTCCGTTGGTGAGTAACACCGGGCGCTGTAATTCGTGTTTTTCCGTAAAACCCTGTTTTCTGTATTACAAAGCGGCGAACGGGCCGGCGGAGCCGCTGGAGAAGACAGAGTATGAGAAGATGACGGAGAACGTGGGTGAGGAGGAGAAGAAGTTTCTGCTGCATTGGGACGAGCTTTTGACGATGGAAGAGAAAAGCATGGGGAAGTTCTTGAATGAGATGTGGCTCATGAGCGGCGTCGAGCGGCAGCGCGTCGGACGCTGTTTCGCGTCGCTGAGGGTCGAGTCAAAGAGCTCGGCCGTGCTGGACGGGAGCAGTCGGATAGAGTACACACTTTGTCGGGCGGCGGATGTCGAGGCTGCTGTCGAGGACGGCAGCGGGTCGTTTTTGGATTCGCAAATCAATGTCGGCGACCAGATCCTTGTGTCTGACAGTCTCGGACACTTAGCGCTGGCGAGCGGGATACTGAACGCGGTGGGACCGGACTGGATCGCGATCTCTGTCGATCGAGAATTCGACACGCGGAGCAGGTACGGTGCGGCAAAGACGGCGACGGAGAAAATCACGTATCGGGTTGAGAAGGACGAGTTTAGCAATATTATGGCGATGATTCGGAATAATATCATACAGCTGCTGATGGATCCTGGGTGTGTGGCGAAGAAGAGGTTGATTGTGAACTTGGACGCGCCGAGGTTTGTCGGGCAGAGACCGGGGTCGCAGGCGACAGCGCTGCGGGTATCCCGCGGATTGAATGTTGACCAGAAGCGAGCTGTGAAGCATGTGTTGGCTGGTGAGTTTTCTCTAATCTTCGATTCGGTGTTGAGTGTAGGTTCTGACTTGAGGGATATAGCGGAGGACTACGCGTTGATAATGGGCATGCCAGGGACGGGCAAGACGACGACGATCGTTCGCGTAATCGAAGCCATACTTGCGCAAAAGAAATCGATTCTGCTGGCGTCATACACGCACACTGCGGTCGACAATATCCTGCTCAAGATCAAGTCCAGTGCGTCGAGTATTCTGCGGCTTGGGCCGGTCGGAAAGGTGAGTTTTGTTTGGTATTGAGGACCAGAAGTGGATGTTGACGTGCTTTGTAGATCCATCCCGAAGTGAGGAAGTTTGTCGTGGCGCAGTCGAATCTGCCGGATAATTTTGCGGATTTGCAGAAATACTACTTTGACTCGCAGATAGTAGCGACGACCTGTCTCGGCATTGGCAGTCCGCTGTTTACAAAACGCAGGTTCGACTACTGTATCATCGACGAAGCGTCGCAGGTGACGCTCCCGGTGTGCGTTGGTCCACTACGGTACGCAGACCGCTTCGTTCTCGTCGGCGACGATTACCAACTTTCCCCGCTCGTGCGAGATAAGCGCGCGAAAGCGGGTGGATTGGACGCGAGTCTGTTCAAGACGTTGTCGGAGGCGCATCCGGCGTCGGTGGTGACGCTCGAGCACCAGTACCGGATGTGCGAGGAGGTTATGACGTTGTCGAATCTGCTTGTGTATGATGGGAAGCTAAAGTGTGGGTCGGAGGAGGTGGCGAGGCAGAAGCTTGCGGTGCCGAAGGGGGGGAGTGCGTTAAGGGAGATTCACGCGGGGGGTGGGGAGTGTGGGGAAAGATGTTGGATCAAGGATTTGCTGGATGAAGGGTGAGTTTTAGAGGTGTTGAGTGTTTGCTGGATTTGGCTAATTCGGGGATTGCTGTTTAGGGTCAAGGTTGTGTTTGTTGATACGGATGAGATTCCTGGGACGGAAGTCATGGTGGGAGATCGAGTACAGAACAAGGTGGAGGCGACGATGGTTCAGCAGGTGAGTATTCAAGTTATGTGTATTTAGAGCAAAGCTGACGGGTTCTAGATTACGAAATCGTTGTTGCTGGGAGGAGTAGCCGAGACAGATATCGGGATCATCTCAATCTACCGCGCACAGCTAAAACTAATCCGTCAAGGTCTAGAAGGCTACAACCGCCTCGAGATGCAAACAGTCGACAAATTCCAAGGCCGCGACAAAGAGTGCGTGATCATCTCGCTCGTGCGGTCAAACAGCGAAGATAAAGTCGGAGAGCTACTGACGGAGTGGCGGCGGCTGAACGTGACGTTCACGCGGGCGCGCAGCAAGCTCGTGATATTCGGCTCGCGGAGCACGTTGAAGAAAGTGGCGATGCTCGAGCGGTTTTTCGCGCTCGTGGAGGGGAAAGGGTGGATGTACTCTGCGCCTGCGGGCGCGCAGTTTGCGCATCCGGGGTTGAGTTGCAGTAGCAGTAGTGCGGAGGAGACAGAGGAGGGCGCGAGCCGGGTGAAGGTTGTGGATAAGACGCGCGCGCTGGGGTCGCGGCCGGTGCTGTGCGATATAGTGAACGCGATGAAGTAGGTTAGATGATGACGACTACGACAATGACTACGACAACGACACTGACAGGAGGGCTGATGCTGACACGACAAGAGGAATGAATTGTTTACGGAGTTTGAACAGCAGATTACAAAAAGTAAATAAATAAAAATAGAAAGGACGCGTTGCGTTTCCGAGCGGCTGCGATCAGAACTGCGCCTCACCGCACGCGACAGGCTTTGTAGAGGAGATCACGGTGGCGAGGGATGAGCTTGGCGGGGAGAGGAGGTTTGGGACTGTTTATATATCGAGGTGGCTGCAGAGAGTGCTTTTATTGCTATCTTTACGAAGGGTGAATATGTCTTCTACACCTCCTCCTCCTTATAATGCTGCTGGGCCGTCGGTGAATGCAGACGGGATGAGTAAGACCGGGGCGATACAGACGGTAAGCGCACTCTTCTCTCTTGTCTTGTTGATCTACGTGAGATAGAAGAAGACTGCTGACACTATACAAAACAGCAAATCGACGACACGGTGAAGCTGATGCGGGACAACCTGCATCTGGTCGACGAGCGCGGGATCGGTCTCGACGAGCTGAACCACAACAGCGAGCAGCTGGTCGAGTCTGCGCAGGGCTTTCGGCGGGGCGCGAATCGGGCGCGGAAGGAGATGTGGTGGAAGGATATGCGGTTGCGGATGTTTCTGCTTGGGTATGTTGAGATGTATAAGGTGATGGTTGGGTATAGATTGTGTGCTAACGTCTTGGGTGTAGGGGAATTGTCGTGATTCTGCTTTTGATTATCATTCCGCTTGTTGTGAAGTACACTTGAATGTATTTGTTGTAGTAATGAAGTAAGTAGCGAACAGTAAAGTCAGCAATGTAATAAGGACCATGACGTAGCTTATTGTTTGTGCACTGCCACAACGGGCGCAGTTCGTGAGTGGCGGCAATCCCGGGGACACCTTTTTCCTTCCTTGCAGCTCAGCAGCACCTCCGCCTCATCCGTCTCTGCTTCCTTCTCTCGCGCATTCTCTGAATCTTGCTATAAAGACATCTGCTGCTGTCTGTCGCTGCTTCTACTTGTCAAACACCGTTTCCTTACATCTCTTATAATGGCGTCGGCCACTACTCCTTACGACCCCTACGTCCCATACGACTCCGCCGCGGCCTCGAGCACCGGCGGGCCGAGCAAGACGCAGGCTATCCAGGCAGTAAGCATCATCTCTTTGTCTCGATTTATGATTCACTCTTGATCTGCTGTACTTGTGCAAAGAACTAGCGAATGCTGACAGCAACCGCGTGGCTAGCAAATCGATGACACCGTGGGGATCATGCGCGACAACATCAACAAGGTCGCGCAGCGCGGCGAGCGCATCACCGACTTGCGCGACAAGACCGACAATCTTGTGGTTTCGGCCCAGGGATTTCGAAGGGGGGCTAATCGAACACGGAAGGCGATGTGGTGGAAAGATATGAAGATGAGAATCTGCTTGATTGGGTATGTATACGTGTTTATCGGCCGTGTCCAGGGGGTAGTTGAAGTTGCCATCCGAGGTTCACGTTGGATCTACGTGGAGCTTTTAGATAAAAGATCATTACTGACTGATTCTTATATCTAGTGGCATCATCGCACTCATTCTTGTCATCATCCTGCCAATCATCATCCACTTCACATGATCCCCTGTCTCCACCGAATCATGCGCCTATCTTCCGTCTTCTTCCAGCAGTCTCCGTCTCAGTCTCATTCTCAGTCTCAGTCATCTCCATGTCAATTCACACTTGCGCACAGTAAAGACAAGTAAAGACAGCATGATCGCGTGCTGTGTTCGACTCCCCGACCCTGTCTTTGCTTTTCTATCCTTACCCCTTCTCTGGCCGCGGTACTAATAGAGTACTATGTACAATTATTCGTAACCCACTATTGTACCATCATATCTACTCTTCCCTTTTCTTTTTATTTATGTCTGCTTATCGCTGATACTAAAACTACTAGTCATGTAACGGTGTTTATTTTTGTGTGCCCGCTTTGTGATGATTTTTAGTGTATTATTGTATTGTTTGTTTTCGTCTGATTTAGCCCCTGTGCGCAGTGCGTTCTTGTTGTCCGTCTGCCTTGTTTGTCTCGATGTTTTGTATTATCTTGGCTAGTAATTCATACTCTTCGTTATCAGCCTGCAACAGCTCCCTTCTCTCGCCCGCGCATCTTCTTTGCTCATAATCAGAAATATTCTGGTCGCATGCCACCAATACTCAGTATGTGAGACTTGGCATAGTCTCAGAGTAATGGCTCTCAAGCGCAAATTATATCATCACGTAGAGAGAAGAACGGGGGTGAGAGAGGATGTTGGTGTGTTGTAGAAATGTGTAATATTAGTCGCTAACAGATGCTATAGATATAAACAGTTGTCATTAATGTCATAGTAATAGAAGAGAGAACAAGAGATCCTCTAAAGAATCTCCAATGTAAGCGCGGGTCTCGTACTCACTTAGGGCTTAACCCTACACTTTTGCGTGACTGCTCTCAGCCAGCTCCCAGTCCTCGCTACACCGCCCGCCGCGGGCTTCGCGAATACTCACATTTCGAGCACTGAGCCTGTTTGATCAACACAACCCAGCAACCCGTTCGTTCGTCGTCTTTCTATTCTCTCTTCCTCCACACATTTATCATCCGCAATGGCTGAAGTTACTTCCGTTCAGGGTCCCCAGTGGCGTCTTGTTGAGGTCGGCCGTATCGTCCTCGTCTCGAAGGGCGCGGCCGCCGGCAAGCTTGCGACTATTGTCGAGATCATCGACCACAAGCGTGTATGTTTCCTGCGTCAGTCTGCGTCGGTCGGAGATGGGTGGAGGGGTTAGCAGAGTGTGGTGGGTTAGAGAAGGTAGTTTGGAGTGAAGGGCAGGAGAGTGAGTGAGTGAGTGAGTGAACGAACATATGCTCAACGCATGAAGACGACGACATGAACAAGAACTCCTCTCCACCTCCTCCGTCTCCATCTATCCCATCTATCTCTTCACTCTGCACCTCATCGTTACACCCCGAATCCAACCCCCCAGAACACCAACTAACCCACCTCATCCAGATCCTCGTTGACGGCCCCACCTCCGGTGTCCCCAGACAGGCTCTCGCCCTCGCCCACGTCACCCTCACCCCCCTCGTCATCACCAAGCTCACCCGCGGCGCTCGCAGCGCCACCGTCACTAAGAAATGGGCCGCCGAGTCCATCGACGAGAAGTGGGCCAAGAGCGCCTGGGCCCAGAAGATCAAGAGCCGTGAAATAAGATGGGGTCTTAACGACTTCCAGCGATTCCAGGTTTTGATTTTGAAGAAGCAGGTATGTAGCTCGCTTTTCTCCTCATTATTCTATTGCAGAGCAGCATGTACTAACTCCCCCTTCAGCGACGGTACGAGGTTAAGAAGGCCTTGGCTAAGGCGAAAAAATCGGCGTAGATTGGCATCATGGTTGTTTGAGTTTGTGTACAGTTATTAATTATAAGAATCGTTGTATTTACGAATAAAAAGTCCATATGATTGATCAATCCTCTGACTTTATATATACACTTGTATTCATATTTATTATTGACTCGCCCTGATATCTATGTCCAATGCGTGCTGCTTGCGACCATATCGACTCGGTTTACTCTACTCTTCACCTTCGTTCTCTTCCCAAGACAAACCAAGCATTTAGACAACGACAGGACACATTACCAAAAAAAACACGGAAAGGAAACGAAGCAGAATTGAAAATTAGAAAAAACACAATCACTCTCACTCTCGCTCTCGTCTTTGGTTGTATAAGATATATAAATCAGAAGCACTCGCACTCAAAAAAACAGCATCCGTCATCACACTCAAGACCAGTCTAAAACATAGTCTGAAAGTCCATTCCCTGAGCCCCCCCGCGCGCGCCACGAGCTCCCTCGTTAAGCTGTCCGTCGTCCAAGATCGAGAGTGCTTTCGAGTGCTTGAACGTAAACCCGATGAACGCGGTCCTATTAACTTTCTCCGGCCGCTCGGCGAGCATTTCGAGCTGCGCCTGCTTGTCGTGGACTTCCTTGTACTTTGCCATATCTTCCTGGTTTGAAAAGTCGTCAAAGTAGCCCGCGTCGACGTCTGAGTCGAGCTGCGGGATGAACGGCGGCTGCAGGCGGCGGATGTGCGTCCAGTCGATCTCGCTGAAGTACGCGTGGTTCTGGACTTCCTGGAACGAGTGCAGGCGGTTGGTCTGGTCGTTGATGAGCTTGGTGAGAAGGTCCCAGGTGCGGTCGCTGAACGCGTACTGGTTGTTGTCGTAGATCGGGCGGCGGAAGACGTCTTTCCAGCATCGCAGGTTCGAGTACGTCTCGTTCATGTTGGCGCCCGCGAAAGGAGGGTACCCGCAGAGCGTCTCGAAAAGCATGCAGCCTAGCGACCAGTAGTCGATCGTGAAATCGTACTGCTTGCCTTCGAGGACTTCGAGGGCCATGTAGTCAGGAGACCCGACGATCGAGTTGGCGTAGTTCAAGTCTGTTTCTCTCAGCGAGCGATACAGATTCTGTCGCTCGCTGATTGTTCGATGCGTGACGCGAGTGCTCTTGACTGCATCGAGCTATATAGACTCATTCGTTAGCATCTGCATCGCATAAACTACATCTGAATACTGACCTTCACGCGCATACTCTCAACGCGCTCGCGACTAAGTGATCCAGCAGAAAGACCGAAATCAGTAAGCTTGATATGACCCGAGGCGTCGATGAGGAAGTTCTCCGGCTTGAGATCACGATGGATGTAGCCGAGCTTGTGCAAGCTCTCGACCGCGCAAAACATCTCGCTGATATAGAACCGCGCGTGGCGCGGACTGAGAACGCCGGTGTTGTTCAGGAGCGTGCGATAGTCTCCGCCTGGGACGTATTCCTGTGGCAGGTGTTAGTTCAGCGCTGGTTCGTGAAATGTGTAGGGATACTAACCATCGCCAGATAGATCTTTTCTTTATCCTGGAAAGCGTACAGAAGCTTTACCAGCCACGGCGTATTCGCAGCAGTGAGAATATCTCGCTCGGTCAGGACATGTCGAGTCTACACCAACAGTTAGTACATCTTCTAATGAACCTCAAGTCAAAGACAACCTACCTCATCAAGCTTAAACAACAAGCTCTTCTTCATAACCTTCAAAGCACAGATCTCCTTCGTATCTGCCTTGCGCGCAAGATACACGTGGCCGTATCCACCTTGGCCTACCTGGGTGATGATATCAAAGTCGCCGTATCTCAGTCTCGTACGGCGTTTGCGCAGATAGGCGCGCTCGCGACCGGTGTAGGAGCGCCACTGCGTCTGCTGCTCGCTGGGGGAAAGGTACTCGGCAGCCTGCTTGAATCGCTGGAGACGCAGTTTGCGGTTGTGGATGTACGTCAGGAGATCAAAGTAGTAGTCAAGGAAGTCTAAATCACCATAACGTCAGCCAGATACTTAAAAGGACAAGACTAAAAACAAAAACCTGCATACACAACTGGGCCGCGTTGACAAGACGCTTCGTCGTCGGATCATTCAGCTTCTTCATATCCTCAGCCGACAACCCCGTAGTCCCCCTCGCAGACCTCCCAAGCGACAAACTTCCGCACTCATATCCCGATCTCGCCTCCTGCCCGGCAGCAGCGCCATGCGGATCTCTATTCTCATCCAACCGAATCACGGACGTGATATCGTCGTGGTTCTCGTCGACGGTGGCGAGCTTCGATCCAAAGGACTTGTCGGCGGTGCTGCTGCCGGCGTTGGACATGTATAGTCCGTTGAACGACTTTGCAATGTTTTCGACCGTGCTGGGTTCTGCTCGCTCCGGCGACCGCTTCGGGGACGGGGAGCGGCCGCTCGAGTAGAGGTTATGCGTCGGCGTGAAGGGTGACGACATGATCTAAAACAACAAAAACAATAAAGTAGTCGCAAACTCTTCTAACTCAGGTATTAGAGAGCAGGTGGTCGCCAGGCGATGAAGACGAAGATGAAGACGAAGCAGACCAGGGTTATCCACTCCGGGCCGCGTGGTTTGTTTAGATTTCCCGCTTTGTTTTGTAAACAAACCAGCCACCCGCACCAGCCTCAAATGCTTAAGCCGCAGTGTTTATGTAATCATTCACTAATAACGTGACTCAGGTTTTTTTTTTTTTTTTTTTTTTTTTTTCTTGTTTAAAGATTCCGGGGGCCTCGACTCGACTGGCAGCGAGAAAGAAAAAAACTTCCATATAAAGAACTGTCGTGGCCTCGCGCTTGTTCTTTTTCTATTTCAGTACAGAAGCAACTAGAAGAACAAAGATGATTGTCCGACGGGCGTGTTTAAAGACCAGCCATGTGCTCCGGGCGGTGAGCAGCAGCTTCCGCCGACACAACTCGACGCGGTCGACGGTCGTTCAATTGCTGAGCAACATCGGTTCGAAGCGGGAGGTCGAGCAGTATCTCCGCTACTTCACCTCCGTCGACTCGCAGCAGTTTGCGGTCATCAAGGTCGGCGGCGCGATCATCACGCAGAACCTCGAGGAGCTGGCGTCGTCGCTCGCGTTTCTTAATCATGTGGGATTGTTCCCGATCGTGCTTCATGGAACCGGGCCGCAGATCAACGAGATCCTCGAGGCAGAGGGCGTCGAGCCTGATTACATTGACGGAATCCGCATCACCGATCCAAAGACGATGAGCGTCGTGCGCCGCTGCTTTTTGGAGCAAAACCTCAAGCTCGTCGATGCGCTCGAGAAACAAGGCGTGCGCGCAAGACCCATCACCGGCGGTGTCTTCACGGCGGAGTATCTCGACAAGGACAAGTACCAGCTGGTTGGCAAGATCAACAAGGTCGACAAGGCGCCTATCGAGGCCAGCATCCGCGCCGGTGCGCTCCCGATCCTCACCAGTTTGGCCGAAACCGAGGACGGCCAGATCTTGAACGTCAACGCTGACGTCGCCGCCGGCGAGCTCGCTAGAGTTATCCAGCCTCTGAAGATTGTCTATCTTAACGAGAAGGGCGGTTTGATGCACGGCGAGACTGGCGAGAAGATCTCTGTTATCAACTTGGACGAGGTAAGCAGCTTTATATCTAGATCATTGCGTGCTCATCGCTAACTGGAGGTATAGGAATACGAAGGACTGATGAAGCAGCCCTGGGTCAAGTACGGCACCAAGCTCAAAATCAAAGAGATCCACGACCTCCTCATGCAGCTCCCGCGCTCGTCCTCGGTCGCAATCATCTCCACCGGCGACCTGCAGAAAGAGCTCTTCACCGACTCCGGCGCCGGCACCATGATCCGCAGAGGATACAAGCTGCTGACGCGCAACTCTGTCGCCGAGTTCCCCGGCGACTCGCTCGCGTCCACGCTCGCGAAGCATCCGGTGTTTAAGAACGACGGCGAGGCAGTTAAAGCCTACGTGCGCAAGCTCGAGACCATCAAGTTCACCGCGTACGCCGACGAGCCGTTCGAGGTCCTCGCGATCGTCGAGGCGTGCGAGGACGGAATCCCTCTTCTTGACAAATTCGTCGCGTCCAGAGATGGCTGGCAAAACAACGTGACCGAGAACGTGTGGTCGGTCGTGCAGGCCGCGAACCCGTCGCTCAAGTGGACGGCGTTCGAAGACGACGAGCGGTCGTCGTGGTTCTTTGACCGCGCCGATGGCTCGTTTGTGCATGACGGCCAGATCCTGTTTTGGTATGGCGTCGACTCGCCCGACAAGATCGCCGAGATGATTCGTGAGTTTTCGGCTTCGACAGGTGCCGAGCAGCCCACGAAATCGTCGTCGTCGCGCAGATTCCCGGTGCAGCAGAAACGGCTGTACTCAACCGCTCGTCCTAGTCTGCTCTCGTCCGTGCGATCGCCGCTCGGTGCACAGAGAGGCTACGCGACGACCAGCAAGACCTCAAAAGTCGCGCTGATTGGCGCGCGCGGATACACCGGCAAAGCGCTGATCGACCTGATCAACGGACACCCGAACCTCGAGCTCGCGTACGTGTCCTCGCGCGAGCTGAACGGCAAGGATGTGGCCGACTACACCAAGTCGAGCCTGAAGTACTCCAACCTGCAGGCCGAGGACGTCAAGCGGATCGAGGAAGAAGGCGAGGTTGACGCGTGGGTGATGGCGCTGCCGAACGGAGTCTGCAAGCCCTTTGTGGCCGCGATCGAGGCCGTCGAGAGCGGCAAGGGCGTGATTGTCGATTTGAGCGCGGACTATAGGTTTGACAACACGTGGGCGTACGGACTGCCCGAGCTCGGCGACCGCGAGCAGATTGCGCGGTCGAAGCGGGTCGCGAACCCGGGCTGCTACGCGACGGGGTCGCAGATCGGACTTGCGCCGCTGGTCCCGTTCGTCGACGGCCAGCCTACGATCTTTGGCGTGTCGGGATACTCTGGCGCAGGCACGAAGCCGTCGCCGAAGAACGACATCAACGTGCTGAGCGACAACCTGATCCCCTACGCACTCACCGACCACATCCACGAGCGCGAGATCTCAACCCACCTCGGCACCCCCGTGTCCTTCATCCCCCACGTCGCGCAATGGTTCCAAGGCATCACGCTGACGATCTCGGTCCCTCTCTCCCAGCGCCTGACCGCGCGCGACATCAAGACTCTGTACGAGGAAAAATACGCGGGCGAGCGGCTGATTTCCGTGTCGAGCGAGATCCCGCTGGTCAAAGAGATCTCGGGCAAGCACGGCGTCGCGGTGGGCGGGTTTGGCGTGCACTCTGCGCAGCCGCGCGCGGTGGTGGTCGCGACGATTGATAACTTGCTAAAAGGCGCGGCGACGCAGTGTTTGCAGAATATTAACCTGACGCTGGGGTATGATGAGTTTACGGGGATTCCCTTGTAGTCTTCTACAGTAAACTAAAAAGAGAAAGGAAGAGAGAGAGAGAGAAGGGCGTTTATGGGTCAGGGTATGAATATACAATAGAAACCGAGAGAGAAGAGGAAGAGTAGTTGTTTGACATAGTTTGTAATCTTCAAAAGCGTTGCGTTTGTTAGTTTTGTTTTGCATAGTTGTTGATATACATATATACCACATACATACACGACTATAGAATCATCGTAGAGTTTACCGGTTTATTCGCGCCTGCTATATAACTACAAGTACATACAACGACAGCAAAATAAGTGCTTCCACGCGCACGCCAGGTTGTGCTCGAAGCGTGAGGACGGTGGATTGCAAACACAACGGAGAAAGAAAAACAAAAGAGTAGCAAGGTATCGTACAACTTCTGGTCTGGCGCGATGTGCGGATTCAAGCAAAAACGGCGAAAATAAAGAGAGAGATAGAGAACGCGAGGAAATGAAGGAGAGAACAAGCAAAACCACACATCGATACACCACCACCACCACCACCACAAACACGTCAAACAACATTACTCCTCCTCCTCCTTCGGATCACCAATCCCGTCCTCGTTGATAGTGAAAACGCAGTCTGACTCCGGCAGGCACGGCGAGTCGTAGATTTTGCAGATGCGTTGCTCTGCGCGGCCTTTTTTGAGGGATAATCGTGTCGTTGAGGAGTGTGCGAGGATGTTCTGCACACACACAACATCTTTCGTTAGCTCGTTCTGAAGAAAAAGAAGGGGAGGATAGGAAAAAGACGTACACCACCAATAGGTTTCTTAGGATCAGGATTATACATGCTCGCCATCCCGTCGACCTGCGCGACGACCTGATTCGTGATGAGGACCGCGATGCCAAACTCGTCCGCGAGCCGCTGCAGCGTGCGCAGGAACTTTGCGACGTGCATCTGGCGCGCCGAGAGCTCGCCGCGGCCGCTGAAGTCGGTGCGGTAGAGAGCCATTATGCTGTCGACTATTAGGATTGAGAATCTGGTTGTTGTTGTTAGTTTCTGGGGGGGGGGGGGGGGGGGGGGGGGAGGAGAATAAGAGAAGAAAAAGAAAGGAAGGAGGGTACGGACCTGGAGTTTGCCATAAGAGAGGCAGCTTGGTTCAGAAGCTGGAGCTGGTGATCGGCGTTATACGCTCTAGCGTAGGCAACATTGTCGAGAACTTCCTGGCCGTTAAGACCGAACCGTTGAGCGATAGAAAGAAGTCTGACGGGTCTGAACGTGCCCTCTGTGTCGATATACAAACACTTGCCTTCTCCACCACCCATATCGATCGGTAACTACCCCAACACGTCAGCCGCCTCTCCCTCATTCCCTCATTCCCGCACTCACTAAGAAATACATACCTGACAGGTAACAGCGAGCGTGTGACAGAGCTGCGACTTTCCCGTCCGAAACTCGCCAAACACCTCGGTGATCGAACCGGTCTCGATGCCGCCGGCGAGAAGCGTGTCGAGGTTCTTCGAGCCGGTGGTGATTGAAATCAACTCGCTCCGGCGCTGGTGGTATTCTGTCGCGGTCGTGAAGCCCATCGGGACCATCTTCGAAGCTGCGGGGGGTTAGTCATTGGTAAAGAGAGATGGAGGAAGGGAGAGGAGGTACCTTCTGCGAGAAGACGGTCTGCTTTTGCTTCAGAGATGCCTTTGATGGCAAGTAATTGACGTTTCGGTCTAAACCCATCAGAATCCCACTGGCCTACACAAAAGAACAGACAGTGTAGACATACGTGTACGCGATCGACTCGACAGTATTAAACCCAGCCTCGAGCACCTTGCGCAAATCAGAAGCAGTGATTCCACCTCCCTATCCACGCCCTTGTCGTTAGCCTCTCTCTCTTTATTGTCAGAACCACGGCGTGCTCACCTCGAGACTCGCGAGAGGCGTGGGACCACCCATGATGCCTTCGTCCGGGGGATACTCTTCGTGCGCGGTGCTATCAGCGTCGGATGTCATCATCTCAGATAGTTCCAGATAATCCTCTAAATATTCTTATAAATATTCTTCTTGTATGCAGTGCAGTATACAAACAACAACACAAAAGTGGCGAAACAAACACAAATATGCGCAACCGCAGCAGCAGCAGAAAGCAAAGCATAAACAAACCGCCCGCGGCGCTTGACGCGTGAGTGACTCCAAGTCACGTGGTTTGCAACTTGTAGGTTTGGTTGTCGGGAGCGTGTTTTTGTTGTTTAGTTGGTTGACTGTGTTTGTGGTCGTTTCTGTTGTGGTTTTGGTGTTTGTAGGTGCGTTTGGGGGGGGGGGGGGGGGGGGGGGGGGGAGGGGTTGTTGGATTGTTTGGGGGTGTTTTGGTTTATGTTTGTCGCGGTGTTGGAATTGGCGGTGGAGTGGTGAGTGTGCAGTGCTTCTTGATTTGACTACGCTACCAGATCAAGATCAACACAGCACATACAGCCTTCCACCGAAGTCACCCTTCACTCACCTCTAAACACAAAGAGCCGAGTCCGAACACTCATTAAGACAAATCATACCAACATCTGCGTTCATCAGGACGCGAAAGCACACTCCACGTACGCCCCCCGCGGCTAAAAGCAAACCAGCACCACGTCTCCTTAACCCAACGCTCAGATTGAGGATAACTCATCTATCTATCTATGTTCTGTGTAGGTAAAAAAAATGCATGACAGGAGAAGGGTAGAGACACCGTTTGTCGATGTGAGGGCGTAAGCGATATGAGATCGTGATGGATCCGTGATTTGATATTGCTGCGAGTAGGTGTTTCCATGCCTATCTCTTTTTCAGTATTCCTCTAGTTTTTTTCTGTTGTGGTTTAATATATTTCTACTGTTTTTCTCTAGTGTATCTGCTATCTAATTCTTCCTAAAAGTCATCAATTTTTTTTCTTTGATTCCCGCTGCGGTAAAATCTACATCCTCCAAACCTCGTAAAATACTACTTCCGTCCTAGACACCTTCTCCATCTCCACCGTCACCTCCACATTCACTCTTTTCCTCCTTTTCATACTACATATACATTCCAAACACAAAGATACTCGATACACTCGTCGATGCTGCGGTATATCCTCCTCACGCTGCATCTCCGAATTTCAGCTTCTCAAGCTTCGTCTTTGGAAGATGATGTTTCGATACACTGATATCCAGACTATAAACACACCCCTCGTAATTTATTCCACTTATTTTCATCTCACTAAATATATTCCACTGCAAAAACTTATCATCCCACGCAGAAATCCTCTCTGTTTTTTTATAAAAATCGTCGATATAAATCCGCGACGCACGGACGGAGAAGAACAAGCCTTCTTACCACATCTGGGAATTTATTTATCTCTTTTTGAATCGAGATTCACATTGTCGTCAACGACAGTTTGGTACATGTACGAGTACAAGTACATTCCACTTGATGACATTTTTTTTTGATTTATTTTGAGGGGAAGAATGATAGGATTAGAGATTGTCAGGATGATAGTTTGAAAATAGGACTGTGTATTCGTATAATGTATCATCGCCAAAGTAATTACGCAAAAACAAAACAAAACAAAAGCACGAGAAGGACAAAAGCACAAAAAGAACAAAAAAGCAAACCAGAAGACACCCAAAACATCATGAAAAATTAAAAACAACATAAACAAAAAGCAAAGAAATATACAAGCTCACGTTTTACGCTTCCTCTTCGCCGCATTCTTCTTCATCTTCTTCTCCATCTCCGCCTCGGCCTCCTCCTCCTCCGCATCCGGCTTATCAAGCTCCATAGCATGCACCGTGCGCTCATGCCGATTGCGCAACCAGGCGGTAACGAACCTGTGCGTGCGACAATCCCGCACGCCCTGCCAGCGACAGACAAACTCCCTGACGCCGTGCACCTGGCGAAAGTGCCGGGTGCAGTCGTTGTTGCGGTGGAAGCCAATGACGTGCCAGTCGCAGGCCTCGTCCGCGCACTTGTACGGGCGCTGGGCGAGGGTGGCGTCGGGGAGGGAGAGCACGTGGGCTTTGAGGTCGGTGGAGGAGGTGAAGAGTTGGAGGCAGTGGCGGCAGCGGTAGGTGCGGTTCTGGGAGTGCTTGCGGGGCATTTCCGGGAGAGGAAGCGGGAATTGCTGGATGTGGGGTTCGTTGGGGTCGTCGAGTTCCGGGTGGGGGACGGAGACGTTGATTATTCCGGTCGAGAGCGGGATTGACATGTGCTCGAACGCGGGGGGAGTGGAGGTGGTGGAGACGGAGGAGGATGATGTAGATGAGGAGGAGGAGGAGGAGGCGGAGGAGACGGAGGAGTGGTCTTGGAAATGGGAGAGGTCGTGGGGAATGTCGTGAGGGATGTCATGGGGGGAGACGGGAAGGGACTCGGAGTGGAAGTTGAGTTGGAGATGCCGGTCGGCGGGAAAGTAGGTGAGGTCGTGTTTGGGCGCGAAAGGGCCTTCGGCGAGGAAGATAGAGAAGTCGGGAACGTCGGAGAGCGAGCGCTTGGGTTCGTAGGTGTCGGCGGTGGAGGTAGTGGTGGTGGCGATGCTGGAGACGGTGTCTCTGCGGGAGAGGTCGGGGGTGGATTGGTAGATGGAGGAAGGGGAGATGGATGTGGCGGAGGAGTTCACGGAGGTCGACCAGGCGTCGCAGATGGCTTTTGTGGAGACGTCGGGGATGACTGGCCAGGAGGAGGAGTGGATGGAGGGGAGGGGTTGGTGGTCGAGGAGGGTGGGGGACCAGGCGGAGGAGGAGGAGGAGGAGGGAGTGGAGGAGGCGGTGGAGTGGGAGGAGGAGGAGAAGAGGAGGGAGTCGGGGTTGAAGAGGTCGAGGGGGATGTCGGCGGAGGGGGAGAAGAAGTGGTGGTAGAGGGAATTGGGGTCGAGCGGGTGATCGGGTTTGAGGGAGAGGGCGGTCGAGCGAGGAGATAGATCAGGGTCGGAGTCGGGAGGGAAGTGTTTTGGGTCGGGGAGGAGGAGGTGGAGGTCAGAGTAGAGGAAGGAAGAGTCTTCCAGCATGGTGATGATAGTAGAGTAATAGCGATGTTGTGATGAGGAGTAGAGTAGGGTAGAGTAGAGGAAGAGAGGAAGATGATATGAGGAAGAGGAGGAGGAGGAGGAGGAGCAAAGATAAGCGGAAGTGCGTCGACCCGCCCGAGCCAACGACCGACAGGCGGACGGACCCACCGGTTCCTGCGTCCGTGCGCGGCCTTAATTCGAGTGGACGAGAGGAGAGAAGGGGTTATAGAAGTGAATATATGTTTATTACAGATTGCTTATTGTATATTTAGTAGATGTATTTATTGCTATTGAGTATGAGAAGCAGTTGAGGAAGACCGATAGCCGGAGAGCAGATAGGAGGGTGGAAGAGAAGAAGGGAAGATGGTCGGAGCTCAGCTAAGCTATAGCAAAGGCCACCGCCACGAGTGAAATAGAGGTTGAATAACAGCAGAGAATACTCTTCATACAAACACAACAGCATCTACTTCTTCTATTACTATTACTCTCCTACTACTACTCTACTCCTCCTACTCTAACACAACCCGACGATAAGCCGATAAGCAGCGCGCAGTTTGAGACCTTCGTGTTTAGGGTTTTGTTAGTGCGAACTCAGATCAGCCTCGTCGCAGCTCTGACCATCACATCCTATCGTGACTCGTCTTATCGATCTGTTGTTGTTGTTGTTGTTGTTGTTGTTTATATTATGAGTAGAGATGTAGATAGAATAGAAGATATAAGTAGAGTGAAGTAGAGAAGAGAGAGTAGTTGTGTATCTACACTCTCTGACTGCACGCAGAACTGGCTGCAGTCCACTGTCTACAGTCTACAGTCTACTGTCTCTATCATAGTCACTACCACCGATAAATATCGCGTCATGATTGCCAATCTTGCGTCTAATAAATTACTCTCTTCGCTCTTCTCTTGCCACTCGGTTATTGTCACAGAGTTGAGAGATATGATATGAATAGAGTAGATATATATCATATAGAGTAGATAGACTAGAGCAGATAGAGTATAGTAGTGTACCGACACTGGCCCCTTAATACAACCTTTGTTTACCTCCGCCCGATACCAAACCTCCTCTCTCTTCCTCTCTCTCATCTCCCCACCACTCCTCGATTCGATACCAAAGTGTACTAGCACTATGGCAGCAACCTCACCGAAAACACCCGACAGTGCACCGTCCTCCTCTGCCTCTGTTTCTGGCCCGGCCTCTGGCTCAGGCTCAGGCCCGGCCTCCTCCGCTTTTTCCTCTCCCTTCACCTCTCCCTCCCCCCTCTCCTCTCCACCTCCCCCCTCCTCCCTCTCCTCTCCCGACCACTACGACTCTGTCTACGATGATCCCTGCTGCGACTGCTGCCACGACCAACGTCAACTTCATCGACACCGTCAACATCAACGTCACCGCCAGCACCTCGTCGACTGCATCTTATTCGCCCGTATCTACTTTTCCTCCCCTCCCTCTCTTCTCTCTATACTCATCTCTCTCACACTCATCTCTCCTAGAACAACCCCCCCGCTGCCACCACCACCGACCGCGACAGACAGAGTTCGACCCCGCGCCGCGAGCACGGACCTACCTCATCACCGCCGCAGACCCTCCCGACCGCTCATCCTCCTCCCCCGCCTCCTCGTCCGGCGAACTCTCGCCGCCCTACCCGGCTCAAGTATACTTCCTCCCCGCAAGACACCCTTCTCCCGCTGCTGATGACGCGGTGCTAGCAAAGGTCCTGCCCAGACCGCCTGACTTTGCAGACGCGGTTGAGACGCCTGCTTGCGAGCCGATGGACGTCGATGGTCCTGAGTTCTCTGCAGCGGTGGAGGAGTATAACCGCGCTGTTTCTACTTCTATTCCTTGCTCTTCTTCTCAGAAGCCAGGTCAAGTCCATGTTCCAGTCCCCGACGAACACGCGCGGATGCTGGCAGATATGGACGCCGCGATTGACTCTGACGTGGCCAGAGTGCTGAGTCTGAATTCGGATACTTTCGACGACGTCTACCAACGCGAGCGTCTTTCTCCTCTTGCTGCAGAGAGAGAAGAGCAGCAGAATGTGGACGCGGACGAGATTGGCGATTTGTCGATTTTTGGCATCGGGCGATTAACCACCGCGTTCAAAGCGTGGAATTTGAGTGTCTCGACCACTTCCCCCGTAGATGCAGAGCAAGAGAGCGAGAGTGAGAGGGAAATAACTACAGCGACAGAGGAAGAGAAAGAGGAGTTGACGAGCGCAGAGGGAGCGACTCGGGTGGAGAGCATGGATACAGATGGAGATGTGGTGATGACTGATGCTGTGTTCTAGTCTGTGTCTTTCTGTGTGTTCTGTATTTTTATCGACTGCTGCCTTCGATTCGATCGTTATTGCTGTTCTGTGCTGATAACGCTATACCCTTCTATACCCTCTCACTATCCAGAGTACTCAATATATTTATATAATCATGCAAGTAACATAGCAACACACAACTACCCCTCAATCTTCGTAACCACCATCTGATTTATCACCACAAAGTAGTAAATCCCAATAACCGTAACCGTCAGCATCCCAAACGACAGCCACCCCATGATCATAGCTGTGACGCCCACCCCCGCAAACACGGTGCCGTTGCCGACGTTGACTGCGAGCACGCCTGCTGCGACGGAGGAAGTATGTTGCCAGAGCACAGAGACAAGGACGAGGATGCAGGCGAGGAAGCAGAGTGCTGTCGAGGCTGATTTGAGGAGGGGCGGGAAGGGCAGGATGAGGATGAAGACGATGAAGGAGAGGGCGGCGGCGATGAGGAGGAGGTATGGGAAGACGATTTTGCTGCGGAAGGAGTCAGCGGCGTGGATGAGGTTGAGCGGATCGTCGCTTGAGGAGAGCTGCGCGGCGAGCGTGGATGCGTTTTGATTGCATAGCCAGGAATCAGAAGAGGAAGAGCGCATGCACATTGCGAAATAGCCGATCCTGAGCTCGAGCGCGGACTGGCCGACGATATTCCCCAGCGTGAGACTGATGTCGGAGTTGACGACGGACGAGCCGGATGTTTGGTAGACGATCCCGCCGTTGTAGCCCATGTGCATGAGGTAGATGTTTGGCATGACGCCAGAGGAGGAGGAGCAGCCTGCTAGCATGAGCGCGGACAGGACGACGGAGACGAGGAGGAGGAGGAGGAAGACATGTCGTGGTCGGATGAAGGTTAGACCTATGAAGTAGAGGCGGTCAGAGGGTCTGTAGCGGAGGAGGGAGGACATGGTGAGAGTAGAGATGAGGGAGAAGACGTACCCACAAATTCGACGCGAGCCATAGACCGGGCGAAGAAGAGAAGATATAGAAGGGTCAGAAGGAGCGGATTGGGGCTGAATACAAGAATAAGGACGAAGCAGATAAGAAAGAAATAGGTCAGAAGAAGAACAGAGGCGGAGGAGGAAAGGATAAAAAGAAAGCAAAGAGATGGCTGGGTGGGTGTAATTAGTGGTTGCCATGACAGCAAATCAATAAAGCGGTGGATGCAGCAATATATAAACAGTCTGGATAGAGTGAAGGTAGTGTGTTGGCAGAGATTTCTCTATAATGCATAGGAGTAGTAGTAGTAATAAACAGCAGTTATAGAATAGAATAACAGAACAGTATAACCATCTTCTTCTTATTCTCTTATTCTCTTCTTCTCTTCTTCTTCTTCTCTTCTTCTCTTCCTCTCTCCTACTATTCTCTTCTTCTCTTCCTCTCTCTCATCAACTTCTCAAAAGGGGCATTTGATTACTCGCCTGCTTCTCTCCAAACCTCTTCCCTGCTCTTCCCGCCTCCTCCACCCGCCCTCCTCTTCACCACCACCCACCCTCCCAGCCTCCCCCCAGCCTCTTCCTCTATTCTCAGCTTCTTCTTAGCTCTTAGTCTCTTGTTAGTCCCTTGTTAGTTCTTGTTAGTTCTTCTATTCTCTCTTCCTGCTCTACTTCCTACTCTCTAAACTTAATACTCCACCTCCACAAACCCCGCGATGACCTGTTAGCACCTCTCCCATCTCCCACTTCCTTCCCTCCTCTCTCATCTCATCTCAGCAGCTCCCTCAGCTCTCTCCACCATGCCGGACCAAGACCCCCCCGCCTTCAAATTCAACACCTTCAGCGGCACCCCCGCCGACCCCTCCTCCCTCCCCTCCCAAGACTCCCTCCTCTCCCGCAGCCGCCGCGGCAAAGACAAAGACGTGCCCATCGAAATCGACGCCGACGGCAAGGAAATAAACCCCTACATCCCGCAATTCATCTCCAAAGCACCATGGTACATCGACCAGTCCGGCGAAGCCTCCCTGCGGCACCAGCGGCTGCGCGAGGACCGCGACAAGAAAGAAGCCGATCTGAAAGACGTGTGGTATAAGCGCGGCGTGCGCGCGGGTCCCGCGGCGACAAAGTATCGCAAGGGCGCGTGCGAAAACTGCGGCGCGATAACGCACAAGACAAAAGACTGCATGGAGCGGCCGCGGAAAGTCGGCGCGAAATGGACAGGGCAGGATATCCAGGCCGACGATCTGATCCAGGACGTGCCGATGACGTGGGACTCGAAGCGCGATCGGTGGAACGGGTACGATGCTGCTGAGCACGCGAAGGTGATTGAGCAGTATCAGCGGGTAGAAGAACTTCGAAAACAAGCCCTTGCCGCGGAAAAAGGCGATGATCTCGACGACGACGACGACGACGACGACGACACTACAAAAGAAGACCGCGACGAAGAAGGCGCTCGGGTAGGAAGTCGCTCAGTCCGCCTGCGCGAGGACGTCGCAAAGTACCTCAAGAAACTCGACGCGCCAGATACTCGCTACAACCCGAAATCCCGACAACTGATCGGCGCAGAAGGCATCATTTCCGCCGACGACGATTTCGTGCGGCAGACGGGCGACGAGGCGAAGCAGTTTGAGGAGATGAAGCAGTTTGCGTGGGAGGTTGCCGAGAAGGGTCAGGCGAATGTGCATTTACAAGCGAATCCGACCGAGGGCGCGATTTTGAAGCGGAAACTTGATCTGGAATCGGCAGAGAAAAACGAGAAAGCGAAAAAACAGCTGCTCGACAAATACGGCGGGCAGGAGTACTTGAAAGACTTACCTCAAGAACTAAAAGTCTTGCCCGACGACGACTACAAGGAATACACGCCCGAGGGGAAACTCGTCAAGGGGAAAGCAAGTACGACACCGAAATCACAGTACCCTGAAGACATCCATCCCGGAAATCACTCGACCGTTTGGGGGTCTTGGTGGCATGACTTTCAATGGGGATATGCCTGTTGTCATTCTACTATGAAGCAGTCTTATTGTACTGGTCGTGACGGTATTGAAGCTGCCACTCAAAAGGTTTTATAGTGTATCTTCTTCATCTTCACTTCATCTTCACTTCATCTTCACTTCATCTTCATCTGTACAATTCTCTGCATCCTATACTCATTACTTATCCTATAATCATACTTATCTACAATCATAACTTATCCTATAATCATTACTTTATTGGCACAATCCTAGAACATACATGCTTTTATTCCAGAAGAACTCTTCTCAATATACAGACACACTTTTTATTTTAGACTTCAGATTTACTCGTCATCCTCCTCCTCAGCCTCCTCCTCGTCTCCACCGGCAGCAGCAGCAGCACGCTTGCGCTGCACACGTCCAGGACGGCCACCTCCGTAAGGCGAAGTAAGAGCAAAGTCAATGTGCTTCTGCGAGTCCAAACGAACCATGAACGAAGGAACGTTCACAATCTGCTTTCCGACACTATATCATACTATGTTAGATCTCCTTCTATTGCTCAGGAAAAATATAAGAACTACTCACCGAACGTGTCTCTGTCTGATCAAAACACGGGCGTGGTGAATGCTCTTGGCCAGGCCGAGCTTGAAGACCTGGGTCTGGAGTCTCCGCTCCAAGAAATCCTCAATCTTGAGCGCCAACACGTAATCGAGTCTCATCTTGTCCTCGCTAAGGACACCGATGCGGACGAGACGACTATATATAAAAAAAGAGAATTAGGACTCTTCATTCTATTCATCCTTAAAGGCAATCTAGCCAATAATATAGATGTGAGGGACATACCGAATAAGGGCGTTACCCTCGAACAGACGCTTGGGGTCCTTCTCATCACGAGTCAAAAGGTCACGAGCAGCTCTTCGGATCTTGGACAGCTGGAGTCCAATTCTGTAGATCTCCTTCTTGTTCTTGAGACCGCTATAGATTTGTTAGCACTTTGTTCCGCACAGAGCAGGTAAGTAATCAAACGTACTATTCACCGGCAAGCTTCAGCTCAGCGTCCTATATAAGTCAAAGTAAGTAACTTGTCCACTTCCTCCTCGAATCCTCTCCTTTTCGTTCAAATCACAAGGTGTATTTACCAAACGGGCAAGTTCATAGGGACGCTTGGGGACCTGGTAGGTCTTCGAGTAGGTAGAAGGGGCGCCTATATCACGATTTAGCAATCATCCACACCGCAGCCAGCGCTCCTCGATCTTCCAAATTCAACAAAACAACTGATTCAAAGACATTCGAAGGCTCCACGAGCGACAACAAAAGGACGACATACGAGGCATTTTGTGACAAGGACTTGCTGTTGAAAGTTGTCGAGATACAAGTTTGAACGGGAAAAGGAGCGTTGCTGAATTCGAGATACTCTCAGACCTCCGTTGTGGTCGTCGTCGTAACCCTAATTCGACCTCGTCCTATTTTGTTAGCAAATTTGTTGCTGCGTGACTGCTGTTTGTATAACCCTACATGCTCTTCACGTCAGAGCTTAGTAAGAATACAGCAAAAACAGCAGGTTAGGGTAAACTGAAAGCAGCTGTCGAGTGTCAGGGCGACTGAAAAACTTCAATTAAGGCGCTGTGGCCGAGCGGTTAAGGCGAGAGATTAGAAATCTCTTTCCCTCTGGGAGCGCAGGTTCGAGTCCTGCCGGCGTCGCCATCTTTTTTTTTTGTTTTTTATTGCTCTACTTTTTTTTATATTTGATTGTAGTTTAGCTGTCGAAAACAAATAGCTAGTTCCTATTTGTAAGAATAAAAATCAAGCATAAAGTGCAAAGTAGAGTAGGCGCGGAATTAATCGAGTATCGGAAGCTGATCCCCACAATTGGTCGTCTCCGACTTTCACTTTGGGCCCGTTCACTTTAACGCACTTTCGGCTTCGGTCAGGGTTTCGCGATTGATAGAGACCTCGCCTCGCTCGCTACTTCTACTCCCATCGCTCGGACAATTTACTACAATTCTCGCTGCAGGTGCAGGTTTTCATACACCGGATCGATTGACTGTTCGCTCAACAATATGGAGGACGGAGACGAGAACTGGAGGGAAGGTAATCGGCGGAGCGCGATGCGGATTGTCGTGCACTTGCAGGACCTGTTTGGCGACGACGAGGACGACGAAGACGACGAAGCCGACGGGTCGTATCACGGCGAGACTAACGAGGAACACACCGACTTTGACGAGGACGTGGACGGCGAAGGTATTGACGAGGTCGACCTCGACGACGACGATGTGATCGACTTTGAGGAGGTTATCAGATACCAGGAGTTCTTCGAAGACGACGAGGACGGGGACTACACCGAGAACGACGACGACGATGACGACGACGACGATGACGACTACGACGACGACGAAGACATGGAAGACAACGACGACAGTGAACCGGCCGGCAGAGATCAGGCCCGTCGACCGGTCTACAGAAGTAAGTAAACGCCCGCTTATCGCTCCCCATAATAGCACTCAGACCCTGCTCCTTCCTCTTCCCATTCCTCCCAGCAATCACCCAACCCGATTGCCCCGGATCCGCTTATCTGCACCGCATCGCAGTCGTCGCTTTTGCGCTGAGAGAAGACTCTGCTCTTGTTGTCGATTCTGTACTGTCTGCAACTTGCAAACAGACTATCTATTGTCAAGACACTGCCGGTGCGTGCGGATCACCACAGCCGCGGGTCTAGATTAATTGCTGCATTATCGGCGCCCACAGCTCTCCAGCTGTATCGCCTAAACCAGCACCGATCATCGACAAACCACAAATCTGGAGGGAAGGAGCACGCCGTCTGATCTGCTAATCTTTCCCTATCTCTACAATCTGCAAATATGATGTCCCTTGCTGAATTCCTCTCTGCAGTCCGACCGCACTCGCAGGGTCCTACGCTTCTCGACGACGTGCCGAACCCGATCGGTGCCGAACTTGCCAATAATGGAGAATTTGGCTACGTATGTCTTCCTTGTCGATTTTTGTGAATTTCAGAGTCTACTGCGGGTGCTGACTAGATTGTGTAGGTCGAGCCGAAAGAGCATGAGCTCAAGAGCCGGAGACGGTATCCCCGCACTTTTGGAGATCGCCTGTTTCGGCGAGAAATGTCATATGTCAAATACCCGCCATCTACCTTCACTAAAGTACGTCTGCTGTGTTTTGAGATCATGATTTGTCCCACCATCTAACTTCTCAGAACATGATACCGCATGCCGTCGACCGCTCCTACATCCCATTCCTTGCCCGCAATTACAGCGGCCAATTCTCCGAAGACGGCAGTTTCTTCTTCACAGCCTCGCAGGACTTCAAAGTCCGCATGTTCGACACCAGCAACCACGACTTCCCCTGGAAACTGTACAAGACCGTGCACGTCGAGATGGCGCGGTGGACGGTGACGGATGCGTCGCTGTCGAACGATAACCGGTTCATTGCCTACAGCAGTATAGCCCCGACGGTGCACCTGGCGAGCACGAGTCCCGACGACGAAGGCGGGCAGGAGGCGCTTGATTTCGGCGAGGGGCTCGATAATATCCATCGCGGGTTTGGTATCTGGTCGCTGCGGTTTTCGGCCGACGGGCGAGAGATCGTGGCGGGCGCGAATAACTGCTGTTTGTATGTCTACGACATCGAGACCAAGAAGACGATCCTGCGGCTGACGGGCCACGAGGATGAAGTTAACGCGGTGTGCTTTGGCGACGAGTCCGGGAATATTCTCTACAGCGGCTCGGACGACCAGGTGATCAAGGTGTGGGACCGGCGAAGTATGGGATACAAGCAGGAAGCCGGCGTGCTGCTTGGCCACGTCGAAGGCATCACCTACATCGACTCGAAGAAAGACGGGCGGTACCTGCTCTCGAACGGCAAGGACCAGACCATGAAGCTGTGGGACATCCGCAAGCTCATGTCGTCGAGCGAGTTCAGCGGCATGGCGAACCGCAACTACAGCTCGCAGTTCGACTACCGCTACCAGCGATTCCCGCGCCCGGTCGGCACGCGCCATCCCCGAGACTGCAGCGTGATGACCTACGCGGGACATCACGTTCTGCGGACCCTGATTCGGTGCCACTTTGGCCCGGCCTCGGCGACAGGAAGTCAGTACGTCTACTCGGGTTCGTCGAACGGCAAAGTGCACATCTGGTCGCTCGACGGACAAGTCGTGCAGACGCTGAACGCGCGGTTGCAGGGCGAGCCATCGGGGCCTTCGGTTCGGGGGTTCAATCGGCATCAGTCTGCGGCGCCGTGCGTGCGCGACGCGTCGTGGCATCCGTATTTGCCAATCATCGCGACGTCTTCCTGGGACGGGTTCTCGAACGAGGAGGGCAGCGTTATGCTGCACAGGTGGCGGGATCGCACGGGCGACGTAAGTTTGACTTTGTTTAAATATGGTGTTGAATGTGAGGCTAATGTGTTTTAAATGAATAGACGCTCGAGGGCGAAGATAATGCCGTGATGCAAGCGGCTAGCATCCCAGACTATGGCGAGACATACTACGACGGCTCTTACGACTACTTTTAATTCATTTTCCAGATTTAGCAGTGCATCAAACAAAGCACAGCGCGAAGATTGGAATTTTATAGATGCTTATGCAGAGGTATGAGGTATCAGTCACGTCTCTGCGTTCACGAGTTGCATGAATTTCATCCCCCCCCCCCCCCCCCCCCCCCCCCTCATTTCTTTCTTCGTTTTCCACTTTTCTTCTTTTATTCATTGTGATTTTTTTTTCTTATTGGGTGTAATGGTGTGGTGGTGTGAGTTGGCTGCGTTTGTCTGGTTTGTTATAGTAATCTCATCTCTATCTATTTATTACGTGTAGACGATCGGTGGATGTGCGGGATAGGCAGTGTGGAGATGTAGCGGGAGCAGGGTATGCATTCGGTGACTTGGTCTTATTCCTGTGCAGAAGTAACGTTACAAGCGTTGAATCTGATAAAATGATAATTAAACTTATTAAACTTGGGGAAGGAATGATTTACGAGCGGGCGAGAAACTACAACACCGCGCTCTGACAGTCACCGGAAACAGACAAAGCTACAATCCAAGATATCTCTTCACCGCACTTACGAATGATAAGATAGGACGTTTTGAGAGTATTGATTTCTTGACGGGCCAGCCAGCGCAAGAAGGTAGTGGAGAGGAAGAGGGTGAGATATAAATCGTGGATGAATTTAGCAGATTAGACAATTAAACCAGAAACAAAAGGAATTATGAATGATAAAGAGGATGGATAAGTCATGAGAACAAGGAATGTTAAATGGACGAGGAGGTGGATGGACGATAAACAATCATTCTGGCATTAATCTCTCTGTTTTCTGCGTCGTCTCTGGTTCATTACTTTGCAAAACTTGCACACCTTTGTATCTTTGTTTTCTTGCATTCTGTATTTTTCATAAACTAATTTAAACGGTAATCAGGTGTCGGATAGGAATATGGATCTATGCGCGATAAAAGTTAGCCCTCACTTTCTCCCTTATCTAACCAAATCGCGAAATCTCTAGCACAACACCGTATCTATTCAGCGAGAATAGAAGATGGAAAGGACAAAAGGGGGACTTACAAGCTTGACGAGGTATCCAATCGCGCCCATGACGACGAAGCCCATACCGACGGTCTGGATGATTTTGATGTACTCTACACTTACTCGTCAGCAACCCATACTTCTTCATCAAATCGTACACTCACGTATCAGAAACATAGAGCAGTAAAACAAATGCAATGACAATAGACATACCCTTCTTGCTAGGCTTCGCGCAGCGGTTAACAAAAGTCACGCCTTCCTTCAAGAACTCCTGCGGGTACTCGGTGATTTTCTGAACAGAGTCGGCCATTGCGCTTTCTTCTTTTGTACTTTTATTCTCCTTTGTGAATATTCGTTCGGGGTATTTCGTTGTATATACACGGACTCGGATTGCGTGCGGTGCTGTGGGTCGTCGGTGGCTTTCGAGAGTAGGTTTTCCGGGTCTCGAAGGTGTCGAGGTCGAGATGATGCCAGCCTGGCACGCGCTTGATGATGTGAGGGGTTTGTGGCGATTTCCTTATCAACTGCAATTTTTGCTATTTGCTATTGTAACGAATATTTTATTTATATACAGTTTCTAATCATGTGGTATTCTTTCTCTTTAATGAAGATGAAAGAGGGCAGGCTCGTAAAACAAAGGAAAAGGTGAAGTGGAGACACGGTGTGTACTCAAATCAAGCCTCAAAAGGCAGAAAGGCAGGAAGGCAAGTCAAAAAACCAAAAACAAACGATGAAAAATAAAACAATCTTGAATAGATGCGTGCGCCAAAACTAAAAGAAAACAATTTTCCAAGGTATTTCCAAAACCAGATGAAGAAGCAAGTGACGATGAATGACTATATACAGAATATGTATCCAAAAAAAAAGTAGATACCACCAGAGATCAACCACTGGAATTAGAACTATTAGCCTCAGCCAACTCTCGAGCACACCGCACGCATCCACAGTCGAAATACCACTGCTCTTTCAACGTCTCGCGGCGGGAGTCAACAGGCTGGTCGAGCATCATGCCGTAGCTAATGCAGAGTTCCTCATCCGGGGCAATGTCGCGGGTAGTCGTGAAGTGCATTGATCTGCCTACTCTTGATTTCGCGACGTTTGGTTCGCAGCCTGCTGTATATTAGCCGTAGCTCACTAATGCTCTCTCTGTAAAAGAAGGGAACTCACTGTGGTTGAAATAAGAGCCGGAAGGAAAAATGGCAGAGCCAAGAAACTCCGACTCTGAACTGAGTGGCAGCTGCCAGATGCCGAACGCGTTCGCGGCCTCGCGCGAGACGACGGCGCGCACGTTTGCGATCGTGACGTGGGGGAGTAAAGCAGGCGGCATGACTGCGAGCAGGAACAAAAACACACGGACGTGCGATTCGAGAAGGGCAGGCACGCGCGCGAGCAGATCGACCTCGTGGGATTCGAGGCTGTAGAATTTGCTCCAGAGGAAGTGGTCTGGTAGTTTTCTACTCTCGGCAGCTGTGGATTCCTCCTCCTCCTCCAAGTACTTCCGGACAAGAGCAACAGCGACAAGACGCGCAGAGTCCCATTCGATCTCCTCGAGCGCGAGCAACCGGACTTTAAGCAACGGATTCTTCAGCGGATTACTCGCCGCCGGTGCCGCAGGCTCGATGCGCTGCGCAATCGTCTGCCAGACCTGCTCGATCTCGTCCGCGCTCTCGGGCGATCCGTCGAGGATGACGTCGTCGGGCACGTAGTCGACGTCGTACTCGGCCGACGGCTCGGCGATGCCGCGACCGAGCTGCATTGTCTTGCGCGCTTTCGCGACCGCGTTGTCGATCCGCTCGAGCACGTCCGAGACAAGCCCGCGACAGACGTCGTCCTCGTGAGCGACCCAGTTCGCGCGGCAGTCGTCCGAGCAGAACCAGAGACTTGCGCGCGGAAAACGGACTTTCATCGTGCGCCCGAGGTCGTAGTGGAAGCAGTATGCGCAGACTTCTTTGCGAAAGTCGCGGTTGACGGCGGAGGTGAAGGGCGCGGGCGCGCGGTGGACGACTGTGCCCTCCGCGATGGGCGCGGTCGCGAAGCAGCCGCGGCCGCCGTAGGAAGTTGGCCGGACAGTAAACATGGTCCGCGGTCGTCGAGGGAGGGTGGTGGTGAAGAGAAGTAGTGTGGAGGAGCGAGGTTGTTTGACGGTTAGGCCATAAAGAGAGAGGTGGTGGGGGAGTTAGAGCGGTGCTATGGCATCGTTGTGGTGATTTGTGTGTTTTATATCAAGAAGAAGAGCAGTAGATCAGTGGATCAGCAGAGCAGAAGCAATTGAATTGCAACCGCAGACACAGAGCCAGAGTCAAGTCAAAGTCAAGAGTCAGTCAGTCAGGTCGAGGAGGTTGCTATCAACACAGGCCCCGCTGCTTACACCACAGCCGCCTCCCATGCGGCTCTCCACAGTCCAGATGCTCTGCCTGCCCAGCACCGCAGAGCCCAGACGCAGACGAAGCTGAGCGGAAATGAAGCAGAGCCAAGCGGAAATAGCGCTCGCTCAAATGCTTAACACCAGCGAACCGGAGAGGCGGCGCAGGGGGCGTGGAGCGCAGGCGGGTGGGCCGCGATGCCGCCCGGCCACTCGCAGCGCTGCTCCGCGCCGCGTGGACTGCGCACCGCCACATGCGGCAGTGCTCGTGGCTGTGCTGCTGCTGCCTCGCCGCACAGATTTTTGCTGTTTTGGCGGTTCGTTCGCGGGCAGCGCCAGACCAGAACCAGTTCGAGCCCCCGTTTTGCCCGTCGCGAAGGAAAAAGCTTGAGCCAAATAAGACAAACAGGAAGAAAGGATCGGAAAGAGACTAAGACCAGAGAAAGATGCCCGCTCGCGCGTTTATAACCCTTCTGCTGGCCGCCGGCTGTGTCGCTGTCGTCGCCGCTGACTCCATCTCGACTGCCATCTCTGAAGGCTCTCCTTTAGACCGTCCCCGTATGTTTATACTTGTTTGTCTGTATTCTATTGCTACTTCTTCTCTCTAACATCACTCCTCCACAGTCAACCCGGCAGACTCCCCCGACCCCGAAATGGAGCGCGCCATCGCGGCCGCCGCCCCTGCCGTCGCAAACGCCTTCGGCACCTCGGCCGAGTCCATAATGGCCGTCTACAAGTCCTTCGCCATGTCGTTCATGATGATTGTCTTTTCTGAGATCGGCGACAAGACCTTCCTCATCGCTGCCATCATGGCCATGAAGAACCCGCGCACCGTCGTCTTCTCCGGTGCCTTCGCCGCCCTCGTCGTCATGACCATCCTCTCCGCCCTCCTCGGCCACGCCGTGCCCCAGCTCATCCCCAAGAAATACACCTCCTACCTCGCCGCCATCCTCTTCATCGTCTTTGGCATCCGTCTCCTCATCGAGGGCTACAACATGGACAAGAACGCGGGTGTCGAGGAGGAGATGCACGAGGTCGAGGAAGAGCTCGTCCAAAAGGATCTCGAGTCCTCGGCCGCTGCTCTCGAGGCCGGTGAGAAACACCATCGCCAGAAGTCTGGCAAGTTCTCCGGCGTCGCCAACCTCGCCGCTCTTTTCTTTTCTCCTGTCTGGATCCAGACCTTTGTCATGACCTTCCTCGGTGAGGTATGTATCATTCTCTTTCTTTGCCACCTGCCAACTGCACTTTGTGCACATTTTCACAGCAAGTACTAACATGTTCTCAGTGGGGCGACCGATCGCAAATCGCAACCATCGCCATGGCCGCCGGCCAGGACTACTGGTTCGTCATCCTCGGCGCCATCGTCGGCCACGGCCTCTGCACCCTTGCTGCCGTCATCGGCGGCAAACTGCTTGCTTCCAAAATCTCCCTCCGCACCATCACCCTCGCCGGCGGCGGCGCGTTCCTCGTCTTTGCCGTCATCTATTTCAGAGAGGCGCTTTCCCTGTAGACTCTTTCTTCTTTCTCCCATATATATCTTGATTTCTTCTTATGATACAAATTTTTCAAGGCATGTTGTATTAAATGATGTGATTTGTGTATTCCTTTGTTTCTGTGTGCTTTCTTCATTCTGCTGCTTAGTTATGGGTTCTTGTACATATATATAAATATCAAAGTCTTGTTATGTCGCTGACAGTATGATCTGAGTAGCAGCGCTCTTGAGCACTTGGTGAAGAAGTCCTGTAAGCAGATCTGGCTGTGCAGTTGTCCGCAGTCCAGCTGAGACTTCGAGACACAGCATGTCTGCCAGACACTTTGTAAATCGTAGAATGTTGAACTAGTGAGGGTATCTGCATTTGTATCGGTATCAGTAAGTCAAGTCAGTCAGTCCTCAACACTTCAAACCACAAAGTAGTCCACAAATCCTTCTTCTCCTCACAAACAGTCATGAAATCATCATCTGAAAAAGGAGAAATCATCTGGGTATAAAAGAAACAAGAAGTAAGAGGTTATCGACGAGACAGAGAGCGAGACCGTTGGATTATGTAGTTTTATACCTCCGCGCCAGGCAGCCGACTCAGCTTCCCGACGCCCAACCGGCCTTCTCCAGCAGCCAGCACCTGAACCGCGAGCAGGTTCGTTTCTACTTCTCGTACTTCTCATCAGAATATTCTACAGTAAACAAAATCTACGACTTTTCAAACAGCAACAACAACGGACATCTTATACGTCTGCTCTGCCCGGTCTACCCCGGAACAGGCGATCGCGTGCCCCGCGCTCATCCTCGTCTCATTCCCGCCCCGGATTTTTCCGACTCCACACTACTACTATTGCTTTCGAACTAATTCACTTCCTGACTTTTATTCGATTCGCGGCTACATACATACCTACATACTGCTAAATGCAAATGAACAATAAAACAAGTAACTAAGAATGATTTATGACGGTCTTTTGCTCGTTTACTCGGCCGCAAACAGACCAGCGTAGCCCTGTCCAGTGGACGCACTATAGAATATCATTAGCACCTTCACTACTTATCAAGACAAACCAACTCAAGAATACATACCACATGGAGACAACACCAAGCTTACCACCGGTCTTGCCGAGACCATTCAGCAGCGTGGCCACGCAGCGGCCGCCGGTGGCTCCGAGAGGATGGCCGATGGCGATCGCACCGCCGCCGGTGTTGAGCTTCGCGGTGTCGACGCCGAGGTTGCGGATGCAGTACAGCGACTGGCTCGCAAATGCTGTGACTTCTCGTAAGTAATAAGTAAGAAAAGAAGCAGGAAGAATGGACTCACCCTCGTTAAGCTCAAAGATGTCGATATCTCCGACCGACAGACCGCTCAAGTCCAAAAGCTTGGGCACAGCAAACGCAGGCGCGATTCCCATCAACCGCGCCGGCACACCCGCAGTAACGCTCGCGACAAACTTTCCAATCGGCTTCAACCCGAGCGCGTCCGCCTTCGCGCGCGACATGAGCAACACCGCCGACGCGCCGTCCGAGATCTGCGAAGAGTTGCCGGCGGTGGTGGTTCCGGTCTCTGAAAAGACGGGCTTGAGCTTCGCAAGACTCTCGGCAGTGGTGCCCGCGCGCACGCCGTCGTCTTTCGAGATCGTAACCCACTCGACCGAGCCGTCCTCGGGCGGCTTCTCGCCCTTCTTCTCGTTGTACACCTTCCGCGCCGTCACCGAGATAACCTCGTCGTCAAAGAACCCCGACGCCCACGCGTCCGCGGCTTTTGCGTGACTCACGGCCGCAAACGCGTCCTGGTCCTCGCGCGAGATGCCAAACTCGGTCGCGACGTTCTCGGAAGTGATGCCCATCGGCATCAGCACGTCCTGCGCCTCGCCGGGGTCCTTGATGAGCGCCTCGGACACGCGCGTGGGGATGCCGCGGTGCGGGAAGTAGTCCATCGTCATCGACTCCACACCAGCAGCAATACCGACGTCAACCGAGCCGGCCTTGATCGCGCCCGCGATGAAGGAGGCCGCCTGCGCGGAGGACGAGCACTGTCTGTTGACGGTTCCGGAGGTGGTCGTGTACGGGAACCCGACGGACTTGATCGCGGTCGCGGAGGCCTTCTGGCCGCCGAGCGTCTGCAGAACAGCACCGGTGAGCACGTCGTTGACCTCGGCGGGGTTGATGCCGGTGCGGTCGACGGTGGCCTTGAGAACAGAGGCCAGCAGTTCCTCGGGATACATGTTTGCGAGGCCGCCGCGGATCGCTCTTGTGAAGGGCGTGCGCAGGGCGGAGACGATGACGACGTCGCTCGCCTTCTTCGTGAGGATGTTTGCCAGTCCTTTGGTGGCCATTGTATGTGATTGAGGTGGTTTGGAGGCGGAATTGACCGGGGAAGAGCAGACAAAGGACGAGAACAAGTTCTTTTAGGCTGCGGCCTCGTCTGCTCGGATCTCGCGTCGTCGGATGCTGAGTCCTATTTAGTCACCTTCCCGCTCCCCACATTTCTGGTACCCTTACCCGATGATGATTATGTAAGAGCTTATATATTCTGTCTAGACTGTAGACTATGTGCATCTACATCTACATCAATTCATAATACTCTTCTCTTATTCATATTATCTAAGCATCTCTGCCTCTGCTATGCTATCAGCAACATCAAACATCAAGCAAAGAGCACATCTAAGCACGCTCCAAGAAGCCAACGCCAGAGTCGGTGCACTCGATAATCGATCGCTTGACGAGAATACCGTCCTTCTCGAACCCGCCAAAGATCTTCTTAAACACCTCCGCGCCGCGGTGCACGACGTCAATGTCGTGGCGGGTTTTGTATCTGCGGATGTTAGTATCTATCCTGCTCTGCACTGCCTGTAATTAAAGCACAATAAATAAGATTATGTACCTCTCAAAGATGCCGACCTTGTCCGGGTTATCAAGCGACTTCATGTAGTAGTAGCTAAGGCAGTTCGGCTCGTTAGCAAGCACATCCGCCGCCAACACCTCCGCATCAGCCAAGAAGCGATCGCGCGTGCCGGGCTTGAGCTCGAACTCGACCGAGAGCACGATCGAGTCCTTGATGAACTCGCGGCCGACGCCGGGACGCGTGAGGAAGCCGATGTTGGCGGGCTCGTAGTCTGCGAGGTCGAACGGCTTGGCGAAGAGGGGGGTCGCGCCGGCGGCGAAGACTTCAAAGCCGGGAGACTTCATGTGCTTGTTGAGGAGGTCGTCTTTGGTGTCGTAGCTGGATGATGGCTGTTAGCACCGCAGTGTGATTGAAGAACTTGTAGGAGGACATACATCTCAATGCCGATGATATCGTTGCTCTCGAGCGACGACGAGAAAAAGTAGGCAGAGTTGAAGTCGCCCTCGTTGTCGTAGACAAACTTCTCCTCGGGCTTGAGAACCTCGTAGACCTGTTGAGTACTAATTGTCAGTCCACTTGTCACCACCCAGCACCCAATCGATCCCATCCACTCGATCCACATCAATCATCTTCTTTCGATAAAACATACGGCATCACGCTTGCCCTCGGCGGGGTGCATCTAGAATCACAACAGTCAGCTTAGCAGAACCAAGGTGAGGGGCAGCCGAGACGCTGCCGCGGAGATAAGCCTGCCGCGCTGCTCCCGCCCGACAACAACCCACAGAGAGACATACAGTGGCGATAGTAACAAAAGTCATTGTGAGTGCAGACTGGTCAATTAGACTGTTTGGTGGACGTAAATGGTGAACTGAGCAGGTTCTGGATGAGAGGAAGGAAAGAAGAGCGGAGAACGGTGGCTGGAATCCGAAAGCTTCGAGATCGAAGCAACAGCCGCGAGCGGGGCGTCGCCCGACTCGCTTCGTCATTCGCCTGTTTCTCCGACCATTACCACCTCTACGACAAATACTCTCTTCTTTTAATCCACGTTTATTGATATCGTAATGTAATACTATAAGAAATAAGAATAAAAGTCCAATTACCAAATGCGAACACCGACCTGTGAGAGCGCTATACAAAAACATCACAAAATACAAATAATCAACACTGATAGCAACAACTGAATAGCAATCTACTTCTCTTCACCTCTCCTCACTCACTTCACCTGCACCTGGTACTTCCACCGCCCCTCCGCAAGTCCCTTCGCGGTGTCAGACAGCAGGTTCTCCCGGCGCTTGTTGCAGTACGCAGTCCGGTCCATCACCTGCACCTTCAACTCCGCAAGCTCGTGTATCGGCTTCCCAAACAACAGCGACAGGTGCTCCACCGCCAACTCCAGATCCTGCTGGTTGTCCTCGAAAATATGCGTGTCGTTGTTCCGCTCGAGGTAGAACGCAAACGCGTACGTCCACTTCAGCGTCTGTCGACACTCCTGCAGCGCCGCCGACGCCTGCGCAAGATACTGCACCTCGATCCACGACATCCCCGACGTCGACTGCAGCTGCGTCATCTTCTTCTCCGTGCGCACGTACAAGTCCTGGTCAAGCTTCGCCGACTGCTCGTGGTTCGCGTACCGGTTGTAGTAATGCAAATAACGCTCCAGCGACGCCCGCGACTTGGCCTGGCTGTCGCGCGCGTCCACTCCCGACTTTTCGTCGTACCGCGAGCAGTTGTACCACGACGTCCCGTGCTCCGCCCAGTTGCCAATGCAGATCCAGCAAAACTCGTACTTGCACTTCCGGCACGTCATGTGGTTGCACCCGCCGTTCTTCTCAATCGTCGCCCGGCACTTTGGACACTCCTTTGTGTGCGCAGAGATCCAGTTCGCCGTCTCGGAGTCGTCCTCGCATTTTTTGATCCACTTCTTCACCAGCGCGCAAATCGATGGCTGATGATCCGGCAGACCGCACCCGAAGCAAAACCGGTGCCCGCACTTGCACGTAACCGTCGGCACCACCGACGTCAAATCTTTGGCCGACACGTCGTCGCACTTCACCGCGTACTCGCAATTCGGCGCCGGACACCAGATAAGGTGCTCGTTGTCGAGCACAAAAGTCCGGTGCAGCAGCGTCTGGTAGCGACCATACACCTGCGGCTCCACCAGCGTCTTGATCGCGCTATCGTTCATCACCACAGTGCAGTCGCCCGCACATGTGATGTTGCGCGACTCGCCTTCGTCCACAATCTTCTGCGTCGCGTACTGTCGATAGCACTCGGCGCAGAACCGGTGATCGCACTCGAGGGCAAACGTCATCAGTCCTTCGCGGTCCTCGCAGCATATATCGCAGAAAAATCCTTCAACCGGCTTGATCTCGTACACAAACTTGTCGTCGTCGCTGATCGACACTCCCGCTTTCTTCAGCACGCCTTCGGGATCCTCGGTGTAATGCTCCAGCAAACGGTCGTTGTTCCATTTGAAGTAGAGAAGAAGAGTCATCGCGTTCTCGTTCGAGAGACCGAGGATGCTCGACACTTGCTCAATCAGTTCGTCTTGCTGTTTCTGGATGTCGGAAACCGATAGCACTTCGTACGCAATCTCATACGGCTTCCGCTTCAAACTCTCCGGCTTGACGTCGTCAAACCCATCGTTTCCGTCGTCCCCGTAGTCTAAACTGTGTCAGTTAAAGATTCTGATGACTAGCAAGACTCAAATTACTCACCCGACCCCTCATAGCTCTCGTATCCGAATCCATCGTCCGATCCCTGACCGTAGTCATCGTCGTAGTCGTCGCTCATATCACTCATACTGTTCTCGGCAGCACGCTTGATTCTCTTATTACCCTTGCTTTCACCAGCCGCTGACGACTTGTGATTTTCCGGTCCCGAGTCCTCCGACGACGATAGGACTTCTATGATTGTGTGCTTGCTGCTGCTGCTGCTGTCTCTAGTGGTCCCCGCCACGCTGGGTAGTTGTGCTATATCGGATGTCGAGGGTGGTCGCTTGGCAGCTGAATAGTAGTAAGCTTGCCTGGACCTTTCGACGGAGTGCGGGTGTGTGTGTGTGTTGCAGTGGAGGCAGAACCTTGTGAGGCTGTCTTCGATCTGCGCTCAAGCAAGTCGTGAAGGATCGTCCACAAGACTAAGACCGTGTGCTCTGAACGTGCAAAGACACAAAAAACAAACTAACCCCGTAAAAGAGCGAAGAAGCAGCAAAGAAGACCTTGTCTACTCTGCGTGCCGTAAACGACAGTCAAACGCGCTCTCTCGGCCTTGTCGCGATTCGCAGGACAAGCACTCGCAAGAACTGTATACGCGGCTTCTTCAGATAACTCCGCTACCAGCTGCCGAAACCAAAAAAGCACCGCTCAACTAACGCGGGTGCTAAACTGCCTGGGTTCTCGAAGGCGGATGGTCGAATAGTTGGGAGTACGGCTCGCGGCTCTCGTGCGCGCTCGTTCGTTCACTCAAGTGCTCTGGCGCTCTCAAAGGACACGCAGAGATGATAACTGAAACTGAGAGTAAAACTGCTTATTCGCCCCGCCAAACAGCAAATCTAAAAGGCAAATAAACACAAAGCACAGCGTTGTTCAAGGCTCTGAGCTGCAAAGGGAGTGGTTGAGTTGCGTTGGACTCCGGAGTGGCGGACGAGCCTTTGGTCACAGTCGGAGCCGGGTAAGCGTCACGTGATCTGATTGCGAATCCGTCTGCGGGATTCTTCAATGATGATAAATCAGAGACTGTTAAGTAAGTAGTAGTCATATGTATAATTGTGTATTGCCGTAATTCTATAACTCATATAATGCCCAGTCATACCCGACTCTTTTTCACTGATAAAAGTAGAAAATAGAAATGTATATCTCATAACAAACGCCTCTTCCCAACCCTCAGCGGATCCTGCACCACATCCCGATGCGAGGCCGCGACTCCCACTCCCGCTCCAAGCGCGTCCTCCTCCTCATCAGACGAGATCTCGAGGATTGCGTCGCCGTCATCACTCCGGTCGACGTGGCTGCCGACGATGATGGGCGGATGCACGCTGCCGATGAAACTGCCTGCTTCGTCGTCGTCGTCTGCTTCGTCGTCGCTGTTTTTGTTGAGAATGCCGTAGCCTGCTCGCGCGTGCTCTTCCGCAAGCTTGCTGAGTTCCTCAAGGTCGTACTCGGTCATGAACAACGCCGAGATAAACGCGGGAATGACAATGAAGAACGCGACCCAGATCAAGACCGCCATGACGTCTTTGTACGCAGCGACAATAGACTGTCGCTCCGGGCTCGACAGATCGGGGTAATGCTGCCGGGCATACTCAAAGTCCCCGTAGATGTCATACACCTCGCTCTGCATGTCCTCCGGCAGATAGTACTTCAAGTACGACGGCAGCAGCGACGTCCAGATCGCGCCCGAGATCGACGCACCGACGGCCGATCCGAGCGAAAAGACAGTGAGGAACATCGCCGTCGCGAGCGCGACATCCGAGTGGCTGCACGACGCCTGCACCCCGATCTGCGTCGGCACAGACAGCAGACCGCCGCCCGCGCCCGTCATGACCTGCGAGAACACGACAAAGAACGTGTGCGAGTTCGGCACCCGTGTAAAGTGCATCGTCAAGATTCCAATCTGGTAGATCGGGATCGCCATCAAGAGCCACCGCTTGTACCGGTGCGACCGCTTGATCAGGAGCGAGACAGTGATACCTGCGACCGTAGCCGCGAACGAGAAGATCTGCACGATCCGGCCTGCGGTATCGGTGTTCATCGGTCTGGTGACCATCAGATAGCTGAAGAAGTACGGCTGGAAAATGTTGTACGCTAGATCGTAGAAGAAAATAGTCACGCAGCCGCTGCGGACGGTCCGGTTCTCGAGAACCCGCAGACTCAGGAGCGGACGAGGTCTTGTGGTGTTGCTGTGGGGATCTAACTCTGCTCGTTTGGCGAGATACAGCTCCCAGACAATGAAGATGATGAACAGGATCGTTCCTCCGATCAGCAATCCGCTGATTCGAGGATCATGCCAGTGTGTGGCAAGCGTGCTCGACAGCGTGAGCGGGATGAGAACCATGCTGCAAGCAGAGGTGAATAGTAAGATTCCCAGCAGATCCAGCGCACCAGAGATGGACTTTGCAATCGCGAACAGCGAGGTGCCGCCCCAGGAAAACTTTGGAATAAGACCGATACTGCGGGCGCGACGCTGGTTGTGGAATAAGGTGATGAGCAACGGGGAGGCGGCTAATGGGACGAGAAGTACCCATACGCTGTAGCCTACCCGCCAAGTGAATTTTTCGATGGAAATGTCGGTCAACCAGGGCCTGTGATGGTGTTAGAAGCGGATAGAGCGGGAGAGAATAAGAGGAAACATACGCAATGAAGACAGTCACCAGAAACGGAGTATCTGGCAAGACAGAAAACAGGGCACGATTCAGCAGGTCGGTAGTATCTATGAGACAAACGTTAGTACGAACCATCCTCCAATCGTCTCAAAGAGTTATTGACTCACCCGCAACGAAAATCTGCTGGAGGATGAGCAACCCCGTCGTCCCACTCGCCGAAAAGATCTGCGCACTAGCATACGCCGACACGCTCCCGGCGAGCGACATCTGCAGGTATCCCGCGCAGAGCAGGACGAGTGCAAGAGTAAACGCTTCCGGTCTTCCGAAGGCGTTTGCGATCTTGGCCATGGGAGTCTTGACGACGGCGAAGAGAATGCCCTGAACGACCTGGACCATTGCGAGGAGTGAGTGGACGTGGAACTCGCTGGTCGCAAAGGGGGTGAGCAGGGCGGTGACTTGGCCGGAGAGAGAGGTTGTGAATGCGAGAAGGAAGAGGCCCATGTAGGCGCAGTGCAGGCCTCGTCTTGTCCATGTCTGAGCCAGCGCTTCCGCTTTTTGCACGCCTGAGAATACTGTTAACAAAAGTCTCATAAACAAAAGGAAAAGTCAGAGTAACCTACCCAATTCGGCGTACTCGTCAATGACGGTAGCAGCAGTGGCACTGGTAAGCGTTCTATTCAACCCCAGCTCGCGAATCTCGTCATGCCCACCCGCGCCACTCGGCGACTCTGCGCGCATGGGCGAGTACGCGTTATGGAAATGCGCACCGGAGTACTGCTGCTGGTCGAGCGAGCGCTGGACATGGTCCGGCAGCGGCGAGCGCGATCGAGATCTCGACCGTGCCCGTGACCGGTCGCGTCGGTGGACGCGCACGCGGAGTGGTTCGGGGGAGAGAGGATCCGGGACAAGGCGGTCTGTGTCCATGGTCTCAGATAGTGTGTGTGTGTGTGGAGGAGATGGACCAGGCTAGAAGAAGACTGGAGCTGAGAGGAAGACCCGGGATGGGTCTTGGATGTCTTGGAGAGTAGAGTGTGGCGTGAGTGAATACCGTCGTGAGGGACAGAAGCGGACACAGCGGAAGTAGCCCGGGCCGAGACTGTTAGTGCATTCAGCAGAGCGTCTCTGAGGAGTTATAAAAGAGCAGCAGCAAAGAAAAGCGACGAAGAAGCAGCAGCAGAGCGTCGAGGTTCGTGCAGCGGGTGTTTACAAGCAAAGAGCAGGAAAGCTTAAGCGCAGATTTGACAGCGGCGAAGAGGTCCAGATCCGCGTCTGCCAGCGAACCGTTCGTTCACGCGTTTACTCTGTTTTTTGTGTTTTCGATATCAATTTCGATATCATTTTCTACGCAGCGATCAATGAGAAGAAGGTACAGTGAAGGAAACTATTATTATAGATTGAGGTAAATAAAAAGCAACCTAAACACCGGCAAACGTGCAGAAGGCTCAGTGCTAAACCGACGAGAGAGCAACGACGAAGGAATAAGCAAAACAGAGCTGCTCGCAGCTGAGTTTTGACTCCTGCTTGATCAGAAGAAAAGGGTAGACAAGCAAGCACTAATAGTAGTGGTAATAACAACAAAAATACAATTCACAAATCACAAATCGATCTGGTACAACGACGGTAGAAAGCATAGACATTATTTTGGACGAGTCAAGCGGAATACAAAGCCATCAACGGAGAAGCATTAACTACACCAAAGGTCTCATAAAGTCTTATAAAGTCTCCTAAAGTCTCCTTATGGTGTAGTATATACTCAGATCAGATTGAAGCAGCTGAGCAGAGGCATGCACACCAAATGATGAGACAATATTCTGCCTGACTCCCTCCAAAACACGCGATATCCACTAACTGCGACAGGGTCAAGCAGCAAATGGAGCCACGTAGTGTCGCTTAGAAACCGTGGATCTTGATGTTCTTCTTCAAGATATTGAGCTGGGAGGAGAGAAACTCCATCACCTTGACACGCTGGTCACCTTGGAGCTGGATAACGTCGCCTAGCTCTTCATCCTTGACGATGGTACCATTGCAGGCAAAATCCTTCTTGAGCGCTCTCAAAATACGCTTGGGGTCATATTCCTGCGGGAGTCCCTGGACGGTAGTGAGGGTCTTGCGGCCGTTACGCTGCTGGATCCGGATGTGGATGTAGTTGGTCGGCTGACTGTCGTCGTCACCAGTATCGGCGAAAGGATCTGGAGGAGGAGGAGGAGGAGGAGTGAGAACAAGAACGGATGTGATGGAGGGGGGGGGGGTCAAAGAGAGGGCAGGTGCTTACCGAAGGTCTTAAGATTCTCGATGGACGTAGACATAAACTAGATACGGGATTTGTTTAACCTAGAGGTAAACTTGCTGCCGATGTGCGGGAAGAGGAAGAAGAAGAAGAGAAGACGGGATTCGGGCTGCGAAGAGGTGAAGAAGGCGGTGGAGGTGGTGAAGGTGAAGAAAGGACAGGAACCCGGCCAGCGAGCGGCGAATTTGCTGCCTCAGCGAACCCGAACCCTTGGAATAGGCGCCACCTGGTGTGTAATGTATTATGTAATAATGCTTATTAAATGATTATGTAACTTTACCCGGCCCTACTCTCACCACCACTCACCACCTCCTCTGCGAAAATATCTCTCGACGAAAAGACACAACTGCTCTCCCTCAGCATCTCCAACAATGCCCAGAAAAGCGCCCCCATTACCAATTCCCTCGGTGCCTGTTCTCAGGTCGCTGTACAAAGCCCAGCAAAAACCCCCCTCGGTCCACGCTCCTTCCAAGAAGCAGCTCGACCACGAATACCGGCAACAGAAGCAGCGCGAGCGGCCTCGTCTCCCGCCCGTCTACACCAAGTACTTCCGACTGGGTCATAAAGAGGTGCACTTCCCCAAGGTCTCGATCACCTTGCTCAGACCATTCTCGACCGAATACAACCCGTACCGGGCGCGCTTCCGCGTGCCGAGCAACTTCAACAAGTTTGACCTCCGCGACTATCTGCACAATGTCTACGGCCTCACCGTTAAGAAAGTCTACTCGAGCTTGACTGTCAACAGATTTTCCTTGACCATGCAGAAGTTGATGACTGTCGAAATGGACCAGCCGTTCATGTACCCGGAAATGCCCGATCTTTCTCCGTATGTTCTTCTCTTTCTATGACCATCCTCCGATCCATTGCTAACTCTATGCCCTCCACAGATGGAAAGTTGACGCAAACCGTGAGACCGAGCGATTCATGGACGAAGCCCGGCGCAGATACGGTGCTTCGAGCCAGGAAAACAAGGTCTACAAGGGATTCGGCGGAATCGCGCAACAAAAGTTTCCCACGATCAAGCCGTACATGCCCAAGAAGGCGGTCAAGGCACTCAAGAACCAGGCCAAGGTCGTTGATGTTTACACTAATGTCTCCGTCAAGGCGAAGGCTAAGCCAAAGCCGGAGTAGTTATGTGGTGAGCTGGATGGTGAATATAGAGACCGGGGGTATCGAATTGTATATATAGTCAAAATTGCCTCCTCATAAATATTGCTATACGATCCATGCAACATTATCTACAATATGCTATCTTCAGTAGAATCATTTTGAATATAAAATCGTAGCTATTCTCTAATCTCTTTACTTACGAAAATCCGACGCCGAAGGTGCGGCGTCCACGAGATCAGGGCTGATAGCCACCACACCGCTATCGCCTTCTACTCTACTCACCACCCCGCTCGTCTCTCACCGGCACCAGCCAAACCGCTTGCGCTTGAGACAATTGAGTTGCCAGCCTGCAATGAGCAGCAGCGAGGAACCCCAGTCCCTGGCTTCGACGCACTCGTACCTGCCGCCGTGGAGCAGTCCGCATGTTATTGGAATCGCGGGCTGCAGCGGGAGCGGCAAGACCAGTGTTGCGTCGCAGATCCTGAAAGCGTTGAATGTGAGTGTGTGTGTGGTCTGTGAGGTTTTGACGACTGCTAATTGATGTCGGTGTAGGTTCCCTGGGCGGTCATTCTCTCGTTTGATAACTTTTACAAGCCGCTGAGTCCTGCGCAGAGCAAGCGTGCCTTTGCAAAGTGTGTTGAATATACCTTCTTTTATATCTTTGTAGTCAATGATCAGCTACTGACTTTGCATGTCCAGTGAGTACGACTTTGACGCTCCCGAGGCCCTCGACCTCGACTCTCTCGCATGCGTTTTAAAGAACCTTCGACAGGGCAAGAAAGTCGATATCTTTACATACTCGTTCGCGCAGCACAATCGGTACGCTGTCTGGATTCTTCTTCATTGTGAATGTGAAATGTACTAATGACTGTACGATATAGGACGGATGTCACGACGCCGGTGTATGGCGCCAACATCATCATTCTGGAGGGTATTTTTGCACTGTACGACGAGCGCATTAACGAGATGCTCGACTTGAAGGTATCATTCTCTGCTGCTGCAAGTAACGTCAGAGCTCAAGCTAATATACAATAGGTCTTTGTCGACACAGATCTCGACATCTGCATGGCGCGCCGCCTGCGCCGAGACATCGTCTACCGCGGTCGTGATCTGCAAGGTGCGATGAAGCAATGGATGTCGTTCGTCAAGCCCAATTTCGAGCGCTACGTGCGCCCGACGATGGAGATTGCCGACGTCGTGGTTCCGCGCGGTCTGGATAATACGGTCGCGATCGATATGCTGATCCGGCACGTGCAGCGTACGCTCACGGTTAAGAGTCGGCAGCATTTGGAGCAGCTGTCGAATTTGAACGGCGAGATTGCGGGCCAGAACGATGTTGACGTCTGCACTCTACCCAACGTAAGAGTGCTGAAGCAGACAAACCAGGTGCGCGGAATTCATACGATCCTCTTCAACCGCGCGACCAAACGCGGTGACTTTATCTTCTACCTCGAGCGACTGATGGTCCTGCTCATCGAGGAAGCCATGAACGCCCAACCTTACAGCATCAAAGAAGTCCCCACCCCAACCGGCGTGCCCTACACGGGTCTTTTGCCAGAGCTGAATACGTGCGCGGTCGAGATTGTGCGCGGCGGAACGTGCTTCGAAACCTCGCTGCGCAAGATCCTGCCCGACACCGCGGTCGGCAAGATCCTGATCCAGTCCAACGCGCGCACGGGCGAGCCGTTCTTACACTACCTGAAGCTGCCGCCTGACTTTGAGAATAAGCAGATCCTGCTATGCGACACGCAGGCAATCACGGGCGCGGCGGCGGTGATGGCCATCCGTGTGCTGCTGGACCACGGGGCGGTGGAGAAGAATATCTGCTTTGTGACGTATTTGGCGGACAAGGCGCGCGCGATGAGGAGGATTCTGTCTGCGTATCCGAGAGTACAGGTCGTGGTCGGCAAGGTGGAGGATACGTTCAAGAGACGGTTTATAGACACAAAGTACTACGGCACTTAGCGGCACTGAGCGGGGTGAAGTGGATCTTAGAGATATAGGTGAACTGTGTAATGTATTATATAAACCCCATGAACTCTGAGAAAAACAAATGAAATAAAACGACTAGATAAGATAAAAAAGAAAAGGACCTTATGATAGAAAGGTGATGCGTGGGAGACATATTGTTTATTTCGTGCGGATGTGCTTCAATGGGCCAGGGCTGTGCAGGAAGTTGTTTGCGTATTGCTAGAGGAAGTTAGCCTTGACTGCTGATGAGAAGATCAAGATATATAGAAGGGGAATACCTTTGGCCGGAAGTCACGCTTGTGAGGCTCCTGGATGTAGTAATCCCAGCCCTGGTTGGTCGCGAATCGGATGGCGTCCTCCTTGGTCTTGAACTTGACCTCGGTGGCCTGCATGTAATCGCCACTGCTCGCCCAGCCCATGACGTCGTTTTCCCATCGAGCGCTCTTCTGCTCGATGTCCCAGTCCAGTCGCCAGACCTTTGTCTCTGCAAGATGGAAGAAAGTAGAGTCAGTAAACAGATATTTGTAGCAGCAGCAGCATAGACAAACAACATACCGTGGTTTCCGCTCTGCATGGCTGTCTTTGCGCGCTGGTAAATTCGGACGATGCGCTTTGTCGACAGATCAACGGGCGCACCGCTGATGATGTCGAATCGCTTCAATGGCTCGGTCTTGGTCTCGGGGATGGGAACGGGGGTGGCTGCCGCGGTCGAGTTCAGACGCGCGAAGAGCAGCTGCTGCTGGCACTGCGGAAGCGCAGCGCGGCGGACAGAGACGCGAGCGAGCGCGGAGAAGGTGCATCTGCTTGCCATTGTGAGAAGTGCGGAGAGAAGCAGCAAAGATGAGGTTCACGTCTTGAAAGAGAAATATCGCTGAGGGTTTCCGGGGCTCCCATTCGCGGCGGTTTGGTTGGCCAATCCAATCAGCACGTGATTAGTGCAGTTGTGGCATAACCGCACAGTTGAACGTGCACCGGCCCCGAGAACTTCCTCGTTGGCTGCTTTTCTTCTCGGCCCCCATCGTTCATTCACACCGATAGAGATCATCAAAAATGTCCTACATCGTCAAGCGTCAGTTGTCGACCCTCATTCCTCCCAAGATCGCCTCGGCCTCGGTATGTTTGTCTGTGTTTTGTGATTCTGAGACGTGCCGTGTGAACTAGCTGGCTGCTCCCCGGGATGAAGTCGGATTGCGCTTCGGATCCGATGGCAGCAGCGCGGCAGCAGCGAATCGATTGAGAATTCGAGAATTGCAATGTATGTTGTTGTTTGAACGAGATCTAACGGGAAGTTGTGTGTTTTATAGAACCTTGGTGCCGCCCCCGGTGCTAAGCGTCTCGCGTCCGTCGTCGACTTCTACAAGGCTCTTCCCCGTGGAACTCCTGCCAAGCACAAGCCCACTACCTTCATCGAGTAAGTCGTTATGTTGTGCAGTGAATTGCTGCGGACTGAGATTGAGAATGGGATTGAGATTGAGATTGAATGTGGTTGGGAGAGCGGGATTTGCTAACGTGATTTGTTTGTGTGTGTAGGAGATACTCGGCCAAGTACTTTGAGGGCGACAACGCCTCGGGTCTGCCTTTGGTATGCATTGCGTCTTTGTCTGGTTTATAGTTTTATTGCGTGCTGTATACTAACAGTCTGATAGATCCACTTGACCATTGCTCTCTTCCTTGTACGAGACCCGATCATCTAGCGATTATTCTGTTGTTCGTTCTACCCAGAGCGATTGGCTAACTCACTACTCCTTACTCTAGGTCGGCTACACTCTCGACTACCAGTTCCACTGTAAGTATCTGATCTACGCTTACATAACTGAATAGCAAGCCACAGACGCTAACGCACTCTACAGTGAAGCACCACAAGAAGGGCTCCGAGGAGCACCACTAAACGGCGGTCTAGGCCATGATTTGTTGGACTACGCACTGTACACCCTGTGCGGTTACAGCACAGATTGTGGTTTGCGGGCTATAGAATGATGTACGAGTTGGACGGCGAGATAATACAATGACTTGATTGTTATTATGCTTATGTAGACTGTAGAGTGCACGATGCTGCCGGCGTCTGCCACCCCCTCCGTGAATAAAACAAAAACAAAAACAAGAAAGACAAGATCAGAATACAACTAACGACAGAATACACCTGCAATTGATCATCAAACACCTCCAGTCCGGGGTGGTGAGCAGCCGGTTCTGGGTCAGCGGGCTCAACGAGCGAAAAGAAATTCTTGTCACCAAAAAAAGCCTCCGCTGGTCTCCACGCTTCCTTCTTGTCTGCCTCCAACCACGCTCTCGCTTCCTCACCTCTCCTCCTCCTCTTCTTCTCCATATCCTCCTCCTAATCCTTCTTATCTGTCTTGGATTTCATTGTTTTTATCTTCTTTCTCCTTCTCCTTTCCTTCTCATCTCACTGTCGGCTGTCTCCGCTATACGACTCTACCCCCATCCCCGTTCACCTCCCCATCTGGCCCTTCACCGCTCCTCTCTCTGCTGCGCAGGCCTCGAACAAATTATCCGGTACATACTCCCTCTTCTTCCTTCTAGTTGGTCTTTTGATTCTGTGCTGGTGTTGTGGCAGACTGCTGCTCCTCGTCTCTCACTCGACTGCCTGCTCTCCTCTAAAAACCCTCCCCCTCAACCTCACGGCCGCCTCTGCCACCGCACCACCCTCACACACCTCCTTCCGAGTCCCCTGCTCTAACATAGCTTATTCCCGCTCTAGGATTATGGATGGCAATGACTCGTCGGCAACCCAGAAATCCGAGCAGGCCTCGCCCTCGCCGGCCCCACCGTCCGGATCATCTACGACCGATTCAGGTAGCGCTGCCGCAGACCAGATCCAGCAGGTCGTGAACGCGACCGCTGTCGCCGCCGACAACGCGCCCTCGTCGTCCGATCCGGTGCTCCAAGCCGATTCACTCAACTCAGCCAACTCATCGTCGTCTTCCTCTTCCTCTTCAACTCCAATACCCGACAGCAGCAGCGGCAGCACAGCGCAGGACGGACACCCTGTGTCGCAACCGTCCGCTACAGAAGATCAGAAGCAGGCTACCGGTGCTGGCACCGCGGTGGGAAACACAAAATCAACGACCGGCATAAAGAAGACTTTTAAGCCTCAGTCTTTAAATGGCATCTTTCGCCAGCTGCAGGCAACAAATCCGCCTACCCCCGCCAAAGGTGCAGACAGAAGTGCGTATTCTTCCTCGCCACGATTAGACGGCCAATACTGTATCTCTTTGATTTCCATACTAACACACTAATTTTCCCACAGCGGCCCAATTCACCTCCCAGCAAAATGCCCAAGCTAGTCTCAACGCAGCAAAACTGCGCATGGCAACCCCAAAACTCACAAGCACGACCACCGGCGCATACACCCTAGCTCCACTCAGACGAGATCTCTCGATATCACCCAGACCAGACAGCGCCGGCCTTCGTCCTGGATCTGCTGCGGGATCAAAGTCTAGTTCCTCGACTCCAGTATGGAACAAGAGTCAAGGTCAGGGACAAGGCCAAAGTCAAGGTCAAGGCTCTAGTCAAGGTATGTATTTTTTCATTCGACTCCTCTTTTTTTAGAAGTCTCTTTTCCAAAGGACTTATTGAGAACTCTGGCTGATAATTTGATAGCAACCGCCCCCGCAAAATCAAGAAAGGACCTGACAGAAGAAGAACTAAAGAAAATGGGAATCCATCTCACTGGCAGTATCGCAGTCGATCACAAGGACTCAAAGTGGGATGATGTAAGTTCTTTTTCATATCATGATTTCACAAACAGACTTTCCTCTAACATCTAATCAAGCTCGACGACGATGACGACGACGACTGGGGCGACACGATCGAATTCGGCGACGGCACAAAAGTCGTTCTCAGCCACGACAGCCGGAACGAAGAACAAGCAGCTTCCGACTCGAAGAATGAACAATCCTCGCAACCTGAAGCCGACCAAATTGCAGCCAGCAAGCCTCCACAATCCTCCACACCACAGACAAATCCCTCGTCTTCGACAAAACCATCGCATTCATCGCCTTGGGCACCCGTTCCCCATGTCCAGCCTACCTCTCTGCTTGCACGCATGGCCGACAACGCTAGCGAAGCCCAGCAGAATGAGCTACATCACAACATGCGCGAGCGAGACTTTGGCGGCCGGGACTTTGGCGGAAGAGAATTTGGTGGAAGAGATTTTGGCGGCCGGGACTTCAACCGAGAATACAGAGATGGCGGCGATAACTACGGCCGCGGTTCGAATTTCTTCCGCCATGATTACGATGATAACAGCTATGGAGGTTACGGCGGTGGCGGTTACGGTGGAGGCTATGGTGGTTCGTACGGCGGGCGCCGCCAATACATGGATCACGATATGCTCCCACTTGGTTCTGGAGATTCGCGAATGCCGCAGCTTGGCTCTGGAGATGCACGGGGTCATCAGCAGCCCATTGTTCTCTCTAGAGACAGCATGGACTTTGATCGCTCATATGGTCTACGACCGTCGCAGCACGAGCTGTTCAATGACCGCTCGGGTCAGATCGAGCCTGTGCGCCGAAAGTCGTTCAACTCCAAGCGACCAGGTCCGCCAGGTCCTGCTCCTAAAGCACTCAGCGTTGCCTCGCGTGATGCTGACGAAGACAATGAACGACATAGCCGCCGCCCGTCAGCTTCGAGTTCAGAGCATCCAGTAGCACCGAGAAGACCTAGTCTGGATCGAACAGTCTCACCCTCGCTGTCAGCGCGCTCAGTGTTTTCTGAAGACCACGGCCGCTCGTCGATTCATTCTGAAGAGCATGTAAAGTCCGCCAGTCATTCCCCGTCGTCGACGTTCAGTCAACTTCACCACGAAGGCGACTCGCCGGTCGAGCCAACAGCCAGACCGTCCCATATCACAGCTAAGCAGGAGATGATAATGAAGCACTCGATCGAGAACGCGCGGAAGCGAAAGGAAGAAGAACAGCGTCGCGAGCAAGAGCGTTTGGAAGCGGCGCGAAAACGCGCGGAGGAAATTGTGCGCAAGAAGCAGTTACAGTTCCAACAGCAGTCGGCGGGTACGGACGCGACACCGTCTTCTGCGGCAGCCGATAAGCCTTCTGCCTCTACTGAGAGCAGCTCTGATAAGCAGGAGAAACCACAGCAACAACAAGAGCAGCAAGAGTCTGCATCGGCCAAGAGCTCGCCGGTGAAGCAGTCGACAACAGATGCGAACCGATCACCTGTTATGAGTCAGAGTCGAGTTCTGAGAAACGACGCTGCAGTGAAGATCAAGCGAAAAGCGTCGACGGCGTCGTCAGATGCTGAGGGCATTGACGCGTCAGTCACGGCTGCTATCGAGACTTTGATCTCAGAGTCTAGCGCCGGACACTCTCCACCTGCAACGCGCGCCTCTCTATCGAAACTGGCCCCTGGTCATGCCACCTCCGGTTGGGACCATGAACGAGGAGCGGCCTCGAATAGAGGAGGTAGTGGGTCGTGGCCCCGAAACGGCCTTCATGATAACGCGCGGACGAACCAGCAGTTTAGAAGCTTTAATGATAATGTATGGGGACCGGTGGGAAGCTCGAGCAGGTATCCCGCCATCGATGGCGTTGGAAACGGCGCCGTTGTTGATCATCGGTCATTTATGGGCCACGGAGAGTATCACCATGGATCATCAAACCACGAGTGGAAACCAAATACGACTCCCGCCCAAATGTCAGATAACTGGAGACGGCCGTTTGATTCGCCTCGAAAACAAGGCGAGGGCACAGCTGCTGGTAGTACGAGCGAGGTCAAGTCGCCGCGGTCTGCGACGTCGTCGTCTGCTGCTGGACCGCAAGCGTCGCCTATTAAACCGCCAGGAAGCAACGCTCAGCGGCCATCACCCGCGCGAAGTCTGAGTTTTGAAAAGTCCGGGGATGAGAACTCGTCTCCACTTCTTGGAGGCCAGCAGTCTACGCGGACGTGGTCGAGATTTTTCCCGTCTGCGTCGACAAACTCGGGGAATATGTACCAGGTCATGAATCCTTCTGCGTCTCCGACTGGTCTTGGCGCATCGTACTCTGGAATTATACAGGATTCGGATATTGCTGCGTTCAGGATAGACGGGAAGGATGACGCTGCTAGCCTCATGCTACCGCAGTCGGTCAGTAATCTGACCGACGACACTCCTCTTGGACAGGCCAAACCTGTGGTTCATTTACCTCCTCCGCAGGCGACAGCAGACCTGAACCCGTCGGCAGACGCGTCAAAGATGTACGCGAGCAGCTCGTCGTCCGGATACGGCCAGGCGCACTATTCGCCGGAGCTATCAGATTCGTCGTTCCCTCGGTCGCCTCAGCAGATACACAGTGCCAGTCTGGGAGGTGGGCCTTTGGAGACAACGTCGCGGGATAGCGCTGGTAGCACGCTGGGATATATCGGCGGCAAGATTCCGTCGATAAATGCGATCGAGGCGGTGCAGTCGCGGATAGCTATGACCTTGAGCCACAGAGCTGCCAGCGAGAGCAATAAGCGGTTTACACCGTCGTCGCCTTCGGGGTCTCCGTCAAAGGATGAGACTGTGTTTTCTGGCGATGCTGCTGCAGAAGATGTATCATCGATAGTTGATATGCCGAGCGCGTTGGCGCTCACTATGCCGATAACTACAGTCGAGTCGTTTGAGATCCCGGAGGACGTTTCGCCCACGGAGAAAAAGACGAGAGCCACAGAGACGGTTCCGACGATTCCAATCAAGCTAGCAGAGTACCCACAGAACTACGTACCCCTGAACCTAGGAAAGAAGGCAGCTGATACGTTTTACCTCAGCAAGCCGCCGTCGGTGAATTTCCTGGGCATGGTAGCCTCTGCCGTGTCGTCGGCCTCTCCGGCATCGAACCCGTTCAACCCGCACCGAAGAGGCGGCGGTAGCAGTGCATACAAGATCATGCTTCCGGGAATGCGAGAGCACAAGTCGATACCGGTTGATGTGTCTGTTATTCTTGCGGCCAGCCGATCCGGCGATCATCACAGTAGCGGATCGAGAGGTAGTCGGCGAGGAATGCCGAGCTGGTTGTCGCGAAGAGGAGGGTTTGGAAAAACAGTGTCACAGGTCCATCAGACTGCCAGTTAAATTCAGTCAATCTGACGAGAGGTAATTATTTGATGATGAGGAGGAGCAAAGACGAGACGAGCAAATGTCCAAAAGCAAGTGCGAACGCGAACGCGAAAAATAGGGAGAGACAAAACGAGGTCTTCCTGCGAATTGAATTGAACAAAACACAGCAATGAATGATTGGTTGATTGAAAGTAATGGGAAATTTCTTCTTTCTCCGTTTGTTTTTTATTTTTAATTTTTTTATTTTATTTTTACAGCTTTGATCAGCTTTGAAGTTAGTTAATGTATGTTTTTTCTACAAAGTATCTTTTAGTTAGTTTAGGCGACTTTTATTTTTTATGTTTTTATTCTAAATCAGTCTTACTATCGTACTATCATTCTTGGTTCCCGTGGATGGAGAACACGGAAAGTAAGAGCCGGTGGCTAAGAGTTGAGAAGAGTGACAGTTCAGGGTTAAGGAGATGCTGTGACGGCACAGAGGAAATTCAGAATATGTATTGTCAAAGAGCAATTCTTGCGTTTATCCACGGAGGAAGATGCTGATTTTTATTCTGGATAAATTTACTAATATATTTTGAACTACTTGCGAGTTTGACAAGCACACTAAACGACTAAAAATATAAAAAATAGATACAAAATAATACATCAACTGGTATCAGTCGTATTCAAATCATTGCAACTCATAAATCAAACGAGACAAAAATCGTAATCATACATTCAAGCATTTTGGCCTTCCGATATTTACAGCCACATCCGCATCACAAATTAGTGTCGACCCCATCCTGCCGCACCCGCCAGCCTGTTGCACGCCATCGACGACCGCCTGCTCGTCCACGCCCACGCCGCCGACGACGCTGCACGCGCGGCATTTCCGCCCGCAATTGCGAGTGACGGCCGCGATTGCAAGGCCGCAGAGCTGGTTGGTGTTTACGGAGCTGAGACCGAGGACGGACTTCACTTTTGGTTGGTGCTGGCCGAGCACGACTGCGAGTTCGCGCGCGCGGTCGGTGGGTGTGGGGTCGGTGCTTGAGAGGGAGGAGAGGGAGGATAGGCTGGAGTTTGCGGAAGTGCCGAGAGGAGAGGGCGAGGATCGGGTTGAGAGGTCATCGGAGGAGGATAGAGAAGCTGATGGAGAGGAGGAGGAGAGCCAAGCTAGGATTGTCTCGTTTTCCTTATTGGCAGACCGCGCAAACGGGCGCCGCTTTTTACTCAGTCGCGACAGCTTCGAGTCCGTTGCCCGAGGCTTTAGACTCGAGGTTTGGTGCCTGTGGATCTCGACGTATTCAAACGAGTTGCAGAATGGGATGTTCACACAGGGAACGGTCGAGACTAGTCTGAGCTGGCCGCTGTCTGGGCAGGTGGAGAGTAAATTGCGGCACATTGGTAATTGACAGATTCAGGTAAGTTCCCCAACTATATACAGAACATCAAAAACCATCACCGAAGCAGAACTGCCTATATATATACTTAACCACCCCTCGATGGCCGATAAAAATATGGGGCTGTCTGTCGTCATGCTGAAGGCAGACCTAACCCGCAGGCAACCGCCTGCTCAGCTTGTGGCCTGTCTGTGCGAGGACCGACTCCTACCTTGCGGATGTTTCAGCCATCGCCAGAAAACCGCAGACCGAATGAAGATTAGCTGATGACTAGCTGATTAGTGGCTTGCTCTCATCTCGCGAGGAGTGTCAGTGTCGGCGCTACTGTGACGGTGCTCACAACGAGCGGCGCGCACAGACGCGTATGTTGAGGATTTGCTGCCACGCCAGACGCATGTGCCTTGCTTCTCGCACTGCTCTGACGCAATTCACGCGGACTGCCAGGATACTATTTGAGGCGCGCTTCAGATCATGGCAGAGGAGTCAGTGGTCGGACCTTTCGTGCAGCTAGATCGCTGCTCGAGCCCTTTGGCCAGGAGAACGGTCGACTCCTGGAGTCAGGTTGTAACAGATCCATGCCAGGTGCTTGCTAGGGTATCCAGAAATGAGCGCAGTAACGCGTCAACAGCAGCTTGGGAGTTCAGACGAAAAGCTATCGCGAACGACGGCAGTTGTTCACGACTTTCAAGACACGTTCTTATATCTATAGACAGAGGACAAAACTCCAACACCACACCTGCTCAAGAATAAAGCACAGAGCGCATTAAAACTAGAGAAACAGCACACGACCGCGAACAGGATCTATCATTAGCTTTCTCTTGCTTGCACCGAGCTCGGACGGCGGTCAAATGAGTCTTGAACTGACTCAAACAGCGTCAAGACACCGTATTATCACCACATACAGTTATCGTGCATGCTCTCCAAAAGAAAACACAACCATAAATCACCACAGACAAACAACCTCCCAAAAAACTGCTGGCCTCCAACTTGTCTGTCGCTATCGCAGCTCACGAGTTCCCGTATCGTGATTGACGATCTGCACGAGCCATTCCAGGTCACGTGAGGGAGATTGGGCAGCGCGCTGGCTGGCAACTCAAAATTAAGTTGATGTCGGTCGTTGTCTGCGAGCAAGAACAAGGATCGTCTGGAAGATATCGATACAAGAGTGCAGGGAAGACTTCTGCGAGACGAGAACTGTGCTTTGAAGGGGGTTTATTTTCTTTGGCTTATATTACTGCGGTTGGAACGCGAAGAGCGAGCGGAAAAGGTGCGTATCTTGAATTTGCTGGTGGATATCAGAGATGATGGTCTAACAGTCTATACAGAAATTGAGATCCACTAATAGTGGTAAGCATTCGACGGTCCAATACTCATCACCAGTATCACTACAGCCTACTAACTATACCAGGCGATGTCCAGCAGCGCGGTAGCATTCGAAGCGCGGTCAAATAACTACAGCTTTGGCAATGTCTTCAAAACTCTCACAAAGGGACTCAAGTCCTCCTACACATCTGCTGCTGCGTCCGACGCGAACTCTACGACTCTACTAAGCCACCGGCGACGGAGCAAGGTTGCCGGTGTTGGCCTTCATGTGTTGATCGCGCGACTTCGGGATGACAACGTGCCAGAAGAACGAATGGCGGCGGCTGAAGCGCTCATGAGAGCGGTCAAGACTACTACTGTCTCTGACAGCCTTGTTGAGACCTGGTATGCGGCACAGGATATGCTGAGTCTGACGAACCCTCCCGAGCTCCGTCGTTCGGCTTGGCAGCTTTTGATGACCTGCATCGCCTTTGACGCAGACGACGACTCTCTCTCTGTGACGAAGCTGGTGTACTATCGAACAATAGTCGAGCGGCCGGTCGGTGATGACTTTGACTTACAGCTTGCGGCGTTCAGAGCTCTCACAAAAGATGGAAGAGAGCTGCCGGTCCTGGGTCCGTCCGAGAGTCCGTTTGTGCTAATCATCTCGACATGGCTGCGCGTCATTTTCAAGACTGTCGAAAAGGCACGCTCGTCTTCGGCGGCGAACCTGCAGGAGTGCGAAAAGTCCTTGCGCGCAATCTGCTCATATACTATCAACGTCATCAAGTTCAACTACTACGCTTTCGACGAGAAAGATATCGTCTCTCTTTTACGCGACATCTTAAACGTCTGCCGCCGGTCGTCTAGCAAGTCAGACACCGTGGAAGGAATTGCAATGATCAGCACTCTCACCGTCTACGGAAACCTACCGATATCCATGCTCAATCCCAGCATAGAGACACTCTGCAGCGCAAGCGTGGTCGTACCTGAGCTCTTTGACTCGTGCTGGGAAGCTATCCGCCATCTCGTCAACAGTCATCTGACCAACAACACAATCGTCTCGCTCTACGACCTCTTGCGAGACAGCAAGCCGAACCGCATCAGCGCGGTCAAGGGTGGAATCGTATTTCTCCAGCGACTACTTGAGGAAGAGCCAGAGAAAACAAAGACATACAATCTGACAATCAACTCTGTGATGAAGTCGTACCGCGCCGCGATGAAGTTCCAGCAAAACATAGCGATCGATCTTGCCGTCTGCAGTAGCATGGCTGCTTTGATCATGAACGACGAGACGTACAAGATGATTAGTTACGACGACTACAAGTCGGACGACTCGCCCTTGACTGTCATCATGAACTCTGCGAGCCGAGTCACTCTCCCGCTCAGCGACGACTACAGAGCACAGTCTACCAGAGAGACCGAGGCTTCGAACGCAATCATGACACTCGTTCAACAGATCATGGTTAAGCTGTACTACTCTTACACGTCCGAGTCGTTCTTCGGGCCATCGGACGTACTCATGAGCTTTTTCTTGCATGTAAACACATATGCCCATCAGGAGATTGCAGAGACGGTCGTTGATTTCTACGAGCGCGAGTATCTTTGCTTTCCCTCCTCGAGTGGGTGGGAGGCAAACTCCTCTGCTCTATTAGAATCATACTTTGGTAACCAGGCGCGCCCTTACGCACTGCGACTGCGAGTCATGCGCCATATGGAGACAGTGTACAAGGTTGCCAGAGAAGTCTGCGAGGAAGACGTGGTCGACCGGTTCCTGCACCGAATATTTGACACCATCGGCACAGAGACCGACATGAACATCCTAGCGCAGGTCGTCGATTTCGGTGTCGAAGTGGCTTCTACAAACAACGTCGCCGCGTTCGAGAAGCTAGTCGAGAATTTCTACAAGTGTATGCAGCTGCAGGCTTCCAGACGATCACAAGAGCCTTCGGCATCAGACGGAATACTTTCCTCTGGCTCAACTGCGAGACAAGCGTCAGCGCGCTTCGCTCGCCCGACGTCGCAGTCCACCAATCCCCTTCTCTCGGTCTCTCGCGCGCGGGCAAACTCGGCTTCGAAGCAAACCCCAGACCTGGCTATGACTCCAGCCAAGAGCAATCAAGTGACGGCATCGCAGATCATTGCCCGTGCGTTTGTCATTATGTTTATCAACGCGCTCGAGAAATCTGGCGAGAAATGCGGAATAATGTATCGCCATCTGCTGCGGATCGCCGGCGCGTCTTCGAAATGGGACGCGCGGACGATCTTGATTGTGTTTAACCTGCTGTTTCGGATTAGAGTCAACTCAGCTTCGCGCGTCATGCTCTTGCATCCAACTGATATGGATGGGTTTGCAGAATCACTGGGCCGCTATAAACCGACGATGACGCCGGAAGCGATCGAGAAAGCATTGTGGCTGTATCCCGAGGACCCGATGGTTCTAGGCGCTTCTCTTCCTCCTCGAGCCAGTTACTTTGTCACAATCATGGGCACTGACACGAGACTTCAGCAGGAGGAGAAATGCGACATTTCCGAAGGCGCAGAGTTTGGCCCGCGGCAGCAGTGCGAGGAGGTCGTGATCGACCGCCGGCGCGGAACCGCGGTGCTGAACATGTCTAGCTGGCTTGCGATCGTCACCGACATTCTCCGCGAAGGAGCAGATTGGGAGGTGTACTCGTTCGTAATTGCGTTCATGCCGCCGCAGATTTCGAACGTGCAGCTCTTTGTGCATTCGAGAGAGGAGATGCGCGAGCTGCGATCGGTGCTGTGTGAGCAGATCGCGGTGCGGGTTACGCAGACGCAGTTTGGTGAGAAAGTCGCAAAGGCGGATGTGCAGGTGTGTTTTATCAGATCGATGTCGTCGGTGATCGCGTACCACTCGTTCTTCTCCAAAGCCGAGCAGGACACGATTGTGAAATCCGTGCTGCTCGGGCTCGGCGCGCACGAGAAAGTCGCGGCGGCAGTGGTGCACTGTCTGCTGATGTGCTGCCACGAGTTCCCGATCTCGATCAAGCGGGTTCTGTCGCAGATCTTCACGTCGTTCCAGACCAAGATCACAAACTCGGCGCTCAGCGTGCATATTCTTGAGTTTTTGTCGGCGTTGGCGAGGATCCCGTCGCTGACGTCTAATTTCACACAGGACGACTTCAAGCGCGTGTTTGCGATGGCGTTCAAGTACGTCGAGCATGCGAATGACATGTCGTCTACGATTGGAACGGATGAGGTGCAAAACTCGAATAACAGAGTGCTTTCTCAGTACCTGATTGCTCTGGCGCACAACGTGGTGACCACCTGGTTTTTGACTATGAAGATGACTGATCGCTGCGACCTGGCGCCGTTCATCATGCGCGGGCTGTTGCTGGCTAACAGCAACCGGCCGACGGCCATTCCCGAGTCTGGAAACGAGTCCAGGCCAAGCGATGAGCGCACATGGGCCTCGATCGATTTGATTACGCGGTTCATGTACTCCGAGACCGAGCTTAAGATGCAGGATGTATTCAAGGGTATCGGCGGTGGCAAAAAATCTTCTGAGGTGGTGGGAAATATCTGGGTGCATGGCCTGAGCATCGTGTCTATTGAGTCGTTCCTAAAGACTGGGATCTCGCAGGTTGTGGTGCGTCGGCCGACAGGTACTACTTCGTTTAGTTTGCTGCCGGATCATAGCATGCTGCCGGCGTGGAAAGATAGTCTTGAGAGTCCAATCACGAGCTTTCCGGACGACTTTTCAGCCGACGACCAACTCGCGCTCCTGCCGCCGTATTTCTTCACCGAGCTCGTGGCGCCGCCAGAGATGCAGTCCTCGATCACGCCGACGCTTGTGTCGAACCCTGCCGATCCGGCGATTGTGCGCGCGCTGCAGATGTACGACCGCACGCCGGTAGTTGAGTTTCACAAGATTGGGATTATCTACATGGGACTTAATCAGACGTCTGAGCAGGAGATCCTCGCGAACGCGGTCGGGTCGAAAGCATATCTTGATTTCCTGGACGGGATGGGACAGTTGATTCGGCTCAAGGGGAATAAACAGGTGTACACGGGTGGTCTGGATACCGAGGGCGATGTGGACGGGGAGTACGCGTATGCGTGGAAAGATAAGATCACCCAGGCTATCTTCCACTGCACGACGTTGATGCCAAGTCGTCGGCGGAGCGTGAACGGCCGGAGCGAATCGACCGAGAACCTGGGCGAGCCGCTGTACGACGACGAGAGCCTGTCGAACAAGAAGCGACATATCGGAAATAACTTTGTGAATATCTACTGGAATGAGTCCGGGCGGCCGTTCAATTTTGATATGATTCGAAGCCAGTTCAATTTCATCAATATTGTGATCTCGCCACATACCAAGGCCGCGTCGTCGTTTGCTCCGGACTCGTCCGTGGCGTCTGCGTTACTTGGGACGGGAAGTAGTGCGGTGAAGGGCTTTGATTTCTTCAAAGTCAGAGTATACGTCAAGCCCGAGGCGGACAAGTCTGCGTTGTTTGCGCCGGCGTCGCATCTAAAGTTGATTGGCAAGAACTCCTTGCCGTTCTTTGTGCGCAACATGGCGTTGAACGCGGATATCTTTTCGTTTGTGTGGCATATGCATCCCGGGGACGAGTACTTGAGTAACTGGCAGTACAGGGTGCGGCAGACAAAGTTGCTCAAGGAGCGGATTGATAAGATTAGAGAGAAGGAGGAGCGGGAGGCGGCGGAGAAGGCAAAGGCAGGCGATGCTTGATTCATTTGTACATATTGAGAATTGTTTTTTTTGAATATTTTCAGTGTTTTGGAATATTTGGTATTATTTTTTGATTTTTGGCGTTTGTATTGTTGATTTAGAATGTACATAGTGACTACAATTAACAGTACTAAATTACATATAAGTTCACTCCAACAGCCTGTTATTCGATTCCCGCTCGTGTTGCTGGGCTAACCGTAAAAAATCAGCCTGCTCTGTGATTGTCAAGCGAGACCAGAGGGTGTCAAAGTCTGCGGATTCAATGTCAACGCCACGCATACGGTCTTCGAGATCTTTTCTTCGTGCTTCGTCGTCCTCTCCGTCGTCATCATCATCATCGTCGTCGTCGTCGTTATTGCTGTGATTAAAATTCTTGGGTGCTGTGGAATGCTCATCGTCGCTGTCAGCTTCGCTATCCTCGACATATTCGGCTGGTCTGTTTACTAATCTCTCCAAGTCACCCAGCGGATGCTCTTCGGCTTCTAGAGCGTACTCGTTGACTAACTCTCTCAACCTGATTTTCTCCTCATCACTCGTAGCAACCCCATCATTCACCAGCACCTGTCTTCTGCCCTCGCCGCTCGCACTCCCAACCCCGGCGGCTGACGCGGTGGTCGAATCGCGTTTAAAAGAGGCAGTACACGCAGCATGCGCTTTAGATCTGTAGCATTTCAACGAGCAGTAGAAGCGTGAGCAGCGCGGACACTGGTATTTGCCGAGCTGGTGACCTTCTTTGCTTGCAGAGGTGGTGCAGAAGAAGCAGATTCGGGGCTCGAAGGTGGAGGTGAGGGAGTCTTGGATGTCGCGGTTGAGAGTTGTGAGGGGAGAAGACATCTGGCTGTATTATAAAGTTGTCTCGCTCTGCTAGCTGGTTGCTTTCATTATAGCCATCGACTTTGTAGAATGGAAATCAACGCGTAGTTGGGCAGTTTGAAGGCGTAGAAATTCTCCTGATGATCTGACGAGAGTTGCGGGTTAGGGCCGAGCTCGTACCCTCCAAGCGATGCTCCGCCGGTAACCGGAACCGAGTATCAGATCAGCGGGAAGATAACGAACCAGATTACGGATATTGTCAGATGGCATATCAGCAGGAGGTGTTTATCGAAACTGTTGTTGAAAGAAGCGGATGACTAGCTGAGCAGATAAGCTGAGCAATACAGGCGCAACTTGACTGTCAAAAGTTGAAGTCAGATAACTCAGTTGAGGCTTTCAACCTCCACGCCTTCACTTGCTCTTCCTTCTCCTCCAGCCATACAGATCCCTCAGAGAAATCAATGGAAAAGGCCTGCGGAACTATCTACAGCTCAACGGCTTTTCCGTCAACTCACAGAGTGAGAGAAATAAGCTGGCTGGGTTGAGTTGATACGACTGACGTTTAGTTGACGTGCGGTGCAAACGCGCGCGAGCTGGCAGGCACGTCAAGGAGGTCGCGATAGCGGGTGGATGGCTGCTGCTGTGCACTCACTGACCATCTGCACGAACCTGGTCTGTTTCTCTGTGCTTATTGTGATTGTCAAGCACGGACATTCTGTACTCTGCATTGTTCTTGAATTGTCTGTATCTCTTGCTGGGCGAATTCATTCACTCCCGCTGCGAGAAGTTGTCATTATCAGGACAGGCACATTTAATCAAACCAATGACTCGTCATCCTCGACAAAGTGTAAACCGGTACCCTCCGTCGGCTCTCTCGTGCCTATCAGTTCTCTTCAGCCAGCGACGCCTGAGCTGATAACGCGCGCCCGCCTGCAAGGGGGCGAACAGCAGTGAGTTTAGCGTGAAACCTGGCTGATGGAATATAACCCCGCCACTGCGCTCCCGTACATGCATCTTGAGGTTTGCCGGATGATAGCTGCCGCCTTGGCTGATAAGACTAGACCCTTTGGTGTATATTAGTCCCCTGATCTGCCATCTCTATCTCTGCTGTCTCCTCCAACACCACAGTGGATCCTGCACACACCATGGCCGTCGACGAGATCTCCGAGCAATCAGTCGCAGACTCAACCTCCGTCGTCGAGAAGACGCACAAAAAAGTCACACTCCCGTACTACAATGAAGATTACAAGCCCTCGCGGGCGCTGTACCATCTGAGCAAGATGTGGGATACTTTCGGCAAGGAGCCAAGCGAGCGCGCGCTGGTGGCTAAGCTTGACGTGTTTTTGTTCTTGTACGGTATCTTGGCGTATATCGTCAAGAGTCTGGATACGAGCAATATCAGCAATGCCTACGTCAGTGGAATGAAAGAAGACGTGAGTACTCTGAATCAATTTCACGGTTTTGTACAGCTACTGACTATCAGATAGTTGAACGTCGTTGGTAACGAGTACAATTACATGTCGACCTCGTTCACGATCGGATACATGGCCGGCGCGATCCCCGCGCAGCTGATCATGAACCGCGTTCGTCCGTCGATCTTCATTCCCTGCTGTACCTTGACCTGGACTGCGTTCGTCATGGCAATGGCCGGCGCCAAGAGTCCTACTCTGATCTACATCTGCCGCGCGGTAAGTTCTGCTCTTGATCTGAGAAACTGCGAGAGATGCTAACGTGTGTGTAGATCATTGGTGTTGCGGAAGGTGGTCTTTTCCCCAGTATCTCCTGGCTGATTGGAAGTTGGTACATGCCCGACGAACTCGCAAAGCGCATGGTCACTTTCGAACTCGCGAGTCAGATGGCCGCCATGTTTTCAGGCTACATCCAAGCCGGTCTGTACTCTTCCATGAACGGCGTCGGCGGTCTTGCGGGCTGGCGCTGGTTGTTTATCTTTGACGGCGTGATCTCGATCCCGATCGGTTTGTTTGGCATCTTTGCGCTGCCTGATTTCCCGCACAACACGCGCGCAATGTATTTGACGAAGCGGGATCGCGAGATTGCGCTGATGCGCGTCGAAAACGCGGGCCGGAAGCCGCCAAAGAAATTGGGCGTCAAGGGATGGATCGGTATCTTCTCTTCCTGGAAGATTTACGCGTTCATCATGGCGTTCAGTACCCCTGCGATCAACGGTGCGACAGGTTACTTCAACCTGTGGCTCAAATCGCTCGACAAGTACTCGGTGCAGATGATCAACATCATCCCGACCGGCGGCAACGCAATCTCGATCGTCTACGGCTTTGTGTTCTCCTGGGTCTCGGACTGGACGCGCATCAGATGGCCGCTGATCCTGCTTTCGGTGATTCCGCCGCTTGTGGGTTGCATCATGCTTTCGGTGTGGGACATTGCGTTCGGAGCAAAGATGGCGGCATTCTTCTTGCTCTTTGCGAGTTCGGCGTCGCAGCCGCTTACGCTGGTGTGGGCGACCGAGTTGTTTCAGGATAGTACTGAGATGAGAGGCGCGCTTACTGCTGCCGCCGACACATTGTACGTATACCTTTGATAGTCTATCTGACGTTTACACTAACACTCTTATAGTACAAACGCAATCCTGGCATGGCTGCCGGTGGTCGCATATCCCGCCGCGCACGCCCCAGAATACAAGGGCTACGCGTCCTACAAGATGTCTGCGGGCATGATTGGCGCGCAGATCGTCGGCGTGCTCAACCTTGCCTTCTGGGCGCGCTGGGAGCAGCGACGCAAGGGTGTTAAGTTTAACGAGTTTGGACTTCCTATCGTTGAGCGCGATGAGGAGGAGGAGTATAACGTTGAGGTCGAAGTCCTGGAGGGAAGCGGGAGTGATGAGGTTGGGGATTTGGAGAAGGGGAAGGAACATATTGTGCATACGCGTGAGATTTGATGATCATGATGATGAATTTATGTCTTGAGTGTAGTAAAAATTATTGATTTTGTATCGTCTCTGTGCTAATACAGAGAGAGAGTAGACCAAGTACCATAACAGAATGTACAGAAGTTTTGAGGGGTATCATTTGAGGATCGGGATTCATGAGAATAAACAGGAGTTCTCTAAAGGTATTTTCAAGCTTCACCGGAAAGTTTGGAAACCAAAAAGTAGTCGTTGATGGAAGTCTGCTGCGTCTCGCCAGAGTCGTCTTGGTCGCATGTAGTTGGAGTAACTGGCTCTTCGCACGACTTCGTTCGCTTGTGACCGGTGTTGTGGTCAGGATTTGCTCTTGAACTGCGTTTGCGAGAGGGAGTAGAAGGAGGTGGTGGTGGAGGACGGCTGATGAAGTATTCAGGTCGTAGTCCACGAACCGGGCTTTCAGGGAGCTCTTTAGAGATTTGTTTGCCTTCGCCCGAGCTGTTTTCGATATTCAACCTAGAGACGGGAAGGGGATCGAGAACCGCGTCAAGATAGTTGCTGCTTTCCAGAGATCCCTTTGACTGAGCAGAAGAGTGCGGGGGTTTGTCAGACGGGGTGGGTGAGCAGGGTATGCTGTAGAAAAGAGGATTATGAGAGCGCCAGGTGGTCGGAGGGGCTTGCTCGAGAGAGTGCTCTTTGCTTTCGGCGCTCTCAGTAGATTGAGGGCGAGTGATGCAGAAGTCAGGAGGAGTAGACTCGGAGATGTGTTGCTGGATGATGGTGGCGGTGAAGGGCTGGCTGTCGCGAGCGCGACGAGGTTTAGAGTCGGGGGAGGCGTCGGGATTGACAGAAGAAGTAGCAGCAGCAGCGGCAGCATGAATGGAGTTTTCCAAATTCCCATCAGAAAATCGAGTAACTTTTCTGACGGTGGTAGCGGGGCGAGGCATGGAGACGGTGAACCGAGTGAAGGTAGGTGAGGCGGCCAGTTTGGGCGTGGCCAGAATCTGATCCATCGCCGCGCCACGGGCTATGCTGTGCCATTTCTTCTCCTCGCGGGTGCCAAAGGGACAGATGTAGACGCGTCCACAGACAAGAACGTTCGATTCTATGAATTCAAAGTCACAGACGGCAGGCGGACGCAGGAGTGCGCTGGAGCCAAAGGCGATGTCAACAAGTTCAGCGCCGGCGGCGGGAGAGGAGAGTCTGACGCCGGGGAAGGCGTAGGATTTCAGACCGAAAGTGTCGTCAATGTACTTTGAGAGGTTTGCGACAGGAGGAGGGCTCAGAGATGGGTCGGGCAGCTTTGCCTGGCGTTGGAGATAGGGCTGGAGGAGAGAGGGCATGGCAGCGAGAAGGAGAGAGCGGGAGAAGGTAGCCATGGAGGAGAGCGGGGGCAGGACGATGATCTCGAAGGAGGCGGTCGCAGCCATGATGGAAAAGTGTTGGTATTGGTATCAGACAGTATCAGCACAGAGTAGAGCAGAGTATTAGTATCAGAGTATGAGATCAGAGTCTGAGATCAGTCAGTATCAGAGTATCAAAATCAGGGAGATTCCCAAACAGCCCGGCGACTCGGCGTTGGCACTCGGGGGATTTCGGATGCGTTCACAGGGCAGTGAGTTAATTTAGGAAGTTTAAGAGGCGCTAAGGAAACTCTAATGATGTTCAGAATATCGGACTTCCATCATTTATCGTAAATGATCGATGTTGAGCAGCTATCAACGCGATTGAGAGAGTCTACCGTCATAAAAACATCTCTTCTGCGTTTGGCATGGAATATGGCACTGTTTGGGCACTGCAGATGCTACAAATGAAGAGTGGGAGGCCTTCAATTCGTGCCGGAACAATATCATTATGTCTCCAGACGAGGAGACTTATAACCAACGCGTGATCAGATTTTGAAGACAACGAGGATTACAGCATCTTAGAAGAACTTGAGTATGCTTTGAGGACTTGGTTGGATCCATTAAAAGCGAGTCTGGTGAAAGCCTGGGTCGACCAAGTCTCTCATTTAGGAAATACGTCCACATCGCGAGTGGAAGCTTCTCATTCTGCTCTTAAGCACCAACTGCGTTATAAAAGCTATGGTAGTATTTGAACGCTTTATGGAGTTATCAAATATGTTTGAGAGTCAGCAGAAGAGACCAAAAGTCATACGGTAACGTACTAAGAATGCGACGGCATATGGATACGGTTGAGATGCTTGCAGTGTGTTGAATCAATGTATTTCGCATGAAGCTCTCAGAAGAAGAAAAATATTTAAGAAAGACAGTTTAAAGACAGTCTCTTGGGTTCTGTGCTGGCCTATTTTCAAGATCTTACGGCCTACCTCGTGAGCATGTTATCAAAGATAAAATCAAGTACGGCCAACCACTTATGCCTTCAGACTTTCACAGTCATTGGCTCTCCCGTATCGCTCGGATTCCGCTATCTGTTTGATCGAGCCACAAGCTCACGCTACCTGTTTTCCAGTAATCTTACGGATACCAGCATCAAGTACTAGACGAGAGCTTAGTGCACATGAGTTGATGGCTGCCTCCGTCTCATCGAGAGCACCGGAATCGTGTAGCAGATGTGGAGGATTTGGGCACAGAAGAGATCCACGACTAAGCCCAACACAACTGGAGTGATTTAGCCGTGTTCAGAGTACATCGTACTATACTATTTTGTCTATTATCTTGTAAATTGGCTGAGTTTTCTTGCGTTTACCAAATGTAGAGGTCTTTAATCCATCATTAGAGTTTCCTTAGCGCCTCTTAAACTTCCTAAATTAACTCACAGCCCTGTGAACGCATCCGAAATCCACTCGGGGTTATGACGATTACGTAATTTTTTCAGAGTTTCCCCGCTTTGCCGAAAGAAGAAAGAAAGTTCCCTTATTAAGATCTGGTGGGAAATTAGAACATCCAATGAAATCATGACAAATCCAGCCGCAGATAGTGCGGCTACTCACTGCTTGTTGCGTTCTTGGTCGAGAAAGGTGCTGAAAGTGCGGTTAAAAGAATATCAAATAGAAGAGAATATAATGCTTTATAATCTAAATTAACAGCACCTTTCTCCGCGAACAGCAGACCACACTCGCCCCGGAGAGAAGACCAGCGTCGGGACAGTGGCACTTAGAGTTCAAGCTCAAACCCTAATCCGAGGTAAGGGCTTCCGCGTAGGTTTATTACATAACTGGCCCGCCTTCTCTTCCTCATCATCTTCGTTTTCGCCCACTGCGACTAGTCATCCATCCTCCTCCTCGACGCGCCGGTTCTCTGCCTCAGCACCTGCTCTCCCTCCGCTCCCTTCGCTCTCTTCGCTGCTACGCTCCGCAAACATGGAAGACCGGTTGATCCCCTCTGAAACCGACCACCTCGCCGACGGAAAGGCCCTCGCCGCCGCCTCCGCCTCCGCGGCCGCATCCACGCCCGCCGTCGCGTCGCCGCTCGCGACTCCCGCGCCCGCGCAGCCCATCTCCCCCTCCGCGCACTCCGCCGGCTCGCAGTCGCCTTCCGAGAGCGTGCCGCCCGTCGGCGAGAGCTCGCGCCACGGCAGACAGCTCTCGACCTCCAAGCGCGCTGCCCAGAACAGAGCCGCCCAGCGCGCCTTCCGTCAGCGCAAGGAATGCTACATCAAGGACCTCGAGGCAAAGTTCGACGAGCTCAAGGCCTCCAAGGCTATCATCGACGGTCTACGCGCTGAGAACGTCCAATTACGCGACTACATCCTCGCGCTCCAGTCTCGTCTTATCGAGCAGCCCGGCGTCGGTGGCAGTGGCGTGCCCACTCCTCCTGCTGTTTACGCTCGTCGTCCGATCGACTTTATGCACGAGAGCAACCTCCACGAGCAGCACAACAACGCCGCCGTCTCGCTCTCTGATATCGGCAAGGACGAGCAGCTGTCTGAGAAGGCTCGTTGAGTTTTCTGATTCGCGCGTTTTTTCTTTTCATTTTTCTCTTTGTTTTTCTATCTTTCTCTCCGCTGCTAGTCGCGCGGTCGCCTCATAAATTTCACAGATCTCGGTCTTGTTTTGTTTGTCATGACTGTTTTGACTCTTTTCTATCCCTCAAACTACAGAGGGCAGTGCTATCGTTGATCCGTCTAATATCGTGTTGCCATCTAAAAACCCTTGAAAAGGATCGCGTTTACTTGTATTTTTGGGCTTGGGTGTTTATCTTGTTGTCTTTACTCAATCTGGTTTGTAATCTGTGTGTTGCCTTTCTAGTCGGCTGTTGTCTTCTTCATCGATGTAGTCCTATCTTGTCTGATCTTCTTTCTGAGCACTTACCTTGCTCTGGACGATCTCGACCCTCTCTTGTGTGCTTTCTTCTTTTTGTGTCGGCCGTCGTCTCTGCATCTAGCAGCCGACCCGAACCTGTACCAATACATGTATTTTTATCTCGTTCTATAATCCTATAACAATCAGCAACCTATCTGCTTTCTCCTCTCTCCCGTATGTCAGCCTTTGCTGATCATCACAATGCTCCAGATTATTACGCAATTCGTGACTGTAACTGAACATCTCAGCACGCTGACTCGGGTTTAGGGCTTCTCTTTTGGGCTCGCGTTGAATTTTACAAACAATCAGAGGCAGATGTAAACATTGTCAACCCACGCTCCTCGACAGTTCCCAGCCGGTCTCTGATCTGTCTGCAACTGCCTTGCGCCTCTTTGTACTGTAACAGCAGCATGATGGAGATGGACTACTCCCCTGCGCAGCGGTCTACCTACCGTGGCAGCGAAAGTCCCATGGACTTCTCCTACAGCGGATCCGCACACGTCGACTCAAACTCCCCCTTCAAGGTCGCTGGCTCCTTCCCGACCCCCTCGAGAGCAACTCCTGGCGCATACAACGGCTTTGTGAGCTCTGTCACCCCTCACCATCAGCAGTCGCAGCAGTCGCCGTTTACCCCTTTCTTCACAGCAAACACGAACGAGTCCCGCGCGCGACCGGGGGCGTTTGGCGAGCCGATGACTAGTCCGACCGGGAACAGAGGAAACCAGATCAGAAGCGAAGAAGTGCTTCCGGCTGGAAGTCCGATGGACGAGGACGTCGTCATGCTTTCCGCAGGGACTACCCCCACACCGACGCCCAGAGCGGGACAAGGCGATCAGACGACTTCCAACAGAGAAGAAGACAAGGAAAACAACATGTCCTTCTCGAGAAAGTTTATGAAGGCGATGAGACGTAGCTCTTCTGGTACCAGTCCGATTTCAAAACTGTTTTCAAAAAGACTTTCACCCCCGAAGCAGAGCGGAAGAAGGAGACAGTATAACCAGAACTCAGACTACGAGGAAGACGACGACGATCTGTTTGACGACAGCGACGATTCGGAATGGTCTGATAGGGTAGTCGTCAAGAAGACTACCGTAATGAGGTCCCCCAGGAAAGGATCTTCCAGCATCAGATCTGGATCTCCTCGCAAGGTCTCACGTACGGTCTCTTCGCACGCTGTCGTTGCTTCAAATCATCAGCAGAATCCGTCGCTGCTGGCTGCTCTGTCAAGTCACGACAACCTACCATTCGTCTTTGCTCAGTATCTGCAGCTCATGTTCAACGTCTTTCTGGTTCTTGTTATGCTCTATCTTATCATGACTTTTGTTTTGATGGTGCGAGGAGAAGTCCGTCACAAAGTCGAGGAATACACGCAAAAGGCTGCGATTGAAATTGCACTATGCACTTCAAATTACATTGAGAATCACTGCGCTGATATTCGGACGCAGTTTAACGCTGCTGCTTGCTCGTCGTGGCAGAAGTGCATGGACCGTGAACCTTCAGATGTCGGCAGAGCGAGTGTTAGTGCTGAGACTGTCGCTGATATCCTGAACAGCTTTATTGAAAGGCTATCTTATAAGAGCATGGTATGTTCACAACTGTCTTTCGTTTTCAAAGGCATATACCACTAACGCTTATGGTCTTTAGGGCTTCTTATTTGTTCTCATTCTCGGATCAATATATGTGTCGTCTACAAAAGGCTTCCAGCAGACTCATCAAACAGTGAATCCTCCTCCCCATCTACAGGAGCGGATCGCATACCATCAGCCTCCACCGTCGCCGAAAAAGATGGACTTCTCGAGAGCGATAGAGCCCATCAACGTGGATGACTAGCGTTAATAGCTGAGTGTTAGCTGGAAGAAGAAATAATGCATATCTTGGTTTTGTTTTGTAGGAGTGACGAGCTTTGAGGATTGAATTTTGTTTGCTTACGGACTGATCTCCGGCGGTGGTGGTCCTCCCTTCGCCCCCGGATCAGGCAGTGTCAAGTAGCTTGGGTAACGGCGCGTGTTTTGATTGCATTTTGAAGATGTTAAAAGCTTGATATATATATAATGCATATAAATATCGTTACAAATATACATTAGATCACTTACCATTGGATAGAAGCAGCAACACATGCACACTTAGCCCCTTAACTATTTAAAACATCATGTGACTTATGCTCAAGACCCTTACCCACTTACAACGCGCTCTCGCTCAGTCTGCCTTGGAACTTGCACGCGTTTCTTGATCGGATTCCTGACATCATCAGAACTTTTATTCCGTCTATTCGCCGTCGATTGTCGAGATACTGGAACGAATTACGGGGTTATTAAAGGGTGAGTTGATCTGATTTTTGTTAGTTCAAGCGAGTGATGGATGTGTGCGTCATCTCCGGCGTGGCCGTGGAAGTCTTCCAGCTGCCGTTGCTACTTGCTCTGCTCGAGTCTGACTCATAGCAATGCTAACCCTTCTCCAGGTCTGACTGTTTCATTTCGTACTAACATTTCTAGCTTTTCTTTTTACTGTGGAGAGGATTGTTGAGAGGGAAGTGGACATCAAAGACTTTCGTTTAGCTTTTTGCAGAATCTGCAGACAAGCAAAGTGAAGCTATTTCGTCCGAGATTTTACAACATTTGGATTTCGAACGATGAAGATCAAGAAAAGTCCTTCTGCTGCAAAGCCGGTGGCGCATATGGTATGTATTTCTACTTTGATCTGGGCAGGCTTCTGTTTCTTTTCTGCAAAAATTTTCTGGAATCGATGTTGGATCCGCGGTGTTTAGATACTAACTGGGTTTTCCACGCTCCAGCCGCCATCGCTCAAAAACTTCATCACCAACTTGGAGACATGTCCCCAGGAAGATCTAGCTCGGCATATTGAAGACTTTGGCATTCTCTGGAACCAGCCTCGTGGCGACTTGCATCACTGGATCACCGTTCTCAACCGATTCGACGATATTCTCGAGCATGCTGTGACCGTGAGTGGTCTGCGGGGTGGGTATCCTACGGCATATATCTTCCCGGAAGACGAGGAGAAGAAACTTGTGGCGATCTTGGATTTTTCGGCGTTGCTTTTAGAGCATTGCTCGCACAGGAGTCTGTACGCGAGCGGATCCGTAAGTAGTTTGATCCCCTTTCAAACCAACAAGCAAAGTACTTACAAGCCATACTCGAACAGCACCTTTCGAGCCTTCTATATGTGAACTCTCTCCCGATTCTTCTGTCCAACCTGAAAGTATGTGCGCGCCTTGCACAGCGGTACGCGCAATCCAGTTCCGGCCGATCCTCGATATTCACAATCAGTCAAGAGAAGATGTTCAGGCTCGCCAACGCGTTCCCTCCGCAAAGCCCTCTTGAGTTCATGAGCAAGATCTCGCTGTTCAAATTCGTTGACGAAAACGAACTCAAGTGGCACAAGAGCTGGTCGACAATCATTCTGCCGTACTACAAGGATACCCCTACATCGGCCGGTGCCGGCCATCCGGAAACTCCGAGCCACCCTACTCCTGCGACTCCCACGCCTCAAATATACGGACCGCAGCAGCAGGCTGAACTTGAACGGCTTGCCGCTGAGAACAGCGACATGATGTCGCTCGTTGTCACGACCGAGGACATTGAGGGTCTCTCGGAAGTCGATCTGCTGAACAAGGTGTTGGACGTGCCCTATGATACCAAGGCTGACGCGTTCCTGAGAATGCGGACCGCCAAGTCATTCACCGGAGGCATGAATGGAGTTGTGATGCGACGCCAACTCATCGCCGTCAAGTGTTTGGCGATCGAGTTCTTGACGTATTTGGTTACCGAGAACGTGCTTCAGAACAAGCTCTTTGCGCAGAACCCGACTCTCATCCCTTCACTTTGCGAGCTGATTCATCCCGACAACAAGGTTCCAGTGGATTTACGCACCATAACGATCGAAGCACTGCAAGCCGTCTCTGTCCATAGATCAAAGCACAACGAGATCCTGTCTTCCCTGAGCGCAAACGTCAACCACGGTGTCTTGCTATACATCGTTCGCCAAGTCGTCAAAGATCTGGAGAACGGTGAAATAATAAATTGCTACTTCAGCGATCGCTTGTTTTACCTCATCCAGGTTCTTTCAGCTAGCGGACAGTCAGCACAAGTTCTCGTCAGCGCGGGCATCGTTCCGGTTTTGATCCAACTCCTTCGCACAAACTCAAAGGACTACAGCACAATGTCTATGATCACAGGCGTTACTCAGCACATGGTCATGACTTCGCAAGCTGCATTTTCCGAGTTTGTGACAGAAGGCGGACTCGATATTGTTGTCAAGAGAGTCGAGGATGAGGTCGCGTACGCTCTCGAGAATCAAGAAGATGTCGAGCACTCTGCTCTGGTTGATTACAAGATGGATTTCATGCGGGCGCATCTGTTGAAGTCGCTGTTCAAGCTCTTACTAGCAATGATGCAGTCTCCCGGAAATGCGGATCGCATGCGGAATCTGGTGGAGTCGAGCCTGCTAGAGTCTCTGAAGACCATCATTTTGAACACTAACGTGTTTGGGTCGGTTGTCGTATTTTGCGCTGTCGACATGATGTCGTGCTTCATTCACAACGAGCCTACTTCTTACACAATCATAAATGAGTCCGGATTACCTGAAATCTTCCTCGACTGCATTCCTCAGCTCATCCAGATGACAAAGTCGACCGCAATCCCCCACGCCATCGGCGCCATCTGTCTCAACAACTCTGGCCTCGAAATGGTCCAGAAGAAAGGCGCAATCAAGACTTTTTTCAGTGTTTTCAAGAACCGCGAGCGGGCGCGTATGATGGCACTCTCAAGCGTACCTGGCAATCTAGGAAACGCAATCGATGAGCTTGTTCGTCACCAACCTACGCTCAAAGACGAGATTATGAAACAAGTCGTCATGGCTGCCAAGGACATCTGCGTTGAAGGAGAAAGCATCCCTGGCGGTGTGAGATTCTACCCCGTCGGCGCAGACGCCGTTCAGACCGACGCAGACGATGAACTTGTGGTCCAGGACGCAAACTCTGATATCATGGCCTTGATAGAGTGCTATGCGCGCTTTCTAGAATCGCTCTTCCAAAACGGCGCTAATTCGAAGGAATTCGTCAGGCGAGAAGGCGCAACGCATTTATTGAAGATGTTTGAAATCCCGAGCTTACCGTACGACTTTGCGCTTCGCGGACCGGCGATTTCGCTCTCCCGCGTGTTCAGATCGATCTCAGAATCCAACACATATCTCATGATGTCTAAGATTTTGAGAGCTCTAACGGAGACGATGAAGAAGATCAAGACGTTCTTAGATTTTGCTGAAAGCGAATCGATCTTTGAATATCTTGCTCGTGAAGGGGAGAATCCGACTGAATTTCTGAGAGCGCTGAATGGCGCCCACGGTCTCATCTTTATCGTGTCGCAAATGTATTCACACACTGTCTATCCGCATGCAAAGTCAACCCTGCCTATGATCCAGCCATTTGAGACTGAAAGCGAATGCGCCAATCTGCTGGAAGAGTTGGGCAAGCTACAACGCAACTGTCTGTGGGAGGACATTTGCATAACAAAGGGACTCTCTGATGAATGGCGCGATGCGAGCAGAGTCCTTGCTGCTGACGACCCGCGGGGACGACTCGGTGAAACGGAGAAGAGGGCGGAGATTGCTGAGGCGGAGGCAAAGATCGATGTTACCGACAACAAGTACAAAAACGTGAAGATTGCTCGATACATGATGAGCCAGATTCCTAGCTCAATCAGCAAAATCTTCATCGGTACGTATCACTGATACTTCTATTAAGGTTGAGAAGCAGCCTCTGACTAACGGAATTAGGTATCTCAAAATGGGCGTTATCCCGCCGCGTTCCGGACGTGGCTCAAAAGAAATACGGATTTGCCGTTGCCGACAAAGTTGCAAAGGTGTTTATTGCTGGACTGGAGTTCAACAGACTAGGTATGTCATGTGTCTTCTCAGTACAATTTCCGTTTTAAACTGATGTACTAACTCTGATTATAGAATGTTTTGAGGATAAGCGTGACAAATTTGCTTATTGGCTACTTTCGCTTTCATCAAGCCGCAACATTCTGTTTGACGGTGAGTCTTCTAGAAGTGAGGTTATCTTGTACAGACCAGGGCTAATATTTTGACAGATCAACGAGTCAGCTCTGCTAGCCTCCAGACAGTCACGGTTATCTGCTTCAAGCGCGCAGGAGGACTCGACGTATTGATCAAGGTTCTCGAAGGTCTTTGGTACGAGATGAACAACGTGCCGTCGGCCGAAGACGGCGAGAAATCTCTATTGTCCAAGCAAGCGATGACGTTTGGTGACGTGGTAGTTCTTCAAATTTTCTCGGCCTTGGTCGGCATGAAGTCGGTTATTGAGTCCTCGCAGACTAGCAGCCTGGCTTCAAAAGAGCGAGATCGGAATCGGCCCGATTACTTCAACCCTGCTCAGTTCCTTGTTGAGCTGCGATTAACGGTTCTTCCAGTTATCCGCAAGCTCTGGGAGTCTGAGGAGCTCAAGACCGTCTCGACGCCCATCCTGAAAATGCTGATGAGCATCCTCATGGCTATCATGAATGCTGACGGAGAGACTGGTTGCCTGTCGAAGGAGGAAGGTCGTGAGTGGTCATCGGACCAGTTGACTTCCGAGTCGTTCGTCGAGGAAACTGCTTTTCGACCAACGTCGTTCTTGGAGCTGGGATTCAGTCGACCGATCGAGATCACAGAGTCCGAAGAACTCGAAGATGAGGTCGTGCCTCGAGCTGTGGAGCCAGAGGCGAGAGTAATCATCACAACGGACGAAACTTCCGAAGACGCTGCGGAGAGCCCGTCTATCCACTCATCGCCTGCTGCGTCGGCTGTGTCCAGAGAAGAAGGTCCCGTTGGCACACCAGAAAATGGTTCGGCTGCAGGTGCATCCTCCTCGCGTTCGCGTTCGGTTGATGTGAACAACGGCTCCATCAGGGAGGATGATATGTCTGACGACCGCGAGGATACACCCGTGGCTCGAGAAAGTGCATCGACCCCCGCTCCCGGAGAACAATCTGAACGTCGCGGCGAGGAACCTGGACCGTCGGCTTCTGATGAACCTGTCTCAGAAAAGCCGATGATGTATGTCTCCGATCTCAATGCGATGCGTGATGAGATCAGAAAGGATATCATTGCACGATCTCTGCAGGCTCTGAACACGCACCCTGATGTTGTCTTTGAGACCTCGAAGCTTTTGATGAGTGCTTTCAGTGGCAAGCTTTTCACTGGAGAGGCCAGGAAGAAAGCTGTTGTTGAGATCCTTGCCTTCATCGCCAAGGTGAATGAAGAAGAGGACGAGAAGGCGCGAGCAATCAAGCTGAAGACAAATGCGCATTTATTGGGACTTCTTCTCCAGTCTGATTTATTCTTTGATGCCTCCGTGAACCAGCTCTTAGGGTGTTGGAATATGTTTGTCGGAATGATCAGGCTGGATCCTAACAATGAAGACAGCTGGCTTCCAGATATCTTGCTGATTGTGGAGAAGTGTCTTTCGAGCGCAGAGCAGCCCAAGCCGATCATTCTTGAGCATAATCTGACGGGCCCGATCGTCAACCGCGACCAGCTATATAAGGGTTCTAGAGAGACCTTGCTCGACGCTATCGTGAACTTGCCAGAGATGAAAACCGAAGCTAATGCTGCTGCGGTGGCCCGTGTCCTGATTGCTTTGACTAGAGACCATAAAATCGCCGTCAAAGCTTTCGAGCGCGGAGCAATCACCTCTTTACTCAAGTCTATCGGTCCCTTGCATGGCGAAGGTAGGATCCGGATTCAAAACTACATCACCATCCTCTTCCGTCATGTGATGGAGGAGCCGGAGACACTGGAGGCGCTCATGCTTGCTGAAGCTCGGAAGATCTACCTAGAACAGGCTGATCAGCTTCATCCTACCGACGCTCACTCACTCATCCGCGCAAGCTACTTGACTATCCTTAGAAGCCCAGAGACGTATGTCAAGGTGGTGAATGAGAACTTCAAAGCTGTTTGGATTCCGGAGCTGCCTGCTGCTCGGCAAGATAGCATCATGCTCAAATCTCGCGAAAAGGAAACTTCGAAACCCGATTCTTCATCAGCTGAAGGTGACGGTGAGACAGCCGAGAAGTCAGGCGAGCCCGCGACCGAGACAAAGAAATCGGAAGACGAGGAAATGACAGATGCCAAGCCCTCAGATCCTGGCCCCGCCCGCGTATTATCAACCGACAAGAACACGGGCGTGATCAACTTCCTTCTCAACGAACTTCTGGCTACGAAGGATGATCCTCCAGAGAACGACGGCAACACACCAGAGCCTCCTGAGGATCGTTTGTCGGATTCCAATCAGCGTTCGCAGTTTGATCCGGAAAAACATCCACAGTTTTTGTATCGCACATATCTTCTAGAGGTCATCACAGAACTACTATCGAGCTACAACCAGTGCAAGCTTGAGTTTATCAGCTATTCTCGTCGCGGCCACACAATCAGCACGCCATCAAAGCCTAGACATGCTGTCCTCAACTACTTCCTCAACGAGCTGGTCTCTACTTCGACTATTTACGGAATGGGCAATGTCGCGATCAAGATGAAGTCTCTGATCTCTAGTATGGCATCGCGGCTCCTCTACGCTCTGATTTCGAGCACTCAAGAGTACGAGGCCGACAGTGATAATGGCGAGAATCTGACCATCACACACATTCGAAAGTTCGTACTCGACGCCACGTTGCGTGCGTTTAAGGACGTGTCAACCTCATCCGAACCAGCTGGAGTGCGCTATGCGCGCCTTGTCAGTCTGGGCACTCTCTGCAATCGATTTTTGTACTCAAAGGGCCACAACTCTGGGTCTAAAAGTGACTCCAGCGATGACATGTCTATCGCCAAGATCATGTTTGAGAAGAACTTTGTTGGTGCTTTGACGTCTACGTTGAATGAGGTTGATCTGAATATACCTTCGTCTCAGAAAGTTATTCGCGTACTGCTTAGACCTCTCTCCAAGCTCTCCCGGACTTCAATAGAGCTGTCAAATATCCTGGAGATGGCTAAACCGACTGAGATCAACGAGGAGGACTATTTCTCTACTGATTCAGACGAGGAAGATTATCGCGAAGAGACTCCGAACTTCTTTACCAACTCTGCGCTCGGCATGTTTGAAGTGCAGGAAGGAATGGACTACGACGAAGAGGACTCTGAGGGTAGTGAAATCGATGATCAGGGTGAAGAGATGGAGTTTGATGAGGAGGAAGATGATGACGAACCTCACTCTGACGACGACGAGGAAGATTCTGTCGACGAAACAATGGAATATGGCGACGAAGAGATGGAGTACGGTGACGAGGAAGACGACAGCGAGTTATCGTCTGACGAGGAAGGTGAAGAGGACGGAGATATGGATGTGAGTGTCCGATTTTTATTTTGCTGTTACCTATTATATGCTGACTTCCACCTTTGCAGGTTGAAATTGTTGTTGCGGCCCCGCATTCTCATATAGATGATGATGATGACGATGGCGAGGAAGATGAGAACGAGATATCCAATTCTGAGTTAGAACAGATCTCCTCTTCTGAGATTGACGAGGCGGACGGTTACTTGGGTGGGGAGGAAGACGAGGAAGTCAGTGATGATGAAATCGAGGTGGATGATGAGGAAGGAAGTAGTGGGATGGAAGATTATGACGAGATTCTTTCATGGCAGATGGATGGGGAGGAGGACGAGATAGACCGTGAGACCATCGATCAGCTTGCTCGAGAAATCAGAGAAGATATCGATGAAGTTCAGGCAGCGATGGATGAGGAAGACGACGAAGATGGAGAGATAGATGGTGGTGATGAGTCAGTCGATTCGTTCTTGCCGGAGCTGGAGAGCTTTGAAGAAGGCTGGGAGCTCGAAGAAGTCATGAACACAGAGGACTCCTTCAACCGACGAAATCATCATGTTTTTGGAAGCTCGAGTTCGCGCAATCGCAGTAAGTTCAAATCGAGCAGTGAACAGTTTTCGTTAGTTATTATAGGTACTAACTTTTCATGCACAGGCTGGAGCGGCGTTGATACAGCCACCAACCCATTGTTGGTTCCATCAAATAATAACATGATGCCTGCGTTTGGTGGTCGACCCGGAACTCAGAACCCCGATGGCCTCTACCGTGCGATTGTGCAAACTGTTAGACGTGGTGGCGGTAGTACTACCAGCCACGACTTGCAGACTCTGAACGACCTGTTTCAGCAAGTTTTGCGCCAGCAAACCAATCGGCGCACTACGATGCTTACTGGAAGCGATCCTCTTGCAAACGAGCTTGAGGCGATTTACGACATTCCTCAATCCAGGGCCCGCCAATTGCGAGATGACGCCTTTGGTTCACTTATCAGCTTTGTTACACGTAGCACGGTTGAGAGATGGCATGAGGAGTCCAGGATGCTGTTCCCCAACATCGGCAACGATAAGGTCTGGAATATTCTCAACCATATCCTCAATTACCTTGTTCCTTTGGCTCAGAAAGAGTACGAAAAGAAGAAAGAGATTGAGGCTGCCGAGCGTCGGCGCTCTAGAGAACAGCTTGAGAAAGAGCGTCAGGAACAGCAAGCTGCGAAGATGAAGGACCAGATCGACAGTCCTTCAGCAGCAGACCATGAGTCCGAGGAAGAGAAGGAACAGGGCGAAAGCAGTGAACAGACCGCAGACGAGCCGGTTTCTGCTCCTGTCGCCGACGAAGGGACGAGCGAATCCAAAGGAATCGAAATGGAAGGTGTCGAGCCAGCAACAGAAAGCAACACCGCTGAGTCTGAAGCCGCCGAGCCGGAGGCTGTGGAAGCTGAAGTGGCGGAGACTGTTGACGCGGACGAGGAAGCTTCCGAGCCTGAGACTACAGAGCCCGAGATTTCTGAGTCTGCGCAGACCAACACTGAGCGGATCATCGTCACAGTCGGTGGCCAGGAGGTCGATATCACGGATTCGGGCATCGATCCTGAGTTTCTCGAAGCTCTCCCTGATGATATGCGCGAAGAAGTCATCACTGCTCATCTCCGTGAGTTGCAGCGCTCGAGCTCGACTGCTCGCGTGCCGGAACCCGAGTCGGAAATTGAAGCTGAGTTTCTTGCAGCTTTGCCTCCGAGTATTCGTGAAGAGCTTCTGCGAGAAGAGGCGTCTGAACGACGACGTGCCGCTCGTGAACGTGAAGCACGCGAGGCAGCTGCCTCTCAACAAGAGGCGCCTGCTGAGGAAGCTCAAGAGGATATGGATTACGAATCGTTCTTGGCTACTCTCGATCCTGCTTTACGACAGACTATTCTGGCTGAACAGGATGAGGATGTTCTTGCACAGCTCCCACAGAACATAGCGGAGGAGGCGCACGAAATCCAGCGAAGACACAATCTTCACTCTATGAGAGATTACTTGGACGTCAGTATCCCAACACATCGACTGAATGCGATCCGCAACGCGACTCGGGGCGCTCTTCCTAGACAGGAAGTCAGCAGCAAACCTCAAAGAAACAGAAACGGTATCCAACTTCTCGATAGATCTGGCATTGCTTCGCTAGTCCGTCTGCTTTACCTCCCTCAGACGACCTCACAACGTAATCCGTTGTTTGAGATGCTTCTGAGCGTGACCGCCAACAGACAGAGCCGATCTGAGCTGTTCAATATGATTCTCTCGATTCTGCATGATGGAAGTACTGATGTCGCTGCTGTTGAGCGCAGTTTCAATCAGATTGCGGCGCGTGCGCGACCCCAGCAGACAGCGAGTGTCAACACTCCTGTAAAGTCGTCGTCGCTCACACCGAAGACGCCGATGACTCCAGTCAAGCAGGGTGCTAGTGGCTTGTCGGGTAAACCTGTAGAGGTTTCTCCCATAAGTCTTGTTCAGCAATGCCTGGAGGCGCTTGACTATATTCTCAAGGCCAACCGTCAGCTTGCGTCTTACTTCTTGATCGAGCACGATAGTCCTATTGGCTTGAAGCGGAGTCTGAGCCGGAAGGGAAAGAGCAAAGATCTCCCGGTATCAAAGGCGTCGAAGTATCCCATTAATACTTTGTTGGATTTGTTGGACCGGCAGATGATTCGCGACAATGCTGGACTGATGGATATGATATCGATGCTTCTGCAAGAGATCACGAGACCTCTCCAGGTCGTGTTGAAGAAGAGTCAGGAGAAATCGGCAATTGAGGAGAAGGCGACCGGCACGACAACCGGGGATGCTGGGGATTCCAACGATGCTCCTGCAACCGCTGGAGAGAGCGAGGCGACGAAGGGCGAAATGGCTGGCGAGTCTTCTGATAACCAGAATGGGGCGCATCGCAAATTTGTACCGCCCTTCATTCCAGAACAGAATCTGTGCTCGCTGGTGAACATCTTGACCGCCCGCGAGTGTCCAAACAGAACACTTCAGCAGACTATGGCAGCTATGCAGAATCTGTCGGCTGTTCCGGGAGCGATTGATGTCTTTGGAAAGGAGCTTATTCGTCAAGCGCAGGCTCTCGGCCAGGCTCTTCCTGTCGAACTAAAGGAGCTTGCGGAGCAGATTCGGTCGGCGAAAACTGGCTCTGAAGTGCAGGGCATGGCATTGTCTCGATTTTCACTGGCCAGCTCTGACCAGGCTAAGCTCCTTCGTGTGCTGACTGCGGTGGACTACTTGTTTGACAACAATCGAGACAAGAAGGCAAGCGACAGCGCTTCTGACTCGGGTGACGCATTGATTGAGCTGTACTCGAAGCTTGATTTCAAGGATTTGTGGGACGCGCTCGGTCAGTGCTTGTACGAGACGCAAGAGCGCCCAGATATGCTGCACGTTGCCACCGTACTTTTGCCTTTGATCGAAGCGTTTATGGTTGTCTGCAAGCGCGAGGTTGTGAAGGAAACTGAAGAGACTCCTACCATAGTGGCACTGACGGGTGCGGCTACCAGCACCTCTCCGAGTGATGTCGCATCCTCAGACAAGGAAACAAAGGCCCATCTTTTCTTCCAGTTCACGGACGAGAACCGCAAGATTCTTAACCAGATGGTGAGAAACAACCCCAAGCTCATGAGCGGATCGTTCTCTATTTTGGTGAAGAATCCAAAGGTGCTTGACTTTGACAACAAGCGCAACTTCTTCTACCGCCAGCTGCATTTGAGAGCACAGAACGCCAGAATTCATCAGCCTTTTGTTATCAATGTTCGTCGTGACCAAGTGTTCCTCGACTCATACAAGGCGATGTACTTCATGAGCGGAGACGAGATCAAGTACTCGAAGCTCAACATTCGCTTCCATGGTGAAGAAGGCGTGGATGCTGGTGGAGTGACTCGTGAATGGTTCCAGGTACTGGCGAGACAGATGTTCAATCCTGATTACGCGCTATTTGCTCCGGTTGCTTCAGATAGAACGACGTTCCACCCCAATCGAACTTCGTGGGTTAACCCGGAGCATCTTTTGTTTTTCAAGTTTGTTGGCCGGATCATTGGAAAGGCGCTGTATGAGGGACGTGTTCTCGATTGTCATTTCAGCCGTGCAGTCTATAAGCGTATGCTAGGTAGACAGGTGGCGCTGAAGGATATGGAAAATCTTGATCTGGAATACTACAAGTCGCTGGTCTGGATGCTAGAGAACGACATCACCGACGTTATCACAGAGACGATGTCGCTCGAGGCTGACGACTACGGCGACAAGAAGATCATCGATTTGATTCCGAACGGTCGTGAGATTGCAGTCACCGAAGAGAACAAGAACGAATACGTGCGCCTGGTTGTTGGGTACAGATTATTGACCAGTGTTCAAGAGCAGCTGGACAGTTTCTTGAAGGGTAAGTCTGATTTCCTTTTTAATTGTGCCGCGTGCAAGGGTCTAACAGCAGTCACAGGTTTCTATGACATTGTCCCCGCCGATCTGATCTCGATCTTCAACGAAAACGAGCTCGAGCTTCTGATTTCCGGTTTGCCCGATATCGATGTCGATGATTGGCGCAACAACACGGTCTATCAGAATTACTCTGCGTCGTCGCCTCAGATCCAGTGGTTCTGGAGAGCTGTGAGATCATTCGATCTTGAAGAGCGTGCGAATTTGTTACAGGTACGTGAAGATATTATACAAATAGTATTTGATCTATATGAATCTAACGGTTGTTGTACAGTTTGTCACTGGAACGAGTAAAGTGCCTTTGAATGGTTTCGCAGAGTTGGAGGGCATGAACGGCGTGTCTCGCTTTAGCATTCATCGCGACTATGGTCGCAAGGAACGTCTCCCGTCATCGGTAAGTTTTTCTTTATACTATCTTCAGCAAAGGATCTGCGTCTGACTCATGTTTTTAGCATACTTGCTTCAATCAACTCGATATGCCGGAGTATGACTCGTACGAGGCATTAAGAACGGCTCTGTTGATGGCGATCACGGAGGGAACAGAAGGATTTGGATTTGCCTAATCGCAGACTTCTGTGCCCAATTCTCCCTTTTTCCGAACAAGTAGCGGTAGCGGTTATTGTTTGTATGGTTGTGATTATTGTTTTTGTTCTGTTTTGTTTTTGTTTTGTTTTTGTGTTTGCAGTTTGCTTGTTTTTTTAGTACATATTTGCTTTCTTTCTTCATAGTGTTTATTTTTTCGTCATAAGAGTATGTGCATCATAGTGGCAGAAAATTCGTCGGTTTATCATCAGGAATAAAATCAACTGGCTTATAACTATCTTACATGATTATTGTATTAAAAATAGTTACATCTGTAGATCGAGCTAGTTACTGTTTGCAAGTTTTATATTATAAGCAAGGTTCCGGTGTCAAGTTGCTGTAGACGACATCGTCGCCGCTGACATCGCAGACTGTAACACCCACGTCTTCGGGCTTATCAGCGCCGGCGAGTGACAGCAGCATGTTGAATGCCTCGACAGGTTTGACCGCTTCGTCGACCGTGCCGATGGTGATGTGGAACACTGCTCTGACGAGAAGTGGCTCGAGCAGAGAACGGGCATTGACAGTAGTAGTTTGCTCACCATCTTTGCCTTTCTCGAGCTCGATTTCAAGGTCGCGGGCTTCGACTCGGACGTTGAAGCACATGACTTTATCATTCCACACGATAGATTGACACACGACGTCTGCTCTCAACTTTTCCAGCGCGCCAGAGGTCATGAGGTTATAATATGAATCCCACATACCAGGCACTAGCGACTTTTCCTTCTCGGCTTTGTGCATCAGTGTGACGTGGAAAGCAGGCTGAACACGGCCACAAGCCAATAGTTTGTCTAGCAATGTCGTGTCGGCTCCGTGTTTGATGAGGAGCTCTTGCAGGCGGGCGGTCATGTCGTCTCGCGAAGACGGAATCCTGAGAGCAAAGTAGTTCACCTTTCTCTTCTTTTGCGAGCTCTGTGATGAGGTAGCGGATTGAGGTTTCGGTTTACATTTCTTCGGCTTAGGGGGATCACATGGCCCGTCCATCGGCGGAACGTAATTCATCGCGTACTCAATCGCGGCATCGATCTCCTCTTCTGTCGGTTTCTTTGGTATGAGAAAAGGATATGCTGCGGATATAGCCTTAATGACGCGCAGCACGTTTGCTTTCACGGTTCCTTCGACTGGCAATTCAATCACTTTGCTAAAGATCTCGCTGTCTGGACTCTTTGTGATATCGACCGGTTGGAAGCGACGGAGAAAGCCAGCCATGATTCCGGCGATTTTTTGCTCGCCGTCGGCGGAGGGGTGGATCGTCTGGTGATTGTCGCCACGGTTCAGAACACGTTCTATTGTGACCTGGAACGTTTTATTCGTTGAAATCTTGTTGAGGTTCTCAAGATCCTGTGGGAAGTATAGCGCGATATACCGGAAGTCCTCCGATGGCATAACTTCACTCATGTCGTCGAAAATCTGCTTCCGTTCGCGCCTCAAGGGATTATTTCGATCGGCTATCGCCACTTGCCGCGTCTTCAGCGACGATCTGATTTCTTCGCAGAATCTCCGTTTAGCTCCACCTTTTGACTTTGAGATGTTGTCATTTTGAACAGGGCCCCAGTCAAAGAGCCGAGAGAGCGCAAGCGCCAGCGTTGTCTTGCCGCATCCGAGCGTCGCAACGGTGACGAGGATGTACTTGTAAACTGAATCAGGAAGCATCTGGGATACGCTTCTCCCAGAAGTGATTGCGACGTCGTCTCTGTAGCGAACGACCAATTCACTGTCATCCTCAGGCTCTTCCTCGTCGATGATCTGCGATCCAGCTTTGCCTGTGTACTTCAGAAACTCGTCGCGGAGCTTGATGATACCGTGATTTTGCAAGAATTTCTGCTCGAGATCCTTGTTCTCACGAAAGTAGGCACGCGCAAACTTGAGGTACTCTTCGCTGATCTTTTTGTGTTTCTTGATGTTGATCGGCTTTTCGTTGAGCATCTCTCTAGTCAGCTCACGCCAGGATCGATACATGAAGTAAGGCTCTTCGAATTTATACTTGAAGAAGAAATCCGAGCTCGTCACAGATTCTCCTGAAGGCGTAGATGTAGAGCGAGTAGCCTTGCAACGGACGACAAACCCTTCTATTTCCATGCCTTGCCACGCTCCCGTCTTTCCACACTGCTCAAGAAACGTCTGCATAGTCTCGAGCTTCTCCACGACCTTGTATTTCAGCGGCTTGAAGCCGAAGGTGTTTGCAAATTCCAACACGGCCTCCATGGGGTACGTGACAAACTGCGGCACATTCAAATTCAACCCATGAAGATATAAGCCCGCACGATCACCTCTGTACTCGATAACGTGCTCCTCAAACTCGTCGTCACAGAGCTCTCCGACTGCCGTACAGTTCAGACTCCTCAGAGTTGCCGCAAGATCACGCTTCGTCAGACCGGCTTTCGAGAGATGATTCTCGATCCATCTTTCGCCGGCCTCGGAGTGGATGACGCCGATCGAGTGCTTGCTGCAGACGAGGAGGTTGCCGTCTGGAAGGCCCGACATGAAGATGATGCACCCGTTCTCCTTTTGCGTGAGCTCGTATGGACCGCTTGTGTTTTGGGATATCCACCTCCACTATAATATCAAACGTCGCGTCAGTAAATAAGTAGTCAGACATGACTCGGTAAATCGTCCAGACACGCACCTTAGTCTCCTCAGACTCGTTAATATTGTAGAACTTGTCGTAACCTCTGATGACGATCTCCGGCACCGGCGCTCTCGTCTTGTCTTGATCATTCATAATTGTAAACAGACCACGAGACCGCGTCGGGATTCCTTCTTTCGCAAAATCCCAGTCCATGAACCGCCATCCGGATACTTTGTACTTTGAAAACGGCACCTCAAACACGGTGCGCTTGGGCTTGATCAGGCGTCTGCCAGTCTTGCCGCCCTGCTCGCCGCCAGATTTGCCTTTGCCCATGCTCTCCAGTCTATCAATCAGCTCGATCGTGTCCTTTTCACGCGTTTCCGCAGGCCACTGAATCTTTGCGAAAGACAGATCAAGGATCCTGCCTGGAACCGGCGTATCCAGAGACAGCTGGGCCTGCATGTCTGCAGCTATACCGGCTGGATCAAGAGATTGTGATGTCGCCATTGTATTGCAAGCTGTATTCAGCTATACAGATCGCGATACAAATGCCCCGGAGACGTCGTTTGGATCAAAGGAAGAAGTTGCGTTTCTTGATCTTTCTGAGGCGAATGTCTGGAAATTTTTGAGCCGCGCGGAGTGTGAGCAATTGGGCAGACACCGAGGTTAGTCATTGACTGTTTGGTCTTTTCTATAACTACAGAACTACGGATACAGATACCAAACATACGAAATACAAACAACAAAAGAACAGTGTCCAGAATATGTCTACAATATCACAATATCCTTTTCTGGCTCGTCAGTGGCCGCAGAGTCATAGAGCGAAGCCACAATTGGGAAGGTCACGTGACGTGGATACTATTTACTGCAGACATAGTCGAGAATGCCTGAATAGTTCCGGTATATATGGCGCAGAAGATTGAATTGCAAATATATACCACATAAAATAACATATGTAACGATTAGTACGATAATAACAATAACATTACATCAAAAAGCACTCTACTGCAACACTCGAGCTCCCAACATTTTGATCAAAAGCAATGCATTCGACGACAAAACAGAAAACAAAGGAAAGGAAAGGAAAGACGAAAGATAAAAGTCCTCATGATATATACACCAAAGAGACAGACAGTGTCTATCTCTCAATCGCATCATCATGGCTCTGTGTCGTTAAAAAGGTGTATCAATTTTGTTTTCTTTTCTTTTCCTCTTTTCTTTTCTCTTCTTCTCTTCCTATCTTACTTCAAGCGCGCGCAGCAGCACGTTGTGAGGCCGCAATCCGGTCTCCGAGCGACAGCGCGAGACCCTGTCCTTTACTTCTGATGCGGATGTGTCCAACAATGTGTCCCGACGCCTCCTTCTCAATACTCAAGTTTGCCAGCGCGTCCTCGCCAAACACGCTCTTGGCGTACATGTTTGCGCTCAAGAACTGGCACTCGCCCTTCAAGCTCGCCGCGGGTGTCAACACAGACATGTTTGTGTACGCAACAAGGCCTTCCAGGTACTCCTTCAAACTCTGGTTCTTGCCCGCGTTGTTGATGTTCACCTTGTTCTCCCACTCGAATTCTGTCCACATCGTGCGGAACTGCGTCTCCGTAACCATGCCGGGGTGGATGTAGTCCATGATATCAACATGAACGTCGTTGAGAATAACAATGTTAGTCTCGGTCGATGACGAGCCGTCATAGACAATGTTGCCAAAGATGACACCCGTGTCGGTGGACGAGACCTTGATCGTGGCCTGCACCGAATGGAACGCGTGCGGGCCAAGGTTCTGCGTAGTAGGCTTCTCGACCACCTTCAAATCGCCAAGAGTAGCAAACTCGACGCACAGGTTCTGCAGAGTGTCGGTTGTCTGGTTGACAAGTAGAACGTCGAGCACAATATCAAACTGGTGCACCTTGACGTACGCCTCAGCGTAGACAGAGTCCGAGAATCCAGTGAGCTGGACAACCTTGTTGAGCTTCGAGCTCGAGTCCTCAGTGACAATCTCGTTGCCAGTGGCCTTCGACAGATCCAGCTCAAACTCATCCTGTCCCTCGACCGCCGACTTCTTCGCAAGCTGTCTGATTCCGAGAGAATCGTCAACCTGAACCGCGTTCTTGGCCTTCTCGAGACGGTCCTTATCCGCCCGCTTGGACTCCTCAGCCACAACCATATCGTGGAACGCGGCGTGAGTGTCTTCCAAAAAGACCTCGTCAATCAACTGCGTGTGGTCCATGTCAGACAAAGACTTGATGCAAGCCATAATTCGATCAACAGAGTCCTCGTCGATCGGCGCCTTGGCAAAGTTGGACTGTCCAACGCGAAGAACCGAAATCATAATAAGCATAGCCTCCGCGCGCAGCAGGTTCTTTTGCTTATCATCACTCGACAGCTTGGAGTATCGCAGAACCAACTTTGTGAGTGTCGAGCTCAGAGTAGCCGCGAGGTAGTAATCACCATCAAGAATAAGCTGTCTCAAAGGAGGCTTGGCGGCAGCCTTGACTGCCTCCAGCTTTGCGTTCGTGGCCGAGTCAGAAGTGAGCGCGGACTCAGTCGCGTATGTGCCGTCGGGAAGGACCTTGCGGCTCGACGCAGGCTTGGGCTTGCTGTTACCGTTGACCTTCTCCTCCTCCTGCTCCGAAGTGCCGTCCTGGACAGCCTCGAGAAGACGCTGCTCCGAGGCCAGGATCGGGATCTCGCCAATACTTGTCCGGATCTTTTTCCATGACGCGCGGACGTCGGCTTCCGAGGCGCAGTACTCACCAATGATCCACAGAGCACCTCTGTAGACCTTCCCGCTTCGGACGTCACCGAGCGAGGCGACAAGACGCGAAACGATCGATTCGCGCAGAGCAGGGAACTTCTCGACGACTTCCTTGACAAAGCTGATGACATCAACAGCCGACGCGTTGTTGAACTCCGAGATAAAATCCATGAGGAGATCGACAACTGGCGCAGCAACCTCGGCAAACTTGATGGCGCATTGATGGATGTAGTGAATAAGAAGTTGGCGGTACTCGACGTTTTTGTCGTTGTCGCCGTCGATGGTCTTTGAGAGCTCCTTCTTGAGCAAGAGGATGACTTCGTGGACGTTTTTGCTGGAAATCATCTCGAGCGCGATATCCAAAGCCTTGCGACGGACGTCGAGATCGGGGCTAGAGAGGACGCGAAGGATCTCCATGACGAGGTCGTCGAGGACACCCTCGTTGCGCTTGCGAAGGTCGTCGACGCGGACGAGGACGATGAGCTTGACGTTATTGTCGGACTCCTTGACGCTGAGCTCGATGAATTTTGCGGCCGCGGCCTTGATGGCGACGGGATTGCTGGTGAGAGCGGTGAGCGCGGTGGCAGCCTCGTAGACGACGGTGTTGGAGGGGACCTCGAGAAGGTCAAAGACTAGACGAAGATAGCGGCCCTTGTTTGCGGTGTTTGAGACGGCATCTTTGCGGATGAATTCGATGAAGGCAAGCTGCATGAGCTCATCCATCGAAGTGATTGAGTCGTAGCACTTTTGGAGATACTGGACGGCGCCCTCGGGGTAGATGTTTGCGAGCACGACGAAGGCGTTGCGCTTGCAGGTTGTGTCTGACTCGTTTTCGAGGAAGCCGAGGACGAGGTCGGACGCGTCCGGGATGAGGTGCTCGGAGAGGGCGAAGATCGAGTAGATGGCAAAGACGGCGTTCTTGCGGACGTAGGCGTGACGGTGCTCGAGACAGGCGCGAACGGAGGGGATCAGGGGTTCGAGGAGCTCAGGCTCTTTGAGCTTGCCGAGGAAGCGCAGGGTCGCGCCGCGGATGTACTCGTTGGGGTGCTGGAGGTCGTTGCGGATGGCGTTGCTGTAGAGATAGAAGGAGAGAAGGTGTGAGAAAGGAGAATCGATGGATGGATGGAAGAAAGAAAAACACATACCAGACGAGAATCATCTCCTGCTTGAGCTTTCCGTCCGGATTCAGCTTCGGGCAGATTTCCCAGTAAAACTGCAGGAGCTTCTTCAAAGACTTTGACTTGGAAGGCATGACGAAGCGGATGACGTGCATGAGCAATTGCGGCATAGGATCGCCGTTGAGCATGATGACGAGGATGCGCTTCATGGCCTCTACTTTGACGGGGTCGTTGCCGCGCTCGAGCTGGAAGCGCAAGTCCTGCAGCGAGGGCTGGTCCGCCGACGACGGCTCGTGGATGAGCGTGTAAGACGATACCTCGGCCATTGTGCGGTGAGATGATGGGGGATTTGAGAGGAAGACGAGGGGGAGAAGACAGCGAAGGAGGCTCGTGGAGTCGTCGTGATGGCCGCTGTCCTTTTGGCGCAGCAGCACAGATTTCAGTCCGCGCATATCTGAGCACGCTGACAGAGGAGGGGGTTGGTGTTGTGCTACTGCTGTGCTATTCTACCTTCTTATATCGTTACATCCATCTATTTATTTGTTCTTCTTATAATAGTACAGCTACTGACTATGCATATCGTGACTGCACACATGCTCAAACACCAGCACCCCCCGCTCACTCACCCCAGCAGACCTCTCGCACGGCTTGATCACAATCGTATACCCGTTCTCGCCGCTCAGCAAATACGAATGCTCCTCCGACCTCCAGCTCACCGGACTGTCGTCAAATCCATATACTGTCAACACAGCCCATTTGTCCTCGGGGAGATTTATGCTATAATAAATCAGTCAATCGTCCTGTATCAATATACTTAAAACAGGGCACTCACATTAAATTCTTGAACATCTTGTGCACAACCCCAGACGTAATCATACCCTCTATCCGTACTAAACTCGCCTGATCCGCCCGAGGAGACTCCTCGGGGTCGTCAGTAAACACCTCGTATGAAGACAATAACGGGTTAATATCATCTCCCAAAACCACGCGCGGACTCTGCAAGGACAAGAGCGACGTCCATTCAAAGATATGAGCCAACCCCTCGTTCAACGTCTCCTCCTGGTACTGCCTCAATTCATCCTTTTTACTACTTGTGAGAAACTTGGTCATCGAGTGGGCAAGCTGCTGTGGCTGGAGTGACGGAACACACACTGTGCCGAGAGGTAGAGAGTCGAATGAATACGGGTACGGTGTCGCGTGAAGATGCTCGGGGATGGGTGGTAGAGGAGATGATGCAGTGGCTGCGGTCGGGAAGACGCAGAATAGGAATTGGACAGGGTCTTTCAAAAGAGTCTCATTACATGAGAATACCAGACGGTCAAATGTCTTGTTTCCCGGGAGAAGGAGCGGACTTCGCAAGTTCAGCTCGACATCTGCGATAGTGTCAGTAGGTGAGGTAACTTGGTATGAGAAGGAGAGGGCAAGATACTGTATCTGGTTTTTGAGAACTGTGATCTCTTTCCTTGTAGACCAGCACTTTCGTATGCTTCTTTTCGTAGCGATAATCTCAGTTTACCTGTATCTGCGTCAGCGACTCGCACTTTGAATGAGATCAGGATAGCTTGATACCGTCGTATATGCAGTACACGTTCTCCGTATCGATCTTTGTCAGGGAAAGCACAAGACAATTGTCTAAAATATCGTCAGATCCTCACAATCCGCAACACAGAAGCACATCAAAATAAATACTCTTCTTCACGAATTGGTTTAGAAACTCGGGATGGATGAAGGACGCGAGCGAGGTTGTGCAGTGGTAATACTTCCATTCTCTCGCACAGGCTTCACCGTTGAACAAAGGCGACTTTGCAAACTTGGATTCATACGCCTGCGTTGGTATTGTGATATCGAGCTGCAATAAACGAGCGTCAGAGATCTGCTATTTCTCACAGTATTCCATCTGATCAAGGCATACTCTGCGATTGAAATGGTGATCCAGTATGACCGAGTGTGGCCTTGACGGCTTCTCCTCCTCTCCACCAACAACAGACTGCGAGACATACACCTTCGGCAGCAGCCTCTTCTTCGAAAGGGCAAATGAAGTAGACATCACTATTTCTATTGTCTCCTTCCTCTCCCGCACAAATCGAGCAGAATCAAAATAATCGGAGTTCAGGTCCAGCCCTAAGCCTATATCAAATCACAACTCACAATGTGACTGTGACTGAAAGCGGCGGCGGCAAAGGCGAAGAAAGAGGCACGAACGAGACCGTCAAAAGGCTTCTTCTTTGTCTGCTTCGTCTTTTAATCCACAGCTTCGCGGGTTTTGCGTGTTTATTCTGTTCGTAATTCGTCGTGCTGAAACCGGCAGGCGCAGAAGTGCAATGAGCGAGTGATTGTGAAGCCAGAAACCTGCTGCTATCGGACATCCTCACTATCTTCTATCTCCAACCGCACCCCGATATCTGTTTTGTTGCAGATGCGAACGCTCCATTCCCATTCTCACCCCGACCCGAGCCAGTCTTCCGCTGAATCTGCTCCTTCGTCTTCCTCTTCGTCTTCCTCTTCCTCCTCATCTTCCTCCTTCTCGCGCCAATCTCTGCGCTCGGCCCCGACCACCGCGCTCTCGGCAAACCCCGTCGTCGTCCACAGACCCGTGCTCGAGCGCGCTTCCAGTCTCTTATCGACCACCACCGCAACCGCGACCACCGTCCCCCAGATCGCGTCCGACATCCCTATCTGGACCCGTGCTGACCTCTACTCACACATCCTCTCCTCCCACAACCCAGGACGCAGACCGTCTCTCGAAGAGAGGAATTACTACTCGTCCCTCGCAGCTCGCTCGCACTTCTCCTCCCAATCCTCTGCCTCTACCGCTCCCTACTCTCCCCCACAGTCAGAAGTCATCGCCGAAGAAGAAATGGCGCCAGTTCCGTGCACCGCCGAGCCCGCAGACGTGAGCTCTGCGCTGCAAAAGAAAATATTCGGCGCCGTCTGGGCCGAGGAGGTCCTGCCCGACGCGCAGGCAGCGCCGTCGGTGCTCTCGCCGCCCATGCCCGCGCCAGTCGAGGCCTACAGTGACAAGATACATTCGCGACGGGTCCATGCCAGCTCGAGCACGTCGTTCCTGCGGTCTGGGTCAAAGTTCATGGGCACGCAGATGTCGAGCCGGTCGACGTACGAGGTGCACGTCGAACTCAAGCATGTGGACATGAGCGAGTCCTTTGTGTGTGGATATCTTCACATCAAGGGTCTGACAGAAGACAACCCGACGCTGACGACCTATTTCGAAGGCGAGATGATCGGACCAAAGCACTCGTTCTTCACCCGGCGCCGCGACTGGGGCGCGTCGGAAAAGACAGATATAATACACTGGGCGCGGTTTCCTTCGTGGCGACCGCTCGCAAAGGACGCCAAGCGTCCGGAATACCGTCATCTGAACTTTGAGCAGCGCGACCACATCTTCATGCGCTGGAAAGAGTGCTTTCTGGTACCGGACCACCGCGTGCGCGACATCAACGACGCGTCGTTTGCTGGATTCTACTATATCTGCTTCAATCAAATCACCGGTGCTATCTCGGGTCTGTACTTCCACAAGGACTCGGAGAAGTATCAGCAGCTCGAGCTCGCGCATGTGAAGGACAGCGGCATGTATTACTCTTACGAATTCCGATGAGCAGACTCACACCCACACACATACCACTGTTGAGTCTGCTGAGAAAAGTCTTCACTATCAATCTCATGATCCATGATCCTCGTTATCTTTTTCGTACTTATTTCTCGTCCTTTGACATGGCTGTTTTTCGTTGGGTATAAAGGGATAGGAAGGAAGGAAGGAAGGACACGTCGGCTAGTTTCTGTTTCTTTCCCATGTTTTTTTTTTCTTTTTGTCTTTGTCTTTGTTGTTGTTTTTTGTCTATTATTTTCGGCGGTTTAATTCGGATACATAAACTCATGGACGGAGCTAATAAAGTACAATTTCATCATATTTACTCTTCTGTAGACTGGTCTCTGAACAGCCAAAACAAACAAAAAGTCCACTTTGCTCACCCAAACTCACCTTCGCCACCGTCGCGACCACTTTTGCCTTTCCCGATCACCCGCAAAGTCACCTTCCTCCGCCCTCGTCGCGTCCCCGGCTCTTTATTTACTATTTACACCGTAAACAAATCCGACGCGTCCTCGGCCCCGTCCTTCTCGCAGCCTGCCATGGCTCTCAGCCGCGACCGCTCGCCACCGCCCGCCGAGGTCCCTATCGACCCGCACATGCTCTATCACCACCCGCAGCACCCTTCCTCTCTTTCGACACACCACCACGCTACCGACGATGAGGAGGAGGACGACGACGACGACGACAGCGACCAGAACGGTCACGGAACCGGCAACCCCGACAACGCCGCCGTCGAAGCCCTGCTCGGAAACCACCACCACCACATCCACCACCACGACCCCTCCTCATTCCTCGACGAGCTCCCGACTTCACACACGCGTCCGCCCCGGCACCCGGACGCAATGGTCCCCGCCATCCTCCGCCAGCGCCCAAAGTACGTCGAAACAGAGCACGTCGTCGTCTACCACTGCCCCGTCACCGACTGCCCGACCAAGACCTACGCCCAGCGCGGCCGCCGCGCGATCCTGCGCCATCTCCGCTCGCGCACCGACGACGCCCACGTCGCCGCGCTCGAGCACTTTTCCCAGTCCCGCAGCGCGATGACGAAGCAGGAGCGCTCGCGCAAGACCTCGCGCACGTACCGCGAAAAGAACCTCAAGGAAGCGCAGGAGCGCGCGGCGCTCGACGGCGCGCCGTACCTCGCGCCGCTGTATAACCCGCTGCTGGTCAAGAAGCACGAGGCATACGTGCGCAAGAAGATCAAAACCGTGCTGGACTCGATCCCGAAGCCGTCGTGGCCGGTCGCGCCAGGTCTGTCGGCGGCCGATGCGGCAGTGAACGCGCTGCTGCAGCAGCACGCGGCGGAGATGCAGACGAACGTGCTCTGGATCCTGCAGGAGATGGACAACTGCGTGTATTTCCCTCCCGGCGCTGATATCCCTGCCATGTTATCCGGCGAGGGAGGCGAGTACTACCGCCGCCGTCTGCGGGAGCTCGAAGAACGGCTGCCGTCGCGGGTAGCGCAGATCCGAGCAGCGGCCGTACAGCTCGATAGTCCCGGGGCGCTTACCCGCGCGAGCGTCGAGTTTCAAGTATGGAAAAAAACCGACGACATTCAGCGCGCGAAGCGGCAGCTCGATCGCGAGCGCTACGAGCAGGAGACAGAGGAAGCGGCGCGACGGATTGAGGAGTGGGAACGCGAGCGGACGAAGGAGGGGATCGAGGAGAAAGTCGAGGAGGAGATGAGGAAATGGAAGGAGCAGATGACGGAAAAATTGAGAGAGCAGTGGAGGCAGAAGGATCCGTTGATGGCCGAGCAGGAGACGATTGCTGTTGCTGCTCTTGCGGTCCGGCAACAGGAGTGATTTATAGATTTCTTGTTGTTTTCTATTTTGTATATTTTGGGATATCTGGAGCATGGCGTATTGATGGTTTACTAATTTCAAATTGATTCATAAATAGTCCTTGAATAGACTGTAAATTCACATTGACAAACTGATACAACAAAACAGAGGAATAAAGAAAAGGAAAAAAGAATGCTTGATAGATTCAAAGAGACTTGCACTCGCGCTCTCGCGCGCTCAGTATCAGTCAATATAGACTAATTCCTCTAATCCCACCCTATTCATGGCCGCACCACAAAATACATAACTCATAGTCTTTCGTCAGATAGACAATTCCTGCTCGAGGGCAGTTGAATACAAGAACGAGAAGGTCAAACGGTGCTGAACATATTTGGCTCATCGCACGATCAGCAGATATAAAAAAACTGTAAAGTAAACAAGTAGATAACAATAAAGACGATCTTGTAATGAGTGGACTGTTGATTCACATATATGGAAACATATTCCTTGAAAAATTACCAGATCATAATCAATATACACGAAAGTGAGAAACCAACAGAGAATACACCCGCAACATAAACACACCTGCACACAAATCCAACAATCATCAGCTTCTGGAATACTTGACACGAAGCCATTTAAGAACAGAAAAGATATAATGTATATATAAGAAAAAAAGTTCTGACAGAAGAAAGATCAACGATGGCGGTAGTGGCCACCATTGCCCGACACAGAGTTGTTTCCAGACATCGACATCGACGAGCTCGGTCCAGAATACGAGTTCACAGAAGATCCGCCAGATTGCTGCTGCGACATACCCGAGCCACCACCGGTGCTATTGCTGTTGCTGTAATGGGGGTGGCCCTGTGCTTGCTGGCTGCGATAGCGCTCGACGATCCAGGCGCATTTGGATCCCCATTTCGAACCGCGGAGCGAAACCATATGCTTCTTGATCTGAGCGGCCACAAGATCTTGTTGGGGCTTTGTGGCATTGTGGAGGATGTACTGGATGAGGTAGTTTCCGTGGGCGTCGGAGGCAACTAGACAGAGAGACAAAAGACGCTTGTTAGCCACAAATTCACAACTCTTCACAATAAAGTGTCCTAGAATATCAATAACGAAAAGCAGCATTCTGCAGAAATAACAAATAATCATACTATCAATCAGCGGTATTCTAGGTCGCTCCGGGCGTCCCTCGCAAATCTTCGTCAGATAGCGATCGACCACTTCTGACGAGCAGTGCTTGAGCATCTTCTCAATCACCTTGGACGCATACTGGTCCATCGAGTACGCAACAGCGTTATTGATAACAGCATCCAGAGCACGCTCGGAGTCTGCTTTCGAGCCCTGCTCAATCATGTGCTGGATCACCCAGTTGCCCCATTGGCCGCGGGCGATGATGTCGATGTTCTCGAGCACCTCCTCTATGCAGGGACGCTTATCTTCCTCGACGCAGTTCTCGAATATGTTCTGAACGACCAGCGATCCGGTCTCGCCCAGCGCGACCTGGGTCCACATCCCGCGGAGCTCCTGGTTGACGTACTTCATAATCACCGGCGGCGTGCCTTCCCAGCGCAGCTCAAACAGCTTCTGCCACACGTGACAGGCGTAGCGATGCACGACCGTATCAGCGACCCGGCTCAGCAGCTCCATCACCATCTCGGCCTTCACCTTCTCCTCGACGCAGTCAAGCGCCTTCTGCACAACGTGGCATCCGAACGCGTCCATGGCGAGCGTGAGCACGTTCCCGCGTACTGCGCCGGCTATGCCCTCGATCTGCTCTGGGGTGCCGTGCTCGAAGCAGCGCTGCACGAGGAAGTTGCCGAACCGGTTCACCATCAGCGGGTACGCCTGCTCGACGATCGCCTCAATGATCTCATACTTCTGATCCGGCGTGCCGACCTTGAGTTTCTGCTGCAGAAAAATCGACGCTTGCTGATCGTTGTTGTGGACGATTTTGCTCACGATATAACTCCAGTCGCAGTTCACCGCCCGTTCTAGAAGATGCCGGTAGTTGATCGGCTCTGTCAGAGTAACGTAAGTCTGCTGCTGCTGTGACTGTGGCTGTAGCTGCTGCTGTGACTGCGGTTGCTGCTGCTGCTGCTGCTGCTGTCGGGAAAGCACCGGAGTAAACTCAAGACTATGAGCAGAGAGAACAGATCCAGTCTGACCGAGCGACGAAGACGCCGAAGACGACACGTCCGACTGCTTCTGCGAGTCCCTTTCCGGAGATGCAGAGCCACTCAGATGTCTGCTTCTCGCTGGAGCGAGCATAGGCGACGCAGTCCGTAGCCTGGCTTGAAGGAAGGGCGACTGCATCTCGGCAGGGTTGGAGAGCGGCACGCGCTGTTGCGGTCTGAATGCTCCGAACGAAGAAGGGCCGAGGAGGCTAGAAGCAGTGGAAGACGTCGAGGAAGGAGCGCGGCGCCAGATGCTCTCGCTCAGTGGAGTGAAGTCGGTGGATATAGCAGAGACTGAAGTGGCGGGCGGCTGCTGCTGCTGCTGCTGCTGCTGATTTTTCGGAATCTGCAGATTCGAAAACAAGCCTTCGTCGACTAGACTAGACGCGTTGGACGACATTCGGTCGTGCAGCGGCAAAGAGGAAGAAGACGACATGCTCGAGTACATTGCCGCCGCGGCCGACCACTGCGGATCAGCGCCCGCTGCTGACGCGAACTGGAACGCGCTTGCAGGCTGCGACGACGGCGGCGTGGGGATCTGCGATACAGCGGCGGAGGTAGAGTCGACGAGGCGGCTGAGGCGCATCTGAGCCAGTTTGAGCTCATACTGAAGCGACGCGAAATCAACAGAGGCCGACTGTTCTGCGCCGGACGCGGTGGCGGAGTCATAAGCGGTCTGGGCCATGAGGATCTGTTTCTGGAGCTCGATCAGACGAGCCTGGTCGTCAAGCTGCAGAAACAAAGCCTCGTTGTCAGTACGGCCGGGTGAGTTTGCAGAGACTGAGGCTGCAGCGGTGGGCAAAGGCCTGAAGGCGGTGGGAAGGACGGTATCGACCTGGAGCTTGGGAGCGGACGCGGATGCGGGCTGGGCGGCGGAGGAGATGGAAGAGGAGCCGTCCTGGAGGGCGAGGTCGTCGATCAAGGACTGCGGGAGGATCATGCTTCCGTCTGCGTTGGTGTACGCGTTATCATGAGAAGCCATTGCTGTTGCTGTTGCTGTTGTTGATGATGCTGTTGCTGGTGTTGTTGTCGAAGTGGAGGAGGAACCGAAAACGGGCGGCGCGGCGCGTCGGTCAAAACAAAGCTCAAAGGTCAGATGAGCATCGCATTGTCCCTGAACCTTAATTTTCGTGGATTTGGACCCAGAATTGGGTTGTCATAGCAACGCTTTCTAATTTTTTTACCATGTACATTGCTTTATTATATTACAGCGTCTCTCCTTCTTTCTTCTTATTTTGATCTTTAGACCTGAACCGGTGCGGTAGTAAAAGCTGGAGCAGCAGCAGCAGCAGCCTTGCTTGACGATGACGCATTTTGACGGCGCGAGACGGGCGAGGTGGCCTCGCACCCCGGGCAGTTGTGAAGCACTTCGTGAGCAAACAGATCGCAGTCGATGCAAAACTGTCTATGGCATGTCGGACACCTGAATCTTCCTGTAGAGCCTGTAGGGCCCGCTGCGGATGTATGAGTAGCTGTAGATTTGTCTTGGTGCGAGACTGTTGCTGTCGATCCTGAGGATGTGGTGCTGATTCTGATTTTTGTCGACGAGCCGCTTGACGAGATTGTAGGAGGGACGGGAGCAAATGGTTTGTGGCATCCAAAGCATGAAGATGCTTTACTCCGTTTTGCTTCGGGCCATTCGACTTCGTACCAATTGCGCAGCGGCATCAGGTGGTGGTATGATCTCGCGAGATGGGTTGATAAGATCAGTGTAAGGCCGCATGCGGGGCATTCCGTTGGTAGTGAGCAGACCTTGACGTTACAACGGGGACAGAGATAACCGCCCTTTAGCAGTCTTGTGTGGCAGGCACAAAAGGACGGTGTCGTTTCGACGATGCGAGAAGGAAAGCCCATGCGCATGAGCTCAGATGCCGATTTGCCTTTTGCTGACTTCTCAGTTTTCGTAGACGCAGGAGGTGTACAGGCGCTCAGAAGAAGTTCTTTGAAATGCTGCTCGTTCAGGATGACGCCGTAAGTGCTCAAAAAGTCGCCGTCGTTGGTTTGCTTGCACAGTTCTTTGCAGACAGCTACCTGTGCAGCTAGACCGACTACGCGAACGCGGATTCGCTCTGTTTTTAAGGTCAAGATGGTTTTGTGGATGTCGCCTGGATCGCAGGATAGAAGGGCACCAAAGATGATGACGACTTCTTTTGTGCCGTGTGATGGGACGTGGCTTGATAATAGTTAGTAAAAATCGTAGAAATCTAAATTATACGGGACTTACTAGAGTGCACCTCTGGCCATTTCTAGAGCGTTTTGTAAAGACGGCACACCAGCGGGCTCGTCCTTTCTCAAAGCCTGGATGGCAGTGATGTGCTCAGCCGGATTACCGCCGAGCTGTGAGATAAGATGAGCGATGCCGTCTTTCATGCCGATGACGCCCAACTGCGAGATTGGATTCTGCTCAAAGTATTCGTTCACAAACTGAACCGCGTACTGCAGCGAGAGCTGATACCGCGAGGGCCGCATGTCTTTGTCTGCCATTGCTGAGCTGAGATCGAGGACGAGGATAAGATGGCGGATGATGCCGCGCTGGAGAGGGGTCTGCTCGTAAAACAGTCGCTTGCGTTTGTTTGACTGTACAAGATCTGCAATTGCGGTCGCCAGACTACCGCCTTCGTCTTCCTGTACGATATCCCATGGCCGCTGGATCGAATCTTCCCAGATGTAGCCGCCGCCGGTGGTGGACCGAAGCTCAGCGTTTGATCTGCGAGTGGAGCGGGTGTTCATGCCCCCGCCGCTGCTGGATGAGCGCAGCTGTGAGACTTCTTCAGATTCTGGAGAAGAAGCCTCGTTGTATGATCCATCAGAGTCGGACATTGTAGAACTTGGAGTGAGGAGAGAGAGGTGGTGAGAGAGGAATAAATGGGAGGATGCGGAAGCTGGGAGGAGGAGTGGAGAGCCGCACAGTGAATTTACAGTTGATTAGAAGTCAGTTGCGAGTCGAGGTGAAGCAATAGCTCATATTTATTACTTCTACAAGTCATATTCTACAGCAATTCTTATTCAAAGCTCTATATATTAAATGCAAAATATAAATAAACATAAAAACAATTGCTTTTATCCCGGGGTAGTCGTAATAACAACTAAATACATCTCTAAACAATATAATAAAACAAAAATAATGCAAAGACTATTAGAAATTAGAACCCAAAAGACGCCATGAACTAAATCGACAAACAATAAGCCAGATATTATACCGCTACTTCAAGATGACGCATATTACACACACAAGTTAAAGACAAATAGTAGTAGTAGAAGCACTCAGACATTTCGGGGTACCGAATGAACGAAAGAGCTTGAAAAGTTTGCATTCGAGAGAGGAATGACTTCTCGCATATTTGGGAGCGGATCAGGTCTGACCCATTCGACAGCAGGATCGATCCAATGGTCTTCGGTGATGTCGGTCCAGAAGGCCCAGAGGCCGCCGAAGCTGAAGAGAGTGAAGAGACAGGCAAACATGGAGCCATCGATATGGCCGGTTGTGCCGGAGCAGATGTAGCGCGAGATGACGAATTCAAAGATCTGGCCAATGACAAATAGAATGAAGGCAGGGAATAGGAGGAGTAAGGGCTTGCGCTCGCGCAAGACTCTGACGACGAGGTTGAACTGCAGGATGAGGTAGAGTGAGATTGCGAGGATAGGCCAGAGTAGGTAGGTGGTGTAGAGGGCGTAATTGCGCATAAGCTCAGGGCGAGATGGAGCCGAGTCGAAAGTGTTTGTCCAGTTGAAGGCCGAGTCGAGGGCGATGTATCCGACCCCGATGAAGAAAGCCAGGCCGGACAGGAAAGTGAGCGAGACTGATAAGAAGCCGCCGTCGGGGAGGATCTGATAGGCAACTATGGCATTAACAACAAGAAGCCAGGCAGTGGCCGCGGTTGCCCCAATTTCGATGGCGCTGAAGTAGACGAGGATGGTGCGGTTGAAGATGAAACCACCGGAGGCGAAGATGGCGGATATGGAGAGGATGAGGTAGGAGAAGAAGAGGATTTGCATTTCGCGACGACCGACGGCGGCGGTTCTACGCTGAGCGGTGTAGATGAATAATAGACAGGTAATGCATGCGAAGAAGGAGATCAGCATAAGGCCGAGGTTTTCGATGCGACCGTTTCCGGCGGTGGTGAAGCCGCGGAGAGCGCAGTGCTGCTGGTAGTCGTAGTCGAAGAGCTGGGAGTGTGAGTATGATGTGAGAAAAAGGACGTAAATGAGAATATAGATAGAACACTTACATTGCATGCAGGGAGGTTGGAGTAGCGGCAGAAGCTCTAGAGAGGAAGAGGTTAGAGGGAGAAAAGGAGAGGAAGAGCGATAATTTGACGTACGTCGAAGTTGCCATAGTTGGATGACATGATTCGCAGGCCGCGGTGAAAAAAGAAGGAGTGTAGACGACGATAACAAGAAACGAAGGAGGAGGAAGAGCGAACGAAGGTGGAGGAAGGCGATAAGGCGATAAGAAGAAGGGTTCGAGGAGACAATGAAAGCAGCTGCTTTGACGAACAGTCGACGGCGGCGGTGAAGCGAGATTGATTGCGGCTGGGTTGGTGTTGTGGGGGAGAAAGTACAGATGTTTATAATGATATATATCCGTGTAAGTAGAGCCAAAACAACCGTGAGTCAACGACATCAGAATCCAACGGCTGCTTCTGTCAAACGGGAACCGGCCGAGTCAGCAAAAGACAAAGGAAGAAACTGTTTGTTTTTACAGTAAAGACATAAAACTACATGAATTGAACAGAAACAGAAAGGAATACAGTCAAAACATGCTATTACTCGATTCTGCTCAGTTAAAGAACGTTGGGAGTAGAAAACCCTAATCCGCTTCTTTATTCATTATTTACTTCGTTTTTATTTTTATTTTTCAGTGCGTGATCCCTGCGACTCTCCTCCTCCGCCTCTGCTTCCCCGTCTTCTCTTCTGCTTCCCTTCCTCCCCCTCTTCCTCTCTTCTTCTTCTCCAATTCCCTCTTCCTCAACTATCCACAGTCAGATCCCTCCTCTGGCTACGACGGGGCCCTCCAATGGCTGACGCGCGCCTGCTCGAACCCGCGTCCATCGTCGTCCCCGACTTTGCAGACTTCCCTTCCTACTCCGCCGGCCCCGCCCTCCATCACCAGCAGCAGCAGCATCAGCCCTCGTCCACTCCCGCCACCTCCTCTCCTGGCCTCCAACCCCCCGCCGTCATCACCGAGTCCCCTCCTCGTCCTGCCTCGGCCGCCCTGCCTGCTTCCCTCCACTCCCCTACCAGACCCGCCTCCGCCCACTACTCCCAGGAGCACTCCACCTCGCCCCACTCCTCCTCCCCCCTCCGCCGCCATGCATCCCTCTCCAGACCGCAGATCCCGCGATCCGTCTCTCTCGCGTCCTCCTCTCTCCGCAGATCACACACAACCGCCTCCGCCTCCCCTGCCCTTCCGCAGACACCCCCTCGCCAGCTCCATCATCTCCAACAGCCGCACCAGCCTCCTGCTTCCAACGAGCCCATAACTCCGGCTGAGTACTCCCTACACATCATCTTCACTCAGGTACCTACTCCCTCCTCCCTATATCTCTTCCAAACCTCCTCCCCTACTCACCCGTCTCTAGTTTGTTCGCCAAGCAGAAAAGAAGCTCAACCTGTGCCTCAGTTACTCCTCCGAGGAGGAACCCCCAATTACAACCCTCCTCGCTGCCGGCGCTGATCCCGTCTTTGACAAAATCCTCGAATCCCTCGGCTACATCTCCCGCCAAAAACCTCGTCCAGTCATCGACGCTGTCATGTTCTGGCGCAAATCAAAGTCTGAAGCTGCCACCGCCGCCGCCCGAGAACGCAACGGCCCTCAAAATTCCTTCCCCTTCAACCACAATAACACCAGCAGCCAGTCTTCCCAGCCGCAGCCACAGCAACCACAGCAACAGCAGAAATCAACTCTTGTCGTCTCCGGTCAGCAGCAGATCAGAAGCCTTCGCCACAAAGTCAGCAAGAGTCTCTCCGATCGCTCTCCAATCGGCAACAGACACGGCAAATTCAGTCCCAATAATGGTCCGCAGAGTCCCAGCAGTAATGCCTCTGCTGCCAATGGCAATCATCAACACAACTCCTCTTCACTAGGCTATTTTGGTATTCACCGACACCAAAGTTCCTCTGCAGCCACGCAATCAAACACTCAGCAGGGTTCCAGACCGGACAGCGCTCAGCAGGCTGATCGCAAAAGTCTCATCTCGATCTACATCCTCTGTCGCGTCCTGATCGAGGTCGTCAAACAGACATCATCCTCCGTTCTTGGCGAGGAAATGGGCGACAAACTCGAAGAAATCGTGTTTCGCCAGATCAAAGCTAGCGACCCGAACCTAGTAGCAGCAAGCCCGATCCGACTCGCCAATTGGAGACTGTTTGCCGAACTTCTTGGTGAAATGTCGCGTATGAGATTTACCAGCGTCAGCGACCGTTTTATCGCCGAGCTAGAGAAAACCGCTGGCGACCAGGGACTTTCAAAAGAGCAAGAGCAAAATATTCAAGTCGTCATCCATGGAATGGAGTACCTTCAGCTGAAGGTAGGCCTTTAACCATCTCTCTTCACATTAACTGCTATATACTAATAGTTCTCTCTAGGTCTACCCTCTGGAGCTCTTTGAAGATTCAGCCGACTTTATACACTCCCTCTGCAAGTTCTTCGTCAAGTCGCACGGGCAACGAGTCAAGCATGCCTACTGCGAGATACTCAACACTCTGCTGCTATCAATAGCCGGTGTTATCACCGCTGAGGTCAATCATCCGACCTGGGTCAAAACAATCGATCTCGTCTATCCAAAAGTTCTCGCCATGATGTCAAAACAACGCTACTGGGCCGATGCCTTCCAACTCGCCTGCACGATCCTCTGCGTCGCTCCTACTCAGTTCTTCGCCGACAACTGGATACCGCTAGTAGAGGCAAACTTTCAGAAGCTCAAAGACGCAAAGAGCAGAGTGGCAGTCATCATCGGTATCTCGCGTCTGATCTGGGTGTATCTTCGGAGATGTTCAGAGTCATACAGTACAATCGAAAAGCGCTTGGATGGTTTTGCCAAAGTTCTCTTCCCGGCAGGCAACAAAAAGCCTTGGCTGACTGCCGACCGCAGCTTGATCGATGCTTGCGTTCAAATGATCCGTTTTATTGGATGGAGTCAGCCGGACTACTGCATCAAAAACCTCATTTATCCTCTGATGAGCAGCGACACGCTCACCCGCATGGGCGACAACAATCTCTCCGTTGATTCTCTTGCGCCTGAACATATGCATGTAGCCATCCGGGCGTTTATCTCGATCCTGCTTGACGCAGCAGACAACACTCCCCCGCCTTTCTACTCGCCTGATCCACCGCTCAAGCAGGGCAGTGTTGTTATCGGCGAGCGGTCCCTGCAAGAGCAACCCGTTATGACTGAGCCGCCACCAGTATTGCGAGATCACTACGCTCAGTTTTCACGACTGCTCGGGAAGATCTTGCTAATCTGCGATTCTCATTTTGGTGGGCAGGTCGTCTTGGACGAGAAGATGGGCAAGATAACCCCAAAGACTCCTTCTTCGTTTAACTTTGCCCAGTCCGGCGGTAACTTTGGATCTGCTCTTGGCGGATCGAGCGGCAATAGCAACAGTCAGACTAGCAATGAAGTCCTGCATGCAAACTACGAGCTCTTGCTGACAGTGTATGAAGCTATCCCACTTTGCATCCCCCAGAATGTGAGCTTTGGACGCATTGTTGAGATTCTTTGCAAGGGGACTGCACATCCCGATCCTCGCCTGGCAGCAGCCGCAGCGAACTCGCTCAAAAGTCTAGCCAGAAGCGGCCAACATTCGCAGCAGACAATCGTCACTGGCTTTGCTCGGTTCATCTTCAACTACGAAGAGCGCTATTCGGCATACTCAGAGAGCTCAATGCTGGATTCGTCGAGCAACGTCGAAAACACCTTGAAGATCTACGTTCAGCTCTTGAGTATCTGGATCAACGTCATCAGGCAGAAGACCGCTGCTTACCGCGAAGCAACTGCGGCTAATAACGGGAACAGCACCAATGGTCTTAATGGCGCTACTCCTGCTGCACTGGTGGTCACTCCTATCTCTACCGACTCTTCGAGCAGAGGCGAAGAAATGGAGACAACATCGGTCTGGAGCGTTATTGAGGAAGTCGAGAGTAACGGCCTCTTCTTTCTCTGCAGCCAGAGCCGAACAGTGCGATGCTATGCGATTGCAGTCTTACGATTGATCCGGGAATTCGACGTTGCTTTAGAGGAGCAGGTCGAAGTACTAAAAATGCAATCTAAGAATCAGGGGCCGAGCCATAATGGCTTCAGCCGCATTATTGAGATTTTGGAAGCGACAGATGGGCCTGAAGCCTTAAACACTGATGCCCTCGAGCCGAGCATTGTTGAGGCTATGTCTACTGCTGAGCGAATGCGCCTCTCTCAACTTCAACTGGAAGGCAAAGAGCTCTCGCACCATGGCATTCTAGTTCGGCTGGCTCAATCCGACTCTGGAGTGGATTCTGCGTTATGGCTACGACTGTTTCCAAAATTCCTCGAGCTGTGTCTGTCGCGCTTCCCCATGCCGGTCGCTTTGTGTCGCGATAGTGTGTGTAGCAGACTTATCTACTTGCACAAGCCGCTGATGGACTCGATTGAAGCGCACAGCAAATCTCCTAGCTCTTCAGATGCTCACTGGAAGCACAATGCTCGTACTCATCCGAAAGTGCTGATCGAGCAGTGGAAACTATACATGATCGTCGCATGCTCAACGTTAACGGCTACTGATGACCAGGAGGCGAAGCCGGTTGAGAAGAGTGCTGCATCGTCATTTGCGAAGCGGAAGGGTCCTCCGCAGCTGACTGTTCCGTACAAAAGGATTACGTCCGCAAAAGTTTTGTTCCGGATGGTGATTCCACTCTTGCAGACTGATTATGCTTTAGTGAGAGAGGCTGTGATTGCAGGACTGGAATGTATCAACATCAATCTCTACAAGAGTCTGATCGAGGCTATTCAGCCAATGGTCAGTGCTATGGGCGACCGCCGGTCACAGAATGGGAGCGGGATGACCGGAGGGTTTTCTAATGGCAATTCAGCAAATCACAACCAACACGGAAACGGGTCTAATGCTCCCTCGTCACCTTCGTCCGGACTGCTGTGGCGCAAAACTCGAAAGCATGATTGGATGCGGATCGAGATCACCCATTTGCTACAGCTGACGTCGCATTTCATCAAGGAGCCGATCATCTACAACGATCCATGGATCCTTGAGCAGCACATCTCGTTTGTGCGGGACACCAAGAACTTCCTGTGTCAACCTGAGATTGCTAGCGACTGGGGCTATCAGAAGCTTCGAAGATATTTCTGCGGGTTTATGCAGACTCTGTACGAGGGTATCAAATTAACCGAGGATTCGAATCGATGGCTTCCGTTCGAAGCCCGTGTCTCACTGTTTAAGATGATTGAGGAGTGGTGTGGTTATGGACAATACGCCGATATCGCACACGACAGAAACGAGAAGATGCGGCGTGCCGCTATTGAGCAGTCACGCGACACCGCCGAGCAAGGTGTCTTGATGGCCTCGTTTGAGGTTGAGAAGGGACAGCTAGAGCTTGCTACTTTGAGTGCGATGGCGTCTCTTCTCGACGGGCCTCTGACTGAGACTATCGAGAGCCATGGTGCGCAGGCTGCTGTGATGTCTTTTGACGTCCCGGCGATCTTCCAGTGGGCCAATGCAGTTTTCGACGCAAACACAGATCGCATGCACACTATCGGTCGTCGGGCAATAGTGAACATGCTACGGTCGAACAAAGGACACGCTGATCTTTTGGCTCGGACAATCACATACTGTTACCACAGCGAGTCCGGACCTCGTGCGAGCGAGAGCTATTTCTATGTGCTTGCTGACGTTCTTATCAACGATAATGAATATCCGTGCGACATGCGTCAGCCTATTGCCCTGGGACTCTTCAAGATTGGAGACGAGAGGTCGCAAGTACGCGTGAAAGCCGCTGCTCTTCTGAAAGCGGTCGAGCTGCGATTTTTTGGCAAGTCGAAAGTCCAGGACTATGAGATCAGTATCTCTGATCGAACTACGGCGGTCTACAAGCGAGCGCAGTTCAACTTGTCGAATCAATTCTCGCTGGAGTACGACGACTTGAAGTATACCATATTTTCGGAACTGTCGATGTATTTCCACATTGTGTCCCCCCATATGCGCCGGGACATTCTTGCGATTATGATACCGTGGATCTCGAACATGGAACTTCAGCTTGAGCCTAACGGCAAAAATCCTTCTCCTTCGGCATACATGGTCATGACGAACCTCTTTGAGATCACGATCCGATTCAGTAACGAGATTCAAAATGAAGTCGAAGCCTTGTGGGTGACGCTTGCCTCGAATCGACACATGGGCAATGTTCGCGCAATTCTGGATTATTTGATCAACATGGGTGTCGAACGACGGGACCCTGCGTTTGTGGAATATAGCAAGCAGATTGTTGTATACATCGCAAGCACACCGGCTGGATCGAAGCTCGTCGAGGCTTTGGTTGCGTATATCCAGCCTACGAGTATGCTCCATACTTCGGGAGAGGCTAAGGAGTATAATGGGATTCACGAGTTGTTTCCATACACTGCTGATTTGACTTTGGTTTTGCCTCCGGCCGTTGAGCCTGTAAGTTGCCAATTGTTTTTCTTTCTTTCAATGCCAGGTTCTAATAATTGCTTTTCTAGGTTGGATTTTCGATCGGTCAGCTGGCGATGATCTTGCTGGTTGATTTGTTTGTGAGTCCGGTGACTGCGATGTCGGCAAATCTGGCTTTACTTATGCAAGTTGTGTTTGTGCTGTTTGATCACTACAATCAGCTTGTTCACGAGCAAGCTCGTGAGCTACTTGTGCATTTGATCCACGAGATCTCGCTATCGAATGAAACTGAGATTGGGGGAACAAAGTACAAAACGGCTGCCGAGATTATCGATCTGATTCGAAAACGAGACCTACAAACAACTTGGTCTTATGACGATCTGTACATGGACGAGGCTGCGATGCGAAAGCCGAAGCACATGGACGGCATGATTCAGAAGGTTCTGCTGATTTTCGAGGAAAAGTACCCGAAACTGAAGGACGAATGGAGTCGAATTGCGTTGACATGGGCTACGACGTGTCCAGTCCGCCATTTTGCCTGCAGGTCGTTCCAGATCTTCCGGTCGACATTTGTGTCGATTGACCAGAGCATGCTTGCGGATATGCTTGTACGCCTATCAAACACCATCGCCGATCCGAATCCGGATATTCAGAACTTTGCGATGCAGATCTTAATGACTCTCAATCGGATTGTTGAGAGCTGCGACTCGGTCGAGCTGATGGATCATCCGCAAGTTTTCTGGGCTACGGTCGCGAGTATGCAGACTGTGAACCAGAGCGAGTTTATTGAGGGAGTGACTATTTTGAACAACCTTCTCGACAAAGTCTCGCTGAATGATCCTGAGGTGGTAAGCAAGTTCATTAGCGCATTTCCTCAGAAGTGGGAAGGAGGAAAGTTTGATGGACTGCAGCAGACGCTACTACCTGGAGTGCGGTCGAGGAAATCATATGATGTGACGATGACTGTGCTTGATCGGCTTAATCTTCTAGAGTCGAACGAGTTGGTTGGTGACGAGAGTCGGCTGTTTTACGCGACACTTTGCAACCTGCCGCGATTCGCCCATGCGCTTGAGATTGGGATAATTCCGCCGGCGTTTATTGTTTCTGCGGAGAAGCTTGCGCAGATGGCGGAGCTAGAATCGATGCCGTCGCTGGCGCGGATTTTGAACTCGTTTGCGAAAGGAAGATTTAGAGCCAAGACGGATTTCGTGAAGCAGATTGTGCACTCGTTCCAGTCGACGGTGTTTCAGAAGAACGAGTCGAATATCATGGTTTTCTTCCTTGGCATTCTGTCGAACGATATCCCGTACGTGCGCCTGGAGGCGATGGAGTTCTTGAAGTATCTGTTCCCACTGATCGACATGCGTCGCGAAGAGTTTGTTGCTATCGGCGCAGACTTGATCTCGCCCTTGCTTAGATTGCTACAGACCGAGTATGCTGAGCAAGCCCTGCAAGTTCTCGACGAGGCTACGTATATTCCTGGTACACACATGGATCGACGCGTGCTGAGGGCATCTCTGGGCGGTCGGTCGATGATGAATCGTCGGGAGGACATCGAGAGCACGGCGACTACGTTTGGAATTCCGGACGAGACAGGGTGGGCGGTTGCCATGCCTGCCGTGCGAGCTTCGGTTGCGCGCAGCAACGTGCACGCGGTGTTTTACTCTTGCGAGGTCGCGAATATGGAGTACCACTCGTTGAATCCAGATACGGTGGTCGAGTTTTCGAGAGACGAGTTCAGGTCATATTCTGGTGGCTTCTATCGCCCGGTGGACACATTCAGTCTCACTGGAAGGCCGTCTGTCCACCCGGTCCAAGGAGTCGATCTTCAGCAGCAGCAGATGCAGCAGCTCCAGTTCCAGCGCAGCAACTCGCAGTTCAGATACAATCACAGTCAGCTGGCGTCCGGAATGGCCGACGGCGGATATTTCGGAGGTGCGTTTGGTATGGCGCTTACAAGATCTTCGTCGTCCGCGACCGCGAGCGCGATTCTTGCCCGCAGCGGCGCGGCGGCAGCTAATAACTTCCGCACGCCGCGGTCCAGCGCCGCGAAGATGTCGCCGACCGCGTACTTTGGCGGATCGCCCGATAGCTTTGGCGGCGGCAGCGGCGGGCTGGGAGTTGGCGTTGGTGCAGGTGCCGGCGTCGGACCCGGGGGTATGATGATGACCGGCCAGATGCAGTCATCGAGTGGGGCATTGGAGAGGAGCGATACGATGACTTCGTATGCGGTTGGCGATGATACAGATGGATCTGTGAACCATCTCGTTGCTGCGCTCGATAATCTGACGTCGTTCTTTGCGGAGGAGCCTACTGCGTATACGACTGCTTTGGAGTGAGCGAGTTGTTACTTGAGAAATAAATTTGTGTAAGTGTGAGATTCTGTATTGACTGAGTGAATTCCCGCTAACCTTGAGTACAGATATATAAGATATGGGATGAATGATTTAAAATTACATAAAATGAACAGGGTATATTGTTATGAGTGTTTTTTTATGTTTTGCTAGGATGGGATCTGTTTTGTTTTGATTTGTTGGTCGTAAGGGAAAATGTGAGGTTATGTTTGTGTTGTGGGTTTATGTGGACAATTCATGTAACTTTCTTATGACTGTCAAGAGTGCAGGATTAATGAAGAGTTTCTAGACTTTAAAGAGTATTATTGAAGGTTTATAGCAATGTTTATAAACGGATAGAGAAGATTTGAATAAATTGAAAGAGAATTTTAATGCAACCTCGTAGCAACTACTTACAACTACTTACAACTACTTACAACTACTTACAACACTTACAACCTCACAACTGAACGCCAATACCAAGAAGAATCTAAATTAGTATGAAATGGAAATGAAATGGACAAAATAAATGAAAAGGCAATCAAGCCTGCGACAGTTTGAGACCGGCTCGATATCCAAAAGTCATGCCAGGTCCGATACTGGAGCCACCGCCAGGATAAGCACCTTTAAAGACCGTGTTCTGGTCGAGGCCCACGGCAAACAAACCCGGGACCGGCTTGCTGGTGTCGTCCTTGCTCAAGACCTCGGCATCTATGCTCGTCTGGAGACCGTAGAGGACGCTGACGTTGCCGGGGTAGAGCGGCAAGGCGTAGAACGGACCGGATTCGCATTTGCCGAGGTTGGGGTTAGGCAGTTTTGTGGAGGCGTCGCCGTAGAATTGGTCGTAGACGTTGTCGCCGCGGCCGAATTCGGCGTCCTTGCCGGTCTCGGCGTACTTGTTCATCGTGGCGACGGTGTCGGAGAGAGTGGACGCGGGGACGCCGATTTTCTCTGCGAGTTCGGCAATGGAAGGGGCAGAGATGAGGTAGCCGCTGCGCTTGAGGCTGCCGATGGGGTAAGGCCAGGGCAGGGCCATGCCCATGCCGTACTTGCGCAGGTAATGCTTGTCGCCAATGTAGAATGCCTTCTTGATCTTTCTTTCATGCATGGTCTTGACAAACTCTTGGTAGGGCAGGGACTCGTTTACAAATCTCTTGCCGTCTGGACCAACGATGATCGAGCCAGGCTTTGAGCGGTCGATTGCGAAATGGGGGAATCTTCGGATAGGACCCTTGGACGGCGTGTGGAGCGAGATGGGAGCGAAGATTGCATTGTCGACGTTTTTGGGAGGAAGAGCGCCGCCGCTCTCGAGACCGATGCGCTTGCCGTCGCCTGTGTTGCCGCTAGGGCAGGCACACCATTCGTGAGGGACGACAGTGCGGGCTTCAGGAGAGCGGCCGAAGCCGCCGCTGGCAAGGACGACACCTTTGCGGGCCTCGATGCGCTGTAGGACGCCGTCATGCACGACCTCGATACCAGTGACTCTGCCATTGTCGAGAATGGGGGCAACAGCCGGAGTGAAGTTCCAAATGTCGACGCCGAGATCGAGGGCGGTGTACATGAGACTTCCGACGATGGCGTTGCCGTTGCACATGTAGGCACCTTTTCCGAAGCGGACGAGATCGGCAACGTAGCCAAGCGCGCGCGTAGCAGACTTGACGAGGTTGGAGACGCTACCGAAGGGGTTTGTCAGGTAGACGAGTTCGGCGGGGTCGGCCTGCATTGTGCCAAAGGCAGAGTAGCCCTGGATTGGGTATCTGACTTGCTTGATGCGGTTGCCGAGCTTGCGGCCGTTGAACTCGGTGGTGAGAATGGTGCGACCGACAGAAGCACCAGGTTTGGTGGGGTGATAGTCGGGCAGGGGAACGGGCTTGAACTTCATCTCGGTATTTTGCTCGACCCATTCGACCATTTTTGGCGCGGACTCGATGTAGGCGGGGACTTTAGTTTTGTCGAAGGCGTCGCCAAGGACGCTATGGAGATACTTGGCGGCATCCTCAGCCGAGTCAGAGACGCCGATGGCGGGCTGGTGCTTGTTGTTGGGGATCCAGGCACCGCCGCCGGAGTAGGCGGTCGTTCCACCAAAGTATCTTGTTTTCTCGACGACGAGGACTTTGAGGCCGTTTTTGGCGCAGACGACGGATGTGGTGAGCCCGGAGCAGCCAGATCCGACGACAACGACGTCGTAGGAGTGGTCGAAGTTGCGGAGGGTGATCTGGAGGTGAAAGTGGTTAGTGAATGAGCAGGAGGGTAGGAGGGGTGTAGGACGCACAGAGGAAGAGAAGGAGCGGGAGGAGACGAGGGAGGAGGAGAGTCTCGCGGGCCTGAGGCGGGCGATGACCAACGACATAGCTGATGTTCGTGAGGAAGAAGAAGGAGGTAAAGAAGATGGTGAAGAAGAAGGGAAGAGGAGGAGGAGGAGGAGGAAAGTCGGTCTCAGGCGGACTAATTTCGGCGCGGGGGAAGCGAAGGCGGGGTAGAATAGAGTTTGACCCTGAGCCGCAGCCCCCCACATGGAATGCAAGGTGAAGAGTAGAATAGAAGAACAGTAGACGTTCAGAGACAGGAAGAAGAGATCAGACAACAAGTCTGCGAAGGCCTCCAACAAGCCAGGACTCGGTGACTGCGTCGTAGCGGCAGAGAAGAAGACGTTGCTTGGTGACCGGACAGCGGACGGGCGAGTTTGCGGCGGAGGAGTTGATGTAGGAGTAGATGCAGGAGTAGCAGAATACCTGGCCGGTCTCGATAGCGGTGGGTTCCTTGATTTTGTGGTGGCAGATTGCGCATTGTTCGTTGGTTTCTTTGTCGTCGTCGGGAGAGGTGTCGGAAGTTGGTGAGGGCAGATCAGGAGGATCGAGGGCGTACTTGGGTTCTTCAGCGCTCTGCTCGTCGTTCTCTGCATCCATCTCGTCAAGCTGCTGCTGCTGCTGCTGCTGCTGCTGCAGTTCTTCGCGCTGTCTTCGACGAGTAGACTGCGCAAGTTGACGGGGAAAGTCAGAGGCGTGCCACCACTCGAGTAGTTTGAGAGCAAAGACGGCGGTCGGGAGGACGCCTTTGAGGGTGAGATCAGAAGCGCGGAGAGCGAGGGCGATGAGTTTGCGCAGTGGTGAGGGGGATGAAAGAGAGGAGGAGGAAGAAGAAGAAGAAGAGCGAGAAGGAGATGAGAAAGGAGCAGAGTCGGGAGACTGTCGCGTATAGCGGATGGCGAGTAAGAAGTCTGTGAGGGAGTGGTATGGCGTGCGGCCAAAGAGATAGAGGATGGAGAGCAGGAGGGAGATGGTGCTTGCAGAGAGCTTGAGGGAAGGATAGAGCTTTGCAAAGTACTTTGTGATGAAGAGCTTCAGCTTGAGCTTTCGTCTTGCGATGGGATCGGCGTTGCTGTCGTCGGGATTACTGCGCTGAGCGTGTGATCTGAAGACGGAGGCAGCCTGCAGAGATTCATAGTAGAGATCGAGTTTGGTGAGAATGTACGGGAGACCAACAAGTGCAAATAAGGAAGAATAGATCTCTCTCGGACGTAGAGCGGCGAGACGGTCGACTTTGTGCTGGACCGAGGGCAGGCTTCCGCTGGCGGCGACGACGGCGCGATCAGCTTTGAGGACGCGGCGGCGGGCGAGGTCGTAGAAGGACTCGGTGAAGGACGCGTTCGATAGCTTCAGACATCGCAGCTCAATTGCGGCAGAGAGAAGGGCGTAGAGCTCATCGAAGTGAAGGACGAGACGGAGGAGGTAGCGGGGATGGCGGGAGGCCAGAGAGGCGAGGATGTAGCGGACGGTGGGGGAGAGGAGGTCCGAGAGCTGGCTGGCGGAGACGAGCTCGAAGAGGGTTGGTCTGGAGGGGTCGAGGAGGAGGGGATTGAGGGTGGAGAGGTGGGACATGGTGAAGTGGAGTCCTGAGTAGAGGGGGAGTAGAGAGATGAGATGAGCAGAGGTGGTGAGTGAATGGCGAGAACCGAGGCAGAGGAGTGTGTTGTAAGATGTGACATAAGCAGATTACATAATAGATCACTAACAATAAGACACGGCGACGGTGCCAAGACGGCTGGGAGTTAAAAAATCAATTCTTAAAAAGAGCTCGGAGTTGAGCAGAGAGAGAGTGGAGAGGGAGAATAGTCTTAAATGTACTATTACTATTACTATTGCTATTGCTATTACTATTACTATTACCATTACTATTACTATTACTATTAATGCTATCTTATGTTCTTGTGGATATGTAGATAATGCAGCAACAGGTAAAACACTCCCAAAAGAGACCAAAGCTCATGCAGCGTACGCGCCGTTGCTGCGTCCGCCGCACAGCACCGAGGCCTGTCTTCTTTGTCCTGTGCGTCCACTGCTCGTCTCCGAGAAACTCCGCGACAACTTCCCCGGGTTTTGAAAGAGAATAAGGATCTTATAAGGCCTTATTGTACTGCAAATACTCTGCTGTATTGTAGTCATTGCGCGAGATCAAAGCGAGTGACAGAGCTGAATAGTCGCGTCCTTCATCGGAATCCGAATCCGTTCATCCCTCGTTCGCCGTTCCTTTTCTTTTGCTTCTTCTTCTCTTCCTCCTCCTCCTCCACTACTTCTCTTCCTCTTCCTCTTCTTCACCCTCTCATTCATCCTCCTCCTCCTCCTCCTCTCCTTCTTCTCTCTCATGCGCCCGTTCTCAATGCTCGCTCACCGGATGCGTCCCCTCACCGCCGCCGTCCTCGGCCTCACCCTCGTCGGCCTCATCGTCAACTACTCCATCTCCGCCTCCAACTCCGCTTCCCTCCAGGCCCTCACCGACTCTGCTAAAGCCCGTCTGGCCTCCTACACCCAGTCCGCTGTCGACTCCTCCTCCTCCTCCTCCTCCTCCTCCTCCTCCTCGGCCCTCGCCTGCAGCGACCCCTACCGTCTCCCCGGCTACCTCTTCATCGACGAACAGCAGGTCCGCGCAACCCAATGGGTCCCCTTCCCCGGCACCGGCGCCCTCGACCTCCCTCCCCCCCAATCCGCCCGCTACCCCACTGACGAGATCCCGCTCTTCACAAACAACCCGCCCCCTCCTGAAATCATCTCCGCCGGCCCCCACAACTGGTTCACCGAGGCCCTCAACTACATCACCCTCCTCGACTCCATCAAGGCCGCTTCTGCTTCCTCCTCCCCCATCGCCCTCTCCGACACCCAGCAGCGCCTCATCCGCCGCATGAACTGGCTCCACAACAGACGCGTCCTCGTCCTCGGTGACTCCGTCGACCGCATCATGATCCAGGAGGCCTGTCGCGCCCTCGGCTCTCGCGCTACATTCACCCCCGGTCCCCTCGGCGGTAAGCACACCACCTACAGCTGCCAGCTCCGCCAACTCAACTTTACAATCTTCCACTGGCACGTCGCCTCCATGTACCCCATGCGCCCGTCCTGGTGGTGGCTGCCAAATATAAAAACCGTCGCCTTCGAAGACCGCTTCCCGCTCCTCTACGACCACGTGCGCCCGAACGTCACCGGCCTCAACGGCCTCACCCCTGACCTTATCCTCTTCCAATCCGGCCTCTGGGACGAACGTGCGTTCCGCGAAAGCTCTCGCAACATGGTCTATCCCGGCGACGAGAAACTCACTCCAGAAGAGCTCGAGGTTCAGAAATCAAAGCGCAGAAGAACCGGTCTCGGTCGCGAAGGCCGCCAGCTCTCCTGGGACGAGCTCATGTTTTTCAAAGCCCGCATGGAGAAGTTCATCGACTACATCCGCGACTACTTTGGTAGCGACGCGAACCTGCCCATGATGTACCGTGGTCTCACTACCCGTCGTGAGTCCGACGTCGCGGATCTCGCGACAATAAACATGGACCGTCTCTCGCGCACTCTCGCTGAACAAAAAGGCATCGAGATCTTTGAATGGGCCCGTATGACCGCTGGCTTTTCCGACCAGTACCTCGACTACCTGCACATCGACAAGGGCCCTCTCAACGCGCTCTGGTCAAACATGATCTTCCACTACCTCTTCCGAGCCGCCGGAGGCTTAGACTATAACGGAACCTTGTACAAGACCCCGGATCCCGTCGGTCAGTATGTCTTTGAGGGACAAGGCGCTACCTCGGTGCCGAACATCGTCATCCCTGAAAACCCGGATACCCAAGTGAGTTCGCACTGGGCAGAGTGCCATCCCTACAACGTCCACTGGGGAGGCAGGTGATTTTTTTCATACATCCACAAGTCAACTTAAGACTATTTTCATTTGCGAGAGCTGAATATTATGTATATACACGTAAAACATCAGTAAATTGAAATGAGAAACGCGAAATCAGAACCAGAAGTCCAGCCAAGTGGTTGTAAGCACGTGACCTTGTCTCCCACAAAGACGCCGCCGGTTTGCAGTCGTCATCAGTCCACATCCAAACCACCGATTCTGTTTACTTTCTTCTCTTCCTCCTCTCTCCTCCTCCTCTTCTCTTCTCCTCTTTTACTTCCTCATAGACCGCTCAGGTATGCAGACCCGGTCGCGTTCCCGCAAGTCTGGCTCGCTCACGCCTGCGCCTTCTTCCTCCCCCGCGCAGCAGCCAGCCATCTTGAAGCAGGAGCCTGCTCCCTCGCGAACGCCGAGCCCTTCCTCTGCTCCCCTTGCCGAACCCGAGCCTGTTCAGGAGCAGATAGCTGCTCCTGCTGATCAGTTTACTACTCGGACGAAACGCGTTAAATCGCAAAAGAAGAAGAAATCGCGGTCTGCTTGGTCTGCTTTCCGTGCAGTTTTGGCTGGCCTCGTCCATATGTATGTTCCGCTCCCTCTTCCTTCTACTTTCTACCTTTCTAATTAGAGTCTTTAGCACTCTCATAAACTACCTCCTCTACTTTGCATTCGTCAAATGCCCCTCGGATCCCGACCACAACCCAACCGCCTGCCCAAAGCTCAACAGCCTGACGGCTCCCCTGCGCGACGCCGAATTCACACAGCAGCACATCACTCCCTACCTGATCCGCGCGCAGGCTTCCTACGATAAACATCTCGCCCCTTCGGTTGCGCAGGTTGGCGAACTCGCGCAGAAACAGTACGATGTATACGCAAAGGACCGCGTCGAGAGCATCAAGGACAGTCTTAAAGAGTACACCCCGGCCGATGTGAAGGCCGCGCTGCAGACAAATTGCGCCGTCTTGACCGAGAAGGCGGTGGAAGCGTCCAAGTATGCGAAGCAGCAGGCAGTGCCGATGGCAAAGGTGTTTGCGTCAAAAGCTCACCGATTCGTGCAGCTCGTGTGGTTGCATGTCAAGATGGTGTACAATAAGTATATCCTGTTTTACGCTCGCTCGATATACCACGACAGAGTTGAGAACGTAATCTCCAGAGTGATGGAGAAGGTGTTGCACACTGAGACATCTTCCTTTGTCGACGTCGACTCCAACACAGAAAATGCGGCAGCGACAGCGAGCGACGGCACTCCTACTTCTTCTCACTCGATCGCACCAGTGACTTCCTCCTCAAACAAGCAGCTCTCTGCGGCCACACCCTACATGACACCAAAGGCTGAGCCCGAGGACGAGGCGCATCTCGAGCTGATCCAGGCTGATATACTGTCCTGGAACGAGAAATTCCGCAGCTCGGGCAAGTCGGCCATCAGCTCGCTCTCAGAAGATCTCGAAGGATTGTTTGACGAAGCGCGCGTGGCGCTGAGAGACGCCGGGAGAACCAACCTGACTGTGGCTAGCGACAAGATCGAGACAGTGCTGGGATCTGATAGTGCGCAGACGACGGAGGGCCTGCAGTATATTCTGTCTGACATCTTGTTGCCAACCGCAGACAAGGTCCGCAGTGCGGCGGTCGAGGCCGCGAATGCAGTGCTCCGCGAGGCTGAGCTGACGCGCAACTCGACGCTCGACATCTTCCGAACGGTTACAAACGTAGGACTGCACGAACTCGCGCGGAAGTGGGCGGTGATGGACGGTATCACGTGGAAGGATTGGAAGGAGTTCAAGCTGCTGCGGGACATGGTTGATGATTTTGCGCAGGTGATTGAGTCGATTCCGATTGATACTAGTGTCGTGAGAAGTGCGCTCAATCATGTCGATGGCGAGATTGATGCGTGGATTCAGGAGGTTGAGGATAAGATTGAGAAGTTGTTGGATGAGGCGCGGTTGCGGGAGGAGAAGGAGAAGGCGAAGAGCAGTAGTGAGGCGGAGGGTGCGGCGGATGATAAGACTGACGACAAAGATGAGGAAGATGAGGAAGATGAGGACGACTACGACGAAGATGAAGAATATGATGAGGACGAGGAGCTGGAGCACATTACGTCTACGCTGACGTCTACGGTGACAATTGTGCGTTCAGTCCCGAGCAGTAGTGACGACAGCAGCAGTAGTAGTCTCGACAGTAGCTCAGAGGCCGTACACGACGAACTATGAGCCGAAAAGAGACTGTATAATAAATACACTATACATTTTGAAGAAGAATTACGACTGCTGGATCGGGAAGACAAGACAATAAGCCAAGATGCACGCCACAGCTGTCGGTCGAAAATGACTAGCCAATGCGGGTCGAGAAGTGCAATCTGTGGCGCTGATGCACCCTGAACCGGAGACTCTTTAAATAGAACGGTGACCGAATGCATTTATCCAGGTCCGGTGAGGACATGCAAAGCTGTTGATGAGGATTACACATAAAAAGAATCCTCTAAATACGGCAGTATAGTACTCTTCTTCTTTTCAAGTAGATATAGTAAGGCAAGCAGATTCAATTCCGCCGATCGCACAGCCATCGCACATCGCATATAAGCAACGTGCGGCTCACCCCGCTCTCGCCTTCTTCTTCTGTCTCCTCGGTTTTGTTTCACTTCACCACTTTGCCCGTCCTCTGCTTCTTCTCTTCTTTCCTCCTCCTCAGTTTCGTAAACATGCGTGCTCTTAGATCCGTCGCAGTGCTCTTTGTCTTCATCTTCCTCGCCATCCTCCTGCTCTCCTACAACTCCATCTCCCGCAGCTCCTTCTCCACAAAGTCCTCCGTTTCAGAATTCCCCTTCCACGCGTCCCTCGCATCCCCCGTCGCCTGCCACGACCCCTACCGCGCGCCCGGATACTTCCACATCGACCACAACAACGTCCGTCTCTCGCAATGGATCCCGTTCACTGACGACACCGGCGCACTCGACGTGCCCGTGCCCGAGTCCGCGCACTATCCGACCGATACGATCCCCGTCTTCACAGCCGACCCTCCTCCACAGGAGTTCATCGCCGCCGGCCCACACAACTGGCTTATCGAGACCACAAACTACAAGAATCTTCTTGAGGCTATCGAGCGCGCTAAAGGCGATGGCAGCGATCACAAGCCACTCAAGCTCACTGATGTCCAGCAGCGACTCATCGGACGCATGAACTGGCTCCACAACAGGCGCGTGCTCGCGCTCGGCGACTCTGTCGATAGAATCATGATTGAGGAGTTTTGCAACGTACTCGGGCACACTGCGAAACGCACCGAGGGCAAGTACGGCGGCCAACACACCACCTACAGATGCACGATCCCGGTCCTCAACTTTACAATCTACCACTGGCAAGTCGCGTCCATGTACCCCATGCGACCGCCCTGGTTCTGGCTCGACCACATCAAAGAACTTGCGTTTGAGGACCGCTTCAAGTCAATCTACGAGCCCGTACGCGCGGAAGTGATTGGCATGAACGGCAAAACCCCCGATCTCATTCTTTTCCAGTCCGGACTCTGGGACGAGCGCGCGTTCCGCGAATCCACTCGCAACATGCCCCACCCCGGCGACGAAAACCTTTCGCCTGAACAACTCGCAGAAGCTCAAAAGCAGCGAGCAGAGACCGGTCTCGGGCGCGCCGGCCGCCAGCTGTCGTGGGACGAGCTCATGTTCTTCAAAGCCAGGATGAACAAGTTCATGGACTACATCCGCGATTACTTTGGCGGAGATCCGAACCTGCCAATGATGTACCGCGGACTCACTACCAGACGCCAATCTACAAACTCAGATCTTGCGACTATCAACATGGACCGTCTGTCGCGCGCGCTGGCAGCGAGAAAGGGTATCGAGATATTCGAGTGGGCGCGTCTGACACTCGCTTTCTCGAACGAGTACTCAGACTATCTCCATATCGGCAAAGGGCCGTTGAACATTCTCTGGGCAAACATGATGTTCTACTACCTCTTCCGTGCTTCTGGAGGTGCAGAGTTCAACGGCACGTTCTTCAGCATGCCTGATCCAGTTGCGCAGTATGTTATCGAAGGTCAGGGCGCGATCGGGGCGCCTGAGATTGTGGTTCCGAGTTCTCCGGATACTGAGGTGAATTCACATTGGGCGAGCTGCCACAGATATAACGTACACTGGGGCGGACGATAGATAACGATAGATGAGAGCTGGCTATATAGTTTGAGTACATGTACGAGCGATATCTTTTGTACATACATTTTCCTTTTCCCGGCTGGTAGACTATTTTATGAATGACGTATAAATACCAATATAAAGAATAAAAGAATGCAGATAGAAATCAGTAGTGTTATTGCGCTTGAATTCATGAGTGATGGTGGATGTGACTTTGCATATATCGTGCGGCTTATGCCCAGATTAGGAGCATTGTCTGCATGCAGCAATCTCGATCTTTTTATATCCTCACAATCACTTCATCACCTTCTCTCATCCAACTCATCCTCCTCTATGACCTTCTTCCTCTTCTTCCTCACCGCCTTATGACCTGCTTCCCATAATGCGTCGGCCAAGGCGTAACCTCCTCCTCTTCCTCACAACTTGCGCCGTCCTGCTCTTCCTCCGCTCCCCCTTCTCATTCGATAGCTCCCCCATCCAACCATCCTCATCCTCCCGCTCCTCTTCACAGATCAAACAGCTCAATGGCGTCAATTACCGACAGCCTTTTGCTTTCTCAGCATTCACGCCGCTAATGACCTCAATCTCGAAAACCGCACCCCGCGTATCCACAAACATCCTCGTCTTCGCCGGATCCACATCTGCCGCCTCCCGTCTCCTGCCACTCGCAGCCGACCTTGCCTCTGAGCTCGAGGCTAATGACGAACGTCCACTTTCTGCCGTGCACTTTTTGTTCATGGGCCCTTACTCTGTCGATCTCGAGTTCTTCTGCCAAGCGAACGGCCTCAACAGCACCACCGCCCTCCCCAGACTCCATATCCACGACGCGAGAGCGAGGCTCAATTCGCGCTCGCAGTCCCTTCCGCCCGCCAACGGCGCTGGATCCGAGTCAGTCACGATGTTTGAGATCAACCCCGTCTCGGCCAAAGCAGCACTCGATGTCGCCGTCCGCACCCTCAGACCAGAGGCGACCGTCTGGTCGCGGCAGCTCGAGACTGATTCAGAATTTGGAAATACAATCGCAAGCTTGCTTGGACCACCGTCTTCGCCTTTTGCGCCTATTGACATTCCGAGCTCGGACATTGAAGATCTGGGATGGCTTGCTCTGCTCGGTCCTGCTGGTTTGAAATGTTTGTCCCGCCTTCTCTTCTCCCCCTTATCGTCTTCTTTGATCTATCTAGCTAACTAGTTATACCAGCTTGGTCTTCGCACGAGGTCGATATTATCATTCCAGTGACCTCGCATACTGGCTCGGTTGTCCGGCTCCTTTCTTCCATCTCCCGTGCGCGATACTACAACTTCTTTCCGCGTCCCCGGATCACCATCTACACCCCGCCCGGCGTCGTCGACGCAAACTTGCTCAATTTTATCGACCATACGCTGTCCTATCCGCGCGAGAGAATTGTCATCCAATCTCTTCCGACGCCCTTTGTCACTTCTCGGCACCAGACTCTCAAGGAAGCAATGTTTTCCGGGGCCTTGAGAGCGCACAATCCTTCATCCAGACATGCACACACCGTCTTGCTTTCTGATACCGTTATCCTCAGTCCGTACTGGTTCCAGTGGACGATGCTCCATATCTTGAGCTACTTTCCTGAAGTCAGGACTGCTCTTGAAATAAACGGCCCTCTATCGCCAATCGCTGGAATTTCACTCTGCCCATCCCGCCCTGTCAGTATATCGGACGAGGAACCATTTAAAGAGAACGACAGTAACGATCTCTACTACCTCACCCAGAGCCGAGCCAGTCTCTCGTGCACTCTCTTTTTTGCTCCTCACTTTCGCGTGCTACAAACCTTCCTTGCCACTCAATCGTCCGAAGCGCAACGTCGCACGCTTCCGATCCCACCTGAACTCGATCACCTTCGGACTCAGAAGTCGGCTTTGACCTTTGATGCTCACGAGCTTCTCCTGCCAATCTATATACGAGGATATCTGTTTTTGGCTCAGAACGAGCGGATTAGCGACGTCCCGGCGGTTTACGAGTCTAGTGTGTCTGCGCGACCTCGCGCCGCTCCTATCTCTACCGACGGAAGTCTACAACCTGTCGACCATGAGAGTTACCACAGTCTAATCACATCGCCGCTGTACATCGTGTTCAACAGTTTGCGGGAGAAGTACAAAACAGTGTACGGTCGCAACGACGATAGCAGCAGCGGCCTTAGTCAAACTGGGGTTATTGACGCGAAGCAGTGGGAATACTTTCCTATCTATCCCGATCTCTCTACTTCCGATTCGTCGTCGTCTTCTAGAGAACCGTTTGTGTTTGAGTCCGTCAAGGCGCGCGGCGAAGCCTTTGCATCTACCGTATCCCCGAAATGCAACACTCCTGTATCCCTGTCTCGCAAAACTAGCAACGGCGAGAACGATGACGAGGAAGAGGAGTATAGAAGATCATTGATCGACTCTGAGAGTGATTTTCTCGAGAATGAATCCAAACCCGCTGATGACGACTGGTCCGATGTTTTCTGTCCTGCTGAGCAGATTGAGTCCGCGGACGGCCCTGGTGCGGCTACCGGCATCGAACCGAACTCGGACCAGATGGGTTCCTCATCATCGTCGGCAGCGGCAGGTGACAAGCGGAAAGCAGGTACAGGGCGAGCTAAATCGCTGGAGGAAGAAAAGAGAGAGCGGAAAAAGAGCAAGGTCGTTGATGCGTCCAAGGAGCCTCCTCGACCGCCCAAGCCAGCGCCGAAACAGAAGGCCGATGAAAGCGAGCCTTCAACGTCTGTGGGTGGGAATACTAGTGGAAAATGAGCAATCTAGTTGTTTTTGTAAATGGATGTACTAGCCATTTATTTAATCTAAGGCGGGTTTTTCTATCGGATCTCTCCAATATATACCAAAGAATTACATATCTCGGATCTAACCAATAGTTTGCAAGAAACTTGATGGGCTATGACACTTTATTCAATCAACCACCATTTGACCCTAAGTATAAAAAAACAACACTATTCCTAAATCCCTTCTGCATGCCGCCGATAAACATGCAGTATCTATCAACCATGCTGTGATAAAGAAAAACACACAAAAAGAAAAGGAGCGAAAGGAAAAAAACCCAAATACAGCTAGAGAAAAGAAGCACTGATGACCTTAGATGAATACACGCAACCCAGCGCTACAGATACATGACAAGAATGGCGAATCAAAAAGACAAAAAAAGCTGTGTGATATGCATTGAACTTATTGAGTTCCAAAAATATTTATAAGTTAGAAGAAACAGACAGAATTCTTTTCTCTGTAGCGAGCTGAAGGGAAGCTATGATTGTTTTCTCTGTTTTCCAATATTTCTTTAGGTGCTCTATCTTCAGATGTTTAATCATCATGCGTATGGTTCCGTCTTGCTGGAGATGCTGTTCGACTTCCGAAGAATGCCTCCTCCTCAGACGGTCGAGAATGTACTGTACCAAGCAGCTCAGTGGATTGTGCGCGGGGCACACCATACTCTAAATCGCTCTGTCTTCTGCTGCTGGCTAGCGAGCTGTCGTCTTCGTCGTCCTCGTCACGGCTCAAAGGAGTTCTTGAGCTTGTGGCGTCACCAAATACGAGGTCCATATCCTCGAGCGATACACCCTTGGTTTCGGGGTAAGTGAAGTAGACCAACACGAAAGACATGCAACAGAAGAAGGCATGGAGAAGATACATTCTCCATTCGATCGTCTCTTGCAAAATAGGTGTCATCTCACCGACCAACCAGTTGAAAGCCCAATTGGTGGCTGTGGAGAGAGAGGCACCCTTGGCTCTGACCGAGAGAGGCATGATCTCGGGCGGGTAGAGCCAGGGGATAGGTCCCCATGAGTATCCAAAGAACGCGTTGTAGACAATCACAAAGAAGACTGTCATGTCGGGCGTAGCTGGGATATCAAGGTAGATCGAGTATGAAATCATGGACAGGGAAAGTGCCATAATAAGCGCACCCGACAACAGAATAGGACGACGACCCCAGTGATCGACCAAAAACCACGGAGGAATAGTGGACGCCACATAGACAAGCGCATTAAGACCTGTCATCAGAATGGCGTCACGACCGATCCAACCGGCCTCTTCGAACACCAACGGGGCATAGTAAGAGATGACGTTGATTCCGTTGAGCTGAGCAAACATCTGCGACGACATAGCAATCAAAACACGCTTCTTATACTTTCTCCACATGTCGGCATAGCTGCGCTCAGCCTCAGCACGCATGAGGAAGACGTTCTCCTTGATGTCGTTGAACTCAGTATGGGCACGTGGATCTTCGGTGTCACCGCCGGCGTGCAGATTGGCGATAACAATCATTCCCTCGGTGTCATGGTCGTGGTCAAGCAGCCATCTAGGAGTCTCGGCGATAATCAAAGAACCGACACACAAAAGGAGGCCCATGATGCACTGCAAGAGAAGAGGCAATCTCCAACTCAAGTCGCTCTGAATGAAGCTGCACACATAGTCGACCCAAACTGAAGCCGCGTAGCCAACGACGTTACCGGTGAACTCGATACAAGCAAGACGACCGCGGTGGTCAGCAGGAGAGATTTCGGACTGATAGACAGGAACGATTGTGGAGAGCATTCCGACACCGAAACCCGAAATGATACGACCGATAATCATGGTGTTCATGCCGCTAGAAAAGCTTTGGAAACCGCCTCCGACGACGAAGACGATTGAACCATAAAAGATGGTCTTTCGACGACCGATGATGTCACCTACTCTGCCGACCATGAGTGACGACACTGGATGAGAGAGAAAATTGACGCGTTAGAATGAGCAGCGATGAAAAAGGCTTTGACGGATTAGGACATACGAAAGGCACCGACTTCGAGAATTGCAACCATAGTACCGAGTTGCGCTCGGGTGGGGTTGTCAAAGTATTCGAGAAAGTACGGGCCGCTGGACAGAGCATTTGTTAGGAATTGCACGCGAGGAATACCAGATATACAAGCCGGGGACATACGTAATAATACCGGACATGACGCCCTGGTCATATCCAAACAGGAAGACGCCTAGTGAGACAAAGATGGATGTGAAGTACCTAACACGCGCGAAGAGTTGACAGTTAGAGAAATGCTTAACAACAGACAAGACAGAAGGAATAAGAGGCATACAGCAGAGGCTTCCCCGTGAGGGGAGACACGCTTTTTCTCGCGGTTGTCTCCATGTCTGCTTGAGAGGTCGCGCCGCGAAGGGAGGGAGACGCAGATAAGAGGTAGGGATGTCAGAGAGAGAGAAGGCACCTAATGAGCAGAGGACGCCTGTAACATCGGTTTCGTTGACCGACGAAGAGGAGCAGAAGAGAGCGAGTAGTTTTGTTCCGGAGGAAGGGCTGCAGGAACAAAACAGGAACAGGTCTGGGTGAGGATCCGAAGCGGTTTGACGCCGTCGAGGCTGCACGCGGCGCGGTATCAGTTTCAGATGCCCGAAATCGCCGCAGTTGTGCCCAGAGCGTCCGCGGGTGTCTACCAATAGCATCTCTGACGTCACCAGCAATTTAGCGCCACGAGCCCCGCTGCTGAGCGTCACATGACTGCCAAAGTGCCATCAGCAGCCAAAGTGTGGGGTTGTTTATTTAGCGTTAATTATTTGGGAATGCGAGATATTCAAAGGCTCGGTGGGTTTTCTCCTTCCTCGCCGCCGGCTTCCTCGCTGCTTCTGCTGCTCCTTTCGGATCCTTATCTTTAGCGCGGATCTTGTTCCTCCTCTCCGCCTGCTCTTCTGATATCCCGCCCGCTTCTGCGTCCACTCCGCCTTCGCCCTCTTCTTCCGCAGCCGCTACGCTTGCTTCCCCGCACGGAATTCCCCGCACGCGGCAAATGACCTCCGACGACTCCTCCCACTCGCTCTTCCGGCGCAAGCGGTCTGCTCGAGCGTGCAAAATGTGAGCCTGCTCTTCTGTCTACATGTTTCTACTAGCCATCTGTTCTTTGATCCTAACCATCGCCCCTCTGCAGATGCCATTCGCGCAAGGTACATTCTGATCTACATATCTGTGGCGCGCAAGGAGACTGCTAACCTATATCCCGTACTTCACAGGTGAGGTGTGACGTGACCACTCAAGTTCCCTGCACCGTAAGTGATCTTGTTCTGTTCTTCATACTGCAGCCTAAACCAGAGATCGTACTGATCTGATACGTCTGTGCCCTCATATAGAACTGTGCTGCCTTTGGCTGTGAATGTGTCTTGCCCGACAAGAGGCCCCGTCAGCGCAGAAGGTACGCTCATCTATCTCTCTCACTGCTTTTCTTCATACTAAACACTACGTGCCCCAGGTCTCGCCGGAAAGTCGTGAAGACTACAGAAAATGAAAACAAGTCTGTCGATGCCATCCTCGCCGGCAACTCCGGCTCTTCCCTCCCAGACCACAATTCTGGCAGCAATCTGGAAGCCGAGTCTTCCATGTTCTCAACCCTTCTGGCAGAGTCCATCAGCAACCACTTGCGTGCACGAGACTTCAGCCGCCTCGTATTCCCTGGACGTACGGGTGCTCTGAGTTTGCTGGCGGAAGGCAGCAACGACGAAAAAGGAGAGATCATTCATTTTGAGCTCCCTGACAGTGAAACTTCCAAAGGACTTTTAGACCGCCTTGATCCTATTGAGTTTGGAATTCTAGCTCAGTATGGCGCTTTTTCACTGCCCCCGCAAGACATCTGCGATACCCTCATAAAAGGCTATTTCGAGCAGATCCACCCGTTGCTGCCAATGATCAATCGCACTCAATTTATGCGAGACTATGAGAATCCCTCAAACCCTCCATCAATCTTGCTTCTCCAGGCTATATTGGCAGCCGGAACCTTAGTTTGCCAAATTCCTGACCTCCTTGACTCAAACGGAACCATGGATCATTCACGTCGCGTACTCTACAAGCGCGCTAAAAGCTTATACGACGCCGGATGCGAAACGGACAAGATCACGATCGTCCAAGCCATGCTGTTGATGAGTTGCTGCTGCTCGGAACCCGCTTCGATATCGAAAGACATGTTCTACTGGACCAAATTAGCCATTTCTGTGGCTCAAGGACTTGGTTTGCATCGAAGGTACGTATTGATTTGCATTAGCTTGTGCTTAAGTCACAGCAGCAGTTGTCTCGGCTAGCTAACACATTTTGACTATAGCGTGGAGAACTCGCACATGAGACTTGTAGACAGGCGCTTGTGGAAACGCCTCTGGTGGGTTTTATTCGTGAGTTTAACCATCCTCTTCCTATACAGTCAGTCTCTCTAGCTTGTTACTAACTTAGTGAAGACTCGGGATCGTGTCGTATCAATCTCTCTTGGCCGTCCGTTTCTTATAGACAAAGGTGATAGCGACGTCGAACCACTGTCGCCATCTGATTTTCTCGAGGAAGAGGGTCCGGGCCCGTATCGCTACCCTCCCGATTCGACTTTGGTTCAATTCTTTATACGCTATACTTCTTTGAGCGAGATCGCCACTTTCATCATCGAGGAGCACTTTTCAGTTTCTGTGGAGCACAGCCGAAGGACTGTTAAATCGGCTCCCCCTGATATTACCCGTTCAGAACTCGCACTGAGGCTTTGGCTAAAGAACCTCCCCCCAGAACTAGACTACGATTATAGTTACTCACAGCACACATTTTGGACTGGAATACTATACGCGCAATTCAATTGCCTTCACTGCCTCATCCACAGATGGGATCTTTCACCACACGGCAAGACCGAACAGCCAAAAGATCAAACTATTTTGATTACCCCCAACAGGCAGATCGCGTTCGAGACTGCGCACAATATCGCAAAGATTACTGAAAATCTATCAAGGACTGACGAGATCTCAAAACTACCCTCTATTATGGTTCATGTTCTGTTCACTGCTTTGATCGCGATATTATATGAGCTCCAGACTTTGATAACGGACAAGGAAATAGCCGAAGCTCAAAGAGCCCTAGATGTCTTGGTCAAAGGCTTACGTACTGTTTCCACAACTTGGGGAACCGCCAGAACGCTGTTGGGCGTGTTTATGTACGTTGCACGGAGCTTATTCAAGCAAGACGACTCATCGATCAAGGCCAGATTGAATTCCGCAGTTCAAAGTCCCGGTGAGACTGTTATCATTTCAGATGAGCAAGCTCAACTGTTTGAGCCTGAGCCTGAGCAGCAACTATCTCCAGACGAGTCGAGCGGGTTGAGCTCAGACAATGTGCACAACTTTGGATCATTAGCCGGAATAGACCAAGATATAGAACGAGCGGAGTCTATCACGGGATCACGACAGAATATTGACATGCTATGTCAGCTGATTTTGGCAGCCGGGAAAAACAAGAATGAGCTCGATGGCGCTACGGGTACAGCATGTTTGGTTGACACTTGAGGAGAGTTATATAGGCTAAAAAGAGCTGTATTGTTTACATGCTATTTGACAATCACACGAGCAATGATTAGCTACAGAGAAACAATAAACTATACAGATTTTTTTTTCCTTTTGCTTTAACAGAGAAACAGAATATCAAGATTGACAAATCTAGGCGAGTGCCTTTTCATCGAGCGCAAGTTCGACATGCGACGATTTCTCGCCCTTAGCTTCCTGTTCATGAACCTCAGCTTCGAGCTTCGCGAGGTAGTTCTCCCGATGCATGGTAGGAACAAACCACGGCGCAGTCTCCCACTAAAATAGTAAAGCTCGGTCAGCGGATGATGCCTGTGATACTAAAATGATACAAGAGCTTACCAGTTTGTTCATGCTCTCCAATGGAGTTCCGCCTGTCTCCGGCAAAAGTGCCCAGAAGAAGATAGCGTTGGTGAAGTTGCAGATAATGAAGAGGAAGTAGTACTTGTAGCCAATCTCGGTCATCTGCATTCAATATAGATTAGAAATCAGCATCTCAAAACGGAATGACATAGGAGAGTCATTGATCGGGCAGATATACTTACAGCTTTATCCGTGACCTGGCCAATCATGGTATTGAATGCATAGCAAGTCATAGTAGAGATGGCGACACCCCAAGAGCGGGTCTTTGTGTTGAAGACCTCGGCGGGAATGATCCAGGACAAAGGACCGCACATAGAACTGAAGAAGAAATTGTAAATCCAAGTGGTCGCAATGAATCCAATCTGGGCCGATCTTGGGTTGTCGCCGCCGGGAGGGAACTTTGCGAGCAGGATCGCGCCGGCGATGAAGGTCATGCAGTTTCCTAGGTTTCCACAGATGAGAGGCCATCTTCTGCCTGTGATATCAACAAGGGCAATACAGAAACCCTGACCAATAAGCGCGATGATCGAGTTAATAGCCTGGAATAGTAGCGTTCGTCCAGTGCTCAAACCAATTTGCGCGAAAATGGTCGGAGAGTAGTACTGAATGGCAGAGACACCTGTCATTTGAATACTTGCTTGCAACGAGATGCAGATAAACAGACGTCTGAAGTTTGACTTGACAAAGAAAAGCTCGCGCCAACTGTGTAGTCCGTTTTCGCGTTCCTCGTTGATAGCAGAGACGATCTCGTCATATTCAACTCGCACCAGCGCACTGTCAACATCGCCGTTTGCATAAAGCCTCGCCAATGTCTTCAAGCCATCTTCGTGACGGTCCTTGTCCAGAAGCCAGCGAGGGGATTCAGGGAAGAAGAAAATCAGGCCGCCCAGAATTCCAGCGGGAATGATCTGAATTCCAAGAGGGACTCGCCATTGGTTGTCGCTCCGAAATCCGAGGTAGCAGCCATAACCGATCCAGCTTGCGCAGAGGGCTCCGATTCCCAAGAAAAACTGCTGGAGAGCAGTCACCCGTCCACGGATTGAAGGATGAGCAAGCTCTGCTTGGTAGAGTGGAATGATCATGGTGAGGATTCCGACACCCATTCCGCCGATGAAACGTCCACCGATAAGCATTGACATGTTGCGAGCACCACATTGGAGAGCACAACCAAAGATGAAGACCACGGTTGCCGCTGCAATAGTTCCACGACGGCCGAGACTGCTACTCATGAAACCAGCAAAAAAGGCTCCCACAAAAGCTCCTGCAGTGAAGAGGGATACAACAAGTCCACTTATAAGAACGGTCAGCGTTCAGCAAAAAAGATATGAGAAAAAGAGCTGAAGTAGGAAAGACATTCTTACGTCTTAGTAGAGTCAGGCTCGTTGAAATAGACGATGAAGTGGTCGGAGGCTACGACCTGAGCAATGATTCCCTGTAGAGCACATAAGATGAAAGTAAGCCGATATGCACATTTTCAATCGCGAATAGGTTTCTCTATCAGATGGAAGAGTGAATTACCAAGTCATATCCGTAAGTGAATGAGCCGACTGAAGCAAAGCACGAGACCAGGAACTGGTAAAGTTTGGGCGACAGCAATCCCATATTGTAATAAGTAACGTTATTACTATTTCAAAGGCCTGTACGATAAATTGAAATAGATATTAATAACATTCGATGAGAAAAAGGCAGACAAAAGAACATCAGAAGATATAAGTATGACTGGATAACGGCTAAATCAGCGAAACAGAGTCTAGGCTAATTCTTGTTTAGCCTAGTCAGGCGACAATCGAGACCAAAGGGAATAAGGTTGCGTGCGACCTTCCACCCTACTTGTGGGGTTAGCCGGCGGGGTCGAGCGGAAGCGAGACCGGCCTGAGACAATGACGGCTCGCAGGTCATTCCCCAGGTTTCCAGGCACTGTACGGAAAAATGAAACTACGAGCTTTTGCTACTACGGCAGTTGAGAAGCAAGGAAAACGCAAAAAAGAACCCGTGATTATTATTTCAATTAAACAAAATAAAAACTAAATGATAACAGACAAGCGAGAGCTTCGCTCGCCGGCAATTTGAAGCTGGGTAACCTAAATTAAGCTCAGTTGTACGACTTGCGGTGCTGTTCGAACAATGGCCGAGAAGAAAACAGGTCCTTACAGCACATCGGGAGTGCTTGACACGGTAGACCCCGAGCGCTTTGGGGTCAAGGCTGCTGGCTGGTCAGTGATTGTACGTCTGTCTGGAGGCGCGCCCAAGGCACGGCTGGAGCTGGGGACAACGATATGGGGTGGGGGAGCCGCACCCCGCGGCCCCACATTTCTAGTTTCCCGGCGAGGTTTCCGGCCGGTTCCCCAGACCCGCCACTCCCCGCTCTCTTTTCTATTATCCGATATAGCAGCCAAAAGCGCAGCCAGATTCGCAACCAGCACGCAACTTGCTGGACATCTCGCAATCTTTCTAACGGCTATACAACAACGACAATTAAATAATTGCGCGGTTACAAGTCGTGGTCACTTACCTGCTCTCCGCGTCCCAGGAAATTGGGTATTGAGTCTAGCAGACACCGCTTCAGCTGTCCACTGGGCCAAGTGGAAATTGAGCAGTGCGTTTCCTAGGCGGCTTAGGCTCAAAGAGGGTGTGCATCGCCAGTGGATGCGGCTGGTCTGGCCGATGTTCTCGAATGGCGGTCACCTCTTTGTTTGCGTTCCAGGCTGCCTTTTCCATGGAAAACTTTGCTGAGCTCAGCGGTGACATATGCGGATACGTGCACGGCTCCGGAAGGCAGGGAATGGTCGGGAGGCCCGGCCCAGGTCCAGGTCCCGTTTGGCTTGTTTGTGCGATTTGCGAGCGCTACTTACAGCCGCACTTTGGGCGGCATCAGCATTCAACGGCGCATCCTCCTGTGGACCTGCTTGTCCATGCTGTGCAGCGTATTAAAACCACATATATACCAGAGAATCGTCCTGCTCTACTCGGAGCTGAGATGAGATGTACTAACTCGGCTTTCTTTGATCTGCGCCAATGGCACTTGCAACACACACTGCACTCGAGACGCAGTTCTGGTTTGTCAACAACGTACGCCATGATCGCAAGTGTAAGCCGTCGAAATCCGTCGAAGAATCAAATCAGAAAGATAAAGCGTGCTCTGTTTCCATTAAACATGGGTGATTTATGTGCAAACTACAACTAAAAGAAGAACTGGACGGCTGAAGAGCATCACGTAAATAGACACAACTGAATCCAGAGGGCTCCAACAGCGTTTCTATCATGATGCCCTCGGACTTGTCAATCGACAAGACAGCTCGAGCGCGCGGTTTAGTCAATATGCACGTCCTCCCGGGACGGCCTACTCCGACGGCTGGCTCTCGTTCCTTTCTCTGATTCGACTGCGACATTTCACGATCGAGTCTTGTTCTGCCTTATCTCTTGGGGGGTTAGGGGTCAGCACCCGTCATCTCCCCGAGCTATCCAAGACTCGTAATCACCAGCTGTCTAAGTAGACCAAATACTCTTCGCTCATCCACGTCCCATCATTCATTCGGCGCATGAGCTATTGATGTGTATCATTCTGAATGTCGTAGACGACTGCGCTGTAATTGCAATGCTCACAATGCTCGCAACACGGACATGGTGGTCGATGGCCAGCTGTAGGCCGTGCTTATCAGAGTTCAGAGTTCAAGCTTTCTCCAAGCTTTCTTATCGCTTCCGTGCGCACCCTCGTTGATCCTGGCGCAAGCCGCTTAGGCGGCCGACGATCGGCGACCGACCGGCCTGCTTCTCCTAGAAATTCTCTGAATACAATTATTGGTAAGGTAGAGAACCAAATACTGTAACGAAAGAGCTATCCGTGTATATGGTGCCAGAGACAGGTGAAAGGCGGACTCTCCCGGGCGGCCTGGCGAGGTACCAATCGACTGACTGCGCGGCAGCTCCGATAAGGGACGGCCGGGCGGCAACTCCGATAAGAATTGCCAGTGCCTGGAGGCCCACACGCCCCTTTGTGAAGTTACCCCTAAGCTCACAATAAGCTATCCACGATACTGCGCTATTCCATTATGCTTCCATAGAGTGCTGTTGGTGGCGAGCATCGAGTATCTGCTGATGACTCGTGGGCTGACAGCAGCGACATCTTGGATGAAATCGAGCTGGAGGCGCGTCTTATCGGTATCAGAGTGTCGGAACATAGCTATCTGATTTGACGTTCGGCACTTAACTTATACTTCGCAGCTTTATACGTAGAGATTGACGCGGATGGACCTGGTGGTCTGTTTAGACTTCGGGTGCGCGTGAAATAACGGCACGGATGTGGAAATCGTTAGTCGCATCGCGCTGATATCGAGCTCAAGCCAGTGGCGCTTGATTTTGAGTCTCTCGCGTCCTCACTGTCCGATAACACCAAGAATATTATAAAAGCCCCCAGAACACCCGCATTAAAGTAATCCCTGGCGCCAAGAGCATTTTTCTTGTGACTTTCACGCAGGATTCCCATACCTACACACCATGGCTCTCGGCTCTGACGAAAAGCACGTTTACGTTAGCTCTAATGCTGCCGACAGCAGCGAGGAGGCCCGGACTACCGGCATCGAGACCGCTCACCCCTCCTCACATGGCGTCTTCAAGCGCTTCTTGAAGAAGATGGAACTGAAGTCTAGCGACAGTGAGAGACTCAGTAACGAAGGTATGCATTCCTTTTCTCTTGGCTCATACTTGATTTATAAAGAACTATCCTGACTGTCTTTCCAGATATGGATCCCGTGCCTTGGGAGCGACGTACTTGGCGTTGGTATAATCTCGCTATTTACTGGATCTCGGATGCATTCGCGCCTGGTGGTTGGAGAGGAGCTTCGTCACTGATGGAAATCGGTCTTTCATGGCGTTTGTCCCTCCTCAATATAGCAATCGCAAACATTATCATGGCTGTCGTCATCACTTTGAACTCACACCCTGGCGCCCATTACCACGTCTGCTTCCCTGTCTTCTCTCGAGTTCCCTTCGGTTTTTGGTTTTCATATGTCATGGTTTTCATGCGCATGATCACTGGTATTTTCTGGTATGGAATCAACACATACACAGGCGCTGAGTGTGTCCGTAAGTTTCCGCACTTCTTATCATTAATACTCCTCTCTTTTCATTTGCTGTTACTAACGTGGCACACAGGTACCGTACTTTTTGCTATTTGGCCCTCGTTCCGCACTCTCAAGAACACGCTTCCTGAATCAGCTAATATCACTACCAACTTTATGATCAGCTGGTTCATCTACTTCCTGCTGTGTATCCCTGTCCATCTTATCAAGATCGAGAACACTCGATGGTACTTCCTGTTCAAGACTTGCCTTACCCCAATCTGCGGTTTTGCAATTGTTGGATGGATTGCACACAAGATGCACGGGATGCCTGGAGAGAATATTTTCAGTGAGGGTAGCACAGTTTCCGGCTCAAAACTGACTTGGGCATTCATGTCAGCTCTCTACTCCAACATGGGTGGAAGCTCGACTTATGCTACCAATGCTTCTGACTATTCCAGATACACTCGGAAGGAATACTCTATTCTCTTCCAGTTGGTTGCTCTACCTTTCTCAAACATCCTCATGGCTGTCTTGGGTGTCGTCGGCGCTGCTGGATCTAAGAAGATCTACGGTGAGATTCTTTGGGATCCCCTTCTCCTGATTGACAACTGGACTTCTAGAGGAGGTCGTGCCGCTGCTGCCTTCTGTGGCATCGCTTTCCTTGTTGCGCAGATTGGACAAAACATCTCTGCGAACTCCGTCGCTGCTGCCAACGATCTGAACTGTATTTTTCCCAAGTACATCAACATTAGAAGAGGACAGATCATTGTGGCTTTCCTGGGTGCCTGGGCGCTGACTCCCTGGAATATTTTGACTTCTGCGACTGCGTTTTTGTCGTTCATGTCGGGATACTCTATCTGGCTTTCATCAATCGCCGGAATCCTCTTCTCAGACTATTGGCTTGTCCACAAGCGGAAATATGATGTTTATGAGCTCTACAACCCCAAGGGAATATATCTCTACAATAAGTGGGGTTTCAACTGGCGCGCTTTGGTTGCTTTCACCGTTGGATGGGTTCCTCTTCTTCCGGGGTTCATTAACGCCATCAATTCCAATATTTATGTCGTTGAGGGGATGATCAGACTATACTATCTGGGTTTCTTCTATGGATTTGGAGCATCATCATTGGTGTACTATGGCTTGTGCTACTTCTTCCCTCAGCCTGAGACTTATATCGAGCATGAAGTGCTGCCTCCTGGAAAGCCGATTGCCTCAGATGGCATTGAGGCTGAGGAGTATATTGTGGGCCTTGAGGGAGGTGAATATGGCGTGGATGAAAAGAAGATGAATTAGCTAGAGTTGAGGTGGTAGTTATTTTGGTCTTGGTTTATTGTTTTTAATGATATTCATTGAGCATAATACATAGTAAAATCTGTTGGTGGTTCTAATAACACAGGCAGAATGTAAGCTGACTCAATATATGTAATAAATTACAGCCGTTTCCCAATTTTGGCTGATGATGTGCAATACTGATAACAATTTGATACTTGACTGCACAATCAGTGGCCGTACTCACCAGCCCTCTATCAGACTGATCTTCTGTAGCGCTTGTCTAATCTGTAGAAAGCCTTCCCAGTCTGTCGCCTTGGCTAGAGCAGCAACTTGTCACTACTTAGTGCTTTATCGTTCTGCATCAATGCGAAAGTATGCCCTTCGACTGGCGACACTCCCAAGCACTCATCCTCTGGTTCCAAGATGCGACGCCCTTCCCAACCACCAGCAGGAGTCTCGTACATCTCCTGCTGCGCCTCATGGGAGATGGTTCCAGACTGGACCAAAAGTGCGCCTTCAATATCGACTAGACTACTTGTTAAAGACTATTCAGCTGGATGTTCAACCCCAAACGACGACTGAGACGTTCAATGTTAGGGAATATCCACCCTGGCGTGTTCCGAACATCTCTAGCAGGCTTGAGAGATTACCAGAAAAGGAAATTTTGGAAATCATTGGCGAGGGCTGGAATATCTACACTCGCTCATTTTGCAACGCTGAGAACAACGCCGCTGGCTGGGCTTCCACTGTCGAATATGGGGGGCACTTCAGGCATGATGAGTTTGGCTTTTTGGGCCTTCAATTTGATCTTTATTCTGCGGCGATAACCGCCTTAGCGAAGGCAACAACTTGGGCATCAAAGCATCGACTGTCAAACGAGGCCATCAATTTCTTCACCGATGTCCCTGCTGTCTTGAAACGCCTGGAGAAGCCTCGGCGTGCCTCCAATCAACGCCAAGCCACTGCGATCTATCGAGCCATCAATCGACTGTCTGAAATCAACACTAAAGTCTCTATCTATTGGCTTCGCTCCGCTACCAAAGTGGAGGGCAGCAATCGCGCCCTGGCCTTAGCAACTCAAGCAGCCTCGTCGCCAGACCGCGTCAATCATGATTGTTCCTTGCGCGTTCTTTATAAGCTCGTCGATGACCTCGCTTTTGAAGAATGGAATGCCAGGTTTCAAGCCGCGCCTCGATCAGAATATTATCAATATAAAGGCAAGCCTCGACTCTCTATTGACAAGCCGCTGGTGAATATCACCCGCAGCATTGCCAGCTGTATTGTGAGCTTCCGGACTGGACATGGCTTCTTCAACAGCTATTTTGCAAGACATGGCAGGGAGCCTCGTCCCTCTCCAGACTGTTGGTGTGGAGACTCACTGCAGTCAGTTGAGCATGTGCTTCTTTCTTGTTCCAAGCACACAGAGGAACGGAAGAGTGCCTTTGAAGATATCCCTATAGCCGAACGCACGCTCGACCGCATTCTGTGGACAGACAGAGGTCTCTCTGCACTTATCAAGTATCTTCAGAAGACCCATGTCGGTACTGGTCACTGGTATCATCAGCACAAGTCTCTCACTCAGAGCCAGAGGAATGAGTTATGGATTAATTTTATGGTGGATTTGAGAGCGGGCATCGCCAATATTGAGGCGGAGGAGTCGCAGTGAGGCCTCCTAGGGACGTTGATAGCTTGGAAAGTTATTATTGAATTGTTTTTAGATTTTTATTAATTATTTAGAATATGTTATCGTGAATTTTGCAACATTTCTTTGTTTTATTTTTGACTTGATGATTTATTTGTTATTGTGACACGATCTTAAGATCTATTCTTTTTATATAGTGGTGAAGGGGGTGTTAGTCTATCATAACATAGCTGTTGCGACGGACTTAAAACAGAGATTTATCATCATCATCATCATCAAGACTGTCCTTGCTCGCACTTCTTCCGGCACCCAAGGCGGTGTCTCGCCGTCGGCTTACGCTCTACCTGCAGAATATCAACGACTTCGTTCTTTTGCCTGCCAAAACTGTCAGCGACTGCTATTTCATTCATACTCTTGAAATTTTTTGGATAACCGCTATCTTTACCAACCATGGCAGAAATACTGACTCGCCGATTCATAATTAATCATTGCACTCCCTGCTTTCAGAACGCTCTTCTTCCTCTCTTATTCTTGAGCGATACGTGGCTGCAAGATCATCGCTTCTGTATTTGTTTTTTCCATTGCCTTTCAAGCTTCATGGACGCATTTGACGCCTGCAAAAATGTGATCTATCCGCCGTCCTCTGTGCTCTTTATACTATTGTGCCTGCGTGTGATACTACCCTTTGCAGCCTTTCGGTACATCGGGGAAAAGTTTTTAGAATCGTTGTAATTCCTGTTATTTTTTAGAGCTACAGAATAAAGAACTCAAAATGATTTTAGACGCGTTCAAGGCTTCACCGATTTCAGCATTCTAATGCGAGGCAGTGATGCTACTCAAGGAGCCATCAGACCTCTACAACAAATACAGAAGATGTCTCTTCGACGGATGACGCTCCCAGGAAACCATGCTTTAGTCCCGAGGTGACTTCCGAACCACTCTGAGGATTATCGCACGTTTACTCCTGTACATATTGACGGATTGTATAGTCAGGCACCCCCGTACACGAAGGAAAACAGACAACTTTGCCTAGATTTTCTGCAATAGATGTCGAGGTCGCAAGCTCGACGCCAAACGACCACTGAGATGGATTTTTTGATCCCTTAAAAATTCTGCCCTCTTTCCCAGGCTATTCATACTTACTTCAACATCCTTAGTCTTTCTCTAGATTGATAAAACTTTCTGGTAGCTATAGATGTGCTTGAGAAAGGGGTTGTTTTTCTGAATATGAATAAGTCTCGGCAGAGTTTCTTCTTTTGAGATAGGTAACACTGTATTTATTAATAGTTGATAAATGATCTGATCACTAGGTGTGGGACAGATAACATAGAATGCCTTGCGGTGGCACACCACTGCTTTCATCCACTTCTTTCTATGAAAAGAATAATCACACAACCACAATAAATAGGTCGACTCAACTTAAACTATTCAAGTGTAATAAAGCTGCCATTTTCGCATATTGATGATGATGATAAATCTCTGTTTTAAGTCCGTTGCAACAACTAGGTTATGACAGACTAACACCTCCTTCACCACTATATAATAAAACAAAATAGATCCTAAGATCGTGTCACAATAACAAATAAGTCAATAACAAATAAATCTCCAAGTCAAAAATAACACAAAGAAATTTCGCAAAATTCACTATAACATGTTTCAAATAAAAGATAAAAATCCAAACAAATTCAATAATAACCCTCCTAGCTATCAACTTCCTTAAGAGACCTCACTGCTACTCGTCCTCCTCATTACCGGCGATCCCCGCTCTCAAATCCACCAGAAAATTGATCCATAACTCATCCCTCTGGCTCTTAGTGAGAGACTTGTGCTGATGATACCAGTGACCAGTGCCAACATGGGTCTTCTGAATATATTTGATGAGTGCAGAAAGACCTCTGTTTGTCCATAGAATGTGATCGAGCGTGCGTTCGGCTATAGGGCATTTTCGCATATTCTTTACAAGTGTATGTCCCGTCCTCTTACACCTTGCTACATCATCGTCCAGTTGACTCAGCACTCCCTTGCTATCACCCCCACATGTGTTTCCACCTGTGATAGCCCTTGAGCATACTGCTCTTGTCTCTCAAATCACGTCCTTCCTGTCCGGCCATAGACCTTCCATGTGATGATGATGATGATGATAATCATAAATCTTTCTATTATCTTGTGTTATTTCTTCTCTATTAGTCTTTCTATTGTACAGCTTCGAATTTTGCTTGGTAATTTATTTAAAGATCCACTTAATATCCAAAATCTTCATCGCACATGGCTCTTTTACCCAACCATCCATCATCCAAAGTTGAATGTAGCATTTGTTGCAAATTGTCTTTGCCAGTGGAAGTTCCAGACATATTGAAGTTGTCAGAGTTATCCATTGATGATGATATTCCTTAAGTGTGCTCTGATATATAATATGATATGTTGTTGATTGAATGATATGTACAAAACAAGGGAGGGAGCTGGTCAATATATAGACAAAATAAGATCATACAAAGTTCTTCCACAAGTTTCCGGTATCTTGCAGATTCTTTATCTGGTACTTTCCGGAACCTTCCAGCATCTTCCAGTTTCCTCCTAGTTCCTTCCGGTAGATTCCAGTTGTTTCCGGTCCCTTCTAGCTGTTTCCAGTTGCTTCTGGTTGCACCTAGTAATTTCCTTAGGGTTTCTGTTCCCTCCAAGGAAACCCTTGATCCTGCTGCATAATGGAACACTATTATCAACACTCCCACTTTTTCCATTATTCAGTTCATTCCCATCATTGATCTCAGCTTTTCAAATTGCTCTCTTGCAATTCCTTTGGTCAAAAGGTCTGCAACCATATCCTTGGTTCCACATCCAATAATGTTGATAAGGCCATCATTGATTGCTTGTCTGGTGAAGTGATAGCTGACAGCAACATGCTTTGTTCTCTCATGGAACTGTGGATTCTTTGCCAGTTTGATTGCTCCCTGATTGTCTTCTGCGATCCGAATCGGCTGCTGTGAATTCTGGCTCATGAATTCATAAAGTCTCTTCAGCCAAACAGCTTCCTGAGCTGCTAGCTTCAGTGCCATATATTCTGCCTCTGTGGTTGACAAGGCAACTGATTTCTGGCGCTTGGACTTCCAACTCACTGCTCCACCTCCAAGGACAAAGACATATCCTGAGGTTGATTTCCGCTCATCAATATCCGTTGCATAATTTGCATCTGAGTAGCAGGTAAGTAAGTTGCCATGGTGTTTGCTGAAGGTGATTCCCATGGATGCCGTTCCTTTGATATATCGCAAGATTCGCTTGACTGCTGTCCAGTGCTGCTTTCCATAATTGGAGTTGAATCTGGAGACTTCTCCCACTGCATTCGCAATGTCCGGTCTCGTCCCAATAGCCAAATAATTCAGGTTTCCAACAGCACTCTGATAGGGAATTTTCTCCATTTCCTTGTCCTCAGTCTTGGTCTTTGGACTCATTTTCTGAGAGAGTGTAACACTCAAATTCACATGCGTTGTGACAGGGTTGCTGTCTTGCATATTGAAGGTTTTCAAGACTTCTTCAGCATATTTCTTTTGACAAATTGTGAGAGTATCTTTTGCTCTGTCTCTGGTAATTTCAATCCCCAAGAAATAGCTTGTCTCACCCATATCAGTCATCTGGAACCTTTTGCGCATGTTCTTTTTGAACTTATTGATAGAGTCCAAGCCCTTGCCAGTATTATCAGATCATCAACATATACAGCAAGCAATAGATTTGATTTTTTGCTTCTGTAAATGCCATAGTCATCGCTTGACTGAGAGAAACCGATCTGTAGCAAGTGATCATGCAGCAGCTCATTCCAGCATCGTGGTGCCTGCTTCAGACCATAAAGACTTCGCTGTAATCTCCATACTCTTTTGCTGTTCTGAAAATATCCCGGAGGAGGCTGCAAATAAAGTTCCTCTTCCAATTTTCCATAGAGAAAAGCAGTCTTTATGTCCATCTGATGAATATGGTAGTCATTGATTGCAGCATGAGCCAAACGGATCCTGATTGATTCAAATCTGACCACTGGTGCAAAGGTCTCATCGAAATCAATTCCATATTCTTGAGTGAATCCTCTTGCGACAATCCGAGCCTTGTATTTTGTGAGCTGGCCATCCTTGCCATATTTCTTCTTAAAACCCATTTGGAAGTAATTGCTTTTCTCCCACTAGGTAGCTCACTCCATCTCCACACTTGATTTTCTTGTAGAGAATTCAGCTCGTACTCGCAAGCCTTGCTCCAGTGTAATCATTCTGGACTCGCCTTTGCCTGCTGAATTGTCACTGGCTCTGCCGTATCTTTTGTCTTGACTGCCCATGCTTGAAGACTGAGTGGATCCTCAGACTCACTTCTGTCGCTCCTGTCGAGAATCATTCGATCGCTGTTGATCCTGTTGCCGTCGAGCCTTCGTTTCTTTGAATTTTCTCTGATGAATCGAGCATCATCGCCGTCTGACTCTTCTTCGTCGAGATCCATCTCATCGTCGTCTTCATTGTTGTCCTCATAATCGTAGTCATTGAAATCGAATATTTTGAGAGTGCCCTGGGAGTTTCTTTCATCCCTTGCAATTCGCTGTCTGATTCGTTCCTCAATGGCGTCCACATCACGGATTTGCCGTCTTGTCGGCCCTTGGTCCTCATTGCGAGTAACGACTCGCATCTCTTCTTGATTTTCCTCCAAGTCGTGATCAATTTCATGTCTTCAGACTCCTGAGCCTCGACCGACTCATCCTGAACATCCTCAGCTGGTACATCATTTTCTCTTCTCCCACTTGATCTATTATCTTCTGGTGATAGATCACTGGATGGATGATGAACTCGAGGCCAAAAACCAATACTGGCTCCAAGTTGTTCAACTGTAACTTCTGAAGATCTTTCCAACCCGCTATCCAAGCGTGCAGGCTTGTACCAATCAAGCCCCAATGTTGTCTCATCGAAGATAACATCTCTGGCAAAAGTCACCCCTCGTGATGGAATATGTCCCTGCTGTCTTGAAACGCCTGGAGAAGCCTCGGCGTGCCTCCAATCAACGCCAAGCCACTGCGATCTATCGAGCCATCAATCGACTGTCTGAAATCAACACTAAAGTCTCTATCTATTGGCTTCGCTCCGCTACCAAAGTGGAGGGCAGCAATCGCGCCCTGGCCTTAGCAACTCAAGCAGCCTCGTCGCCAGACCGCGTCAATCATGATTGTTCCTTGCGCGTTCTTTATAAGCTCGTCGATGACCTCGCTTTTGAAGAATGGAATGCCAGGTTTCAAGCCGCGCCTTGATCAGAATATTATCAATATAAAGGCAAGCCTCGACTCTCTATTGACAAGCCGCTGGTGAATATCACCCGCAGCATTGCCAGCTGTATTGTGAGCTTCCGGACTGGACATGGCTTCTTCAACAGCTATTTTGCAAGACATGGCAGGGAGCCTCGTCCCTCTCCAGACTGTTGGTGTGGAGACTCACTGCAGTCAGTTGAGCATGTGCTTCTTTCTTGTTCCAAGCACACAGAGGAACGGAAGAGTGCCTTTGAAGATATCCCTATAGCCGAACGCACGCTCGACCGCATTCTGTGGACAGACAGAGGTCTCTCTGCACTTATCAAGTATCTTCAGAAGACCCATGTCGGTACTGGTCACTGGTATCATCAGCACAAGTCTCTCACTCAGAGCCAGAGGAATGAGTTATGGATCAATTTTATGGTGGATTTGAGAGCGGGGATCGCCGGTAATGAGGAGGACGAGTAGCAGTGAGGTCTCTTAAGGAAGTTGATAGCTAGGAGGGCTATTATTGAACTTGTTTGGATTTTTATCTTTTATTTGAAACATGTTATAGTGAATTTTGCGAAATTTCTTTGTGTTATTTTTGACTTGGAAATTTATTTGTTATTGACTTATTTGTTATTGTGACACGATCTTAGGATCTATTTTGTTTTATTATATAGTGGTGAAGGAGGTGTTAGTCTGTCATAACCTAGTTGTTGCAACGGACTTAAAACAGAGATTTATCATCATGATCATCATCATCATCATTGCGTTCATGTTCCCGAAGTTCTTCATCAATAGCACTCAACCACTGATGATGATGATGATAAATCTTTTTATTATAGTCTATTTGCAACAACTAGGTTATGACAGACTGTCTCCAACTTCTTCCGCCAATGTTTTTATCTCCATTTTTCAAATCCAACTTCAATTTTTCCATCTCCCTGATAGGATATCCAAGTATGCCTGCCTGAAGTGGAGGACAAGCTATCCAGTAGGTGCTTTAGTTCAACCATTTCCAGAAAGGGAAGGCGTGTAGTAAAGTCCATAGTATTATCCATAAAATCCGAGAATCTCATTTCTTTCACTGCTTTGTTGTAAACTTGGTGCTACTGCAGTGGGGGGTTCAATACAAATTTTGCAGCCAAGACCATTTTTTGCTGGAAATTATCAAGGTGAAAATTGGGGGGGTTCAATATTAGGTCAAAATCCAGGAAAAGCGCACAAGCGGGGCACGAACCATGGATCTTAAGGGAGCAATGCAGCGGCCATACCGCTGGGCCATATCACTGCTCCCTAGCCGGAGAAGTGGACGGTGAAAGAGAAATGGGCGGAGGATGATGATGATGATGATAAATCTCTGTTTTAAGTCCGTTGCAACAACTAGGTTATGACAGACTATCTCGCCCTCCTCAACTGGGCTCGAACCCCAAAAAGGCGCCGGGTCCTGATGGTCTTACCTTTGCTGTCTTGAAACGGGCTTATCATGCGATCCCCGACCTGTTCTTTCACGTCTTTCGAACGCTGCTGGACTCTGGCCATCACCCTCGTGCCTGGCGCGAGGCGATCTGTGTTCTGATTCCAAAACCGCACAAACCAGACTATTCTGTTGCGAAAGCGTACCGGCCTATTTCTTTGCTGAATTGCCTCGGCAAAATCTCAGAGAAAATCATGGCAAATCGGATGGCGTTCATTGCAGAAGAGAATTGTCTCCTGGATCAGTATCAGATGGGAGGCCGAGCTCAGCGATCAGCGGTGGATGCAGCGATGCTTCTGCTGCACGAGCGTCAGCTTGCAAAGTTGAGAGGGGAACAGACTACAGCACTTTTTATTGATGTCAAGGGAGCTTTCGATCACGTGTCTCGCGAGCGGCTTCTTCAGACGCTTAGAGAGATGGGATTTGCAGCTCAAGTGACGTCATGGGTGGCTCAATTTTTGACTGGGAGAAGTATCGCCTTTGCTTTTGATCGCAAAGTGGGAGAGATGCAAGCTGTGTCGACCGGTATTCCTCAGGGATCACCGCTGTCTCCTCTCTTGTTCCTTCTCTATTTGCGCCCTCTTTTTTCAAGGTTGAATGCGAAGCACAAGCTGGTCTTTTGTCCTAGCTATGTCGATGACGTTGCGCTGGTTTATTCCAGTAAGTCGATCG